ATAGCCAATTCGAGGAACTCTAAGATGCCGATGGAAGCTAGTAAGATTGATATGTTTTGCAAGCCCAAATATGGCTCATATTTGCCTGGCGTCTTCGTGTTTCTAAGAAATAAATGTACTGACGCCTCTCAATGACTGTAGGCATCGGATCGAACAGACACTCTCCCCAAACCGGTAGGGGGGCAGGGTTGGCGCGCAGGCTAGCCATCGATCAAGATGCCAACGCACCTTAAATCTTAAGAACCTACCCGGCCTACCCCTCCCCCTCCGCTCCCCTCACACAAACTTGCGGGTCGGGTCGAGCGAAGCTTTTCTTTTGACTTTAACATAGATGCCACAGTCCCCGCACTTCGAAGCTTGTGACGGCGATGACAACAACGAAAACAAGGGACAGCGCGTAACGCCGAGGGACGTCAATAAGGTGAGAGACATGTGCTCAATGATCGACTCCGTACGATGCCAACATGCTGGCAAGGCAGCATAGCGGGACAAGCACAAGCACGCCTCCGTCTCCAATCCTTCCTGTCCAGATTAGCTCCCCCGGCTTATTACACAGTGAAGATCCTCGAGCTACACTGTATTCACTTTAGATTACAGCCTAGAACCGCCTGGGTAAGGTACCTTGTGTATTGCCCCGTATCTCGCAATAGTGCTTGTGGCCGGCGATGAGGAGAAACAATTCAGGTAGGTAAGTACTCCAGTTTTCTTGTCATTTGACTAGAACATTATATAGGTAGCTAATGTGATAATTATCTTTCGCTAGATCTGTTTACGCCATTCCCACACTTATAGCGGGAAAGGAGCAGCAGAGAGCCCAGGGGCTCGTGCGAATCGGCTGGCGTACGGACTGCCCTCAACCTCTCTGCACAGTTTTTCGTACGGAGTACTTGGTACTTTACAGTGCACCCTGAGACTTTATTTCTATTGATGCTACCTAAATTTACTACAATCCAATCCCTGAATGTTTGTTAGCGTGGTACTTACGAAGGAAAAGAAAATAACAAATGAACCGGCCAGGAAAGGTCTTTAATAGGTATTTCTAGAGAGGGAGTAGACCTCTAAGATTCTAAAATAGGGATTCAAATAGCTATTACCTCCCTTGGTGAAAAATCTTTACGGCGAGTTGTAAGATGTTAAGGCCATTTGGATCTTGGAAAGTACCACGCCAACAAACATTCAGGGATTGGATTGTATGAGCTCTCCACGCACGTAAACATTGCTTCGACCGTAAGAGTGGGAGGGGCGTGCAGCGCCTGTCTCTCTGCTCAATGCCCAGTGTCTGGTGCTCAGTGCTCACATGTCCTTGCAGGCAGCCCGATGATGCAACCTAGAAAATTCCAAGCGTGAAATGCTCATCGGAACGATCTGGACAGCCGAAGTGATCCCCAAACGGGCGCCTGGGATGTCAAAGTGGGAGGCTGAGCAAGGGTCATCCCGGATGGATCCTGGTGTTTGTTAGGCTCGTGCCGGCAGGTACACGAGCGTGAGCACTCCGAGCAGGTGGGTGTGGCCTATGGAGAATGTAGACTTTACCGCACGCAACGCAACGCAACCTGCGTAACGCCATACCAGAGAAAGAGAATTGAGTTTCGGGGCAGCCATCGACTGATTGTCACCCGCCCGCGAGGACGATCGGCCGCCACCCAGATCGGATGCTGGGCTGGCGACGAGGGTAGTAATAGGTAAAGTGGGTAGTAGCTCTCCCGAGAAGCGACCGTTCGTGACATTGACGGGAAGCCGTCGTTGATGAGAAAAGGAGACAGACGCGCTCATTAGCGTGCCAGCTCCTGTGCCCGTCGCCATCATCAGCCTCATCCAATCCGAGATGGTAGGGCGCAATGGGCGAGGAGGGCCTGCGGACCCGGGTCTTTGGGCACTGAGACTCTCTTCACCTCACTCATCCGGAACCCCATTTTTCTGCCCCCATCCATCGAGGCGTGCGCGCAGTGTTGTGGACCCGCATTCAAGGGCGAAGGGGCCGGTCGTACCCGTACCTAAAGTAAAGGGCCATAATGGCACGGTTTTCGTACGAGAAGCGCATCACGACAGGCAAAATGGTGATTATGGTTGGCTGCGTTAATAAGTGAAGCTTCCCTCCCTCCGCTCGTAGGCTGCGTGCTCTGCTCTGCTCTCTGCTCTGCCCTGCCTTGCCCGCCAGCAGTAGTGTCGCATCTGCCTCTTCGTCCAGTCTTCCCTGCTCACATCCACGTCCGGGCCTGATGTACATAGTACTTCGTACCTTTATGTGCCCCGCCCGCCCACGTCTCTGCCCAAACCAAAACGGTTCCCACTCGCCTTTTCTTCAAGACGAGGGATATAGATGCCAGGGCTTCCTCGCTCGCGCCTCTATTCTTTTTTCCCTCCTTCTTCTCTGCGGTGAACTGCTAAACTGCAGTGCCCTACCGTTCAATTGAACACGCAAACCGGCTATCTGGTGCGAACTGTGTGAAGGCGAACTGCTCTTTCATCTTATGGGCAGCCCGGCAGTCTTAGCGAGTCTGCGTTGCGCTCGCCGAGCCCCCTGGTCGCTTTTGAGCCACACATCGAACAGGGGGGTGGGGGGCGTCCTGGTCCCTCTCGATGGCAAATGTACCGTTGGCGCATTCGAGGTACCTGCCAGGTTCCCTCTTGCTGCTGAATTGGATGCGCCAGAATGACTGCTCTGGTGCAGTACCGCACAGTACAGTACACACACCTATTTCTGCAGCTTGCTCTGCCGTCACCACTCCCCAGTTCCAGTACCCCAAAAGCAACCTCAGTGATTAAGAACGGCAACCTGGACAGAAGCTCGCAGCCCCAAAGCTGGCTGGCTCGGTGACAAGCGAAAGAAACCAGGTAACTTCGAGTTCCTCTCCCGCCCTTCGCCGAGTTTGCGCTACGAGTTCAGCAGCTGCTTCAAGCAAGGAAGGTAGGTCGGTGCTGGTAGACACCAAATAAACTGTGTAATTATCCCTCTCGGACTCGTCGCCGGGATTCGAGGCTAATGGGGGCCCGCCTCCCGTCATGGGCGCTATGCCCGAGCGTCGACGAAGGACTGCGGGGCACCGAGTCTGCTGCGCTCGCTCGTCCTATTCTTGAAAATATAACAAAATATAACGAATAACTTACACCTCAGCTACCCTACCTCAGGAAGACATGAATTCCGTACTCCGTCCCTTGCCATGGGCCACGGATTCTTGGTCACGGCAGGCGGTTTGTGCCCTCGGTCGTTGCGGCAAGCTAAATGTCCGGTCTACTAGTACCTTAACACACATCACGGTGGAGTCGTCGCTAGAAAATATCTCGAGAGTAAATGTGCTTTCGCCACAGTTTAGAGCCGTCCGTTCTTTCCTTACGCCCTCCACGTACCTGAGGCCGGGTACTCGTAATGCAGACGAAATGTGGTGCTGGCGCTTCTTGGTTTCCCCCGCTTGCCCGCCCGCGACGGGATTCAAACAGCTTGCGAGCACAGAGTCGGAGCCCCGTCTTGAGGCGAAAGGTAGCAACCCAGGGAGGGCGCTGTCCCTTTCTGTTCAGCTACGCGCGACAATAAGAATGAGGTGCATCCGTGAACGCCCAACATGGCGCTGCCCTGGCCCTCGACGGCAGCCTTTGCCGCCCTGCTTAGCGCTAGCCGCAACACATGGAGGGCAGACGGAACTTGGAAGCCCACCACGCTCCATCACTCAATGAGGTACGGATAGGTGGGCGGGCAGGTCGAATGTATCCAATGTATGTACTGTATGTACCCAGCCTTTCCTTCCATTCCATATTGTGTGTGCCGCAGGTCGAGGGTACCGTGGGGTACCCGTCCGGTATCTGGGTGCTGGGTGCTGGGTGCTGCCCTGGGTGCGCTTGGCACGAGTTCCATAGGGAGGCAGGGTAGGTACCTAGGGTACTTAGAGTGGGTTCCGCCTCCAGACCCAGCGCCGTCTGACACTGGCTGCTGTCGAGCTGCATCCACCGCCCTTCCAGGTTCTTTTCTCCCCTTCCCATCTTTCCACTTCGCGGGCACACCACCCTCCCTCCTCACGCCTTAGTTCCCGGCCTCACCTCACCTCATCCCCACGGTGCTCGCCGCCAGTCTTCACCTCGTTGCGCAGCTTTTGTCTTTGTCGCATTCGGGGCTACGCGCTGTAATTCTCCAGATTGGCACGTCCCGGCCTGTTTAGGCTTCTTTTTTTTACCCTAAACTTTGGACCGTCTGGCACTGCACCTAAAACCAGGCGTGTGCCTCTTCCTTGTTACCTACTTCCCGCCTACCCTGCACATTTTGGGCCGCCTCCCTCGTTTTCCACTGGCTGGTCCCCGCGCTTTCGAACACCCGCAACCCGTGAACTCACTCGGTTCGGATTCACTCACTCGCCTCACCTCCTCCCCCCGTCACCGGCCCAGCATCCGCGCGACGACCGAGAGCAACGCACCGGCCGTTCCCGTTCGCCACGCACCCCCCAACCGGACCAAGCTCTGCAACCTCGACCGCTGCCTGCCAGGCAGAGCGACGTAGCGTGCCAAGCCACGTTCTGGTCTCGTCCATTCCTCACAGACAGCCACAGCGACGGGCGATCATCTAGCAGCGATCGGTAGAGGCGAGTTGCGCCTGCGACCTTTGTCTGCTCGGCCGTTGTGTGTCCTAGGCCGCTGTATTGAGATCGGAGGATTTTTTTTCGGCCTGGCTCGTTTTTCGGTCGCAAGCGCGCCCCGTTGAGGCCGTCTCGAGACCTGCCTCGCCGTGATCAATCGTATCTTTCCGGGAACGAATGCCGCTGCTCTGGGGCCACATCGAGCTCTCGTCTTCAGCGGGTACGAATCGCTAGAGAACGGAAGCCCCATTCGGGCTCTGGCTTGAAGACAGCCACCTGGTCGGCACGTCCCACAAACTTTTCTAGCTCCTGACGTGCGACTCTGCCCACTTGCAGCTCGCCAGCACGCCTCGCTGGTGACACAGAACGCCTGTTATTATATGGACGTCTTCGGGTTACGCTAGGCAGCTTGCAGCCAGTTGTCGGCTTCCTGCCGCTTCGCGGGAATTGCCTTGGTCGTCGTAATTTCTCGTCGATATCCTAGCCACGGCCGCCAACTCCTGGATATCCCTGTCGTGCCGGAGCGACTCCGTCTTTTACGTACTCGGCGAACCGAGAGCCATCCCGTTTCCGCGTGCTTTGAGGGCACCTCGCTAGCGGGCTGACCCCATCACGTTTCCGCGGCCATGGCCGCCAATATGCCGCAGATGGTCGCCAACGGCCAGATGCTGATGCAGCAGCAGCAGCAAGCCCAACGTCGGCAACTCCAGACTGTAGTCTATAATCACTTGGTGCAGAGCATGTCAACGGTGGCTGGGTCCTGGCAAAGCCAAACACAAACCCAAGAGCGGTTTGGAAAAACCATGAACCTGTAAGCGATCTATTTACTAGCATTTTGTTGAGCGCGCTAGAGTCTTTTATCTTTAGCCAGTCCGACGGCATTTCCGAGAGCAAACACTAAATTTTCCGCAGTATTTCAAACATAACATTAGCTCTCCCCAGTGCCGATTGGCAAAAGGCCGCTCAGTACGGACTCGAAGTGGAAAATAAGGCTTTCCATGGTTCAGCCGACAAGGTAAGGCGATGATAGGTGCTTTGCTCTCGGCTCTTCATCTTTTGGCTAACCATCCTACAGCAACGGTACGAACAGCAGATGGACGCAGCCATAACAGACATGGTCAAGCGGAGACAAGCGCTTGCGCCCAATATTCAGAACCAACTCAACGCCGACGCTATGCGGCAGGCCCAGCTACAGGCTCAGCAGAAACAGCAGCAGGCTCAGCAGCAGCAGCAGCAGCAGCAGTTGATGATAAACCAAATGGTGGCAAGGGGGATGGGGCAACAGCCCCAGCAAATGGGTTTTCAGCATCTCCAGAACCCCATGCAGGTGTCACCCCAACAGGCGTTGAGTGGCATGGGCATGGCAGGCCCTGGAATGCTGCAGAACCGGCCCGACCAGCGCCAGTTCCAGATGCCGATGGCACAGCAGCCACGACCACAAACCGGACTCTCTGCCGAGATGAACCAACTCAGTGGGCCAGAGAGGCAACAGGTATCGGACATAGCCGTGAAACTCCACGCTCAAGCCGCAGAGTCGCAACGCAACAGCGTTCGGAGTTTCGTGCAACAAAAGATGTCAGCAGCGCAACTAGCCGATTATCAGCAGAGAAACATGGACCCGTCGATGCTGTACTACCAAAACCAAGCCTTGAATATCCACAAGGGGCGTGTTCCAGGGGTTCCGGGATTCCCGGGGATGATGGGGCAACGTCAACAACAGCCAGGTTTACCACCAAACACCCACGCGCAACCACAACATCAGGGCCAGCTGAACGCGGCCATGATGAGTTCGCATGTTCCCCAGCAGGGCGTCTCTGATGGTCAAATGTTTCTCGGAAACCTGGAAGCGATTCGCAACGAGCAACAGATGGGAGTGATAGCGGAACAAGCGGGAGTGATGGTTGTGCCGGCACCCCCGGGCGCTGTCCGCGGCGCGCCGGGGCTTATCAATGGCGTTCCCCCACAGGCCGGGCAGGTTCAGAATCCGGGACAGGCGCCACGAAACCCCCAGATGCAACAGCCGTTTGGCATGCAGCAAGTCAAGATGGAGCCCATGGCCGCCCAAGCGCAGGCGCAGGCTCAAAACAGAGCAGCAATGAACCGGCCTATGCAAGGCCAGCCGGGAGGGATAGCAGGACCTTCTCCGACTTCTCAAAGTCCGGCAGCTATGAACACGCTGAACGCCCCGATGCGGCAGCCACCCGTACCTATGGCCCCGGCCAACAGGCAGCCGATCAACCAGGGAAATCCACAAATGGGAGGGACGCTCAACCCGAATTTTAGCCACCAGTCTAACCCAAGACCGGGGAATATGAACAGCCAAACTATGGCGGCAATGCTGGCCAATCTCAGCCCCGAAGGTCGCGCAATACCGGAAGACAAGCTCAAGGACGTGATGGCAAAGTGGGAGCAGGAGCAACATCGCCCCCCGATGAACACCGGATTTCAGCCTCCTAAGCAGATGCAAGGGATGCCAGGGCAACTCCAAACTGGACCGATGGGTAATGCGAACCAGTTTACTGGAGCTAACACCGCCCAACAGCCCAATGGGGCGATGGCGCAGATGGCACAACAACAACAGCAGCAGCAGCAGCAGCAGCAACAACAACAGCAGCAGCAACAGGCTCAACAGGCTCAGCAGCAGCAGCAGCAGCAGCAAGCCCAGCAACAGCAACAAGCCCAGCAACAAGCCCAGCAACACGCCCAGCAGCAGCAACAACAGCAACAGCAGCAGCAGCAGCAGCAGCAGCAGCAGCAGCAGCGACAACTTCAACAACAACAAGCCCAACAGCAGGCTCAGCGTTTTGCTCAAAATCCCCAATATGTTACCATGGCGGATAGCATGAGCCTGCCACCTCAAATCATACAGCAGCTGCGAATTCATGTGCCTGCTGATACCGAAAAATGGGGCCAACTTAAAGCGTTCATGCGGTCAAACCCCGGGGCGGTGCCACAAAACTTTCAGAACCAGTTGCTTCATTTACAAATGATGCAGTTCAGGGGCTTTGTGGACCAAAACAAAAACAAGGTGAGACAGGGGCTACCGCCCGGAAGTGCGCCGTCAGGTGGCACACAGCCAGGCCCTACAGGGCCGGTGCCAGCTTTGCCCCCTGGAGTTACGGTCCCTCCCCAATTCCTTCAGGTAAGCCAGCAGGATTTGGAATTACTGCGCAGAAATGTGAAGTGGCAGCGTTTTAGCGTTGAGGGACTTCAGATGGTTGCCAGACGCCTCAAGGAAGAGAACTGGACAAGAAATTATTGGCAGCAGCAAAATCTCGCCAATAACAATGCAAGCGCAATGGCTCAAAAACAGCCATTGCAAGGCCCACCACCGTCAACTACACAGCCCGCCCCGGTAGCACCGCTAATAGTACGTCAGCCAAGTCAGCAGAAGCCTCCTGGGGCTCCCGACGCGGATAACTTGACACCTGTGGGTACAAGTGCTCAAAATGCCGGCCGCATGCCTGCTCAATCCCGAACGGCCGCTGTCAACCCCTCGCCGGCACAGAATCAGAAGAGTTTGAAGCGCCCAAACTCGGACGATGTCGCAGATGCCCCTAACCAAATCAACAACCCTTCGCAGCAGCCTCCCCAGTCGTTCCCGCCCTTTGTGCCAGACGCCCGCCCCACAGGCCAGATCATGCAGTTTACCCCCGAGCAAATTGCAAAGATGTCTCCAGAACAGAGGGCAAAATACGAAGCAGTGGTGCAGGCTCGTCAACAGCAGCAGCAGCAGAAGCAGCAGCAGCAGCAGCAGCAAATGCAACAACAGGGTCCGGAATTAGCGCGGCTGAGGCAGCTTGCTCAAGAAGAAGGCCGTCAGTCGATGCTCACGCAAGGGCAGGATAAGCCAATACAGCTGAGGCCAGATGACATGCAAGACTTTTTGGCCAAGCTACTCAAAACTGGCGCAGATTTGAAAAAGCTGAACAAGTTTTTGACCAAGTGGTTTGCCGCCACCAACGATGAGACCCAAGCAAGAGCGTTCTTGAAATTGGTAAGCATGCGCATGCCCCCCCCGCCCTTCGAGTAAGTTGAGCTTCCACTAACATAACCAAAGCGCGCGAAATTGGTGCGGCAATTTGTCGATAACGACTTTAAGATACCCAAAAACGTAAACGTGTTAACCCTGACGATACCCGAGCTGGACGCGCTTCAACAGATAATGGAGCAGATATTCACGGACTATATCGCGATTATGAAGGAGGGAAATGCCGCCGCCAATGCTCAACGAGCAGCGCCACCAGCGCCACCAGCGCCACCCGTGGCCCAGCCAGCAGGCCCGCGCGGTTCTCAGCCGACGCCATTGAGTGCGGCTAACCTTGAGAAGCAGACCCAAGCTCTCAAGCAGGTGAATCGGGCCGGCGTAAAGGTTGGACAGCAGCCGCCAGCCGCTCCAACCACAACGCAACCCCCTTTCCAGTTTGGGGCCCAAAAGTCGCCCGCCGGGCAGCCCATTTACTTGAGCGATCAGCGCGTCACCCAGGACAATCTCAACCCGCCGCCTCCTAGGAAGAAGGCCAAGACGGGAGCGCAGCCATCGTCGTCTCCGGCAGTTCAGCAGGGCGCCACGGTCTCTGCTCAGGTCACTGTCAAGGCGCCGTCTCCAGAGACCAAGAGAAGACCCGCGCCAGAGCCACAGACGCAGTACCAGCCACAGCCACAGCCACAGCCGCAACCACAGTCCCAGTCAAAGCCGCAGCCCCAGTCTCAACCGCAACCACCGCCGCAGACGCAAGCGAAGGTCCCGACCCCGCAGACGTACCCCTGCCCGGAGCCGGATTGTGAAATGCATGTTACGGCCTTTGTGACCGAAGAGGCCCTCAGCCGTCATCATCAAGAGGAGCACGTCAAGCCGAACGAGGACCCAGTCAGGTTCATGAAGGAAAACTTTGCCTTAGCCATGGGCCTAGATTTGCAAGGCAACCCAATACTCCCGCCTAAGGGCAACGGTCAGGACGCTAGCCAGTTCGGCGCACCGCCGATGGGCATGAGCCTCTCCAAGCAGGGACAGACGCCGATGAGCAGGCCGGACTCGGCCGCAACTCCGATGTCTCGAGATGCGTCGATGAGACGGCAGGCCAGTGCGGGCGTAAAGGGACCTGAGACGGCGGGCACACCGGGAAGGACCCAGAATACGCCCAGGTTGGCCGAGGTCAAACTTGCAGAAGGGCCGCAGATGGCTGTCATGGAAGACCCGTGGGCGAATTCGACAATAGACCCGCAGAGCCTGTTTGCCGGGTTTGCGCCGCTGGAGTCGATGAACGGAAACATATTCTCGGATATCAGCGCGTACAGATCCGTGACGCCCAACGACACGCCCGAATCGAGCAAGGACAGCGGGGCGTCGGAGCCAAACAGTGACATTGCCGAAGGGGCACATCTCGACATTGATCTCAACTGGCAGCCCATCGACACGGACCTCCTCCTGGACATGAACAACGTGAACATGGAGGGATACGATTCGCTTGACCACGACATGTTGGGGTCCGACCCGATGCAGTTTTCGTCGCTCGATGACATGACGACGGATTTCTCGAAGCCTTTCCAGTTCGACACGTCGCTCTACTCAATGGATGCTTCGTAGGACCTCGGGACGGCCGTTATCGTGGTCCCAGTGTTTAGGATATTAGAGGGCGACATCTCCCGCACGGTGCACGAGGCATTATGCTTGGACGATACGACGGAATATGACATGGAGGGCGGCTAATTCGGTTCGGCCAAGGTTCAGGACAGGGAACTGGGGGCGCGGGATGGGGTTAATGACTACGAACAAGCATCGGTCTGGACAGGGTGGGAAAAGGGCGGCTTGTTATGGCGTTCCTTGGTTTATGAAACTGGTGGCTTTTTTTCCCTCTTTTCTTTTCCTTTTCTCTTTCGCTGTTTCTTCTTACCCCTCCCGTGCGGGTTTCTATTTGGGGCGTGTGCCACGTGTTAGGAGGAGCCAAAGGCGACGTGACGTCGCTGTCTCTATAATTTTGGTCTTTATCTTTTTCTAGTTCTCGCTGTCCATCTTGTTTCTCTCTATTCTGGCGGGCCCTTTCCTGGTGTTGGTCTCCATCTCTAGATTCATCTCTAGATGGGTCTCGCGGTTCGCTGTTGGTATTGAGGGAGTTTTAGACGGAGGGACTTGTATTTACAGGCAGGCAGGCAGGCAGGCACACCAGGACCTTTGGGGGTGATGATACCCGTGATCGTGTTTATCTGAAATAGGATCTCTTTTTCCTTTGGCAGGACAGAAATCATTTGGCCAGGAAGCCAGTGGCTCTTTTTTTTTGGCTAATTGTACGAGCTTTTGTTTATTATCTGTTTCGGCTTTTGTTATATTTACCTCATCTACAAAGTACTGGGGATAAACACAATAAATCAAGGTTTATGCGCAGTAACTCAAGTGCAGCGTTGATGCGTGGTGTGTGTGCATGAGGTGGATAGCTATTTATGCAATGGATCATGAGAGGACGGGATCGGATCTGTGCACGCCCACCCCATCGTCGCCGTGTTCCATGCTGCTGCATGCACAAGCCGGTGCCTGCAGCAGCCTACACCAGTGGGGGTGTGCGCAGGTGCTGTGTTGTGGCGGGGTCTAAACCAGGTTGCGCGCTCTGTCCCCGGGGCGCGCGCAAGGCAGCCAGGACCAACCGGAAATCGGAATGTCTCATCCACCCATACCACGCCACTGCCACCCACCTCACCTTTTTCTTACCCCAAATTACAATGCCAAGACCTTCTTCACGCTACCAACGAACTACCTTATCTGCGTACATTTATGCATACGTATCCATATTTAGGTATGATATTTGAATGGGTGGAGGGGCTTGCCTATCTACAGGCGACGCGCTTCTGTTTGGTTTTTTTTAATAGCTAATGCGGTGTAAAGTGTCTATCCTATCGATTTAGTCAATTAGGAATGAAATGTCCGAACTGCAAGTTTTGAGGGCGAAGTGGCTTGCTGCGCTGCGTATTTTGTAATTTCCTATTTCGGCTTTTGATTTTCTTAATTGACATGGGCCCCATTTTTTTTGTTGCAACTGCTAGGCGCGACTTGGTCTTTGCTTTTCTTTAGAGTTGTTTCCGTAATGAAATCGAGACGCGACTTTTGGGGGGGAGAGGGGTTCCACAATCTTTTTTAGGGGAACGCCATAACATAGGCACATGCCATAAAGTTTCCCCAATTTCCATTATCCGTCCCTCAGCATCGAAGAACACCGAAGGTTGCTCCAACTCTGTTCTTACTGTTGCCTATTCGCGTTATCCGTATTTGTTGTTGTTTGTTATTATTGTTGTTATTGTCAAGGCTTGTGTTTTGGCTGCTGCTGCAGTTACTTCTATTGTTGTGTTACTCGGTCCAGTCTTTTTTGAAAGCAAAGCACAACCTTCCTCACGTACACTTACACACGCTTCTCTCGACCTTACACGTGCGTGTGCATATACTGCTGCATGCATGCATGCAGACAGCGACATATACTTGTGGCATATAAGCTTGATTCACTCCGAGACAGTCGACACACCGAAGACGAGAGGAGATACGTAGACGGCCTTCCATCGCAGCATCTCCACTCCGTTGTCACTAGTCGGCGGAGGGTGGAAAGAAAGCTGCAACACGCCTACGGATACATTGCTCCCTGACCTGTCGCTATCCACACCCGCGTCTGTACGTACGGAGATAGACACCCAAAACCAAAATTAAAAAAACAGCAATGGACATCGCCTCGTCGCCCGCCAAGAGGCGCGTCCTCGCAGCTCTCGACCCCAACGCGTCGTCCCCGAAAGCACCAAAGCACACTAGCTTGAAGCAACCCACCACGAAACCCCTCGCCGCCGTCATTGTCGACGAGTTAGAACTCGCCAGGAAACGCCCCCTACCGGAGCAGCAGCTGCAACTGCAACTGCAACAGCAACAGCAACAGCCAGCCATGGGGCCGCCGTCACACGCAGACCATGCGAGCAATGGGGACATTGGGGAGCCAGCCAGGAAGCGGCCGTGTCTCCAAGACGACAGCAGCCGGGAGGTGACTATCAATGCCATAGCCCAGCCAGAACCCGAGGTACGCAAAGACGCGTTTATGCTTGTGTGCTAGCTAGCTAGCTCGCGGCCGAGAGAGAAGAAACATACTGACGTCTCCCACCACAACACAACAGTCGCCTAGGTCTTCGTCATCCACCATCTTGGAGCGGCACAGCTCCGTGTCGCCGCTCGACCAGGACCACGACACGTCGTCGTGCTCCGTGTTCGACGTCTCGGCCATCGACACGTCGCAGGCCACGACGCTGACGGAGCCCGACCACCTCGACCCGCAACCCGCGGCCGCAGCTCCAAATGCCAGCGCGGGTGCCGGAACCGGAGCCGGGCGCATCCCCCGATGGCCGGGCCCGGCGCGGGTGTTGACGCGTGAAGAGGCGCGAGAGGTGGGTCATACATACCCTGATCCTCCCAATAAGTTTTCAAAAACGATAACCGTTGCTGACATGGCGAACCTTTTCCGGTTTTAGAAAGCTGAGATCCTCCGCCTGCGCTTGGGACTGGCAAACTATAAGGTCCGCACGGGCCAGACCGAAGTGCCCCTCGAGCAGCTGCAGGTGAGGCCGCTGCCGCCTCTGCCGTCCGGGGCCGGGAGAAGCAGCAGCAGCATCAGCATCAGCAGTAGCAATAATGGGGAGAGAAGCGGCCTGCAACGCGTGGCTGCGGCTGCGGCGGCAGCTGCGGCTGCGGCTGCAGCGGTGGCGGCGGTGGTTTCCGCCCCGGCTCGTCCTACTGCGCCGTCAAAAGCTCCCGCGCAGTGGATGTGGCGCCAGACCGGCTCAAACCACGCCTCGTCCCGGCCGCAGCAGCAGTCTACCGGGGTGAGCGGGAGTGATGGTGGTGCTGCGCTTGCAACACCGAGACGGCTACTCCCCGCCGCGCCGTTGCGGAGACCTGGTTCGGAGGAGAGAAGCAGCCACGACGAGGATGTAGCCATGGACAATGTCATAGTTGATCTGACTCGCGATGGAGCGGGCGACAATGACGACGACGATGACGAAAACGAGCAGGACGAAGAAGATATTGCTCTGCCGCGTCTCCCGTCGCTACCACCGGCCGCGACGGCAAAGACGGAGTCTGCCATAGCCTCTCGCCGCTCATATTCTGGCGGCGACAGCGACAGCGGCGGCGGTGGTGGTGGTAATACTGCGGGGGCCCGGCTGGCCAGCAGTGCGCTGCTGGGCGGCGCAGCTAGCGGCCTCCTGAGCTTTTCCAGAGGCTAGGGGGTGGCTCTTGGCTTTGGTGTTAGTTGGAGTTTTGTACGAGTGTAACTTGCCGTCGGTTTGCAACGCAAAAAAATTGTAATTGGGCGGGATTCTGTGCAGGTATTAATGTTTTCCTTTCGCCGGTTTCTGTCGTCGTAGAAATGCATGATGGCATTCAGACGGTGGGGTTATGTACATATGTATTAAAGGAATATTTTTGTTTCTTTTTCTTTTCGGCATGAAAGATTTCCCTCTAGTAAGAAAAAGGCATTTGGGGTTTGTTTTTAAAAATATCAAACTGTCTGGCGCGAGGATGTTATTAGTATGATAGACCTAGTATGATAGACGTCTACATCTAGACCCGGACATACACGGTATTTTTGGAACTGTGCTGTGCTTTCTCTTGCCGAAGACGGAGGCAAGACCGTCTGTTCTATTTTCGATGAGATACTTTATTACTTCAACTTGCTGCCGTCCCATATGACTAAATTTTAGCGAGGTAGGTGCCGTAGGGTCTGCGTGTAGAGGCGGGACAACGTTGGTTGGGACTTTGCTCCTCCTGAATCTCCGGACACGATCATCTTGTTGCTCTGATTTGATTCCATATCGCAATTCTCACAACACAGTACTTAGAGGGTAAGTAACAGACAAAAGCCTGGCCCATGCTGCACAGATAGATATCCGACGAAAGCAAAAAAAAAGTTAAAGCAAGCATGCAACACCTCCAAACTTCTCTGCAACAGCGGCAGGGACGTACGAAATCATACCCAGCGTATTTAAAGCACGACATATACGGAGTAGCAACGGGTAAGGTACACACCTTGGACAGTTTAAGCCCAGGAGTTTAAGTCTAGGGGTCGGGTCGGCTGTGTTTAGGTTAGGTTAGCATGACGTGGCATGCAGAGGGGATCGATTTCCCGACCATTACGGAATACCGATCCTGGCAAATGGATTGATGGATTGATAGATCGGATCGGATCTGAGATAGCGAGGTGCGGGCCGGCGCGCGGGCGGGGGCGGGGCGGAGAAGGGACCGTTTTATTTTTATTTTTATTTTCTTATTTTAACATTACGTGAATCTGTTAGCGCGTCGCATCGTATTATATCATCCAACACAACGCAACGAAGCCCTCCAAAAAAAAGAAAAGAAGAAAGCAAAAAATGGGAAAGGGAAACTCTAAAATAAACAAACCCAGAACCCACGTGGCAACCAACGGCGGGAACTTTGCGCTGCTGGAAATCGGGAACGGGAACGGGAACGGGAACGGAGAACAATACTCAATTAAGCCAAGCGGCAGATGCCAATGGCAAGTAAGCCTTGGCAACAAGCCCCCTTGTGCTTACCTACAGTACTTTTCTGTGCCTGCGTGACGTTGTGAAACGCGGACGGACAAGGGGCCCACGAGGATCCGGTCATACATATGTACCGTACTCTTGGCGAGCTCACATATACCAAAGATAGGTAGGTAATTCAGAACCCAGGGGCCTGTTGGCCGACTAAGCTATCCGCAAATATAGGACCGGCAGACAAGTCTACCGTCGCTCGGCCTTGCGCCGCTGCCACTGGTCCCAAAACTCCTCCAGGTCGACATGCGTGCGCAGGCCCTTTACCGCCATCGTACTAAAGACGCCGCGCAGCTCGGCCGAGCTCATGTCGGCGGCCAGCGCCGGGCCAAACGCCTCGAGATACAGCTCCTTGGCCCACGGGCAGGCGGCGATGGCGCGGTAGAAGACGGCCTTGGCCTGGCCCGCCTTGAGCTCCTTGCTGACCGCCGCCGAGTGCGCCGCGAACCGGAGGTAGCCGAGCCACAGCTCGACGTTTCCTCTGCAGGCGCTGCCGCCGCTGCCCTCAAGCGCGGCCTCGAACGCCGCCCGCGTCGAGTGCACCGTCCCGACGCGCGCCTCGTGCTGGATCGCGAACCGCCGGGTGCTAACGCCGTCGTTCGGCTCGGCCAGCGCCACACTCTGCAGAACCTCGCGCACCGGATCGTTGAGGCGCAGGCTCGACTCGGCCCAGGCGAACAGCTCGAGAAAGATGGTGTTCTGAGGGAAGAGCTTGATAAATTCCAGGAGCTGCTTCCGTACGTAGACGGGTCTGTAGGGCCTGTGTTATAGCTAGTTAGTATAGCTGGTGTGTGCTTCCCAGAGTCGGGACCGAGCTCGGAGCTTTACCCGTGCGTTGCGTGGTAGTACAACAGCCGCGCAGCTGTCTGGAGTAGGCGTTCGTGGTGTGCCGATTTGCCCATGTCTCGCGCCGCTAGCTCTGCGGAGAAGCTGTTAATGCTTGCAAGGGCCGCAGTTATGTTGCCCTGTGTCTCGGACCCCGGCTCAGACCCCCCTTCGGCGGTAAGGTACTCGAGCAAGGCCAGGCTTTCGGCATACTGGGCCGATGTCTCCAGCTGCAGAGAAGACAGCGAATAGTCCCGGATACTGGAGAAGTGGGACCTGGCCTTGAGAAGCAGTGCAGGAGATGTCGCCGAGTTGCCAACACTCGCGTCGACCGACGAGCAGAGTCGAGCAAGAGCCAATTGCTTCTGCCCCGATTCTAGGCAAATCCATGTCCAGGTATTCCACAGCAGCTGAGAGGCGGATGGTATGGACGACTTCATGGAGACGCATTAGTCATAACCGTTTAGAGGCCGTTTTGCTAGACAACCAGACTTACTAGATTTTGGTTGGTCACAGAGACGAGGACCTTGGTAGACATCTCGTCATTCTTGTTGGCCCACTCGATCAACGCGTACGCGTTGTATAGCTTCAGGTTGGAGCTGTACCGCTTCAGAAGCCCCTTTGCGACTTTTTTTGCCCCGCCCGGCTCGTTGAGCCACTCCATGGCCAAGTAATATTCCGCCAGCTCCTCAACGCCCATGATCCGCACTAAGAACCGAAGTGTCCCTAAGACCCAAGAGCAGTCGACCTGGTCTGCCCTTTGCTTGTGAACGTCGGGCCATTTATCGAGATATCGAAACCACGCAGCTCCGGGGAAGAGGGCTTCTGGAGACAGCGCCATGCTTGAGCCTTGCTGTCTAAACTCTGGGGGCTTTCTCGAGAGGTCTGGCGATATGCTGGCCGTTTCTTTCTCGAAGCTAGCCTCAAAAGCCTGGCCGCGGCCAATAACAAAGGGGTCATTCAGAATTGCGCTCGCCGGGGTATTCGACAAGCAAGCCGGAGGAAGGCGGCAAAAGACCAGGAAGGCGTCCAAGAGCTGGAGTTTGACTTGGCGGCTGGCAGAGGCCGGAAGCCAAACCAGAAGGTCCTTGATATCCGAGAAGGTCACGACCCGAAAGGGGTCGTCTTCAGTCCCCTCGTCGAGAGTGCGGGCAGGCATACACGACCTTTTCATCTCTTTTTGCTCAATCAATGCCCAGGCCTTGAAGGCATCCCTGGTTTGAGGGGGATCTCTCGGGACGATGGGCCTGGGACCAGGGGGATCTGCCATAGTGGCCGATTCGGCAAAGTGGCGCCACCCGTTGGCACAGTCCTCGCCAAGCCGGGGCACCTCGCTCTCCCAGAAGTCTGCAAAAGAGGACATGACCGACTCGTCGTCGTCTTCTACGGGCCGACAGAATGCTATTTCCAGGGCTGCTTGCCAGGCGGCTACAGCCAGCTCGGAACGACCCGAGTCGTGGAGGAAGCGCGTGAGTCGGAGAAACACATAGACTAGCTGGCTAGAAAGCGACAACGACTCGCGGGCCAGGTCAGCCTTTGAGAGGGACTCGTTCAGGGTCTGAAGTCTTTCTATTATGAGTGTCTTGACATCTCCGTATGTGAATGTGGATATCTGGGTGAGCTCATAGTTTAGACGCGAGTTCCAGAGGACGAAACTGCGACCGTCGCTCTTTGTCACCTCGTCCCAGCGCTTCCTGAGGACCCGAGGTTCCCACACTCTGGACCCCTCGTGCATGATCCCCTCGAGGATCCTCTCCCGGTCGAGAGACAGCACCGCATGAGGGAGAGCTTCTTCGTAGAGTGACAATTTCAGGGCAGCCAGTCCCTTGACCTCGTCTGGGCTTCTCTGGTGATAATCTCCACCGCTCTCGCGGAAGAGACGATCCTGGAGCTTAACCATGTCAAGCCATGCCTCGATGTCAGATGGATCATCTCTGACTCGCCGCGACAGCTCGATTGATCTCTTCTTGGCGGTGGTCATCTCGGAGTCGTCCTCGGCTTCGGGGCTCGAGGAGACATCGCCGCCAGAATCAGATGCACTGTCGCTGTCGCTGTCTCTCTCTGGGTGGCTGCCGGTCTTGGCCTTGCTATATATGGACCTGTAGTCGGGCATCCCAGCCCCAGGTGGTGAGTCGAGGCGGTCCTCACCTCGTCTGCGCTTCCTCGGAGGCTCCAAAGCGACAAAATCCTCAGAACCGGTCGGAATAGCATCCTTGGCTGTCGGCCTGATCCGTTTGGACTTTGACTGGCGGGCTTTTGCCAAGAGGTTTTTGTCACGGAAAGCAGAACTGCCGCCGCCGTAGGTCCTAAGGGTGAACTCTTCTCTGGGACCATCGCGGTTGATGGCAAGCAAGCCACTCGACCCCATGAGCTTGCCGCGGCCGAAGCGGCGGTACAGCGGGACCTTGGAGCGGTCATTGCTCCCGTACTTCAAGATCAGGCGATCGCCGGCGTTGTCGAAGAAGAAGATATCGCTGCCGCCGGGTGTTTCCTTGGCGGGTGCGGGCGAGGCTGCGAGGCTGGCCTGTCCATGGCGGTCTCGGTCTCGGCCTCGGTCCCGGTTTTGGTCTCGGCGGCGGTCCAGATCGGCGTCGTGCCGGCGAGACGATTTTGATTTGTCTGCAGTCCTAGGGGCGTCGTCTATAGAGCGGATTGGCCGTGCTGTTTCCCGTGCCGTTGTCCGTGCCGCCTCCGACGGGGATTTGGTCGGGGGCTCCTGTGCTGGCGGCGGGGACTGTTTGGGCTTAAACGATGCGAATTTGGGCACTGTACGGCGTTTATCGTCCCGCGACGACATGGCGCCGGTTCGGCCGAAAGTGAAGCCAGTCGGGTCAGGTCAGGTCGGCTGATTGCCTATTCTAGAGGTATGGATCTTAGTTGGGTTGGTGATGGCGTCATGGCCCGAGAGTTGCAACAGCTAAAAGCGTCGGAAACATGCAATGAGGCGGTCGGCCGTCCCTTCCTTCGTCGCTCCACCGTCAGGTCAGGCCTGGTCAGACCAGGTCAGGCCGCCTGTGCCCGTGTTTCAAAACTGTTAATGGAACCTGAGTTATCGCTCGGCTAGCCCAGCCTGGATTTCAGTTTAAGAGAGGGTGTGAAGGGTCCAGTCTTGTGATGCGACTTTTCTTTAAACTCCGTTCCCTTTGAAGTTCCAAATGGAAGTCGCGCAGGATCCGTGGTACATACAGTGAAATGGTCCGTGCCGGGGTGATGGTTGAATGGTTGGCGCAGCTGAAACTTGGAGACCACGTAGACAATTCTCAGTACGGGATACTAAGTCCAACCTTATTGTAGTGATGAACGAGATGCAAGATATGAGATTTCGCATGGATGCTCCCCAAAATGCCGAGACAACTTGCGGCTCCACCCCGTTATGGATGCTAAAGGTGTCTGTAGTGCAGCCACTCCAGCTCGCTTCCCCGGTCTTTTAGCACTCTGGTTCCGTTCCCCGTTCCGCAGGGATCGCCCAAGTGGAGGCGGCTCTTGCGTCTAACCAAAGCCCTCCAATTGGCACCTTGGCCGCTGCGGGTTCGAAACATGACGCACGATGATCTAATAGGCGCTATCACTGCTGCAGTAGCACATCTGACTAGAAGAAATCCCCAAAACCCACTCTCCAAGTTACAGATCTACAGCACTTGAACACATACATAGAGAGTTCAACTGTTGAGCCAAAGGCCCAAAGCATGGAGGAATGAATGGCGCTGCTGGGTTATGGAGTGGCCTCCATCCATGCTGTCAGCTGCCCCTACCATCGCTGTGAGTTTGAATCATCTGGTTTGGGCAGGAGGGCCCGACACAAGCACCAGCCATCTCGCACTTCGACAGCGCAGAGCATCCATTCCGTAACCGCACGCGCGTCGTCCCCCAACACCTGGAAGCTGCCTGCTGCACGTCGGCCCGCCCTCTTCAAAAACCATTCGTCTTGTTCTTGTTATTTACTACACCCTCACCTCGACGCCCGGAATCAAGGCAGGCCTCGAGACCGACTCCAGCAACCCGCAACGCCCCGAATTGCGGCGAGACTACGCCTGCGCCTTTTCTAAGTTGCGTTTGTGGTCCTAGTACGGGCTGGGCTGTGTCCTGGGCATTGGATCCATCCTTCCATCTTGCCTCGCTACTTGTACTGTGCCTTCCCTACGGTACCGTACATAAGGTGCCTCACCAACCTAGCCATTCTAGACTATAGTAATCGCCTGCCACCCGTCGCTGCATCCGTATTCCATTGCTCTCGCTCTTTCGCGCGCCTGCAGCCGTGCTAGATCGTTCTGTTTTGCGCCTCCCGTCCGTCTTGGCCGGTTCAACTTCAGTCCAAACCCGATGTTTGTCTTGCTCCATGCCCGATAGCGCACGTCCCAGTCCTAATCCTAGTCCGCCCGACATTCGACAGCACAAAACACTACCGACCAACATTCGACAAGGAACCGGCCTCGGACCAGCAGACTGGACCTGACAGAACCCGAATCCGAACCTCTCTTCTCCCCCCTTCCCCCCTTCTCCGACCTCCGACCCACCCATGGCAGCAAGGAGGCACGCGCCCCGCCTCGACCCCCGTGACGCTGCCGCACCAGTCAGCCAGGACGTTGAGGCAGGCTCCTCTGCTGACCTTCGCGGAGCTTACTACTCTCTTCCATCCTCTCCCGTCAACAGCAGACGCCCAGCACCCCCGTCAAATGAAAGCAGCAGTAGGACCAGACTCGGCAACATGAGCCAGAGCCACAGCCACAGCCGGAGCCGGAGACCCTCCAACCCAGACGCCCCAGACGAGCGGTCGCCGCTCTTGACCGTGTCGTCTCGCTCACGGATCCGCAACCAAAGCGCTCATGGCTCGCCCCGGGCTCCACTCCTTTCGAGGAACCAGAGCTATGTCGGTAAGTCGAAGGCGTGTGTTCTGCAGTTTCGTGCTGCAGTTTCGTGTTGCGTGCTGCGCTGTGCTGCGCTTTGTCGTGATGCGCCGCCTCTTGCTGACCACCCTCCTACCCCCTGCAGATAGCATCAGAAGTTTCCGCCACCACAACCGCGCCAACTCATGGGGCCAGCGTCTGATCCACGCCCTCGCCGACCGCCAGGACTCGTCCATGGCCGAGTCCAAGGGCTCCATCTTCCCCGACGACCGCGTGTGGTACGATCAGTTCACGTCGACCGACTGGGTCCACGACGGTATCGCCGACGCATACCGCGTCAAGGCGTTGCGGAGCCGCAAGGACTTCTGGGGCCGAGTCTATGTCCTGTTTGACGGCGCCCAGGGCTGGATCCTGAGCGCCCTCGTCGGCTTTATTATTGCCGTCCTTGCCTACATCATCAATGTCAGCGAGGCCACCGCCTTCGACTTCAAGGAGGGATACTGTGCCAGGGTCTGGTATCTCAGCGAGAAGAAGTGCTGCCCCCACGGCCGCTGCACCGACTGGCACGACTGGGCCGAGGTCCTCAATGGTTATCCCTTCGGTCAGAAGTGGACCGAGTACGCGGTCTATGTGGGCTGCGTCATTGGCTTGGCCGCCCTCTCGTGCCTGCTCACCCTGACGACCAAGACGGTCGTGCCGTCGGCCTACCGCTTGTCGACTCTAGATGAGAACCTGGCCGCTGAGTCGGTGCTCGTGGCGCCTGAGAATGACGCTTACGAGCCCAGCATCAGCCCCCAGCACGTCGTCGAGGAGCCCGGGTCGCCTCCAATGATCTACTACTCGGCCGCTGGTAGCGGCGTTGCCGAGGTGAGGGTCATTTTGAGCGGCTTCGTGCTCCATGGTTTCTTGGGCCTCAAGACACTCATCATCAAGTCTGCCGGCCTGGTTCTGAGTGTCGCTTCCGGCCTCAGCCTGGGCAAGGAGGGCCCCTACGTCCACATTGCGACGTGCGTTGGCAACATTGCCTGCCGTCTCTTCTCAAAGTACGACCGCAATGATGCGAAGCGCCGTGAGGTTCTCTCGGCAGCTGCCGCCGCCGGTGTTGCCGTGGCTTTTGGCGCTCCTCTGGGAGGCGTGCTGTTTGGCCTCGAGGAAGTTGCTTACTTCTTTCCAGCCAAGACGCTGTTCCGTACCTTTTTCTGCTGTATCACCGCCGCGCTAACGCTGAAATTCTTGAATCCGTATGGAACCCACAAGATTGTCATGTTTGAGGTCCGGTACCCCCTTGACTGGGAGTACTTTGAGCTTGGCGGGTTCATTCTGGTCGGAGTGCTCGGCGGCACGGCCGGTGCTTTGTTTATCAAGGCCTCGCGCCGCTGGGCCAAGACGTTCCGTCGGATCCCGACCATCAAGGCCTACCCCATGCTAGAGGTTGTCTTTGTCGCTCTCGTGACGGGCCTTGTTGGATACTGGAATGTATTGACCAAGCTACCCGTTGCGAAGCTGCTGTACAACCTGGCTGCGCCCTGCGATGACCGGGATAACAACCTGGAAAATCTGGGTCTTTGCCCCGAGGAACTCGACGACATACCTCCCATCATCCTCAACCTTCTGATGGCATTCCTCATCAAAGGGCTGCTGACAATTGTCACGTTTGGAATCGTAAGTCCCTGACCGGGTGCGCATTCTACCTACCCAGATGGGCAATGACTAATAATCTGCGACAGAAAGTTCCAGCGGGAATTTATGTACCGTCCATGGTCGTCGGCGGCCTCATGGGTCGTTTGATAGGACATGTTGTGCAGTGGATGGTCATGGCTTTCCCAAGCTATGGGGTCTGGAGCTCTTGTGCCAAGTTGCCCGGGACATGTATACAGCCTGGCGTGTACGGTCTCGTCGCTGCCGGCTCTACCATGTGCGGCGTCACTCGCCTCTCAGTCACCCTTGCGGTCATTCTTTTCGAGCTTACCGGGAACCTGGATTATGTCTTGCCGTTCTCATTGGCTATCTTGGTTGCAAAATGGACAGCCGATGCCATCGAGCCTCACAGCATCTACGTGGGTTGCCATGTGCCGCCGTTTTCACGAAACTTGCTAATGGCTCATAGGATCTCCTTACGGAAATGAACTCGTATCCATTCTTGAGCAATAAACACAAGCCCATCTTCACCTCTGATCTGGCTGATATCGTGCCAAGAGTCCGCAAGGGGAGGATCATCGACATAACCAACTCGCCTGTAGTCCCGGCAGTCAGCCTGCGAACCAAGCTTGAACTCCTGCATAAGGCTGGCGAGCTTGATGGCGGTCTGCCGATCGTCCGAGATGGCTTTCTTGTCGGTCTGATTCCTGCGCCTGATCTCGAGTTTGCGCTGGACAACCTCGTCGACGAGGCTTCCAGTCTTTGCCTGATGGCACACGTCCCCAGGATAGACGACTCGGATGATGGGCTTCCTGACCCGACTGATTTCACGCCCTTCATTGACCCTGTATGTCCTCTACTCTGTTGGCCCACAACAAGTAACTGCTCTAACATTTTTACTTCTTTTTAGGCACCCGTTGCGCTGGATATTCGATCGCCAATGGATCTCGTGTACGAGTGCTTTGTCAAGCTGGGGTTGCGGTACATTTGCATCCTGCGCGACGGCCGGTATGCCGGCATGGTGAGTAGCAGCAGAAAATGCATCCACTCGTTGAACTGTGGCTGACACGTTAGGCTAGACACACAAGAAGACTTTTGTCAAATACATTCGCGAACTAGAAAAAGAGCAGAGAACGTGAGCAAGCAGCACACGAAGCTTGCTTTCTTCTTCCCCGCACACGTACAACATAATATCTGAGACAGAGCATATATAAACCGATGCATATCATATACCTGGGGGTGAGGCATGCGTGGTTTGGTAATGATACTCTGAAAGGGGTCGTCAGCGGGAATAGTTCCCCCTGTTGAGCTTACGCTTCTAATGGTTCCTATTTTCGTGTAAATGAAGGGGGTTTCTGGTTTCCTCCCTTTTTCTGGATTGGGAGGTTTCTTGTTTCTGTTTATCCCGGGCTGCTGTATAAACTCACCTTGCCCGGGAAAGATTGGATGGATGGATTGCATAGCATTTTGTTTTTCCTGTTTTAAACAACGGACGAGGCCGGCAACGGGGCCGCACATCGCATCCTAGAGGGCGGTCAGGCATGCATCCTTCTCTCTCTTTGTGTCTTTGTGTCTGTCTCTCGACCCATTTGGACAGGGGAGAGAGGAAGATTGGTTCCAATACGTCTTTGCATGCACATAGGTACCTTGGATTCTAGACCGAAACATCCGTGGGTCGCCGCGTAAGTTTCAAGACGGTCAACCACCCGCATCTAATTCACGTGCGACAATATATCTCTCTCCGTCCATTATGTACTTCCTATTGTGAGAAAGTTTGACATTTGGACAACGGCAACCGCAGATGGAAGGTAGGTATTTACGTAGCACGTGCCAAAATACCTTAGCTACATGGGATGAATTTTCGCTTAGAGAGAGTTCATGACATAAAGCCGCACACTTGAACCCAGAGGATTGCTTTCTCTCGATTTATACATTTTTATTATTGTATTTTATTTGACATACATACAGGAAGCTCGCTTAGTATTTTACGAGAGTGGGTAAGAGACAGTGAGAAACAAGGAAAAAATAGGATAAGACAAACAAACAAACAGCGGTCTTTGTTTGTTTACTCGCCCCCTCCTCTCCCCCTTTTCCTCTTTAGAATATTCCCCCCTACCCCATAGAAATACATTCCCAGCTCCCAGGCGGAGGTAGTTACTCCGGGCTACACGCGCGCTGTCTCCGTTTTTGTTTGTGTTTTCTATTTCCAGAGGTTTTTCTTCTCTTCTCTTACAGTAAGCAGGTAGCCCTACAAAACTCGGCCTGCGCCCCGTCCGTCCATCCATGCGTCTTCCCCGAGGAAAAAAAAAGCCAAGAACAACGCCGTTGCAAATGCTCAACTTGTGTCCCGGATTTTGCGGGGAAGAAGGGAGAAAATGGGTGTCAAGGCAGCCTCTCTTTATGATGATGGCGATGCGATGATGCAACAAAACAGAAGAAAGGAGATACATTGCTTTGTCACAATAAACACACATACACGCACAGCAATAATGTGTTTTTTTGCAGTCCCTAGGTATCATTGATGGCGTACGAAACATAATTCGAGGCAAATGAGGAAAAGAGGGCGCAGGCGGGGGAGCTTCTATTGCGCCTTCTTGTCGTGGCGATGATGATGGTCGTCGTCGTCCGACTCGGGCTCGGGACTTGTCCTCGGGCTGATGTCGCCGGAGATGAACTCGTCAAAGGGCTGCTTCTCCGTCAGGTCCTTGGCGTCGGCGGCGGCGGCGGCGGCTTCCACGGCCTCCTTGGGCACGAAGCGAATGCGGAGTCTGCGGACGCCGCGGACCTTGGCGCCGACGCGGGCGCGCACGGCGTCCTCGAGAATGCGCGCGTCTTCAACTGTCCAGCGGCTCGGCACGGCGAGCTCGAGGTCGACTAGATAGTTCTGGCCCGACTTGACGCCAGTCACCTCGCACACCTGCACCTCGCGGTTCTTGGCGCTGCTGAAGGTGCCGTCGTCGGATTCAAGGGCCTGGGTAACGTGGCGCCGCACTGACCGCCGCACCTCGTCGTCAATGCCCCGGTCGGCCAGCTCGTAGAGCGCCGATAGCGTGTTGCCCCACCCGGCACGGATGACGAGGAGGGAGATGAGTAGCCCGCCGACCGGGTCTAGCCACGCCGCGTTAGTTAAGAAGTTGGCGCCGAGAATCGCCATCAGCGTCACTATGCCCGTCAGGCTGTCGACACGGTGGTGCACGGCGTTGGAGGCCAGGACTGAGGACTTGCGCTCGCGCGCGACTTTCATGGCTGTTGCAGAGGGGAGGAAGGGGTCAGAGAGAGCTCGTATCGGAACCAGGGAGGGCAGAACATACTCGCATGGTACAGCCACTCCTTAACCGCCACGGTGCCGGCGGCGAGCCAGGCGGCATGTATGCTGGGGCCGCTGGGGCCGTGGCTATGACTGTGCCCGTGGTGATGGCCATGGCCGTGCTCGAGAACGGCGGCAGCGGCAGCGGGGTCGAGGAGGAAGTGGGCGTACAGGGTCTCGCAGCTGTTCATGCACATAAATATGCCGCCAAACAGCAGCATGCTGGACACGCCGAGCGACCCCAAGCTCTCGACCTTGCCGAAGCCCAGGGGGAATTGCTTGGTGGGCGGGCGCAGGCTCCACGAGACGGTGGCCAGGGTCAGGACATCCGAGGCCAAGTCGGTCAGACTGTGCCAGGCGTCTGCGATCATGGACTGGCTGTTGAAGAGGTAGCCGCCAGTGCCCTTGGCGATGGCCATGCCGAGATTCGCATAGAGTCCTATGCGGGTGATGCGCACGCCGGCGTCCTTTTTGTTCTGCGACGTGAGGTAGACGTTGTCATGGTGATGGTGGTGCGAGTGGCCGCCGTGGCCCCTCGTCTGGTGCGTAGCCCCGGCCATGAGAGCGACAATGTTATTGTATCGTAAGCGTGGCCTTGTTGTTGTTGTCGTCGTTGTCTTTGTTGTCGTGGTCGTGTGCCATCCGAGAGGTTGTGGGGGGGCCGCACTGGCAATTGTGGAAATGGGTCGGCAGTTAGGGCGGGAAGCAGAGGCACGGTCGAAGAACGAGCGGCGGGCCGAGTTGGCCAGGGGAACAGAGACGCGCAGGCGCAGGCGCAGGCGCACGGGCTGTGGGTTATGTGTCCTTGGGCTAAATGTAGAAATGGATGGGAGTGGGAGTGGGAGTGGAAGTTGGAGGAAACGCTGGTGCTGGCTCCGAGACGCTCCTGGACGTAGACCGACGTGGGAGGCGACGGCGGCGGCGGCGGTCGAGGGCGCTGGGCAGGGCGAGGGCGGCGTCGTAGCACATAGGCTGAGGCGTTCTACCAGAGGCCCTAAGTAGCATTGTCTGCTGCAGCAAAGCGAAGGCATCAAAGAAGGGAACTAAATGCAAACGAGGGAAACGGGCCGAGAGAGCGAGACGAGACAGACAAGTAGGACAGGTTGCGCGGCCAGCTGCGTAGTCCGCGTCGTCCTGTTCTGTTCTGTTCTGTTTCAGGATCGAGAAGCCGAGCAGGGACAGGGCGGAGAAAAGGTAAGGCAGGCAATTAGTGCGAAGGAGAAAGCGTATCTATCCCTATCCGTATACCAAGAAATGCACCCACACCTCAATGCGAACGAAGCCCGAAGAAAAGAGAGTTGGAAATCTCTGGGTCTGTCGGTTAGAGTTAGAGAGGGGAGCGGTTCCGGCCGGTGCTTGCAATACGGTACCGTAAACCAGTGCGTTGCCTACCTAAAATGGGGCCATATTGAAGTTCTTCCCCTACCAATCCGGGCAATTGTCCAGGGCTCCGGGTACGGACCCCCTCCAGCGCACTGAACTTCACAAAACGACAGGGTACCCGCCAATCGTCCTCTTGACAAGCAATTGGCGACACAAAAAGCCAATCGCACAACTTAATATCAGACACTATACTACCTATACACATACTACATCATCTCGGTAAGGTAGACGCTCACAATGAGACGGGAGCTTCCCTCCCATTAGGCCCATTAGGTTGCCCCGCAGCACTGGATGGAAGCCCGCCCGAGTGCGGGTGCGGGATGAAAGCCTCGTCACTTGTTGTTTCGGGCGATGTGGGGGAGTTCCTGACCCGCCCGCAGCTGCCAAGCAGGTGCACCTCAGTAGGTGTGCGCCCGCTAATGAGCACTACCTACCGGGTAGCGTTAGGTTAGAGCAGGCAATTGGCTAGCATTGGGGCATTCCCTTTACTCGACGTTAGCTCTGGCGCACACACACACACACGCCGAGAATGGATGACGAAGCCGACAAGGTTCTTTGGATTCTTTAGATGCTTCGGTTCAAACGCGACTGATACCTTCCATACCTTACCTTTCCATACCTACCTTAGGTACCTTCTGCGTCGAGGTAGGCAGTCTTTGGTGAGAGCCGAACGGAACGGGAGTGAGAGCAACACAACACAACACAACACACGTGCAATGGGGGCCATGGGCAAGCCTCTGATGCGCATCCCATACACGGACGTGCTGCCAGCGCCAACGATAAGGCCGCCCAGCGCCGGGACGTTCACGGGCGCGCTCGCGGCGCTGCACGACTTCTTCGCGGCGCCGGCGCGCGGGGGGCTGCCTGCTTCGACGGCAGTGCTCACGGGCGCCGGCCTGTCCGTGGCCAGCGGGCTGGCCGACTACCGGGGCACCAACGGGACGTACCGCGTCAACAAGACGTACCGGCCCATCTACTACCACGAGTTCCTGGCCAGCCACGAGGCGCGGAAGCGCTACTGGGCGCGCAGCTACCTGGGGTGGTCGGCGCTGCACAAGGCCCAGCCCAACGCCGGCCACCATGCCGTCGGGGACCTGGGCCGACTGGGACTCGTGTCGGGCGTCATCACGCAGAACGTCGACTCATTTCACGCCAAGGCTCATCCCGAGATACCGACGCTTGAGTTGCACGGCTATCTACGCTCGACAATATGTACATCGTGCTGGAACGAGTTCCCCCGCGAGGCCTTCCAGGACCAGCTGGCCAAGCTGAATCCCCTCTGGGCCGCTTTCCTGCTTGAAGCCATGGCCTCGGGCGCCCTCGACACCGAGGACCCCGCCGAGAAGCGCGCCCGCGGCATCCGGATGAACCCCGACGGCGACGTCGAGGTCCCCGAGGCCCCCTACACCACATTCCGCTATCCAGCCTGCCCAACGTGTCTGACGAGTCCGCCACCCCTCGCCGACGGCACCAAAGTCGTGGTCGAAGTCGACCGCGACGGGGCGTGGAGCCCAGCAAGCAACGCCGGAATCCTCAAGCCGGCCGTCGTAATGTTTGGTGAAAGCATAAGCCACAGGGTTAAGCACGAGGCCGAAGAGGCCATCGACGGCGCTGGACGACTCCTCGTTCTCGCCACGTCGCTCGCAACCTACTCGGCGTGGCGGCTAGCAAAACGAGCCAAAGACAGGGGCATGCCAATTGCTATCGTAAACATGGGGGGCGTGCGGGGCGAGGATGCCTTCTTCGCCGGCCTGGACCCCCAGCAGCTGGGAGGCCAGGGGCTGAGAGTGGAGATGTCGACCGAGAGCCTGCTACCGGCTCTCGCGGCAGAACTGCGTCGGTGTGGCTTTCGGGGGACGTCAAGCCCTCTACCTACCGGCGCTAATGCCGGGGTTGCGCAGCTGAATCAGAGCGACAGCGCAGCTCCGTTTAAAGACATGCTATCGTAGGATAAATAGACCGTCTCCCCCCGTCTCTACTGCCACGTTTCCTGCCTCAGAAGAAGCTTGCCTGGCTTGGTAGTTTTGTCTTGGGCGTCATCTCCTGTGCGGGCTCGGATTCCGGAGAGGCGGACGTAGATCTATTGGGGTTCGGGGGTTGGCTGGCGTCTAGCTGGCGTCCCCGCCTCTTGGGCTTTAGTGAAGATTGTTCGCGCGCAAGTTCTTGCAGCACTGTAAATCGACCACGCCCCACGTCAACAATTGCTCCTGCGTTCAAATGTTTATTTCAGCAAGGGGGCGGGGAAGATGCAAACCTTCCTCCCACTCCGACTCCTTCTCGGGATCGCCCGTGCCCAGCGCCTTCTCCACGTCGACGGCCTCGCCCTTTTGTAACCTCTCGACCACGTCTCTAAGCTGGGCAATGCGGACGTCGGACCGGCGCGTAAAGGCGCCGAAGTCTTTTCTCAGCACGATCATCTGTATGGACATGGAGCCGATCAGTAGGAATATGACGATGAAGAAGGTCGCCGGATTCCACTCTTTGGACTTGGGCTTCTTGGGCGCGTCGAAACGGCGCAGCGGCTTGGGGACCATGGATTTCCAAAAGGACGGCTGGGCAACCTTGGGGACTACAGCGCCCGTTGATACGGCGCGGACGCCGGCTCCTCGTAGCAGCAGCCGTGGGAGCGATTGGGCCAGTACCAATGGGGTGTAGACGGCGGGATTGGCGGCGGGCATCAGTAGCCCTCGTCGGAAAACCGCCAGGCGAGTCATGGCAGCTGGGCAGCAGAGGGCGGCGGCTGATGGGGGACAAAAAGAGAAGGTATTAGCTGGGTAGGTAAAAAGGCGTCAAGTTTAAACTTTTTGTTGGTGTTGAAGATGGTTAGCCGCCCGCCCTTAGGTTGCTATGTTGCTCAGTTACTGTCGTCGCTTTGGTGGTTGTTCAATGGTGCATTGCCTGCCGGGCGCCAAGCCCTAGGAGGGAAAAGACGAGTGGGGCTGGCTTTGGTCTGGTCTGGCTGGGTCGGTCGTAGTTGCCCGGCCAACTGCCAGCGTCAGCGCTTGAAGTTTTGGAAGGTGCATCCCAGAGCGATACAACACAGCACCCGACCCGCTGACAGGATAAGGTGCCCTACCTAACCCGGAATTTACTGCACATCCCGCTCCCCCAAGGTGTGCCCTGTTGCTGTGCCGAGGCGCTGAATTGGACCTGGAACCACCTTACAATTTGCTACATGCACCTTGGGTTATTCTGTAGCTACGAATACACCGCCTCAACACCTTCCTTACCTCTACCTACTACCTTGGGTTACCGACGACTTAACGACTTGGCGACAGCACACCCGATTGCTTCTTCCCTCTTCCCGATTGCCACCTACCGCTTGGATAACATAGCAATGCCCCGTCTGCTCTGTCCTAGGAATCGGCCATGAATGATTGGATGATATGATTAGGAATCAGCCCAGCGCATTACTCGGTACCTTACCTCGTCATCTTCATGGATACGCTACGCGCCCACGCCGACGCCGTGCGCGCCGCTGTCACGTCCGCCTCGACCTGCGAGCCCGTCACCGTCATCCTCATAAAGACCCTGCTGCTCCCCAAAGACGAACAGTTACCTACCGCCCCGATAGCCGCCAAGCCGCCCCCCAAAACATCGAGGCAGCGAGCGAATACGGCGTCGGCGACGGATGCGAGACGGATAGCTAAGTTAGCCGCGTCGGAACAACAACATGTTCTCTCTGCGAAGGAGCGGGCAGCTCTCGCGACCGATGTCGTGAATGCCACCCTCAAGGCGCTGGGCGGCGCATCGAGGGCCTCTCCGCCTCCTCCCCAGTCCCCGATCCGTCAGTCCCCGCCGCACGAGGGTGAATCAGCCAAGACGGCCACGCGCAACGCCCTTCGCCGCTCCAGTTCCGCGCCCATGACCCCCCTACGCTCCCAGCCGCTCAACCGCCAGTCCTCGTCGCCCGTGGCCACAAGACATGCCCGGTCGCCGTCCAAATCCGGTTCTAGGAGTGCGGCCGCCAATATTGTTGCTCTTGCCGAGTGTGCCCGCATAGCCTTCACAGCGATGCGCCTCCTCAGCGACGCCGGCGACCTCAAGCTCAAGCCCCTCCAACTGGAGGCCGGTATGTCGACACTGGTGGGAAAGCTAGTCTCGCTGGAGCTGCACGACCAGGCCATCAAGGAGCTAAGGATATTGAAAAAGAGACTGGAGACATCGGCAGGATCCGCGGCAAAGAAGCCGACAAAGATATCGACATCGAGCGTCGATACTAAGAACGCCGCCCCCCAGGTCGTGGCCGATCTTCTCGACTTTGGCCAGCCCAAGGCTTCAGGAGCCTTGCTCTCACTAATAATCACAACGCAGATACAGGTCCTGCGAATAATATCCCTGACGAAGAGGCCGACTTGGGTCGAGGCGGTCATCCCGTGTCTCCAAAATGAAAACATAGCATCGCCAACAAATCTCCTCTTTGTCTCGGCGAGTGAGAAGGATGCCGACGTTGGCAGAATTGCGCGCCAGTTGGAGGTTGTAGCCCAATGCCTCTTTGTGCTGGTGCCGGTCATGGCCATCAAAGGCGAGAATCAACCGGCAGACGGGCGAGCTGGCGCAAGCACCAACCTTACCACGCCAGATCTTGACCTCGTTGCGCTGGGTCTGGAGACTCGGCTGCATTGGTGGCGCTTGGCAAAGCACAAAGGAGACGTCGACAGGGAAATCATTGCCCCGCTGTCGCGATGCCTGGGCGTTTACATCGCACGGAGCCGGCACTCGAAACGGTCTTTCTACCCGGCCTGCCTCGACGTTTTCAACGGTATCTACCTACAGATTCAGGGTCAAAAACTAAAACCCTCAACGTCGAGGGGATCAAAGTCACCCCTAGCTTTGCTCTATCAGACCCTGACAACGATGGCCCGCGAGTGTGTAAACTTTGCCGACGCCGTATCGTGGGCCACCAAGCTCTGCGACCTCGTAGACTCTAACGTGGACTCGGCGGCTCGATCCAGCTCCCTCGCAGCGCAGCTACTGTCGATCCAGCTGAAAGACCCTGCCCTGTTTCTGCAAAACGACCAGCTGCTCAACGACGTTGTTGCCAGCATCCAGGGACCGCTACGGGGAGAGACGGCCGAGTTGGATGAGCTCATAACCAATGTTTGCTCGGTCCGACGATCGGCAATGCAATTTCTGGTTGGTCTGGACAACGGGGAGAACGCCGGGGTTCTTTCGACCGTGCCAACAGCAAGAGAGCTCACCGAGACCTTTATCCTTCAGTGTCCGCGCTTCTGTCTGCGCTGGCTCGGCAAGCCCCCCGGCCCCAAGAGCAGCACCAAGGATTACCTTCGATACGAACAGCGGCGGCAGCTCTTGCTGCAGTCCATCCAGCACACCATCGACTCGTCGTTTTGGATGATTAGGCTACGCCTAGACCAAGGCCGTCTTTCGTGGGACCTGATGGAGGCCATACTCGGCGACGTCACGGCCCTCCTCGAATATGTCGGGAAACTGGCTGCCCCTGACTCCGAGACGTGCTACCATGTCAAGATCTCGCATTTCTATTATCGCCAGTATTTTTTCTTGAAGCAGCAGACAACTGACCCAAAGGATCCCGCTCCGCTGCGTGCTCTGCGTCGCTCCATCGATTGCGTCAAGAATCAATCAAGCGACGAGAAGGGGAAGGCGCAGCTCATGCTGAAGCTTGAAATGATGGCAGAGCTCTGCCGGACACTCGGGAGACAAACTGAGTCCTTAGGCGCGCTCCAGGCCATCAGGACGAGCTTGGTCGAGGACGGCATTCTCCAGGCGATTGCAGGCGCTCTTACGAGCGCCCCACCCAAAACTGCCTGGACCCGTGGTGAAAAGGCAGAAGCTCTCTCCCGCGTGCTGTCTGCGATTTCGAAGACGGAAGAGACGCGGGAGGATTGGACGGGTCACTTGCCCGAGGAGCAGCAGGCCGCTGTCCTGGAGCACCGGCTGCACTTTGTCCTGCTCGGAAGCAGCAAGGGTAGCGCCGACCTCAGCCTTGAACACCCCACGGTTGATGCGCTGCTCCGAACATACATCCCGACTCGGTTCCCAATCCGGCGGTTTGGGGTGCTTCTAGCTCTGCTCTGCTCAGCTATTGGTAAACTTAGCACATCTTCGGAGCTCCTCGCAGTTGCTAGAGATGCCTCCCAGCTTGAAGGAGACGGAGATCTGGGAGAGGACTCGGGCTTGGCTGGATTCGTCCCCCACATGAAAGCCTTGTACCACTCGCTGGCCATGTCTGTCAACGGATACCGTGACCTGGATGCATTCCAGCAGTCCATATCGAGCTGGCAGGCGATGCTCAAAACATGTCGCGACAAGGCTGAGCTGGAGAGGTGCGTCGACGACGTACCGGGCCTCTTAAATCACTTGCAGTCGGCAGCAGACTTTCTTCGCATGAAGGGACAGGATACGGTGCTCGCCATGGTCCTCGAGCTTGCTGCCGACATCACCAAGGTGGCTGAAGGGCCGCGGGCAGAAGACTTTATCCACCACAACTCGTGCTTGGCGCTGCAGTACACCAATCTTGGCCAGTCCTCAAAAGCGGAGCAGATATTTCTGGTTGCCGAAGAATTTATGGGGAAACAGGTCCAGTTGCAGGGTGAAGCCGTGGCCTGTTTTCATCTCTCCTTCACGGAGCATTTCCTTGCCGTTGGCAATTTTAAGAAAGCTGAAGAGCACCTTCTCCAAGCCCAGCTCGCCTTCAGCGCCAACACCTCGCTCAAGAAGGCGGGTCGCGTCCATAGACAGCGCCTTGTTGCGCAAGCGTCGTACCTGAATTCGCTAGTGGCTCTTGAGCGAGGTGACTCGCACCATGCTCTGGTCTATTCGAGGGAGAGCGTCCGAAGCATGTACCATGAGTGGACGCGACTCGAGGCTCAACTGGCTGCTAAAAGCCCGATAGAGCCAAGCACAGCCGACAATACCACCCTCAGCCTGTCGGTGGCAGACACGGTGGAAGACACACAGCAGCAGACCCCGGGGCCCGAGTTTTGGGTCCTGTTCCATTCTCTGTACCGGAACGTGCTCCGGCTGTCTGCCGTCTATGCTCACTTAGGCATGTTTCAAGAAACCATGTACTATGCTGAGCAGGCGGGAAAGCTGGCGAAGAGCGTCAATACCGAATTCTACATGGCGGATTGTGCTGCGTGGATGGGCTCGGTCTATGCTAGGGCTGCTGATTCCACCAAGTCTTTTGCTATGCTGGAAGCTGCCGCAGCTCTCCTCCCCGACGGCGACCGCTCGTATTCCTCCGCGATGCTTGCTTGCCAGATTGGCTCCATGTACTTGGAGCTCGACAACTTAGAAGGAGCGCACGTCATGATCGCAAAGGCCGAGGCCATCATGAATCATCTGGTGGCTACGGCCGCGCCAGGGCAGGCGTCCAACATGGCGGTTCTTGGGGACAAGATTGCAAAGCTGAAGACTGAACAAAAGCCAGCAGCAGCCACACGGAGAACTGTACGACAAGCCCCAGTGAAGAAGACTGCCAGGGCGCCTGCCACCGCAAAATCGCGCGTCGTCTCCCCGGCCGCTCAACAAGTGGCGGCCACGGAAGACTCTCAGCTTGCCAAGCTTCGGGCGTCAATCCTTGTGCAAAAGGCGACGTCTAGACTGGGCAAAAAGGAGTGGACAGCAGCTATTACGGTGCTCAAGGAAGCCAGTGAAGCATCAAGACGCCCAGACCTTCTTTCAGTCGAACAGGTGGCAATGGCGACTTGTCTTGTGGGCATGAGCATGGAGCAGATGGCTCACGACCCTGTCTTCTCCGTCATCCACGATTCCACCATCTCGTTCCCTGCTGTTTCAGGCATGGCAAGTGACAAGGGCACACCGGAACGTCACTCGGTGGCAAAGATGTCGCCCCCTAGGAAGACACGCAACGGCGCTGCGGTGGCTCAACGAGAGAGCCCCAAGGACGCATCCTCTCGGGCATACGTGGAGACTCTGAGAGAGGCTCAGGAGTATCTCCTCGAGGCTCACGCCGTGGCGACACTCAGCGGCGACTCCAGCTTGGTGCACAGGATATCGGGGATGCTGCAAAACGTCGGCCTCTTCCTCGCGGCGACTTCGGCCAGAGCCAGAGTAGCCTCCCACTCTGTCCACGCGTGGTATTCGGTCGAGTTGGCCAGGAATCTGATCTGGCGCCGAGAGCGCAAGGCGCTCGTGATGGAGAAGAACGCGCCCAGGCACGACACTCTGGAGTGGCCGTCAGCCCTGGGCGCCGTAGGCCCCAAGCGGACCAGTCTGGGATTCTCGCTCGACCTGCACAAGTTCCAGAGGGACTACGTCGACATCATACCCAAGCCGTGGAGCGTGATTTCCATGTCGCTCAGCGACAACAAGCACGACCTCTGCATCACCAAGCTCCAGGCCGGCCAGAGCCCCTTTGTCATCCGCCTGCCGCTCGAGCGAGCCAGCTCGCGCGACGCGGACAACGAGGTGTTCAACTTTCAGCAAGGCCGCGCCGAGCTGATGGATATTATCAGCCAGGCCAACGAGACGTGCCACCATGCGGGCGACATGAGCGCCAAGGGCGCAAAGACTGCCTGGTGGGCACAGCGGGAGGAGCTAGATGTGCGGTTGAGGGAGCTATTGGAAAACATTGAGCAGATCTGGCTCGGCGGATTTAGGGGCATTTTCTCTCAGCATACCCGGCGCGCCGATCTCCTGGCTAGATTCCAGAAGAACTTTCTCGCCATCATGGACAAGCATCTCCCTTCGCGGCAGCAGGTTCGCGGCAAGAAGACCAAGGCGACCCAGTGTCCCAAGGTGACGCTTGACTCGCGGATTTTGGAGTTGTTCATTGGCCTCGGCGACGCCTCTGTTCCGGACTGCGACTTTGAGGACGAGCTGACAGACCTCCTCTACTTTGTCGTCGATATTCTGCAGTTCCACGGTGAGAGGAATGCGTACGACGAGATCGATTTCGACTCGATGGTAGTGGACACGTTTGACGCCCTACACTCCTACCACGCGTCTGCGACTAGAAATGCAGACGGCTACAAGGCAGATGCAGGCGCTCACACAATTCTGATGCTGGACAAGGCGCTCCATGCCTTCCCCTGGGAATCGCTGCCCTGCCTCCACAACCTGGGCATCTCGCGCGTGCCCTCGCTGGCCTGCCTCCGCCGCCTCATCCTAGAGCAGCGAGTGGCAGCCGGCGCTGCTTCAACAGCCTCCCACGAAGCAGACGAAGCAGCCCGTCCCTCTCCCGAAGCTGGCGGCCACCACGTCTCCAAGACATCCGGCACTTGCATTCTCAACCCCTCGTCGGATCTCAAGACGACCGAGGCGACGTTTGGGAAGCCTCTGATGGCGCACCTGCCGGTGCCCTCGTGGCGCCACATTGTCGGGCGCGTGCCGACTGAGGACGAGTTCGAGCTCGCGCTGTCGCAGTCGGACCTGCTCCTCTACTTTGGCCACGGCAGCGGCGCGCAGTACATCCGCGCGCGCACGATCCGGCGCCTCGACCGCTGCCGCGCCACGGTGCTACTCATGGGCTGCAGCAGCGCCCGCCTCGCCGACGCCGGCGAGTTCGAGGTCTACGGCCCCGCCTGGAACTACATGATGGCCGGCTGCCCCGCCGTCGTCGGCACTCTGTGGGACGTCACCGACCGCGACATTGACCGCTTCGCCGCCCGCCTGCTCGAGGAGTGGGGCCTCGCCCCCGCCGGCACTTTTGCCGCCAAGGACAAGGAGAAGTGGCGGGCCGGCCAGGGCAGGTGCACCCCGCCACCCACAAGGCGTCCCGTGCCCGTCGCCGGCGCCGGCGTCGGCGGCAAGGTGTCCCTTGTCGAGGCCGTCGCCAGGGCCAGGGACGCCTGCCGCTTCAGATATGTCACGGCGGCGGCCGTCGCTGTCTACGGCATCCCCGTCTATGTGGAGAGCTGATTCTGCGACTGTTATCTGCCTACCTTGGTGTGTCTGTGAAACGACAAGTTTCATGTTAAAATGCTGTGAGAGAGACAGAGGTTGTATAAGGAGGACTAGAGAGGGTTGGAAGACTAGCTACTTTGCTGTTCTGGGGAAAAAAGGAGACAATTCCTAGCCGAGATGTCTGGATGACTGGGTACCTACCTACCTACCTTGTCTTGGCTATTCACTGGGACTAGACTCTGGTAGACACACATACATACATACATACATACATACATGTTTATATCTGGAGTTTTGTGCTGGAGAGGAAGGAAAGGGGAGTTTTGGCGTCGGTTTTTGTTTTGGGGGAGGTTTTGTTGCTGTGGTTACATGTTCATTTCCAGGGGCGTCTTGTTTGTGTTCCTGCTCTTGCTTTCATGTGCCTACATTATGTATGGTATCGAAGTTTACATATCATGTCAGAGGTTAATGATAATTTTGAGGAATTACGAGAAGTGTTGTCACTTGATCGCGAAGAGTTTCTGAGTTTTTTTTGGTTCCGTGTGCTTTTTTCTTTTTTCTTTCAGGGGGCTTTACGAGTGAGTGAGTGAGTGGGCCAGCGGCTATGTTTGTCTGTCTTGTCCTGTCTTGATTCCAGCTGCTGAGGTTCACAATAATGGACGGAGGGGGTGTGTCGCTGCGTGGCAGCCAGTATCTAGATACCAAGTACCCAACTATTCTCTTCCTTCTTTTCTTGGGGGGGTTTCAACTGCCCCTTCGCCCCTCTCCCCGAATCGCCCAAGAAAAATAACAAAAGAAAGAAGAAAAGGCTAGGATGCATGTCAAGGACGAAGAGAACGCTCATGGTATTAGGCACCTTGTATATCCATGTTCTGCATATAATTCCTTCCCTTCCTCAACATGCCTTGGTATCTACCTAGGTGGTCGACATATGCGGCACGAGAGCCAAGATATCTTACCTTGCCTCACATAGATCTAGGTCCGGTGCAGATAACTAAGCCAGATAAACTACCTATGCGCTTCACCTACCTAGCCATCATCATCATGGGTCATCGTCACAACCACCACCATCATCGACCATCGATCATATTTTGTCAAGTACCACTAACAGCCACCGTACTTGACTATACAAATTCACGTCCCACTCAATCTCCTAAGGTAGGTACATACATAAAACACAAACTGATAGCCAGATGCCATGGACTCACCAAGCGAAGCAAAGCCAAGCAAAGTCTGGTTGAGAGCATGCCTCGTTCACCCTACTCCGGATTGAAACAAAAGAAAAGAAAAAAAAAGGAGGGAAAATGGCCAAGCAGAAAAGAAGCCGAAATCTTGGATAGGAAGCAACCGCGAAACGAAGCAGATCAAATCGGAGCAGGTGTATGCGTGCGAGTGTGGATGTGAGTGTGGATGTGAGTGTGAGTGGGTACGTGAGCACTACCACCAACATACATACATACATACCTACCTACCTATATACCTACATACCTACATACCTACATACCTACATACCTACATACCTACATACCTACATACCTACATACATACATGCCCTGCCTGGCCTCGCTTGGTCCAGTCCAAGAGACCAAGACAAAAATTAGCAGCGGCCGGTGCAGGCGACACCGGGGAAAACAAGTCATGGACAGGAGAGAACACTTGCATTCCATTGTTATCTGCCACCAAGACAGCAGCAACAGTAGCAAGTGTGCATCTCATCTCGATTTACCTCACACCTACCAACCTACCTACCTACCTATGACTTACTTCAGGTCTCTAGCCTCGCCTGCCAGCACTCGGAGCAAATCGCACCTGCGAGATCCCAGAAAACGGTATACGCCGTAGTTATACCACACGAAGCTGGCAATGGCCGGCCGAATGGACAGGCGAGTAGCTCGCAAAATAAAGCCGCCGCCGGCCCTCCTCCCCCTTTGAATTGCATCTGAGATTGGCAGCTGTGGCTATGCCCCCCTACGGCGACGGTACGATGACCCGAGGCGGTAGTGCAGCCATAATACCCTATTGGCTACCGACAAACGCAGCACAAGAGAGGCGGGAGAGGGTGTGACTTGCTCCCGCGTGCGCGTGCTTCTTTGCGCCTTTGACCTTCTGTCGGCCCGCGCGACTGGCCCCCCTCCGCTTTGCTCACATCGCCCAGGGGATCAGCCTGTTCGATTTAGCCCGCCAGCCTTTCTCCCCCAAAGAGACGAGCGTTAGCGAGCAGACTGGGCATTTGCTATTAAGAGGCAGTTAAAGTAGCATTCGCGTTGGTGACTTGCAGCTTTGCGGTCCGAAGAGACTCGGTCGAGTCCTGACGAACGCCACAGCCGCAGGGTCATGCGCCTAGAAAGGGCCAGTCGCTGCTCATTGCGGAATACAGGTCTAGCTTTCGGATGTCGGAAAGGTCCCCTGATTCCTGGCTAAAAATGGCCGACTGGTTCTTGGCCTCTGATGTCAGTGGACACCTCTTGACTGAGGCTATAGTGAGAAGCCAGACGGAGATGGAGACATGAAGAGACCAGATGGAAGAGACACGGAGCAAGAAGGTCGGGCCCCGAGTGAACACAATACGCTTTATGAAATAAAACAGAGGCAAGATATCACCCTTGTTGTTGGTCAGGGCATCGATGTGATGGGCGACATGATGCATGATGATAGATAGACGGGGAAGGAGGATCCGGGGAGGGGAGGGGGGGGCGCTGGTCTGGGACTAGGGGGACCAAAAAAACTCCGATACGGGGAAATATTGCAATGCCTGGTTCACTATGATGAGTCGCGGAGGATCTTTTTGCAGCCAGCCTGGCAGATTTTGCGCTGGGTAGGAAGGGAAAAGGGTCAGCATTTGAGCCTGTATTCCAGGCTCAGACGCTCCAGTCTGTCTGGTTGGACGCAAATATGGTTTGCTACTTCTCAGGGCGAGAACGCTTGTCCTCGCTGGACGGCTCGTATGTATGTACATACATAGACTGATGAACGAACGAATGAATGAATGCTACATGCAGCACGGGTGAATATCACGGCTTGATTGTCAAGGCCAAGGGGGGAAACGAGCTGGGTCTGACATGTCCGCTTCTGGCAAGAGACCAGTCACGCTGCCTGCCACTCGGGGCCCCTTGCTCAGCAACAGGAAGCGAAGGGAGAGGATTTGGGATGCCGTCTGCTGCCTCAGATTTCGCGGCGGAACAGGCGAGGGGGTTCTTTCCATTTCCATTCAACGACAGAGCTACCAAAGGCTGCGACGGCCACCAGGCGGACAGCTTGCGAAGCACAGATGATTTGCTGTCCCGGGAATCGAGGTGGTAGCGGTTCGGAACGGGGTAGCAGTGGGGGCCTTTGATTCAAACAAGTGGCCAGTCGAGCCGTCAATGTCATGGTCGCGATCCACAAACCACAAACCGCAAACCGCAAACCGCAAACCGCAAACCGCAGCAGTGTGTGTGTGTGCTTGTGTGCGTGTGTAGCAAGCAAGCAAGCACGCCGTCTCGTGTCTCGCACCGCCAGCCATGTGGTCGAGAGACATGCTCATGAGCGGGCGCAGATGATGTGGGCATGTCTGCAGTGCCAATGCAAGCTAAAGACAGCTAGCTAGGCCGGCCCAGGCACCACCAACTTCCAAGACCCCGTCAGGGCGGATAATTGTCGGATAGGCAGCAAGCAGGGCCGGCCAATCTCATATTATATGCCAATCCGGAAGCTCGAGAGAGAAGGGCGGATCGAATCGAGCCGTGTAACCATCCCTTTTTCTGGTGGCATAGTGCACCCTTGCTGCGTGGATAGACTTAGTGTGGGTTATTAGACCCAAGCAGCCTTGGCATTCGGTCGACGGTGGGCGTCCTTCGTCGTTGCACAGCTTCTATTGCTTCCAAGCATGGCAATTCGGCGGCGAGGTCGAGTTCGAGTTTGGCGGAGCATCTGGGACGGCGACCAACAGAAAAGGATTCATTGTGGGAGACAGACGGCAACACAAGCACGACTCAGGTACTGCCTGCCTGTCTGAGCTGGGCCTAGCTGGGCTTTGACGTTCCCCCAAAGTGCGCCTTTGGTGGGAATGATCCATTGAATGAATCGGCGGGTGAGAGGTCAGAGACGAGGGCACGAATAGGTTGCTTTAATCTGTAGATTTGTCGATCGGGGCTGGTTGCTTGGTCGCTCGCTCGCGTCCTTTCCACAGACACCGTTTTGACACACGCTCGTGATTCTAGCTCCTCAACCTTTGAAAGTCCCCGCGCTTGCTGAGCGGGCTAGGGCGGGAGTGTGTCAGCTTAACATGCAAGAGAAGGCACAGAAGCCTTCTTTATATTGATTGCGATTCCCTACGCTCCCCCCATCCGCCGCGGCGGCAAAGCCTTGAAGCCTAATAGGGTCTGGCAGTGTGGGGAGCGGGGGCATGGATGAGAGAAAAGCACCGAAAGTATGAGAGCATGGAAGTTTATTCCTACCTACCTGCCCGCCCATAGTGCTACTATGGTCCTTCCTCGCGAGTCGCAACTTGAGCTCGACGTGTTTCCAGTGTTGACGCATGGAGCGTCTCGCGCCTGCCCAAACTGGAAGAGCATCCGGGTCATATCATGGATGGATCAACATGGCATGGATGGACTGCTGGCACAATCTTCAGCTGGACCGACAGCAGGTGCAACCCGGGTGCAATGCACACACATAAAAACACATCCTCCCTTCCCATTTCGGTTGATACCTGATAGACTTGGAAGGCACAGAGAGTGGAGGGGTTCTTTCCAAATCATGATACCTTCGTACCTGTACTGTAGTCGTACCTGCCCTGTGGGTAATCTAAGGTTGGTCAGGTATGTGCAGTGCAGACAGAAAGAAGAAGAGAGCGCTTCCATGCCTCGATGAGCTGCTGCACCAATCAATCCGCTCGCGCCCACGTGCGATAGAAGATGCCGTCTCATTTCCAGTTCCATTGCAACCTGAACCTGAAGCGGCGATGGCGTCTTTTCGTCTTGCAGGTTGACACATGTTGATATTTTCGTCCCACTCATCACTTAATTATAGAGTCAGCAGCGTCCTTGCATCCATCTGCCCAATCTTCCCAAGCGATGGGCTTTCCGAGACTGGAGAATACCTTTGAAATGCCTCTTCGCTATAGCTCCGATACGAAGGGCACATGAAGCGAAGAAGAGAGCACGCGCGGGCGATGTCTCGCGAAGAGGAACGGACCAGTCAGAGGCCCGGAAAGACTTTGTCCATTACTCCGGCATCCCTGCCTTGGTACCTATATCATCCCGAGATGGAACCGGCGTATTCTCGGAATTTGCCATGTTCGGTCGCTCAGGCGTTGCATAGCAGGAGGTAGTGACCTAAGGCACCGCAGTTCCTGGCCCCCAGATGCAGGCGCTACAGGGCACACGTTCACTACTCAGTATCCCGTCGTTGAGAATGGAACACCCCCGCGACCGAGCGAGAGCGAGCCACCGCAACGCCCCTCCTCCCGTCGGCACACGCAGCGTCGTCGTGCAGCGCAGCGCAGCACACCCGACCGCAGGCTAGTGGAGGCCAGTGGCGGCGACCGTGCGCCCTCCGCTCCGCGCGATAGAGCACAGCGGTTCCCTGCCACCTACTCACTGTAGTCCACCCGCTGCGTCTCGCCGTCTGCCAGTCATGGACCGCTTGGTTCCATGCAACCTCCTTGAGCCTGGGCCCTGGCCGCCTCTGGCTCGGTGGTGGCTGTCTGTCCTCCCGCTGTCGCTGTTGATGAGCATGCTGCATTTAGAAGAAGCGCAAGACGGAATGGGAGCTCTGGCCTGCCTCAACGCTTGTATATACATACATGTATTATGCTGTACATGTACGGATACACACGGGCCATGCATGCAGACTTGGGTTGCCTGCCATCTTCACTCCATTCACGTCGAGAGAGAGCACAGCATGGAAAGTGGCTTACATGCAGCGCCGGCCGGATTCCTTCTCTCGCTGGCTCTGCTCTGCTCTGCTGGTCTGGTGGCTGCTGCTGCTGCTGCTTGCCGCTGCTTGCGAGATGGGCATGAAAGGCGGAATGGGTGCGCTCGATAATAATATCGTGGACGACTGACTGAGGGCGATCGCCCAACTTGGGACTTCCCTTGGGCCAGCCTCTCCGCCAGCAATCTATTTGCTCCATACGCCGAATTTAAGCCAACCCTCTTTCCCTGCTCCGCGTGCTCGTCATCCTCACAGCCCACTCATCTTATATTGGCTGCATGCTCTCTCTCTCTCGTTGTGGGTGAGCCGAGAGGGAGAGTGAAAGACGGGGCTGCCCTTACTGCCCTACCTCGTGGCTGCGCTGCTTTACGATCGACTGTCAAGAGGGTGCTGTATGTATAGAGAGCTATTCAAAGTACGAATACACACAGCACGGATACATCCGGACGACTGCTGGCTGTTGTCCTCGCCCAACCTACTACGCAGTAAGGTTACCTTAGCTGCCAGCTGCCGCCGTCCCCGCGCTCCAGCGAGTCAGCGGCCCCTCGGTGCTATCCAGACGGCTGCCAAAGCTGCTGCTGCCACTGTATTGCGGGCGCCGGTTCGGAATTGCAAGGTGGTCGTCCCCCCCTGGCTCACCTCCGCATGTCTAGCAGCACCACAGAGCACCGCTTCTTTGCTTCTTCTGGGGTCCGTCAGCCAAAAGACACCCGCTTCTTATTACCCCACAATTTGGCCGCCGGAAACGCTTCTGTTCCCTGCTGCTAGCTAGGCCCTTTTCGGCGATCCACACAGCTCGACGGCGAACGATACGATAGGTTCGACCCGTCAACTACCAGCTTGGGTCCCCCAGCTTGCTGGTTTGGAGTTTGCCTCCCCCTCCTTTCCTTCCCTCCACTCCCTCAGTCACGGACTTTGGCAGACAAGACAGCTCTCCCCTGATCCCGAACCAGAAGTCCTCGGAGGAATCTTCGAAAAGACGGAGAGAAAGTTACACGGATTCGCACGACGGCCACTGCCCACGCCTCCTGCCCTGCTCTCGTCGCATTCTCGTAGCGCGGCCTGCCGACGGGGTCGAGGCTTCTTAGTTCCCCGGCACGGACCATGAGATTCCTCTGTGCGGCCTTGGGACCAAGCAAAGAAAGCCCCGATCGAGTGGAGCATAGCTCAGGACTGTCTGGGTCAGCTGTGTGGGGATTGTGAATCGTCTCATTTGCCCCGACGGCGAGCGAAGGCTGAGCCAAGTCGCTTTGCCGATCCTCACGGGCACCCTCGAGCTCGAGGCACTCGATTCGCCATGTCACCTAGAGACTCGCAAGGCGACCTCAGCAACTTCCCGGCCCTTGAGCTCGAATTCCCGCCCGTCTCCGGTGACTCGGACCCTCACCTTACACAGGCCGAGGCTGCCGCCCTCCAGAACCTCAAGCTGGAAAACACCAATGAGGCGCTCGGGAGCATCACGGCTGCCGGCGACCTGGCGGATGCCTCCAACTTTGGCGACTTCCAGTTTCCCTACCAGAACTCGCTAGAAGACTCTCCCATGGCGGGCCTGCCGTCGAGTCTGCCATCGGCTACCTTCGATGACAGTGCGCCGGACCTCTTCGCCCCCTCCCAGCCGCCCTCGATATCGTCAATGCCGGACCGCCAGAACTCGGTGACTTCGATCACCGTCCGGACCTCTGGTTATGGCCACGCCGGCGGCCAGAGACAGCTCAGCGTAGACGGCGGCTCTGACGATGGCTCGCCTGACAGCGGCAATGGCGCCAACCTCTTAGACGAGCCCATGTCGGACGAGTTCGGTCTGGCGACGGGGGGGCTGGCAGACGGGACCGACCTGGGCGGCAAGTCCAAAGGGGAGAGGGCCGATACTGCGCCCGCGTGGAGCGAGCTCAAGACCAAGGCCGGAAAGGAACGCAAACGCCTGCCACTGGCCTGCATTGCCTGCCGCCGCAAGAAGATCCGCTGCTCGGGCGAGAAACCGGCGTGCAAGCACTGTCTTCGATCCCGGATTCCCTGCGTATACAAAGTCACGGCCCGCAAGGCTGCCCCAAGGACGGACTACATGGCCATGCTGGACAAGCGACTGAAGCGGATGGAAGAGCGCATCATCAAGATTGTACCAAAGTCGGAGCAGGATGGACTGCCGTCGCCAGTGACCAGAGCCGTGGTCAAGCCCGCGATCCCGGGGACACTGGCAACCGGGGGAAAAGCGGCGGCAAAAAAGCGCGCAGCCGACGAGGCGTTCGGGCCGGACCTCGAGCACTGGGCCCGAGCCCCATCCAAATCGAAGCTCGACGGGCCCAATAGGCCGTCGACAATTCTGGTTCAGGAGGCGGAAGAGAGTAAACTCCTCCTAGAAGGCGGCGATGCGCTCCCGTCAAAGGAAATACAAGAGCATCTCTCCGAGGTGTTTTTCGAAAACATTTACGGCCAGGCGTACCACATCCTCCACAAACCTAGTTTTATGAGGAAGCTCAGGTATGTTTTATTAGTCAAAAAAGGGAACAAGAAGAAGAAAGCACAGCCGCAGAATCCCGCGTGTTTTAAATGCATGCTGACCTTTGTTCTTGGTCAGGGCCGGCGCACTCCCTCCAGTCTTGGTTCTCTCCGTCTGCGCAATTGCAGCACGCTTCTCCAATCATCCGAAACTCAACACAAATCCGAACTTCCTTCGCGGGGAAGAGTGGGCCTCGGCCGCTCGCGATATTCTGACCAAGAGATACGAGTGGCCAAACATCACCATATTAACGTGCCTGCTGATATTAGGTCTGCACGAATTCGGTACATGTCATGGCGGCCGGAGTTGGTCGTTGGGCGGGCAGGCTATTCGCATGGCGTTCGCGCTCCAACTCCACAAGGACCTGGAGCACGATCCTCTGCGGCTGGCGGGCAAGACGCAGCTCAGCTTCATCGATCGCGAGATTCGGAGGCGGACCATGTGGGCTTGTTTCCTGATGGACCGCTTCAACTCGTCAGGCACCGACCGGCCCACCTTCATCAGAGAGGAGACGCTAAAAATCCCGCTGCCTATAAAGGAGAAGAACTTTCAATACGACATGCCCGGCCCCACCGAAACCCTGGGCGGTGAGGTTCTCGAGCCGTTCGCGGACGGCCAGCAGTCCGAAGCCAAGGACAACATGGGAGTGGCGGCCTGGATGATTAAAGTCATTGCCCTGTGGGGTCGCATCATCGGCTACCTCAACCAAGGGGGAAAGGAACTCGATCCTCATCCAATGTGGAGCCCGGATTCGGAATACTCGAAGCTCATCAAACAGACGGACGACTTGGTGGCGGATCTCCCAGAGTCTCTGGCTTACACGCCCGAGAATCTCCACCTGCACGGAACCGACAACATGGCGAACCAGTTTCTGTTTCTGCACATATCTATCCAGCAAAACACGCTCTTTATGAACAGGTTTGCTGTGTCATCGCCCAGCGGCCATTTTCAGCAAGACGTGCCCAAGGCATTCGTAACCAAGGCCGGGGCTAAAGCATTCGCAGCTGCCAACCGCATTTCTGAGCTGCTCAAAGATGCGGAATCCCATTTCATCACGGCTCCTTTTACCGGCTACTGCGCCTTCTTGTCTAGCACGGTGCACATTTTTGGGATATTTTCTCGCGACCCGACTATGGAGGCAACGTCGAAGCGGAACCTGGCCACCAATGTCAAGTTCCTGTCCAAGATGAAGAGGTACTGGGGCATGTTCCACTGGATGTCGGAAAACCTGCGCGAACAATATCGCACCTGCGCCGACGCCGCGAGACAGGGCACTCCCGCAAACGAGAACGCGTCATCGCCCATATTCCAGTACGGCGACTGGTTTGACCGGTATCCCCACGGTGTGTCCCAGTCCGACTTTCTGGACCCTGCCACCTACAAGAAGAAGGAAAAGGGCGAAGATGCTGTGCTGGAGCAGAAGCCCGAGTTACACACAGTAGAGGAGTTTTTTACGACGCTTTCGCCCCAAAGCTCTGAGAATACCGGGCCGAACGGCATCTCCCGTCCCGTCCAGCAACAGCAGCAACAGCTCAAGCGCAAGTCCATCGCACGGAAAGCCAGCAGCACATCTCGCGGTGGCGGCGACCACGGATTAGAGCCGCTGCAGACAGAATTCGGCCATCGCCATCCCGGTGCGACAGCCGAGCAGCTTCACGCCGCCCGGCTGCATCAGCGGTCCTTCTCCGCCGCCGCGAACGGCTCGCTAGGCGGCCAGACAAGCGGCCCCGGCTCCTTCAACCCCCTGACGATCCCGCATTCGGCCAATGCCGCCTACCACGCCCTCTCTCCCATCTCGCCCGTTGCCGTCTCACACATGTCGCACCACCACCACCCATCCTCATTCTTTCCGCCTGACCCTTTCGGGCTTCCCCTCTCGGCTGCTCATGGCATGACTCAGCTGGACCGCCAGCTGGTTTTTGGTGCCTATGGAAATGGTGTCGACCCTGGTCTGAGCTCTCTGGCTGGGTGGCCACAAGATAACGGAGAGAGCAGCCGGGACAACGATCGTGGTTCTAGACACGGCCACAACCATGGACATGGACACGGACACGGACACGGACATGGCCACGGACATGGCCACGGCAATAGCGTCCAATCAGACGCTTCACTTCACGCGGCATTTGCCAACGAGCCAAGCTCGGCGTGGTTCATGCCCTTCAACATGGAGCCGCCAGAAATCGGCGGCGACCTCGGAGTCGGCGGGGTTGGCAGCCTAGACGGCTTTGCCAGCATGTTTGGTAATAGCGGAATGCATCACGGTGGCGGTGGGCATTGATTGTCCTGCCCTGCACCATTTAAACAACAGCGATTTCTCGAGCAATGCTACTAGGAAATGTAACTCAACGGAAGACGGGACGAAGAAGTCTCGGTCATCAAATATTCAGTGATCATGTACGCGTGCGTGTGTGTCCCGGTGTGATGTTTTATATCAATTCTCCCTTTTTCTTGTTCTTTTTTCTCTTTTGGCTAGTGCAACGCGAGGGGAGACAGGCCGCTCGATAACTGCGGCGGCGGCGGCGGCGGCGGCAGCGGAAAGGGTAGGGATAGGCGGGATTTTATGGGAGGGACGAGGAATGCAAGGGGATATCCTATGATGCTTGCTACATGTGTCGGAGGTTATGCACTACATCAACTAATCCGCATACCAAACAAGCAAACACACAAAAGACTAGCGAGGTGCGGTGCGGTGCGGGATTGTAGTGTTCGGTATTCGATGTTACTGTTTTCGTTTTCAGATCGCGAGTGCTTCGTCACCGCTGGCAGCAGCACAACAAAGGGAACGGGAGCAAAGGCGCACAAACTATAACATTATACCTAGGAGGCAAATTTTAAGCGCGGCGCGGGAGTTTTTTCTTCTTCTCATTGATCTATCTGATTCCTTGTACTTTTTTGGTCATCCAAAGCAACGGCCCGCTTTATTTGCGATTTGTTTCTCGTCACACACATATCCGTGTCTCTGTGGTAGAGATATCTCTCCTTTTCTCGGGAGGGTTGAGAGGGAAGGGATATATCTAAGACTCGGAAACGATGTGGAAAGTGGGAGGGGATAGGCAGGGTCGAGAGACACAAGCCAGAGACAGTCTGAGAGAGAGTCTAGGGGGGAAGAGAGAGAGAAAGGAAAAGAATGAAACAAGATCTCAAAACCACTGTTTATGCCACACACACACATATCCCGAGAATCTTGGTCGTGAACATGTGATGTAGAACCATGCTTGCATGCATTAACTAGGTAAACAGCTCATGTGAACGAAGCTCTAGAGAGTGAAGTCAGGTTACTTAGGAGTCCTAGAAACATGAGCGCGAGAGACGACTCAATAAATGAGAGATGTATGTGTTTATATATGTGCGATCAGATGTATTGGCGTCCTCGCTATGTACCATTTTTTATATACCTCATAACTCCACTGACAAAGATTGAAGACCCCAAGCCATTTAGATATGCATCGAAAGGGGAAAAAAGAAGACGCGCCCAGGCAATCAATATACTCACCCCCCTTGTTTTTCAATGTTTTATTCTTCACGCCTCGGTCTGCTTGACCTTAGCCTTTCCCTTGGACCGCTTGCGCTTCTTCTTCCGCTCCCCGTTGACGATGTTATCCGCACCGGCAGCGGCAGCGGCGGCAGGAGGAGGTTGCTGTACCTGCTGCTCTTGCTTTTGCTCTTGTTGTTGCGGCTGGGCGGCATTGGCGCCGGTTGCCTCGGGCAGGCCGTCAAAACCAAACGTGGGGCCGGTGTGCTCGAACTCGCGGCCAAAGGTCTCGCGGCGCCACTGGCGCAAGCGGGCTTTCTTGCCGAGGTGCTTCTTGTCCTTGCGCTTCTTCTCGGCGTCGCGGAAGGTGGCGAGCTTCTTGAGGCCGGCGAACTCGTTGAGCGCGGCGTCCGAGGGCGCGAGTAGGATGTCGCGCGGCGTCATGCCGAACACGTTGGGCGACGTCTCGCGGTAGCGGAAGGTCGGCACATCGCCCGAGGCGCCGCCTTTCTTGGACGGCGAGGCGGCCAGGATGCGCGGGTTCTCGAGCTCCATCTTGGTATCGACGAGGGCCTCGACCTTGGCCAGCTCCTCGCGCGCCTGGCGCTGGGCCGCGATGCGCTCTTTCTTGAGGTCTTTTGTAGCCGTCTTGCGCTTTTTCGAGGGCCGCTCGGCTTCCGACGCGTCGTCGTCCTCATCGGATCCTCCTGCTGCCGCTGCCTCGGGTGTTGCTTTGTCGTCGGACAGGCTGACTTTGGGCACTTCGTCATCCTCAAAGTCGGGGATGATGTCCTTGATGTCTATATCATCGTCCCACTTTGGCTTCTTAGGCTTGGTTTTCTTCGCCTTCTTCTTCTTCCCGTCCTTGCCATCGTCAGCCCCGCTGTCCTCATCATCGTCCCCGTCGGAGTACTGCTCCTCCTCTGCACGCCATAGCTCGTCCGCTTCGGCATAGTAATCCTCGCCAAAGCGCTTGGTCATCTCCTCCTCCCACTTGTCATCGTCCCATGCGTCATCTAGGAACTTGACCCACTCCTCGTCGGTGAGAGTTTTGCCGCTGATCCCAGCAGCTTTCTTAATCTTGGCGAGCCTGTCCGAGGCCTCCTCAACCTTCAGGCGGCGGAGCCGAGCGCGCTCTTCCTCTCGCTGTTTCTTCTCAGCTTCCTTCTTCTCCTTCTCGAGCTGCCTCAGCCTTTTGCGGCCTTTGAGCTCCTCCTTTCTGACAGAGCGAGCGTTGGCGGCGTCTCTGGAGTACGACTTCAACACCTGGTTGGCTTTGGCCGGGTCTTCGAATCTCATGTTGTAGGCATGTTCAACCTGGTCGGCTAAGTCGTCGTCGTCGTCGTCGTCCCCCTCGTCTGACTCAAACGCCTCCCACTTTGAGCCCTTTGGCGGAGCCCAGGCCTTGGAGGCCATAAATTTGCTGAGGAACTCCTCGGGATCCTCGTCGGCTTTCTTAACATCTACCTCGGTGAGCTTGATAGCGACTGCCGGTGACGGATGTATGCCGTTTTCTGGCGCCTCTTCCTTCTTCTGGGTGGGCTTGATGAAGGCGTCATCGTCGCTCCACCCCTCGTCTTCGGCAGCGGCGTTGATCTCGGACAGGATCGACTTTTTGAGATCAGCCTGCTCCCGCGCGTACGTCATCGGAACGTCGGGGTCGGCCTCGTCTTCCAGGTCGACACCAACGTCGCCGCGCAGATACCTCTCGCGGTGGTAGTCTTTAAGGAAAAGCGGCTTCTCCTCCTTCTCCTTGACGGGCTCATCCTCAGGGTCGATTGGCTTGTAGAAAACGGCGTCCTTGTCGTATATCCTGGGGTCCTTATTCTTGATGGCCCTCAGAGTGGCCGAGATCTCGGCATCAAGATCCTCGGTGACCAGGACGGCTTCATCGTCTTCTGTCTCGTCCTCGGAAGACTCCGAGTCGTCGGAGGCGTTGGCCGTCTTGTACTTTTCCTCGAGCCGCTGAAGCTCCTCGCGCTTCTTGTTGTGCTCGAATTTGCAGGCATACTCATCGTTGATCTTGAGCTGAGAGGCCGACGCCGAGGCGAGAGCGGCACCGCCGTCTTCCTGGTCGTCTTCGCTGCTTGGCGAGGACGAGTCCGAGTCGTGGAAGAGGACTTTCTTTTTGCTCAGAACCTGGTGGCCCTTTACAGCGCCCTTTACACCTTTTGCGCCTTTCACAGAGCTGGACGCCATTGCTGCAAGAGTTGGGTTCCTTTTGAAAGTTCAATCCTGCGACGAGGTAGTGTGCCAGAAAGAAGCGACTCTTTTTTCTCCTCAATGAGAGAGAGCAAGCAACAATTCGGAGAGCGCTGAACTTTTTAGTGGGGCACTTCTGGACTTCGGAAATCTTCGGCCACTTCCTACTAGATCCGCACTGTTTAATTGGCACTTATCGGTCTTTGGTGGGGTACGGACACAGTCCCGGGCTGAATGCCTTTCTTATCAGGTAAGTTTCAAACCTCAGGCACTCGTGCTTTCGTGCCTTAATTATCGCGCGACCGGGGCTGAATGTTCCGGCCAATCTGTATTTCCGTGTTCTGAGACAACCTTTCGCGGCACGTGCGCCGAGTGGCCAGGCCAGCATCAGAGCGCAGACGCTGGGCCGCTTTGGGCCTGGGCTGGGGCCTGTTAAACTTGTTAGTGCTTCCAGGTTGCGACGCCGCCGCCGCTCTCGTCGTCGCATGCATCATCCCATCCTGGTTTGAACTGTCTGCCTATCACGTCACTTACACCCTTCACCAAAAAAACACATCGCGAACGCTCGCTCCTAACACGCCCGTGCTTTGACACAGGCCCGCACGCATTCACAACTATCTGAATTCCTCGATCCAACCGCCCCGCAAGAGGCGGCCAGCAGAAGCGTCTTGTCCGAGATGGCCGATTCAGCAAATGGTCCGAAGCCGAGCAGCAGCGTCAAGCTGGTGCTCCTCGGTGAAGCTGCTGTCGGAAAGGTAGGCATCCGCATTCCATATCTCCCATCTCGCAATCCGACATGTGCTGATAGACGTGTGCCGCCGCAGTCATCTCTCGTTCTTCGGTTTGTCAATAACGACTTCCAAGAAAACAAGGAACCAACAATAGGAGGTAGGACGCCGGCTCTGGGGCCCGGTTGAGTAGACCGGACACGGCTAACCGACTTGCGCAGCCGCCTTCCTGACACAGAAATGCAACCTTCCGACACGGACCATCAAATTCGAGATCTGGGACACAGCAGGCCAGGAGCGGTTTGCGTCGCTGGCGCCTATGTACTACCGCAACGCGCAGGCCGCCCTGGTTGTCTACGATCTCACCAAGCCCACATCCCTGGTCAAGGCCAAGCACTGGGTAGCTGAGCTGCAGAGGCAGGCGTCTCCAGGCATCGTGATCGCGCTGGTGGGGAACAAGCTCGATCTCACAAACGACGGGTCCGGTAGCGGCGGAGATGCCGAGAGCGCCGGCGGGGACGACTCGGGCGACGCAAGGAAGGTCTCGACGGAAGAGGCCAAGACATATTCGGAAGAGGAAGGCCTGTTGTTCTTCGAGACGAGCGCCAAGACGGGCTTCAACGTCACCGAGGTCTTCACCGCCATTGCCAACGCGATCCCCGAGACTTCGCTGAAGAGCGCGCGGGGCGTGGCTGCTTCGCACGCTGCCGGCCGCACCGAGGAGCAAAGGGTCAACCTCAATGGGCCGCGGGATCCAAACGCGAAGGAGGGATGTGCTTGCTGAGTGAGAAAATCGTTGGTGGGTTGTCCCTAGAACGCCACGAGGGCCGGCAGATATCGAGGATGAGGGCTTGTTCCGCGACACTTTGCATTTTCACATGGTCAATTGGAGTGGATTGGGTCACAAGGGACAGGTCGTCCGGGAGTCAATGAGCTGTTTTTGGGGGGCGAATATCTTTCATTTTATACAAGCAATGCTGGAACAGTCCACAACTGATTCACTTACCTAATGTCACCGACCATAGCTCTACTGCCACCGCCCAGTTGGTTTACGAACACTTCTGATAGATGTCTCCGGAAATACGAATACCTTGTGCAGTTGACGATGTGGGGTCAAGATATGAGAACCCCGAATTTCGATCAAACTGTATTTAGCATTTCCCGTAATGTTTGAGAATGCCAAACCCAATCGTACGCAAAATATACACTACAACTAGCACCCTTCCTGACCAGTCCCATTAATATGGGTCAACTGCGGTTGGTTGCCATACAATTGTAAAATGTAGCATAGAATAATTCAGTTACCCAGCACTGCTCAAGCAAAGTCGCTTGGGTTCAACCACGCCACGGCACTAAGGTTCAGACATACGTTTGACTTTGGGGCGTTTAAGAAATGGCTTCAGCCGCTAGTAGTACTAATAATAGTTCAGAAGAGAATAGGGTCTCGTCTCACAGAAACGACACAACGATCGAGAATTATGCCACCGTTGGGGACTTTGAGGACAGATGCCTGAAATGGAGGAGTCGGGCAGTAGCCAACTCTAACTCTGGCCGTTACAGGCCCCGAGGTATCCGTATCTTGTAATCAATACGCACAGGTTTCGACAGGGAAACTAACATGGCCCGTGCGCTTGCGACATGCTTGCCAAATTTTCATGGGCTCCTAGCCAGTACGGGAACACGCCCAGAAACATCATCAACCTTCTCCTCACGACGCCTTTTACAGCCACCTCAGCTTCACAGGTGCACTTCCAAACATTCACGCACCCAAGACAGTGCTGCGTCCACCACAGTCCTTTTTCTGCCACTGCATTATCAGTTCACCGGCACGAGTGTCAGTGCGCGCCTCGGCCCGCGAATCGCTCCTGCGGCATCTGAAAGCATTGATTGATTGCCCCTGTCTGTCTGCCTGCCTGCCTACCTACCCAGACCGTGTTTACCTCGACTCTCGGCGGCTGGCAAACTTGAGATTCTCGATGCTTCCGACACTGTGAGGTTATATTTACCCCTCTTCTGGCTTATGTAGGACGCCCGATCCCGCGTCTACCGCCTAACGGCAGCGCAAAATGGCCGCGGCTTCGACGATTTCCGAAGCCCAGGCAGAACTCATTAGGTGAGTCAAGTTCAGTCGCCAGCATCGAGCAAGACCCTCCGCTGACACTGCCCATCTAGGTCGCTAGCCCCCGAGGACATCCCTGCCAAGCTCAGGTGCGCCATCTGCAGCAAGCTGGGAGTCAACGCCTTTCGCCTACCCTGCTGCGAACAGGCGATATGCGAAAACTGCCAAGAGACTCTGCCAACGTCATGCCCCGTCTGTGAGCATTCCCCGCTCTCGGCCGCCGACTGCAAGCCGCACAAGTCTCTCCGAACCACCATCCGTGTCTTTCTGCGGACCGAAGAGAAGAAACGCGAGGCCAACCGGCCCAAAGACCCCGGAACTCCCATCACGCCCGTCGAGCCGAGCCCGCTCTCTGCTGCGCCACCGTCCGCTGTATTTGAGCCCAGCGATGGTGGTGCCTCTGCTGCCAAGACAGAGCAGGCGCTCTTGTCCGCCGAGCCTAAGCCCACCCTCGATGCCGCCAGAGATGGCGGCGAGGTAACCGGGGCCCAAGCTGCCGCTGGTCTAGAAACCGCAAATAACCCCGCCAGTCATGCTGTAAGATCTGACCGTCACCCTTGCGTCCCGGAAGCGATGTCTTACTAACATAGAAATCAGGAGCATTCGTTGCAAAACGCGGCTGAAGGCTCTGTTGAAGCTAGTGCCTCGGCTAGTCTTGTCCCGATTCAAGGAAGTGGCGAAGTGGTCGAGGCGGCAGACGACTCGGAGCAAGTCAAAGAAGGAGACGAGGCAACCGAGGAAAAGCAGCAAATGACCGACTTCTCAGGGAGCCTGGGTTTCAACAACATGGGCGGCGCTTTTCCAAACATGGCCATGGGCGCTGGTGGCTTCGACCAAATGCAAATGATGATGGCAATGCAATCCGGCATGCCGCAGAACAGCTTTGGCAACTTTCCAATGATGGGTCAGTTAACCCGCCCCTCTTCATAGTCACATACCCGAAGAACGCGGAGATTAACACGTGCTCCAGGTATGCCAGGCATGAACATGGACCCGATGACGATGCAGATGTACATGAACGGGGGTTTTCAAGGCATGGGCATGAACGGCATGAACATGAATATGGGCATGGGAGGTTACGGAGGTGAAGCCAATAATAACTGGAACGGACAGCAATCATGGAATGTCGGCCCAGATAATTTCAATCATCCAAATGCTTCTGGCACGGGCAATGGTGATTATGGCTCGTTTAACTCTGGCTTCCAGACAGGATACAATCAAGGTAATTATGGCCACCAAACCCAATACAATAACTACCGCCAGAACCAATACGGGTTCCGCGGTAGGGGCCGAGGCCGTGGCTTCGGGTATGGATACAGCCGCGGCGGCTACCAGCAGCAAGGATTCGTCGCCGGCGCCGGCGGCAACTTCCAGGACCAGGGCTACGTGGGCCAGAACCATTTCACCGGTGCGAACGGGCAAGTACTCAATGGCCAGGAGGTATATCCCGCCGGCGACGGAGTAGCTGGGGCCGGGCCCAGCGCCGGAGCAAGGGCGGAAACCAATGTCGACGAGTTCGGACGCTCCCTACGCGATGGCGGAGCAGATGAACAAGGTCAGGAGCACGCAGATGGCAACGCTAGTCACGGTGATTCCAAAAATGCAAGTGGCGAGACACAGGCCACGGATGACGCCCAAGCCACGTCTGCCACACATGCTAGTGGCGGCAGTGGTGGTGGTGCACATGAATCCGGTGATGTCGTCAAAGTTTTGGGTGAAGACGGCCACAGCGCACCGCACGTCCAGCAGCGCGTTGCTCCAGATGTGCCCCTGAACGCACCCAAGGGCCCTAAGGCAATGCTACGCGGCCTACCTAATACTAGCTATAAGCACCTGCAGGCTCGCGGCTGGGTCGATGATAATAAGCAGCCACCTACCCCGCCCAGTGCCACAGGCATGATGAGTGGAGGATTCCCTAGTCCGGCAGCCGCGGCGGCACCCTCAACGGATCATTCACGGCCGCAGACGCGCTCACGGAGCAGTTCTCCCCACGACTCCAAGAGCAGAGGAGGCACAGAGCACTACCGCGATAGAAGCAAGGACCGCGCAGCAGAGCGAGACAGGAGCGATGGGGACACGCACCCCCGCAACCGCCAGCAGCGAGACAAAGACCGCCATAACGAGCAGTCCCAGTCGCGTTCCTCGAGTAGAAGCTGCAGCCACGATTATAAAGATTCTTCGTTGCACCGGCGCCGGCGTGCACGGTCGCACTCGCCGGTCGATGACGGCGAGAGTGGCGACGAGCACCGCCACAAGAGACACCGTCGGAAGCAGTCGTATGCCGAGGACCGGGATTCGAAGTCTCGTGGAGGTAGTGGCGCGGTAACAGCTCCTGCTGTTAATGTTGACGCCGATGCCGATGCTCCTCTCGAGGAGCGACCCGAGGACCGCTCGCGGTCGGCATCCCCTGACGCTGATGCACGGCGGTCAAGCCACCGGAGCAGTCGCAAGGAGCGCGGCGGCGACAGCGAGAGGCGGCGGGAGAGGGAGAAGGATCACGATAGGGACGACGATCACGAGCATCGGCGCAAGTCGGGCCGCCGCTCTTCGCATCGGGACCGGGACTATGATCGATCAGAACGGGATCGAGACAGAGACCGAGAGAAGGACCACGATCGCGACCGCGACAGAGATCGGGAGCGCAACAGAGATCGGGAGCGCGATAGGGAGAGGGACAAGGGCCGTAAAGACCGAAGCGGTCGCGGCCGTAGTCGGGACAATAGAGATCGCGACCGCGACCGTAAGAGGGACAGAAATCACCGACATCGCAGCAGCAAGGCCGAGTCTGCAACCAACACGCCCATTGACGGTCCGGACAAGGACTTCTTCAACCCGCCCACAGGACCCCGAGTGGGTGGTGGCGGCCGCGGGCTAGAGATCAAGGGCGCAGCTGGCTCCAAATCTCGAGGCGGCGATGTTCCAGCGGCTCTCGATACCGGCCGGCGATCGTCGCAGGCGTCGACCAAGACGCCCACGGCGCCGTCAGCAGCTTCGGCAGACCCACATGCGGCCGAGCGCGCGGCTCGTGATCGGCAACGGCTGCTCAAAGAAACGCAGCTCATCCAACAGCTTGCCGCGGGGCGGTCGACAAAGCGCTCGCGGGACGATGGCGGTGGTGGTGGTGCCGATGACGATTCGTCTCGGCGTAGTAGCCGGCGTAAGGGCCGCCGCGGTGAGGTGGTCAGCGTCGAGGACGGCGAGGCGAGGATGCGTCGTCTCGAGGCGGAACGCGAGCAGGCCAGGTACGGCTAGGAGCAGTCAACACTCTGCTGCCCAGGGAAAGGCTTAATTCAAGAGCCAAGAGCCAAGAGCCAAGGCCGAAGCCGAAGCTGAAGCCATTGTCGAGGTCAAGGCCAAGGCCAAGGTCAAAGCGTTAACCTTCGAGAATTCTTTCTCATTTGGTGCGAGAGGGGGTGTTTGTATGTATGTATTTATGTATCTTTTAGAACGTGGGGGGAGGGGGGGAAAGGAGGGAGTGGCTACGTTTTCTCGTCGCCCTTGTATTATAGGACCTGCAATGTTGTCTGTCGTGTGTCGTTCTTTTTTTTTTCTGCTTCTGATATCATTGCTGCAGTATACTGCGGTATGGTTGGTTGGTTGGGTTCTTGACACCAACTGAAAAAAAGTAATCTTTTGCGGCGTTTGGGTCTTTTTTTCACTTCACTTAGGTACTGCTTGTTTGGGCTATCCTTTTGGGGGGATATTAAAAAGAGTAGTAATACAACAAGTAGTAGTCTTTGCATGGGAAAATCAAGTTAATTCCTCTCTGTTTGGTTTTTTTGAGCCTTCGTAAAGAACCTAGGTTGGCTGGTTGCCGTGGCTGAGACTTTTTCCCAGACCTCGGAGTTTCAAGAAGGGAAACCTTCCTCTCTCTACTCGACACAATACGAAAGCGGCCGCAGGGTTGCAGGTTGCTAATATCCATGTGTTGGCTGTCCTCTTCTCGCTTTACGTGTTCTCAGAGGGAAGTATAAACGAGAGTGAGATATAAAAAGAAATATTTTTATTAGGGGGGGGGGGGATGTTATGGGCCTCGGTGAACGGGACAACCATAAAACCCAACATAACCTTGGAAGGCTTTAGCCGTAAATCGTTCAGTACCTGATAGAGGTCACTGCGCTTGTATTTTACCTGCAAGTAACAGTCTGTACATTTCCCGTTGGACTGTGGCCTTCTAGAATGGACTGCACTCAATCTCAACGTCGAGTCTCCATCCAAAAGCCCATCCTTTGCTTCTGTGTGTTTGGTGTTGGCTGACGATGGCCTGGTGGTCAGCGGCACATGAGGTCACCTACTGTTGGATTGGGCGATGCCACATACCCCCGACCCAGGATGTGCTTGGCAGCAGCTTCGGACCCCTGAGATCACCATTACCCTCAGCTGTTGTGGGCCCTGGAGGGGCCAGCGCGCCCCAAGGCGGGGTCAAGTCGACAGATAACCGTGCCGGGTCTCAATGGCATGTCATCGCTGACAGCCTATCGACAGCCTATCAACCTTCCTAATGGATAGCCGGCCTCTAATCGTGCAACTACACTGGACTACCGTAGACTCCTACCTTGGTTAGTCGAACAACTCTGATAGAAGCTGAGCTTGTTGTTGGCGGTGTCCAGTGTGCATGCGTGCCAGCAGCCAGTTAGGTAGCCAGTTAGCCAGCCAGCCCGCCAGCCTGCCAGCCCGCAGCCTGCGAGCCCTCCCTCCAAGTCCAACCCCTCACCAGGTGCTGCTGCACCCAAGTGTAAACTTACTAGTTCCTCGACCGAGCCGAGCTTCCATTGTCTGCCCTGCCGTCCAGTCCACGTCTCTTGCATCCCAACATCCCACCACACTTCATACCTCGAGCAGAGGAACCTAGCGGCCCAAGAATCCAAACCCAACATCTCTTGATCCCCAGACTCCCAGAGCTTCATTTGTGTGCTCTGCCTTGATCCTTCGTTCGGTGCTCTCTCTAAACTCTATGTAGCCCCCCATTCCTTAAGATGCGACCTCTTCCGGGCGATGACGCTGCCTTTGGGCAGCCCCGCATCTCCGATAGCGACAGCCCCTCAACCTTCCATCTCCCCGCTGCACCCCCGATGGCCTATTTCTTTGCCGACGAGTCTACCGTTGCCTCTTCGCAACACCAGCAGCATCAGCAGCCGCCGTCTTCGTCGCCTGCCCCATCGTTCCAGCGGTTCAAAGACGGTAGTGGCAGCAACAGGAAACCCTCGGCCGAGACTGCCGATCATTACTCCCCCACCCCCCGCCGCGGCTCTGCTTCATCGTCTTCTCAAAATTTCGACGACAACGACACCAGCCCGCCTTGGGGCTCCAGAGGCACCGGCCCTGCCAAGTCGCTGAAGCATGACGACAGGGACGAGGACGTGGACAAACTAGCCACGCCACAGTCCAAGCCGTCCGTCGCTGCTGTTCCTGCTGCTGCTGCTGTTCCTGCTGCTGCTGCTGCTGCCCCCGCCTCGAACCTGCCATCCCGTTCCATGACACCCACCCTGTTCGGGCCCTCGGGCCCCGCCTCAGCTATCAGCAGCGTCTCGTCGCGGCGGAACTCGCTGACCGGGTCTTTTTCGGAGGACATGGGCCTCGCTAGCCACGCCCCGAGCCTCGACGGCCGGGAGGAACAGTCGGCGAGCATGGCTGACAGCGGCAGCGCCCCGCAGCTCATAATGCCCAGCATCCGCATGCCCAGCCGCCGCCCCTTCACTGGCGAGGGCAAGAGCATGGGCCGTCTCAAGGTGCTGATTGCCGGCGACAGCGGCGTCGGCAAGACGTCGCTGGTCAAGGCCATTGTCCAGTCGTGCGAGCACATCGTCCACGTCGATCCCATCACGCCCCCCCTCGCCTCGTCCATGGCCCTGGGAAGACACCACCGGGCCAGGAGCAGCAGCAGCCGCCGCCTGTCGTCCGTACGCGGCGGCGAATCCTCTGCCGCCGCCGCCGCCTCCAGCACGGGCCAGATCGCCGAGATCTACGCCAGCACCAAGCCGTATCCAGAGTGGTGGTCCGAGATTGACGACTATCGGGTCTTGAGGCGTAGGAAGAGCCTGGGCGACGCGGTGCTGGATCGCAATATCTGCTTCGTCGATACCCCGGGTTATGGCAGCGGTTCATCTGTGAGTATTCCATCTCTTCTTCGTCCGGTTAGGGTTGTTAGATGAAGAATATTTTCCTTGTCATGTACAATAGAGAGCTAACTCGGGTATCTTCCAAAACAGTCTATAGACACAATAACGCCCGTCACCCAGTATATCGAAGCACATCTCCGACGCATGAGCTCCAACTCGCTGAGCGACGGCGACATGCTGAACCTGCTAGGTGGTGAAGGCGGCATCCAGGTTGATGTCGTCTTTTACATGGTTTCTAACCGTACGGGCCCACCACCTCGACCAACTATCGGCAAGCTGCTGACTTCTTTCACAGGACTTCGGCCCGTTGATATACAATATCTTCGGCAACTTGCACCACTAACCAATATTATCCTTCTGCTCGCCCAGACGGACCTAATGTCTCCATCACAGGTTGCCGCGAGCAAGGAACAGATCCATAGTCAACTGCGTGAGGCAGGCGTCAGGCCCTTCTCTTTCGCCATGGCCGCCTCGGCATCTCCAAGCTTGGCGTCACAAGACTCGTCCAAGCAAGGCCTCTACGCGATATCTAGTGCCACCGGGTCAGATCACGATATTATGGATGCCAGCCTCTTGATGAGCCCGGATTACGTCCAGCCCCTGATCTCGACAGAACTGACTGCTCTTGTCGAGCAGGTCTTTAGCCAGAACGGAGCATCGTGGCTCCGTCATTCCGCAGCCCGCAAATATGTTCAGTGGCGAAAGGCGGAGAACCAGCCCGTGTCGAGGCCAATGTCACTATATCAACCCCTGGGATCGACGAGTGCCGCGGCCGCCGCCTCTTTTGGCTTGGCTAGCGGCCGGCCATCTCCGCCTCACTCCCTTCACAGCCCTGGAAGTCCCAGCGGCAGCCAGGTTTTGACGCCGCCCATGGGTGCCACATCCTCGTACGCCCTCGCACGCATCACGGACCACACGCAGCGTGAGGAGCGGCTTGCCCAGGTCCGCTTCGCCAACTGGGCGACAGACTTGCAGAAGAGCCTAGCCAGCGAGCGTGCCCAGTATGCGGCCCTGGCTCGCGGCGAACGCGCCATCTGGCTCACGGAGAAAATCAATGACTGCATTCAGGATGGCAGCCTCGTGGCTACGGGTTCGGGCGCTGGGGCACAGGATGGCGAGAAGAGCATTTCAAGGATCCGAGACGAGATTGAACGGAGGATGATGGCAGACCGCCGTCGCAGCGGTAATTTCGACGCTGGTCTCCATTCATCTACATCGCCACAGAGAGGTCGCGGAAATCACACTCATAACCAGGACCCTCTGGGCCTGCTCGAGGTGGCTGCGGACCTGCGCTACAAGGGTCTTATTGCCCTCGAGCTGTTGGGCAGTCTCGGCGTCCTCGGCGGGCTGGCCATATGGGTAACGAAGCACTACATACACCTCCAGGCGTATGGGTGGCTGGTCGGCGAGTGGGAAAAGCTTTGGTCTGGCGGCCGCTGATGTGCTGCTTGCTTGTTCTCGGGCGACCGCCTATAAATCTGGCATGCTGCGTGCTGTCTCCCATTTTAAGGGAGGGTGCCGCCAACAGGCACGGCTCAAATACCGGACGATGGTTATACCCTTGTGGAGATGTGAGAGTGCTTTTGGGGTTGTTATGAGCGGATGGAATATGAGTGCGGTCGATTGTAGTCACGGTCATGATGGTTTGTGTGGGCTCAAGGGCAATTTTTGGGGTGTGGTTGGCCACTAGGGGACATATATACCATGCTGGAAACATGAATGGGGGTGGAGGGGCATGGCAATTGGGGGTGGCGGTGATTTCTAGGAGTTAACTGGGGGTTTTCTTTTGTCTTTTCTGGTTGGTTATCTACTTCCCGGATTTTGACATCAACAGGGGCGCATTTGGGGGAGTATTTTTTTTTCCTTTTAAATCCCTTTATACCTGCTTAACATGATCCGGAGAGGTGGCTGTCTTGTCATTTTTACGTTGTTTTGAGTTGTCTGTCTCAGATCCATCTATCTACATCCCCGGAGCTGCATACAATCCGTCTACGTTTAGGCCTGGTTCTAAAAGAAAAAGATTAATTCGAAGACGAAGTTGTGATCTTGTGTCCTTGAGGGCGTGTTGAGGATATATGGTTCCTGCGTACCCCCTATGGCGGGTTGTCTGGGTCGATGGCAGTGAGTTGGTTACGATTTATTTTCTTTCTTCTACTTATCGGAACTCAAAACGCCTGTAAACGCCTGTCAAATATGTGGTCAAGTACTCAAGGGGCGACTTCTATAGTTAGATCTACCACCAAAATGAAATAAATGGCTTATACCCATCACCATGCACGGACTGAAATAAGCACAATTAAGTTGATAGCGATCTATATCCACAACGACCAGCTTGGTCACGATGGCTACTGTGCTGCCACGCACCTGTTTTTCTCTTCTCGTCAAGGAGATGATGTGGAAACTTTGGTATGATGTCTGTTTGTAATATTTCGTCTACCCGAGGAGGCTATACTCAAGGATGGACTTCCATAGTTAGATTTTTATCACAAAATTGAGATGGCTTATCATCACCACGCACACATGAAAGGTAAATACAAGCATTTGCTGCGGTCCAGCAAAAAGTCAAACAATTGAACGGCATCATGCCGGCCGACCTATGAACATTACAGCTACCACGCAATTCATTGTACATGTTTTCTCTAGGGGCGACTTCCACAATTAGATCCACCACCAAAGTGAAAATGGCTTATACCCATCACCACGTACACACTACAAAGAACAAAATTTTGCTGTACATATATATCACACAATTGCCGCTTCACTTCATGGGGAGACGTATTCTGGTCCTCATACCCACACCCCTCTCCAGTTTGAGGTAGTTGAGAGACTTCTAGGACCTGTGCTCCGTTTCCCCCGCCAATTCGCCTGTTCGATATGCATGACTGTGTCTAGGTGAACACTGACATGCAAGGCACGGAATGCCTCGGTGGGTTTCGCAGGCAAGGAAATGGAAATAGTAGCTGAGTGAATGACAAATAAAACCAACAAATACAAGTGAGCATCTAAACTTCAGAAGAGGAGCGAAATCCAAGGCCGCAGGCCTCCTTCAACAGGTGTGCAGACTGTGTTAGGCAACGAACGGGGAATCAATAAGAAGAAAAGAGAATAACAAGCAAGCAAGCACGCCGAAGCCTTATCTTCTGTATATGTTGACTATCCTCTGCTGCAGCAAGTTAGGATAACTGATCTTACGGCCTACTACCTACTACATGCACACTCTCACGAGAGACGAAACGAGGCACGTTCGGCAAAAGGCCGGGTAGAAAGAAACAGGACGGAAATAATTACCTTGGCTAGGTGAGCAAACGAGCAAGGAAGCCGACACACCGCCGGTGTACATACATGCCGGTGCCTGACAAGCCAGGCAGGCAGCAGCAGTTCCCCCACCCACGGCACAGAATCAGCCCTAGGAACCTCCTCTACCCCGGATGACCCGAGGGCCCGGTCCGCCAAGGAAGGTGATGTAAGAGTCTGGTGTGGGACAAACTTGATAAACCCCCTGTGCATACATACCTACCTTACCTACATTCAGCCCAGTGCGACGCGCAAACCCCTTACATAACAGGTAAGAATGTCCCAGACGGGAGTGAGTGAGTGGGCTGGGCCCAGGGGGCATCGTTGGTTCCTAACCCCGAGTATGGGATCTCGAGGTCGGGGAACACGTACCTGGAATACAAATACTCCAAGCCACCACTTATGAGAGTGAACCCAAGGGAGTGGAAGCGACCGCGTTGTAGGTACAGCTCGGGTTAACTGTTCCGGCTGGCTGGTCTTCCGTCCCACGCCCCCTACCCACCGCCGACCGACCGGAGAGAGCAGTCCCTCCTTGGGTCCCTCCCGTGTATCGGCGTCGACGCCGGAGGAATCGTGCCAGCCCCAGCCACCAACCCCCGATGTTTAGGCTGGGACAGGATGAGGCTGTCGGGAACCATCCTACTTGCTCTTTGCGTTGGCTTTTACAAGCAGTTATCATACTGTATCATATCATACCATGTCATAGATGCAGACGGCAGATGAGAAGTGCAAGGGTAGTCGGGGACAGACGGCTTCTTCGCTGCAGGGCCCCCGGATACGGGTTTTGAACAGCATTTCGGGAAACTTATGGCCGCCATGCGGAGATAAGCAGCCACAGCCTCCTCCACCACCGCACTTCTATTCAGTATGCGGGAATGTAACGTACCTAGCCCACCACCCCACGCTCCCAGCGACGCGGGAGCGAGAGCACGGCCACCACCATGCCATGCTCTCCTCTCCCTGCCGAGACCAGACTCTTGAGTCTTGACCGCCTCAGGAGACAGTCGGTATTGGGGGGAGGGACGAACGAGAAAGGAAATGGACAAAAGAGGCGCACACCCTCGAGGGCAAGGAAGGCGTCGTGCGCTAGCCTCGGGGGCGCAGTTTTAGACTTCTTTCGACCTCGACCCGGCGGCTTGGGCAACGCGTGCAGCGCTGCCTTGGCATAGGTATGTACGTGTCATGCACCGAAGGAATTTGTCAACCCTTCCAGAAGGGACCTCAATCGCGCCAAGCAGGATAAAAAATCCGAAATCGCTCAGCGACGAGGACGGAAACTCGTTGTCGCCGACCTGCCGACCCTGGAAACTCGAATCATTGACAACAAATCCCCCTTCCCCCCCAAAAAAACCGCTTTCAATTGCTGAAGTGAGCCCCTGGTGAGGTAGTGTCTTCATAATGCTTCCGCAATCAGGCCGTTTCTCAGTAATGGCCGCCCTGCTTTAGGTCGAGACGGCGTCTGTGTCGGGAACTTTAGGATGCAATCAATCAATTGTCACCAAAGAAGCCGAAGCGGAAGGGATGAGTAATTCCCTCCCCCGGGCACCCGCACCCGCACCCGCACCCGCTGCCCGAGTTGCGACTGCGACCCGGCCTTTTCTCGATGCCTACGAAAGTGCGGACGTGCGATTGAGAACATGCATGTAACGGAACAAACGATAAGGCGCGGGAAGGAAATCAAATAACACTCACACAACTGATAACAGGAAGGGCGTAAGCGGAATTGTTGCGTTCGCTCAAGACAACCAACCCAGTGTAGACAAGAGACGGAAAGACCATCTGCCCCGGTCTCTCTCCCGGCCGCAATTCGCAAACCTCAAACGAATCTAGTGCTCGGTGTCAGGCCGCCATCAAGTGGATGGCTGAGGATGCAAGAAGACGCGTGCGACGTCAGCCACAGGCAACAGCAACCAAAGCAAAATGGACGCCCGATCAGTCAGGCTGAGCCGAGGCCCTTATTGGCTTACGTAGCGAATCCGACACAAAGTTCCCAATCCCGAAATCCCCCTCCACTCCCTTCCCTTCCCCACGGAAATGCCCCCATCCGATGATTAAGCCAGCCGCCGATGGCTGTCCGGTCGGTCGGTCTGCTTTCAATTGTTGATGGGCGCGCTCTTTCGTGTTTGTGTCATGTCTTTAATTTATCCGTAGGGCTTCGCCTGCCACCGCCAGTTCCATGCCCCGATGCTTGACCAGCCAGCAGCAGGACCTCGTTATGTAGCTGTCTCACGTCGCCCAGCAGGGACCTTACCCCTGGGAATATATTCCGTACAGACGACACGAGGACCGGGTGGTCAACGTTGCTTGCAGAATGAATACTATTCCGTACAATACTAGTTGCAGCGTCTGGTGCCAAGCATCGCGTATTAAGTAAGGATGCTCGTGCTTTCGCGATCTACTGTGTCATGTAGTTACTTACGTGTAGTATCTTTCTTCCAGCTCAGCCACAGCCCGCCCACCCGCTCGAGCAGGAATTCCGGATACCTATCTGCTTTGCGCTGTACCGTGGGCGGGTCATCTCCATTGGGGTACTACAGCGTAAATCTGCGTATCTTAGCAGTTTTGCCGTTGCAGCACTCATCACCATGTGGTCTTTTTTTCCCTGATGGGAAGGACCCCCCTAGAACTAGGTGGGGGAGGTTGCCTTTCAGTGGGCCCCGCTTGTTTGTCGCATCAGCCCTACGAAGTACGGGTATACGAACGAGGTTTTGGGCGAATCAATTGCAATTGCGAAGCTCGCTGCGAATTCCGCCCTGGTCCCGGCGCGTGGCCCCTCCCCCGCAGCGCCCATTATCCAAGGGGGAAAAAAGCCACGAAGCCGACTCCGTGTCGGGCTGCCGCAGTCCTTTTCCACACCGCTGGACCCCAAGATGCGTGTCTCTTTTGGCTTCTTGGCTTCGTCCACACAATACCCGAACGGGGTCGCCAGAGGGGGGCGGAGTTTTTTGCTTGGTGCCAGTCAATTTCGCTCCGGTGCCGGTATGGCAGGCGACTGGCAGCTTCAGGGAGATTGAACCAAACTGCTGCTTGTTGCTGTTGCTGCGGCGGCGGCGTCGTCGTGTTTGATGGGACGACGAACCTCGGTGGCTTTGCATTGCCATCGCAACCGCACAGACGGACAGCGTGGTGCGGTTGCTGAAACCTTAATGTAGGTGTCGTGACATGACGTGGAGGCCACGAAAAGCTTGCGACGCTTTGGGCACGCCCGCCTGTCGAGACTCGAGAGCGAAGGCGACCCGTCTCTTGTCTACTGAGTGCGGAATGCGCGCCGCAGATTAACGGCAGCGGCGGCGGCGACGACAGCGCGACGCATTGCCAAAAAGTAAAATGACGTCCCGGCAGGACAGTCGCGCACTCAGGGTCTCCTTGCTGTGCACGGCATCCGCAGAGGCGATATGCATTGAGGTGGAATCGCAGTTTTACGGGTACGGGCCCATTCTCTCATGTGGAAAATTAAGGATCCAATCCCATCCCTGTGGGCGGCGGAGATACAAATGGAATTATTTGAGTACAGTACTGGCCGTGGTAAATGCTAGTAATAAGCTCCGTGATTATTAAGTCCCAGGCGGAGAGAAGCCGAGGGAATTGCGATTCGATTGGGCGAATGTGGATTTCATAGCACTTCCATGCTAACTAATACAAAACACACACACGCCCCGCAGAATACTAATAGCCGCCTTACAGTAGGCACTGGGCGCGTGTTCCGCTTGCTGGGTGCCTACATAGTAATAACCCGAAGTGGGAATAAAGAGTGCATAGGTGCTTAACAATCAACGTGATGCATCAGCAGCGTCAAACAAAACCCTTAGGCAAACGGATGACGTGACGGATACAGACAAGCATCCAAGCCAAGCCAGGCCACGAATTTCTAATTAATCATTCTGAGGCGGGACATCATAGGACCGCGACACAGACACGTAGACGGTCGGGATCTCAAACCCCCCATTGCAAGCAATCCATGGAAGCAAGCAAGCCCAGGAGGGTTGTTGGGCGGCGGTGCAATTGACTTAGTTGACTGCAGGACACTTTGTATGGACCGCATGCGAACAACAAAACAACCTGGTGGTGAGACTGAATTGGGAAGCGGGCTAGAGTCATAGGACTGATTGCAAGTCCTCGGCAGAACAGGGCAGGGCAGAGCAAAGCGAGGGTTGCGAGGGGGACACGCGTTGGTGCAGCATCGATTTCGTGGACTCGCTTCGCTCGCTTTCGCACAGGGCAGAAGCGAACGAGCAGCGACGGGCGGGTTGGGCTTCTGGCCGAGGCGGCCGAGCAAGTCGCTCGGAGGAACACAATGGGCGCTACACCGCCGCCGCCGGCAAGTCTCATGTAGCCTTGGACTTGGGGGCATGTCGCATGTACGGACTTGTTGGACCATTTCGAGGGGCGGGGCCAGGGCGTTCGTTAAGGCCGAACTCCATTCTAACCTGCAAGGGTATGCACGGAGACAAGGCAAGCAAGCCCGCGGGGGGTGGAGTCGTGGACGTCGGACTCTCGGTTTTTGTCAGCTGCTGCGGATGATGCAGCAACCCTGTGCTGATGACCCAGCGGTGTCTTGGACCAAGCCGAGAGAGAACACCAACAACCGGTCAAGGGGTGGCCGTTTACAAAAGGACTTACCTCCCACCTCCGAGGCGCAACTCATCCAATTCGGAACACAGCAACACATCTCCAGTGAATAGTTTTCGCCTTTTTCCGAAACTTGACTCTTTTGCAAAGCATTATCACAGGACTATCTTGTCGCCTTTGCACGCTGTATACTTCAGTACATACATACAGTCCTGCCAAGCTCCAGTGCCTGATCGACTGGTCCTTGGCCCCGGCTGCTGCAGCTTAGAAAGCACGCCCCCCCTTGATTTGCATCCACACCCTCGCAAGGTCCAGCCCAGTCCGCAATCGGCTTCCCTGCCTTGACTCACGAGCAAGAAAAAAAATACGCCAGAAGCACCCATTATTAGGAAAGCCTAGCTTGCACTTCCTGCCTGACAAGATGCCTTCTCTTCACATTTCAACATCCTCACCCACAACAAGGCCCAAGGCCACATCTCCCTCTTCTCCCATTGTTGCATCTGCCTACAAGCTCCAGAAGGCCGCCAAGATGTCAATATCGCAAACATACTTCCTCGCCCACAAGGCTCGCGCAAAGCTCTCCTCCGAGGCTGCCCGCCCAGACCACAACCTGCGCCTGCTCGTCGGCCACGCTAACCTGCTCGACTCGCTGATGCTCGAGCTCGCCGACGCCGAGAGGGAACAAGAGTCGTGGTTCAACCAATCCGTCCGCGGCGCCACCAAGGCCGAGAATAAGCACATCAAATGGGCCGATACGGTGGTGGAGGAGCCCGAGCAGGACTGGCACGCCGAGGACGCCGAGTCGGACTCGGACAGCGACTCGGACAGCGAGTTCGAAGATGATGAGGACATTGAGATGGCCGACGTCGTCTCCCTGCGGAGGATCCTCTCGCACACCAACAACAAGGACTACAACTACGACATGGAGGAGGTCGACGACGACGAGGAGGATTTTGCCCAGCTCGCCCTGCAACGGAGCCCGTCGCACTCCGCCTCCCCGCCAGAGCTCGACCACGACTCGGACACATCTGAGGACGAGTCGATGCCGCCATCGCCGCCCACCGCTCTGCTGCCAACCTTCTCTGAGAAGCAGAAGCAGAGCATTTCCACAACGGGCTACTACGCCGCAGCAACAAGTCAAGACGACAAAGACGCATTCTACGACGAGGGCTACTACCTGCCGCCTCGCAACCCAGCCAGGCTTGTGTCGGCGATATCAGTGTACTAAGCTGTCGTCTTCCGTTTGCATTCCTTCAAGCCTTTTCTTGTTTCTGTACCGGGCGGCGTTTTGTTTACCAATGATACCAGTTCGGCATTTTTCCTTTACGCAAAAAGTTCTCTCACGGTCATGGTCACGACGGAATAGAAAGACGGGGGACAGCATCATTGCTATACCACATTGGTAACATTCCACACATTTTATAATTTCACCACTCATCAATAACGGGATCGGGTGGATCGACGGAGAGAAGAAACAAAAGAAATACTATTTTTTTTCAAGTATCTTGGAAAAAGGGGCTCACAGGATTGGCGGATACTACATATTTTCTTCTTTCACTTCTTTTGGGGCTCTTCGCTCCCTGGCCGCGCACCGTCGAGTGCGTCGCCGAGGTTGAGTGTGAGCCCCGCCACAGCCTTATGGAAATCGGCGGCTAGGGTGCCCCCTTTGGGACATTGGCCCCATGTTTGGCTTTTTATTTTCTAGCCAAGGCATACTTTTTTTTTTGCAGAACTCACAAAATACAATATGAGCATCATCGCAAAAACCAAATCACAGTTCTATCTTAACATTTGCTTTACGTCCTGTGTAATCTTGACGCCCTTTGCGAATTGACATCACCATGTCCGAATGGGTGTGTTGTAAGTAGGTTGATCGGGTTTTTGCTCCTAATCGCCGAAGATCGGCAAACCCCCAGGCCCGCCGTCCCTTTTTCACCCAAGAGATCGGGTCCGAAAGCGCGAAAACCGGTATGATTCACTCGCCTTTTGCGTCGCGCCATCTCGCCTTTGGTAAAGGGTGAGGGGGGCGTGTGTCTAATGTCGGGGTACGTACCACCTATAACACTTCTCCAAATTTCATTCTTTCAACAAGAGAAATTTGTGCCCAAAGCACCGCTAGCAGACACGGACTTGCACTGCTTGCGTTCACCGACAGAGACATCATATCACATCACAAGCAGGCGGTATAGGACTTTTTTTTTTTTTTTTTTGCAAGCGAGCGAAGGCAATGCTCAACAGAAATACAGGCGCTCTCGGTTCGCAATCGCGACAAGGGAAACGTTGAGAAGAAAAAAACGATGACTCCGCTGCCTCGGCACGGGGAAGCAACGCCAAGCCAGCGAGCGAGCCAGCGGTTCGTCCGCCGTTCTTCTCTCCCACACTCGCTTATTAATATTTGCTATCGTTTTCCGTATATCTCTCCTTCTCGCCGTCACCTAGATGAACATGAACGAACCAATGGACCGCCCAACAACCTAGTCTTGGTAGCCTATCCTATCCGTAGGTAGGGTTTCGCATTTGTGCGTGTCTGTTTGTGGCTCTCTCTGCATGTGTACGTGGCCTCGCCGCCCCTCAAGGCACACAGGCATTTCTTCACATCATCATACCTTGGGTAATAGAATGGAATTTCAACAACAGTGCATGTAGGACATACGCCTTGCACTATGGATGGCATTGGCATTGGTAAAGCGCCTAAACCCTTAGGTAGGGTACTTACTGCCTAGGGATGCAAGGCATTGATTCTACGTACTTGGGTGGCTGTCCTGAGGCTGGCTGACCTACATGACGGAGGTGGAAACGAGGCGTTTGCTGTTGCTGTTCTATGCATGGTTGATTCATCATGATTTTAGGTTGCCTGTGCCACCCCCAGTGTGTGTGTGGTGTGCGGTTGGTATTAACCCCTACCGTAACTGTTTTACCGGGCTGCTGCCCTAGGAGCAGAAAGAGAGCCATGGAAAGCTTGCTTCAAACCTGCACCCGCCAACCGGGTATTGTCTAAAAACGCTTTGTTCCATTGCTTTGTTCCATTGCTTTATTCCCATTCTCTTTGACTTCAGTAGCCTCTCTTTGTTGCGGAGTCGTCGGATGAAAAAAAAAGCACCTAAAAACCCGACCTACCTAAGGGGTAGGCTCAGTGTAAGAGACCCGACCCCAACCGCCGTCGCGAGCGGCGCGGGCGGGTCGCGGGTCGCGGGTCACGGGTCACGGGGAGTAGGTACATAGTAAGTCGTTCCTTCTTACAAGGAAAGGGGGTTTGTTTCAATGAGTGCCGGAAACAACCCGAAACCGCCGGATATCAGACCCCATCTCATTCATAATTAAGAAGGTTCAGCATTAACTTACCTGGGCAGATTTGCAAACGTGCGGGTTCCCGGGGCAATCCCTCTTCGTACAGGTGCCTCGTGGCCTTGTGGACTTTGGGCACGGAGGTGGAACTTTCATGCCTGAGGTGGGCTGGCTGACTGGCTGGCTGGCAACTTTGTTCTTAGACAAGGTTTAATTTTTGGCGAATTTGTCGTCCGGCTCATTTCCCCGTCGCGCGGTTCTGGAGGGGTTTAAGGATCTGATGCCAATCTGTAATCCTTTTGCTTGGAAATCCTACAGGGCTGTTTTTTCCCCATATTCCACCGTCCCTGTTACAGTAAAGTCTGACTTACCCGTCTCCAGGGCTACGGTCGTCTTGTCGGTTACACGTAAGCCACAGGCACGACTTTTGGGGACCGTCATCATTTAACCAGGGCACCTTACGTCTGCGTACTCAGGGCTGACACCAGGGGAACTTTTCCTTGCAGTGTAACTGCTGCTACGTAGCACTGTGTTAGGCAGGCGGGCACGCCAGCCCAGTGGATGACTGGTATGCCTTAGAGGCTGGCTGCCCTGTTTCGGCTGCCGACACTGCCTCGTGCCCACACAGTATGTACATACACACGGAAGTAGAATTGATTCCCAAGACAACGACATTTTTGACAACGCAGTTGAGGGCGTGCGCTGTCAGCAATATTAGAGCGAGCGCAATGTATCTTGGACGGTGTTTTTCCTTTTTTCTTGTTCGGTTTCCGTCAGAGGCCTGTAATTGGTGCGTGAATGGACGGTTCAGCTGGCGTGCTGGTGCTCTTGCGCAGATCTGGGCCCGTCTAGACGGAGCCACCAAACGAAACAAGCCACCCGGTCGGGTTTCGTCCGCCCTGCTCCAGGCCACGGAACCAGAAACGTTGGTGTTAGCTTGCTGCCGTCTCAGAAAAGACAGGTCAGCCAAGCTGCCCGGTTCCCTTTCAGCGGGAACAATGTGTGTGTCCTGCCTTCGCTAACGCCCGGCAAATGAAGCCTTTGCTTTGACAAGAGATTCGGAGGCTCAGAGAGGCCCTCCGTGGCTTGCATTCTCCTAATGACACAGGCTGGCGGGGTGACCAACTTAGGGCTCTGCCTAGACCTTAGGCGCGCGAGACAGAGGGGCATTTCGTCTATCGCGACTCGGGTCAGTTCGCACGCGAGAGGCTGTGCACGCGGCAAGCATTTAAAATGCAACTCCACAAACTCCACAAGTCCGCATCCCTGGGACACGTCCCTTTTGGGCCATTTGTCACGCTGGTTGGTTGGCTGGATACGTTGTAACAGTAGGAAACCCTGTGATTGTGGCTCACCTAAGACGTAAAAGAGAATTTGAGAAAGATTAGAGTAGCAGCAGAGATAGATACCAACCTGCCCTTCCCGCTATTTGGTATTGGTAGTCTGACCGACTGCCCGCCAACGCTAAATTCTGAGCGACAATCAACAAAAGTGCCCTGCATTGAGATGAATGTCTGACTCTGGCGGACGGACGGGCTGACAGACAGACCGACCGGCCGACCGTTGTTGCCTGGGCGGATCCTCCTCCGGCTCCGCACCTTTGTCTCGGCGGGGCCTTTGCGAGCGGGTGGGGAACCCAAATGCCCACCACTGGCACTTCCCTCGGCCCCGCCTCGGATGACTCCTCCAGTCCCCAAACGATCTAGGTTTTGGGGGGCCACGCGAGCGCTGCACCGGCACACGGAGATAAACCAACACCAAGCTGGTTTTAGAGATGGAGATAAGATAAAGGGGGACAACCACCAACCCCATCAGCTGGTCTCTTGGTTTGGTCGAGCAGGAAGCGCCAAACAAGGCATACAATGGAGACTCTGAAACCCATCACCCGTGAGTTGATCACCTACGTAGCTGACCTGCCTGCCATGTCTCATGAGGCACCCGCGCGGGAGTGTGAGAGAGTGGGGGGCGGATCGGGTCTTGGAGACGGGCTCCCCGTTCAGACGCTCAAGAAACAGGCTCTAGGTTACTAGCCACGGCCTCCTGGCGGGAGTCACATACATACTGTACGTACCCATCCGTACTGTCGCGAGGGAGAAGACAGGGTGGCCCGTTGACCAAGCGGGTTTAAAACATTTCGGACTCTGGTGATCACGAATTTAGGTTTGTCCCAAAACGGCCAAGCCACATTTGGATACCTGACCTCGAAAAGGGGGGGTGTGCAGGTAGATAAGCCCTGCCAAAAGGAAGAAAAAAAAAGAGAACCCCAATATAATATAAAAAAGGGCTGCATCACAGAATATTCCCGGGTGATCAACCGTTTGCGTGCAACCCGCCTAGGGTGAGACAGCAAAAAGAAAGGCAACTGCCGCGTAGTTCGGGGACTACTAGCCGTCCTACTGCCGCTCCGATCCCGATACTATCGAGAACTTTACGTAGGATTGAGGAATGATGTCGTGCTATGCGCTAGTCATTGACACTGCTTTCTACCGCTATAATACAAGAAAAGAAAAGGGGGGCTTTGCTATCTCAGAGATGCTTCCCTCCTCAGAAAGGCAATCTAGAGTGCTCATCCTTATCTGAGCATGTATGTACAAAAAAAGTCCCTGCAGCGTATAGCCCCCCCGGTGCGATGTTAATAACCGGAAAGCCTCCTATTTATACATATACACTACATACCCAGCCTAGTCATACCGCATCCCCCGCCGATCTGAGGCGGTGGCGGCGTACTCGCATAGCGCATTTACTGCATAGGAAAGAGTAGGTAAGTCCTTCGTAAGCGTAGGTAGGGTAATGGGGTTTCTCGTCTGCGGTGGTAGGACATACACCAAAGCGGGCGGGCGGTTGGGGCGTAAATACCACGTTGCCCGGCTCCTTCACAGTTCACACACATATATTAGCGGATTCTCGGGATCATATTTAATATCCAAAAAGCGACAAACAGACAAAGGGGCGGTGAGCATGTCGGCTAGGTCTAATTGACTTGCACAACCAAGAGAGTTTGGATTTGCCTTGCAGTTGGTTGGTTGGTTACCTTGCTTCGCTTTGGCTATAGTAGGAGGTAGCCCGGGCAATTAATGAATTCGATGAAAGGCGGACTTGGTGACAAAGACGCCTCGCTTGGCGATCTGTGATCTTATCTTATCCAAGGTGCGTGCGCGCAGGGTGTTCAAGTAGTGCAACAGACCAGCCTTGGGGGCCGTCGGAACGGTCGCGAAATCGGCATCTGCAAGACACCGAGGGTTAGCTATGGGGAGCTCAGGACGGGAAGGGACGGGCGGGACAGCGGACAACTTCAACTTCGACATCATCATGTGAGCTCTTGAATCATTTGTCGCCAACCTTCAAACTTGTAGATGGGTGAAAATGACGCGGTCAGGCTTTCGGGAGGATTACTCTCTACAACTACAATGAGCCCTTTGTTTTGCTGCCGTTGTCGACGCCCACGCGGGGACTTTGGGACATGCCCAGCAAACATTCCGGATTATTTCCAGCGGGTTGCTCGGTCGGTGATGAGTCAACTGACGAAGGGACCCGAAACCCCGTGCTTTCCCGTACGCCCCCCCTTTCGTCCGATCGATTCAAGAGAAGGAGGAAAAGCAGCCATGCGGCTCAGTCATCCGCCCGCTCCCCACCCGCATGATATGCAGCCTGTCTCTCTGTCTGTGGGAGAGGGGCTCCCGTCGTCGGGAAAGCGGGACGCACGCAGGTGCGAAAGCTGACGCCTCATTTCTGTGTCAGGGAGAAACTCCACGGAAATGGGCCCGTGTTAAACCCGAGGAAACGAAGGAAGTTGTGAAGGACAAATGGGAAGACACGGGCAGGTGCGTCTTCCACCGTACAGTCAGTTACTTGCGAAAGTTCCGATGAGAGAGAGTAGGAGCGACATCATCCGATGTAGACGATGCAACAACGGTGGGGTTGGCGATGCTCGGTCGGATCCGACCAAGTTAAATTCAAAGACTTCCCAACCTGCAGTCTACACTGTAACGGAGCATGCGGGATCAACGGGAAGCAGGGACCTGGCTAATGGACTTAGGAATGGCAGGACGGAGTTTCGGCTCTAACACCGCGCTGCTGGAGATGGAACCCGCGGGGTATCCAGGCAGTTTAAAAATGCCGACGGAGCCCCGGGCTTTCCCGACCTGATTACTAACTGCGGTAGGGGCTAGGGACCAGTGCACTGGTGCAGCGGGGCGCTTGGGCCGCCGACTCGGGTTCTGTAACATGCCGGTCGGTCAGAAAGTGATTGGAACGGTATCCGTATCCATCCGAAAAGAGAAAAAAAATAAGGATTGGAAATCCCAATCGCCGCAGATGTGCAATCGCCGACGGCCGACTCGGCACAACGACGTCACCAGACACCTGAATACCCCGTCAACCCGGCTTAGCGTTTGTTTGACATCTCGGCGTCGCAATGCAATACCGAGCACGGAGCAGTGAGTAATTAGCAAACCGGCATACCACAACACACTCTACCTACACACTCGGTTGAGTTAGTTGAGCCGGTTCCATGCAGCCAGCCACGAGGGTTCTGGCGGCAGCGCCATCCCTGCGGCTGGCCTCCAGAAGCAGCCGGACCAGCGCCAGCATCAATGCGGCCCTGTACCTGTGCAGCCGCTGCCTGTCTCGGCAGCAGCAACAACAGCGCCGGCAGCTGTCCCACTCGGCGCCCTGCCGCCGCGCCGCCCCCTTCGCCGCGCCCGTTCCCTCCGGGCTCGCCGCCCTGTCCTCGCGCCGCCTGATCTCCGTGTCCGGGCCCGACGCCGCCCGCTACCTGCAGGGCGTCATCACGGCCAACATCCTGGCCTCTCCCTCTCCGTCCCCAGGACAGCAGCCACACCAAAACGCCGCCGCCGGCTTCTACGGCGCCTTCCTGACCGCCACGGGCCGCGTGCTGCACGACGTCTTCATCTACCGCGACACGTCCCGGCCCGACGGCGACGACGGCTTCCTGGTCGAGGTCGACGCCGCCGAGGCCGAGCGCCTCGAGAAGCACATCCGCCGCTACAAGCTGCGCGCCAAGTTCGACGTGCGCCTGCTCGACCCCGCCGAGCGCCGCGTGTGGCATGCCTGGGGCGGCGGCAGCGGCATTCTCCTCTCTGGTGGGAACGACCACGCCGGCACCATCGCCCTGCAGGACTCGCGCGCCCCGGGTTTGGGCTACCGGCTCGTCACGGCGGGGGGCTCGGAATCACCTCCCGAAGTAGTAGAATCAACAGCCGCCGCAGCAGCAACAGACGGCCTTGCAGTCGTCGACGAGCACGCCTACACGGTCTGGCGGTACCTACACGGGGTGGCCGAAGGCCAGGGCGAGATGCTGCGCGAGCACGCGCTGCCGCACGAGAGCAACCTCGACGTCATGGGCGGCGTCGACTTCCGCAAGGGCTGCTACGTGGGCCAGGAGCTGACCATCCGCACCGAGCACCGCGGCGTCGTGCGCAAGCGCATCCTGCCGTGCGTGCTGTACGACAGTTCCGACAACATCCCGCAGCAGCTCAGCTACAGGCCCACCATAACTGCTGGTGGTCCTGGGGAAGAAGACAACACGGCCTCCGCGGTGCTCGCCGAGACCAGCATCGGCCGCGTCGGCAAGCGCGGCCGCAGCGCCGGCAAGTGGCTGCGCGGCGCCGGCAACGTCGGGCTCGCCCTGTGCCGCCTCGAGACCATGACCGACGTGGCCCCGCTGCTGCTGCCTGGCGAGATGGCCGCCGCCCCGGGCGCGTTCACGCCCGAAGACGAGTTTGTCGTTAGTACTACTGGGGAAGAGGAGGAAGACGGCAGGACACTTCGCATCAAGGCGTTTGTGCCCGACTGGCTGCGGCTGCGGCTGGCTGAGAAGTCGCACGCGCGCGAATGATATTCCGGGGGGATGTGGAGCTGTATAGAACAACACCGGCGAGAAGCTTAGACGTAGATATCGTAGTGTATTGTATTGTATTGTACTTTACAGTAGCACCGTTTGTGAACTTTGGAGATGAGCATCATTCACTTCTTGCGCAGCTATGGCGAGTCTGTATGTTTGTCTTCTCTTTCTCCTTTGCTACGTGCGAATAACACATCAACACACCACACACAACGTGGACAGTAGACTAGGGGTCTGAAAAAGTTGCCACAAATAGGGGGGGTATCATATTCTATGTTTGTACTCTATAAAGCCACACACGACGACTTTTCGTCTTCTTCTTCTCCGTTATTAAGAGGATAGGGGGCCATCAAATTAAATGAAACCAAGAGATGTGTTGACGGCTACAGGGCGCCCTGAACTGCCTGCGTTATGACGTAAAGGCGCGACGGTGGCTCGCTAGGTTGCCGCTGCCGCTGTTCCATCGGGCTGCTGCTGCTCGGCTGTGGCGCGCCGGCGCTTCTCCTCGTCGCGCTTGGCCTGGGCAGCGCGGAGGCGCGCCATGGTGGACGCGAAGCTGTCTTTGGGTTTATTAGTTTGCGCGGCAGCAGATTTATTAGCAGGAGGGGGGACCAGGTTTGGTGGTGGAGGCGCTGCCGCTGCCGTCTTGTCTGCGTCAGCGGTTGGCTCTGCCGCGGCAGTGGAAGCATAGGTAGAAGACAAGGGAGCGGCAGCAGGGTTGGTGAGTCCTCCGCCGTCTTGCCCTGCCCCCGGAGGCGGCGGTGATGTTGTGTGTGCTGTTGTTGTTTTCTTTTTGGATTTCCGCTGCTGCTTCTCGGCCTTGCGCTGCTTGCTCTCTCTGATGCGCCGCTCGAGCTTGGCGACACGGTCGTCGTAGTCGTCGCCGCCGTCGCCACGGCCTGGTGCTGCCGCTGCCTGTTGTATATATGCGGCATCGTCCTTCTCCCTCATCTGCTCCTCCTTCTGTTGTGCTGCCGCCGCCCTCTCCTCGGCCTCTCTCCGCAGGCGCTTCATCTCGTCGAGCTTGGCGCGGCCGCGGGCTGCCATAGCCTCGCGCTCGGCGGTCTGGGCCCGGTCTGCTCCGGGGGCGGCGCCGGTGCGGGCGCGCTTGGCCTCCTCCTCGCGCTGCTCGAGCTCCTCGACGAGGCGGCGGCGGCGCGACGACATCTGGTCGAGGGCGGCACGCTTCTGCAGGACGGCGCGCATGCCGTTGTCGTAGGCATCGCGGGCGGCCGGGAGGGCCAGAACGTCGCGCGCGCGCTCCAGCCGCTCGTACAGGGCCGGGTCGTAGGCGTCGCCGGCCTTGTCGGGGTGGGCCGTTAGGGCTTTGCGGCGGAAGGCGCGGCGGATGTCGGACTCGCTACTCGTGGCGTCGACCGACAGCAGCGCGAAGAGGTCGTCGCCGCGCGCCGCGGCATCGCGCGCGTACACCACAAGATCTGCCTCCATGGTGGACGACTTTGTGCTTGTCTGTATGGTTGTGGGTGTGGTTGCTGTTGTTGGCGAGAGATGTGGTGATTTTTGTTGGTGTTTTTCAGTCAAGTTGGACTTTGACGTCGTGGGTGCAGAAGCAGGGATCTTGAATCCGTGGCGAGGTGGGCCTGCCCGTGGGTAATGGTTGTAGCTAGGGGGGGGGGGGGAATTTGGCAGGGGACTAGGCCTGTTGAGGCGGGCTGTTTGGGGGGTTGGTAGCACGCTAAATGGCGGCCTTAGCAACCACAAGACGGTGCCCAGAAACTGACAGGCGAGCCCGGGCAGGCTGGATTAAACCTTCAACAATTTATTGTCATCCAATCTCTTCCTCCATCCTTTTTCACAAATCCATGTGATGCAAACCCGATGTACAACCAACCTCTAGAAGACTTTTACACGAGCCAAGTTGGGAATAAGCATCACCATTTATCCGTCGGTAATTAGATGAAATATATGATATTTGTATATCGTCCTCAATCATCATGCATGTCATTCAGTCAGTCATTCGATCTGCCCACCCTACCCTACCCACCCTTACCTTCGGCTACACAAAAACAAATGCAACATCTTCCAGTCTACCAATCCATCCAAACACGGAACACGGTCAGTAGGTGGCGGTCAGCCTCTGCACTAGATACTGGCCGCTATTGATGCCGTCGTACTTCTTGTCGGCGGGGGTGGCATACGTGCCCGGCAGCGCCTCGATGTGGCTCTTGAAGTTTGGGTTGCAAAAGTAGCTGCTCACGGCCCGTCAGTCAGTCATGTACCTAGGGTATCAAAGACGGGAAGCACGTACGCGATGCTGTATCTCGGCGGGTGCTCGTCCTCGGTGCCTTGCGGCGGCTCGACGACGCGGTGGATGGTGGACTTGATAGTATCATTACTCCAGCGCGCCAGCAGGTCGCCCGCGTTGACCACGCACGTGTCCTCGATGGGCGTTGCGTCGACAAACTGCCCGTTGGGGCTCTTGACCTGCAGCCCGCCGCGCGAGTCCTGGAAGAGCAGCGTGATGGACCCGTAGTCGGAGTGCTCGCCCGCCCGCACCTGGCCCGGGTTGATCTGGAACACCTCCTTCTTGACCGCCGGGTAGTGCAACAGCCGCAGCGTGTTGTCGCCCACGTCGACGAACCCGTCGAAGAAGCTACCCTCTAGCCCCATGCCCACCGCGATAGCCCGCATCACCTCGACGTGCAGCGCCTTGCACTGCTCGAAGAAACCGGTCATGGTCGCCCTGAACCCCGCCAGCTCGCCCTTCTCCGCTGGCCACTGGTTCGGGTGCTCTGGCTCTCCCTCGCGCCCGATCTCGAAGCTCTCCTTGATGTCGGGCGCCGACGACCGCACCTTCTCTACCTCGCTGATATCCGTCAACTGCGTCACCTTCTCACGCCCCGGCGCCGAGTAGCCTCTGTTCGCCTCTGGCGTCGTCCATCCAAGCGATAGCTTCGTCTCGAGAGGCAGCCGAAATAGCTTGGTCGACGTGCCGAACACGTGCGCCCGCGTTGCTGCCGTGACGGGTATGTTCTTGAGGTAGATGAAGCCGGCCGTCTGGAAGCCCTTGAGGATGGCCTGCGCCGTCTCCAGCTTCTGGCTCTCGTCCCCGCCGAGGAATTTGGAAAAGTCTATCAGCTGCGCGCGAGGCGTGTGTCAGGCAACAAGTAGATGAGAACTTCTTCGTTGGGCTACAAGATCCCTACCGGAATGACGAGTCCATCGCCTTGCACGGCTGCCTTCTCCATCCTGTAAGTCCTTGTGCCTTTCTTTACTCCTGCCGAGCTTAGATAGGAGGCGTGGGTAACGGTTTGTCGGGTCGTGGACTGGCGTGAGCCGCGTTATCTAGCCTGTCCTGCTACGCGGTATGGCAAATATTGAAGGCACGGTGGTGTTAGGGGAGTGCGAGAGTGCTAGCCTGTTTTCTTTGTCTCGGCTATCTTCGGACGACGCCGAGACAGCTGCCGATGTGATAAGCGGCCTTGGCTTTGATCCAACGACGTGGGAAAACAGAAAACGATGTCCCTACCTGGTAGCGACTTACAGCTTTACCGCGGGAAACCGAGGCTTTCTGGTTCGCCGTTGCGACTCCCTATCCTGGAGAGACAGACGGCGAGAGCCACCTTCTTAAACCGACAAGCGGCCCTCGCGGCGGGAGCGATAAGGATGGTGCGGGGATGGCATGCAAGACACGCAGAGCTGCATAGGTTGGTGGCGGCACGTTGTTCAGGAGAGGCGGGGTTGGGGTCTGGATTGCCCCCCCCCCCCTTTACTCGTCAGGTTCCTCGGGCATGTTATGTCTCAATGTCAACATGGCTTGGTGACTGACTGGGAGCAGTCGGGCAAGCAATAAAAACAACCCCCATCCTACAGCATACCATCCATCGCCATACCACACAACATGGCGCAGGCGGCGCAGGCGGTTCTGGGGACCAAGGAGAAGAAGGTGGTCGACGTGCACACGCACATGTACCCGCCAGAGTATGTCCGCATCCTCGAATCACGGACCACCATTCCGCTAGTCCGGAGCTTCCCGGGCGCACCGGACCCGCGTCTAATTCTACTCCAGGCCGAGGTGCCGTTGCTCGACTCGGCCGCCGCCGCCAAATTGGGGCAAGACACCGCTGCTGCCCCTGCAATACCCGGCCGGCCATTGACGCGCCACTACGCGAGCCTGGAGCAGAAGCTTCACTTTATGGACACGCACGGCATCGACATCTCAGTGCTCTCCCTCGCGAACCCCTGGCTGGACTTTGTCGACGCCGCCTCGGCGGGCGACGTGGCCCAGTCCATCAACGCCGAGTTCGCGCACATGTGCTCGCAGCACCCGGGCCGGCTCTACTTCTTCGCCACCCTCCCGCTCACGGCCCCACTCGCCACCGTCCTGGCGTCCATCAAGCACGTGCAGGCCCTGCCGCGCTGCCGCGGCGTCATCCTCGGCACGTCCGGGCTCGGCCAGGGCCTCGACGACCCGGCGCTGCTGCCCGTCTTCGCCGCCGTCGCAGCCGCCCGGCTCCCCGTCTTCCTGCACCCGCATTACGGCCTTCCCAACGACGTGTGGGGCCCGCGCGCCGCCGAGTACGGCCACGTGCTGCCCCTCGCGCTCGGCTTCCCCATGGAGACCACCATCGCCGTGACGCGCATGTTCCTAGCGGGCGTCTTCGACGCGGTGCCCGCGCTGCGCATGTTGCTGGCCCACAGCGGCGGCACGCTGCCCTTCCTGGCCGGCCGCATCGAGAGCTGCGTGCTGCACGACGGCCACCTGCTACGCGAGGGCCGCCTCGGCCCCGCCCGCCGCACCGTCTGGGACGTGCTGTCCACCCAAATCTACCTCGACGCCGTCGTCTACTCACCCGTCGGCCTCAGGGCCGCCGTCGACGCCACCGGCGCGGACCGCCTCATGTTTGGGACCGACCACCCCTTCTTCCCGCCTCTCGCCAGCGACGAGCAGGGCCCCTGGGAGAGCGTCAGCCTCAACGCCGCTGCCGTAAGCGCCGCGCTCGCCTCCGCCGCCGATGCGGATGCCGTCATGGGCGCCAATGCCGTGCGCGTGCTGCGGCTGTACGAGGGAGACGAAGTCGACGAGGTGGCGGCGTAATCAGTTCTGTGCTCTGTGCTCTCTGCTAGAAGACAGAAGGGAATGAGTGGATGAATGGTAGGTATAGTGCTCAGAATCAAATTACCAATAATTAATCGGCTCCATGTCGTTCCAGAGTGGCTTGGACAGCTCCCTAGGCGGTAACGTATACGTGTGCCGAAGCACTCAACCATCCGAGGAGGAACGAGCAACACAAGTGAGACTACTAGAATATAACGGGGCGACTTCTTTCTGATTGCCACCAGCGGATGATTTATCGGATAGCATATGTAAATTGTGAACTCGGTCGCCTCTCTCGGCCAAGGCAACACTAGCTCACACTTGTTTCTCTGATTTTGTAATCCCATGTATACATGCGTTTACTATATGGATATCCCATCCCAATGTAACGAGCATACCATGTACCCTTCAAACACAAAAATCACTGCGCGCTCGCTTTTGTTGGCTTGGCTATCCTTTTATTTATCCTTCCATGTCTATGTCTACCGGCCAGCCAATGTAGCCAACACATGACACAGACATTAGCCACAGACGCAGCCAGCATCGCCTCTTGACGGCTAGGGCTAGGTAGCGTGTCTATATACTGAGGAGCTTCAATCCATATTTCTTAGCACGGAGGAGCAGACACGCCTCACTGTATGCGTAGCTTCTGCTTGGTGCGCTTGCGCTTGCCGCCGACCTCCCTGTTCTCCTCCATCTCGAGCAGGGCCTCGCGCTTCTTCTCGCCGACGACCTTGAGGGCGTCGCGGACGACGCGCGCCTCGAGGTTGACGCCGTCCTCGCGCCAGGGCTCGAGCTGCGTGCCGACGCGTTGCTCGATGGCTAGCACTAGGTCGACGTCGCGCTGGCCGACAAAGGTGACGGCGTCGCCCTTGCGGCCCGCGCGCGCTGTGCGGCCGACGCGGTGGATGTAGTCGTCCGGGTCGCGCGGGATGTCGTAGTTGATGACGAGCTTGACCTCGGGGATGTCGAGGCCTCTGGCGGCCACGTCGGTGGCGACGAGGATACGGGCGGCCGAGGCCCGGAACCGCGCCAGGTTGTCGATGCGCTGCCGCTGCGGCAGCTTGGAGTGCAGCGCCGTGATGCGGTGGTCTAGCAGGCGCAGCATGTGGTGCAGGAAGTCGGCCGTCGACGTGCGGTTGCAGAAGATGATGAGCGGCTTGTCCACGTTGGCGGGCGTTAGTAGGAACATGTGCAGGTAGTGCTCGCGGTGCGTGACGGGCACCTGGAGGTGCATCTGGTTCAGCGTCGCGGGGATGGCGGGTCCCTGCGTGTCGATTTCGCACACGAACACGGGCTCCCGGCCGGCCTGCCGCGGCATGTCCTTGAGGGCGCGGACCTCGGGGGTGATGGTAGCCGTGAACAGGAGAGTCTGGCGGGCCGAGGGTGGCGGCAGGGCGCTGAGGCACTCCTCTACGTCGGGCAACATGCTGCCCACGCCGTTGCCGGCTGCCAAGAGACGGTCGGCCTCGTCGAGCACGATGAAACGGGCCCGCTTGAGCCCGCCGACCGTGTCATCACCCGAAGTCCGGATGTGATCAGCCAGGCGGCCAGGGGTCGCGATGACAACATGCGGCCGCTGGGCCAGGGCGATGGCCTGCGACCGCATGTCAGAGCCTCCGGTGATGAGGATGGCCTTGAGCGACTGCGGCGCGGAGATGGCCTTGAACTGCTCGTATATCTGCAGAGCCAGTTCTCTGTATGCATTATGTGGTTAGTTCTAGAGTGATTACTCATGTAATTTACGTGATTCACGCACACGACTCGGGGACGTACCGAGTGGGGGTGAGGACGAGGCCAAAGATGGCCGAGGGGTTCTCGGCCCATTTCTGCAACATGGGAACGGCAAAGGCCACTGTCTTTCCGGAACCGGTCCTGCTGCCTCCGATGCAGTCTCTGCCCGACAGAATCATGGGGATGGTCTGCTTCTGGATGGCCGTGGGCCGCTTGATGGCCATGTTGGTCAAGGCCTGGACCAGCCACGGGCGAACATTGAGCGAGTCGAAGCTGGTGGTTGCGTCGATAGGGGCCAGGATCCGCGGGGCCGGGATAGGCAGCGCGGCAGGACCAGCGGCAGCGTCTGCGTGTGCGACTACTCTATGCTTGGCAGCCTTGTCTTGTCCGCTTTTTATCCGCGAGGGAACGCTGAAGGCAGACTTGAGGGTGGGTGTATCAGTATTGGGCGAGGGCGAGGTGCGCCGTCGTTTCCTGGGACTAGCATTGTCAAGAGAGTCCGAATCGGAGTTAGAGTCTAAGCCCCAGTCTGAGCCCGAGTCTGAGCCTGAGTGTGAACCTGAGTCCGAGTCTGAGCCTGAGTCTGCATCTGAGCCGGATACAAAACCCAACCCGGCACTCGGCTCCTCGTCGTCGTCGCTTGACGCCGAGACTGGGGGGGCGAGATGGGTAATGTCTGCGTCTGCGTCTGCTTGGTCAAGGACGGCGGCTGTTGGCCTCGCTTTGGCGGCCTTGGCCTTCTTCGCCTTTGCCTTTGCCGCCGCGGCCGATGGCATTGCTGCTATTGCTGGGGCCCTCGGCTTGAAAGCTTGGAAATGGGGTTGCAGATCTGCAGCTCGCTTGACAGTGCGCATGAAACAAAACAAGATTACCCAAGGGCCAAGTGGTGGGCAGAAACAACGCAGATGGTTGCTAGGTCCGTCGGGTGTGGAAGGTCGTGAGCCGCCGCGCTTTCCTGCTATTAAAAAAAATATTCACAATATACTTCGTACCGAAGGCTGGTGCAACTTGGCAGGGAAAGTGTGGGGCACTGGCCGCCGAAGCGCAGACTGGCAAGGGTATGGCCCCACCCTGCCCGCCCGCTGCCGCGATCGGGCTTGAAAAGGGGCCTGCGAGTGGTCCCTTCCCCTTCCCAAGCGACACGAACCGCATGCACACCTGCGGCGCCGGGTCCAGGCTGGCCAACGGCAGTCCACGAGCACCGGCGCTTAACGGGGAGACGCGCATATAGGCGCCTGGAAAAGTCGGCTGTCGTCTATCGTCTGTCGTCTGTCGTCTGTCGATCTCCTGGGTCCTGGGTGGAACCTGCCTGCTGTTGCCGTTCTCCTGGGTCCTTGCAGCTTTAAGCTCAGTGTCGTTGCCTTTTTGGGCCTCTCTAAACCTGGTTCGAGACTAGAAGCGAGATCGAGAAGGTGCGTGCTGGTGCATGCTGAGTGGCCTTTCCATCGGTGGACTGCACCGTTACGTACACGTGTACGTGCGAACCTCCCAATGCTTTTGTGTACTGTGGCCGCGTGCGAAAGTAAAACCCCCATGTCAGGTACCTGTGGGGCACAACACCACACACGTTTTGGCCAAAAAGCTGAACGCGCCAAATCGACACCGAACACACCCAAATTTCTGCTGTACTGCACATTGTAAGAACCTTTTCGAAGAATCCAAGGATTCTCAACAACCTACAGCAGCATAATGGCCCGGCCACAGGGATCTAGCGGTACTAAACAGCTCGCTACCGAAGAGCGCCAGCGAATTCGAGTTCTATATTTCGATGCCAGCAAAAGCGAAGCCGAGATTCACAGCATTACTGGCTACACCAAGCCCAGATCCGGACTGCTATACGCACTAACGATGCCGCTGTTGGGTGCCGTACTGGCCGGCCACGAACCTTGACCCCGGAGCAAGAAGATGAACTTGTTTAATATGTTGTTTCTTGGTAAAAAGCTCGTCGAATGGGCCTCCTCGAGCTCTTAATGGTCATCTTCGCCAGGGCTTATAGTATGTGGCTAATTAAGTATACCCTTTATCGACTGGGCTTCCGCCGACGAGTTGCCCGCAAGAAGCCACCCATTACCGAAAAGAACCAGAAGCTCCGACTAGCCTAGGCCCAAGAGCACGAGCACTGGACCCCCGAGCAATGGGCAAAGATTCTCTGGATCAACGAGACCTGGGTTACTGGTGGCCTGTATAGGAAGTAGTATGTGACTCGGCGTCCAGGCGAGGAGCGGGATCCCACTTGTATTGTGGAAAAGCATCAACATAAGGGGGGCTGGATGTTCTGGGGTTGCTTTTCTGGCTTGGGTAAAGGCCTAGGAATCTTCTAGGAGAAAGATTAGGGCAAGATTAACCCCGAAACCTGTCGAGCGCACACTATACTTATAATATACGGCTAGGTATAGCTTTATAAGAAATAGCTTAGCGAGGATCTAATCCTGATGTAAGACGGTACTCTAGGGCATGCAGCCTCAGAGATGAAGGAAGATCTTATTTCGCTAGATTTAAACCCTATCGAGTCTTGTTAGAACTGGATGAAGGACTAGATCGAAGACCGGTACGGCCTGGAAGAGAAGCCTTTGTACGATAACTACGCCAGTATGTTAAGGAGGCTTAGGAGGCACCACCTAATCACTACCTGAAAGAGCTGCTGGCATCAATGCCAGAACGGTGCAGAGCAGAGCTAATGGTATTGATACAAAATATTAGCTAGTCTTTTAGTGTATTTACTGTAGTATAGTGTGGATACAATGTTAAGACTAACGCGAATACCCCGCATAGAGGTTTTACTTATTACCCATACCACCACAGTAATGTCCTCCTGTATCGTGGTAATGTCAATGTCGTTCGTGAAAGGCTGCAGGCGCTCATCAATGTGTTGCACAATTGTCGACATTGTGTGCTCGACCGCAGCGAAACGACCATCGATCTTGTGTTCTGCCGCGGCGAAACGATGATCAATCTTAGATCTCATTACATCGAGCTCCGGTCGAAGAGCTGCGATAATTCGGACTTCGCTTACTGATAATTCGGACATCGTGTGCTACTGTGCTGATGTGCAGACTCGGGTACCAAGAAACGACGGGATAAAAAATTAGTCTTACGAAGACGTACGGATTAGAAGAGTTGAGAAATGAAGGAAACTCTAGGACGGGAATTAGTACTACGTGAATTTGTTAAAAAGTTTTTCCGAATGGGACCAAAACCTTGGGAAAGAGCATATACATCTACTGGATGCCAAACCTTGATACAAGATACCTAGCATCTCGTGCCTACCTCCTGCTGGCATGCTTCATTTCTGTGGCTGCCAAGGAGCCTCGAAGCTACATAACTCACCAGGCAAAACTAGTTCGTCAAATACGGCACAGTCCCGAATGCTGGCGGGAGGCAACTCCTCCTTCAACGGTATTCGGTAAGGAAACAGCCAATAGGTCGCAATAATCCGTCAAATAACCTTATCAGCCCATGTCATGCCCATCCAGCCTGGGTTTGAGACCGGCCGGAACTGTCGTCTCAGGAGCGCCTTTGTGGAATTGTGGATGGAGATGGGGGGAGGAAATCGGGAGCCGAGACAGCCATCCCATTCGTCAGAGCTTGACGATGAATTTCGACTGGAAGATCGGCAGCTTCTCTCGCCCGCACCAGAGCAGCACAGTGCAGCTCCGGCCAGAGCACTCATCACCATGTCCTGTGCTGTGCGTCTGCCCAATACGGAGACTGCTCTGGATGCCCTAGGGGGATGGCCTTGGCTGGGAGGGTGTGAAGGGCCCCCTGCAAGTGAAATGGCGTTGGTGGCGTCCACTCAGTGCTGGGTTTTCAGGGCGTTCCCCGCCCACTCCCCCTCCCCCTCCCTTGCACCACTATGTGGACCCGGGTCCGGCCTTTGCTTGGCCTCGAAGCACGGATCCTCGACGAGTGGGAGCCATCACCGCTGCTTCTTCATTTGCTCCCGCAAAACAGGCATGGAATTCTCTGTCCCTAGCCAAGAGAGTGAGTCTTGAGAACCGAGATTTCTAATGCAGTATATACGATATATATATTATATATACATACAGAATCTTTTAGTTTCCCTAGCACAGGGTTGAGAGGGAGATTATGGATACGTCCCCGCCTGGGCTGAGGTGTCATGCTAGACAATTGTTTGTTGCCCTTGCCCGGGTTGCCTACCCACCCCTCATTTTGACCCAATTTCCTTCTTTACCTTAGACATGTCTCCCTAGTGTTGTAATCGTAACCGTAGAGCACTTTCTTACTTCACACATTTACGTGTATAGATGCATACTTGGTAGTTACATGCTGTTGTAGTACGCTGCCGGATCCATAAGGCGTGCTCATGAGGCAGGCTCGAAGACGGGGCAAGTCTTTCCAGTTTCCATTCTAGGACTGGCCCTCCACTTTCGGGGACCCCTGGCTCATCACATTGGCTAGCGGAGCAATCAAGTCGCGCGCAGGGAGGCCCAAACGGCGAGAGCCCTGGAGCCCTGGGAAGGTCGGCGCCTCGCTGCGCAGCCCATGCCATGGATGCCCGCCTTCCTGCGCACTAGGGCCCCCCTGTCTAGTTTTATATCTGAGGAGGGCGGGGACAACCTAAGCTGTCCCCACGACCCGCACACCTCACCTCAGGCACCGCCAACCCAACCTGACCCTCAGCAGTTCCATCCCACCTCAGGGCAGCCAGCAACTTGGTCCTATCTGCCGCCCTGTAAATGTCGTAGACGGCCCTCGTCACCGCATCTACGAATCATCCCACGAACCAAGCCAGTCCATGGTCCAGCGCCCGCCAACATCTCGAACCAACAGCCTCAGCCCAGGGCCGAAAAGGGCATACCTACATACAAACGACAACTGGAACACACCCCTCTTCTCCAATCTCCTCTTCTGATCCATCCCCCCACTCGCAGTCGCCGACCTTGCCTTGTCGTACAATACAAAGATACTGCTTTCGCATTGCGCCTTTCCAAACATCAAAGTATCCCATACTTCGGCTTGGGACAGCATCCACAGTTCGTCTTTACGTCCACGCACGTACGCACACGCACGCCCGCACGCACACGCCCATTCCCACGTCCACACCCGCGTCCAAGCTTCTCCAGGTCATACCAAAGCCTCGTCGGGACCTGTCAGCTTTGTTGCTGCTGCTGCTGCTTTGGCGCTTCGGGCCTATTATCTCAGCCCACCCGCTGGGGTCACCGCCAACTCGGTGCCTCTGCTTCTCTGTCCCTCCGCTTTTGCTTCTGCACCTGCGTCTGCGTCTGCATTTCGGCCAGCTTCGCTGTTGGTTCCTCTGTGGTGACAGCGAACGAGCGAGGCCAGACAGCAGGCAAGGCAAGCAAGCAGCCAAACACACAGCCGAGCAAGCAGCTGGGAGCCCCCCTCCCAGCCCCAACGCACCCCAATGGTCGATTACGAAAACCAAAGCAGCGACGGTGCTGCACCTCGTACTGTATGGATCACCGTCTCTTATTTTACTTTCTCTTGTCCTTTCTCTCTTGTCTGCTTCCCTTCCCTCCTCTCGTCAGAACTTTTTGTCTTTGTCATTCTGGACTGCCTCCGCTTTTTCTCCCTGTGCTGTACCTCGTACTTGACTGTTGCGCACTAGCTGTGTCCTACCTGTCTCTGTCTAAAGGAGCACGCGCTCCCAAGGGAGAGAGAAAGTCGGACACAGACGTTGGTCGTGGCAGTGTGGTACCTTGCTAACGCTTTGACTGGGCAAACCTTCAAGGCCTCACAGCCTACTATCGAGCTCCCACAGCAACCAGCCTCCGCACCCGCTCCCACCATGTCAGCGCCCGTGCCTCTCCTTCGGCCGGCCATTCCCGGCTCCCGTCCCGGCCGGGCGCCACGCTTGGGACTCGCCATCCCTCCGTCTCCCAACGTCAAGCCTCTCGGAAACCCACCCGGGCCACCCCCGGGGCGCCCAGCCCTACCCACCCTAAAGCTGGCCACTCCGATGGGCGGCTCGGGAGCCCCCCATAACCCACATCAACTTCATCTCATAACCCAGAACCAGAGCGCCAGCGGCGGCAGCGAAAGCAGTGCCGCTCACAGCAGGAGCGGCAGTTTCGGTCCCCTCGACGGCCGCGCCAGCAACCCAACTAGCGCCGCATCGCAGTTTAGCGTTCTTTCCTTTGCCAGTCAGTATGGAATCGGATCAAACAGACCCCAGGGGACGCCGGACCCCGTCTCCGCGGTCGGCTCGCTGTACTCGAATGCGAGTGAGAGTGCCGTGGGCATGGAACGCGAAGGCAGCCTGCACGGCCTAGAAAACTTTGACAAGCTTAGTCTGGAGAGGGCAAGGACATTAGACGTCGAGGATCTTGATGACGACGGATGGCGGATCGCCAGTATGGAGAGGAGAGTCGTTGAGCTTGGGAGTCTTGGTGAAGGCGCCGGTGGCGCCGTGACAAGGTGTAAGCTGGTCGGGGGTACAACAGTTTTCGCTCTAAAGGTATGAGTGCTTCTCCGGTGAAAAGGTTGGGATGAAAGCCTGACAGCTGACATATTTCGCTCTAGGTTATCACAACAAATCCAGATCCCGACGTCAAGAAGCAGATTGTGCGTGAGCTCGGTTTTAACAAGAACTGCGCCTCGGAACACATTTGCCGCTACTATGGCGCCTTCGTCGATCCGTCGACTTCAACCATTTCCATCGCCATGGAATTCTGCGAGGGCGGGTCACTGGATAGCATCTACAAGGAGGTGAAGCGGCTTGGCGGGCGTACAGGCGAGAAGGTGCTCGGCAAGATTGCTGAAGGCGTCCTCCACGGCCTGACCTACCTGCACAGCAAGAAGATCATCCACCGTGATATCAAGCCCAGCAACATTCTCCTCTGCCGCAATGGCGAGGTCAAGCTCTGCGACTTTGGCGTCTCAGGCGACTTCGGCACAAAGGGCGAGGCCGATACCTTCATTGGTACTAGCTACTACATGGCCCCCGAACGCATTACCGGCAAGTCGTATACCATCACATCCGATGTCTGGTCCACAGGTGTTACCCTGCTTGAGGTTGCCCAGCATCGCTTCCCCTTCCCCGCCGACGGGACTGAGATGCAGCCGCGTGCCGGCCTCATCGACCTCCTGACGTACATCGTCCGCCAACCCATCCCCAAGCTCAAGGACGAGCCCGAAGCAAACATCTTTTGGAGTCAGAGCTTCAAGTACTTCATTGAGTGCTGGTACGTGTTGTTTTTCTGCAATGTTTATCCCGACTCTGCTAACCCACCGTGTCTCACAGCTTGGAAAAGGAATCCCACCGCAGAGCTAGCCCGTGGCGCATGCTTGAGCATCCTTGGATGGTCGAAATGCGGTCCAAGCGCGTCAACATGGCCCGCTACCTGTCCCAGGTTTGGGGTTGGGATACGCAAGATGCCCCCCAGCAGGCGTAGTCCCAGACTGCCGGAAACTTAAAAAAAGGATAGAAAGGAGTAGCGACCGAAACACGGTCTATTATTACCGCGACGGCACTATTGAGACCGGGTGCAACCGTACATACAGAAGATAAACATCAACAGCAGCATCAGCTCGACGGTGACAAGACGAATATTGCGCCGTCTGGTTGTCCATATGGGCCGATAGTCGCCACAGGGGAGATCAAAGATTGCAGAAACGGCGGTGGCTCCAGCAGCACATGGCTTTTCAGCACAGACGAACGTTTAGGGTTCAAAGGAATAACGTGCCGCAACCGCGCGTGTATGTGTGGCCTAATGAGGGCCATGGGATATATTGACGGAGATACCTTTTATTATTGAAAAACATTTTCACACGATTTTCTTTGGTTGTTTTGGTTGGGGGTTTATCATTCATCACCTGATCTATCTGGCTAGTTTTGCCTTGTTTTGAACAAGCGGAATCTTAGTGATAAATTCAATTTTTTTCTGTTGAAAACATGACTATCCTTGTGGTTTTAGATGCCCTCGACCGTCTCGGAAAGCTCACTCAGTCTAGGCATCCAACAAGCAAGCGTGTTAACAAGAGAGGCAAAACCTGCCCTGCCCTGCCTGTCTTGTCGGGACTAGTAAGCTGTAGCATCTCAATCTATTATCTTGGCTTGGTTGTTTCCGAGTTGCATATGGATTTATCCGTGCCACCTTCTTCGGGGCTTTGTTAGTAAGATGACTCTAGCGATGTGACGGCATAGGCCCAGACAGATCAACCGTCGACGTGCCTCAAATATACGATTTAGTCGTTCTTTTATCTTTCTTGTCTTTCGAGATACAACCGGACGAGTACACCTTCATGATCTGAAAGACAAAGAAAAGGTCTTGGGATTCACCGTCGCTCTTCACATACATGTAATGATTCGCTTGCACCGCAAGATCATCCGCATAACTTGCTGGATTTTGTACCCGCAATATCTACTTTTGCCGATCATAAAGGGGTATATCTCAGATCCTCTACTCCAGGGTATCACGTCGCGCCCTCTGTTTACCTAACACCAAAGAGCAATTATGCACGAGGAGACTATATGACAAGCGAACCCGCTAACCTGCAACAAGATGCCCAGTTCTACGCTTGGCTGCTCAGACAGAGCAGCCGATCATGTAAAAGCAAACGCGCCCCAACCCCCTGAGCGAAACCAGATTACCTCCCCATCGGAAATAACAAACTAATTGTGTTCGGTGTAAGACAGTTTATGACGATACAGCCATCTCTGCAACATCTCTGCGAAGCAGGATATCGCGAAAGACAATGTCAAAGTTCGTAACTATCTGTCAGAGTAATGTGTGTGGGCTCCCGGGTGTGGCAATTCTATAACCTTTAGCCCGGGCCCTCTTAACACAAGGAAAATGGGTCGAAAACCGAAAAGAAAATGACAACCGTTCATATCAAGACGATGCCTTCGTAGCATCGACAATAAATATACTGATCTCATCAGAGCGGTTATCTGCCAAGCAAAGCAGACAAAAAGAAAAACCGATAAAGCTCCCAAATCTATTCGGAAGATATCATGACCATAGTAAACCGCGCCGTGAGCGGTCGCAATGATGTGGCGAGAGGCTAATCATACATGTTGTTGCCTCAGTAGAAATGTGGTGGTAACATGCTCTAAGCCAGTTCGACAGTGGTGCCCATGAGCTCTCGAAGAACAACAGTAGCATAGTTGCTAGTCTTCAACTGAAACTTCAGGATGACGGCAATCTTGTTGGCATCCTGGTTGTCGCCGAAATCGAGGGTGGACGTGTTCGGCGAAGAGATCGGGTTGTCCGAAGGAGCGCGAAGGACAGGAACCTCGACGCCGGCAACTTTGGTATTGCTTGAAGAAGTTCCAGTCTCGTCATTCTCGGTGTTTGCTGGAGCCTTGGGGTCGCTCCTAGGAATTGCGGATATGCCGGCTCCGTACCAGCTGTGGGGGTCTTCCGGTGACACATTCATCACCGTGTCCGAGTTTGCCTTCGACGATATCTCCGCAACACCAGTATTATCCTCAACCGCTGTGAGAGAGGCATCAGCCTCAATAGGAGGGCGTGAAGTATCCATAGGAAATCCATTGGAGGAGTCCTCGGTCTCGGTCTTGAACTGGTGATCATGTTGCGCGAGCTTAACACGCTTAGAACTACCGTCAAGGCCCGTCTCGACCCAGGTCTCGTTGGTAACAACAACGCCATCAGAAACAGGCTCCTGGGAAGCTTTACGGCGTCGATCAGCCGCCATGACATCGTCATACGCCTCGGCATTGTTTGCAAAGTGGCCCCAGTGAGCCAATCGGGGAGTCGTCGGAGACGGGGGGCGGCGACGACCCTTTGCCTTCTCTAATGCCTTCTTGTGATTGCAGAAATCCAAGTCTGTTGGATACATCTGCTTCGTGTCGTCCGAGTAGAGCCGAATGCCGTACTGAGGCTCTGTGATAAAGCGCCCGATAACATGTCGATAGTTGCCGCTCAGGCTGAATTCCTTGTGGCGGCGTCGCATATCGTAAGGGTCCATACCGCCATTCTCCTCGTTCTTCATGAAGGAGACATATGAATCGCCAATTACGTTGCGCGGGTACATAACATCGTATCCGGGTGTCGGCAAGACAACATCGAAGATGTTGTACTTGTTGCTTGCAATGTCCTCAGCGGTGACCAGATGGGCCTGGGCGTAGTAGCTATCATCATCAAGATCGGATACGCTCTCCGAACCGGAGCTATCCTCCGACGGAGGTTTGTCAGAATCATCTCCAAGAAGCACCAGATCGCCCTCGACAACCTTGTTGCCGTATTCAGACCAGCGGCGAGTAGCCATGTAGTTCCAGACATAAGACTGGTAAGCGTGTATGTACATCATGCGCATACCGCGAGTGATACTCAGGATAGCGCCCATGAAGTCCTTGGGGCTCTTGCCGAGATGGCGGATGATGGCAGCTTCTGAGCTGAACCGCTTGGGAAGACCCTCTAGAGCTTTCTCTGCGTTCTTCGTCCCCTTCCACATCAGGATAGACTTGGCCCGAAAGTAATCATCGCGGTTGTTTGCGTCATTGCCAGAGCCGAAATTCTTGTGGTTGTTGTTAAGAACGCTCTGCGTGGTCTCCTCATCAACGTGAAGGATATCCTCGATGACACCCTCATAATCGCCCTTGAGGACTTTCATTCCGAGCAGATGGGTGCCAATTGCGTGGGTTCCAAAGCGCTGGAGGCCGTAGTAATTGATGTACCCATTGTGCTTGAGATAGGCAAGCCCACATTCTACAGACTGCTGAATCAAGGCCGCGCGTTGCTGAACAGAGCGATCCGCGCCGCCTCCAGATGGCATGCAGTTCTTGATCGTGATGACGAACTCATTTCCGCCGTGCTGTCCAAGCTGGAGGGGCCGAGTTTCATGCTTGAAGTCTCCCAACTTTACATTTAGGAGTCTAGAGTTGAGCCAAAGCATATTGGCAGCACGTTGGCGATAGACGCTGATACGCTGCACGGTACCGGCACGGCGATCCTTGGTGCCGGCAAAGCTAAAGTTGGAAGCCTTGATCTTGAGAAGGCGGGCGATAGTGTTGATGGCATCCATGGTATCCTTGTTCTCCTTGTAGAGAGTGAAATGGAGAAACTCGCCTCCAAGCTTCGCAAAGCTCAGGGCCTGGTCTCTCAAGTGGCGGCCGTTGTTGTCACGGCCTCCTTGCCTACCGCCAGCGCGATTGCTCATGGCCCACCTAGAAGGACTGGCAGTGATGACGCCAACATTGTCGGCAACCGTCTCGATGCGGCCAGAAAAAATGCGGCGAATTTCCTATCCACTTTTAGCAAGAGTTTGAAACGCAGAGCGGAGCGGAGCACAAACCTGGTGGACAGTGGCTCGCTGTGTTCGATCCGTGATGGGGTCGAACGCCACATTCCGCCCAGTGGAAATAATAGGCTTCTTGGCCTGGACCTTCTGGTCGAACTCAATCAACTTGGACGTGACAGCCTCGTTGATCAAGCCGGCCAGAACCAAGCGATCGGCCTCACAGATCTCAGAGATTGGCTGAACTGGCTGCTCGATCTTCGCGGCTGCCGGCTTGGGAGCAGTCGGCTCTTCAGACTTGGCCTGAGGATTTTTTCCATTGGTATATTTACGCTGCTGTAATTTTACAATGTTAGAAGTCAAGCCAAGAGCCAGAATCGAGCGCCCTGAACGTGATGATGAACTAACCTGCTCCTCTGCAGCCGCGTTGAGGTCAAAGTCATTTAAATGGAGGACTGTGCCATCCTTGCGGATCTCGTAGACGAGAAAGTCGGTATAGCTGTGACATGTTAGCAAGACCGCTCTTTTGAGACCCAGTTCGATATGGGCAAAGGTGAAGCGAGAGCGGATGTAGATGTGGATGTGAAGTAAACAACGAGACGATTCTGGGGCTTCACGCCTTGGTGCTGGTCGGGGCACAACGTGAAAAGCATAGATGAGCTTCAAACTCGGCTTACCGCTTGCGAACATCACCGCTCCAGCTAAAATTCAGAGGGCAAGAGCGTTGCGTGATTCCGAGGCCTTTCTCGGTTTCTGTACGGACGGCTGGCACATGAGTGCTCTGGCGCTGTGTCATGATCGCTGTGACGAAGAAGGCTTGATCCAGGAATGAGAAAACGAAAGCGGCGGATTCCGGACAAGCTGCAGAAAGGGAAGCACGAATGAACACGAGAGTGTGAGAAGCAGTCGTAACAAGCGGATTTGAGAAATGGGGGTTGGAGCCGCAGTTCCTTGGCGGCGTGGTTGATGTAAGAAAGAAGGCGCAGGTGCAACGACAAGGGCTGGGAGTGGAAGGAGCAGCGCAAGTGTAGTCTCAGTGCAATCGCCGACCAAAAAGGAAACGGGGGAGACAAAAAAGAAAGTGCAGTCGTCAAAGCACCAAGGACCGGGCTTGTGGTTTCTAGTTCTCTCGGGGTTGGAAAGAACGGAAATGTTGATCGGTGCTTGAGGAGAAGCGCGACGATGAAGAAAAGTAGAAACTAGCCTCCAGGGTTGAGGCTCAGAAGTCTGTCAAATTCCTTAGCTGCAGCACGCGGTGGGGGAGTTTGGCCGGCAGAAATCGCGGGGCATTCTCACCGCCTTGCAAGAAAGCCGCTGACACCCGGATTATGATTGGCCAATTGACCCCAACAGCTCCTTATGTGGGGCACCACCGTTGTCCACGCTACCCCCTGGGCTGTCAGTTATTACGTACCTTGGTGGACGAACGACACATCTGAACGTGAATGCATTTTCACCAGGCTGTAGACCCGAAACCAAAGAGAAGATGAATACTTGAATTAGCGACTATAATCTACGTTCCGCTTTGCAGCAGTGTCTGGTATTTCTATTTCCTCCGCATTCGCACCACCCATTTCCGGGAACTTGACAATTTCGACCCATTGACTCAAACCCAACCCTAACAATCCAACCCGCAACACCTCGAACATCTCGCCCAGGAGCCGTGTAGGGTGAAGCAAGCTTGTATGTGTCTCCGGCTTGGTGTTGTAGGCGGCTACTGCTCCGGTCTCCACGGATGAGGCCAAATGCCATCGGGAACTATGCCTCCAAGAACGCTAAACACTAATATCAGCATCCTCCTCGTCACTCTTGAGCAATGCTGAGACAAGGCTTGCATGGGAATGTCATTGCTGAGGGAGCCTTCGATAAGGCAGCACGTACCAATTCTTGGGCGGTTTCCAGCACGTCTGCTCTACGTAAGCCTCGCAAGGCACAGAGAACGAGAACGAGCAAAACGTGTCATTGTATTTGCCGCCTGCGCAATAATTGCAACTTTTCGAAATTCCGTTCTGGCAATATCCGCATCTGATTGACCATGGACGGCGTCCTTGCTGATCTGGTGTCGTGCTAACCTCTGGCACCGCGGGGACGGCGAGCGCTGCGGCGGTGGTAATGAGAAACATCGTGCTGAAGAGCGAAGAGAGCATCTTGTCGTCTCTGGGTGCCGATTCAACACCGGGAGGTAGAGCAGTTGGTGTATTTGACTTGGCTGGTTGCTGGGGATTGAACGAGGGTCGACAGCAGGCGAGTAGGAAGTAGTTGCGGGACTTGATAGAGAGACTGGAAGTCCTTCCTGGGTACGATCTAACGAATCGATCGATATCCAGGATGGTGGACGAGATGCAGTGAGTGTGATAAAGGGCGGAGAGAACAGATTCAATCATTATGGGAAGCATGCGAGTTTTGAGGCACGCCTCGCTGCTCAGAAGCAAATGGGCAGGAGATATCCGGTGTCATGCAACTGCCTACGATAATCCTCAGTTCTCTCCCACTGCTCAACAGCAAGGAAAGAGTGACTTGGGTAAGGACTCATTTTGGTAGTGTCAGTTCGAATCTTGGCTTGAAGTCAAACTTGAAGCCTGCAACTTCAAGAAGTCTTGCCGCCGAGAGATGGAAGCCTACGCCTCCCTCTATCAGAGGAATGTCTTAACGATAGACCTAACTAACCGGTCTCGAGTTTGACACGGAGATGGGGCAAGTCCTCGATCCTCTTGAATCTAGAGGGTGGAAACCTTGTCTGCACATACATCTGCCTTCTAAAAGTTCGCAGAACCTGCATCCTAAGGCTACGGCTTCTGCTTACCATAACAGAGCAGGGTAAGCAAAAAGGGGCAACAACACAAGGGGCTCGCACATCTCGGATTGTGAAGATAACCCGGTTGTCAAGAGCACCTTAGAAGCTATGACCCGGATCCCTTCTCGGCTGAATTGCCACCTGGTGGGCGACGGCCAAAGCTCACTTGCGCCTTCCCATCGTGCAAGCCCCGTACAGATGCAAGACCGATCGTTTACTTACATGCCGGGTACGTACTACATTTTACTTCCCATTTTTCCTGCAAGGTGAGGCCAAGGTCGGCCGCGTTGTTCGCAGCTGTCATGTTGTCTTGCAGCTTTTCTTTCCGTCGAGGGGAGGAAAATTGCAATGTACTGCCGCCTGTCGAGGAAAGGGACGGCGGAATTCACACCAGATACCACGCCGCGGCTATATGAACCTATGATACCAGGATGTCGGACAAGACCCATGTCGAGGTAAAACAGATATAGTGGGAGAGCCCAGTTTTCGAGTAGCTTGAAACCAGGACCAGGTACTTCGTAGCTTATCTACTTTATTTTCGTAGAATATTGAGAGAAAACCCCGATTCGTAAGAGCAGCAGACAGATAATCCACCCACAAGTAGGAGGTGACGAATGAGTGTTTGAAAAAGTCACAATAAATGAGAAAAAGAACAATTCTTGAACTCCTCCTTGACGTCATGATCACTTGGAGCTGAGGTCAAGCGTTATGGATCGATCCCCTCATGACTCAGTCACCATCGCATCCCGAAACACGCTCTCCCCCACTCTTTGCGCATGGCATGAGGAGAAAATACTTGGTGGAACTCGGTGATCTTGAGCAGCCTCTTACGATGTGTGTGTGAGTGTTTAACTTCGATTGGCGAAGAAGGGATGAAAGGAACAGCAGAGTTTGGCAACAGCGGCCCGGGGAGATCTACCAACTGCCGCCCTCTCTGGCCGCACAAAGATCCAATATCAGACGATGGGCGTGTCTGCAAGACACCATGGGGCTGTGTCACAGGTAAAAAGGGCAACATCATAAAGACCCGGATCACCCGAAATTGGAGAGGGCATCCGTGCCCATTCCCCTGGGCAACCCTCAAAGAACCATATCGGGTGAATTGTCTTTCAACTTTGATTATCACACCCTATGGCCATTCATCACAAGCCGCGGGAAGAAAAGGGGCGAAAGAACAGGACGGGTGGCGGAGATGCTGGCCATTTGCCTCCTGGAGGACAAAAGCGCTGCCAGAATGAAATATCATAGCCAGGGCAGAGATCCCAGAGGAGCTGACAATATTAGAGGGCTAAATTCGCGCCGGCTGCATGTGAGGCAGTGGCTGTCGGAGTCTGTTCGCTTGGTGGACCCGAGATTCATGCATTGCGGCCCGTCTTGCTGGCCCGACTTTTTTTGCGGGGGGGCGGAGGAGGGGTTCTGGCCACCTGACCAACGAAGAGACAGAGCGAGGAATGCGCCGGCCAATGTGCCTTTCCCGCTCTGCTCAGATGTGGCCGGGTAAGGGAGTGTGCGGTGATGGTATGTCGGGGCCGTGTCTGGTCCAAGGCATGTGTCCATATTCCTATTCCTTACCAATAGTGGGAAGAGTGCGTGTAGTCAGGACGGCGGACAGCCGTTGCTTGCCTTCGCCGCAAAAAATGCGGACGTGACATTCGGACCAAAAAAAAGCTCAGCCAACCCCACGATCGCCCTGATGCCAGTCCTTGCTTGCATCCGAAGGCCGTGGGTAACCCAGGGACCCAAGTTGGGGTCTAGACGTAGGTTATGTTGGGGAGCGGTGCGAGCGCATGAACAACGAAGGGGGTGAGGGCGCGCATTGCAACTGCCTTGCAGGGGAAGAGTAAGAGAAGATGCCCGAGGTGGTGCTTTGATTTGCAGAACCGGGCGAAGAGGCATGGCCTTCTAGCTGGCCCAAGGAAGGACCCATTGGGTACGGCGTTTCAAGTGTGAGCCTGCATGCAAAACGAGATACCTGCGACTTTGCCGGCGGGTTCTGCGCGCCTGCAGGTACTGCACCTAAGAGTTCCTGTTAAATATTTGGAACACGCAAGTAAAGTAGTTGAGCGGGACGAGACGAGACGAGAGTGAAAACGAAAAGGCTGCCCATCCCCCGTTTTATTTCTGAGAAAAGTCGGCACCTTCTCGTCCTTGGTCAATTCTGGGGCTCCTTTCCTCTCGACGACGACGACGACAATCTAACGACTTGAGCAAGCTTCACACCAGCAAGCGTCCAGCCCCAGCGATAACCTTGGCGGTTACAAGCCGTTATCGATAACGGTTAGTTGTGCCGAGAAGGAGCAGCCAAGCGATGCCAGTGGAGCAGGCCAGCGGTGAGCGGCCAGCCACTAACGCCATCAAGAAGCGCCAGCTGTGGTTCAGCATGGCGGAAGTGGGGCTTGACAGCCGTGGCGGGCCGGCACTGGCAGGAGCAGCAGCACCAGCGCTAGCACCAGCGGCCACACCTCTGCCCAGCAACAGCGGAGGCGAGAGGTTCCCTGACCTGGATTGTTTACACGCGCCAGCCGAAGCGCCCTCAACCCCCCTTGACCACGCCCAAGTGCAACGAGCCCAAAGCACGACTGCAGCACTCAGCCGGCCGTCGTCGCTATCGATCCAATCTGTTGCATCCGAATTGTCGTCGTCGTCTTCGGAATACTCGGCCTGGTCGTCGCTTTCAGACAGGGACCCCAGAGACAGAGACAGCAGGACTCTCAGCGACCATAGCGCCCTCGATTCCCGCCGATCGTCATCCATCAGCAGCGCCTCGTCGTTCGCTTCGTCTTCTTCCCCGCCCTCACAGTCTGCAGCATCTCCCGACAGCTCGCTTACCCGCAGCCGTCGGGACGCGAAGCAGTTGCATGCTGCCCGTCTGCAGCGTTCAGGCTCGACCAACCTCGCCCTTGCCAACACCAAGAAGGAGGGAGGTTCCAAGCGCAGCAGGTTCCAGAGGGCCGCGAGCCCCGCTGACGCTCTCGCCGCCACCGAGCCGCCCCACGAGCAAGGCCTCACCAGGATGGCCTTTGCCGAGCAGCAGCGCTGGATCACAGTCCAGCAAAAGACCTTTACCAAGTGGTTGAACACCAAGCTGGAAGCGAGGGGTCTCGAGGTCAAGGACCTGGTGCAGGATCTAAGCGATGGCGTACGTCAACTCATTTCCTCTCCCCCCCCGCACTCCCGTCCGTATACTAATTCGAGATAAACACCGGCCAGGTCATCCTCATCCACCTCCTGGAAAGCCTCTCGAGCGAGTCTCTCGGTCGCTATGCCGCCAAGCCCAAGCTGCGCGTGCAGCGCTTTGAGAATGCCAATCTGGCTCTCAACTTCATCAAGTCGCGGGGTATCCAGATGACCAACATCGGTGCCGAAGATGTCGTGGACGGCAACCGCAAGATCATCCTCGGTCTGATCTGGACTCTTATTCTGCGCTTCACAATCAACGACATTAACGAGGAGGGCATGACAGCTAAAGAAGGCCTGCTGCTATGGTGCCAACGTAAGACGGCCTGCTACGACGAGGTTGACGTGCGCGATTTCAGTGCCAGCTGGAACGATGGGTTGGCCTTCTGTGCTCTGCTGGACATCCACCGGCCCGACCTCATCGACTATGACGCCCTGGACAAGTCAGACCACCGCGGCAACATGCAGATGGCCTTTGACATTGCTCACAAGGAGATTGGCATCCCGAAGCTGCTGGACGTGGAAGACGTGTGCGACGTAGCCAAGCCCGACGAGAGGAGTTTGATGACGTACATCGCCTACTGGTTCCATGCCTTCTCTCAGATGGAGAAGGTCGAAAACGCTGGGCGCCGCGTCGAGAAGTTTGTTAACAACATGCAGGGGGCCTGGGAGATGCAAAGCGCGTACGAGAGGAGGGTGGCCGCGCTGCTGAAGGGCATACGGGCACAAATCGAGAGCTGGCAGCAGGCCAAGTTCGAGGGGTCCTACGCCGATGCCAAGGCGCAGTCGACAGAATTCTCCTCATACAAGAGGGGGAAGAAAAGAGAGTGGGTGGCGGAAAAGAGCGAGCTAGCGACGCTGCTCGGCAACATCAAGACAAAACTAGGAACATACCGGCTGCGGCCATACGAACCGCCAGCCGACCTGAGGCTCGACGTTATGGACCTGGAGTGGACGAATCTATCCAAGGCGGAGATGGTCAGGGGGCAGCTGATTAACGAAACTATTAGAGAGTGAGTTACCCTGATTTGCCAGTTTGATTCTTTGTGTCGGGTGGAAAGCTAACGTCTGGGGAAAATAGCATCAAGAATGGCCTGCGCAAATCTTTCGCCGACAAGGCAAATGACTTTGCGCTGGCGCTCAATACCATGCAACTAGCCATATCGGGGTTAGAAGGAGATGTAGAAGACCAGTTGCACCACGTGCGCAAGCTCGCAGACAACCTCCCACCACTGGACGCGTATCTGCAGACGATTGCAGTCGTGGACGCCAAGTGCCAAGAGGCCAATATCGAGGAAAACGACTTCACCACGTACACGTACGATGAGCTAGGCTACGAACTATCGCTGGTGAAGGCGTCGGTGTCCAAGAAGCTGTCGTTTCTGGAGAACCAGATGGTGGCGCGCAACATGACCAACCTGACGCCCATCCAGCTCGAGGAGTTCGAGTCCGTGTTCCGCCACTTTGACCGCGACGACACCAACAGCCTGGCCGAGCTTGAGTTCAGCGCGGCGCTCGCGTCACTCGGCCTTGTCTTCTCCGAGGACGAGATGCACGACTACTTCGTCGCCACGTCCAACGGCCACGGCGACCGCGTCACGTTTGAGCAGTTCATCCGCTTCATGGTCGACGTCACCGAGGACCAGAACACGGCCGAACAGGTCTTCCAGAGCTTCCGCGAGGTCGCCGATGGCAAGCCCTACGTGACCGAGATGGACCTGCGCCACTCTCTCGTCCCCGACGAGGTCATCGACAAGCTCGTCGAGATCATCCCCCGCCACACGGGGCCCGACATGCAGGCCGACCGCGGCATGCCCCAGTACGACTACATCGCCTTTATGGAGAAGCTCATCAGCGAGGAAAATGCCGCCGTCGCCAGTGCCGGTGCCGTTAGCGGTAGCGCTGTAGGGGTAGGTACCAGTGCTCTTGGTGCCGCGCCCCTGCACGACCGCACAAACGGGAGTAGCCCCACAAAACAGCAGTCATTAATGACGAGTAAACCGAACGGCTACCACTGAGCGATCTGTCGCAGCGGTGATGGGCAGTTTGAGGTTGTCTAATGATGTCTTGTCTCTAGCGCCGGGTTTTTTTCTTCCATATCCACCTGTCCATGGTTTTTCTTCGAAACAAGAAGACGAAAAAGGGACTTGGCGCTTCTTTTTTTCTTGTTCTTTTTTTCGTTTTCATATCCCTTTTTTTTACGTATAGTAAAGCCTTTTATTTACAGCATAGCATGCATTGGTCGAACCAAAATTTTCTCTTCGTTGGGTCTTTTTTAAATCATCTCGGTTTTTTATAGCGAAGTGGAGGGATTTCTTTTTTAAAAAGGGGAGGGGGCACGGGCAACAAACAATAACAACAATAATAATGGGGGAAATATTATGGTTGCTTTTTTCCTCTCTGAGGGGCAGGGGGCTCGGCTTTTTTGGTCTGGGTGATTGAAAAAAGCTCCTCCCAATCTAGCCTTCGCCTATACCTTGTTCATTGACGAAGAAAAAAGCGGATTGATTCCACCTACGTAGTTTAGGTATATACCATACCCCCCTAGACCTAGGTATTGTAGAGAGAGGGGATGGATGGAATGAGCAGCGGAAGTTTTGTGTGAAATACTCTGATCGAGTAATACTGTGTACTCGTTTGAATATATATGTGTGTTCTAGGTTATGTGTCGTCGAGTCGAGTGCGGTAGACAGACAGCACGTTCCTTTAGTAACGAACAGAAAAAGGGGTTTGGATGATAAATAAAAGGGAGTGACGCTCAAGGCTCTGTCGCTGTAACTGTCGGCGTCGAAGGTGATTGGAACTAAGCCTCGACGGGGACGAAAATAGTGATGTTGTTCTCTCTGGCATCAGCGATGAACTTCAAGACAGTAAAGAAGATACCGTTCGTTGTTTGGATCGCCTTGGTGCGTACCATAAATAAGTTGATTTAAGATGTCATATATTTAAGTATACACAACTTACCTACTAAGGTCAATGTTCCTAGGTGCAGTCCGCCCAGGTATATATACCTGGCGCCCTGTGGCGACGGATGTGCAAGCAGGAACGAACGCAAGCTTCACTAGCGTGAGACACACATAGCACGCACCCACTGTATCTCATGCTGCTGCTAGTCGTTGGACAGGGCACAGGTCCCTCCCTCCGTGTGCTGGGAGACAGCAAGTTGCACGAGGATACCTCGAGGTGGATTCACGAGGATATCTTACAAGTCATAATAAAAGAGTGGTATTTTCGTCATATAGAGCCTATAGAGAGTTGTTCCAGACAGCGGACTGATCGATCTGACTACCTTACCCTGCCTATCCATCTAGGTGCATGAGATCAAAAGACCCGACATTCCTTTAGATATCCCCGCGCCCTTTCTATACCGACCTGGCCGAATCCAACGCACACCCGTACCGGTGGTGGACATCAAAATTACCGCCTCAAGAACCGTAGCTAGTGACCAGAACTAGACAGAGGGGAAGGAAAAACACCAAACAAAAATAGGACCTAATCAAATTAACTGCCTATGTCTTAGAGATATAAAAAGACAAACCAGAGATACCCTCGTGTTTTACACAGAGGGGCGTTCATCCGTGTCTCGGTATAACCTCTGCTTCTATAGATATCATTGAGAAGATATCTCCCGATAAACCCGTCAATGAACACCGCGACCATGCAAAAAAACCCAATAGAGGCAAGTAGATTCACCACTAGCAAGACATAAAATAAAACATGCAATGGATAGCCCTCACGCGTCGTCTACTCCTTGATCGCGCCCAAGTCTTTCAGCGCACCGGCCAGCCGCCTGTAATCTCGCAGCAACTCGAGGACCTCGCCGATCCTCAAGTCGGCCGGGCTCTGGATCTCCATGAAGCGCTTGATGGGCGGGTTGACCTTTGGGGCTTCCTTTGGCGGTAGCACGGGAGCGAGCTCTGGGAAAACCTATCGACAATAAGTTAGTAAAATGCTGGGATGAATGCATGCACAGCACCATATTGCCGAGGAGTGCTAAGTAGAAAAACGCACCGTAGCTAGATCAACACCATCGGCGGGGCTCCTGAGCGGTGGCGTGTCTTTGGGTAGGGGCGCAGGCACGGGAGAAGCCGAGTTATTGCTCCTACCGAACCCGCGGAAGCTTCCGATGCCTGTGAGCCGCGCCATGGGGTTCAGCGAGTTTCCGAGGTTGCGCACCGAGTCAAGGAGGGCCGGATTCGATGACGAAGGGCTCGTGATTGGCGAAGAAGTCGTGGCTCTGTCTTTGATATACTGCTGCTGCTGCTGCTCATCGGCCGCTTTCCTCAAGCTCCCCGCGCTGCGCGCGCTGTCGGCACTGTGATCGCGCGACACCTTGCGTCCGCCAATGAAATTGAGTACTTTGTCATCGCGGGGCGTGGCGGTCCGCTGAGGTAGCTTGTCGGTAGTCGTCTCCTCGGGGCTGTGGATGGAGCTCGTGCCGCTAGCCGAGCCGTCATCCTCGTCGGGAGGCGGGGTCCCTATGAGCTTCCGGGCATCATCCAGCGTCTTGGGCACGATGACCTCGCCGCCTTGGTTTGTGAGGGCTTCAGGATGGTCCCGCAGCTTGCCAAGGAGGAACTTATAGCTGTCGCCGAGGCTGGTGCCGATAGTCTTGAGGCCCTGGTCTGCCGTGTTGAGCACGGCGTCGCTGGCGGCGTTGAAGGCCTGCGCGGGCGTGTTCACCAGATCACTAAGCCGGCGATTACGGATCTGCATTGCGGCACGGAGGCCGGCAGCTGACGGGCCAGGTTTCATGGCCGTCCCCACAGGGCTTGCACCAGTCTCAGATAGGCCCAGCGCTGTGGTGGACGACCCTGGCGAGTAGGCCGGCGGAAATGTTTCTACCTTTGTCGTGCCTGGGCTGGCGGACCCCTTAAGAGGCCCTGTGGGAGCTTCGTCAGCGCGCAGGGTCGACAAATCGACCGTTTCCAGGAAGCTTATGGTCGCTTCGAGGTTGGTCAGACAATAAGCTGCCTCGCCCACCAGCTTTGGTTCCCAGCGAAACCTCTGGATGAAATTCACGTCGCTGATGACGTTCAGGTTCTCGGGCGGGAGGGTGATCAGGGTGTAGATGAGCATCGGCATGAGCTCGTCTGCCGAAGAAGACGGGTGAAAATGGGAGAGGGTGTCGATGATGCTCTTGTGTGCGGCTTTGAGGTGATTGAGCTTGCCGAGGGGATATCTTGACTGGTTCATTAGGATCAGCTCCTGCCGCGCCTGTTCAAGCCAGTTCTTAACCTCGTCTTGTTTCTGGGCGGCGGATTCTGGGTCTTTAGCCCCGATTTCGATGCCCAAATCGACAGGGCCGATCCCGACCACATTAAGGGCTGCTGTTTTTGACCGGAGCTTGTCATCCTGTGCTTCGTCCTGAGTGGTGTGGTGGCGGTAGATTTTGTCATAGATTCCTTCGCAGAGCCTCCTTTCTATCGCCTCCTCCAACGTGACGCGTTTCTGGTCGAGAGCCTTTCTCGCCTTCTTCCGGTTTGCGTATTCGTCGGCCGTCAGCATCTGCTCCGAGTCTCGCCTAGAAGGCGCTTTGGACTTCTCCTTGCTCCCGAGCGAGGCGGCCTTTGCGCGGAGCAAACTCGCCGTCGAGGCCCGAGACGTGTTGGATGGCGCTGGGGAGGCTTCGCGTCTCTGTCGCGTGGCGAGACTGTCCACATGTGTCTGTATATGGGTGGCTGCGGTGGCGTAGAAGTCCTGAAAGAGGCGGGCGATGTTGTCGATGTTGGGCGGGGTGGGCCAGACCTTAGCCGAGAGCTGGTCGATGAAGCGATCAGCGAGGCTGATGAGCTCGATGGGGAGCTCGTCCAGGTCGACGGATGCCCGGGGGGCCTCGGCTGTCTCCTCGCTGATTCTGCGCTCGAACGTGTCGGGTGCGTCCGTTTCGCTGACCTGTCTGTCTAGCTGGGTTCCGGAGGCGGTCCGGCGAGACTCGGCAGCGGGCGTAGATGTAGATACACTCTGCAGAGTGCTCGCCCTCTTGGAGCGGGGGCTTGGTTCTGCCGGCGGAAAGGGCGGGTCAGATCTGGGAAGGGACCGTGTTGACCGCAGCGGGCTAGGATTGTGCGCCATATCGCCGAGTGTCGCGGACGGGAAGCTACTAATGTTTAAGCTGGACAGCATCGTGGTTAGAGGTGGCTGTTCCAAGCTGCAGCTGCATCTATCTGACGATGAGGGGGTTCGCGAAGATGGAGCAATGGGGCATGCATCGTTCCGGGGCAGGGCACAGCTGCCATAAAGAAGAAACACCAAACCTTCAATCTACAGGTCAATAGGCGGGCCGGACTTACCTGAGCTGTCGCGCCGATGCATGAAGCACTACTATAGATCTTGAAACTGCAGTCGAGCCCGTCGAGCCAGTGACAAGGCGGCCAAGCCCACCAAGCGACCAAGGCGAGGCCACTTAAGCCATGGGTAATAACATGAAATCTATTGCAAAAAGAAATTAAGCTAGGTGGCGAGACATTAGAAGCCTAGACCACGCGTGCAATCAGTGGAAAGGGTGCCACCGTTTGTTGCGGCACGGAGGAAATGGAAAGCTCCCCTTTTACTGTCTAGGTTGCGGATGTTTCGTCTTGGAGTTGGAGGGACGGATCCGTCCAAAGTTCTGGCATTGGATTGGAAGCTTGTCAGGTCGGTCCCAGACTTTCAGTCACAGGATAACGCGCGGCCGGGGCGGCCGTGTCGGGTCCACTATCCAGTGTCCACAGGCTAGAAGAAGGTACCTTCGGGGCTTCTTGGCAGCCACAGAAATGAAGCAGGCCGGCAGCGTCAAGTTAGCGGGGCAGGCCGGCCTTCATCTCCACCCCTCCGGCTCTCTAATTTTCAGTGGCTCTCCCCGCTGAGATCGCCGCGGCGGGCCTCTGTTCAGCCTTGTGTTCCCGGGTGCCACCCGAAGGGCCCATTTGGTCCTTCCTCGCCTGCAAACACCAGCCGAGTGCTGAGGCCGGCCATGTGTCGAAACAAATCGGCCGTGCTCAGAGACTTGAGATTTGTTTTGTTGCTGGCCTCAAGGTTCCCGTTTCCACCGCATGGTTACCTAGGTATACATTCGTGTCTTGTCTTACGTATACCGTACCCTACACACTTCGTACTGTATGCGATACCCCAGACACTGTAACGTTGCCCACAGGCACCAGTCGGGTCCTGTGATCTCTGTTGTCTACTGGAGCTGTGTGTCACACGTTTATGATGTTTAGGCTCCCTTTCAAGTGTTTGGTTTACGCCTGGATAGGGGATCGAGATGATCTGTGAATCGTCACGTGGGCTATTTGACCACCTCAACCTGCTCAACAAATCCCGATAACAGTAGCCTTGCTGGGGAAAGACCCACCCCGCTATCGCGATTGACGGACAAGAAATAGGGTGTCTGTAAACGTTGAGTACAGGGGATCCGATTGGCTGAGGTGCTCCCACACGACCAGCCTGCAGCGCCCGAGCTCGCAGCGTCGTCATCCGTTGCCAACGAACCTAGGCCCGTACTGTTAGTGCAGACTGCCAAGTCGCGCGCGCTGCCATCATCGCCGACCGCATTCCTTCGTCCCCTTCAACCTTGCATCATCGAACCGACGGAACCAATACGGCGAACGGCGTGCACATCCTTCTTGACGATTTATTTGCGATATCCACGGCTTGCTTCTTGACGGTAGCGCCGCTCGGCATGTTCTCGAGGAGGAAGTGCACCTCAGCGGGCCGAGTCACCGCCCACCTGTTGCTGTCCTTCCTCGCCCTGGGGGCCTCTGTAGCAGGCAACACCGCGCCCGACACGCAACTCGTCATTCCCATAGATGTATCCCCGCTGCCGCCTCTGATTCCAGAGCCCTCGAAACGCGGAGAGCACACTTTTGTAGGTACTCCTATGCTTGTTTCTATCTGTACTGTACTGTAATTCTGCACACCTGAAGGGTGAGCGACGAGGGCCCGCGCTGATGCAGACTCGCCACCCTGTAGACGCTCCGTCATATATATCACCATGGCACCTACAGGCACCCGACGCTGCATCGAAAGCAAGATGTTGCGCAATCGGATGCTGACGTGTGGCTGGCCGCCGAGGACGGCTTCGAAGAGCAGCGCATCACGCCCCTCACGGTCCGGAGTGGGCCGCTCCAGATCCAGCGGCTTGTTGACCGGCGCCCTAATGTGGTCGACGCCATGGTAGCTGAAGCGCGGCAGCGCGGCTATGTGTCGGCTATGTCCGCCGATGCTTGGACACTCGATGATATCGCGGCGCCTGATATCACGGACAAACAGACGGTCTTAAACCTAGCCCTGATGGCTGCTAACGCCTACGTTGAGACGCCGTCCCTGCCCGATTGGGAGGACGTGAGTGGGCCTTTCAACCGGAGCGCCGATTTTGGATGGGAGAATGACGGGTTACGTGGCCATGTCTGGGCGGATGAAAACAACGAGACGGTCATCATCGGCTTGAAGGGAACCTCTATGGCAGTTTTCGACGGCGATGGCACGACCACCAACGACAAAGTCAACGACAATCTGTTTTTCAGCTGCTGCTGTGCTCAGCAGGGCCCGTGGACATGGCACCAAGTCTGCGACTGCGCGACCAGCACTTATACGTGCAACAACACGTGCGTTGTCCAGGCCTTGCGCGACGAGAATCGGTACTATCAGGCGGGGCGCGAGCTTTACGCCAACGTCACGGAGCTCTACCCCAACTCCACAGTGTGGCTAACGGGGCACTCACTCGGCGGTGCTGTCAGCTCTCTGCTAGGTCTAACCTACGGCAACCCGACAGTGACCTTTGAAGCTGTACCGGAGGCTCTTCCTGCCGCGCGGCTAGGGCTTCCAGTGCCGCCTGGCTCGGACCCAGACGTCCCTCAGGCCCGCGACTATACTGGCGCGTTCCATTTCGGGCACACGGCCGACCCAGTCTTCGTTGGCACTTGCAACGGGGCGACTGCCTCTTGCTCATTTGGAGGATACGCCATGGAGTCAGCCTGTCACACTGGACGGGAGTGCGTTTACGACACTGTCGGCGACAAGGGCTGGCGCGTCGGAATTGGAACGCATAAGATCCGCTCCGTCATCCACGACGTTATCATGAAGTATGATACGGTTCCAGAGTGCAAATTCACACCAGAGTGCAGAGACTGTGGGAACTGGAAGATGTACGAAAGCAACGGAACGGAGACCACAACAACGTCCAAATCATCGACATCAACCTCCTCCACCCGCACCCGCACCGAGACATGCAAAACTCCGTAAGTGTCTTTCCAATCCTCCGTATTGTTGTTATATGGTTGCTAACCTGGATGGTAGTGGATGGTGGGGATGCTTGGATGAGACCACGACCACAGGAACTGCGACGACAACATCAGAAGTCACGACAACATCGTCAACATCGTCAACTAGCACAACCACATGTGCTACTCCGTAAGTGGGCCTGACTCTAAGCTTACCGTAATATACCTACTGACTTGTAACAATCCAGGGGCTGGTTTGGGTGCAAAGATAAAACCACAACAACTACTTCTGCCACAGTGACAACGACTACTTCTAGCACAGTGACAACAACCACTGCGCCAACTGCAACGCAAACTTCAACCACAACTACGCCAAGCAGCACGTGCTTGACTCCAGGGCGATTCTGGGGTTGCTATGATGGAACAACTAGCGGCGGTTCCACTGCCACGACAACAACAACGACAACAACGACAATATCATCAGAGCAAAGCACTATCACGCCGCCTCCAAGCGTACCCGCTCCGACGTCGGTTCTACCAGCAGTTTCCACCGAAGAACCGCCTAGGAAGCTATCCTGTGTCGAACGGAACTGGGCTTGGGGGTGTAAGAAATGGGACCCGCTAATGGAGGACACGAGCGATCTGTAACCTTGTTGTTGAACTCTCTATTTTTCTCTCTCTTTCATAGGCGGTTAGATTTGGCGTTTGGCATTACGAGGAGTTTATTTGTGGCTGAGGGCTTCAGAACATCGGCACTCGGGCTGATTGGGGATAGTTACAACTTTTGGGTTCACGATGGGTGAGATGTTGGTTTTTTTTTTTTTGGATACCTAGTATCAGAACGGGGTATGAATATGGGAAACACAGGCGCAGGAGTTCCTGGCGGTAACAAAGCATCCGTAAATCCGTAAACAGCGCAGTAAACAATATTACCTAAATAAGAACATCGTTGGACGGGGTACACTAGGTGATCTAGATTTTTATAATATTGCTCCCTCTAAGAATCCAACCATCCCCAGTCTCTACACGTGGTCAACCGTATAGCGCGGCAACTGAGGTTCCATCACTCGCCCATGTTACTCGTACCAATAGGTAAGCTGGGAGATACGAAGTTAATAAGGTACCATACTTTGCTCGCCCAACAACGCGAAAGGTTCCAGGTTTGCAGGGAAAGAACACCCGGGTCGGGCATCCTGCAGGCAGTGCCCCATGCTCCGCCGGGCCTGCCCCGCTTACCGCTGCGGCTCAGCCGCCCCTACCCATCACATCCTTTAGCCAAGCCAAGCCATTAACAGCGCCTTCCATCTCAGTCGTATTCGCACCCAACTTAAGCCGGGCAACTTCCAACTCACTCGTCTCTTCCTTGACGGTTCTGCTGCCTTTTTCATATGCCTCCGGCTAAAGCGTGGAGACGTCGAGACTCGGGATGGATTCGCCCAAAGCAGCCGTCAACCTGGAGACGGAGCTGACGTGTTCTGTAGGTACCTCTTACCTGCCTGGGCCCAAACCTTCAACTGCCCCTCTTTCCTCCTTCCTTTCCTCGTGGCTGCTGCCCTGCCCAGCCCACTGTGCGCCAAAGCCCTCAAAGCTAACAAACTCTCCAGATTTGCACTGATCTACTGTACCAGCCGCTCACTCTCCTCGACTGCTTGCACACGTTTTGCGCTGCCTGTCTCAAGGAGTGGTTCCACTGGCAAGCGGTACGGGCTGAAAATGCGCCTACGCCCCCTCTCCCCGATGCCGCCGTCTTCACCTGCCCCTCGTGTCGGGAGCGGGTGAGAGACACTAGGCACGATGCGCGGGTAACCACGCTGCTCGAGATGTTCCTCGCCCTGAACCCGGACAAGGCCAAGTCAGACGCAGATCGCGCCGAGATGGACCAAAAGTACAAGAAGGGCGACAAGATCATGCCCAAGCTGAGTTTCCAGGATCGCACTCCAGAGCAAAGGCGCCTGGATGCACAAGAACGGCGGCTCCTGGAAGAGGTCCAGCAGATGAGTCTCCGAGACGCAGTAGCCGACGCCGCCGCCGCCGCCAACTCATCGCATGCGTCGTCAAGGACGAGGAGGCGCGACGGCGCCGACAGCAGGTCCAGCCGAGAACCGAGCAGAAGCAGGGACCCCAGTCGCGATTCCGAGACCAGAGGCACGCGCGAGAGCGCCCGTAGGCGCGCCGAGGGCGCAACGTTGCAAGCAGACAACGTCTACGCAGAGGAGAGGAGACGGCGTAGGAGCGAGTCGAGACAGCGACATACTAATACTTCTAATGTAAGGGCGCGATATATGAACCACCAGTCATCCCTTCGGTCCCTCATCAGTTCTGAGGGCGTCGAGGCGCGGGATGTCGAGCGCGAAATCGAGGAGTTCGCCCGCCAGATCCAGGAGGAAGGGCTGCTGGAAGGTCTAGATCTGGACAACATCGACCTTGCCAACAATACCGAGCTCAGCCGGAAAATCACCGAGGCTTACCGGAGGCGGCATCGCGAGCGGCTACGAAATAATGGAGGGAGGAGCAGTAACGCTAGTGCCCACTCTCATCGATCCGAGGTGGCGACGAGACCTAGATCACGAACAGGGGATTCGTCTCGACCTAGCAGCAGGCACGCAGCCCACTCGAGGGAACCCAGCGCGAGCAGCACCGAGGAGCGCGGGCGATACCCGCCTTCGGCTTCAGGTCTCCTCGAGGTCCAGGAGCCCGCCCGTAGGCGACGGCGCATGTCTAGCGGCACCCGTAGCGCGACTGTGCCCATTGGCCCCACCCAACCGGATATCAGGGCCCCGAACCGGCGTTCCCAGACGGATCTGTCGACGATAGTGACCAGCGCCGGCCAGAACCTAAGCAGGCCGCGCGTGACTACTGATATCAGGAGCGTGAGCTCGCCCACAGTAGTTACGTCTGCTGGGGCGCGTGTCGAGTCGCCGGCTGCGGCAGGTCAGCCCTTTCATGTCCGAGCAGCCGCCGGCCTGGGTATCTCTCAGCCACAGCCAGATCCTCAGCCAGACCCCAGCGCCAGTAATAGAAAGAGAGCAGCAAGGCCTGCGGAGCTTGCTCTCGGGCAAGGCTCGCCCAACCTCGTCTCAATATCGGGTCCTTTCAGCACGGACCTCGTCTCTCCGCCCCTATCTTCGCCCCGCCGAGCCCAGATGCCACGGTACAAGGAGCCTTTTATAAGCTGCAGTAGATGCTCCAGGGAGCATATTGAATACGAACTGCACTACAACTGCTCTATTTGCAGCAAGGGCGGTTGGAATATTTGCCAGGATTGCTGGCGCCAACGGAAGGGGTGTCTGAATTGGTACGGGTTTGGAAACGGAGCCTGGAAGGTATGGGAGAATGCCAAAGCCAGTGACCCCCAGACTGCTCCACCACACATACTCGCAGCGCGACGTTACACACCACCGAAGGCGATTCCAGGCGGCGCCGAAGGTCGACGTACACTCACCACAGATAATCCCATCGACCGTCTCCAGACCGGGTCCTTCTGCAGTGGCTGTCTCGCCTGGGCCAACGACGGCTTCTGGCGGTGTGATTCCTGCAATGAGGGCGAGTGGGGGTTTTGCGGTGATTGCGTTAACCAGGGCGTTTCCTGCAGCCACCCGCTGGTTTACCAATCGCCTTCGGCCAGTTCCGTTCAGTCGCTGAACCCGACACCGCCAACAAGTCCGTCCCCAAAGTCGCCAGTCTTTCCACGGCCTTCGGCACCTACGGTAGTTGGCGGCCCTAGTGTTTTGGCTGTCGGGAACCAGAAGGAGGCGGCGCTCACGCCCCCGTGCGAGGTCTGTAGGAAGCCTATTCAGTCGACGGATCCGCGCTTGCACTGTTACTCGTGCACTTCGAAGGTCGTGCCAGATCCTCGGCCCGGCGACTACAACATCTGCCAGCCTTGCTATTCCGTGCTTGCGTCGAACGGGATAGTGGCTCCGGAAAATGGTCCGGCGGGCTGGCGGCGCTGCCCGCAGGGCCACCGCATGGTGGTGGTAGGATTCGAGCTCGACGAGAAGGGTGGCGATATGCGCCGCATCCTGCGCGAGTCAGTAGGCGGCCGGCGGCTGCGGTCTGAGCCGTACGCAGCCAACCCCAGCATACAAGTGTTTTCGTGGTGGAACACGAGCGCCGGCGACGCCCCGACAAAGCTGGAGCGGTTGGTGGCCCTCGACGTGAGCGTCGTGGCCGCTGCTGGCAGGGCGGCGGCCGATGTTGGCGGAGAACAGCCGGGCCGTTTTACGGACACTTTCCCGGCCGACGGGGGAACGTTCCCTCGCGCCGTCGCTAAGTGGAGCTGGTATCCGGCGGCAGGGGCTGATGATGAGCTGATGTTCCCCAAGGGAGCAGAGGTGCTCGAAGTGGAGAATGTCAACGACGAATGGTTCCACGGCTACTATATGGGGGCCAGCGGGCTTTTCCCGGGCCCGTACGTGAAGCTCGTTCGGAGGGATGATTCATGATGAATGTTTCTTTTTTGGCCCTTGGTGAAAATCGTGGTCTGCCAGGGTCATGAGCTATCTGTTTCCCATGTTGATGATTGATGCTCTTTCATACACACATATATACCATGTTGAGTGGGAGAAGAAGACAGAATATGTACCTGTTTGCCTAGGATGCCAGACGAGATAGGACCGGATATAGTTTACCTTTTTTCATATATATATATATAACACGTACACACACGCGCGCGCGTATATATATACCTATTTATATTCTATTCTATTTTCTGCTCCGTTTCAACATGATCCACCAAGGCTACCGTTACACTGCATACACTGACTGCCAGCTATTACTCGTGGCTCCACTCGGGCTTCTTCTTATCGACAAAAGCGGCCATGCCAATCTTCTGGTCGCGGCTGCCAAACAGGCTGTGGAACACGCGGCGCTCGTACTCGACACCGTCGCGCAGCGGTAGGTCCTGGCTCTTGTTGACGACCTCCTTGGCAGCCATAACAGCAACACGCGAGTAGCCGGCAATAGTCTCAGCAGTGTCAAGCGCAGCGTCTATGAGCTCGGCGTGCGTGGGGAACGCCCGCGCCGCCACGCCCCAGAGCGCCGCCTCGTCGCCCGAGAACGACCGCCCCGTCAGCACTAGCTCCATGGCGCGGCTCTTGCCGACCGCCCGCGCCAGCCGCTGGCTGCCCCCCGCGCCGGGGATCGTGCCCAGCTTGATCTCGGGCTGCCCGAAATTCGCGCCCGACGTGCAGTACAATATGTCGGCCATCAGCGCCAGCTCGCAGCCGCCGCCGAGCGCGTGCCCGGACACCGCGGCTATCAGGGGCTTCTTGAGGGTGGCCGTGAGCGCCGACCAGCTCTCGATGAATGCCGACGTGTACGCCGCGCTGAAGCTGAGGGGGGCCATCTCCTTGATGTCGGCCCCCGCCGCGAACGCCCGCTCAGACCCCGTCAGCACCACCGCGCCCACGTCCGCCACGCTGTTGAGCACCCCCAGCGCCGCGTTCAGCTCCGTGATCAGCGGCGTGCACAGCGCGTTGAGCGCCTTGGGACGGTGCAGCGTTACTGTGCGCGTGCGTGGCTGGGTTCAGCTTCTTGTGCTGCCGCTCGAGTGGAATTCCAGGGATGGATGTGGATGGGAGAGAAAGAAAGGGGCTGGGTTGGGGTTGTCACTCACCCTGCGCAACGCCCGGCCGGGGCCGAGACACCTGGATGAACTCGTAGCTGGTGCTGGCGCTGGCGGGAGCGCTCGTGGTGTTGGCAGACAGGTTGCGCCTGGTGGGAGCGGCGACGACTCGCGGCAGGGATGCCGCCTGTAAGCGGGATGATGCTGCTACCGCTGCTGTCGCCGCCGCGGGCCGCCGCAGAGCGCGGACTGCTGATTGCATCTTTTTGACTTGACGGATAGGGATTCGCTGAAGGCGAAAAAAAATGCGCTTGTTTTTGTTTGGGGTTTCTTGAGGCGTCTTATCGAGGGACGGTTTGTCTGATGGCCCGGTGTTTGCTCCTGTCAGGGTCTTGGAATGCACGTCGCAGGTTATCCTCAGCCTATAAAGATGGGGGAAAATGGTATGCCAGATCGGGTCGCTCGCTCACACTTCCCCGCCTACCAATAGGTGAGTGAGCCGCACATGCCACAGCTCTCCCGGGCCGTTGGTTTAGCTGGCGCTACCGGGCCTGCCTGGACTGCTCGATGCTCAAGGGATCCGAGGTTTATCCGCTCGACCAGTCCCTACTGTGTAGAGCCCATCTCGATTCCCGACAGGGAGTCAACTGACTAATCCATACCCGAGAAATATTCGGCACCTGAGTAATACACTCCAATCCCTGATTATTTGTTAGTAGGGGACCTCCAAGATTTGAAAGGCCTTAATAACTTACGGCTTGCCCTGAACGTTTTTCGCTGAGGGAGGTAAAAGCTATTGGAATCCCTATTTTAGAATCTTGGAGGCCTTTCTCTATCCTAGAAACACCTGAAAGGCTTTTCCTAGCCGTGATATTTGCTGTGATCTTTACCTTTTGTAAGTATCTAGGTACCACGCCAACAAACACTCATGGATTGGAGTGCAATTGAGGGAAGATAGCCTCTCTTCTGTAGCCCTGTTCAGCTGAACTAGCCAACGGAAGACGAGCAGACTAGCTATTAATCTATTTTTTAGGCGGGGAAAACCAATGGCCTTGCTACGCTAGTGGCTTGGCGGGGATTTCAAGAGACCTTTTAGCTAGCACGTCCGACTGCAATCCCATCCCAATAGCATAAAGACAGTCCTTATAAATCACCACCGTAGGTACATGTACAAAGGCTCTTGGGCTGTGCCCAGCAAAAAACCTGTTTTTAATACCAAAAAAATACACCTATTTCTGGGACGAAGCCAACACAACTAATAAGAGAAATTCTTGATCAACTCCTCAGCGAGGTCATACATGCGCTGGAAGTTGTCGGAGGCATATGTGATCTAAGACGGGGCGAACCCCAGCCACCGGATTGTCTCCTCGATGGCCACAAACGACTCCTCTTTCTCGGCGTCGGGATTCGTGTCATCGAACCTGAGTTGGCCGTGTCAGGAGGAAGGGCGGTAATCTGCTGTGTTTTGGGAGTAGCTAGAGCAAAGAGTGTATGCAGCAGAGACAAGGGTATATAGTAGGGAAAGTCTTCAAGTAGTAGAGATACATAGTCGCTCCTTTTTCTAGAAAGTCTTGGAGCACTGTTAAATCGTCTCCGTGTACTGTAGGTACAAAGGCGCCCAAGCGTTACCACTCACCGCCAAGCAAAATACCACATTTTACAGCCAAAATTATCACATTCGCTAGCTACACCGCTCCAAACGCTAGGAACGCAATTACACCTCGCCGCCGCCGCCAACGTCAACATACTCCCAAATACGGTAATTGAAGCTCAGGACCATAGATTCGCTCAAATCGTTCAAATCTGCAATGAAAAGCGAAGCTAACTTCGTTAATTTTAATTACGTAACAGGGCCAAAAATACAATATAAAACTACAGGCCTGCTTACAACTACTCATAACTGACAGCCCTACTAATCCATGCCTTCCAATGCCCGGGCATGTAGTTGCGAGACCTGCAGCGATGATAGAATCAATGGAAAATGAAGCCCTACCGATGCGCTGATTGATTGACGGCGCCGACGATGTTTTTTAGTGTTGTGGAGGGTCGGTTGCTGTGGATTAGAGCGGGTTACGTTGTGGTAAAAAGTGGTAAATTACTAGATGTACTGGAGGGGGTTTGTGCGGTCAGGGTTAGGGTTATGTGTGGTGGGCTACAGTGCAAAGAGACGATTTGACAGTGCTCCAAGACTCTCTTTTTCTAACGCCTTGAAAACTGTCTTATATCGCTATCAGGTTATCTATCGCCTTTGCGTACTTTCCGCGATGTCTGCCTTGGTTTGCTATCTGGGTTGGGAATGGCCTCCTTTGAAGAGGCCTATTGTAGGTGAATCCTTGCTTAGCACGTCCCACAGGTCTGGAGCCTTTGGGGGGCCTTCGGCCGCCCCCTGGACGTTAAAACGAATACAACAACAACATCCGCCCGTAAGGCAGGAGGCAGCTGTTCTGTTCCGTTTGCGGATAACTGCCATTGGTATCGGTATCGTGAGCTCAACAAACTAGCCGTAGGAGAGGCTCCTGCGTAGGGCAGTCACGAGGCTTATTAATAGGGCAGTCGGGGCCAGGGAACTTAACTTTCTCTCTTCCATGAGTGAGAACATGAGTGAGACTTTGACAATGCAAACAAACACCATCACCGTAGAACCAAGCTATTGCATTTACCTCAGGAATTTACCACTTTGTACGCCGTACAGCAAAAATTACCACACTTGCTGGGAACGCAACGCACCTGCGACAGAGTTGCGTCGCCAGGAACTCAACCACTCTTTTAAATTTGATAATAAAACTCAGCGCTATCGGCCGCTCGAGAGGTATATAATAAAAAGCGAAGCTACCTAATAAACCTTAGGTAGGTAAAGTAGGTACCTCCTAGACTCAGTACCTCGATTCTGCATACATGTATGACCAAGAAAATAAAAGAAAAACCCGCCTACTAGGTACCCGTAGGCCAAGATGACCTTACGCCGCTGGAGAAGATACGAGACCGCGAGAAGCTCTAATTGTGGCGCCGCGCCGAGCTACCGCGCCCGAGCTGCTACCACAAGCCCCTGAAATTACAAAGAATATGCCGTTGCTGGCATATTAAATTACTTAACGTCCAGGACGGTGTTATGTGGTATTACTAGGGGAAAGGTAGAGTAGTGAACTACTCCGTAAATATCATTTGTTCGATGCACATAAGGCTCACCTTGCTTTTGCGATCTGTGCTTCCAGGCTCCCATCACCACCTTCGATCTTCAGCTCTGTCCGCTGTTATCTCGGGCAACCCTTGGCCCTTACATTAGGTCCCCCTTTCGTGTACTTTCGTTTCTCAACCCACTCACAACAACACGTATTTCAGCGTACAGACGGGAAACTATATATGGATATCACCTTAGTAGGTAGGAGAAGTGTCGTGTCAATCTGAACTCTAATCAGCACCTGACCCTAATGACTGACCGGATGGGATACAGAGTACTATGGCCAGAAATTCATTGTTGTCGGGGCCAAAGGATTTTTGCCTTGTGCAAGTGTTGAGAGGTTCAGAAAAGAAGTGCTGTCAGTAAAGTGTATCTGGTGAAAAAAAGGGGTTATTGTGTACCGTTCGACTGACAGCCTTGTCACTCTTACAAGTGTACCTACCTGTGTATGAGCCCTACCCATTCCCCAGCAGTTCAACCGACTTTTTCGAGTCAAACCATCCCTCTCTGCCCGGAAATATATGCTTGAAAACTAACGCCAGATAGTGCGAAGTCAAGGACTGCACTTGCACCGGCTTCGCCGCCAGCGGCCGCGATCAAAAGAAGTGCCGTACCTGCGGTCATCACAAAGATGACCACCAGTAAATACCGAATTCCACAGTGGCGAAGATGTGATATCCTCTCACGATATCTTTGTTGGAGAATGCTTGGGCCGGAGAATTAGGATTGCTGCGCAGGAGATGTCGTTCGTCGGCTAATGGTCACTACTAGGACTGGTACACAACGGAAATATCTTTGTATGTCACGAACAGACCTATACACAGTCTTAAGCAAAATACAGACTCTAACACCAGGGTTATTGCATATTCATTATGGTGCCAGCGCGGTCAGAGTTGAGTTGTTGAGATAGAGTCTGAAGCCAGAAGTTGTAGATAACTCGCAATATATACGCTTCAATCTACCAGCTCTTGGTGCAAGAGCTGTTGACATGCTTTTCAGTTCAAAGCCACAGAGCTAGGTATGGCGCAGCTTCTTTGCTTTGAGCCAATTGAGACATGTTGAGAGTCCCTGCTAATTGATATGGGTACGAATGTACTAATGCAATAGTAGTACTGACTTTGGTTCCTTGCAGCTATGGAGAACCATGATCCCACTGACTTACAACGTTCAATCTACAGGTACCGAGATATTATAGGCGACCTGGACAAAGACTAGGTAGGTACTCCCTCTGCTTATTAGGCCGGCCTTTCAATTAGTGTAGAAGCGGTATTTAGTATTTCATATTTCGTATTTCGTATTTCGTAGTATACTACTGTGGAATTTGGTACCTAGGTCATCATACCTTACCCCTGAATGTTTGTTAGTGAGGGACTTTCCGAGAATCGAAAGGCCTTAATAACTTTCCGCTCGCCCTGAAGATTTTTCGCTAAGGGATGTAATCGTTATTAGGATCCCTATTATAGAATCCTAGAGGCCTTTCTCTATCCTAGAAATACCTATCAAAGGCTTTTCCTAGCTGGTGTACGGAAGTGCCTTTCAAAAGTTTTGCGCAATGCCAAGCCAGCCACACCCCTTTAGCTGAATGATCAGCGACCACACCACATCTGGTTTGGCCACGTAATCTTACCCCTCAACCCCGCTTCCACAGCTCAACAGTCAACACAACGATCAAGATGTCGCCAAATACAGATATTTCCATGCGTGCGCTTATAGTTACCCTCAAATCTCCTATTGTGGGCCTTTCTTCGGCCGATGTCTTTGCACAAACCGGGGTTTCCGTTAGTACCGTCAATCGAATATATGCCAGGGCTATTGAGCGTGGATTTGATCCAAATATACGGCCCTTAATTATTAAGGATGAATGGGTTGAAGATGCCCCTCGCTCTGGCCGTCCACGAAAACACACCCCCGAAAATACCGAGAAGGTTATCGCCAAGGTTCGCAAAGATCGATATGGCCGTGAGAAATCCTGTGCTGATCTGGCCGGTGAGCTCAGTACCGAGGGCCTCGACATCTCAGCTATCACAATCTGGAGGATCCTCAAATTAGCAGGATTCAACAAAACGAAGCCAACGAGGAAGCCTGGATTGACGAAGAAGATGAAGGAGGAACGACTGAAGTGGTGTCTTGATCATAAAGATTGGACTTTAGAAGATTGGAAACGTGTTATTTGGTCTGATGAAACTTCTATTGTATTACTTCATCGCCGAGGAGGATATCGTATTTGGAGGAAAGCTGATGAGCGTTTTCTTAAAAGCTGTATTCGTGAACGGTGGAAAGGATATTCGGAGTTTATGTTTTGGGGTTGCTTTTCGTACGATCAAAAGGGGCCTTGCCATTGTTGGCTTCCGGAAACAAAGGCTGAAAAGGAGCAAGCTGAGAAGGATCTTGAGGAATGGAATAAGGAGTTGGAACCAATAATGCGTGAAGAGTGGGAGTTGGATACCAAAATGGGAAGGCTCTCTTTGGTTACGAAACGAGGCAGAAAACCACAATGGCGATGGAACAAAGCGAACGGCAAACTCGTACGAGAATCCAAGGGAGGCATCGACTGGTATCGCTATCAAACCAAGATCCTTATACCAAAGCTTATCCCTTTCGCCAAAAGCTGTGGGCCGAATACGCTTGTTCAGGAGGATAAGGCTGGCGCACACGCTCATCGCGCTCAACAGCGTATATACGATATCCATCAGGTACTCCGCCTCCTCTGGCCAGGTAACTCACCTGATCTTAATATGATAGAGCCTTGTTGGTTCTGGATGAAGAGAGAAACAACCAAAAAGGGAGCCCCAAAAAGCAGGGCTGAGGCTATTCGAGCATGGGAACATTGCTGGAACGAAAAACTTACTCAGCAGCGTATTCAAGCCTGGATTGAAAGGATTGTTGAGCATATACAACAGGTAATAAAGTGCGAAGGAGGTAACGAGTATCGAGAGGGCCGGAAAAGAATAAGGAGCTAGGGGGCCAAGATGGCCAGGGTCGTATGTAATTAAAGAGGGTGGCTTTCTTGGCACTGCGCAAAACTTTTGAAAGGCACCTCCGTATCTCATCCCGTGAAGCGACGTCAAACGTTGGGCACATTCGAAAGTGCTGCGCCACAACGTGACCTCTCAACATCGAGCGCCACATCTCCAAATCCCCCGAAACAGCTGCACTAGCGCACGTTTGTTAGCGTGTGGCTTAGCTGACGCCAGATCTCCAGACAGTGGGAGGACAAGGGACGCGCAACGAACACTCGGCTACCCTACCCCTACCCCTACCTACTTTTTAAATTTCCCTTTTCCTTCCACCACGACACGACCCGCCCCAACGATAACATCGACGACACCATAATACACGATCACGAACGTCGCCTGGACGAGTTCCGACTAATTCCCACACTCCTTTCCATCTCAGGCTAAAAGCCGCAGCACAGCAGCAGCTACTCAGCTTGCGCAATCTGCCGCCGTTCCCGTGCCCTAAGGGACCCAACTAGGCCAACGAGTCGAAGCAAATCCGAGCCCGACCCAAACTAAACACACTAGACGCATAACCCGTCGCCGACATGGAGTCCACAGAGGAGCCGTCTACGCCTTTCAGCACTTTTACCGCCCAGTCAAACAAGCTCCAAAGGGTGCGCATCTCCCCAGCTTGCTCCCGTCCTCTTCTCGATAGGGGTAAAAGGGGGGCTAGTGTCTTGCGACGGCATCGTGACTGACCTTTTGTTCCCTTGCAGCAATACCAAGCGCTACTTGACAAGTCGACGCCGTTTGTCCTGTACCGGTGGGCTGGCACGGCTGTCGGCCTGTTCATCTTTTTCATCCGCGTGTTTATCGCACAAGGGTGGTACATCGGTGAGTGGCAATTGCCTGCGTGCTTGCGCCTCGCCAAGAGCCACAAAGCGGTAGCGCCGGTTCGCTAACCAAGGATTTGTGCAACGACAGTCGCCTATGCCCTCGGCATCTACCTGCTCAACCTGTTCCTGGCCTTCCTGCAGCCCAAGTTCGACCCGTCCAATGAGGCCATCGACAACGACATGGAGGACGGCGCGGTCGGCTCGCTCCCGACCAAGCAGGACGAGGAGTTCCGGCCCTTCATCCGCCGGCTGCCCGAGTTCAAGTTCTGGCACTCGGCCACGCGCGCCGTCGCCATCTCGTTTGTGTGCGCCTGGTTTGAGATCTTCAACGTGCCCGTCTTCTGGCCCGTCCTGGTCATGTACTGGATCATGTTATTTGTCCTGACGAGTGCGTCTCCCCCTTCCTGCACCAGAACAGACAAAAAGCTGACCGTTTCACGCGTAGTGCGAAAGCAAATTCAGCACATGATCAAGTACCGCTACGTCCCCTTCACAATGGGCAAGGCGCGCTACAACAAGAACAGCTCGTGAGCAGGGAATGGAGCGAATTCGCAGACGGGGCGCTTTGCCCAACTTTTTCAAAACGAGCACTTTTTTGCGGTTTTTTTTTCCTCTTCGGAGCAGAATGGGCGGGGACGGGGCATAAGCCACGGACGGCTGCGAATAGAAAAGGGAGGGCCGCCGGCTCCATGTATTATGACTGACGTGCACGCTCTCACCACGCCCCGCTCCGACACTCATGACAAATCCTGTATAATGTTACATACACATTTATAATTCACCTGGGCAGATCGCTGTGGTGGCGGCTTTCAGCTAGGTTCTTTTCGGGGGAGAAATGGGATTTGTCGATGAGATGGATTCCGAGTGGGCGGGGCGCGAGGATGCAGAGCGGGGGACGGGAGTTGGGAGGTTGACCAGTTTCCGTCATCTAGAACATTTGGATCACCTACTGCGTAGGCATGTTCTTCAGCTCAGCTCGACAGCGCAGAATGGACGTGGTTGCGCGGGAGACGGTGGGTATGAGTTCAGTGCATGCTGAGCGAATGGTGATTTGGCCGCAAAGTTGTGTTCCGCAACTGAAGGCTGACTTTTGTGAGCTGACACTGCTTGCTTGCAGTGGCTCGCCTCCGAGAAGAAACAGGTAAAAATTCGGGAGACGAGAAAGCCAGTCAACCAGCTAGAAAAACAGTTCGGTTGACCGAGATTCTCGATCAAACAGCGCCACTCCTACTCCAAGTCGTCTCTCTGAAGCCTGAACAACAACTGTTCAGTGGTAGTGGGGAAAAGTGGGCCCGCCTTCTCTCCCTGCATGCAGCTGAATGGCAGCAGCGGCCGCGCCTTTCACCTCTAAACCTTTTTCAAATTCGTCGACCCGCGCAACCTCGACTGAGCGGCCTCGACTGCGCAGCTTTGATTGCACGAACTCTCGTTGCTTTATCGACTCCGGCACCGTTCGCTCTCCACGAATCGTTGCACCTAATATCCAATCGACAAGTCCCGACATCGCATCGACAGACAGCACACGGTAAGGCTGCAGTAGTAATGTCGTCGTCGCAGGCTCGCGGTGGCGGCGAGCGCATGATCCATCAGGACTACATTGCCCGCATTCGCTATTCCAATGCGCTCCCTCCCCCACCAAACCCGCCGAAGCTTCTCGACATCCCCAACTCGGGCCTCTCTAGTGGAACCTACACCGATCCCGCCTTTGCCTCGCGCCTCGTCCGCGAGCAGAAACTAAACATTGTGGCCGATGCCGAGCTCGGAATGCACCTGGACCTGGTGGGAATGCCGGGCGTCTTTGACGGCGATGAGAGCTGTGGGTTTCCTTGCTTCACGAGATGCCTGTTGACAGAGTACTGACTCCCCCCCCCAGCTATCCAGGCTCCAGCCGATCCCCCCCCGGTCCATCCCCGTGACAAGGTCCTCCTCAGAACACTCGCCCAGCTCATGAAGCCAAAGTCTGCCGAAACCGAGGTCTCTTTCCTAAGACGCACAGAGTATATCTCGTCGTCGCAATCACGGCCGCGCCCAGGCGGCAACGTGTTCATGAAGCCGTCGGCAAGCGCCTCGGCTAAGCGACCAGAGAAACGGAAGGCGTCCCCGGAGCCCGACAGGGGCACGCCGGCGTGGATCCGCCGCCGGATCAACAGGAGCTTCGAGATCGCTGCCGCACAGCTGGCAGATCGCACCAAAGTCAGGCACCCATCAAAGCGTAGCAGTCTCAAGGTGGTGGACTCCTTCCCGCTGCTGCCAGATCTCGATGCATTCCCCGACTCTGGGGCGTACGTGACGGTAAAGTTTGCCACCAACCCTGTGGCAACAAGCAGCACCTACGACAGGCGCCTCACGTCGGGTATCTTCAAGCCCATCGAGCGCAGCGCGGCCGAAGAGCAGGCGTTCGAGGCAGCGTTCGCCGCGCACGAGCGCGACCCGGTCCGAAACCCGAAGCCCTCTAACATGATGAACTATGACTTCTTCTTGGCGGCGGAAGGTGAGACGGCCGAGAAGTTCCGCCAGCGCTTCGACGTAGACAACCCTGACCGCCACAACCCGGCGCTGTACACGTCGACGGCCGACGGGGGCTGCTTCCGGTTCCCGCGCCTGCGCGCCTATGAGACGTCGCAGGAGAAGGAGATGGACCACGACAACAAGTACGACGAGGAGGTAATCCTGGCGTACCGCGACGACGAGTCGCAGCGCCGCGGCGGCCCCGACGACAGCTCTCAAAAGGCCGTCTACTACTACCCCGTCATGCAGCGCAGCACGATCCGCAACCAGCGGTCGCGCAACATTGCGCGCACCATTGGCGTCCCCGCGGACGACGACGAGACGCACCTCGACGAGCTGCAGGTCCGCGTCGACGAGCCCAGCGAAGCCCTCAAGAACGAGCTTCTGCGCTTCAAGCAGCAGCCCACCGGCTTCCTGCCCGACGACGACGAGGATGAGGACGAAGAGGAGGAGACTGCGGCGGCCAAGACTTCTGCTGCTCCTGCTGACAGCCAGGAGGACCAGGATGCCGAGGGAGATGAGGCAGACGAGGGAGACGAGGAGTAGAGAGAAGACGAAGAGTTAAGGTGGGAAAAGGAGACGAAAGACGGTAGGAGATTGAAAAGCAAAGACAAATGTGAGAAAAAAGGAGGCTTGGTCGAATGAAGCAGCACTGGAAGAACCAGCAGAGACGAACGGGAAGAAAAAGAGGCTTGGCCGGACGAAGAAGAAAAATAGGAACGCATAGCATCATTTCACTGGTTTACGCAGGTTGCGTGTGGGTTGTGCCTCTGGTAGACAGACGGGGAGGGGGGGGAGAAGCCAGGCTAGCTAGGGTAGAGAGGGTAGAGATAAGCAGCCGGGCAAGCTCTCCTTTCTTTTCGAGGCGGCGGCGTCGGGCGTCGAGGTCGGTGTCCATGGAGTTTGTTTGTTTTATTGTATGTATTTAATTTATATTGCACAACGCTGCCTGTATCCCCTCTTGTTTCGGCTGTGTCTTCTATTCCGATGTGCCTGAATGAATAGATAGTTAGCAAGATGGAATGCATAAGGGGCTAGTTTCACAGATGGACCAGTCTAGGCTACCATGCCATGTAAGTTTTTCCTCTATCCGAGATTGTACGTGGCAGTAACGCTCGTCCCGTCTAGATGTGATCTGGTCACTGGTTGGGATATCTCGTATACGTATATATGGGCACAGACAGGTTTGCTACAAAGTAGGTGTTGGTGTTTTGGTGTGACTTCATGCTTCATTATTTTGTCTGTTTCGTTTTCACTTTCCCAGCCTGTCCAGTTTTTTGTACATATATACACACTATTCTTCAAGAGCCTTCCATCTTGCCGTGCTAAAACTAGAAGCCCACTATTTCCCACTTTTCCATACCCGTACCTGCGCACCGCGTCTCATCTCAACGTAGCGCAGCCAGCGTCGCCACGACATCGTCAAGCGACTCTGCGAGCCCCGCGGGGCCGCCGCCGCCGCCGCCGCCGCGCAGTCTGCCGCGCAGCTGGCGCGCGAGCCCCGCGACGGCGGCCGTTGAGTGCACGTAGCGGCGGCGCACGCCCGGCGGGGCGTTGACGAGCAGCGCGGCGACGAGCTGCAGCACGGCGGCGCGGAACTCGTCGACCACTGTGGAGGAGGAGGATGCGTTCTGGTTATTGTGGTCGGGTACATACCAGGCCGCGACTTTCGTCACTATGTCCAGCCACTCCTCGCGCGGGCCGGGGGGGTCGGCCTCGACGACATGCATCAGCAGCCGGACGACCTCGATGCCGCGCGCCGAGGCAGCGGATACCTCGTCGTCGTCATCGTGGCGAGCTCCTGCCGACTGCTGCGCCATGATGCCCGCCAGGTCGTAGGCCAGGGCCTGCCAGCCGCCGTTGTCGAGGAAGGCCTCGGTGCCGTCGTCCTCGGCCGTGATGCCCTCGAAAGCGACGAGCACGGGGTCACGGAAGTCGAGCAGCGGCTTTTTTTTGTCGGTGCTGCTGCTGCGGTACAGGTCGACCAGCATGTCGGACAGGCCAGCGGCCTCCTTGCGCAGCAGCTCGCCGTCATCCTCGCGCAGCCAGAGGGCCAGGGCGCGCACGGCGGCCAGGACCAGCGGGTCGTCAGTCACAGACCCGGCCAGCGAGTCCCAGGCGAGCGGGAGGCGGGAATTCGAAGGAGCGCCAGGTCGGGCGTCCGGATGCAGGCCCATGGCGCCGGCCACGGCCGCGTCCCACCGGTCGCGCAGGTACTCGGTCGACAGCGACATGGTCTCAGAGATGGACGTGCGCAGCCGCAGCACGTAGTCGGGCGGCACGACCAGCGGCGCGTGCTCGTCGTCGAGCGAGCGGATGAGGAAGCCGATGAAGTTGGACACGACGTCGTAGGCCGACGCCAGGCGCCGCGTCGCCGCCGCGTGCTGCGGCGTGTGCGGCTGGCCGAGCAGTGTTGGTAGTGATGAGCGTAGGTCGACCAGCGCGAGGCTGACGAGCAGGTACGCGAAGGGCTTCTTGTCGGCCGCCGCCGTGCCCGTACCCGTGCCCGTACCCGTACCCGTGCCGTCGTCGGCGGAGAAGAGCGCGCTCGGCGCGTCGTGCGGGTACGCCTCGAGCAGCGCGGCCGCGAGGCTGGTGTAGGCGGCGCGGGCGGCCGCCGTGGGCCGGCTGACGACCAGGCCGCGGACGAAGTTGACGACGGGCGCGATCCAGGCGGGGTTGCGTGGGAGGACGTCTGGCTCGAGGCGCGGGAGCAGGGCGGCGAGAAAGGCCAGCAGCGTGACGCCGTCGGTTCCCCTGAAGGACGAGGCGAGGTGGGTGATTGTGGCGTCGATCTTGGCGCACAGGGCGGCCTTGTCGGTGTCGGTGATGGCGGCAGTCATGGCAGTGAGAAAGGCGTGCGAGAGCGTGTCCAGCGCGAGGGGCTGCGACGGGGCGATCTCGGTCAGGGGCGCCAGGTCGTCGACGGCCGTCAAGACGCGGGCGCCCTCTGGCTGGCTGGCCAGGCTCAGGAGTGTCTCGAGCGCTAGGCGGGTAGTGTCGTCTGAACTGTTCAGAGTTAGTTGTGCTGGTACCACAGACTGCAGGATGCTGGGGTGGGTAGTACCTGTGCACGAGACAGGCGACGAGCTGGGGGATCCGGCCGACGAGCCTGGCGTCTCTCTTGGCCTGGTCGGGCAGCAGGGCCGTGAATGTGTGGAGCACGGCGACGGCCAGGTCGAGCATGTCTCGGGCATCGCCTCTCTGTTTCTGGGTCTGAGTTGTTTGTGGTTTCTTTTGGCGGGAGGCGGTGCGCATCAGGCGGTCGAGGAACTTTGGTGGGATGCTCTCCCAGAGGGCGACAATGATAGGCTCATGCTTATGCTGTCGAAGGTCGGGCGAGTTGTCGAGCACCGACTTGAGCAGGGCCAGTCCGACGAAGCGCGATGTGTCGTCGTGTGCAGCGAGCAGCGTCTTGATTTTCTCGATTGAGCTCGCCTGCTCTTGCTCTTGCGCCTGCTCTTGCGCCGACGGCGTGTCCATGTCGAGATTTCCTCCACTTGCGCTTTCCGACTTTGGCGTGTCGGAATCGCAGTTTTGGTTTAAATTAAACCAAGCTTGGAGAGCAGCGGAATTGATGTCATTGCCTGCCTGCCTGCCTGCATGCATGCATGCCTATTGTTGGAATAATGCTTAGATATGGCACGTGCGCCAGCCTCTCCGTTTTTTCAAGCCTGGCATCCACTCGCTAAGGCACCTGTATTCTAGCGTCCCGAACGGATCCTGACGTGCTGGAGCAAGCTTCCATCGATTTATCCGTACCTACACAAATATCCATACCCAGTACCTTTACTCCGTACATTACTTCAGATCCATCCCTCTGGGGACATGGAAACTGGCGTTCAGCACCGCTTCTCGGACCTTTTCTTGGAAGCTTTGTCCAAATTTGTTTACACAATCCTTGTGTGCTTCCAATCATTAATACACGAGTTGGGCACTGCATCCTGGTGTATCCAGACGTCGGGTGCAAGGTACTTCGCAGCACCGTGCGGATCAGGTCGCGCACTGACAATCTTGGCGGTCAACCTTGAGGGCTGAGGCGCCGTGCGATAAGTGCCTGCAATCCGGCGATAAGACAGCTGACGAAAGGACGGGAGTCGATAGCGAGCTGAGCTGCTGAGCCGAGCCGAACATCGCATCGACCCTCACAAAGACAGCATCCAGGGCCGCCATCTGTCCCATACGGGCCCACGACATGGCAGATGCGACGTCGGTGGTTTTTGCTTTTGCTGCACCATTGCCACTGCCATTGCCATGTCCCCGACCCACGCAATGAACAACGCGTCGTCATCGAGTGCCAGCGCCAGCGCTGGTGCCAGTTCCAGTTCCAGTTCCAGTTCCAGTTCCAGTGCCAGTGCCAGTGCGCAGCCCCCCCAAAACACCCCCCAGAATACGCACTACCCCGACGGCCTCGACGGCGACCCCTTTGGCACAGGGGGCCATCGCGATGCTGCCCACTACCTCCACCATGCCAGCGGCCATGACAATGACGACGACAACGACGACAGCGACATCCTGCGCGACGACCCCCTACGTGACGACCTGGCCGAGCCGCTGTCCTTCAAGCGCAAGCAGAAGCAGGGCCTCCTCTCGCAACCCGCACGCCTCCTGAGCGCCCTCACAGGCGGCGCTGGCGCATCTCCCTACAGCAACAGCAGCAGCAGCAGCTACCGTCCAACTGGCTCGGGCTCGGGCAGCACACGGCTTGAAGGTCTGGCCCCCGCCGATGGCCTGCACACAAACTCCAAAGACGGCGTGCCGCTGGACTGGTACGTCGAGGGCCCCGGGAGGCGGGTCGGCTACGAGGACCTGACGGCCATCGACTGGATCTTCGAGTACACAAAGGAGCGCCAGCGCCTGCGCGTGCTGCACTCGAGCGCCGCCGGCCTGCTCGGCTACCTCCAGCGCCTCCTCGACGCCAGCCAGGTCTGGGTCATCCTCGTCCTCACCGGCCTGGCCGTCGGCGCCCTGGCCGCCGCCATCGACGTCACCACCGACTGGCTGGGCGACCTCAAGTTCGGCTTCTGCTCCACCACCGACGGCGGCGCCTTCTACCTCAGCAAGAGCTTCTGCTGCTTTGGCTACGACGAGCACGCCATGTGCGGCGGCTGGCGCTCCTGGAGCGCCGCCCTGGGCATCACCTCGCCCGGCGGCAAGTGGTTCATAGAGTACTTTTTCTACCTCGTTCTAGCAGTGCGTGAAGCACCGTTGCTGTCTCTGTCCCTTGTCTTCACCTAATCCTAACTCATCTGTACAGATCTTGTTTGCTCTCTCGGCGAGCGCATTGGTCAGGGAGTACGCCATATACGCAAAGCACAGCGGCATTCCCGAGATCAAGACGGTTTTGGGCGGCTTCATCATCAGGCGGTTTTTGGGCGTCTGGACCTTGATTACAAAATCGCTGGGATTGGTATGCCCCTCTCCGTAAATCGTTATAGATCCGTGACGGCATGCTAAGTCCTAATGCCCTCTACCTAGGTTCTAGCCGTGGCATCCGGCATGTGGTTGGGAAAAGAAGGCCCCCTAGTTCACGTCGCTTGCTGCTGCGCTAACCTGTTTACCAAGTTATTCCCAAACATAAATAATAATGAAGGTACGTGTTAGGATTCTTTCCTGTCGTAAAGCGCTGCCAAAGCTGACTCCCAGCAAGCGCGGAAGAGGGAGGTTCTCTCCGCAGCCGCAGCCTCAGGCATTTCTGTCGCCTTTGGGTCCCCCATCGGAGGCGTCTTGTTCAGTCTCGAGGTAAGACAAGCCGCTACCACTCCCGCTTGTCAGCTGTATCCTAACACGACCCCTGCTACATAGCAACTGTCGTACTACTTCCCAGACAAGACCATGTGGCAGAGCTTCGTGTGCGCCATGACGGCCGCCGTGATGCTGCAGGCCTTTGACCCCTTCCGGTCGGGGAAGCTGGTGCTCTACCAAGTGACGTACACCTCCAGCTGGCACGGCTTCGAGCTTGTGCCCTTTGTCATGCTAGGCATCCTTGGCGGCATCTACGGAGGTCTCTTCATCAAGGCCAACATGAAGGTCGCCCAGTGGAAGAAGTCGACCACGTGGCTGCCCGGCCCCGTCGTCCAGGTTGTCGTTGTGGCTCTCCTGACTGCTCTCGTCAACTACCCCAACAACTACATGCGTGCCCAGTCCTCGGAGCTGGTGTCCAACCTGTTTTCCGAGTGCTCCATGCTGCTAGACGATCAGTTCGGCCTCTGCAAGACGGGCGCCGCCTCGGCCGGCACCATCGTGCTCCTGGTCTTCGCAGCCGTGCTGGGCTTCTTCCTGGCCGCCATCACCTTTGGCCTGCAAATCCCGGCGGGCATCATCCTGCCGTCCATGGCCATTGGCGCCCTGACTGGCCGCGCCACGGGCATCATCATGGAGATTTGGCAGCTCAACCACCCGGGCTTCATCGCCTTCCGGACATGCGAGCCCGACATCCCCTGCATCACGCCGGGGACCTACGCCATCATCGGCGCCGCTGCCGCCCTGGCTGGCGTGACGCGCATGACCGTCTCCATCGTCGTCATCATGTTCGAGCTGACGGGCGCCCTGACGTACGTGCTGCCCATCATGGTGGCCGTCATGATGGCCAAGTGGGTTGGCGACGCCTTCTCGCGCCGCGGCATCTACGAGTCGTGGATCCACTTCAACGAGTACCCCTTCCTGGACAACAGCGAGGAGATGCAGATCCCGGACATCCCCGCGTCGCAGATCATGACACGCATCGAGGACCTGGTGGTTCTGACCGCCACGGGCCACACCATCGCGAGCCTCACCGCCATCCTCGACGCCCACCCCTACCGCGGCTTCCCCGTCGTCTCGGACCCGCGCGACGCCATCCTCCTCGGCTACATCAGCCGCGCTGAGCTGGCCTACAACCTGCACACGTCGACGCAGCCGCCGCGCTCCCTGCCCCCTGAGACCGAGGCCTTCTTCGCCCACCAGCCGCTCGCCGACCCCAACACCACCCTCGACCTGCGCCCCTGGATGGACCAGACCCCGCTCACCCTACCCAGCCGCAGCCGCCTGCACCTGGCCGTCAGCTACTTCCAGAAGCTGGGCCTGCGCTACGTGCTCTTCAGCGACCGCGGCGTGCTGCAGGGCCTGCTGACCAAGAAGGACGTCTGGTATGTCCTCAACGGCGCCGAGGAGACGCGCCGCACCGGTACCGGCGGTGGCGGCGGTGACGGCACCGACGCGCCCGGCTTGAACGGCGGCGTCGAGACGGGTATTACGCGCGAGGACGGCGACGGCGAGCAAGCCGGCCTCTTGCGCGGCAGCGTCCTCGACGACCTGGTCAGTCCCGGCGCCGACACCGCCAGCATACTGTAGTAGATTTTTTCCAGTTTTCATTTTGGTGAATATCCATCCCGGGGGGATTCAAGCGAGTTTTTGTCATTTATCTTTTTTTTATCGAACGTAATAGAATTTCTAAGCTTGGTTCAATGATCTTCGGCAGCGTGGATTGCTCTGTGTGTGATGGTGGTGTTTGCTGGTAGTGTCTGCTGCTACTTACTCGGCTTGCTTAGGTACGTACCCCTTTACCATGCATGTGTATATCTTATGCTCGGTCACATATACACATACAAACTCTCTCACACTCATACTCATACCCATATACTTACTCACTCAATCCTCACACTCATACACAAACTCGTACACATACTCACACTCATACTCACACTCATACAACACTTATACACTCACTTGATCCAAACCCGGCAGCTGGCCAAGTGCACACAACATATAGGTTAAACCCAAGACGGCCCTCATGAAACAAACTCGGAGCATGCATTTACGTACGTACGTTCAAAAAGCACCTTGGATAAGTATAACACAAAGCACGCCGATATCCCTGCTTTGTTTAAAAACAAGACACCACGCCCGCCCATCCCACCAGCCAAGCGAGAATACCAACGAACTTGAACTTCACAGAATAAACAATCTCAAGACGGAACATGATACAGCCGAAGTACTCCGCTATTACAATAGAAGATCCCGGTAGATTAAACAAGAGATGAAAAAGGAGAGGGAACCAAAGTAGAAACCGGAACCGAATAAACAATCCCCAGCAATTACAACAAAACTAACCAGACTTGTCCCCGTCCTCATCTCGCCGCCGCACGTGCGTCCTGCTCGTACCAATTCCCATCCCAATTAGTCGCCGCTAGACAATTACCCTGCGTCCTAGTTTGCCACTTCCTCCTCGACCCAACCATTAAGACTGCCTTGGATGGCCAGGCCAAACCCTCCCATACCCCCATAACTACCCTGGTATTGATGGCCGCGGCGCTCGCCGTCGCTGCCCCCGGTGCTACCCTGGAGGCTGTTCGGGCTTGTGCCGCCGTTCTCAAACCCGGGGGCCAGAACCGGAAGGCTCACGGCGCGGCTGTGGGACGCCCGCCCAGGCGCGAGCAGCCCGCCAATGGTTGTGGCACCAGACGTGCTGGTGTTCGTGATATACCCGTTGGACATACTCGCAGACTGCTGATGGCCAGAAATGGGTCCTTGTGGGACTTCCAGAGTGAGGCCGGGCTCGTTGGGCGACGAAGCGGCCGTCCCAAAGAGCGCCGCCTGCTGGACAGCCAGCACCTGGTGCTGCTGGTGCTGCTGCTGATGAGCTTGCTGAGACACGTGGCTCAGGTATAGCGTCAGGGGATTGCTCGAGGTGTTGAACAGCCCGGGGCCGCTGGGAGTGCCTGAATTCGTCGGCGAGCTTCCGTTTTGGCTAGAACCCTGGGGCGGAGGCGAGGGGACCTGCTCCCGCGGGGATTGGGATTGCTGCGCCTGGCGAGGGGGGTTGCCACAGCGGTCTTTGCCAAAGTTAACCTTGAACTTCTTGTACTCCTCCTTACCTCGGACAGCCTCAATGGCCTTGATGGCATTTGCAATGTTGGTAAAGTTGACAAACGCGCAGCTCTTCTCGCGCAGCGTGTTGACCAGCTCAATCTCGCCATACTCTGAAAAATCCTGCCTCAGGCGCTCTTCGGTCCACGTGTCGTCGAGATTTCCGATATACACGTTGCGCGAGGCTCCACCGCTGACAGCCAGGGCGATGGCAGGCGGGAGAGCGCCCGAGTGCTTTCCCCAGCCAATCTTCAGGCGGCGGTTGTGGATCATGAGTCCCTGCAAATTGCTCAGCGCGTAGAAAGACGCCGCAGCCGTGGGGTCAATGAAAGTGACGAAGCAGATGTGCTTGTCGGGGATATATCTGATGTGGTGCAGCAGCCCTCCTCGCACCACATTGCAGATTTCCTCGATTGTGGTCTCGGGGTGGATATTTCCGAGGTAGATGGTCCGGTTGCCGAGGTTGTTGATCCCGCCAGCCGTAGTCGCGACCGCAGCCGCAGCCACCGACTGCTGGGCCAGAGCGCTAGAGATGAGGTCCCGGTCGGCACCGGTCAGCATGTGCGCATAGCCAGGGGCGATGCCGAGGTACTGAGCGGCGTTCTGCTGCTGCGTCTTGGAGACGTAGGCACACCGGTCCTTTCCGTAGTAGACGCGGCGGGGCGACTGCCACTTCGGCTCCTGGGGGAGCTGGGACACCGCCTTGATGGCATTCGCGATGGAGAGGAAATGGACAAAGGCAATGTTCTTCTCGCGCACAATCTTGATGGTGTCAATGGCACCAAACTTGCCGAGATCCTCGCGCAGCTCCTCTTCGCTGATGTCCTCGGGCATGTTTCCGAGGTAGACGTTCCGGGAGGCGCCGGACTGCTGGACGGCGACAGCGACAGACGACGGTACCTGCGAGGGCTTACCCCAGCCAATTTTGATATCCTGGCCCTTGACGCAGAGCTTTTTCAAGATGGCATCAGAGTGGAAATGCGTGGCGGAGCTTGCGTCCAGGAACGAGATGAAAGCGCAGTTCTTGTCGGGCAGAAGCCGGACTGACTCGATCTGACCGCTGCGGACGTGTCCCAGGATCTCCTCGGCAGACGTGTCGGGGGGGATGTTGCCTAGATACACGGTGCGGCTGGTGCCCGTGACCATGCTAGGACCCATCGACACTGGCGAGGTCGGCTGCATCTGAACCTGCATCTGGCCCGTCATGTTGCCAAAAGAGACGGTTGGCGACTGGGGCGAGTAGAACTGGGGGGCGCCATAAGCCGAGGGAGACACCATCGTCTGATACATCTGGGGGGAGATGTGCTGCTGGGCCGGGCTCGAGGCGCCGTTCTGCTGCTGCTGCTGCTGCTGCTGCTGCTGCTGGTTCTGCTGAGCTTGCTGAAGGTTCTGGAGATTCTGTAGGTTCTGTAGGTTCTGCAGGTTCTGCTGCTGGGCATGCTGGTAGCTCGACACACTCTGGAAATGAGGGTTGCTGAAGGCGGCAGGGGTTCCGGGCTGGAAGGGGCTCCCGAGGAGCAGTTGGGACGGAAGCAAAGGCGTGAACTGCATGTCAAAGGCAGTGCCAGGAGTGGTCATGTCGGCGCCATTGACGGGCGCCTGCTGTACTGGCTGCGTGTTGATGGAAGGAATGTTGGCGCGTCGAGGATGTCTGTCGCCGAAGCTAGAGATGTTGGAAGCGAAAGCGCCATGGGAGAAGCCCGTGTCGCTGTTAGAAGGCTTCGAGGCATGGCCAAAACGGCCAGAGGCGCTGGGCCCGGCCTGGGGACCAGACATGTCCTGCATCCCGAGCAGATGCGGAGGGACAAGACTGTCCCTAGCGACGTGGGATAGGACAGCCGTTTTGAAGGATTACGTGCCCTTTGAGAAGGCACGAACTCGGGGGATACACGTTAGAATGTGTAGGAAGTGGTGTTCGCACGGAACACGGACCGCTGTCTCAAGATTGGTCTTCCGGGAGAGTATAGACCGATTCAATGGCGGAGCTCGGGGTTCGGATCCTCCTTCGAGGTTGTCGTGACGCTACTCGACGATGCACTAAGAGAAGGGCAAACCGCAAGACAGCTCAAAGGCGCAGGGCGGCGCGGAGTGTAATTTGGGGGCCTTATTGAAGGTTGCCCAAAAGTAAAAAGGCTTGGAACACGGAGAGGCGGCGGCGCTGGACGGCACAGGCCGGATCCAGAAAGTATTCGACAAGGCAAGGCAATGCAATTCCCCTTTCTTCCAATAGAACTAGGCCGAGGCGAGAGCGGCCCCTTTTTCTTTCCCGTGGGGCTCGACCAAAGACAACCGGCTCGCGCAAGGGGTTCGAGAGTGTTCGATCGAGAAACAAAGGAGGTAGGATATGGATGCTGTTATTAAAAGGCTATCGTAATTCAGTTCGAGCAATTGTGTTCTCTTCAAGCGAGCGTCGAGAAGGGGTCAAGAGACTTGTAGGGGGGCAGGCTGTTTTTTCCCCCTTCAATCTTCTGGTAGACAGAGGTAAAGCTGTTTTCTGGGACTAGAAGGTTGGGCAAAAAGCCGTCGTCCAGTATTGGTTGGTTGGAACAAATTATTAGAAACGAATATCTCGAGGAACGAATGTGGAGATGAACGAAGGCAAGCCCACAAAGGAGGTAGGGCGGCTGGTCAGTCCCAACGACGAGAGTTGAGAACTTGAGAGAAAAAAGCTGGGAAGCGCAGCCCGTGTCCGCAAAGGATGGGCGAGGACGCGACTTTTAGAAATCACGCGCACGTCCGAGAGAGCTCCTGCAAAAGGGGCCGGCAAAAAACGAAGTCGGAGAAGAAGAAAAAAAAGATATACCGAGGGGAGGTTAAAAAACGGCCAAAAAAAAAAAGTCGAATGAGTGAGGGAGTGAGCACAAGAGAAATAAAAGAGGAAAAAGAAGGCGAAGGGGCGAGTGGTGACAGGGAGGGAGAAGGGAGCCCGGGTGGAGGACTGACAACCTAAGAGGGAGGCGGCCCTAAACGGGACTGGCTCAGGGAGCTAGTTTAATTGCTGCTGGGCAGGGGATCTCAGGAGGTGGGTACCTTAGAGTAGACGCTCGGAGCCCGGTCGGGTACGGTACGGTACAGTACGTTTGGCCTACCAACCGCCAGGTCCCCTTTTCTTGTCCCCAGGTCGCTGCCGTGGCGCGAGACGGCGCAAAAATAGCCGCGAATTAGCAGGTTCTAGCCCTGAGCCAGTACAACACGACCGTTATCCACACTTGTCCATGTTCCACCAATACACACCCTGCCAATAAGTCTGCAACCGACACCACCACGGCGATAAATGCGACTTCCATCTCTACTTCATGTACCGATCGCGCAGCGTTGAGGGACGGCCCTGATAAATGAATTGCGTTGACGATCACGACGTGTGCAAACCACAGTAATTTGGCCAGGTATACTGTACCTACTCCGGACTGTACATACATGCATTCCGTACCGAGCCCGGCAAGGTCTCGGTCGCTTGCCGCTCCTTTGATCGGCAATGAATGGGGCCAGAGTCAAACACTCATCTGATGTAAATGTCGGCCACCACTCAGTCCCAAGTGCCACCACCAGCGCCATCGATGCGAGATGCAAACTGCGAGATGCGATCTTGATGAATTAAAGTTCTCTTACTATACTAAGTGAGGAGTTGGTTTTGCTGCACACTACACGCAGTCCTGCAGCCCCTTGCGGCCCCTGTCTGATCTGAGCACGTTAGCTGCTGAGTTAACCCAGCAGCAGACGCGCCTAGACTCGTCAGATTCAGGAACGGGGTTGCACCGTTGCATCCCCACGGAGGGCAGCTGGCGGGACCCTTACTATCTAAAGGGTGATGGGGGCACTGGTGGGAAAGGAGAGGAGACGTCTAGAGGGGGTCGCCATCATGCAATCCGGGGCCATGCCTAGACAGTGGACATAATGCCAATAAACCTCTTCATCACTGATACACAGGCACAGTACTGTACAATATTCCAACTTACAGTATCCGTCCGGAGCTGGTCACACGGGAGAAGAGTTCTTAGCCTTGCGGCGAGACAAGATCACTGCCAATGCAGCACCACCACCGACTCGTCCGCCATTGGAATGGAAGAGGGGGAGCAAATTTACCGGTCTCACGGCCACCAATAGCTACCCGGTACAGATCTTTCTCTCCGTATCCGATCTACCTTAGTAATGACCATGCATTCAATCATCAGCACATTCTCTCCCAGGCTGGCTGTGAAGTGAAATGTTTAGCTCTCCATCCGAACCCAGGTACGTAGTCGCCTTGTGATGATCGGCTTGCTCGGTGGGAATCCCGCCTCATTGAACTAATATCCGTAACTGTGGAGAGAGTTCTGGATAGGGGGGATTGAGGTCGAGCAGGAAAGAGGAGGAGCGAACTAGCCGATCTCCCGCGGGCGCGGACACCCACAAACCACCAATGCCGTGCAGGGTCAAGAATACCCGGATGCTCGTCACCTACATATGGTATGTACTACACGCACTGCGCAAGGTACGCACACTACAACGGCCAGCCTACAGAGCCAGGGCGGCCAACCAGCGGGATCCCGACGGCGATTGACGCTGCCTGTCTTGTTCCTAGAAGTCAGATTAGACAATAATAAGCCCACCTAGGCCACTCTCCACGCCGTCTCTCTGGTTGTCTGTTTGCCCCCCCCATCGAGGCATCAAGGCGAATGCAGTGTCTCAACCTAAAGGGGGGGGGGAGATCGTAGCTTGTTGAGGAAAGAAATCGCGTGCTAGGGAGTAAGGTAGGGGCGACGGTCACCGAAGGTTTGGGTTGAAACCACCGTAGGCGAGGGGAGGGTGGAGACTGGAGAGAGGTCCCCACGGTCCACGGTAGAGCTAGAAAAGGGCTACCCAGCCGGCAATGTTTCATCCCTCATACCGTACAAAATCAGATTCTGGCTAGCTCGCACTGTAGTCTTGTCATTTCAGCAAGCGCTGTCCAGCACCGTGCGCATTATGGGCGGCGAAATGACTACAGGGCTAGAGACCTCGAATCCCCCCCAATTCATTCACGGGCAGCCAGTCGGCCAGCCGGCCAGTCGGCCAGCCGGCCAGCCAGCCGGCGCCCTGGACTATATACCAAAAAAAGGTTCAAAACATAAAAGTTTTAGAGAGACCTGTCTTGGGGGCTCGGGGATCACTGGTGCCCTGTTCTAGAATCTCAAGTGTTTCGTTTTTTTTGGCAACATGTCCGATCAAGATCACCTTCCTTTTGTGCCTGCCGGCTGTGTGTGAGTGATATGCAGCCCAAGAACCAACACAGCCATTGACACCACCAACCACTACGTACGACAACCAAGCCTCCGCCATCTTCCAGGTTGTCGGTGATAGCTCGTAAAAGGGGAAGTGGCTGCCAAAAAAAAAAAAAGAGAGACACTGGAAGTAGTAAGGCAGGAGGTAAGGCAGGCAGGCAGACGAAAAGGCCATCCGGGATGGGCCAGACAGCCAGTTGTGCCACATTTGTTCTTGTTCCTACAGGAACCCGCTGCAAGAGGCGAGCAAAGCAGAAAACATGTCTATACAGGACAGTACCGGGCCTCTTTTGGCCGCAGCGTACATACCTACATGTTATCACCAAGAAAAATTCAACCAGAACGGCGCATGTGGCTAAGGTCAGGGAAGTAGAGGCAAAGTAGGCAAGGCCAAGGTAAGGCGAGGCAAGGCATGGCAAGGCGAGGCGAGGCAAGGTAATCAAAACATAGAGCCAGCCTTTCCCATCAACTTACCCAAGGTATCTAGGTAGGTGTCTGTAAGAGATATGCATCTTCCTCACGCCCATCTGTCTATCATCATCTCCCGTCATTTCCTCGTCTTAGACATGTGTCTATGTACGAAGTACGCAGCCAAGTCAACCCAAGTCAAGCCAAACCATCAATAGAATCTCCTATCTCTCTATATCCAAAAGAGAACCTCCAGCAGGGCAGATATGCTCTTCCGAATTACCCGACGTAAGGCAAGGCAAGGCAACGCAGGCAGGCAGGTATCTACACCCCGTACACACACATATGCAAACATACCCACCTACAACGTTTGTGGCGGCGGGGGAGGCGTTTCAGCCAACAACTTGCATGCGGCGTGGCTTTCTTCTGGCTGCCTACTTCCACGTACCTAGGTATGTAGGTAGGGTAGCGATCCGCGCCAGAATACGATGCAATCCCCTGCAGCTAACGATGATGATTAAACCCGATTCCTATTGGCGTAGCGCTGCACTCGGTACTTGGATACAAAGTAAGGTGAGGTAGGGGTTTTGGTAAATAAAACTGGCCAAGAAAATCGCTTTACTAGTGCCCTTGTGGGTGGGAAATAGGGGCTCGAACAACTACTACGACATCAAGTAGAGGAAAATAGTAGCCACTCTCTACAGAGGCTGTCACAATAACACAATGAAACAAATGATCAAAGACTGAATCTATTTCCGGGGATCTTGCTGCAAGGGTACTGAGCACCAAACTCCATGCCTTCTCCCATCGTCTATAAAATGGCAGTCCTCCCACCCCCCAGCCCTCCTTTCCGTCTCGACTTCGTGTTCTAAGGTCTCGCGCGACCCATGAAGCGCGGGTAGAGCGTCGTTGTCCTTACCGTGTGCTGGCCGGCCATCCAGGCGAGGAATCTTTCCAAGCCCAGCCCGTATCCTCCATGCGGGGTTGTTCCAAACCTGAGCCATTGGTTAGCAACGGAAAACCCGGCAGTCTCAGCAACAGTACTTACTTCCGCTGGTCCGTATACCAGTAGTAGGGCTCCGGGCCAATCCCGTTCTTCTTGTACGCCGCGATCAGCTCGTCGTAGTCCTCCATGCGCATGGACCTGGAAACAAGATATTAGATAAAATTCCGACAAGGTGGGAAATTAGGGGAAACCTGCCCTCCTACGATCTCGCCAACTCCCGGGATGAGAACGTCTACGGATTCCGTCACACGGAGGTCCTTGGGGTCCTTCTTCATGTAGAACGCCTTGATCTCGACGGGGAAGTGCGTGAGGAAGATTGGACGGTTAATAATGTCCGTCATCCTCCGCTCCGCAGCCTCAGCAATATCGTCGCCGAAGCTGTGGACGTTGCCCTCCTCGTTGAGGATAGGGGGGTCCTGCTTGTTGAGCCACTCAATGGCGTCTTCGTACTTCATACGCATAAATGGCCGTGACGGCTTCTCGAAGCCGGGGTTCAGGAGCTTCAAGTACGCCGCCACTTCCGCGTTACCCTGGACCTTGTCGACAACCCGCGAGATGATCTCCTCGAGATGCTCGAGCAGGTCGTCAAACTCGATGAAGTCCATCTCACCCTCAATGTGCGTGTATTCGCTGAGATGCCGGCGCGTGAGACTCTTCTCCGCTCGGACTAGAGGTAGGTTAGTTGGTACTTCTGCGATAGCACGGGATCTGGGGCGCGGCTCTTACAGGACTTCTCGATGCAGTAGACGTCGCCAAGAGACGGGATGACCGTCTCGAGGTACAGCTGGGACGACTGGGTGAGGTAGGCTTCCTCGCCGTAGTAGTCATACTTGAAGAGCGTGCTGCCTCCCTCGACCTGGGTCTGGACCATGGCGGGGGGGGACACTTTGGTGAAGTGCATTTCGCGGTACGTGTCAATGAAGGCAAGCTCGACGAACTCGCGGAGCTTCATGACGGCCGAGGCAGTCTCGCCGCGGAGAACCAAGTGCCTGTTGTCAAGCATCTGGGCATCCCAAGGGTCCTGATCCCTGGAGACCTTGTTGGTGATGGCGTCTAGGTCGCTCGGGGCCGAGCCGAGAACCCTGTAATAGTCGACCTGGAGCTCCCGGTTGTCGGGGGCACTGGCGCCGGGCGGCAGCTGCTTCAACTCGCCGTACAGCACGATGGAGGTTTCCTGAGCAAAGACCAAGGCGTCGTACGTCTTAGTCAGGTCGCCGGCGGGTAAGACGCATTGCAGGAGGCCGTAGCCGTCCCGCAGGGTGATGAAGGTCGCCTGCTTCTGGGACCGCAGGCGGTGGATGCGGCCAAAGACCTTGATGCGGGTGCCCAGCTCGACCGACTTGTTGTTCAGCTTGATCCTGACGGCGGGCGGCAGCGACGGGTCCTCTTGGAGCATAATCTTCTTGGCATCCTCGAGATTCTTGAGGCGCTGCTGGCGCTCCTCCTCCTCCTTCTTGCTGGCCAGCTCGTCCTTGGCCAGCTTCTTCTTGTAGGCGTCGACGCGGCCGACGGCCTTCTTCAGGGAGGTCTTGGCGGGCTCTTCCCAGGTAGAACCATCGGCGGAGCCCTCCTTGGGGGGGACTCGGGTGAGGTACGTAGGCGCGGGCTTATCGAGGTGCTGGACCAGGGCATGGTAGAGAGACTGATAGGGCTTCGATTGGGAGCCGTCGGCGGATTCGTCGTCCTTGCCAGCCGCCGAGTCGATGTAGCACTTTGCGTCGCTCTTGACGGTGCGGTCCGCAAGCGCCTGAGGGGTTGCCATGTTGTCTTGCGAAGTGGTGCGCAAACAATGGCAAGATTTCTTCTGTTGGCGTACGAGAGGGGGAAGGGAGTACGTGAATTGATGGTGGGGTTCGCCCGTTATAAGAAAGTTGGCGGGGCACATCAAACAACCCGCCTACCCGATTCGCAGTGTCTCTGACTCACAACCTATCAGCGTAAAATTAAGGATAGACAGCTTCCGTCGAAACACCCGGACCGGACAGGACGCCGGTGCGCTAGGCTGCTACACAGTCGCAGACATGTCATGCTTTGGGCCAGCATGATAAAGCTGGAACGGCGATTGATAATCCCACCCCCTTGCCCTTGAGCCCAACCCTCCGACTTGGGATGAGTTGGGCCCTCGAAGACGGCATCCTCTCTTTCCTAAAATGTCTATTTAATTCGTCAATACCTCCTAATACCCCATTTCCCTATTTCACTCTGCATCGCAGTCTATTGTAGTCTGGGTATGGTCCAGATACTTGATAATGACGACCTGTCTGTGTCACATTGCGGTCGAGTCACCTACCATGCCCTGGGGGCTAAGTAAAATAGGGGGTCCTGTCTCGTCTCGGACAAGAGGCCATTCCTCAGGCGCAGGTTTCGGTTCCGCCCCAGGATAGAAGGCAGTAAAGTTATTAGTCCCGTTTCTTATTTATCTGGCATTTTCCTCGTTTACTTATGTTTTTTTTTTTTCTGTTTCTGTTTCTGTTTCTATTTTTCTTCTTGTTTGGCATACGTGGGTGGTGCTCAAACAGTCAGGCCGTTGCCACTCGTCCCAAGGTCAACTTTGCTGCTGCAGCAACCTGTGCTATGTCAAGCCGAGGCTCAGACTCGTCGACGAGGGCTCGACTAGCCATCTCCGGTTCGTGGCTGTACTGTTCCAACTGCAGCACCTTCTGTTCTCCGAAAGCTTCCACCTCGCCGTCGTCGAGCTGTCGTTCCAGCCTGTCCCACTCGTCCTCGCCCACGTGCTGGACCAGCTTAGTGAAGGGGAACGAACAACGATCGTTGAAGCCAGTCAGGAGCAGCATGTGGAACCACATGGCGCTCGACTCTTGCGACCACTGGATGAGGCTCGACAACTTTCGATTCTCGTGGCCGGGCGTCTTGGCCTCTTCCTCGCCCAGGACCCGCTTGAATATGCCTAGGTACCTGAAGTAGCGGCCCGTGATGTGGGCTGGCTCTCCCGTGTCGTCGTCGTCGCCGTCGCCGTCGCAGTCCCACGCCTGGCTTGTCGGACGGTCCATGAGCAGCCACCAGGGCGCCGAGCCTAACAGCTGGGCAGGTCCGACGTAGGACCATTCGAGATCAACCACTCCGACGACGTTGAGGTCTCGTCTGCTCCTGGCCATCAAGTTTGCTAGGCCAAGGTCGTCGCAGATAATCTTGAACTTGGCGCGGTCGTACTGACCGTGGACGAACCTTGGGGCCAGAGACTTGAGGACCTTGAAGGACCGGTATCTGGCCGTGGCATCGTACTTGCCGTAGGCTGAGTTTGGTTGGCGCACAAGCTGTTCCCAGTCTTGTTCTACAACGTACTGGAAAGAGTCAGTCGTCGACGAAAACCCCTTGGTACGGTCGCCTGAGTTTTATTCTGTAAGTGCATTTGCGAAAAACGGCGGCGAGAGGAACATACCAAATGTGTCCACTCCCCCAGTCTGCAGGATATCATGGGCCTTCCAGGTCAGCGGCCGTGTCGGGAAGCAAGTCCCCGGAGTGGGAGAGTCCAGTTTACCGATGCTGTTGAAGTCGAGTTTGAAAAGTTGAAGCTGGAAACTGGCCATCTGCCTGTAGATAATCTCTATCTCGGCGTCGCTGATGTTTTCGGTCAAGAGCCTGGTGCCTTCGGTTGGGTTCTTGAGCAAGTCATTGAGACTTACACAGTCCTGCATAAACTCTATAATAATAAAGGGGCCTAGGCCGAGGGGGTTCTGTGCCGCGGCGGATGGGATTGATGGCGGCAACCTCCATGGCCACCTTTTCGTCAAGATAGCAGTCACTGACCTTGCCAACCCTCGGCAGCCGGAGCAGCCAAACGGTGCCATCGCTGAAGAGAAACTGGAGCCCGACATTGCACGAGCCGTAATGGGCGTCGTTTCTGGCAAGCCAACAAGGGAGTTGGCCTGGATGAAAGCTCGAAAGCCATTCCCGGAGACTCCCGCTTCGATGTGCTTCGTTTAGGCGATCTTCTCAGAGCTCGCCCTGGGCTTGATGCTCCAGTTCAATGCACTCGTCGGTTTCCATGTGTTACCCAGAAATACTCCCTCTTTGGAAGGATACGGGTGGAGGGGCCAAGCGGCGAGGCTCTCGAGGAAGGTCGGGTTTTGATGCACCGTTGCAGCCTCATTTTTCATCTAGGTGCAGTATGTACAGTGCATGGATGCGTGTAGCCATGCACATACCAGATAAGGCAGTTAGCAGTGTGGTGTTGCACAGAGTGCCCTCGTGCCCGTTTAGAAACGTGCGAAAGAGAGAGCAAGGTAAGAGGAACCGAACCGTGACTTCTCTCCCCTCCCCTCCCTTCCCTAAAAAGGGATGGGTTCATACAACTTACCTAATTCCTAACCTCACTGGATTTCGATGCCGCTCTTTAACGAAACATAGACGCTACGCATGCATGCCATGAACACGTCAACGGAACACCCCTGTTGTCAATGGTAAGACATTTTTGCTTAAAATACCGAGTACTACATATGTTAAACCAAAATCAAATCGGCAAAAGGTGCAAAGTAGGTATGCACCCATACATAGACAGCCAAGCCAAGCATCATTGCAGGATAGGTCGCTACTCTGATTCTAACATCGGTGACGACATTTGGGAGAGGAGCATATGAGGCTGAGTCCCTCAAAGTTCCGAAATCAGATATCTCGAGACCCATCAGTCCTTCTTCTTCTGCAGCACACCACAGGCAGGGCGTCAGTGGTGCATTTTGTCCACACAGAGAGGGCAGAACCAGGAGGGATACTGGCAGCTTCTTGGCCCTTAGCCTTCTTCTCGGCCTCACGCCGGGCTTTGGCCTAGGCAAGATCGCGGCGCCTGTTCCTGGACGAGTTGCTAGCGTCTACCAGACGGTTTATGTCCTGAGTGCTGCCGCTGGCAATAGCCTGGGTGACTTGCTGCGAGGCGGACGGGTCCGACATTGTGGATAAGTACGATTCTCGTAGCTTACTGGGCTTGCTGACGAACAGGGCAGGTTCGGAAAGGGGATAAGGGGAGCGGCCAAGGCTCCCTCAAAGGGACGGCCTCTCGATCTATATTTATACCTATCTCTTGGGGATGGTGTCGTCGTTCTTCATGTCCTGGGAGCAGCCAGGGGGGGGGGGGGGGGGGGGGTGGTAGAGGCAGGCTGCGCGGGCGTCGAGTGTATATTGAATATGAACCGGCCAACGAGCGACGAGATCCATCCTGGTGCGAGCTGGAGTGAATACATATTGAATTGGACACTGTGAATCATCGGCGGGATCACATGCCAGCAATAGCAACCAGAAACTGACTGTCTGAGGCTCTTTGAAAGTACGTATTCTTACCTGCCCACCTGATCTGAGGCTCTCTAGCCGTTTATGGTGCGAAATAAACAGTATGTGGTGTCGTATGTACGATACACGATCCCAGAGACGCACATCACATCACAGCTCATCGTGCCTCTCCCCCGGGCGGACCGTTCTGCCCATGTCTTGCATGCCCTTCTTGACCATAGAGCTAAGAATCTCGTAGACGACCTGAGCAGCAGCGAGAGCCGTCTCTTCGCCAGCGCCCTGGTACGCGGGGGCGACCTCGACGGCATCAGCGCCGACAATGTCAAGGCTTTCGATGCCCCTGAGGATGCGGATCAGCTCGCGCGTCGTCCAGCCGCCGGGCTCGGGCGTGCCGGTGCCAGGCGCGAACGCCGGGTCTAGAACGTCGATGTCGACCGAGAGGTACACGGGCGCAGCCTCCTCTCCTTCTCCGGAGGGAGTGGCAAAACTCTCGAGGATGGCCTTGACGATGCCGCTCGTGCCGATCTCGTCAATGTCGTCGGCGCTGAGCCGCACCCAGTTCTGTCGCGTGTCGTCGTCGAAATCGTCCCACCCGTCGCCCGACAGCCGCGTGCGCAGCCCCGCGTGCACTGATGGTCCTGCGCTGGCGTTGGCGAGTAGGCCCTCGTTGCCTGCCAGCCAGAACATGGACCCGTGGTTGAAGTGCGATTGGTCCGACGGCCACGCCGATGGGTACTTTTCCGGGTGCCATGTGTCGAGATGGGCTGTCAGGAGTCAGTCAGACATACGTACTCGTCAGGGTGGGAAAGCAGCCGCAGGACTCGGACATATAGGAGATCCGTTACCGACCGTCAAAGTGCAAGACCCGCAGAGGCTTGCCGTAGATCTCCTTCAGCGCCCTTAGCGCGGGCAGGGCCAGGCTGTGGTCGCCGCCGAGGGTGATGAGCTTGGGCTTGCGCAGCAGCGGCGACGCGGTGCCGCGGTGACCCAGCTCGGTGAAGGCGGCCGTCATCTGGGCGATGGCGACGGCGTTGTCCATGGGCGAGATGGGTATGTCGCCGCAGTCGATGATGGTGGCCCAGTTCTGGTACGGGTTGATGTTGGCCCGCGGGTTGAAGCCCCTGAACGACGTCTGCCGGCTCGACGCCTGGCGGATCGCTCTAGGGCCAAACCGAGCACCTGCCGGAGGATAAGCCATGTCTTCTGTGCAAGACAAAGTAAGGGATGGGGGGTTGTTTACCTGGCCTGTAGCTCGTCGCCGTGTCAAAAGGGGCGCCGATGATTCCAATGTCGAACAGCTCGCCCGGCGTCGTCAGGCACTTGACATGCTTGAGGTGGGCAAACGAGCCTATGCCGGAGAATCCCCACTGCGGCCGTGGACGGACCGGGCCATGCCAGTCAGTCTCCTATCTCATGGTACAACCCACTCACGCTGACTGAAGAGATACTCTGAGGGACAGGTCAAGCAATTCTTGAAGCACCACCCCCACTCTCACACTCTCTCGCTATCACACAAACAGCCTCTCACATAATATCCTGCTCCTGTCAACGTGAATGGGGTAATGGGAAAACAACAAAACGACATGACGAGACTTCCTGAGTAGACACGGACACCAAGTAGACACATAACACACCCCCCCTCACTAGCTCATCAGCTCACCAGCTCACCCGCAATTAGAAATAAGATAACAATCTAGAACAAGCCCACAGAAACTAACTCACTTCAAATCCCCACTTCCTCTCCAACTCAGCCAGCTGCTCGGGGGACCATTCCTGCTCGTGGTCGGCGTGAGCTCCGCACGCGTGCACGGCGGTGGCGGGAAGCAGAAGCAGCAGTGGCAGTCGCAGGAACAGGGACTTCATCGTGGCCTGCTGGGAAAAAAAGACAAACAGCCCCGACCCAAGACGCACACGTCGCATGTGCGTGTATAATTCGTTCCGTCGTTGCTAAGCCGAGTGAGGATAAGGGAGGGTAGGTAGGCAACGGCAGAAGTCCTTTGCATATGAACGAGACCTTACCTAGGTAGATGTGATTAGATCGGTAGGTACTGGACGGTATTTGTTTTGCTGCTGCACCAGTAGATAGATAGACAGAGCAGTTAGACTTTACTCACATGAGCAAATACCTAATGTACATATATGTACCTACCTAAATATGCATACCCTTCCCCATACTTATCTCACCGCACATCACTCCCCCTTACCTAGTTAACGAACGAACGGCAATCCGCCATCGGCCTTTCACCATTTCCGCACCGACAACCCAGCCAGCCAGCCAGCCAGCCAGCCAGCCAGCCAGTCAGCCAGTCAGCCATCCAATTGAATGAATGAATTGGGGGAGAGGGAAGGAGGGGGATTCTGCATGCACATCCATCATACGATAGGCCATCAGCAGTTCAGCATAGCACGCAAGCGTCCCTCCACGGCCGTACATAATTGGTTCAAAGTCCTACCATACATCCATACATCCATACATCCATACATCCATACATCCATACATCCATACATCCATACATCCATACATCCATACATCCATACATCCATACATCCATCCATCCATCCATCCATACATCCATACATCCATACATCCATACATACATACATACATACATACATCCATACATAACCACACGTACCACATCTCCTCACGGAGCGCGAGCGCGAGCACGGGTCCTCCCGAGGTGAGATAGATCTGTACCAAGTACTCGCAAAAGCAAAAGTAGGGGCTGCATACGTTCTATATAAAATATGGATATCCTCCCTCGCAAAGTAAAGTGTCAAACATGTAGAACCAGAAATGACGAAGAAACCAAAGACACCGCCGCTCCATAACCACAAGACGGACTTCTCGTAATAAAAAAAAAGGTTTTATTTCTGGCAACAGAGAGATACAACGCTCCAGTGCAAGCAGGAAAGCCTTGATTCAACTTTGCACTCCAATCGCCAAACTGTCCCTATTGAAAAAAGCGTCCCTCCCTGCGTTTATCAAGATCCCCGCTCTTACTCAAAAGGGAGATAGTAGCAAGAAGGTAGAAAAATGTGCTAAACAGGCCAGATACCAACAACTGCGGCCAGAGCGTCCATCTGCGAGGGGAAATCCGCACCGCTAGGGGGTAGAGCTCTACTCGTGCCTGGTTACTCAAAAAAAAAAACTCTCCCTCTTTCTTCCGAGGCAGTAGAGCAGCTTGCCGTTCCCGGTTACGGGAAAGGGGGTTTGTTTGTCCTCTCTGGCGGACCGACGCAGCGACGGTAAGAGGGAGAGAAGGGGGGCCTGCCTATCCCAACGCCCAGCAGTAGGTGCTCTTCAAAAAGAACAGCGGGAGCGCTTTCAGTCCCGTCTATTGCCTAGCTGTCGTCCTCCCCCCAGAAAAATAACGACTTCAACCCCCCCCGAGTCACGTCGGCCCGCCCACCCCCACGCCTCCAAAAAAGAAACTAGGCCATGACAGAGAGGAGCTGTCGTCATCGGTCCTTTTATCTGATGTGATCTACGTTGGTTTAAAAATCGGGGTCGGCGGGCTTAAAAGTGCCGCCCAAGTCGCGCGCCACAATCAGAGAACCAAACACTTGTGGGACTTCTTCTTCGGCGCCGGCGGTTCTAGTGCAGCAACGATGGCCTGTGTTTCCTCTTGTCAGCGTCTCTCAACACTCCGGGGGCAATTTTCGCCTGGATCGTATGCTTGTCACGGCCGTCCTGTCACATACCTCGTCGAAGACATCCTTGAGCTTGTACTGTGTCAGGGCACTGCACTCGACATACTTGACGGCCCCAAGCTGCCTGGCCATGGCCTCGCCGTCCTCCTTCCGTATCATGCGCCCCTTGGTTTTTGAAAGCTTCGCGAGCGCCTGCTCGTCGTCCCGTAAATCTACCTGGGTCCCGACAATCAGGCACGGCACGCCAGGGCAGTGATGGTGAACCTCGGGAAACCATTTATCCTTGACGTTGTCGAAGGATGCCTGTGATGTAATGCTGAAACAGACCAGAAAGACGTCCGTCTGTGGGTATGACAGAGGCCGCAGGCGATCGTAATCTTCTTGCCCGGCAGTATCAAACAGCCCGAGGGTATACGGCTCATCCCCGATCCTAATGGCGATGATGCCGTCTTAGCAGAGGTCTCTGGGCTAAGGGGGTGGATGGCTGCAAGAGGGGGAGGAGAAGCGAGCGGGAGGCTCCTGTCGGGTGAGACATGGCAGGTCCCTCGAGAAGCGGCCAAGAAAGGGGGCGCGCGGGGCAACAACATACATGACCGTGACAGCATAGTTGTCGAACACTGTAGGTACATATTCCGAGGGGAACTTGTTGGTTGTGTAGCTGATGAGAAGACATGTCTTTCCGACCGCACCGTCGCCAACGACCACGCACCTGAGCAGCGGGAGCCGAGTTAGCGAGCGGAATTCAACCTAGTGATGCACTCCCCACCGCCATCGACACACGCCTATAACGACGCGCCTAAATGGGGTGGAGGGGGGGTAGTTCGAGATGCAGCATCAGCAGCAGCAGTCGTAGTGCTAGCGGAGGCAGGCGGCGTAAAGCAGCCAGGACTGCTACGCACGAGAACCGCCATCAAAGTGGCAGGGGGGGAGGGGGTGGTGAGATGGCGGCACCAAAGGTTAAAGAGGGCTGACGAACTTGATGGTTCCAAGCACCATGTTTCCTAATGACGGCGCCCCGGACAGGAGCAAGGCGTGTCGCGAGCGTGATCACTGGAGACTCTTTCGACGGGCGGCTTTCTCTCTGTCTGTCTGTCTCGAGACAAGACTGGCACGTAATCGGGGGCACGCCTTATCGCACGCAGGGTGCTGGCAATCTATCGGCAATTCGTGTGTGCGAGGGCGGAGTGGAGTCGAAGAGGGAATGAATGGGGAAAATGGGAACACGAAATGAGCACCCAGGTTCACTTCAGTTCAGTTCAGCTGTTTTTTTTTGGCCGGCGGTGGGTGGTGTGCGGAAAAAAAAAAGCAATCTAGGCAAGCAGCATGCGCGACCTGACCTGACCCGAGTCGAGGGCGGTGGATGGCCGTTGATGCTATCTCGTCAGGGACCTGGCGCAGAGACAAAGAGGGAGCCGGAAGACTCGATGAAGGAGAGAAGAGAAGAAGCTAGTGTCAGGGCAGGTGGGTTTGCAAGCCAGCGCAGCCGAGCAGTCGAGCAGCAATTGAGAAGAGCAGAGGAATTAGGGGTGCTGGTGGTTTTGTTGTGGCAGGCCAGGCCAGTAGCCTCGTAGTGTAAGATTACGGGGAGCTTGGAGAAACCTGCGGGGACCCTGGCGTTGGAGTTTCTACTGGCCAGCCAGCCAGGCTTCCTGTGGCAGGCTTCTTCTTGCTGTGTGCGCGCCCATTTGCTCGATTTTAGTGATGACTGACAACCGCCCGGGCCCCATTGAATGGAACGTGCGCAGCCGGTATACATACTGTCCGTATCCTATGTGTATATTACGGAGTGTACAGTACGGATTACAGAGTCATGCAATTACTGCAAACCACCGTCCACAGTGCATGCTCCCTGCTGCATCTTTTAGATTGCCTTTTTCCAAGGTTATTTTTTTTGGCATACAACCTGCTTGTGAGAGCAGCCGTGGCTGTGAGGCTAGGCATGAATGTGGCACGTATCGGGACATGGGACAAAAGAAGGCGAGCGAGTGACGGTGTCACGGGACTGGTGTCCTTTTTGTCCCAGCGAGATACAGAACAGAAGGACACTAAACACTTTTTGGAAGCCCAATTGACTTCCGAATATACTCGGTTCAGTATTTGTACGTATGGCACGCAATACCCGATTCAGTGTGGTAGTTCTTCAGGTCCAGGGCCCGCCTATCAAGAGCAGCTGTTGCGCCCTTGAAGAAATGGCTTGTCCGGCTCACGATCCAGCCTGCAAGCAGCATCATTTCTCCTGCCAGGCTAGTACGCTTTGTGCTCGACTGCAGGGTGATTGGGTAACACGTCGACCAAACCTCCAACACTCTTGCCTCCAATGGTTAGGTTGCTGCAAGTCACACTGAGACCCCTCTTCTCCAACGAGAAGCCTGCTGCCTACCTACCCTTATACTCTGAACCTGGCCGTCGGCGTGGGAATTGTTTGGGTAGAGTAGGTAGGTAGGGTCGCCAATGGATCCGGATTCCCGCCCTTCAGAGACGCCCGCCCCAGCGCTGTCCGGTGGTGCGACCGCACAGAGTGCTTATTAGCTGGCTTTGCTATTTTGGAGGGGGAGGGGGAAAGGGAAGGGGGCGGGCGCCCACAGGCTGCTGTGGTCGTGGGCGTGGGCGTGGACGTGGAAGTGAAGGCAGTAATGGGGACGTCTCACAACACCTCGCATTAACACGGCGGGGCCTTCCGTACCCGTATCCGAGAGAAAATCCATCCATTGACAAACACTCGCCGGCAGGCGGCGGGGGAACCTGAACCTAAACCTGAACCGAACCTTCCTCCTGTTGTTGGTGGCAGATGCCGCTGCAGCACAGACACAGAGTCACAGACAGGCAAAGCACTGCCAGGCAATCTGATAAGAAACGAGGCGTCCGAGACAAGGCATATGCGGAAAGAAAGGAAAGAGCGACACGGCGAGCAGCTGCGAGAGCCAAGAACCCATGGAAGTCCTTCTCCCTCGCGGTACAGTACTCCGTAGCTAGAGAATAATGAGAATAATACCAGCGCACAGTATGGCATGTTCATAATTGTCAATACATGAACGTCCATGGGATACTGAAGTTATTACATGCGACGCTCTACGTTGTACATAGTAACCCATGCTGCCTCCATTGTAGTCGGCCCCCATTGGAGCAACTCAGCACCGTAACGGACCTTAGTAACTGGCGAGGTAGGTATGTAACATGTTTTTCCCTTCCCTTGGGTAGTAGACGTAATGGTCGGCCTTGGCTTGGTATATCTGTATGTAGAGTCTAAATATGTACTGCGTGTACGGATATGCTGCATGGAAAAGCGGTAGAATGCATGAGCCCGAAATGGGCGATCACTGTCTGGACTTTCTTTTCGGGGAGGGATGTTGGCTTCTGTCGGGTCTGGAGGATGCGAGGATGCGCAGCGACGCCTTCTAGAAGCCGTGCGGACGGCATCACCACCACACTAACAAAACCCTGAGGTGACCTCCACCGATGAGAGGTTTCTCGAGCAGGGCAGGTGACAAACAGACAGGGCAGCTGAGCGGGCGCACTCCAAGTTCTCTTGGCAGGGGCCCCTGTCGGCCAGCCATGCAGCACCTCTGTTGATAGGGTGGGTGGGTGAGTTGTGGGTGGGGCTGCTTGATGTTGCTCTTTCCATTCCATCGTCTTGCAGGTGATGAGTGAGGTTGTCGGGTCGGACAAGCTCTTTTCTTTCCATACAAGAGACCTGCTGGGGGATCGATGTTTGCTGTGTTTCCCTTCATGCTCGCACCCGGCACATGGGCCATTTAGCGCCCCCGTTCAATATCCGGCTGATATTGCCAGTCGGTCACAGTCTGCATTCCTGGGGCAGCACCAGCGAGGTGGCTTTCGCTCCAGACCGACGCAAGTCTCTCACCTTTTCTAGTGTGCACCCCTTCCAAGATGATACATACTAGTATACGTAGTAGCTTCGTCTTGTGCAACAGAAGGCACGCCCGTGGAAACACAGGCACACGCACGCACGCACGCACGCATACACGCAGGCTCGGCCGCCCGCATGCTCCGCGTATCGGCAGCTCACGTTGGTGCCGTGCGAGGCAACGTGCTTGAGATCTGTGGCAGGGGCCCAGATACGGATAGGGATCCCTAGGGGGCTCTCGGGAGCGAGGTGTTTTGTTTGCCTCAGCAGAGACGCAAGGCCCCAGAAGGATATATATATTGTACTCAGTACGTACATGTGCAGTATGACACCCACCGTTCTTGACAGCACCCCTCGCCTTGTTCCCTCTTTGGGGCATCAAGAGTTGCTGGCTTGCTGCTTAGCGGCAAGGGCAGACCCTACATGGCGATAGCCGTTGATTTGAGATTCCACATCTTCCAACGGTAGGTGCCAATATAGTACACGGCTATGGATATACACAACCATAAACTGGACTGGACTGGACTGGACTGTTGGCGTGGATGCGTCAGGAGCCCGGCGTCGCACTGGGCGAGGACGGTGCTCCGTGGCGGGATTAAGCGTTCGGGGTCCCGGAATCTCGAAACGCACGTCTGAAACTGGCGTCTTTTCCGGGTTGTTAAAGTGTGACAAGCACGGAATGGTTCTTTTCGAGTCTTTGTCTTGGCCGTTGTTGCCAGTAGATTAACTCCTAAGGTATTGGTGCATGGGCGGGAAACGTGGGTCTTACTAAAACGTGCAGCCCAGTTCTCCTTCCATATTGTCTAAACCTCATCTCCAAGGTCTGTTTTGTGGATTTTGGTTGCGTAGATTGTAAGAGGGGATAAATACTCGAGGTTTGTATGATGATGATGCGTGTGTCACGCATTCGCGGCGAGCTGGTTTTGAAGTGGGGGCAGGCATTTTGGGGACTCGCCGAGGGGGTTCCATTACTGGGCTGGGTTAGGTACCTCAAGTCTACGTCCATACGAATACGTACATAGCTTGAATTTGAACATCTGCATCACATCACAACGTCGAGCAAACCAACCTACAAGCCCGTCAACCCCCCAAAATAATAAAGAAAATGGGGCAAGATCTAGCCGAGAAGACCGGGGCGGCGGTCGGGCCACAGCAGCAGCAGCAGCCGCATCAGGCCCCGAGCCGGAACGTGGCCGACTACGACGACGCAGTGGACAGCCTCTTGCTACGCTACCTGTCGCTGCTCGACGAGTACACGCGGCTGCGCGCCGCGCTCGGCGCCCTGCAGAGCACCGTGTTCCAGAGCCTGGCGCGCGCCAACTTCACCGCTGAGCGCGGCGTCCGCCGCTACGGCCAGGACTACTACGACGAGCGCATGCAGGCCACGCGGCGGCTCAGGGTCACCACTCCTGGTGCCGGTGCTGGCGGCAGTCCCGTGTTCGAGGTCGTGGTGCACAGTCCCGAGGAGGACGACAAGGACGAGGGTGAGGCGGCCGAGGTGGAGGTGGAGCCGGCCAACGGCGTCGACGAGCAGCAAGCCAATGAGGAGAAACCTAATGAACAGCAACAGCAACCAGCCCAGAACAATAACAAGACGAAAAAGAAAAAGCCCAAGCCGCACGACCCGCTGCGCTGGTTCGGCGTGCTGACGCCAATGGCTCTGCGCGCAGCGCAGGGGCAGGCGGTCGAGGCTGTCCATGACCTCGTCCCGCGGCTGGCGACGGTCAGCGCCGAGATGGCCGGCGTCGAGGTCGAGGTGCGGCGGACGCGCAAGAAGCGGGCCAAGGCCGTTGCCGCGGAGGAGAAACGGCAGCAGGAGGAAGAGGAAAATAAACTCGAGAAGCGAGTGGACGGCCGAGACAAGCCCGGCCGAGCAGAGGTTCTGGCCGAGTGAAAACCAAAGTCGGAACGTGGAGATCAAATCGAGATAGCTACCTACCTACTAAATACGTGCCTTATTAGAAATGTTAGAAAAAAAGGGAGAGATTTATTAATGTGTTATTTCATACTACTCCATTGACGGCCGGGGTATATTGTTATATTGGCCTTTCTGCAATCTTCAGCACAGCCAGAGCAGTAGCTCGCACCTCTTATCCCTTCGAGACGTCAGGGATCTCGCTGTGGCGCCCAAGTAAGCCATGGCTCAGCTTCTACCGTGACAGTCTACTGGGTGTGTGCCATCTCCGAGCACCTTATGTCCCGCCCTTGCTGCACGACCTGCTGACATCAAGAGTGCCACCCAACCAGTTTCTGAAATGGCCATCGTTGTTCGGCTCCACATGAGGGGTAGCTTGCCGCCTCTCGGGGCAGCAAGTCAAGTGTGCTTATTTTTTTAAATTTTTTTTGGGGGGGGGGGCAATCCAGAACGTGTTGTGATACTCCCGCGCCTCGTATCAGTATCCCGCCCACTCGGGCTCCTTTATCTGGGGTGTCGGTATATTTCTATCTATCCGGCATTGCTGCTTCCAGTCTCGAGGAGTGAACTTGTCCACAATAGCCTTAAAGGCAGCCTGGGCGTTTGTCAGCAAGGACGACGTCAATGAACAAGAAAACAGGGGGGAAACTCACCAGAGTGCAAAACGATTCATCGCCTTCGAGGTGGTTTCCGGGCGTCTTGCATCCTGGGATGGTGACTGGCTCGTCGTTGTACCGGAGACGCACGTAGTACCCGTCTAGCTTCTTCTTCTCGCTAGGCGTCAGGTCTGCCGTGACCCTGCGTCCAATGTCGGGGGGTGGTGTGCTTGTCCCCAAGGACAAAGCGTCCCACCAGCTCCGTTTTGGCCGCGCGGCAGCCACCGTGGGCCTATTGGCGGACGGAGCCTGCTTGTCGGACTTGCGGAACATCTCGATGGCGATATGGCTCGTGAACGGAGGCCACGAGTTGGTATCAAAGGCGCCTAGGCTGGCTAGCACGGCAGCGAGAGTCGTGTCATGGCAGCCGCTGAGACCGAATTTGATGCGGGGACTAGGCTGCCCCTTTTGCGCCGCGATCTCGCTCTCGCCGTCGGCCGAGGTTTGCTCGGCACTGCCAACCATGCGGCCCACAACGTCTCCCAAGAGACCGCCAACGCCAAGCATGCGGTAGTCGCGAGACTCCTTGAAGCCGGCAAACCACTCTTCAACGGTAATCTTCTCGATGATCTCCTTGGCCTTTCCGTCGTAAAATTCCTGCGGCAGCCTTGTCTCGGGGCCGTGGGCGGCCGTAGAGTTTATCGTGTCCATGATTCCCGAGAGGCGCGGGCGCGAGTCGACGGCAACACGCGAGTTGGAGGGCATCCACTTGGAGTACAGCTTGTTGAGGTAGTCCATCTCGTCAGTGGCATTCCACCTGTCGGCAGATCGCTGGGCAAAGGCCCTCGACAGAGCGGCAAACCGGCGACAGTTGCTGTCGTTTGGGTAGAGCGTCTCGTCTGCGGGAGCCCTCGTCAGGATAGTGGGGACAGGATATCTGCCGCGCTCGTCGGCCTCGAGGCCCGACGGGGGATACAGGGCGGCGAAAGCCTGCTGGAGAGACTCGAGGGCGCGCGTGACTGGCGTGGCCCGGAGGTAGAGAAAGTCAAGGGAGCTGGTGGTGCGAGGCAAGAAGCCAAGGCGGTCAACGTACAGCTCGCGCAGGCGTAGACCCAGCTTGTAGGTAGTCTGGCGGCCCTGGTCGGTGAGGCTGCCCATGTCACAGACATTGTCCAGCTCGCCGCCGGGGCCTGTGGCGACGACGGGCTCGTCGTTCTGGCCGAACGTCTCGAGGTGGCGCTTCCACTGGAACGTGTCGAAGGGGGAGCCGTCGCCCGGACCGCGGGCGAGGGTCATGACGGCCGACTTGAGGTGGACGACGCTAGCGCAGTAGGGCCAGAAGGCGGGCAGTCCCGTCTTCTGGAATCTTGCCGAGACCGGAGTCCGCTCGCCATGGCGCATCAGCACCTGCACGAGCTGCAGCTCGAGACCATGGGGATAGAGGTGTCTTAGCTCTTCGTCCGTGTAGGCCTTGCGCGGGACCAGTGCTGCCATGGTTGCTGCTTGGGGCTCAGGCTCGAGGTTCTAGGCGTTTTGCTCCGTTCAGCGGGCCTGAACTCTGAAGTCTAATCCGACTTTGAAAGCTCCATTATAGACTGGGAAGTAGATGGGAAGGCCGGGTGGGCTCGACAATCGGGAAGGAGCAAGTGCACATCCATACCTTACCTACCTGACTCTGTCATTCGGAGTTCGTACGGAGCACGCCAGTAGCACAGCAGGGTCCTGGTACACTATTCCGTCCTTTCAAAGGAGGGAGGGATAATGACGTCGACAGTGCGCCAGTCAGCATGCACGGTACGCACACCCCTGTACCTTAATTAGGGGTGTCAACAGCCCCACCCAACCAGTCGGTGACGAGCTCGAGTGCAGGGGTTGTCTACCGTCCGCCCAAAGAAAAGCTCCACAAAAGCCAGAACCTCCAAGCTCTAACTTTGAAATACTTTTTTTGGGACCCAGCAAAGCCTAAGCCTGGGAGCGAACCCGGACCGTATCGTATCAGCCTGCGCATCGCTCGCCGGCCGTGTCCAACGCCTCCCAGACTACGAGACCATCGATTGAGGGGCTCTAAGGCGTCGAACAGAACACAACACGTCTAGCCTCCAGGACCGCCGAGACCCCAGGCCCCAAGCTCCAAGCTCTAAGCCCCAAGGGTCACGTTACGGATACGGATGGCCATGCGCGAGCTGGGCCATATTTGCCTGGCGTGCCGCGTTAAGATGCTCGCCGCCGCATCCCGAGGTCCCGTCTCTCGCCTGTCTCGTCGCGCCCGCGCCATTACCATTTCGCCTGCATCCTCGGCCTACACCACTGCTGCATCGTCTGCGCAGCCGCCACTACGGCCTGCACCAGCACCGGCCCACAACTCGGGGAGTCGGCGCGATGGTAGTGATGGTGGTGCTGGCGCCGGTGCCGGTGCCGGTGCCGGTGCTGGTGCCAGTGCCAGTGCCGGTGCTTCGGCATCCGGCTCCGCCTCTCTCGCCATGTTCAAGAGTATCATCGAGAATCAGCCCCGTCAACCAGCACACCGTCCTCCGGCTGGCGATGCTCTAGACGCGGAGCTGCTCAAAAACATCGAAATGGTCGCCGCCATGCTGAAAGCTGACGCAAACCCCGCCGCCATTTTTACCTCGTTCGGCCAGACCATTTACCCGCACATCAAGGAGCAAAAGGATTCCCCCGCCTACCGCCTCGCCAAAGGCCAACTACAAACATTTCTTGCCATGAGAATGGTCGCCGCAAAGGCGGAGGCTTTGGACGCCTCAGACCTCCCCACCGCGACCTACATCACGCAGGTCCTGGTTGACCTCGAGTTTCTCAACCTGGAAACATGGTCGACCCTGATGCTCCAGCTGAGCCAGCAAATCTGCCAGCTTAGCGCCTCCCCGGACGGATCCTTATTGGATGAGAAGTTCAAGCACTCCCTCCCCGGACGTGATGCGCTACTCGCCGATCTCCGGGGGGCATGGGATGCGTTTGCTGGGTCGTGTACCAAGCTTGAAGCTTCGGGGCATGCGGTGGACGACATCAACTCTCGGTCCGCATCCAGGGCCAGAGCCGCGCTTCCACCCCATAGTCGTGTCCCTGAGAAAGATGTCCCTTCAAATGTTCCCCGGGCTACCAAAAACTACCTCAAGGTCTTATTTCCTCAGTATAGCGAACGTGAGCTAGCGGGGGACGCTCTGCGGGCAGCACATGTAGCCTCTGTGCTGCTGAATGACCTTGGCAACTTCAAACCACCCTTTGACCAACAGACGACCCCTTTTCTCTTCATGCACGAGCGGCTTATATCAAAATGTGGTCGTTCTACCCTACTTTTCTTGGATAGAATACGTGACAGGTATCCTATTCTACTTGACTACGTTTACGCCCGGGTTGACGAAATGGGCGCCGAGAATGCGGCGAGCTGGCCTTTCAAGTCTCTCAGGTCTCCCAAGCCTCTTAGTTTCCAACTGTGCATCGAACAAGCGATCAAAAGAAGAAACCTTAAAGAGCTCAACTCAGCGTGGTCGGATTTCTGGGGCGATGAACCCCTCCCTGGTCCTGCCAGAGTTCACGAACTGGCAGCAACACCTGAAATATTTGATTCTTTTATACTGGGCTTTGTGAGGATGCGCCGGCTTATGCAAGCCATCGATGTGTGGAACCGCATGCAGCGTGTCGGTATCAAGGCGAGCACTAAGACTTGGACAAATATGATACAGGGATGCGCAAACACGAGAAACCCCCGAGGGATCAAGGCGGTCTGGGAGAAACTAGTCATCTCTGACACAGAGCTTGACACGGCCGTTTGGACAGCTCGAATATCTGGCCTCATCACCAGCGGTGACCCTCAAGGCGGCATCCTTGCATTAGACGAGATGGCTCGGCTGTGGCGCGAGCGACTTCTTCACCCCGACGCCCCATCCCAAGCCATTCAACCGACAATCGAGCCCATCAATGGCGCCATTGCCGGCCTCATCCGGCTCGGGAGGATGTCTGATGCCCAAAGGGTGCTATCGTGGGCAGGCCGCCAAGGCATTAACCCGGACATCTACACCTTCAACACTCTGCTTCGGCCTCTGGTCCGGGGAGGGCAGACGGAGCACGTCGCAGCCATCTTCAACATGATGCAAGAGCTATCCATCAAGCCAGATGTCGCGACTTACACCATTTTGGTAGACGGGGCCCTGGCAAACATCGGCTCACAGACCCCCAAACAGCAGATTGGCATCGTCTCTAAACTCATTGCTAGCATGGAGGCGTCGGGGCTGGAGGCCAACATCCAGACATATGCCAAGATGATTTACGTGCTTCTACGAGAGGGCGACAGTGCTACGGCGGCCGTCCAGGCCATCTTGGCCCACATTCAGAGCCGCGGTCTAGAGCTCTCGTCGCACATCTACACCATGCTAGCAGAACACTACTTCTCGAGAGACCCGCCCAACCCGGCCGCCGTGACGGCCCTCATCCACAATCGCAACCTGCAGGCCAACAAGAACATTGATCGCGTGTTCTGGGAGCGCGTAATCAAGGGCTACTGCCACACTGGCGAGACAGCCAGGGCCGTCGACATCTTCAAAAGAATCTTCAACTCGGGCAGCACCATAACCTTTAGCACTCTCGACGAATTCTTGCTCGCCCTGATCCGCACTGGCCAGATGGCCGAGGCGTCCAGCGTTGTCAGGCTTGCCACCACAATCAAGGAAGGCGACGAGCTGATGCGCGAAGGCGGCCGGTTTTGGAAACACAGGTTCTGGCACCACGCCGAGCAGTACGGCCTGCTCCCCGACGACCTCCGTCACAACCTCCAAGAAGCCGAGACCCAGACGGATTATCTCTACTAGGCTGGCCGTTATAGGGAATGTGCTCTTCATGATGTGAACGGCGGATGTGGTCTCTTGTATTATACGTGTTTCTTGTACCTGTGGTGGTGGAGTTGCTGTTGTGCTTAATTGGCTCAGTAACGCGCTGTTCCATTATGCATTTGTCCCATAATATGCATATTTTACTCCACAAACAGAGAAAGCAGTGTTCTGGCCGCCGAATTTGGCTGGCGCATGCTGCCATTTTCGGCGGCTTTAACACCAAGCGCACAAGTCTCTTACAAGTACCGTCGGTGTACCTATGTCATAGCGGCCTTTCTAGCGCATCTCCGTCACGGTCGAAAGAGTATCTAGGTAGGTGCTTCAAGAGACAGCACAATATGATTGATCGGTTCATCCGTTCCAGGGGCATCCGGGATCTGGGTATATGCCGCCACGTTTCGAACCTGGATAGAGGACTTCGTAACTAACAAGCCTGTATTCAAAGCTACAGAAAGGAAGAAGGACGAGCAGGGAACTGATGTAGTTACGTATTGAGGAGCGCGCAGACTACAGCTTAAAATATATATATGGGGGTAGCGCCCAGAACCCAGGATCCACGGATCTAAATATTCTACAAGCTCTATCTTTGCCACCTGCCCCAAAATAGAATCCTACTCTGGGATATAATCGCTATCCTGGTCGCTAAGCTGCCTCTTGACTCTTTTCTCGGTTACCTTAAACCGCTCCTCGTCTGATTCTGTGAGTTGCTGTAGTGGTGACCGAACCCTTGGCCGCTTCAAATAATTCTCATGCTGAATCTTCCTGCGCCCACGATCCCAGCGCTCCGCTCTAGCCTCAGCCTCCTGCACTATTTCGTAAAGTTGAGAAAACGAAATGGTAATCTCCCAGCAACGCCTCCAGAGACGGCATCCCTCAACTCCCCCACACCATCCGTGAGCTTACCGGTCTCTGGTGTCGATAAGATTATCGCCGAAATTCGCAATCGCATCTGTGGCCGAGTCGAGGTCGAAGAGGAGTGGTGGTGCATCAGCCTCAATCGTGACGAGATCAAGGCTTTTAAGGCGCGTTTCGAAGCCGAAGGGGACTACCGCTGGCCAAAGTAGGTATCCTATCCCTTTGTCCCTCTATCTCTCTGTCCCTCTTCGTCCAGCTACTTGTCTAGCACTACATTCGCTAACCTCTGATTAGGTACGACTACTTCCCTCAGCTCGCCAAGTTCGTCTTGCGAATGGCGGGCACTATCCACGAAGGCGTTGTCGAAGCATTCAAAAGCCTAGTTATACGACAACTATATGTTATCGCGTAGAGTAACGACCAAGTCGCTGCCGGTTTCACTCGGGGCATACGCGGAGCAGGAAGCCCCAAGATTGAGAGGGATGGGTTCCCATTACCCAGACGGGTCGTTTGCGCACGAAGATACGAGGTAGCATGTGTTATCTTGGAGGTCTCCCATTCACAATAACGACAAGATTTGCCATTCCTTGCAGATGAGTATATCCTAGGTTCAAATGGGCGGACCCAAGTCGTTATTGGGATTGACCTTGAATACCGGGAGAAGGGAAAAGAAGCTAGCGTCACTGTGTAGCGACCAAGATATATTGAGGAAGATGGGGAAGCCGTACTTGAAGCAGCTGAGACGCAATAGGTATCTTTCGGGCGGTGGATGGTAGTTTGGTCGATGGGGAACGAATCCTTTGCATCGGGCTCAAAGATTTTGGGTACTGGCCCGATTGCCTCAGAATCGATGACATCCCCGGGGTAGAGAGTCAGCCGATTGAGGGGGAGCTAATCGAGCTGGGCGGTGATTGCTTTCTTGCTATCTATATGGGCGGATGGCTGATGATGGAGATAGAATGTTGGTGCATCCAGGGCGACTTCAAGGAGTAGAGCTCGTTTGCTTGTTACGACGAAGGAAAAGGTGTTGTAGAGCAATTGCTTCGCTTGCGTTATTGGTGATGGAAGGAACTGGTGATGCAGAGCGATTAGTGTTTCGGGGTGCCGAGATTAGCGGGCCCAAGCTGCCAAGATGCAATGGCCGCGCTAAACCAAATGAGGGGAGTTGGGAGAGGGCGCCATTCCCGGAGCGTGCAGCACCGTGTTCTCTAATAATACACATGTAATTCTGACATGTATATATCTGTATATTGTTTCGGTTTTTTGCGTATTATCTCCCAAAATGTACAACGCTGTGAGAGCCACGTCATTTATATCTACACACGTAACGGAGAATATGTGTGCATGGAATCAAACACACAAAAAGTGGCACGTGCGTATGTATACATGCGTAGAATTATATCTTTCAATATTCTGTTATATGTATATATCAACCGCGGCGGAATCTGTCCTTCGCCGTCTTGATTTCCCAAGGCCCTCCTCCTCGGTCCCGGTCCCGATATGTTTTCAAGAACTCCCTAGCTCTTCCCATCCCATCACCAGCCATTATGACACCCAATCCAATTTTTCGCGAGCCAGTCCTTCCAACCAAACGGCTACCTAACCTAACCCAAGGCACGTAGCTAAATAAGCCCGCAATAACCAAAACCTCCAGCGGCCAAATTTGAGAGTATAGAAGGAGGGGGGTATATATGTGCTGTGTGTGTGTGTGTGTGTGTCTGAAGGATGGCCTAGAAACTTTTTGCCCCTCCCCTCTCAAAAAGGGTTGGTAGACAGGAAAAAAATGGTATATATCCCCTCCCAAAAAAAAAATACCCCATGTATCCCAATCTAATGATGATGCCAGACCGACCCTAAAAGAAAAGAATACCAATTTGAAACCCCGAGTCCAGTCTGTCTAGTAACACGCCCGTTAGGAAAAAAGACGCCTGCTAACCCAATGCAAAAAAAGTGAATAAACGGATATATATCTTTTTTGGAACAATGTAGATAGATATGCCAAGAATAAAAGTGATTTTCTTTTTGTTCGAAAAAAGGGAGGGGGCTTCAGATGCCTTTGGCGACGCCGCCGCTGCCGCCGTCACGAATGATATCGGCAATCCAGCCCAGCTCGCTGACGAGGTCGTCGAGACCGGCGTTGGGGATGGTGCTGTTAGCGAGGACGGAGGCGGCCGAGGTTTTAGTCGCCGTCGCTGTTGTGAGGATAGCCGGGGAAGAGCCACCCACGACGGCGGCGGAGTGTGCTTTGGCGCCGGCCATCTCTTCCTGCGGCGGGAGGCTGTAGGTTGAGAAAGAGGCCGTCAGGCTCCTCGCGAAGGCGCTGGAGGTTTTGCGCGGGGCGGTGGCTTCGGCTTGCTCGTCGACCACTTCTTCCTCATCGTCGTCGTCTTCGTCGTCGTTGTCGTCCTCTTCGGAATGGTAGAAGGAGGGGAGCGAGTTGGAGTCTGGCGACTGGGGGGAGTCGTTTGTGTAGAAGCTGGAGTCGGACACGGAGAAGCGCGACTGCGGTTGCTGGATTTGCAGCTGCGGCGGGGGTACCTGGGGAGCGTGTCGTATTGAGGCGGCAGGTGTCCCGTCGGTATGGTGGTCTGTCGTCAGCCTTGGCTGGGGAGAGGGAGATCTCTGCTGGGACGGAGGAGGCGATAGCCCGGTGAAGGCCATCGACTCGGACACGGCAGAGGTGGCAAAGTTGTCGTCGTCCTCGTTCTCCTCGACAATGTCCTCGGGTATGGCGATGGCAGACCAGTCATTGCTGACTGGAGCTGCAGACGATTCCTTTGACTCCTCGTCAAGGGGCACGTCTTCGACCAGGAACTTGCGCAAGGACTCGGGCGAGATGTCCCGAGAGCGGCTGCCGTCGGACGACCTGAAGCTCCGTGCGTCTTCAGCCACAGCGGGGGGCTGAATGGCATCCTTCAGAGACGAGGAACTGGCTTTGCGGCTGAACAGCTTCCGCGGGGAGAAGGTCCAGTTAGAACCCGGCGAGAGGGATCTTGCCGAGCGCTTGTGCTGTTGCTGGAGACGCAAGGGCGCACTCCCTACGCGGCGAGGCGAGGGCATTTCTGGCGAGGGCACTGGCGGGGCGGGGCGGGGGGAGACGAACTTGTCGGCTGGGTTCATGGTCTTGTAGTCGTCGTCGCTCATCGAGTTGAGCGAGGCGCTGCGAGTCCGGGTGGACTGCTCGACGGGGACCCAGAGCGTGTTGACCGTCTGGCCAGGGAGATAAGGGCAGGTGCTGGTGGAAGGCAGAGCCGGGTCGTGTGTCTCGGAAGCCCCATCTAGCTCATACTGGCGGTCTCGGGTTAGAGATGGGGACGGACAAAGAGCAAATAGCAAGGGCCGGGAGCGACTCACATAGTAGTAGTACGTGCTGCCCATTTTGAGACCGCCGTTTCGTTTTGGGATGCTGCCAGTGTCACCGTCGCAGATGATGTCTTTGAAGGTGTGGCACCCCCGCCACTGGCTTCGGTCCCGTCGAGAGTCGCGTTCCATTGTGTAGGCCTTTGCAAAGTTGTCCCAAGACCCGACGAGATGGACGGCTTTGACCGAGGGGTGGGTTTGTCTGGAATCGGTCAGTTCATGTTCCGGGAGAAAGCGCACTGTTATACGGCGGCTGAAGACGGAAGAGACGGTAAAGATATGGGCAGGCAGGAGAATTCACTCGATATCCATGGCGACGATGCTGCCTCGGCCTGGCCTGTGGCTCATGGCGAGACGAGACGACGCGGCTAGGCTAGGACGCCTGACAACGGCCACATCCTTGCGTAGTCCCCTGCGTGGTAGCGTACTCCCCACCAAAGGATTTAAGGCTGACGTTATACCAGGGAGTTTTGCCTTGCAGACGAAGCAGCATCCACCAACGGAGTCAACAAACCCCTTGCTAGCTGCAGGGCAGAAGGAAAGCTGGGATGAGATGAAATTGCTGGGACCACAGCAGTGAAACGTACGGCTTCTTTCTTTTTCTTTTCTTTTTCGATTGTATTTGAAATCAGAGGGCGGTGCAAGCGGAGCAAGGTGATTCCGAGAAAAACAGGATAGCGAGAGATGGATGAAGGAATCAGGGCAGTATGCGTGCGCAGGACCAGACTGAGCAGAGCAGCACAAGAATAATAGGCAGAGCGAGAGCGAGTGTGAGAGTGAGAGTGAGAGAATGAGAGAGGTTGAATAGAGTGAGGAGTCTCTGGCGTGAATAATAGCAACCAAAATAAAGCAAAAGGGGTACAAAAAACCAGAGAGAGCGCAAACAGAGCTACGTCTGAGAACAACTCACAACATGAAGGTAAAGAGTGTAGTAGTCGGATCCATGCCGGAGTGGGTGAAGGTGACTCGCCGCGCTTGAGCGGACGAGTCTCGTGGCGGGGAGAGGCGAGCTTCGTCTTATACGACACCGACAGACTCTCAGACTTAATGGACTTCGCGCCCGGCGGCTGCGTCTAGATCAAGATGAGCGATCCACCCTGCTTGCTTGCCGACAAGGCTTCAAGACATTAGACAATGTCTGGGCAGCGTGTGGTTTTGCAGTGCTGTCCACGGCCGTTATTGAAGGAAGGGGTGGCGGGCCAATCAGAGGGTCCAGGGGGCAGTGGAAGCGCCGTGATGGTGAGCAGCAAAGCAAGGGCCGCGTCGTGAGTGGTTGGCGCTTAAACAACCAGCAACGGCGAGGGTCGATGTTTCGAGTTTGGCCTGGCAGGTGTTTCTGCTCTCTCGGGCACCACTCTGCTGGCTCCAACCAACACGGCGGGCGGGACTCTGAGGGATTGCACTACCACCTGCGCCGCATCCGCATCCGCGAGCGAGCGAGCGAGATGACGGCAACGCAAGGTACCCGATCTTGGTTGGCCTGGAACCTTGGGTAGCAACCAATGGAAGGTATCCGTAAGGTATGGACCTTGGGTAGGCCCCGAGGTGGAGAGCACTGTCGAGGTGAGCGGCGAGGCGGGTGAGGCGAGACGAGGCGAGGTGAGTGTGGATGGATGGTCGATGGTGGTCAAGGGAAGGGAAAGAGGACGACGAAGCAACCATAAATGACCTTGACAGCGACAGTGACAACGACAATGACAACAATAGAGCAATGGCAATAGAAACCCCTCTCATCCCGTCCTTGCCTTCCCGCAATGAGAATGGCGGCATCGTGCGCTATTTCAGGCTGAGGAGGACACAGACACCGACAAGGGCAGGGCACCATTGAACCCACAGACAGACAGCCAGCCAGCCCAAGGCGGCCAGCTCAGGGCAGTCTAGGTCCAGCCCTCCTCTCCCCCAGCTTCCATTTCCCCTTTCGTCCCCCATCTCGCAACTCGCATGCACGCCAGCCAGCATGGACCTGTGTGGTGGGCGACGCGACGCTGGGCGTGGACGGGGGCCGCGCTGGCCCATTGAACGCACAAGAAAAGCGAGCGGACGCTTTGGGCGCGGGCTCCAGGCGCAAGCTTGGCTGCACGCTAGGGAGCGGCTTGCAACAGGATCGAAGCGGGGATTGGCCTAAAAGGTTCATGCCATGTACCGCTAATCTCGCCAGGGCTCAGCTCAGCCCATGCCGGGAAGGCCTGTCAGCCATGTGGGAGGTTAATTGGATCGGGGTAATACCGTCATGCCCGCACAACCAAGTACCGTCGCGCGGAATCTCCGGTTGCATCGGTATCTGACCGTGACGCAGCACGCCGTCGTCCACTGATCTCACCTCGGAGCTCCCAGCCAAAAAAAAGACAAAAGCCTACCCGGTGCCCTGTGGCGTTCACGTTTCGGGAACAGGCGGGCGGCTCGGACAACTTAAAGACCTGGGATGCAAGTTTGGATAGGTACTAAATGCAGCCGCAAACTGCCTCTTCGGATCTCGTACTGTATAGTAGGTACGTTATGGTTGGTTACTTTGTTTAAAAATAAAATACAAAAGGACCCTGAAAACAGCCAAACAGCCAAACAGCCAGCCATCAGCCATCAGCCGAGAGAGGCGGCGAGAGGCGCCAACACCGTCTGTCCGCCTCCACCAATATCCATGCACTCTGAGACAGGAGAAGCGTACGCGGTGGAACCGCCAGTTGTTGTTTTCGATACACTAGAAACCCACTGCCAACATGGAAGTTACTAGCTACGCACAAGACAAAAGAAAGGAAAATAAGGCGGCTGGTGGAGACGATCGATAACTAGCCGTGGCCTGTGTGGAGAAACCTAGTGGTGTTGCACCATGCAGCCATGATCAAATCCATCGCCCAAAGCGGACGGGGAGTGACGAGGTGTGCAGCAGGGCATTGGCCGACTTTTTTTTTTGGCTCTGGGAAAGCAATGAAGACCACAACCTACGGTAAGGTAGGGTTGAGGGCGTCGAGCTTTTTCCACATCCAGAGATCGGGGCAGGAAACTGCAAAAGCAAGCAGGCCCGACCGCTTGCTTGAGGCAGGCTTACCAAAGCTCAGGCTATAGACCGACGCACGCTGCGGCCCCAAAAGGAGGCCAAGTCAGCAGCTCTGAGTAAAATGGGGGGTCGAGAACGACCGCCCTCGGCACTTGCACTCGTCCCCGGCTTAAAGCCCAAATCTATTCCTCACCATCGTGCAAGTGCAAACCCAGCGCTGTCTCAGCGTGGCGGACCTGGGAAATCATGCCCGGCCAGGCCAGGAGAGAGGGGCTTCCCCGGGAAATGGAATACCGTTCTGTTATAATGACATGGTATCTCGGGCAACTCGAACCTGGTTGAAATCCATATGTTTGTGTGCATGGTAGTTGGTATGAGGTAGAAAGAAAAGGGCTTTCTTTTGGGAGTGGACGAATCATTTCCTTCCATGAAGCTCTTTCTCCCCCCTTATTTTACTCCATAAACTCGACTCCCCCCACCCCCTTTTGTTCGGATTGTCTCCGAGTGAAATTTCGCAAAAAAAAAAAATTCTCATCCCTCGCCGTCGGGAATTTAAATGGGACACTCTTTTTTTTCTGACGAAATCATCGAACGGCCCGCCAAATTGGCCGACAATTGTCGCGGACGAGTGGACGAGAGGCAATGCCAAATTCGAGAAGGGTGCACGGGCCACTGATCTGTCCTGGCTGAGAGTCCTGAGACAATGGATTGTGGAGCAGCATGCATGCATGCATCCAATGCATGGACGCCAGGCAGGCAGACAAACACTGTGGGTCCCCAACGATTGGTGGTGAGGTGGACTTCAGACGGATGCGGTCGGTCGGTGGTGGCACGACAAGCTTCTTACACTTTTTTTTACCTTCCATCCTAAATTTTCGTTGCCAACAACACTCCACGCTCCACGTAGAGGCTTTTCTTACACATGGAACCCGAGTACTTTTGCGGGTACGTAGTATCCTTGCGGCTTGCGAAGGGAGGGAGAAGAGCTCGATTGGCGCCTAGGCGCCGCCTCCCCGAAGACGGTGTGTTTCACCAAAAACGGAATTCCATGAGCTCATTACCCTCATCTATTGCCCTGTGTGAGACAGACAGATAGACAGACTCGGCCTCGGGCTCGGGCTCTAATGTCCGCCGCCATCTCTTACGATTGTCGTATGTTTTGGTGGTGCGCGCGCTCCCAGATCAAGTCTCCGAGGGCGAGAGCCATGCCATTGGTTTCGTAACTGAGACCGCTCCCCTCTTTTCCAAGCTTTATTGCCTGGTTGCAAGACAAGACACGCTTTGCAGTGCTAAAGTGAGAGCTCTTGTACACCCGCACATGTACGGGGGGCACACCAGAGCTAGGTGTAAGCTGCCAGCGAGTCGTGGCGGAGGCACAGCGTGGAGCCGAAGACTGTGTCGAATCTTCGATTGAGATCGCCCGTTGCATGCGGAGCTTACGGACGTTGCACACAAACCAGGAGGAGGGGGCTGCCTACGCACGCATGGCAATGACGACGAGTGCATGTGCAAGAGAGATGGGATGGACGCTGGAAACAAGCTCAGGTCACGACAAGTCGGTCGAGTGGCCGAGAGCCCATGCAGCCTGGTGTTGCTCATGTCCCGTACCTGACCTAACTTCACTCGACCGCTGCAGCCAGGATGAGGATGCGAGTGCTTTATGTTGTTGCCAGCGCATGCTGCGTCTGGACGAATAGTAGTCAGCAGCCAATGGAAAGGGGGATGCCACGGATCAGATCCCGCCCTTGACGGGCCAGTAATCCGACCCGGACGGACCCCCACGGCTCGTCCCCGTCTCTCGGCTGTTCCCCATGGCCCGCCCGGCAGGCGGCCAACCAGTCCACCACCTCTGCGTTGTCGTGCAAGAGTAAGAAGGGCAAGACCCGCAGCCGATGCTCATTGGACAATGGGCTCAGCCGCGCCCCTTCTCCCTTGTGTGGGGCCGCGCCCTCGCAAATTCAGGGGCACCCAGCGTCCTGCCTGAATATGCTCTCTATCAAGCCGTGATAGGACCTCTGGAATTTCCCGCCGCATCGCCCTGGCCGGGCTCTCAGATCTCAGGGTCCTAAAATACAGCTTTTGGGCATATTTCAACACGTCCAGTATATGCTGCTACATCTAACGTCGTCATGTATAGTCTGGCTTACAACATTCAGCACCCTACTTGACACAGGCAGACAGATGGACCATCACTCATATTCGCGGTAAGTAAGAATGTCTTAGACAAGGCTACGTTCCAAGACTAGTAACAAGCAATAAGCTACCGAGGTAGCCAGCTAGGGGTTCGTTCCTTCACGAATTGCTTGCTCCCTCCGAATTTGCCACAATGAAATCGGCCGATGTACCATATTTGACATGTTCAAATGGTGGACTGCATCGCCCCGAGACTTGACAACAGCAGCTGCATCCAGCAATTCCTTGACCACGATGCAACTGCAGCCATGATGCTTGAAGGTGACTTATGCCCAAGCCCAGATTACAAGAGGGCACAGGGAGAGCTCCCAAGTTCCTTTCCAGGTTATCACTGCCAGCCCGCACCTGCCTGACTGGTATCTAAAGAGCGCCGCCAGCCCCTCTCCTCCGTTCCATATCTCCATTGTCTCGAGTCTTGGCATTTCTATGCCCGCTGCTGCCGCTGCCTGGAGCATCTTGTCGATCATGGCGGCCCAATGCCTATCGGGCGTGAGCAGTTGTGAAGTCAGTGCGAGCGATGTCAGGTTGGGCCACTTCCAGGACGGTCGACAAGCATCGAAGAAGTCAGCGGCGTCCACCATAAACGACGCCGAGAGGTACTCGAGCTCGAGACTAGCCATGGCGAGTGCCGAGCTCACTTGGTGGTTTGGAACTCTCGTCCCAGCGAGGCCGGCACCCATCGCCGACGTGTTTGCTGCCGTAGGAGCACGCCGGTCACCGCTGGGACGGAGGGCATCTCTTTCCACCATTGTGTTTTCGACGGAAACTCGCCCAAGATATGTTGAGAGAATTTGCGGAACGTCCACATGTTTGGAGCGGAAATTTGTCTGCCATTACTCCAGCCGTGCCGGTGGTCGTCGTAGTTCCAACGGCGGCCCCTTTCCCCGCCGCCGGCCCCAGCCACCGCGCGCGTCGAAAGGAGCCGGAGCGTCAGGGCCAAAGGTCAGATACTTGAACCAGGGCTCCGAGTCGCTGGGCGAGTGGGCGCTAATGTCGAGCAGCAAGCTACCGTTTGGTTCCTACGTGCTGAGTGCTGAGAGAAGTTGGAACAACGATGCGGCGATGATGGTGTTGCCGTCCGTTTTCAAGGCCTTCATATCGGGACCTTTGGGCGGCGCACAGTCGGTGCAGTCATATTCCATAAATTGCAGCATTCTTGTTCTTGTTCTGCATATACTCGAGCCGGCCGGTTAAGTTTGACACCAGGCTACGACGTGGCATCTTCACATCGTACACGTACATGTTGCCGAGTATCCGCGGTTGAGCCAGACCTTGACGTCTTTTTGGCACATACGTCTACATACTTCACGGTTTGGAACAAGATGGGGGGAACCAGTCTTGGCAGAGTCATCAGCGTCAAGGCTTCAACAGCAAGACACTATTCAAGGTTCCTCAAGGTAGGTAGGTGCCTAAGATAGGTGAGGTCGAAACGGAAACAACCTTTGAGAACGAAATGACACCTAGCAATCATCGTCCCTAGGATGAAGCCAAATTCGTGAATCCGATATCAAATAACCCTCCGAACTTGTGTCTGTGCAAAATTACCTCGAGAAATGGACATTTGCTTTTCTAAAACTACGTTAGTTCTCGACAACAGTAATAGTACGTAGAAGCAAAGGGTGAGGTAAATAAAGATATGACTCGAATTTCCCAGAGACGCGTGCCTGCAACGCGAGGAAATGACAAAAGATTTTAATTTTATTTCCAACAAGCAATAAAAACCCACCGATGTGAGGTAAGGTAAGGTGGGTCGAGGTGAAGGTCTCGGCCCATGTCCAGGTCCGCAGTCCGAGGCTCCCTTCCTCCCTGTGCGCATTGTATCTATATGTCTATATGCCCGGGCAGGGTGCCCGATTAATCATTCTCACCTAATGGAACCCTCGCATTCCACGTTTATTCCGCTTCGCTTCGCAGAGCCTCTCTTCTGTGTATGTACCTACGTAGCTGTGTTTCCTTGCCGCCCCCTTCCTCATTCCGCCCATCTTACACTATACTACATTACACCTCAGCACACTAGGTACCTACGTATCATCGCTCTTCCGCCCCGAGTCCGGATGGATCCTATGTGTGCGTGTGTATTATTAGGCATGGAGCCCAGGTTGCTGGCTGTGTCTGCCTCAAACGCTGGCGAACAACTTCGGACCCCGTCCGTCCGTCCGGATAATTCCTGGCCGAACCGAACCAACGGTCCCCTCACCACCCACTCAGTTACTTATTCAGCTCCGTGTGACTGTGAGTGTGTATTATTAGCTACGGACATCTCCCAAGTCCTAACACAGTAGTCTGTCTGTCTGTCTGTCTGTCTGTCCGTGTTTCAGACGCCGGCAAGCGGCGAAGCGCACTCACCCGGGTGGGCCCTCCCCTCCCTCCCCTCCCCCCCGGTCCCGGTCCCGGTCTTTCGGGAAAGGCTACTTACGCTAGTGAGGGTTGGCACCGCAACACCTTGCCTCTCCCCCGGCTGTGCTAAATTTAATCCTTCCTTCCTGTTTCTTTTCTCGGCCAGCCCAAGGTAGGTAACCGAGTGCGAGGCAAGGTATGATCGATAGATATTGAAGAATGCAATGGCGAGCGGCGGGTAAGGCTGGGGGAGTTCTAGCTAACCTACCCTCCATCCATACACATATATATTTTGAGACGGGCTGACTGACGACGACGACCCGAGCGACTGATTCCAACTGGCAGGGATGGGCATCCGCCGGCAGAGAAGGAAGGGGGTGGGGTGGGAAGGGGAGCTCGAGAGCAGAGCTCACTTGCTCCCGCTGGCTTCCTTCGTCGGCGCCGCGGCCGTGCGTATCTTGTTACGAATCATGATTTTAGTTTATTTGTTTTGTTGTTGGGGCTCGATAGCGAAAAAGGGGGCGCCGGTTGGGAGGAATTCGATGCATGGTTTCGGGAGAGAAGGAGTAAGGAAAGACCAGCAAAAGAACATTGAACCACCCACCCACACAAGTTGACAAACATCCCCCACCCACCGCCCCTGGCTGCAAATACTCAACGGCGCGATCCTCACGGACGGCAAAGCACGGCACCGAGGTAGCACGGCGGGGGGCGCATAGGGCCGCGCCGCACGACCGTCACCCCGGTTTCCTCTGATCAATCCTTCGCTTCGCAAAACGAAACCAAACCAAGCCACAAAAACAGATATGGTGTAGGACAAGACTTTTTTTTTTTCTTGGTTCGTGATGGTGGTGGTCTAAAGCTTATTATCATTATATGTAAGTAGGGCGTACGACTTTTCCCCCCCGGTCGCTGCCCCCAACATCCCACATTCTCTCTCATACCCCCCCTTCTCAGCGTCAGTTATATTGCCTGGCCGGGCTCGATGGTGATTATGACTGTCGGCAGGACAGTCATCCGGACCGGCCAGTACACTGGCTTGCATCGGAGAGAGCGAGCGAGGGAAACAGAGATATTCCTTCTCGTCTGACCTCCCTCTCGCCCTTCCTCCATTCCTTCCTGGCGGAATCGCCGCCGTTCCTGTTTTCGAGATTGTTTCCCGCGTAGGAGAGAGTGGTGATCTTTTGTACACGGAGCCCGCTTACTTATCATACCAATTATGGACAGTCTCAGCCCCCCTCGTGTCGTCCTTCTCCGTTCCTCGCCCCCCCCCGGCCACTTTGAGGGTGAGTGTGATAGGGGATGAAAGAGAGAGATGAATGTGAGGAGGGAGAGGAGCGGAAATAGCAGAAAAACGCCTTCCCCAATGACTCCAGAATAAGTTGTTATGCCCTCATTCGTCTTTCTTCTTCGCTCGCCTGGACGGCGCAATTGCCTTAAACCCAGTGATCCAAAAAAGCAGTTGTCCGTGCGGCTCGCCAAACGAAAAAAAAAAAGAAACAAAACGGCAACCATATGTCGTTGACAACTGTCAGTAATACAAGCCCTGCGAATGTTACCGAATCCAAACCTCAGCCTCGGCTCGGCCGAAGATGTTCCCAAGCAGTCTGCATCACTGCTGCTTCTTGGGGGCCTTGGACGCCGCCGCCTCTCTCGTGCGCGCGTACTTTAGCTTGGTGTCGCCCTTCCACATTGTCCCGAGGATCCTATCCCAGAAGGTGAGGTAGGGCTGGGAGAAGTTGGACTTGATGCCCCAGCTCTGATGGTGGATGTCGTGGTACGCCGCGTTGTTGCTCGAGACATGCTGCAGCGGGTCCCACGGGAGGACATAGCCGCAGTGATCATCGACAGTCTTGATCATGCTGAATACGAAGAACCACATGCCGAACCTGGGAGTCATCATGGAGACCTTGTAGGCGAGCCCCGCGCCCAACGTGTCCATAACGAAGGCCTCGACTGGGTGGTTGTAAAGCGCGCCGTACGCATAAGGAACGTAGAGCCGGTGGTGCCTGGCGTGCCATTTTGCTGCGCTCCGTGTTAGCTTCTTATCGTCTCTTGTAATGCGACTGGTTGCGCGGCGACCGAGGGAAACTCACTGTACATCCACTTGTTGACATGCATGGCGCGATGGACAAAGTACTGCCATGTGTCGAGGAAGCAGACAGCGACGCAGACCTGAATGGTGGGTATCAGCAGCCAGTAAAGGGCCTTGGCGACCAACATCTCCCAGGCCGCGAAAGCCGGCACGTGGGTTCCGGTGACGCCTTCGAGCTCCGTAGTAAGGAACGGGTAGTGGCCGCCAGCCAGGGCGCCGGCGAGCAGGGGGTGCTCAGAAGCCATGTTCTGGGAGATGGCGGCAGCATTGAGGCCGAGCAGGCCGAGGAAGCCGGGCAAGGCGCGCTGGGCAAGGCGGATGCGCGTGGCCCAGACGGCAATGTCGTAGTCTTGCATGCCCGTCATCTGGCGGGCCTCGGTAAGAGACAGGAAGGCCGAAGTGGCAATTTGGATGATCTGCTCGAGAAAGACATCACGGGCGACGTCGAAGCGCGACACGAGGTTGCGCTGGGTGATCTCTTCGGGGGTGTGGAGGCGGTATTGCGGGAAGAGGTCGTAGATGTCGATGAAGTGGAAGAACATAGACACGGCCCAATAGGCGATGTGCGGGAGCACGAGCGAGAGCCAGAAGTCTGAAATGAAGGGCAGCAGGTCCGGCATCGGGCGGACCTCGAAGGCCGGCAGAGGCGGCAGCCCGTGGGCCGCGACGGTTGCGTTCGCCATGGCGTGCAACCACGAATGCTTAAAGGGGGCGACACACGGTCAGGGGCGGCGGGTGGGCGTGTCGACAGTTCGCGTGCGTGCGAAGGTGTGTGCGGACCTTATTCGCGTAAGGCAAGGCAAGGCAAGGCAAGGCAGGCGATGCAGGGCAAGGCAGGGCAGGGCGAGACAACTCGAACAGAGGAGGCCTCGGCGAGGAGGACGGACGAACGGACGGCCGGTCTTGTTCTGAAGAAAGAGTAACAAGTCGCACTCTGACACACGGGGCGTTGGGCGAGTTTTTTTGGGGCCCCGTGATAATAAAAGGAGAGACGGGACGTGAATGCGAATGCGATCCGCCTCTAAGGTGGGATGACAGGACCAGCCAGGGTCAGGAACGGACGGGCTTACGGATCGTTGCGGTTGCGCGTCTAGACGCCCCGAACTTTTTCATCAATCTCGCTTGCAGATCCGCTTTTAGGCCGCCACCCACCCAGCGAGTGCTAACAGGGGCCCACAGCAGCCCACAATCGGAACTGCCCACTGTCGCACACACCACCTGCACACTCGCAACACCACATGCCGCGACAGGCTGCCTTGCTGAGTCAGGCCACTATCGGCTGCTTCCCGAACTATTGTTGAACGTCTCTATTTTCTTGTTAATGAATTGACCTCGAGCTGCTTGATATTTAAGTTAGGATTCTATTCCTCGAAATTAAATCGAACCAGGCTGAGCCAATGCAGTCAGTGTGCACGGACGGGCCTGTGAGCATCGATAACTAAGGTTCTGTAAGGTAAGTGAAAGGAAAGGTAAATGAAGACATGATGTATCCGTACCCACTCCACGGATCCTTCACGGATCCTCCGTTAGAGACTGCTGCTCTCCATTGGCTTGTTCAATATCGAGGTGCCGTTAAGCCGCCGATTCGAAGACACTTCCGATTCTTTGCTAGCAAACCCCCGAGATGAACATTTCTTGGAATAAAACAATTACATCTTCCTTGCCCCAGCGAATAGACCGGTAATTGGGTCGACTCACCATCTATGCCCGACAATCTCGGACGAAAACCAGACCCACGGAACGACTGACACAAGAACAAAACCCAAGACTCAAGAACCCACCACACCAGGCGTGCCTCGCTCTTTGGTGGAGACGCGGGTCCCGCGGGTTGTTACCAGCAGTGTCCTAAGCCTTGCTAGGACATATCTGAGCTCCTGATGTCCACAGCAGCTAACGGTGTATTTGGCAACCAGGAAAGAGAGGTTGTAAGTGCGCCTGATATGTCGTACTTCCTACTATTTTTGTTCTTCCTTCTAAAAAGAAACCTTCTATGTTCAGAGGACGAGCAAAAAGACGGGACGAGGAAGAAGTAACAGAACCCCTAACCCGGAGTTGTCGTCATTTATGCCCTTATGCGTGCCAATGCTTGTACATTTTGGTATGTACCAGGAATCGAACACCCGCTGTCAGCCCTATGCGTGTAATTAGGGACTATCGCCAGCCGCCATGAAGATCTCCACGAGGTGTTTACTCAGGCTCATGGCTCTGCCCTCCAAGACGCAGGCAAGTACCCGGCGTCGACATCCCACAATGAAGACTTTCTGGCCGTCCACAGAAGGCCACTCCGAGAATCCAGCGACCGTAGTATCATATACAAATGCCGAGGTTGGATTGCAAATCTAACTCTTGAATCGTAAAGTCGCCGTTAAGTTGGGTTCATGGTTGCAACGTGCATCTTGAACTGAACTATGACAAGAAATAAAGATTTGCGCTACACATAAATGACTTAAATAAATATTCCCGAGACCGAAGTGTGTTTCGGATAAACCCATGTCTTGCTGCAGTTTTATGGAACTGCATTTGAAGTACATGGGCATTTGGGCAAAGATGAGATGGGGACATCCCAGAATCAAAGTTTGTGAGGGTAACCAGTAAACCCGTTGACAGCAGCCTGCAGGTGGTGCCAACTGACAGGCAGGCTGCAAGTCTGCCAAACTTGCACAGACGTTGGGCACTCTCCAGATCTGCGCCATCCCAGATCGAGCCTAGCCCTACAAGAAAACTTGCCCCTCAACGACCCCTCCTCTCGACCGTCTCTATAATTTTTCAACCTATTCCCATTCCCTCACCTTGCGCAACTCCCAAACGCCCTCGATAAGCCTCCATCCTCTCGTCTTCGATTCTCAGAAAATAATAAAATTTTCAAGATGATTATCTTTACGGTAAGCACGCTCACCCACCCCCGGCGCAAGCTCACCGACCGATCCTAGTCCTGGTCGCGTCGCTGGCGCAAATTAATCAATAGAAAATCGCATCAATAATAAACTAACAACCCCGCTTCACTTCACGCCCGTAGGACATTGTCACTGGTGACGAGATCATCTCGGACTCCTTCCCCATGACTGAGGTCGATGGAGTCGCCTACGAGATTGACTGCCAGATGGTGACGGAGAACGCCGTCGAAGTCGGTTCGTGAAGCCACCCCCACCTACACCAAGTCTCGGTTCGTCCAGCGCCGCCCAGATGTGTTGAGCCTGCGTGCTTGTGTACATACCTGCGCACACACACACACACACACGCACACACACAAACACGCACGCACACAAACACATTAGGGGGCAAATTGAAAGCAATGGTTGGCTAACGAGCTTGCCTTTTCCCAAATGCAGACATTGGCGCCAATGCGTCGGCTGAGGAGGCCGAGGAGGGTGTCGAGGATACCGCGATCAAGGTCAACAACGTTATCCGCTCATTCCGTCTCCAGAACACCAGCTTCGACAAGAAGCAGTATCTTTCTTATCTCAAGGGTATATATGCTTCTCCCCTGTCTTGCCCCGAGTATTTTCCGTTGGGGTCTCGCCAAATTCGCCGCTTTGACATGTTTCTTCACGACACCGAGGTTAGCTGGCCAGAAAAGCTGACACAAGCTCTCCCCCCAAAACTGCAGGCTACATGAAGACTGTCAAGAAGCATCTCCAGGAGACTGGCAAGTCTGATGAGGAGGTCAAGGACTTCGAGACCAAGGCCGGTGGTTTCGCCAAGAAGATTGTCACCAGCTTCAAGGACTGGGAGTTCTACACGGGCGAGTCGATGAACCCCGACGGAATGTAAGTTGACTTTGCGCCCCATCCACTACCCGCCGGCACCATTCTGGACATGGAAACTGACAGAGAGCACAGGGTCGTTCTCCTCAACTACCGCGAGGACGGCACCACCCCCTACGTCGTTGTCTGGAAGCACGGCCTCAAGGGCACCAAGGTTTAAAAATCCGGAACCCGAGACAGACAGCCCATCTCCCCCGAACCAAAAAATACAAACCATCTATCTCCATTTTTTAGCCATTGCTGTTACTGCAGTACCAACCAGACAATCTGAAACAAAAAGAGTTCGACTCTCTGCTTGGTATTCCGTTTGGCATATATACCGCCAGCTCATTGATGATGAGTTAGCTCGCTTGTTTACCGCAATACCTTCATGTAGAGAGAAAGCCTGGCTATTTTCTGCATCCAAACGCCGCATTATTTGCGGGTGCATTGTAATTTGTAATCTTTTGCCTGTGATGTATGTCAAAGAATACTCGTCCTATGCTTGTTTGGTTGATTCTTTTGCCCCGTACGTATCTGACTTGCAGACCTGTCGGCTTCCAAAAAGTAGAATAATAATAAAAATAAACATTGCCCTGTGGGCCGGGCCCCTTTTAAAATACGGGCCTCGAAGAAATCGGTACGGGCGGTGGCGGCGGCGACGCCAAGCCGTTGTCACTACTGCCGCTGTCCCCGCCTGCCGCTGCTCCTGTCCCTCCGTAATCCTGCCTCGTCGCTGTGAGCCGCTGGCCCATCATGGCGGGCTTCTTCTTGGGAGGCGGAGGCGCCGGCTTCTTCTTCTTGGTGGCAGCGATCAGCGCAGCCATGGTTGCCGCTGGCGAAGGTTGTGGCGAGGTCTCGGCTTGCTGTTGCTGTTGCTGTAGCTGTGGCGGCGGTGCAATTATTCTTCGTTCTGTGGTAGCTTCGCGATTACTGCTGTAGTTGTTGTAAGATGGGTCTTGCTCTCGTTCACCCGGGATAGTATTGTCTCCCCCTGCCCCTTCCCACCCTCTGCCTGCACCACCACCGCCACCGCCGTATTTGTCGCGCAAGTTGCCGGCGGTCCGCAACCCCGCGGCGACCTGGTCGCCGTGGCGCTGGCTAAAGTTTTGGAAGGTCGAGCCGGCGGACTGCAGCTCGGCCAGCGACACCTTGCTCGGCTCCTTTTGCAGCGCCGACGCCGTGCGCAGCGCGTTTTGCTTCTGCTTCCATGTCGTGCCGCCGCCACCCCCGCCACCGCCGTCGCTGCCGCCACCCCCGCCGTTGGCCGTTGATGAGGGGCTGGCGGTCCCAGGGCCGATGCCAAACGCCGGCACGGAGATCCCCGCTGCGCCTAGCCGGCCGATGGCGCCCTGGTTCAGTGTGCTAGGGCTGGTGAGCGGCGGGGGCAGCAACGGTGGCGATGACGGCTCGGGCGCGGCGCTGCGCCGGCCCGGGAGCGCTAGCCATGCGGGTCGCTGAGGAGGAGGAGGAGGTGGAGATGCGCCGCCCCCGCTGACGGTGGATGACCGGGGCGGCAGTCTCGGGGGCAGCGGCGGCCCGCCGGTCGAGGTCTGGCTCAGCCATGATGCGATGCTGCCGCTGGCGCTGGCGCTGCCGTCATAATCATCGTCGGCTGCCGCTCTGGGCGAGTAGTAGGTAGGCGGCGGCGACTTGGACGGGTATGTTAGTGAGGGCGACGACGCCTGCGTGAGAGACGGGGCGTTGATGTTGCTGGTGGTTGTCGCGCGCCGCCCTATGTGCCTGGGCGGAGGAGGGAACGAGGCGGGGTCTCTCAGCGACGACAGCGGCTGTGCGACGTGGCCGGCCCGGTGAACCTGCTGCGGTTAGTAGAACGATTAATAAAAAAGGTGTGTCTCTGTTGAGTTGCCGTGCTACGTGCAGTTCCTTTACGGACTCGGGGGGGATAGGCATACTTCCAAGTCATCCCCGCGCCCGACTAAGCTTTTCTGTGTGGGTTGGTTAATGAGTCGCTCATGTTCTGGGGGACATCAAGCCGCATGTTTGGTTGTTGGTGATGGCCGAGTGACTAAGATATGCAGCGTGTTTCGGGAATAAGAAGGTGACATACGATCTGTCCGCGGATCCCCGTGCCCTCGCCGGCACCTCCCAGCTTCTGCTTGATCCGGTCGGGAAATCCCGACATGGCGGATCGGCGGCGCAGTGCAGTCGAGACAAGGCTGTGCGGAATGCGAGGAGCGAGAGTCTAGACAGGAATGCCAGCAAAGCAAACGAGTGCGAGTTTGGAGAGCCGAGGTCGAGGTCGTCTCAACCTAGGATACCAGCTGATTCTCTTGCTGCACGACAGGAAAAGGATTCTAGACAGAGCTCTCAGGTTCTAGGAGGAGGTCGAGGTCGTGAGTTATTGAAACGGGCAGCTCTCTCTCTTCAAGTCGTCTTTTCCCTTTCTTTCCCAGGTTGCAGAAAGCCCCTCACCTCACCGTGGATGGGACCAACCCGCCTAGCCTAGCGGGGGGTAACCGCCGCCATCCATCCCAATTTTTAGCGGCCGGCAGGCGCTGTGGCGTCACTGGCGTGATGTGATACGCCGCTGCCGTGCCCGGGATGTTGCTTCCATGGAATTCATGCAGGAATTGTCGCCTTGCGCTTCAGGCCACAACATCCCTACACTCTTTCGCTACCCCACGCGGTCACTCGCAGCCCCGCGACAGCACGTAAAAAGAAACGGGATCGCGTCTTCCGGCCCGGTCCACCGCATCCATCTCGGGATATTGCGACAAAACAAACACAAACCCTCCCTGTGCCCACCCAAAAAATGGCGGCCGCACCAGCCTGCAGCTCCGACATTGAGCTCTTGACAGAGCATTTCGGGTATCCTCCTGTGGTGCGTCAGTGCCGCGCCTTTTCTTTCCTCCTAATGGCACTTCTTTTGTCCGCTGTTTCCCATCAAAAGCTAACTATCGAGCTCAACGCGGCCAGAGCTTGCTCGACGACATCATCAACAGCATCAACATCCTCGCCGAGCGCGCGCTCAACAGCGTCGAGCAGGGCCTGCTCAACGCGCCGCCGGCATCCCTGGGTTTCCGGCCGCCGACGCATTCGCTCGCCAACAGCAGCAACAAAGAAAATGGCGGGCTGCCCAACGCCGAGGAGGCGCACCGCCACGAGATTGAGGCCGGCACGCACCAGCTCGAGACGCTGCTGTGTGCGAGCATCGACAAGAACTTTGACAAGTTCGAGTTGTACGTCATGCGCTACATCCTGACCGTGCGCCCCGAGGACCGCGACTGGATCCGCCTGTCGCACTACGAGGGCCTCGACTTTGGCGCTGGCGCTGGCGCTGCCGCCATTACCACTACCAGCGCCAGCAGCCCGACCGTCGAGAGCGTCAACCGCCTGCGGCGCCGGCTGCAGGCCAGCCAGAAGCTCAACGGCATGCTCTACGCCGAGCGGGCGCGCAACGCGGCGCTGCTGGGCGAGTTGCGCAAGCTGGTCGGCGGCAGCGGCAGCGGCAGCGGGGGGCGGCAAGGCATAAAGGAAGAAGAAGGGGCGACGGAGGAGCAGCAAGAGGGCGCCCCTCCCGCAGCAGCAGCCGGAAAACCGCTTTTTGGGTTTCTGCACCAGCAGGGCGACCTAGCCGAAGGCGGCGCCGATTCGCCGCTGACCACAACGACAGCCTTCACGCTGTCGCAGCTGCAAGCACTAAGAGCACTATCCTCATCGCTCCAGAGCATCCTGCCGGACCTAGCCGATGAGGATGACGATGACAATGACGACGACAACGACGATGACGACGACAGGCGCAAAAAGAGCTGGCGGAGGGACCGCATCGCCTACGTCGAGACGGCGACGCGCAAGCACCTCGAGCACGTGCGCGGGCTGGAGCTCGGCCGCAACGGCGAGGTGCGCGACGGCGAGTGGCACGGCGAGGGCCGCCGCCTGCAGCCGGGCGAGGTCGAGGGTCTCGAGAAGGTCGTCGCTATACTCGGAGGTGGCAGTGCTGCTGCTGGTCTAGTTGAACCGGAACCCCTTCCGGCCGAGATGGACGAATCATGACAGGCACGACAACCCCCCCAAAAACGAGAGGGGAAAAAGAAAACGACGACGAGAACTTAGTCGGTAATTTCATGCTATCCTGTGTTTTGGCGTTTAAGGGGAAATACCTTTTGCTATCTTTGTGGTGTGTTGTACGGTAGGGGTTGGAATGGGTACGGATCCGGATCATAGGAGGCTTTCTTCGTCCACGCCCCCTAAAACAAAACAAATCACCAGTGGCGCGCAGCGAGCTCATGATTCAAGATACCAATGTACGACCGCGTTGGCGGCTGGAAGCAGTAATTTAAATAATATTTCAAAGACTCTCAGTCTTACAACCATGTTGCCCGGTCTTCCATAATTTTGTCTTCCGCTCTAAGCTACTCTGGCCTTGAATGGCCTGTGTTTAATGCAGTAATCTCCAAAAAGGCCTGTATACCTTATACATCAAGTAAAGCAGACATGTACTCTGCTCATGAAGACCCTATCGGGCATCACGGCTTTTCAAGCTCGCTCCACCCACCAGCTCCTTGTTCATCCAAAGACAATATGATCCGAAATAGAGGTAGGTGCTGGACCCTGTAGCGCGGCTCGGCTGTCATGCGACAAGTGCTGAAGGGTTTGCGCCTTTTCTTTCGTCGGCGTTTTGAAACTCGGGCGGCATGGACGGCTGCTGTTCTATCGGAGCGAACTGGGGCCGCGGTATCGTCGTCTGTGGCATCGTCGTCTCTACAGCAAAGGCCACGGGCGCCTTTGGCTCCAGGACAGGTACCAGCCTAGGCTCCTCCATTGGCGCCCCTTCGAGCTCTTGGGTTTGAGGCCCTGTCTCTTCCTCCTTTTTGGCAACTCCATCGCCCTCCTTGGGCACAAGGGCAGGCTCCACGCGCTTTTTTGTCGGGTCTAGGAACCTATCCGGGACGCCGCTTGCCGCGTAGTTGTCGCTGCCGACGTACGCGCCGGCGAGGCGACTGAACTTGTAGTCACCACAGTACACGCGTTGTATCTCCCGGTACGCGTACGTATTAGCGTACGGCAGTCCCGTCTTGATATCTCGATATTTGGCGGGATGGTTGGTGATTGCACAGAGCGGAGCATGCGCGGGTTCTGAGAGAACAGTTTGTCAGTCATGTTTGATCCGACTAGTCTCGGCTTCTCCACCAGACGAACAGATGTTGCGGGTGCTCACTGGCTAGCTTATTCATCTTCCTCCCGAAGAGGATCTGTGTCTGGATCTGACGATCTTTAATCGCGTTCTCGTCAAAGTTCTGGAGGATGATACAGCTGCGAGTCACTTTTCCTTCACGCGCAGGTTGGGCTGATGTTTCCTGAGGCGTATCTGGACCGCTTGGGGCAGGCTGGGCTTTGCCCTGGGTTGGCTGTAGAGTAGTAAAAGGTGTAAGAGGAGTGAGAGGAGTAAGAGGAGCAAGAGGAGGCGGTGCCGCAGGCGCAGAGGTACTCGACGACGGAGGAGCGGGTGTCTTAGGTACCGATGGCGTCGGTGTTGACACCGGCGCTGGCGCTGGCGTAGGGGTAGCAGGGGTATTTATAACTGAAGTAGTTGCCGGCAAGGAGAAAGGGGATGGCCCCTGTGATGTGTTGGGGTGCGCGAGTACATTGGATTTCCCGTTGGAGGCCGAAAACCCGAGCATGGGCATCTGGCCGCCTAGCATGGGAGGCGTCGCCCCGAATGGTGGTGCGAGAATAGGAGCAGCAAGCACTGCCGAGGGCTGTTTGGTATCTATGGGCGGGGGAATAGGCGGGGAAGTATTGAGCGACGGTACTGCCGCTACGGCAGGCGGCTCCTGGGGTGCGTCATTAGTTGTCGATGTGATTTGAACTGGAGGTGGTGGCACCGGTGGCTCGGCGGCGGTTGAGAGCGGCACATACGACGGAAGCAACGGGTCAGGCGCCTCTTCCGGCTTGATGACCGGTACGACTTCCGGTGTAGCATCGAAGCCCAAACCGGCATTGGCGGGCTTCGGGTCGGCAGTCTCGGTCGGCGAAGGCGGCTTTGACGTGTCCCCGGCCTTTGCTTTCTCTGCCTCTCGGGCCGCGAGAGTAGCAGCAGCTGGTTGTCTCTTTTTTCGCGGCGCTTTCTCCTCAATCGACACCAAGTTGCCCACGTGCTTCTGCTGCCCCTCCTCGAGCTTTTGGATGCCGCTCCAGAAAGTCACCACAGGCCCGTCAAGCTTACGGTTGTTGAGTGCCGCAATTCTCCTCAGGCGTTCCTCTTCTCTCTGCTTCTCGGCCACCTCCCATCGATTCAGACTCTTGGAATTCCTTTTCTCGACAAGGGCCGCTTCCTGCATGCGCTCTGCTTGAGTCATTGGGGGCTTCTTCGAAGCTTCTTGCCTTTTGGCGTTCTTCTCCGCATTCTCCTGCGTCTTCTTGCGCTTGACCTCATCTTCGACCATTTTCTGGAGGAGCTGTTCCTTGCTCTCTTTCGTGGTCTGACGCTCTGAAGCTCGAACTGGCTTGTCGTTCGTCGAGGGCAGCCAGCTAAGCCTCTCCGACTTCTTCTTCGGCCTAGGGTTGGACGGCACCGGGGTGGCCGAGCTGGGGCTAGCCGAGCCGGTTGCAGTAGGCGGCGGTTTGATGCGGACCCTTTTCCTGAACTTTTCGGGGATGGCTTCGTTCGCCTTCCGTTTGCGCTGGGCCAGCTTCTTCTCTTGCGCCTGACGCTCCAGCTCTTTCTCGCCTTCTAGATCGTCGTCGGCGGCGCCCCCTTGGTCCTCCTCGTCAGAGGACGAGTCCATCTGCACGTCCGAGGCATCTTCCTTGGCATCATCAGTAAAGCCCGCGTCGTCTTCGTCTTCGGCGAACAGGAGTTCGAGGTCGTCCTCGTCATCAACGGCAGCGAGCGGCTTCTCATTTGCCAACATGGCCTTCAGGCGGTTTCCGGCCGTTGACCGCCTGGCACGCGTTGTGGCAAGCCATTCAATCTGCTGCGGCTCGCCGCCCGTATCGCTGTCGCCATCATCATCATCGTTGTTATTTGTTTTGTTGTCATTGTCACTTTCGTCTGAGCTGAGAGAATCCGACAATTCGTCTCTCGCCGAGGCCTTACTGTCGTCATCGTTTGTCGCCATGCCAGGTTGCTGATTTATTTTCGAGCGCGACGAGAAGCTGGGGAGTCACCCGCCGGTGGCAGTTGCGTTGGGTTGAAACGATGTTTTGATGTCAAGTAACAGATACAGATACAGAGTTCGGAATAGGTTGGTTGTTGGATTTCGACAATCGCGGTAAGTGGGCCGAGCTTCGTGGCCGCATTAGGTCCCACATCCCTGCACCCCACCTAGAGAGACCTGCCACTCAGGCGGGTTAGCACACTCCGATTGCGCCATCCGCCGGCTTCCCGGCTTCCCGGCTTCGATTCATTATCTATTGTCTGATGATATTGAGAGCTCCACGACCCCACCATTGAACCCACCTCACTTGCGCTGTGTTGGGTTGAGCGGTTTCGAGGTTACCTAGGTTGTCATCAGCTTGTCTGTCTCGTTTCTAGCTTTTAGGCCAAACCGAGTTTAAGACTTTGGTCCCCTACAAGGCGCTTCTAACGTCTATTTCCATTGCTCTGGCCAGACTTGGACCTTAGTCCTAACGGCATTCATAAACACCTAACCTACCTCACCTCATCTCTCATAATTATTGCCGCAGCGCTGGTGTGCGGAAGCGCACGTCTGTCACCATGCTCCGCCACGGCGTTCGCAGGTTTGCGACCAACGCGCTGCGCATGGCAGAGCCGAGCCAGCATCTCATCGCCGTCTCGAAGGCTCAGGGGATAGCCAAGGGGCTCACAGAAGGTAAATACAACCCGAGGGACAAGACCCATACATGAAGAAGCACGCATACGCTCGAGTGTCGAAGATGTCAAAAGCGTTGCAAGATGCCAACAACACTTCAGCATACAATTGCACAAATACCACCACTTGAGCGGCCGACGCTGCACATATCCACCCAATGGATGAAGCCATGAGACATTTTGACTGACTCTGCGCTAAACCCAACGAAAAGCCATCGGCAACACACCGCTCATTCGCCTCAACCGGCTGTCGGAGGAGACGGGGTGCGAGGTGCTGGGCAAGGCCGAGTTCATGAACCCAGGCGGGTCCATCAAGGACCGGGCGGCGCTGTTCGTGGTCAAGGACGCCGAGGAGCGCGGGCTGCTGCGGCCGGGGGGCACGGTGGTGGAGGGCACGGCGGGCAACACGGGCATCGGGCTCGCGCACGTGTGCCGCAGCCGCGGGTACCGGCTGGTCATCTACATGCCCAACACGCAGTCGAAAGGCAAGATCGACCTGCTGCGGCTGCTGGGCGCCGAGGTGTACCCGGTGCCGGCGGTAGCGTTTGAGAACGTAGACAACTACAACCACCAGGCGCGGCGGCACGCCGAGCGCCTGGACAACGCCGTGTGGACTAACCAGTTCGACAACACGGCCAACCGCCGCGCGCACATCGAGACGACGGGCCCCGAGATCTGGCACCAGACGGCCGGCCGCATCGACGCCTTCACGTGCGCCACGGGCACTGCCGGCACCCTCGCCGGCACCACGCGCTACCTCAAGACGGTGTCGGACGGCCGCGTCAAGTGCTTCCTGGCCGACCCGCCGGGTAGCGTGCTGCACTCGTACCTAAGCTCGGGCGGCAAGCTGGTCGAGCGCAGCGGGTCGAGCATCACCGAGGGCATCGGCCAGGGCCGCATTACCGACAACCTTCAGCCCGACCTCGACCTGCTCGACGGGTCGCTGCACATTAGCGACGAGAAGAGCATCGAGATGGTGTACCGCTGCCTCGACGAGGAGGGCCTCTACCTCGGCGCGAGCTCGTCGCTCAACGTCGTCGCCGCCAAGGAGGTGGCCGAGAAGCTGGGCAGGGGCCACACCGTCGTGACGGTGCTCTGCGACGGCGCTTACCGCTACGCCGACCGCCTGTTCTCGCGAACGTGGCTGGAGAGCAAGAACCTGCTCTCGGCCATTCCCAAGCACTTAGAGAAGTACATAGTGTTACCCTAGCCATCGCCTTTTACGAGGTATATATATATTGTTGCAAAAATAAAACTGTACATACAGACCGGGGACGCCGCCTGGACTCGGCTAGTTGGTTATTTCCCCTAGGCTATTGGCTCCTTTACCGGCTCCTCTGCTGGCCCCTCTGCTGACTCTTCTGCTGGCTTGGGAGCCTTGGGCGCACCTAAAGGCTTCTCTGGATTGAAGAGCGCGTCGTACATGGCCTGGCTTCTTGCCTTTAGGGGATGCTTCCTCATCTCATCCTTGATCTCGCACTCGACCGTCTTTGCCCTGGACAGCAACTGAGGAGCGAGCTCCGGAACGATCTGAGCCGCCAGCTTTAGCCCGTGCGCCATAGGCGCCGCATACCAGGTGAAGTTTCCTGGCACGGTCAGGTAGTGCATGGACATCTTGTTCTCGTAGGCCTCCTTCGGGTAGAGGGTGAGCAGGCCCTTGTTCCTCGGCCACAGTGTCAAGAGCTCTCGCGCGTACTTCTCGACGAGCCCGCCCTTGTCCTTGCCCTTGTAATGCCTCACGGCCATCGCCGCCGCCATGTGCAGCCTCGCCGCTTGTATTTGGGGGTCCTGGTGCAGCGAGGGATACTTCGCCGCCCCCGGCTCGTCAGGAGACCGCTTGTGTAGGGGCTCCGTCTCGAGCACCTCGAGGATCATGCGCGTCCGGCCGAGCGCCCTCTTGAGGTCGGCGAACTCCCACTTGTCCACCGCCTTCTGCTGGATGTAGCCCAGCAGCTCGTTGACCGTCACGGACTGGTTGAGCTTGAAGTGCGTCTTGTCGACATGCTGCACGCACGTCATGATGCTGGGCAGCGCGTTGGCCAGGGCGGCCTTCCTCGTCATGCGCGTCCACATGTACTCTGGCAGGGTGCGGTGCGCGTGCCGCAGGCCGTCGAGCAGCGGCCGCAGGTTTTGGAAGTCGCTGGCGCTCTTCATGTTGTTAATGGCGGCGTTGACCATCGGCTTCATCGCGGGCAGGTCCTTGAGCCGGTTCATGGGCGCGAACTGGATCACCTCGTCGTTGATTTCTATTGTCGGCGGGTCCGCCTCGATCCTCTTCTTGTGCTTTGGGCGGAACAGCATCTTCTGCGTCTCGGGGGACAGGTACGACGGAAGGATGATTTTGGAGCGCAACGTGTTCAGCGCCTCCTTGAGCTCTGGCGGCGCGCGTGTGGTGTCGAAGCTCGGGATTTCCACTACATGCATCGGGCAACGTGTTAGAGAATGCGGGTAGTCTGCGCGGGTGACTGAGTGAGTTATGGCTGAACATACCTTGACGAGAGGGCGTCAAGTGCAGACACCTCGTTTGCACCGGGGCCTTCTTGAATAGCGCCTCCCATGCCCTGCCGCCCCTGGCCCGGAGGGCGCTTCTGGAAGATATGCCAGACATGGCTTTGGCGGGCGCTTCTCAATCGATACCCCCCAACAAATAAATATGGGCGTCTTTTTTCTTCTTCTTTCTTTTGACGATAGTAACGCGGCCAGGAACTCGGGCCAGCGTTTGGAGCTGTTGAAAAAGCGGATCGCCGAAATTCCCTATTCACCCCCCGCCAGACTGTGAAAGGCTGCGCGATGATTGGCCGAATGCCCGGCCAGCAACCAAAGTTCCTGTGGAGCCAGACCGCCTGCGAATTAGCGATTCCCGACACAACCACAACGATGGGTCCTGTCCTGTGCTCCAGGGAAAGGAAAGCTTCACCAAACGCCCAGCTCAAGGCCCGAATCGACCTGATCGCCCGCGTCGACACGTCGCGCGAAGCAATTGCACCATGAACGCCGCACCGCTCGCCCGGCAGCCTCTGGGCTGTCTGAAGGCAGGCCTGCGCCAGGCGAGGCAGCAACGACTTTTTCGCCGACAGCTTGCGACGGCGGCGACCAAAATTCGGTCGCGGACGGGTCCGGGTCTCGGCCCCCTACCAGAGCCCAACTTTTGTATGTTGGCTCTATTCTCTTCTCTTGCACCCCTCACTTGCGAGAGGGAACGAGGCAAGCAAGCGAATTGAAGGGGTGGTTACTGACAGGCGGGCGTCTACAGACAAAATCCAGGACCCCAAGACGGGCAAGATCCGGACGGCCTTCGCCGTGTACAACCCCCCGAGCGTCATCAAGGACGCCCACTCCTCAGACATCAAGCCGAAACCGGTAACAGAGTTCGTCGATGGGAAGCCCGTGTTCCGGCTGCCGTGGACCAACCGGAACACGACGATGCCCAAGGTGCTGACGGCGCCGGTGACGGACCCGCTGCCGGCGCTGCACGCAGCGCAGATTGAGCGGCTAGACCCGACGGGGGCGCGGACGGCTATGTTCGCCAAGACCAAGCAGGGGGTGCGGGCGGGCGACATCCTCACGGTGACGCACCGGCGGGGCGGCGAGCCCTTCTCGGGCGTGTGCCTGTCGATCCGGCGCGCGGGCATCGACACGGCCATCCTGCTGCGCAACCACCTGAGCAAGGTCGGCGTCGAGATGTGGTTCAAGATCTACAATCGCAACGTAGCCGGCATCGAGCTCGTCAAGCGCCGCCTCAAGCGCGCTCGCCGCGCCCGCCTCACCTTCATGCGCCAGCCCAAGCACGACATGGGCAGCGTGTCCGAGATTGTCCACGACTGGAGGGCCTCGCGCAAGGTGTTTACCAGCGGCTCGGCCGAGAAGAAGAAGAAGGCTGCCGCAGCCGCCGCTGCCGCTACTGCTGCGGCTAAGGCTAAGAGCGGTGCAGGGAAAAAGAAATGAACGGCACCCCCTATCTCCTATTAAATATTTCTGCGCCATCAGGTATGTTTTTTGCTACTTGACAAAAGGTGTACGTCTATGGGAAACTTGGTGTCACGGCGAAACAGGGCCACTCGCATGTACCATGTATATCATGTATGTATAGAATCTTGCAGGACGTCGAGGCATAGGAATCAAGCAACTTGCAACTAGCAAGGCTTTGGCTCACAATGCCAATTGTATATATAAAAACGCGTTGTTTGAGCGGACCTTGGGGCCTAGGAGCACAGCCAAGCTCACCTCGACAGTATGAGTGAGTGCAGGTTGTTTACAGGCGTTTGTTTCCTGTCATAGGAGCGATCCTCGAGCGGGTGGACAAATCCTACCTGTCATTCCAAGTCTCGAGACTGCCATGCGCGATTCCTTTGAGTGATTCCGTATGTCGGCCTAAACCCCTCGCCGCCACCGCTGCTGCCATTATGCTATGCAATCTCGGCAGGTGTGAAAGTAAATACCTACCTACCTTCCTTACCTGGGATAGATAAGCTCGGTCTTCTTCCAGCTGCTCTTTCTCTTCACCGCTCCCTCCATGTTTCTCTCAGAGGCCTTCTCACCCTCCGATGCGGGCCTGATGGCAGACGTGTCAAGGCCGATCTTTGCAGCTCGCCCTCCTCCACACAATGGGGGGATGCAACGGTGCTCGGGTCTAGTTGACCCGAGAGAAGGAAAGAGGCGATAGCTCACGTTTCCATTATTATTCGCTCCGGCCCTGATCCCGAGGGATATTTGATTCCGTGATGTGAGTAACGGGGAACACGCATCCAATCTGCAATGCAAGCACGGGCGGGCGATCAGAGATAGGACCGTAGTAGCAGCCCGTCTTATTATTGTTGATATTTTTGATGGATCATACTCACTCAGTAACGGGCGTGCTTGAGTGCAGAGAGCTGATTGGCGGCCAGGCAGCTGAGACGTGCGTGCTGAGAGAAACGAGAAACCCAGTCCCATCCCATCTCTGGGCGATATGCAGCAAGGTAGAAGAAATTCGTCTGCGATTCTCATCAGGCCATTGTCTAGGAGCGGTGAGGAGCGGGCGGCTTTGGGAGGGCACTTGGCGGTATATTGTGATTCTCCGATGTCGCGTCGTTTCAATCCTGTCCCTTCAAGCTGTCGACCGACAGAATCGGCTCTTCTCATGAACATGAGCACTGCCAGGCCGGTCAATTGATTCCAAGTCAGTTGCCAAGGACGACTCTGAGCACTGCCCTGACCAATTGATTCCAATTGATTCCGATCCGCGTCGGCTTTATACGAATACTTGGCAGTAGTCTGGGGCAGGCGTACGCGCAGGTGGGTTCCAAGTTTCTCGCCATGGGAAATCTCGATCGCTGGAGCTGACAGAACCTGATGCCAGCCACCTCAGTCTTGGCGGCCGGGTGCTGTGCATACATACAGTACGGAATAGTCTCGGACAAGAGCCGGCGGATTCGCAAGTGCCTCTGATAGCCTTTGCTGTCTCGGCTAGTCCGTGGCCGTCTTTGCCGGCCTCTCGTCAACGCATGCCCCAATGATATCATGCGGGCCCGGGCAGCCGCTCGGGGCAGCTCGCCTTCACTGCGGTAACTGCACTGCACTGGACTTGGTAACTGGGCTGCGGGTCGCTGACGTTGTCGGCGCGCACGGGCTACGCGGGCCAGGTGCGGTGCTCATGATACGCTGCCATCCGGTTGGCTCTCCCGAATTACACGTCGGCAGATACGCAGGGCACCTTTGGGGCTGGAGATAGCTCCGAATACCTGCCCTGAGCGGCAACATATAATGCTCGTCTGCATGCGAGGTCGAGATAAGGTCCGACTCGGCAAGGAGAGAGGAAAAAGGACAAAAACTGCGCAATGAAACGGTAACATGTATATGTGCACTCCGTGCCTCAGCACGTCATGCTTGTTGGTTTTGTTATCCGTCTCCAAGTCTCGAGTCCAGTCAAAGGAGGGCTTGGCCCCCATGTGCCCGGCATCGCGCCTTCTGAGACGCCAACAGAAAGTCCCCACTAACCACCAGGTACTTACGGTATTTTATCCACTTGAGTCTCTCCATCTCGTTCACAGTTCACACTTTTCACATTGTCTCAGAGACTTTCACCCACCGCCTCAACAGCATCCCCCCTCCCCCGACTCCAACCCTCGCCCCCTTCCTTACGGAGTCTCCAACGTTCCAATTTCCAATCTGTCGTTGGCCTTGGCACGCACCCGTGCTCCAGCCAGGTGGCAGGTCCCTGGGACTGGAACTTGGCAGTCTCCGGGGCATCTGGACCTTTCTCTTGGCGGGTGGGTACAAAATCTAAATTAAAGATATAAGCCGACTTCGTGAGCCTTTTAAGCTTCGGTTTCCTGTCTAACGATTTCTCTCTCGCGCCTGCGCTTTGTCAGGGTTAGCTCGCCCGAGCTTACCTGCCTTGGGGTCCCACTTCGGTTCTTTTTCTCTTTCCCGGGCATATTCTTTCAAACCTCTGGGGGCCCTGTTAATCAGGTGTGGTCCACCCGCTCAGCCACCTCGGCGAAGGCTTTCGGTTTGCGGGAACCCCGCGGCGTATATCCTTGTGCCGGTAATGAACTGGAACTAAGTTTCTTGCGTCTTCGCATCACCACGACGCCGTTGAGGCTCATTTCCCCCCACCTCATCAGACGGTAGGCTACTGAGTAACCCGGCCCCTAGGCCGCCCTTGTTGTTTAATGTTCGGGAAACACCCAAGAACGCGGCTGGCATCGGGACTTGTTTCCCTCTGAACAACACAACTGAGGTGGTCTTGCTCAGTTTCCAAAATCCAATCCCTCCTGCCGTCCGCCATCTGTGGCCTGTTTTGTTTGCCGCAGGCTCCCAATCTGGAACAAACCCCCTAAAGCCCACGCCACCATGTCAGCGCCGCAACTGCATCCCTGGGCTCTTGACAGCAAGCTCGACTGACGCCTGCTCTGGCCCGGTTTTCGTGATCTCTCGCGCGCGAGGTAGAGTTAGGCGTCAATGGCACGCTAGCCTCTAAATATACGCATTTGACAACAACATTTTGATATTTATTTATTTCACCTCCTCAGTCGCCATCGCCTGCTCGGCAACATCTCGCCATATCGACACTGATTTCCTTAGCCATCTTGATACGTCTTCGCGAGATATATACCTGTTCAAGCCCTATCCCCGCGCCATGGAGAGCTTCCGAGAAATCGTTGTTGGCCAGTTCAAGGCCCTACGCCCATCGTTTCTCGCCAAGAAGCCCCATTTCAACTTCATATCTACACACTGTAAGCGCCGCGCCCCGGCCCCATTGACAGCCAGCTCCCATGCTTGACGCTCTAGGTGCTAACTCGCTAGATATCAGACCTATGGATATGCGGCCTTGCCATAACCGGATCAATCGTCCTATTTTTCTCGGGCCAGCACAACTTGGCCTACATTGACGCCCTTTTCTTTGCGAGTGGTGCCAGCACCCAGGCGGGGTTGAACACGGTCAATGTCAACCGCCTCAACACCTTTCAGCAGGTTGTGCTTTACCTCATGACCATGTTGGCGAACCCCATCACGGTCAATTCGTTTGTCGTCTTCCTCCGGCTTTACTGGTTTGAGAAGCGGTTTCAGCACATTGTTCGCGAGGCCCGACAGAGAAGGGCCACCTTGTCCAAGTCAAGATCCAAGTCCAAGGGCGACGTCATTGATCCCGAGAAAGGGGTCAATGGGAGACGCATTACCGTCATGCACAATGGCACCCGATCGCGCATCACAAACGACGGCACCCTACTAGAAAACGCTGCTACTACTAGCAAGGCGAGAGATGGGCCAGCCCTCGATAACAGCGACGAACCTAATTTCGAGGGGCAGGCCGAGGGGGGCGGGAATGGAGAAGAACACGATGACCGTCGGCATTCGCAAATCCCAAAAATAAAGTTCTCCAAAATGGTCACGAGGAGCGATGGTCTTGGGGAGGACGCTCTCAAAATCCCCCCGTCGCGACCCGACGAGGATCATATTGCCATTCTCGAGCGGCAGAGAAAGGGGTCCGACGAGGTTCTGCGCATCCCTAACCCGAGAGACGCTGAACGGGGTATGCGCCCCAAGCGAGTTGAGCATGGCGATGACATTGATACTGAACTGCTTTCGCCCCAGAGAGCACATTTCGACTTATCAGTGGAGGGGTCGCCTCAGTCTCAGACCTCCGACACTCGCCAGCAGGCCATCACTATTGAGGAGCCTGACCGGCGGAAGTTTGAAGAGTTGGAGGATGATGATGATCCTGTTGTCGAAGACGCTAGAGCCGTCGTCGGTGTGTTATCAAATCTGAAGCATCACTCTTGGGGCCGGAAGAAACAGGCCACCAACAACGAAGGCAATGTGGAAGCAGCAGCCTCGAGGAGTAGACGTCCGTCCATCAGCACGCTGCGGACAGCCTTTTCTAGAGACAAGACGAACGAAACCCCCTATCTGAGCTGGGAGCCGACTATTGGTCGCAACTCCCAGTTTCCAGACCTTACGGTCGAGCAGAGAGAGGAACTCGGTGGTATCGAATATCGGTCTCTCAAGACGCTTGCTCTGATCTTGACGTGCTATTTCTGGCTGTTTTCGGTCTTTGGGGTGGCCTGTCTTGTGCCGTGGATCCTGAATATTGATAGATGGGGTCAGGTTGTTGACGACGCAGCGCAAGGCAGGACATGGTGGGGATTCTTCACCGCTAACTCGGCTTTCCTGGATCTGGGCTACACCTTGACCCCCGACAGCATGAACTCGTTCAACACTGCGGTTTTCCCTTTGCTCTTAATGAGCTTCCTCATTGTCATTGGAAACACGGGATTTCCCGTCATGCTTCGGTTCATTATCTGGTCCTTGTCGCTCATTCTTCCCACGGGCACAGGGCTATATGAGGAAATAAGGTTTCTGCTCGACCATCCACGTCGGTGCTTCACCCTTCTCTTTCCCTCTGGCGCTACCTGGTGGCTCTTTTGGCTTCTTGTCGTTCTCAACGGACTCGATGTGATATTCTTCATCGTCCTTGACATCGGCACTCAGCCCCTGGAGGGTTTGCCAACAGGCGGGCTCAAGTTATTGAACGGACTTTTTGAAGCTGCGTCGACAAGAACGGCCGGTTTCTCATGCGTCAATCTGGCGCAGCTCCATCCCGGTGTTCAAGTCTCGTACATGATTATGATGTACATCTCCGTCTTCCCCATCGCCATCTCCGTTCGTCGAACAAACGTCTACGAAGAAAAGTCGCTCGGAATTTACAACAACAACGAGTTTGACGAACAGCAGGCGGGCAACAACGCTTTCTCCTACGTCGGGGCACATTTGCGACGGCAGCTCTCTTTCGACTTGTGGTATATATTTGTTGGCTTTTTCATCCTCTCCATCTCAGAGGGCCCCCGCCTGATTGAGGGGAGAACAGCAGGAGCAGACGATGCCAATAGCTTCTCAATGTTTGCTGTCCTGTTCGAGATTGTCAGCGCCTACGGCACCGTCGGCATGAGCCTCGGCTATCCCGATGGAGACGAATCGCTTTGCTCCCAGTTCAGTGTCGTCGGTAAACTGGTCCTGATCGCCATGATGATCCGTGGCAGACATCGCGGTCTGCCATACGGGCTAGACCGGGCCATCCTTCTCCCAAGCGAATCACTCAACCAAAAGGAGGCCGCTGATGCCGATGCGAGGATGGCGCGGCAATATTCACACGTAACGGGGGCTGCTGACGGCCGTCGGGCCAGTTTCCGGCGCGCCCGGACCATGAGTGGCGACCAACGGAGCAACATTCTTATCTCGCTGCTGCATCCGGGACCTTCGCATGGGGGACCTTCCCGGCTTGAACCACTCACGGCAACCAGCTCGAGGAGATCCACGGACCCAGCCCACGAGGACGCTACGCCGTACTCAGCAGCGCGTAGTACGTCGCGGGTAGAGTTCGATATGGCATCGCTGCGCCCGCGCGCTACCAACGAAGCGGCCCAATAAAAGTTCTATTTGTTTACTGCGGGACGGTTGTTTTTCACCTATAATGGCATAGACAAGCATGGCGCTAGAAAGGGGGGCAACATTCTGGATGGTAGTGGCCTATTTGCACTTGGGCATACATTTCCGCGAACAACGTTTAGATTGCGAAGAATGGAGGTTGGGGGCGTACTTAGTCTTTTTGTTTTCTTCTTCTTCTTCTTCTTCTTCTAGTGTTACCTATTAACCAAACGAGGGGATTCACATCAAGGCGTCGGAAATATATGGGATTATACGGGGGGGATGGGTTTCAAAACTAGATGGCACCGACATTGTTCGGCCATTCTCAAGGCATTTACCGGACGGGCAAATAGTATGGAGGTACTTTGTCTTTTTTTTTTTTAACTTCTTCGTTTATTCATTTTGAGCGCCGCTGAGAGACCGTGGTTAACTATGTACCCTAAGGGTATGACACGGAGAGTGCATGGGAAAGGTTCTTTTATACCGACTTTTGGGCCAAGTCTACGGCGTCACTTATTTTATATAATACTATTTCTTCAATTTCTACTTCCTCGTGTATATATGTATTTAATTTGTTAAATTAATGCCACTGGCTTTCAATTTATATGGCTCTGGGCTCTTGACAAACCAAATTCTCAGCCACCACACCACCGAGTATCCCGACCCTACCGGTCGGTCTGCTGCACTACTAGTCATCGTCCACCCGACGACGCTCTCATTGTATGCATATACCATATTTGGCAGCGCTACCCTTTTTGGTATTTGTATTGTTGTTATACAAGGGAATAAATAACCCGCAAAAAGGAGGTCCACCCTCCGTCACACTCGCCCATTTTTTCGCCAAAAAAGACAACCCAGTCTTTTTCTGATGCACCACCATTACATACATTGTACCTAGAATGACTTGACACAGGCCGAAAGAAGCAAAGACGCCCCACGGCCCAAAACACCTAGGTATATAACCAGACAACTGAAGAAAAGAAGAGAAAAAAAGATACGTTTTGGAGGAAAATGGAAAATTTGGAATGGACAACACCCGCAGACGATATTTCCAACCACCTTCAACCGCGGTTGCGTTCTTTCTCCCTGGCAATCTTCTTGAAGAAGGTGTCGCGCTCGGCCTTTTGGTTCTTTTTGAGCTGCTTGTTGGCGCCCTTGTTTTGCTCAATGTAGGCCATGTCCTGGCCGCCGCTGAGCTCGCCGAGGGTGCCGGCGGTGCGACGGGCCGCGAGGCCCTTCTTCTTCCTGCCGCGGCCTCCTCCGACCTTGCCGAAGAGGTCGTCCGTCTCGACGTCTTCCATGGTGCCCTTCTCGTTGTCGACGAGTGTCATCTGCAGGAGCTCGCGGCGCTCCTGGGGCGAGGCAAAGGCAAGGTTTGGCGTGTTCTCGATGTTTGCGAGCTGGGTGATGACCTTGAAGGCGTAGCCCTGGTCGACCAGAAAGGCTTGGCGCTTGGACGAGTAGTACATCTCCTGCGTGTCCTTTGAGACGAGCGAGTAGAAGAAGGCGTTGAAGCCCTCGTCGTTACGACGCTTGGCCCGCAAGATACGGCCGAGACGCTGCGCTTCCTGACGGCGGGAACCAAAGTGGGAGGAGATCTGGATAAGGCACGTAGCCTCGGGCAGGTCGAGCGAGGTGTCGCCAATCTTGGAGAGGAACAGCGTGTTGACCTCTGGATTGTGTTGGAAGTTGGCCAGGATGTGCATGCGCTCCGACTGGCTAGTGCCGCCGTAGATGTACACCTTTCCGAGCGTCTCGGCGTACTTCTTGAGCGAGTAGAGTTCGTCCGAGAAGACGATGATCTTGTCGCCGCGGGCCTCGTGATAGTTTATCAGATACTGGCAGGCCTGGAACTTGCGAGGGTTCATGGCGTAGAGCGTGCGCTTCATGCGCGCGTTTGCACGCAGGTATTCGTCGTAGAACTCTGTTGGCATCTGGCACCAGACTTCGGCACACTGGACTTTGGCGATGTGGCCTTGCTGTGAGAGCTCCATCCAGTTGGCTTCGTATAGTTTCGGTCCGATGAGGAAGTTAAGATGAGAGATCTTGTCATCCTCTCTCAGAAGCGTCGCCGTGAGCCCGAGCTTTGAGTGCGACTTGATGGACGAGATGACGCGGCGGAAGACATCGGCGGGAACGACGTGCACCTCGTCCAAGAGCATGAGGCCCCACTCTCGCCCCTTGAGGAAGTCCATCATCTTCTTAGAGTCATGAGAACGCTCCCGGTTGTTAGTAACCATCGAGTAGGTCGTGACGATGATTCCGGTGCTGCCCGAGAACTTGTTCTTGCTCTCGGCAGTGAAGACAGCCACGTCGTCCGGGTTGATGTTGGACCACTTGAGGAATTCCTGGCGCCACTGCACGACCGACATGGAACTCGTGCATAGCACGATGACCCCCTTCTTGATGGTGCAGGCAGCTGTGATGCCGACCAGCGTCTTACCGGCGCCGCAGGGCAACACAATGATGCCGCTCTTGGCTCGGCCGTTACCAAACATCTTGCTCAGGCTCTTCTCTTGGTACGGTCGGATCTGGGTGTTGGGCTGCAGATCAATCTCGAGATTGGGGTTCACGTCGTCGTTCCGGAAGTCGTACTCTTCCAGGATGGGATAGCCAATGTCCAGACAGCGCTTCTGGACCGTCTCGACAGCCGTGTCGCCTATCTCAAAGGCATGGACGGCTTCCTTGTCATCGTCGTCGTCCTCCTCGTTAAGGGCAGCGAAGAGATCGGGGTCCTTGGCCGTGTCGGTGGTTGGCTTGTCGCCTGGCTTCTGCAGAGCGGCCTGGCGGACGCCAGCGGCGTTCTTGGTGCCCGGGATAACGAGGCCGCCCATGGTCGGGGCATACGTGGTGGTGATGGCGTCGGAGCCCTGGACGCGGAGCGGGCCGATGACCTCATCCTTGAGCAGCCTCTGCAACATGTCGGCATCTACGCTCTCTACGAAATACTTATTGTTCTTGAGCACCAGCTTCACCTTGCCGTAGCTGTTAGTGCACTGCTGGATGAAGTTGTTGATAGAGCTCGGCAGGGCCGTCTTCAAGAAGCGGTCCAGCGTGTTTATGATGTCCTTGGGACGCAAGCCGACCGACACGGCCGCGTAGAGGCTGTGCGTGGTCAGGGCATACTCATGCAGGAAGGCCGGGCGCGACTTGGGCTCGGCGATGGTGATGAGGAAGTCGGTGGCCTGCTCGGCCAGCACGTTGAAGCGCTCCAGCACGATAGTGCCCTTGTCGGGGTCAATCCATATGGGCCGGTTGTGGTGGTCCGCCTTCAGCGGGAGGCCCGAGAAGTCGCGCTTCCCAAAGTAGGGCGTAGCGGCATCTCGCTTCTGGCCCTCGCCCTGGTTCTGGAAGCGCTTGCTCGATATGGCCCAGTTGTTGACGAACTCGTCGGCCTCCTTGCCCAACAGCTCCTCGCGCTCCTTCTGGGCCTCGGTCACATCCTCGTCGAGCTCCTCGTCGGCCTCCGACATCATGGAGCTGTCGAGACTGCGCGGCGTCGCCGGGCCAGGCGTCGACAAGGCAGATGTGCGCCCGGCTTTGGTAGCCGTGGCCGCCGCGGGTGCTGCAGCCTTTCTCTTAGGTGGCATCTCTACGGGTGGTCTGGTCTGTCCTGCCCTCCTTTCTCTCCTCCCGTCCGTCCGTCTGCCACTTTTTTCCCTCCTTTTCTCTCTCTTTTCTCTTCACCGTACTGCGCTGCGCCAGAAAGAAGAGGCGCGCAGCGCTCGTGGTCGAAATCACCGATGCCAGGCCTGAGGTAGGTGATTGACGACGGGTTACCAAATGTTGAATTGTAAGCGGAAGAGTCAGGGTCGGTTCTTTGAGTTAGAGGTTCGTTTCTGGCCCTTAATAAGCCCGCCAATTGATGACAGCAGCCCCACTAATTCGTAGGCACCACTCCAGTCAAAGATTAGGCATTTACACTTCTAGTGGAAAAGCTTTGTGGGGCCATCTGACATTTCAACTGGAATTTCCATTTCCCCTCCTCGAAAGAATATTTTCCCCACCCGCAGCTTGCCTATACCCCATCATCTCCACCACGATCGCCTGCAGGTGGGCTGTCCAGAGAGGTAGACATCTCAAATCCAAGGTCAGGTCCGACAAACCATCACGGCGGGCGACGATAACGACGACGACGGCAAACGAAACAGCCTCCCTTTTGTATTTTTCCCCCGACTTGCGCGAGAGCCTGTTTTATCTTTACCACGCGACCGAGCCCACGGCCTCAGGCTACCCAACTCCAGCACAATGTGGTACGCCACCTGTCGCAGTCCGCTACGGAACTTCTTCGATGACTGCATCTCGCTCGGCAAGAGGAATGAATAGCAGCTAACTCTAGAACACCTTCTACGTCTACAGTAAACACGTTCTAAATGCGCAAGTGGCTGTGCGGTCACCATGTTGTATGTGAGACAGGAAACAAAACCACCCACCAATCATCACCAAAGCCACATACACAGACACATCCACACACATCTCATATATAACCCGTATAACTCGTAAAACATGCGCCCTCTTGCTTTAATCAACATAGGCTAGTAGACTTACGGTACACCCCACACTACAGGCAAGAAGTGGTTCGACTGCGCCGACTGCCACCAGGAGCAGGAGACGCACCCGCTGCTGCAGCGGTTCGAGATGATATTCGCGTGCAAGAAGTGCAAGAAGTGCTTCCGCAAGGACGCGCAGGAGTTTGAGGAGGCCGACGAGTACTGCCCGCACTGCGACAACCACTTCATCATCCCGGCCAAGACGCCGCAGGCCGCCATCTCGGTCGAGAGCGAGGACGTGCGCGTCGACAATCGCATGCTCAAGGACGACCGCGTCAAGACGGAGGACATGCGGACCGTCTTCGACCCCGAACCCAATGTCGAGAAGCTTGGTTGAAGCTGTGTGCTAGAGGAGAGGGCTTGCCGACGAATGGGGTACAGAGAGAGAGGCAGAGAAAGGGAATCATGATCTGGAGAACATTACTACTATATCATGTCCGGGAAGGATCAGGCTAACTAACCTGCAAGAGTTTGGCCGTTGTTGCTGTTGTTGAAAAAAGTATACCCAAGCACGCGATGTGATAGACAAAAAAAGGGGAAAAGGGACAGACAAGAGTCTAAATCAGGAGCCTCAACAAAACAACCAGGCTCAAGAAAATGCATCTTGCCATGACCATGCCCTCGTAGCATGTCTTTTATCTTACAGAATCCCCTTTCGGCAGCCAGGCTACGCTACGCGCCTCTAAGAGGCAGCGACAACTCCCGGCCCGGTTACCCCAATCCGCCGACCTAAGGTTCATCCTGGCTCCGGGTCAGTATAGCCGCGCTCCCCTGACCCGGAGTTCTGCCCGTCTTCTTCTTGGCAGCCTCCTCCTGCTTCTCCTGCTCAATGTTCTTGACGTAGCCCTCGATATCCTCCACCGGCAGCATCTCGATGGGCTTTCCAGGGGCCATGATGGCGATCTCAATGTTCTTGGCGCCCGTCTGAACGACTTCCAACAGCGACTTGATGGCAAGCCGGACCGTAGCCTCGCGATCCATGTCTTCCTTGTAGTTTCGCTCCAAAAACTCACGGACTGTCTTGCTAGAACGGCCGATCGCATTGGCTTTCCTACACAGTCACAAGAGTCAGCCAAACAATAATTCCCCTCCCGAGTTTCGAGATAGGTTGAATAGAGGGTGGAGAGGGGAGATTGGGGAGTCTAAGCGTACCACGCGGAATAGATGCCCGACGGCTCGGTCTGGTACAGTCTCGGGGTGATGCTGCCGTTGTCAAAGCCGACGATGAGGGTGCTGATGCCAAAGGGCCGGACGCCTCCGCTCTGTGTGTACCGCTGCTGCACACCGGCCACGTACTTGGTGATGTACTCGATCGTCACAGGGTCTTCGAGGTTGAGGCGGTGCGACTGGGCTTCTAACCGCGCCTTGTCCACCAGGATGCGGGCGTCGGCGTTGAGCCCGGCAAAGGCCAGGCACACGTGCGTGTCAATGAGGCCGATTTTGGACGGCGTGATCCGCGTGTCTTGCAGCTTCATCGCCGACCTCTTCTCGCAGCCTAGCACCACCACATCTTGGCCCTTGACGCCAACAGCGCAGGTACCTATCACATGTCGGTTAGAAATCAGAATGCTTTTGAGTCTTGCGTTATGTCGCTCCCCCTAATATGTCCGCGACGAGTGTGCCCGCCGCCCATCAATGCATTGGATTCGTACCTCGTTTTACGGCCTCGCCCGCATATTCGACCTGGAACACGTGTCCATCGGGGCTATTGAAGGAGTCAGCCAAGAGATGGGGGGAAAGGAAATGGCGACGCTGGGTGACGCGATTGCGACTACGACGGACCTGAAAACTGCATGGCGGCATAGTTTGTTAGTAACATGTTTTCCAGATAGAGGTCAGGCCAGGGCCTGAGAACAACAGCGCAACTACTCACCTGACAGAGCTCTGTCGTATCCCGACGCCATGGTCGTTTAGTTTAGAGGCGGGATTCGGTTGTGGAAAAAAAGGATTAGTGGTGGCTCGACGGAGATATTGGTGCCGGGAATGCGGCGCGAAGGGAAGGATGTTGGTGATGCAGTATGTAGTTGCAGCACACAGCAGGCTGAAGCGGTTACGACGAGCTTGGGGAAGCTACGGCTTGGCTGGGGCGTCAGCCTTCTGAGCTTGGGCCACTCAGGCGTTGTTGAAGTCCAGCTGGGCCCGAGCTGATGGACTGGGTCTGGCAAAAGAAACAGTGGGGCCTTGGTCTTTCTGGAATTCGGACCGTCAACAGCTGGCGCCAAGATGGCGTCACCGTTGCTTCCCGACGCCGATTTCGTTGAGAGAAAGAGCTTCCCAAATCATTGAGACAACTTCAACTTGAAGTCTTTTAAACTCGTAAGCTGCCTTTGCAAGTTGTCAATTGCACCTTGTGTCACTAGTAGAGCAGGCTAGTGTGTATATACGTTTTCTTTTTCAGGAGCCTTACCTTCAAGGCTCGTTATTTCTTAGCATCTATCCGTATAATTTTTTTTCTTTCTCTTTTGCGGGCTTGTAAAGGGAGTTTTGTTTCGGTGACTTCCGTTTCTGTTCCAGCCCAGCTTGCCATTCTTCCCGTTCTGCACCTCCAAGCTACCTTACCTTAAGCCAGCCAGCCAGCAGCCAGCCAGCGCACGAGTCCAAGGCTCCAATTGCAATGGCAACCACGCGATATCCGCTCACGCCTGCCCTGAGGAGACTGGCAACGGGCTCGGTGCAGCTTGGCCGGCAGGCGGCGGTGCAGTCAACCTTTGCCCGCGCTGCAACTGCAACTCCGAATGCAACTGCACTTGCACCAGCCCAGCGGTGCTTCAGCAGCGGCCGCCCGCGACTTCTCCAGCAGACGGCAACTTGCCAGGCCCAGGGTGACTACACCAGCACCAAGTATCCGGACATCAAGAGGGATGACCGCTTTGCGCGGCTCACGCCCGACCATGTCGCCTTCTTCAAAGGCCTCCTCGGCAGCGGGTCCGCCGTGATCGACGGTGTAACAAGCGACGCTGCGGCCGACGATCTGGAGTCTTTCAACAGCGATTGGATGCGCAAATACCGCGGCCACTGCCAGCTGGTGCTCAAGCCTGGCTCGACGGACGAGGTCAGCAAGATCCTCAAGTACTGCAACGATAACATGCTGGCCGTCGTCCCCCAAGGCGGCAATACCGGCCTCGTCGGTGGCTCCGTCCCCGTATTCGATGAGATCGTCATCAACCTCAGCCGCATGGACCAGATTATCGAGTTTGACGATGTCAGCGGCACCTTGGTTGCCGGCGCTGGATGCATCCTTGAGGTTGCTGACCAGTTCCTGGCCGGAAAAGGCTACATCTTTCCCCTCGACCTCGGCGCTAAGGGCTCGTGCCACATTGGAGGCAACCTATCCACCAATGCGGGCGGCTTGCGCCTGCTGCGATATGGGAGCCTGCACGGTAGTGTGCTCGGCATTGAGGCCGTGCTCGCCGATGGCACCATTGTCGACGATCTCTGCAAGCTGCGCAAGAACAACACGGGCTACGACCTGAAGCAGCTGTTCATCGGCGCAGAGGGTACCATTGGCATCATCACTAAGGTGTCTATCCAGTGTCCCCAGCGCTCTCCGGCCCAGAACGTCGCCTTCTTCGGCCTCGAGTCATTCGAGCAGGTCCAAAAGGCATTCCGGGCGGCCAAGGGCCAGCTCTCCGAGATCCTCTCAGCCTTTGAGCTCATGGACGAGGGCAGCCAGGCGCTGGTCCGGGAGGTGACTGGCAACAGGAGACCGCTGGACGGCCAGTATCCCTTCTACTGCCTGGTGGAGACGAGCGGGTCCAATGCCGACCACGACAGCGAGAAGCTCGAGGCGTTCCTCGAGGACGTCATGGAGAAGGGCATTGTGCTCGACGGCACGCTGGCGCAGGACGAGACGCAGAGGCGAGCGCTGTGGGGGTGGCGCGAGGGCATTCCGGAAGTCCTGGGCCACTTTGGCGGTGTCTACAAGTACGATGTGTCCATACCGATCAAGCAGATGTACCAGATGGTCGAGGACACGCGCGCGCGGATCGACGCCGCTGGCCTGCTGGGCGACACGGATGAGCATCCCGTGCGGGCCGTTGTGGGGTACGGCCACATGGGAGACTCGAACCTCCACCTCAACGTGTCGACCCGGCGCTTCGACGAGAGGGTCGAGAAGGTGCTCGAGCCCTTCGTCTACGAGTGGATTTCCGAGCGCCAGGGCAGCATCAGTGCTGAGCACGGGCTAGGGCTGGCCAAGAAGAAGTACATTGGGTACAGCCGCACTCCCACCATGCTTGGTCTGATGAAACACATCAAGACGTTATATGACCCGGTGAGCCTCTCCCGCTCCTCCTTTTTGCGCCCCGTGCCCCGTGTCGAGGAAGTGGAAGGCCAGGAACTAGCCGTGCCAATGAGGCGTTTCGTTTCACACCTACCCTCGGGTCCGCAGGGCAGGCTAGACTCTCCCTGCCCGGCTTGCGGTCAGGTCAAACAGACTACGCTAGTCTCTAGCCTCCCCTCCCCCTCACTCTCACCCTTCCTCCCGCGCCCTAGAACTTCCTCCGCTGGGCCACTGAGCCACTTGGCCACTGGGGCACAAGAGCCCGTCAGCTAGCCCTACCCGCAGCTTTCCCCCGACCTGGGCCCTCCATGATGTGCATACGTGGGCGGCCGTGCCCCTTGTTTCCGATTGCCGTGGCTAACGTTGTTGCAGAATGGCATCTTGAATCCTTACAAATACATATAATGTAGGAACTCGGCTTCGTCGACAGGAGAAAATACGGGGCTTTCCGATTTTGTACATAAGGAGCGAGGCGAGCGGCTCGGCCAAATTCCGCCGACTTGCAGTCTTGCAGTTCCACAGTCCCGCAGTCCCGCAAATTGGTTCCGTATTGTTCCTCGGCTGCCGCCAGCTCTTTCCATGCAGCGAGCTAGCTACCTAGTCTGTGCGACCTGGCATTCTGTGTCTGTGTTCCCTCAATCCGACGTAAATTGATGCAGCTGTCCAAAGTGCGGTGTGGCCTCTTCATTGGACAGCGTGCGAAAAACGGACCCTGCAACATGCTGCTTGGTAAGATGGACAGCTTGGCTTCTGCTTGGTTTTATTCCGCCGAACTAATTTGGGGCCGCCTGCTCCCTCTTGTCGGCCCCTTTCGGGGGCTGGCCAACCAGGATGCTGAGTTCTGGCGACCGACCTGCTGAGAGGCCTTTCTACCCTTTCCAAGCACTCCAGCCCTACCAGCTTGGCACCGCACCCCTGCGAACCTGACGGAGTCGCTGCAGCCCTACGACTCCCGTACGGCCCTGTGGGACGTCAGTGACCCGCTAACTCCCTTCTCCTCCTACGCCTTACGCCTTACGCACTTGCGGCGCCCCCGGCGGTGCGACTGTGAACTGTGCAGTACCTTCTTTTTCGAGGAGCCAGCCGGTTCTGATCCTATGGGAAGGCCTTATTGGCGAGCCGACAACGCCGCTGCGTCGAATCCAACCCCAGACTTGCTGCACCCGAGATTTCAAGGACGAGCCCAGGATTTGCAAGCCCACACGCACCTCATCAAGCAAACAGGTTTTGATATCGCAGCCTCTCTTCTCTGACAGTCGTAGGCCTGGGACTGGACTGGCGGCGTATCTCGGGGCTCGGTCAACCCAAGACGTGCTGCATGGAGCGCGGGCATGAGGCTACCACTACTGCACGGCCTGCTCTACTGCATGGCCCGCAGAGCTTTTACGCACAACTAGTGATTAATTCGTCACTGTCGTCCCATAAGCTGCTGCGATCCCTCACGTCCCCGTCGTAGCTCGCCTGAGGGCTCCGCTATCTGCCACGTCCCAGCCGTAATGGGTCTGGTCCCAACACGCAATTCCGCAGCGCACGCTTGCCAACTTTGAATATATCTTGCAAAGAGGATTGCACTCTAGTGATCCAGGGGGGCTGCGAGTGAGGGTGTAAGACTGGCGTGTGAGTCCAAGAGCGTGTGTGAGTGCGTGTGGTGTTGCGTCTGGATGTTAGGTGACGTGCCCTATCCTGCAGCCTTTCCAACCCGAGTCACCGGGCGGGATATAGGGATTGACTTGGAGGCCCTACTCCGTTGAACCGGATCCGTGGGCTTCCTCCAGACTGCCATAAAACCTCTGTCGGAACACGCCAGCCCAAACCCCCGGCCCGAAGTTATTTGTTAGTTGCTCTGTCATGCCCCATCGCCCTAACGCTGACGGCAACCATGGTGGTAAGTGACAGCGCCCCGTCCTTCTGTCTTGGCCTCGGTCTTCTGCTACAAGCTAAAACACAAATTACAAAAAGGGCGTAAAAGGAAAATATCGAGGATGTAATACCTGCCGCCTCCGCAGGGTCAAGGTACTTCCTTCCAACAAACTCTGTCGTGGAAACCCCCCCTCTCCGACTTGCAAGACTGACCTAGAGGCTTCGCCGTTGCTCGTAGTGCGATAACGAGCGACCGCTCTGCAAAAAGTGCCGGGACTCGTGAGTACTTTCTCTTGCCACAACGACGACGCTGTCGGGGTGATGCTAACTCGCAAAAGGGGCCGAGAATGCAGCTATGAACGGGAGACTGTCTTTATCATCGGAACCATCGAGGACGGCGGCCGCTGCTCCTCACACCCCCCTCGGGTAGTCAAGTCATCAAAAAAGGGGAAGTCGTCGTCGAGAGCCGACGAAGATAGGCTGGAACTCACTTCCACAGAGCCTCTGCAGCCAGCCTGGGACGACCTGGTCTCAGTCTTAAACCGTGGAAAGGGCCAGCACCAAGTCCAGATTGCCGCCGTCCACACGAATCTGCAGGGGATAGTGCGAGGGCCGGCTGGAGCCTGGAGTGGCGACGACGACGACGACGGAGAGGGTGACGAAGGAGGCGGTGGAAGCGGCAGTGGCGGCGGCAGTAGTAGTATCACCACCAGCAGCAACAAGTTCTCCTTTCTCCACCTCCCAGCCTACCGGACTCCCGACGTCCAGCCCTTCATGAGCCAAGACGACTTCCAGCTGAAATCGCAGGCCGTGGTGCACCTTGCTCCCCAAGAGGACAGCCAGTCGGACACCATGTCGGCAACGGCAGACAGCATATGCCTGTTCCTCTATGAGCACAACCACTCCGTCTTCTCCAGCAACCAAGCCCCGTGGAGAGACCCGTCGATACAGAACAATACCGTGCGGCGGCTGGGCCCCGACAGCTTCCGCTCGTTTCCCAACCACCACTTCTTTGTCCGCGTCTATCGGCACAATGCTGCAAGTTTTCTTTCCTCTATTCTTCTCCCTTTTCTTTCTCTTTTCTTGGTCTCCTTGCTTCTGTTTTGACACATTTTCTAACTCTCCCGATCAGATCTGTGCCGCTCTTCTGAACCGAACACCGATTTTCCTCGCCAACCCGGAATGGATGGCTACGCCGTGGGAGCTTCACCCCAAGACCTTCTTCGACCGACTCCTCGACATTCTGGTGTCGTTGCCCGCTGTGCTGGCGCGGTCGGACCGCATTCTGTCCCAGGAGCAGACCATGGGGCGGCGGTTGATGGCCCAAGACCTGTTAATCAACTGTCTCAACATTGAGCGGCAGCTCGACGAGTGGTACACGGCGGCCACACACCAACCAGGAGCCTTTTGGGTGCAGGATCCGTTGGACGCGGCGGCTGCGGCGGCTGCGGCGGTGGCAGCAACAGGAGGAGTAGGAGGAACAGCAGCCTCGTCGTCTTCCCCACCGCCTCCGGTCATCGTGGACAACATTCCGTTTTGCGACATGTACGGGTTCCGAGACGGCGTGACAGCCATCATGTTCATCTACTACTGGATGGCGCTGGTGTTGTTCTACCCGTGCATTGAGCGGTTGTACTGGGCCATGTTCGAGCCCGTGGTCGACGGGCCGATGCCGCAAGCCATGCCGGTGCTGCCGGCGCACCTACAGCAGGTCAACCCGGCGCGCTACAGCGCCAAAGAGGTGCGCGAGCTCGCCGTGCATATCTGCCGCAGCCTCGACTTTGCCCTCTCGGCCACGGTGCAGCCCGACATGCTCGTCGCCCCGCTGTTCATTGCCCGCCAGTTCTTCGAGCAGGCGGCTGCCGTCGCTGCCGCCGGCGACCTCCTCCTCCACCACGACAACCTCGTCCTTGCCGACAACCGTCTCGAGCTCATGTGGTGCGACGGGTTCCGCGCCCGCCTCGAGGCCAAGGGCCAAGACTTGCTCGACGTTGTTCAGACTAGGCGGTGGCAGGACCTGGCGTCGTACTGATTTGATCTGATTGAGTTTATAATGCGGATGTCAGTTCCCCTTTTTTTGTGCTGGAGCCGCCGCTCCAGGCTGGGCCTGGAGTTTGGGCAGCCTTGGCTACGATACTTTACGCAGGGAAAAAAAAGGAGACCAAAAGGGGTTGCTGGTGCTCTAAGCAAAACTTGCTTTTCCTTGTCTCTTTCTTCTCTCTGGAACCTTGCTCTAACGTCTGTTACTGACTTCTTTCTTTTGCTTTAACATCTTTATGGTTGGCATGTCCGGGACGAAATTACAAAAGTGGGAAGGGGGGCGCTGCACTTCCTCGCCCACCATGTTTGCCTTTCTGCGTTGGCTTTTCGCCAGTTTAGCTTGTGAGCAAGAGGAAAAGAAGAAGGGAAGCAGCATGAGCGAGCTGATGATTCGGATATCTTGGGAGGATATATGGGTACCGGTAGATGGCGAAGGAGTATCTAGGGAATGGTGCTTGCTATTGGTGATTTTAGTTCTGGGGAAATGATATCCTTATGCTTTCTGCCTGCCAACTACTTGCTCAAGGACTAACTAACCTTGCTGTCTTGGCTCTGGATAGAAGCACTCGTTAATGCAAGGTACCAAAGTCAAATATTTGGCCACGTCCTCCTCTGCTCCGGATTTCCAAACTTAATTACTGTGCTCTGTCTTAGTAAGAGCCCAGAGCTAAAGATGGGCCTTGCCTTCTACCTTGCCCAGCACCTTCCACAGCCCTTACGCTCGTGCCACTGTGGGCCGTAAGGTTCTTCTTGCAGTCTTCATGCCGCGGCCACGACAAGCCTTCCTCGCCGCGCTGCAATGGATGCATGGCACAGCGGTGCCGTCCATTTATCCGAGTCTTTCTGGATTCTTTCTGGCTGGAACCCTGGACCGGTCTCTAGCAATAGGAGAGACAGCAGCCCAGAATACCGGCTCTACCTCGCCCCTGGACTTGCTGGTAAGGTCTTGGTGCCTGGCAGTTGATATACCGCGGTGTGGTGTACCCGATCCGATATTTGTTTTTAGCAAACTCTCTGTTCTGTCTCCTGTCCTCCCGTCTGTCGAGTCCAAAACCATGTCTCTCTTCCACCACCGCAGCCCAGGGTCGCCAACAAACCATGAACACAAAAAGTGGTTTACGCATGCCTTGAAGGGCGTGGCGAGGGCCTTCTCCCCACACCACCACCGCCGCCGCCATCCCCACCACTACGCCCGCCTCCTCACCTCGTCCTTCTCCCTAGCCGACCACGCCGTCGTCGACTGGGACGGCGGCATGCAGCGGAGGAACCTGAGCGCCGACAGCGTCAGCGAGTCCCATGTAAGCAAGTACATACCCAAAGACAACGCATGGCACAGACGGTTCCGGGATGGGACGCATTGGTGAAGACGCTGACCGCGTGGCCCAGCTTCATCTCATATCCCAGGGCGGGCGGTACGACGGCAGCATGTCTATGAGCACGTCGCGCCAACCTTCTGGGTCCGAGCTAGTAGTACGCAGCCACCCTCCCCTGTCTAGTAAGTCGGCGTAGTCTAGATAGACCAGCCAGTCCTACATTCTTCGGCCCGCAGGGCACACAGCTGGCTGACTTGCCGACTCTGCAGGCATATATTCGGTATCGGACTCGGCCTTCTCCCACACGTCGGGCAGCTCAGCGGACCTGCAAAAGGTGAGCTTCGACGCCGAGTCGCTGCTGAAGCTGTCGGACTCGGTGCGGCGGTGGCTCTCGGAGGCGGGGCACTCGGGCCCGGACTCGGACCGGCTGACTATGTTCCTCGAGAACGCGCTGGCCGAGGAGGCGCGCGGCGTGTCGCCCATCGGCTTCGAGGCCATCAAGCTGGCGCGCCTGGACAAGATGGTGGCGGAGCTGGTCGACTGCGCCAAGCGCGGCACCATCGTGTCGGCCAAGTGCCTCAGCGACTCGGCCGCCGCCGACAGCCTGCTGCGCGCCTGGCGCGCCCGCTTCAAGGCCCAGTACTTCATGATGGACGAGATCCGCACCGCGGACCTGGCCACCACTGGCCGCCTCGAGGGCGTCGCCTTTGTTGCCCCGGCCCCCGGAGCCCCCGGCGCCTGGAAGGTGACGGACCCAAACCCCAGGCCGCACCTCGGGAGCAATCTCAATCTCAACTTTGAAGCCGGGTACTGGGCCTTGAACATCGCGTGCGCGCACCGCGATAGTCTGGTTGCCAGTGATTCTCAAAAAGTCACGACGGGAAAATACGGCCTTTCAACGTTGCCCTTGCTGACGGGAAAAGAGGACCTCTTCGAAGGCAACCAGTTGAGATACACCTTTGAGGGAACCCTGAAGGACATGCACGTCTCGCTCATGACGAAGGTCGGAAGACAGATTCGCATCTTGAGGGGGTACCAGCTGAGGAGTCCCCACGCCCCGTCGGCCGGCGTTCGCTATGATGGCTTGTAAGTTTTTGGTGGCTAGTCCACGCTGGAGTGGGGTGACGAGATGTAATTGACAAGACGCTGCTTTTACTTTCTGTGTCTAGGTGGAAACTCACGAACTACCGCCACAAGCTCGACCTCAGCACGGAGATATACCGCCTTGAGCTGACGCTGGCGCGCGTCGACGGCCAGCCTCCCATGTCGGAACTCGCCAGGATCCCCACGCCGTCGCAGCTCGACGACTGGCACCTGTACGAGAAGCTCGAGGCGGACAAGATCAGGCAGGCCACGGGCGAGCAGATGGCCTTCCAGTGGAAGGTGCAGAAGGAAGCCGACCGGCTGGAGCGCGAGCAGTGGAAGCGCGTCCGCGAGTTCAGGTCGAGCATCAGCGTAGGAGGGGGGACCACGGTCGGAGCAAGCCCAGGGGGGGTCAAGCGCTCGCCGTCGGCTACTTCTGCTACTGCGCCTGCGCCTGCGGAGGCGACGGCTGCGGCGACCGGAACTAGCAAGACGATGAAGAGCGCCATGAAGCTCACGCTGCCCCCGGCCGCCGCACACGCCCTAGCCAAGGCGAACGGGGAAAAAAAGGGAAAGAATGCCACCGCCGCCGCCGCGGGCGGCAGGAGGGCCGTCATCGACACTAACCAGAACAAGGAATACTCGGCCCGGAGGATTGCCGAGGGAAGCGAGGGGTGAGAAGAAGCCTCTGGTGTCATATGATAAGTTATCGTTACTTGTAAATGTTTCTTTGATACTTGGAAGTTTTTTTGTTGCAACTTTTGTTTCAACCTGTCTGTGTGTATGTTAGCGTAGTACCTAAAGATCTAGTATTAGGATGTTTTTGGTTGAATCATCTGCTTACCTGCTTTGTTGACCAGGTTTTTTCCCTCTCAATGCATTGCTGTGGTTTATTGTCTTTGGTTAACTGACTGTTGGTTTCCAAGCTCTCTTCTTAATACATCATTGCGAGGAAATATTTAATTCTCGTGCAATTTATGTGGACGGTTGGCTGTCTGAAAAGTAGTTCCATGGGACCTGAGAGCTCTAATGTTTTGTGAGGTGAAGTTGGTGTTGGCTTTTCTTTTTACCCCTTCTGCCCCTATTCTGTGTGATATAAGTGGTTGCGACTTTTCGGCTTAGGAGATTTTTTCTTCATCTTGATTCATTTCGGAAAAGGGGGTTTTTTTTTAATTTAAACTTTTAAGTATGGGCCTTGGATCCATCTCGAATATTTGTGTTCTATTTGAAAGGCAAGGTACATAGACATCTATGTGCGGAAGGGTTAGGGTTAGGGTTCAAACCGTCCGGGCCGCTTATTTTATGGCACGGGGTCGGGGTCTGGGCCGATGGCATTTCAATCCCCCCACCCCACGCCACCTCGAAAGCTCAAAAGCTTCAAAGTCGACAGAGAGAGAGAGAGAATAAAAGGCGATAAAACCGCCAGACAAGAGAAGACCCTATCACACGTTCCATTCTATCGAGGTTTCTTCATTCCTTAGAAGAAGAAGAAGAAGAAGAAGAAGAAGAAGAGAAAACAATCCCCTTACGAAAACCAAAATGGCCAAGAAAAAGGAAGACCCGAAGAAGCAGCCGGCGGCCGCGAAGCCAGGAAAGGGCGCCAAGGACAGCAAGGACAGCAAAGGCAAGGGCGGCGGCGGTAAGGACGCAAAGAAGACCGACAAGAGCGGCGACAACAACACCGCCGCCGCCGCCAAGGGCGCGCAGACCATCACGGTGCGGCACATCCTGTGCGGCAAGCACTCGCGTAAGGAAGAGGCTCTGGCCAAGATCAACGCCGGCGAGAGCTTTGCCGACGTGGCCCGGGAGTACTCGGAAGACAAGGCTCGCCAAGGTAAGAGAGACATACACACCACCACACTTACCGCGAATTCATATATATTCAAACCATGGCCTGGGCCGCCCAGACCGCTTGCTGCTTGCTTGTTACTCATACAATCTGCCCATTCTGCGCCTCGATTAGGTGGTCTGCTCGGCAAAAAGACCAAGGGGTCCCTCGAGGCCCCCTTCGAGGAGGTCGCATTCAAGCTCCCCATCGGCCAGGTCGGCGAGGCCAAGACGGTACACGGCTACCATTTGATAGTTGTCGAGCACAGAGAATAAGCACTTTCACACCACGAACAAGCAACCGCACAGTTCCCGCTTTAACGAGGTTTATTCTTTTTGCTTGACTTTTTCCAGATCGTTCCCTATGTAGACCACATCTGGGGCCCTCATGCTCTATGCCCGAAAAGAATGCTCAGCCTTAGAGTCTGTACATGTGAAGCAGCCCTGGACACGAGACCGGAAAGGGGAACATCGTACTCCTTGAATGATATTACCGTCCCAGAAACGCCCCGTCGCCGGTAGATCGCCTAGTTCTCGTTGAAGTGCGCCAGGAGGATCTAAAGGACAAAAGTTAGTCTCATGTCTCGTCCGCGACATTGTTGGGGGGAGGCGACCAGAACATACATCTCTCTCGCTGGACGACTCGCCCCAGTTCGTAATCACGACGCACGAGCAGTTGACGACCTTGCGGGCGTTACCCTCGCGATCCAGGACGCCTGACAAAACCTGTTAGCAAGCAGCCTGCATGCCGAAAACCAGTTTAGAGGTACTCACAGAGACCAGCCCACTCGCCGAGCTGCTTTCCATCGGGAACCTTGATGAGGGGGATCTTGTGCTCGGAGCAGAGGGCAATGACAAGCTTCTTATACGCCTCCTCCTCGCAAGCCTCGTTAAGGACGCACAGATGCGCCTGGCGGCGATCCAGAGCCTTGGACGCCTCGCGCAGACCGCGGGCAAGACCGTCGTTGATCAGAGCCACCTTCAAGACACCCTTGAGGGCGTCCAGAACGGACATCTGGCCCTTGGGGGCGGCATCGGCCGAAACCTCGACCTCCTCGGGGGCGTTGTTCTCTTCTACGTCCGACTGCGGAGACAAACACGTATTAGCGGAGCCATCTTCCTCTCAAGCCAATTCGTTCTCTGGCGACAGGCGTTGCTCGGGGGCGACGCCGTTGTCCTCAACTACGTCGGTTGCCTAAGGGGGGCGAAAGATACAACCGCCCGTCGGCGAGTATCGAGCTCGGGCTAGGCATCATGGGAGAAAAACTGTGTGCAGCTTCATTTAAAAGAGGGGTAGGGTCTTACCATCTTGATGTTGTGATTTCAAGTAAGGTGTCGGAAGCGATCCTCGAAGAGTTGTAGGGTGATACCTTTTTCTGTCTATGAAGGCCTCGGAAGAAGTTCACACACCGACAGCGGGCAAATTGTGCGTTGGACAAATAACCCCCGCTAAATTTTGCTGGCAGGCTGTGCGCTAGTCTTAATAAGCACTAGCGCAACCCATAGAGCTCGCGATTAGGGCTGCACACACCGGTTTTCATTGGCACGGACCACCACAGACTTCCTCAATGGCCTCTGGGTTGAATTTATCTTTTCCTCGAGCCCCGAAATTGAACATTCTCCGATTCCTCAATCACCAAATTCGGCACCAGCGGCGCGACATTGAGGTATGTTGATCACACGCTCAACGATGATATGACAATCAGGCAATGCCTTTCGCGAAGGCCGAGGAGAGCAATCAGAGATGTCGCAGGCTGCAGCCCTTGAGCTGCACTGAGAAATCCCCATAGGCGATTGGGACTCGCGGGCTTCGTCGAACATTATAAACATGGCGGCGGGAGAGGGGCGTCCTCTGGCACTCGACAGGGCTGCTGCGCGCCGTATCTGATACGCTTCTCCTCAACGGCAACTGAGCAGGCTGAACCCTCTTTGAACTTGTCAATGAGGGCACTCTCCATGCTTATCTGGCCTCGGGAAGGCTGACGGTTAGCGATCTGACAGACACCTCATCTCCCCCCTTTGACGATTTGAGAATCTCTCCGCAACTCAACCGCAACCATGGTCCGCACCTCCGTTCTGCACGATGCACTCAACAGCATCAACAACGCCGAGAAGTCCGGCAAGCGCCAGGTCCTGATCCGCCCCAGCTCCAAGGTCATCGTCAAGTTCCTTGAGGTTATGCAGCGCCACGGTGAGTCGCCCCTATACCCTCTTGTCTCTGTCGTGTAAGATCCTCGCAGCCAGCCAATTCCCTGCCTCAAACATTCGGCATGATAACTAGACGGTGGTCTCAAAACGCCCCACGATTGCTGTCCTTTAAGTTGCCGATATATTAAACACCATGCGAGGATCTTACACGTTTTCGGAGTTAACACATGACGACCAATGTTTATATTCTTGCAACATACTGATGTTTTGCGTTCAGGATATATTGGCGAGTTCGAGCAGGTCGATGATCACCGCTCCGGGAAGATCGTTGTCCAGCTCAACGGCCGGTGAGTGCTTCTTGCCCCTGATATACTCGTCAACCAGAGCTAACTCTTTGTGCCTTAGCCTTAACAAGTGCGGTGTCATTTCCCCCCGCTACAACGTCCGTCTTGGCGAGCTCGAGAAGTGGGTTGTCAAGCTTCTCCCTGCCCGTCAGTTCGGCTATATCATCCTCACCACCTCGGCCGGAATTATGGACCAGGAGGAGGCCCGCCGCAAGCACGTCTCTGGCAAGATTATTGGGTTCTTCTACTAGACTAGACTTTGGGTCGAAAGGGGCAGAAAATGATGAAAATATGACGAGTATGGCATACTGAATACTTGTGGCGTTGATGGCGTGAGGGCTGATACCATTTTGATTTGAAATGGGCATCAAAGGGAATACATTTTGTGTCTCAATACGTTGCAGATATCGCGCCCTGAAGTGATCAGTTAACCTCTGCCTCTGAATTTCAAAGCTAATCGTAGAGTAGCTAATGTGAAGTATATTACCGTTCTCTTGACTATCGATAATTAGATTACTTTCGGGTCGCGGGCGAGGCCGTGGGGGTGAAGGAAGGTAATTCTGTTTGTCATTTACAAGATCGCGAGGGGGACGGAGACGGAGTTCTCCGTACCGCCGACGCAGTGGATGTAATCCTAAATCCAAGTGGTTTGCTCTTTCCCTAATTTTATTGAGCTGGTTACGATTATCCGAAGTGGGGAGTGCCCTCACTATGAGGTATATCATCGGTAAATTATACATACAATCCGTCCCGTTCCTACCGAAGGTCCTCTGTACATATGTGCATGTCCTCAACGGATGCAGCCGCCTGTCGTAGCCCCTGCATCCCCAAGGCCTCACACTTAAAGGTGATGCGTGGTTTTGTATAAATGATATCGGCGGCCCGTCACCATTGACCCAAGTCAACGCCATATTTTATGGTGCTTTATTTTCTCGAGTTTACGAGGAGAAGGTGTAGCTTGTAAATAGGGTTAAGGTTCTTTGCAAAAGTAAAGCCCTGGCCAAGTCTTCTCTCGTCAGATGTGTTTTGTACTGGTACCTCCAGAATACCCTGACAACGGCCTGGGCCCGCAGAGATAAGGTGGCCGGTAGATTACAGGGGTGTATCACTGCAGTATAGTACATGCAGCATGCGACAGGCAAGCCACTTACACACGGAGCTCAATCCCCTATCCCGCCTTTTCTTCAATGGCCCAGTCTGTTGTTGCGGCGCATGCCGCATTTTGGGCCTAGAACTAGCAGTCGCCAAGTCGCATCCAAGCTAAACTGGAACTCGCACGTCTTGGACGGTGACAATAGGCTCCTCCTGGCGCATTCGACCCGCCCCCCCTCGACCCGACCAGGCACGGTAAAAGGATTTCAGATCTCGCATTCTTTTTCGCTCCAATGCCATCCGACGGCTCGTTGGCAGCAGGAACACGACGAGCAGCAGAGCGCCCACGCCGAACGACCACAACAGCAATAGCGGCGATAGCGACAACAGCAGCAGCACACGGCCTGCGGCATCGCAAGACACGGCTAAAAGGAGGGCGGCCATAATAATCCTGATATATATCCGTACAGCCTTGCTTGCCTCCAGAGCAGCCTCGTGCGCCAATCGACCACGGCGAGGTCGGGCCGCGCTGCGTGACGACTACGAGGCCAAGGTGCGAGGCGCCTCCTATTTATTACCAATACCTACCTACGTATTTTCTTTCCCCCTCCAGGATGCGGTCACGCCATCTCGTCGGCGTTACCGCGCTGCTGTTTTTCGCCGTCTGTCTATACTCCTTCTCCCGGTCCCGGTCCACACACAACTTGGGCGGCCCGCATGCCACACCCTTGAGTGCCAACCGCAATCCCAACCCGCGGCCCAAGCCAGCCCCGGCGAGCTCCCACCCGATATGGCACCTGATCAACAATGCCGAGCGCGATTTCGAGGCAGTCAAGGCGCGTCAGTCGCGCACTCTTAGCCAGGCCGTGGCCGAGTACCGCCGCCGCTACGGCCTGCCCCCGCCTCCCAACTTCGACAAGTGGTGGGCCTTCGCCAAGAGCAAGAATGTGCAACTAGTCGACGAGTTTGACACTATTGCCGACCTCTTGACGCCCTTCTGGGGGCTCAAGCCTGCCACCATCCGCGCCCGAGCCAAGGAGGTGCTCGGCTTTCCCAACGCTGTCATGGGCGTAGCTATCCGCGGCGCCAACGTCTCCCACATCGCCGGCGGCTTGGAATGGCAGCAGGATGCCACCCGCGGCATGATTGAGCCCTTTCTCCAGTTCCTGCCCGACATGGACCTAGCCTTCAACTGCAATGACGAACCCCGCGTTGTCGTCCCCCACGACGACATGTCGAGGCTGGTCAACATAGCCCGCACCGTCAACATACCTGCTGCCAGCTCTATGCGCCGCTTGAGGAACGAGTTCACCAAGAGCCCCGAAGGCCTCAACGACGGCCTCCGCTTCGACGAGACCAAGCTCACCCGCTTTAACGAGTTCGCCCACCAGCCCACCTGGACGCACTCACGCTCCTCGTGCCCGCCAGACAGCCCCGCCCGCGTGCTTGACGACGCCGACCGAGTCGACGACGTGAGCAAGTACGGCCTGAGCGAGCTGGGTTTCGTCTACAACGCCACGGCAATGTCCGACATTTGTCTGACGCCGTCCCTGAGCGAGACCTTTGGATTCTTTGACCGCCCCAATGCCTACAGCGTTGTGCATGACCTGTTCCCCATCTTTTCCCAGTCCAAGATCTCGTCATACAATGACATCATCTACCCCTCGCCCTGGTACTGGGCCGACAGGGTGGAATACAAAGAGGGCAAGGATCCGGCTTGGGCCAACAAGAAAGACCAGCTGTTCTGGCGCGGCTCGACGACGGGCGGCTACAGCCGCAACGGCGGCTGGCGTCGGCAGCACCGGCAGCGCGTCGTCAGGAAGCTCAATGCGGGCGACCAGGCCAAGGTCCTGACCAACGAAGGCTCCGAGACCAGCCAGCGGTGGGCCGTCAAGGAGGTGCCGCGCGGCGAGTACAAGCAGGTCATGGACGTGCACTTCTCGCACATTGGCCAGTGCGACCAGGGCGACTGCGACGCCCAAAAGGACTTTTTCGGGCTCGAGGACCGCATCGACCAGGAGGTGCCATACCAGTACAAGTACGTCCTCGACCTCGACGGCAACGCCTTCTCGGGCCGCTTCTACGGCCTGCTGCGCAGCCGTAGCCTCGTCTACAAGTTTGCCATCTTCCGCGAGTGGCACGCCGAGTTGCTGCGCCCCTGGGCCCACTACATCCCCATGAGCCCGCAGGGCGACGACTGGCTCGAGGCTGTGCGCTACTTCACCGACAGCACCCTAGGTAAGAAGGAGGCCGAGCGCGTCGCCATCCAGAGCCGCGACTGGGCCAACAAAGTCGTCCGACGCGAGGACATGGAGGTGTGGTTTTTCCGCCTGCTGTTGGAGTATGTATTACCCATTCACTCTTCTCTTCAGGCATCGGGTGGTGAAGCCGACTGACCCCACAACAGATACGGCCGAGTCATTGATGATAACCGAGAGAGTATCGGCTTCACATGAACGATCTCACTCACGACATATTCCGCTTTGGCTCCCCCTGTTTATACGTCTCGTATACCATTCCCCGGACCTGGATATCTTACCTACGCCTATACCTCTCAACACCCCTCCTGCCCAACTAGATACCCATCCATTCATTCATCAATCCCAGCGCCGGACAGCACCCAAATGGAAACAGCACCCAAATGGAAACAGCACACTTAAAACACGAACACTATAATCGAAATCTGGACACACCGAGACTTGGATTTTTGTAAAACTGCCTCTGGGACAAGGTAAAAAAGATGGAGGAATGGGATTCCTCTCTGAAACCCGATTGGAATAACTACATAATGAGCTTACCCCCCGACACGTGTGGAAGCATGATAACTGTTTTTTGTTATCATCGCACGGGCAGCGCGGAGGACGAACGATGATAGTGGGAGAGAAGAACAATTCTTGTATAAGAAAGGAAGATGGCATCTCCACGGGTTTTATTCTTATTTATTTTTCGCTCGCTGCAGCGAGAGCAAAAAGGCGTTTTGGCGGCGTTGCGTTGCCTCCTCGTCTGACGAGACGAGACGAGATGAGACGATATCAGAGTGACGACACTGGATAGAATTCTGTGCCCATAGAAAGGTGTGTGGGAGGAGAACCGTTGGGGAGGGGAGTTTATTTTCCCTTTAGTTTGTCCTTTTCTCTCCATTTTCTTTTTTCACACATAGCATTTGGATGGGCGTTGTATGGTTGTTTGGTTGATCGTTTTTCTTTCTTGGTTTTGAGGATGCCAACTTTCCATGAGGCTATCTCTCTATCTAAACTATCGGACTGGGCTGGGCTGGACTGGACTGGATGAAACGGGCTAGGATACCGAGATGCTGGATACGACTTCAATGCTATCTACTATCCTATCTACCATGGGCGTGCGGTGACTATGTGACTATGTGTTTGTAGCTACTGTGTCGACCGGTGTAAGGATACAGAGCTAGATATATGGATACGTGAACTTAAATAGTTAGGTGAGACATAAAGGAGCCTAGCAAAAGGGAGGCTTCTATGTCGTGCGCGGAATGGTATAGAACAATACGTACATCAGTCTGTGACACCTCACTTACACGAGCACACAACCCAATCCCTAAATGTTAGTTAGTGGAAGACTTTCCAAGATTTGAAAGGCCTCCGTTCTATACGGCTCGCCTTGTAGGTTTTCCGCTGATAGAGGTGAAAGCTACTAGTAAAAGCTACTAGAATCCCTGTTTTGTAATCTTGGTGGCCTATCTCTTCAAAATACCAAGGCTTTTCCTGGCCGGTTTATTTGCTGTGCTATAACATTTATTCTGCCCAAGTACCAAGTCAACAAACATGCAGGGATTGGAGTGTAGCACGTATCTACACGTATAATTACCTCGTGCTCAAACATCTAGTCCTAGGGCGCAACATGTAACGTCTTCGCCCAATATTACTTGGCATCAACATTTGAACTTCGAAGTAAGGGGGAAAGCACCTGTATTTCATAAAGCAAGGATGAGAGCAAGACAACGCAGCTAACGCAACAGGCCACCCGTGATATTCCTTTGAGCAATAAAAGACATGCAAACGTTCGTCTCTTCAGCAATGCCGGACATTTCCCCGTCCCTGTCGTTATACACAAACGCACGTGATAAGACATGATTTCTGATAGTAGTCAAGCGCACACGCACTAAGGGTTAGCCCTCAGTACTCGAAATCATCATCCACGGCAGGACCCTTGCTCTTGGTAACGCTCTCCTGCTTGCGGTACATCTCAGCCACCTGGCGGCTGGTAGTCGCCTCGTCGGGTTTCTTGTCGTCGCGGACCTTGATGAAGCGGGGGAAGCGAAGACTGATGCCCTTTTCGCTGGCGGGGTCGACACCCTCCTTTATGCCCGCCTTGTAACGAGGGCTCAGCGTCAAGTCGGCCGTCTTGACCTCCCAGACGAACCGCGGTTCAAACCAGACGTCCGGCTGGTGCTGGCCGCCAGAGCTATGAGAGTAAAAGGGCTTGGGCCGGTCGATGACCGTCTCCGACAGAGCCTTGTGCAACTCCTCAAGCACGGCCTCACTGAAGCCCGTGCCGATGTTGCACACTGTCTCGTACGTGTCCGTTGACGGACTGTAGCAGGCCAGCAGGAACGCCCCGTAAACCGAAGTACGCTTGCCCTTGCCGTAATAAGCCCCCAAGACGACCAAATCCAGCGAGTCTCCTATCCCAGATAGGTAGTCCTTTTTGATCTATATAACAAAAAATTATTAGCCGATAATATTGCGAACCGATTTTGGTCACTCACCTTTAGCCAATTCCGACTGCGTTTGCTAGGCTCGTATCCGCTCTCGGTGCCGTCCAGCATCTTGACCATCAGGCCCTCGCACGACGCCTTGACCGACTCATCAAGGAATGTCTGGATCTCGTCTAGCTCCTGGCCGTCCATGCTTGTCGCATACGAAAACTCGCCCTCGACCTGCTGAAACGACTGGCGGAGAAGCTCACGACGTTCTCGGAGCGACTTCTCCACGATAGACTCGCCGTTCAGGTAGAGCAAGTCAAACGCAAACACGCACACCTTGATTAACACGTCCTCGATCTTGACGTCCTTCTTCTTTCTTGTCATGAGCTGCTGGAAGGGCAAGACCTTCTTCTCAACGACATCCCATGCCACCGACTCGCAGTCCAGGACGAAGCTCCGGGTATCCTCCTTGACCCATGTGGCAAGTTTCGCAAGAACGTCGGGATACTTCCTAGACAGATCTTCCGAGTTCCTCGAGAAGATGGAAGCAACGCCACGACCAACCTCTGTGCTAGCGCTTGGCAACGACTGGCTAAGCTCCTCGTCGGCATCCTTGGCGACGTAATGGATCTGGGCTCTCTCGCCATCGTACTTGTACTCGCATGTGAACGTCTGCCCTTCGAAGCGATCGAGGACTTCGGTGATGGCCTTGGTAGGCTTGGCCAACATGGGCTTGAGAGGCACCCCAGGCCGGAGCTTGCAGTGCTCGCGCAAGTTCATGATGCCGTGCTCAACCATTGCCGGGATGATGAAATCGTAGCTTGGAAGCTCGCTAGTGGGCTTGTAGTCAGTAGGTGGCCATGTCATGCGATGGGGCGTTTGCACAAACCTGTAGACAGTCTTGAGAATGGCCTCAGCCTTCTCGATATCAGCGGTGCTGGGAACCTGGTCCTTCTCGGCGGCCTCGTGGGCTACGATAGCATGGGCTAGCGAGACAAGAACTGTCCTTTCGGCAAGACCGAGCCTTAACTTGCCCTCCAGAAAGCGGACAAGATACTTGGCCTCGCTGGGGCCGCCCTTGTCTTTAGTAATGTCTACCTTGCCAGATGAGTTGGCATCCGCTGCCGAGAGCAGCTTCTTGATACCATCCACCTTCCTGCCCTGGGCGCCGTTACCCGTGACAGTAGCGATATTCATAAGCCCCTTATGAACACCCTGTATGGTCAAGGCCTTGGGCTTGAACATGGTCGGCTGAGTGGAACGCGACTTCACCGCGACAAGACCAAGGTCTCCAATTTCCTTCTGATCTTGCTTGATGACGGCTAAACTGCGGCCCGTGGTCTCCCCTATCGCTTTCATGATAAGAGACTCGCCAATACCAAGCTCGATGCCAGCATAGTCGGGGGCGAGCTTATTTATCATTAGCAGCACCGTGGATAGGAGATCGCCAGGGGTAAGCCTCAGGACCTGGCGCAAAAACAGAGAGCAGTGCTCCATAATTATGAGCCTCTTGGTCGTGAGCTCGACGAGAGAGAAGGTCTTGCAGAGGGCAGCGTAAGGAACAGGCTCGCCGGGCTTCCAGTCCGGATAGGGGTCCTTGGTCTTGGAAGTTAGGGCGGCCTGGACCGTCTTGCGGACTTTGGCGGCTACCTCAGGCTTTTCTTCTTCGTCTTCGACGTCTTCGTCGATATCCTCTTCAACTTCAGACGCCGGCTCGGAGGCAGCCTCTTCAACTTCTTCCTTCACAACTGGCGCCGGTGGTTTGGGGCCCTTTAACTGCGGGGCTTTTGGCGCGGGGGCTGCTTTCTTAGATTTGGGGGGAGGTTTTGTCTTAACCTTTAGCGAAGAAGCGTCGTCCATTGCCTCATCTTCATCGTCCTCCTCCTCGATGACACGACGACCTCTCCTGAGGCGCTTACTAGCGGGTGCGGCACTCTCGACATCGTCATCATCCTCAACAGCCCCTATGCTCTTCCCGTTGGGCTTGGACGGCTTAGTTGAAGATTTTCCGTTTGCCACTGTTGACCTTGACCTCTTCTTGCTGTCTTTACAAGAGGAAAAAGAAGTATTAGTTTCACGATCAATCATCTTTCAAGACACAGCGAGAGGCTCACCTTTGTCGGAATCTGTTGCCTCCTCCTTCACGCTCGGCTTCTCGCTAGGCTTCTCGACATTGCTAGAAACCACGACGTCGCCATCTGGTTTCGGCACATCCTCCTCAGAAGTAGCAGCAGCGGGTGCGGGCTTTTGGGGTTTGCTGGAGGCATTGGTTGAAAAGGAGAGCGTGGTCTGCTGCGTCGGGACAGGCTTTGCGGTGGCTCCGTTGGCCTTGCTGAAGAACTTGCTGCGCGATCGACAGGCAATGTCAGCCAAGCATTCTACTTACACACTACATCGCGACTGGACAGCATGAGGGGAGGGAATTGGAAGCTGAAGATGTGGGGGTGCGCGCAAAGAAGGCGGCAGGCGGCTTTGGCGGGGAAGGGACACACCCCAACGTTGTCTGCGAGGATTTCACGTACCCCAGCGTGGCCTGCTGCTGCTTCTTGGGGGGCATTTTGATGAGCAGATTTCGGGATGCACTCGTTGCAGCTCGGAGAAAGTGCCGTGAAGCCACGATTACTGCAGTGGTGGACCTTAAAGAAAGAGAGAACCTTCCCAACTGATGGAAGGCAGGCGTCGAGGTGGCTTTCCTGCTTCTGTTTGCTGGGCCAAAGTCGAGGCCAATCACTCTTTGGACGCGCTCATGACGCGACTTGAGTGAAGGCAGCAGCGACCCGCTCTCGCGTAAAGTGGCACAAGTCACATGCGCGAACCCCTGGACAACCGGGTACTGCTGCAGTCTGTAGCGTCAAGCCTAAGTAGGTTCAACAGCCACTACGGATGTCAACTGTCGGGATGCGCTAAAAATTGCTTTCACAGCTGCCAAGCACTCTAAACAGAGTAACGCCGACACTGAACTCTCTCCCTAAATTCACAATATCATGGTAAGACAGCCCAATTGACTCACTACACAGAGTATATAGCTTTTCAAAAGGACCATCCTGGGCGCAATTCAATTTCAGACTTTCCCAGGCTTCATCTATTGTTTACGAATTAGAGTACTGTACAAAAAAAAAAACACACACCCACGCTGAGCATTTCTGATAGGGCATGATGGATGGAAAATCGCGTTTCCTCAAGGTAGATTCCAAGTGGTATCAAAGAAAGCTTGATCTTGGCTTTTCGGGTTCGAGGGCTAACACGGGGCGCCCTCACTTCTCAAAATAGAAGGACTCGTCCAATGTGCGGCCCCGGATGAACTCGGGCTCAGTCCCCCGGACGTAGATGTCCTCAAACAGGATCTTGGGCATAGCGTCCGGCACTGCCATGGCCTCAGCAGCGGCCACCTCCTCGTTGACGTGGCTGCGCGCCTCCTTGTCAAGGCCCTTGAGCTCGTCCTCCTGAGCAACACCCCAGTCGAGGATGTGCTGCTTCAGGCCGGCGATGGGGTCGTTGGTCGACCGCATCCGCTGAATCTCCTCACGGGTACGGTATGTGGTGCCGGGATCCGACATACTGTGACCACCATACCGGTACGTCACATACTCGAGAACCATAGGGCCGTTCTCCTCCTCGGTCCACTGCTTGCCGTACTTAACAGCGGCCTTGACGGCGAGGACGTCCATGCCGTTGACCTTGAGTCCAGGAATGTACTGTCCGCGCTTGTAGTAGTCCGTCAGCGCCGACGAGCGGGCCGCCGACGTGCCCATGCCATACTTATTGTCTGCACGATTGTCAGCAACTGCAATTCCCCGGGAATAGTTCGCGCATTAGAATTTGGGCCTTACTCTCGCAGCCGAAGAGGGCCGGCAGCTTCCAGAGCTTCGCCATGTTGAAAGCCTCAAAGACCTGACCCTGGTTGCTGGCGCCATCACCTGAGTAACATTACAAAGTCAGCATTAGCTTTCCAATTGACACGCCTCAGTGGTTGTGGTTTCTCCTACCGTAGAGAATTACGGTGGCCCTCTTGGTGCCCGTGTACTTCTGGGCAAAGGCGAGTCCGGCACCGATGGGGACCTGGGCACCGACGATGCCGTTGCCGCCGTAGAAGCCCTTAGTGAACATGTGCATAGAGCCGCCCTTTCCGTAGGCGATCCCCTCACGCCGGCCGAGGAGCTCTCCGATGATGGAGCGGACGGTACCGCCGCGCATGTAGGCATAGCCGTGGCATCGGTAGGCGGTGATGAGATCGTCCGTCTTCTCGATCGCATGTTCAATTCCGACCGCGACAGCTTCCTGACCCGTGGAAAGGTGGCAGAACCCCCGAATCTTCTTCTCCTTGTATAGCCTGTCGGCGGCCATCTCCATTTGCCTAGCGAACCAAAAACAGCCCCGGTCAGCTCCGACGCACGCAATTGACGCAACTGTTGTTGCTCCGTCAGTCAGCAACTCGCACTGCAGCGGACCGCGTACCTGATGACGACCATGTCGTAGTACATCTGCTTCAGCTCCTTCTTGGTCACCTCCATTGTGTACGGCGGGGGGTCGAGCTCGTAGGTCTCGAAGCTCTCATCACTGAGCGTGACCTGGAAAGGCTCATCGTCGGACTAATCGGAGTAAGCATTAGATCGGCCCCTTATAAGATCGCTGCCGACGCTTGAGAGCAGACGGGAGCACGCAGCAGGAGCACAGGGAGGAAATATGGCGGGGGGTCCGAAAACACAGCATCGATTGATGGGACAGCTGCTAGCTGACGGATGCACTTCCACACACCTGGGGGACGGAGCTCTTGTCGACCTGCGCAGAGGCGGCATTGGTGGTGACAGTTCGCCTGGCCGCGAGGGAAGGGATGGGGGCGCGCGGGGCGGCCCGGAAGGGCGCTGCCCTTGTAAGTCGGACGGCTCGCGAGAACATTATGGTGTAATGGCGGAGGAATCGACAGGTGCACGGCGATGCGATTTGCGCGGTGTTCGGTTCGGACTGAGAAAAAAAGCGACCCGTTGGGGAAGCGACGGATGCTTGTTGAACGAGCTCAGGCAGACGCTAAGCCGGGTTTGGCGAACCGCAGGGTTGGGGGTCGGGAACCAATCGGAGCAAAGCTTTTTGAGCCCTTTTTTTGGTGGGGGCTTTTTTTGGTGAGTTTCTGCAACGCTAAAAGACCAGTGTTGAAACCGAACTTACTAAGGAATCAGGTATTTATTTTATTTTAGTCTTGGATTCCTCCGTACCTTAATTTTTTGTGTTATGAGATGAAAATTCAACCTAATACCGGTTCGGTCGAGCTCCAGGAGAGATAAAACCGCAGACGCTGGGTTAGTTCGGGCATTGGGAACCGAGTGCTGGCTCGCTACGACTTAACAGCCTCCGCGCTTACCACGGCAGTCAAACTTCTCTCGATCTTGCGGTAGTTGGGCCTTAGTACCTAGTATGCAATGTAGCAGAGACATAAATCAATATCAAGGAAGCTCCGAGACTTAAACCGCTTTAATGCAAAACAATTATTCCTGGGCTTGCCTACCTGGTATACTCATGTGGCCATATCCACTAGGTTCGGGATTCAAACATTGTCTGTCTTCTTGCGCTATGTAATACCATAATTGTGACTGACCTCCAAAACGCTGTTCCTGATATCTTACCAACCATGCTAATAACGCCGTAGCAATGCCTCCACATTCCCGCTCGTGTTTTGATAGACCAGAAATGCCTGTCCTAAGGATCCATATGCCAATGTGGGGATGGGCTGAAAGCCGATGAAAAAACAAAATAAAGATAAAATCAGACGAAAATCAGATAAAAGTTTATGCCCTAACATGTAGTTTATGTTTCGATCCGGTCTTTTTTAATCTCTCGGAAACGTCCCGACATCGGACGTCTTCATGCAATCGTTGTCGACCTTGATCCACTGCCTCACAAGTTCTCATCGTCATCGTTGAAGAAGTTAGTCCTAGATTGCTGTAGAGGAGCAGTGGACGGACCGGCATCGAGCATCTCCACGTCCTGCATAACGCTCCCGGACTTGTCGTAGTCGAGAGAGAAGGCACTCAGCGGCCTTTCAGGAACCGGCGCGTCTAATACCCTCTGAGGTAATGAAAAGGGCCGTTCATAAAGCACCTCATCGGGAGGAGAGAAAGACCAGACCTAAACACATTTGTTAGAGGGCTGATGCAGAATTGAGGTGGCTGGGTTTGCTTACCTCCATAACCGTTCTGCTGTTCTTCAGCGCCATGGCGACACACTTTTCCTCCTCAAAGGCAACGCGCCATACTGCTTCACCTTGGGTTATGAGTTCGCGAACAAGGTGGCCAGTCTTGAGATCCCAGACTTTGACTCGCCCATCGCTGCCACCGCTGACAACTCGCGTGTCGTCAAACTGCAGGCTGGTGACACTGTTGTCGTGCGCAGCGAGGCGGTGAATAGGGCAAAACCTCTCTAATGACCAGACTCTAACCGACCCATCGCTACCTCCAGTAACGAGCGTACCGCCACGCATTTGAAGTTGCCCGACGAGTGACGTATGGCCCTGGAGAACCGCCTGGCATTCACTGCATCAAGATTGTCAGCGGGTTGCTCACAAAACACAATCACCTAGAAAATAGGAAACCTACCCAGTAGCGGCATTCCAAATCCTGACACTCGTATCAAGGCTGCCGGTGGCTACTCTGTAGCCGTCAAAGGCGATTGCGTAAATCTGGCTGTAGTGTCCCTGAAGGGTGTGAAGGCAGCGGCCTTCCGATATGCTCCAAACCTTGGCCGTGGTATCGTAACTGCCAGAGACAACGATATCGCCCTTAATTTCAAGGCAGCGGACACTCGCCTGATGGCCCACAAGGACGTTCTTGCACAGCCCTGTTCGGATGTCCCATACCCGCAGAGTCGTGTCCCTAGACCCAGATATCGCTGTATTGGCGTCTGACATCTTAAGGCAGCGGACGGTTGAGGTGTGCCCCCGCAAAGTGTGAAGACAAGCCCTACATTTGTCAGTGGCGGCCGGGGAGAGAAAATCTTCCGCTAACTTACCCTGTCTTCAAATCCCAGACTCGGACATCGCGATCGCAACCGCCGCTAACCAAAATATCTTCCCAAGGCACCATCGCCCACACACCCATAACGTGGCCCTGGAGAGTCCGTTGCGCATTTCCTTCAGTATCGAATACATGGATCTTGGCGTTGTCAAGGGCCACAATGATGTACTTGGAAGTGAGATGCAGGCTAGTCACAACGCCACCGTCTTGAGTGATGTTCCTCGTGATGTTGTGACCGCCGGTCCGCCAGGCAGCATCGACAAGATATCTCTGCTTGAAGTGCGACTTGTATGACTTGACCCTGGGTCGAGAAGTCGTAATTGCGCTAGAGCTCCCATCGAGGCTCAGAGACCCCGGTGTAATCGACGGCAGCTGCGGAATCGCTCCCGGATAGCTGTGACTCGTGGGGGCGCCATCTTGGTGGCTGATTGGGAATATTTCTGGTCTGATGACTGGGAGCAGTTGCATTGACGGGTGGACCTCAGACAGCCTCCGCTGATAGTCGTGTTTTACGCACAGATTTTTCCACGTCATGTCATCGCTGAGAAGATCGCGCCACCTCCGGGAAACCTGGGATGCCCGCGCCAACACTTTTGGGTCGTCGATGAACGACAGAATCTAAGGAATTGTCAATATCAAGCTCTCGGTCAACAACTAGACTAGAGAGAAAAGGATCTTACTCTAAGGCAGAGTTCATCTGGAAGGCTGGTAAAGGGATCCTTTTTCAGCAGCGGGCTGACAAATTGATGCACAAAGCTGAGTTGCTGGCTGGTGCAGAGGTTTAGCAAGTCAGCAAGAAGGCGTGTTCTCTGCGGGCTACTGCACTTGGCGAAGTGTTGTCGAAGCTCGGATAAATACACCTCCTCGCTTTCTTCGGCGCTGCTCCAGTTGGGCCGTGAGTGCGACGGTCCTGGCGATGCCGCTGGCGTCGGTGGCGGCGGTGGGGAGCCAGTGAGCTGCTGATCAAAATCGGCTGCCGGCGTGCTCATGCTCGGGGTGGGAGGTCCCCGAGGACGCTGTTGCGACATTTTGACTGAATGAGTATTGAGAGATAGTTCGTCGCTGAACACACTCCCTCGCCTTTCAGAAAAGCTGAGCGGTCTGGAATATCCCGCCATATTGCAAGTCCAACCACACAGAGACTCAGGGCTGCCTGCTAGCAATCTGACAGCGTAATCGGCTTGTAGACTGGAAGAGCGTTTTGGACGAGTCTTGTTTTGTCCAACAGGTGTGGTCCAAGGCTAGAACACAAAGGACAAAGATCGAGGAGCGCCTAACAGTAGCGGATCAGACGAGGTCTAAGCAGAACAGAAGCGATCGTGTACAGTATCTCATCGACGTCGCGGGAGGGCTCGAGTTCGCCGAGGGGACGTCGTCGGGGTGCGAGTCGTAGCAATGCCGGGGTGGCGTTGGCGGGTGTTGGAAAGTAGGTTAGATGCTGGGCCCAAGACCATTCGAGTCGGCCAACTTCAAATCTACGTGCGCTCGACCCTGCAGCTGCTCGCAAACCAAAAGCAGGGCCTCGTCAAGATGACAGACAATATGTAGAGCGACCAAACCAATGCCCACTGCTGCGTCTGGGGGATCTAAGAGGGCAGAAGAGGAACCCGGGGTTATGGCGGGATCAAGGGTCCCGGGTGGGGAGTAAGTGGATTGCGGATGTTGGCTAACGAGCCATCGAAAGGCACGGGTTCCGCAGGGAGGGGCGACGGAGAGGACAAGGGCGAGGTCGAGGGCGGGCGGGGGGCGATTATACACAGCGATCACAGTGATCGATCAGGCGTGCGAACACTTTGGGCTTCGTCCATACACACTGCAACGCCAGACGCCGAAAAACACACAAATCGACAACGGACTATGGCGCTCGCAAGGGAGAGAGAGGGAGAAAGAGTTGGTCTCAAGGGTGGATTATTTCCGAGAAAGATATCGAGGGCTGATGAGGGCGGGAGGAGGGCGCTGAGCAGCGCTGAAGGACGGGCTACCGTTCCAAGAAATACGAGGCGGGAGGGCCCTTCTGGGATGCCATAATTGGGTCGAATGAGGAGACGGAAGCTGCGGTCCTGGGGGTCCCCAAACAGGGGCGGTACAATGGTACATCCGCTGGGGTGGGCCCTAAATCACGTGGGAAGCTCGCGCTGGTGTGGGTGAAAAGGGGCCGCCGTCCAATCGCCATGGCCCCCCCAGCCCTCGACCCGCACCCTTGCGCAATGGCGGACAAGGTAACCTGAAGGTGCTCCGTACCGGCATCGCCAAAAGCAACTCCAGATGGAGCCACGATCTCGAATCACAACGGCCTTCAAACCTCTTTTGGACCTGTTTCGCAACGGGCGAGAGCCGCGGGAGGCGGTTGAAGCTATCGACGCTTCGCTGGCAGCAATTTCGCATATGCCGATTCTAAGACGTGCCTTTGCTGTCCGGTTGGGCATCCAGAGCGCTGATCGAACAGAGACTTGCCATCCAGCCAATTCTTGACCGGCCTGTTCCAGCCACTCAATGAGCGCCGGTGTATGTATGTACATACATACATACATACAGCATGTACATGCCTACATACATGCCTAATAATACACGATACACAGAGAATACGGTGTTCTGGCAGCCGAATTTGGCTGGCGCGTGTCGCCATTTTCGGCGGCTTCGACACCAAGTGCACAAGTCTCTTACAAGTACCGTGTGGGTACCTGTGTTATGGCAGCCTTTCTAGCGCGCATCCATAGAACCGATGGATACATAGCGCACCACAAGGGGCCTGTACTATAGGGAGCCTAGCTCCTGAGCCGGCTTATGCCACGCATCTCCGTCACGGTTTGAGCTCTAAGAGAACATTTGAATAGTTGATAATTAATCACGGTTATGCTACAGTATAGCAAACAGGCGACCGGCGGAGTTCATCCGTTCAATGGTATCCGGGATCTGGGCATGTGTAAGGAAAGAACCCCAACCCGCACACACGACCAACTCACACGCGTACCGAGTGGGCCAAGACCTCACTCCTTTGTCATGGCCCGCCCTGCACTCTGTCATGTATATAAGCAGTGGCCCTCGCCCCCTTTGCGAGGGCCAGGTTGAAGTCTCTTATCAATACCAGTCCTTGCTCGCTCTCTTCAGTACCTTCAGTGTGACCACCTTGATCAGGCGTACCTGCCTTCACTTACAATTCCCCTGAATCTCCTCCGTGGCCTCTTAGACTTGTTCTTTGCCGTTATGCTGTCTCATCCTTGTCTTTGGGGAGTAAACGCTTGGCGAACTCAGGTGAGTATCGCATAGAGCGAATCCACACCCATCCGGTGCACTGAGTCTGCAGCTCTGCTTGGACAGATGTAGACTGAAAGACATGCTGAGACGCGTTTGACTCGTTCGTCGTCTTCATGTACTGTCCGGTCAACTCAGAAGAGGCGTTGAGCTAGGCAACCTTGTCGTTCGCCATGCCACAGATAAAGCCGATGAGAATAGGGGCGTCTGTGTACTGAGTGAGCGATGCTGTGAGTTGGACATCCTCCAATGAACGGACAGGGCCCCTGGACCACCATTAAAGCTGCTGCCAATCTCGACCAAGTATCTCTCTGTGATCATCGAGGAGCTCGGTTGGGACAGCAAAAGACAGGACTGCACCCTCTTCACCTGGGACGCGACGCTGGGTAAAGTTGCCGTACTGCTCAGCGATGTCGAGATGCTTGGTAAAGTAAAGAAGATCTACTCTGGTACGATGGAAGTCCGTAGGGGCAAGGGAAAAAAGTCGGGCAAGATTGAGAGATCCGTTATCATTAAATACGGAAACCAATCTCGTCATGGCTCCTCCCTTGTGCAACATGACTCTCCCCTCAACAATGTCCGGCATAGTAGTAATTGTAGTAAGCTTCAAGATAGGAGGCTCGCTATAGCCATCTAAGAGGCCGGGCTGGTTGCGGATGGCAGGACGTGGTAGGATGCTGGGTGAGGGAGTGACGAGGCGATCCATCTCGTCCTTCTTACGGCTAACTCGCTTATCGAGACCTTCTAGGAATTCCCAAGATGTCCTGAAAGTGTCGATAACCCACGCAGATGCAGACGCAGACTTGCGAATCTTGTCGAAATTGTTATCGAGAATAGCGTCTATCAAGTTACTGTTGACTCCCATCTTGATTAGTGCCTGTCGCTAGTTATGGGTAGGAAGCCATGCATCTTCGACGTCTGCCATGCGAATAATGTAATGTTCTGCTGCTGTGAGGATGTTCTCGCCGTGTCCCAATTGTCGCGGCGTCTGCTGTAGCTGCTCCCAAGACTCAAAGATCATTTTGGCAGCGTCGGGCTGGAAGCCAAAGAACTCCAATGTCTCCTGCGAGTTCAGCACCTCGGGAATTTCGACTATGTCGTGATAGTCGGACGCTGACGAGCTCGAGGAATACGACGCGCGGGAAATCGCAGAGAACCCACGCTTCGGAGGAGGAGCCAAGGAGCTTCGGTGAGTCGTAATGACTTCTGAGGTCGGGGTGAGAACCCGCGTCTGATTTGTGCTCGACATGGCGGGACGGGGCAAGCGATAATTGAGTTGTTATCTGAGGTTTCTCGGAAAGGGAAGATGGTGACTAGAACTCGGCAGTGCGTTGGAATTTTATTTTTGGCAGGAACGAGTAAAGTTTTGAAGCTAGGCACTAGTATATAGGGTTTCGATAGTCCGTGTAGTATTTTTAAGCCATTTAAAACTTTAAATGTCCAGCTTTAGCCACTTGGTCCTAGAGGAATAACTACCATTATTGATGGCCGAATAATCGTCGTTTTATTCTAGTTTTATGGTAGACGTATCGCGGAGCTCCCAACTTCATCTTAGGAACAATTGCAGCTGGCTGAAACTAGTGTCACATTTTCACGGCAGGCGCTATCCAGGTCCAGATTTCTATTGGTTTGCACATGCTGTTGCAGTCTGAAGGACGTTTACTATCCTATCAAGAGCCTCGCCCTAGCAACATTAAGGACCTTTTTGGAGGATCTAGATTACTGGTGAAGATGGCCATTCCGTGGCACCTGTGTTCGAGCTGGGTCCAGAAGGAGGAGCTTGCCAAGCAATGGCCATCAACATATATGGCCAGCGTGGTGTTGTGTGCAGGGTTGTAACCCAAGATTGATGGTACAGCAGGTAACATTGCGCTCCCTTCAAATGGTAGCATAGGAGGCTGCGCGACCGGAAATTCAGGAGTGGGAAAAGATTCTGGTGGTGTATATTGCGTCCTGCTCGGGATTGTAGATGGGTTTGCCGGGGGCCTAGGTGTTAATGTGGTCTTGCACTCCGGGCATCCAACATTGCCTGGCTGGCCTGGGAGGAAGTGCGCTAAAGATTAGATCGCTGTATCTGGCGTACAAACCGCCGTATTGCATGCTGGTGCAGTTACGAAGAATATGGAGAAGGGCAAAGGTCAATAATACAAGAAAGAGACGCCGGGGGAGGTATTTTTATTTATGTTTAGGCGCAAGGACGTAGAGTCGCGGGGATGATGCAATGGCTGCGCTAAACCAAATGAGGAGAGTTGGGGGAGGGCGCCATTCCCGGAACGTGCAGCACCGTGTTCTATAATACTCACACAAGAGATGATGAGGGGTACTTTACGTAGGTAGGACGTAGGTGTATGTACGCCTGTACGTCAGGGCCGTGGGTGGTGGATAGTGCGGCGCTGAGACCCAGCGCCATAGCCTCGTCGCTGTCTCGCTGCCGCCCAGGCGTGCAGCTCAGTGCTGCAACCCACGGATTTGAGAGTTCATCTCAACTCTGATCACTGGGTTATGCCCTCGCGAGACCCATTGCCAGTGCCCACTGCCCAGTCTGGTGCCGCACCCATTAGCTACCAGCTATAGCTCGAGACACGCCTCCATGTTGATTGAAGTTGGGACATCCGACATGGGGGATTGCGGCAAAGGCAGCATTCTTCCGTTCTGTTGGTACTTTGCGAGTACTTCTTGTGGGGTGTGTGGTGTGGGATCGGAAACAGCCTTAGAAACAACCACCAAAGTGGCCAAACTGAACGAAGCGTCTGCGGTCTGCGTCTGCATGTCAGATGGAGTGAGTGGAAACCTGGAAGAAGGATGGCAGCAGCCAGCCCCGGAGGTGGTGCGTCGAGGTTCCATGTTCGGCGGGGCGTGCAGCGAAGCAACAAGCAGCAAGCAGGTGGGCTCGAGGCGTCGTCAGGCACCCGAAGCGCTGTGCCGCCGGCCGAGACTTTTGTGATTTCCCACCCTGATCCATCGCCGCATGAAGGACACGGCGCGGCCGTCAAATTGTGCGCTTGACGGTCCAAATTTCTCGCTCTTCATGCCCGAAACATTGATTTACCAGATTTTTGCAAGTTACGTTCAGCATGGGCCAGCCGCAGGGGACACTAGGCCGGTCATTTAGGATCGGAAGCCTAGGCCCTCCCTTCCCCCTTTTTCATGATGCAGCTTGAGAATGGGGGAAAAAACTCTTGATATCTCGTGAGAATATCATCGCCAAGTCAGGGCAGTTCTCCCTCCCGCTTACGTCGGGTGCTGATTAATTGCCGTATCTCTCGCTTGATCTTGATTCTCGGTTCGCTGCACTGCTTACTGCTTGCTTGACGCCCCCCTCATTAGTGTGGGGTCTTGGCCACCCTTCTCTCATCTGCTCTGTCTGACCAACACATGAGCTGGAGCTGGTCTGGCCTGACCAGCCTGACCAAGACTACCTTTCCTAGGTTGGCATTGCTGCAAGTGATTCACGGCTGGGGCGGCGGCGCCGCCCTTGCTGAGGCGTAGCGATGGAAGGGCCAAAAAGGCCCAGATCCGTTTCCAACTGTCCAGTTTCCCCCCTGGCAAGCAAGCTACGTAGCAATAAATGTCAAACCTAGCCCCTCGATTGAAACATGTGGATATTTGACTAAAATCCTCCGCTGCGGCTCACTCGGTGGAGGTCTGAAACATCGGCTTGGAACTATTTCATAGGCTCGTTTTCTTTTTATTAGTGATGTGCCTTCCCGCCGCTCTCCATGGAACAAGTCCATTTTTAACTTCAACCGGTCCGGCAATAGGCGTAGCAATATCGGCGTTGCAAGGACTAAAATCAGTAGCGAACTAGCAGCTACAGCAATAGTATAGTGGCGCCTTGAGCTTCAAGAGGGAGCGAGAGAAAAAAAAAGATAGAAAAGGCTCAGGATTTCCCAACATAACTAAACCTGTGGCGTCATTCAGTCAGCCTGATAGAGACTAGGCCAGCTTCCGTTCATGTCAATCCACTACACTAGGTCTAGAGACATGTTCGCATATATAATACAAGTCTGGACGGGTACGTAGTATCAAATACAAGTAATAAGAGCCTCCCCAACTCCTGTCCTTTTCATGCCGCTACTTCAAAAGAACAATAAAAAAAGAAATTGGAAGGAGAATGCAGAGGGGTGCCTACATACTAGGTCTAAGTCCAAACGCCTACCATTGCAATCTAGTACACCCGGCGGGACATCAATGATGATGGCCGAATTGCGTGAGGAGCGGGAGCAACATCCCCCCTACAGTGGCAAGCGTATCTCGCATCTGCGGCTTGACTTGCTTTCGCTGCACGACATTGGTGCCGTCTAGCGCATTTACGCTGGAGTGGTGCTCATGGCTCGAAGAGTGGTTTTCTTCCTGCATGGCGTGCATGGCCACATATCTGAGGGAGAAAGAGTCAGTAGAGTTGCAGGCAGGCGTGTGGCGGAAAAGAAGACGGATGTAATTTCTTACAGGAAGGTGCCGGCGGAGAAGAGCAGCAGCATGCCGGTCCACCACTGTCCCGCCTCACCCTGCATGTGATCGCCCCCGATCAAGAATATAATTAGGTATGTCAACAGCGCTCCAACCGGGGCTGCGAGACTGAAGACAATGAGATGGCCTCTGGCGGCCCGTTTTGGGAGACCTTGCTTTAACAGGACCGAGGTTAAGCCGAAGGCGGCCGGAGCCTTGTGTGCCATGATAGCAACAAAGATGATGAGCCCGAGCTTCATATCGGACGTGGTGGCTGATGCGCCCATCGCGATTCCGTCTGCTGCCGCATGGATCACGAGGCCTGTTGTCGTTGCAAGACTGCGGGTTTGCTTTGGTGACGGGGCGAGCGAACCTAGGAATCCCTCAGCTTCTTCTTCCCCAGAGACGCTGGACGCAGCCAGATCGTCGAGGCTGATGTGTCTGGTTGTGGGCACTGCTTGGAATGTCTCAGTCGCATGGCGAGGCAACCTGTCGATCAAAAACATGAGCACAAATCCCAGCATCAAGGAGAATCCAATGTAAAACGTAGGCATGTGAGGCGGGCCGTAGTCATCCTCGACAACCGGAATTTTGGGGCGGTCCTCGTCGTCATGATCTTGGTGTTGTTCTTCTGCCCTTATTTTCGGCCCGCCGGACTGGAGATCCCTGGACACCCTGTCGAAAGTATTCGCGCCCGAGGACTCCCATCTCCTGAGCTTGACTGCCTTATCGCCGCCGTTTAGGACATGCGCTCCGGACTCCCAGTCAACGCCCAAGCCCCTCTGCCCTCCCAGATGCCGGGCATCGTGCGAATGTGAATGCGCCCCCATCCCTGTCGTCGCAATGGCTTCAATGCCCTCGGGTATAATCACGATAAGCGATGTGCCGACAAGAATGCCGATGCCGATGCTAGAGATAAGTCGTAGTTGCGACTGACTGAGGGTCATGGAAAGTGGCAGAGCCCCGGCCAAGAAAGAACTGTCATGTAGTATAATCAGCTCGCGCACGACGACAAAAGGAGAGAGGTCGAATTTCGACGTACGCCAGGGCCATGACCACCTATTCGAAGCGACATGTTAGCTGCATCGCCAAAAAGAAGAGCCGGAGGAGAGTGAGCGCTTGGTGGGCTTTAGAGGCAGCCGGGGGCGAACATACACAGAGGGCCAGAAGAAGAAGTAACCCGCCCATCGCGTGAGGTTGTTGAAGGCGATGGGAATGGCGATGTCGAAGGCGATGCTACAGATGTGTAGAGCGGCTTCAAGATTGACGACTCATGGCGCACCTACGCAGGAAGCCGGTAGATAAGAATGACAGCTCGACCGCTGCTGCAGCACAAAGTGGACTCGGGAAATGCCTCCGTATCCCTAGTGAGATCCTGCGTTAAGATCAATTGGAGCTCCTAGACCTGGAGAACCCATCCATCTGCCCCAGATTGCCAAGCCTGCAAACGACTTGGTGTTCTGTTTGGCACTTAACGTCAATGGCACGGACGGCGTGCGTGCCCGTGTTGGCTGAGCCGGAGCCCTTGCTTCGCGGTCAGGGGATGTAGCCCCGCTAGCCCTTTGAGGCTAGCGCATTAGATGACTGTGCTTGGGTTACACCTGGGCGTCCAAAGGCTCGTAGCCCTCGGGAGCCCACTGAAGAGCAGATCAAATGTGGTAACAAAGCACCCCGCGGCGTGGATGCAGAAGGGCCCAAGCTTTTTCAATTAAGAAACGCGATCGCGACCGCGACTGGAACGGGACTTTTGAGTTACCAACCAAACCGCAGAAGTATTACAAAACGCCCTTCAGCAACACTTGCATCTGCCTGCGAATAGCTCACCTATTTTCCGGCAACCTAGTCGCCGCAAACCCTTGTATGCCGCCAATTTGTCATCCCTTGAGTTCCAACCCGCAACATCAATCGCGGGGCTATTTCGATTTTCAGTCGTTTTAAAACTGGCCGCGAACGAGTACCCACGCCCACTTCCGCCTCTTCAGATATCGCGCTCGCCGCTGAGCTTACGCCTACTCTAGAGTGTTCGCCATGTCTGCTGACGCTTGTGAGGAAACCCTCAGTTAAATCACTGCTTTTTATTTTAGGGGTTTCAGCACTGGATCAAGACCATGTCACTAACTAAAGCAGGGACGGCGAACGCCAACGAGACGCTCTCGATATCGCTAGTCGCCCCCGCGACCGGCGACATGAGCGGGCTCAAGACTATCGCCACTTTTAATCCTAGGTTTACATACCCAGTCTTTGGCGATGACGAGGCCATCTTTGGCTACCAGAACCTCAAGATTGACCTCCGCTACGGCGCGAGCGATATGCGGCCCAACCTTGCCATCTCATACAGCAAGAAGTTCAAGGCGATAGGCGAGACGAAGGCGGCCGATATTGAGGAGGCCCTGCGCGACTTCCTCCCCGAGGTAGCCTTTCAGAAACAACGCGACTTTGATACGGCAGTCAAGCGGCTCCGCGACAACTGGACTCCCCCGGGCGAGCTAGTGACGACGTTTGCCAGTAGGGCTGCGACGTATGAAGTCTGGAAATCTAATCTTGCCGATCAGGCCGTAAAGCAGCTTGTCTCGCGTATCCAGATTCTTGTGCCCCTTTTCATTGAAGGCGGTACGGCTATCGACGTTGATGACCCAGATGCTGATCGGTGGACGGTATTTTTCCTCTACCAAAAGGCCCCGGTAGTTGGCAAGCCCGGCGCATTCTCTTATCTGTTTGCAGGCTATAGCACTGTATATCGCTTCTTCTTGTTCCGGCCGCTCACGCCTCCTGCGTCTCCGTCCGAGAAGGACGCGACTCAGCACAAAGCTGAGGAAGAGTTGGCTCTGGGCAAGGACGACTTTGATCTACTGCAGCTCCCTTGCCGGACCCGCATCTCCCAGTTTCTCGTCATCCCGCCCTTCCAGCACAAGGGCCTGGGGCCGCAGCTCTACAGCATCATCTACCAAGAATATCTCAAGCACCCCCAGACACTTGAAATCACTGTGGAGGATCCAAACGAGGCTTTTGACGACATGCGGGATGTCGCGGATCTTCGCTTCCTGCGGCAGACCCTAGAGTTCAGCGCGCTGCACATCAACACTAGCATTGTCGTCCCCAAACACGGCCCCGCACCAGCCAACATTGTCGACAAGGACGCTTCGGAGGCAGTGCGGAGGAAGTACAAGATCGCGCCGCGGCAGTTCTACCGGGTCCTGGAGATGCACCTCATGTCGAAGCTGTCCGACGCCGTGCGGCCGGGGATCTTCCCCGAGAAGTCGACAGCCCGGGCGACGAAGCAGGACGAGCACAGATACAAGCTATGGAGGCTGATGGTCAAAAAGCGCCTATACATCCACAACAAGGACGAGCTCGGCCAGATCGAGGTCCCCGAGCGCATCGAGAAGCTCAATGAGACCGTCTCCGGCGTCGAGTTCGACTTTGCGCGGCTGGTAGCCAAGGCCGAGGCCCAGCCGGAGGCTTCGGCCGTCTCCAATGGAAAACGGAAAATAGGGTTGGATGACGCTGTCTTTACGTCGAATAAAAAGGCCAGGGTTAACGACGAGTAGTAATTTAGACACGAGCATGAACGGAGGCACGGGCATGGGCGTGAGCGTGGGCATGTAGCACGAGTATGGACAGCCTGGACTTGTTGCAACCAGCTTGTTGTACGACTCGGGTCTGGGCCAGAGCAAAAGCAGGAGTCCGCATGGTCTCCATACATGAGGAAGTAAACTGTCGCCATGGACATCGTGTCCATTGCTGCCTTTGGTTTGTTTGCGCTAATACCTTTATGAGCCTGTCTGGCTTGGAGATGGAGCATGGACAAGCAGGTGGGAAATGAGCATTGATCTTTTTTAGTGTCTTACGGGGGGGGGGGAGGTCTTTGTTGTTTGGTTCTTTATAGGGGTATGTGGGTTTTTTGTAGGTATTGTACAACTAGAAACGGACCGAAACGCCCTTGAAAACCGCGATGAGTATGACACGGAGTATTCGGCCGAATTGCCCGCGCGCCCCAGTGCCTTCTCCTGTGAAGATCTGGTCTGGCCTGGTCTAAGAGTGCGCTTGATCGCCCTGTCTAAACAAGATGGATGGAAAGCTACCTCGTAATAGCTCCACGCCTGGTCAAATATCTGCCTGTCTATAAAGGCCCCCGTAACCACCTACCACGTCCTCCTAGACCTTTCTGTCTAGTCTAGTCTAGCTGGCTGCTCGAGAACCTCGTGCCGTTGACGCCCTGGACGCCCTTGCCGAGCTGGCTCGCGACGACGGTGGCCTCGCGGACGGCGCGGGCGACGGTGCCGCGGACCCGGCCCTCCTCGAGCACGAGAAGGCCGCCAATAGTGCAGCCGCCAGGAGTGCTGACCTTGTCGCGGAGCAGGGCGGGGTGGTCGCCGTTGAGGACTAGGCCGGCGGTGCCGCGCATGGTCTGGGCGGCCATGCGCTGGGCCTCGGTACGCGGCAGGCCCATGGCCACGGCGCCGTCGATGGCCGCCTCGAGCATCAGAGCGAAGAAGGCCGGGCCCGACCCACACAGCGCCGTGCACGCGTCCATGTTGGCCGGCGGCAGGTACACCACCTCGCCGATGCGCCGGAAGATCCACGTCACCAAGTCGCTCGTCTCCTGCGGCAGCGGTGGGCTCGGCGTATTGATGACGGTCATGGACTCGCGGATCAGCGACGCCGTGTTGGGCATGGCGCGCACGATGCGACACCTGGTCGTCGTCGCAGCAGTAGAATCAGAGTTGCTGCCGCCGTCGGGATAGAGGGTCCGCTCGAGCTGGGCCTCACCGACGCCGGCCAGGATGCTGATGAGCAGCTTGCCCGACAGGGCGGCGGCCATGCCGGGCTCGCCTAGCACGTCCTTGACCATAAAGGGCTTGCAGGCCAGCAGCACGACCTCGGCCTGCTGCACGGCGGCCACGTTGTCGTTCTGCACAATGCGCACGGCGCCCAGGTGCTCCCGTAGCGCCGACTTGACCTTCTTGGCGCTCTCGGGCCGCCGCACGCACGCGATGAACCGCGACGGCAGCCGCGCCGGCATCTCCTCAGGCACCTGCGGCGTCGATGTGCCTGACGACGACGGCGCCAGTACTACACGGCCCTGCATGTCGTGCAGCGAGGCCAGGATACCTGACAGGATGGCTATGCCCATTGTGCCTAATTAAAGAGGGTTAACATGATGAGCAGGGACATACAGCACGGCGTGGCCTCGGTTGGTTCCTTTCTTTCTTTTCTTTTTCTTTTTCTTCTTTCTTTTCCCTCTATTTAATGCGGGCAAAAATTCTACTTACCGCACCCAAGAACGGTCACGGTAAGCTCCGAAGAGCCATTGCCCTGGCTTGAAAGGTCGGTAGAACTCATCGTGGCGGTTTGGTGTCTTTGGAAAGAAGGCAAGCGGCGCCGATGTTCGGTGCTTGAGACAGGGAGAGAGGGGTTGAGAAGGGGAATTGGGATTCGACTAAGTGGTTCAATAAAAATGGAATTTCGGCTTTCTCAAGATGCAGCCTCGTTTTCACCTTGCTCGAATCAGCTCCTACTTGGCTTTACTCCTTCTTTTATGTCGAAACTAAATGAAACCATCCAGGTATGGACTTGTTGGCCAGACAGAGTCCCGTCATCTTCGCCTCTCATCGCCATAGAGGGACATCCCTGTCAATCTTGAACCCCAAACCAGAGACCAAAAATTAATACATTGACTCCGACCATCAACCGAACAAAGTTCAAAATTTAAAAGCTACGTAGACCTTCACCGCCTTCCCAGTTCAGACTAGCGGTCCTCCTGGGCTACGAGCTAAACAAGGGTCGAGCTGCCTGCCGGAAGCCGTTGGAGTTCATCAATCGACTGCACCAAGCAATTCCACCGCTGAACAACCTGGAAATATATTGCACATTCTCCCTCCAACCTCCGGACGGTAATGCAACCACGAGAGAACTAAAACATTTAGCAGCAAAAAAATCACTCCAACGAAGGAATAGGCGCCGAGATAGACCAAGACACATATATATTTCGTAAAAGAATGGCGGACCCGTTCGAGGTCCGCATGCGGTTTACAAACCAGCTGCGCCAGCTCAACGCATCAGTCAACTCGGCACAGAAGGCGGCGCAGTATGCGCTCAAATATCGCGACTCGGCCGAGGACCTGCACTCGTGCATTCTTGAGCAGCTCGAGCGGGTAACCCATCCCCCCTGCACGGTAGAAAGGAGGCCAAAAAATGCTAACCTCGCATCCGCTGTCCTCGCGCCGCACAGAACAGCATGAACACGCGAGCCAACATCATGTACTTCATCGAGCACTTTCTCGACATGGCGCACAAGGAGGGCCACGATGAGTACGTGCGCATGATGCAGCGCGACATCATCCGCGTGGTGGACGCGGTGGCGCCCGAGGACCGGTCCGGGGCCGCCAACGTCAAGGTCGTGCGCAAGGTGCTCCAGGCGCTGCAGCACAAGAGCTTCCTCGAGGGCGAGGCCGTGCGGCAGATCGAGGAGGTGCTGCGGGAGCGCGACACGGCCACGCAGGACATTGTCATGTCGTCGCCGCCGGCGGGCGGCCACGGCGGCGACCGGAGCGGTTTCGCGAACGGCAGCAGCAGAGAAGGAGGAGAGGGCGGAGGGGGGCTGGCAATCACGGACAGCATGGACCTCGGAGACATGCCGCCGTCGCAGACGCTGGCTGCTGCTGCTGCGGTGGCGGTTCCGCACCGCCGGGGCAACGCGCCGCCCAAGCTGGACAAAAAGCAGGTCGAGCAGCGCATCGAGGAGGACCGCGAGCGGCACAAGCGGCAGCGCGAAGACATCTGGGCCGTGCCGTCTGGCGACTACGCCGAGATGGAGAAGATGTGGGAGGAGACGAGCGACCTCGGCGAGGACGACCACCGCATGGGCGAGGAGGAGTACCAGGAGTGGAAGCTCGCCGCGCAGAACAGCTGCCCACACCGCCGGGAGGACGCTGCCAATGGCAAGCACTCTTGAATGTGTTGCGTGGCTTTTTCTCTTCCTTTTTCTCTTCCTTTTTCTTTGATTTTTGAAACTGGTTTCGAACATTTACACTGGCGGCGTAGCAATTTTTCCGCATGATATCCCCGCCAAATCCTCCCTCTTCTGTCATTAACCCCATTCCCCACCGCGATGTACGGATCCCGCGGTTTCTTTTCTCTGGCGGGCGTTTTTAGGTTGGCATGGATATGGACATGGGCATGGGCATAAATGGCGGCGTTGGGGCTGGACTGTGTGTTCATATGGCAATGGAAAGGGCCATGCACAATATTTTCCCCTTGGTTTTGGTTAAAGGCGTAAGCATGAACAAGAAAAGAGCAAGGCAGGAAACGGGTGGGAAAGGAGCATTGGGAGTTATAGGTATAAAACCTCAAAAGTCGGGAAATTATACCTACATCGATTAATCTAGATGAGACATATGGATTGTGGACAAGGCGAGTTCCCTGGTATATATTGAGTAATAGTAATGTTACATGTTTTTATTTCAGTTTTTTGTACATGCAAGCGGGGCCGAGCCTGGATGCCCTCCCCATCAAGGGAGCACGACACAGCTTAACTCACTCACTCCATGACGACGGTGGCGCCGAGCTCCTTCATGGTGGCGACAATCTTCTCGGCCTCCTCCTTGGGCACCGACTCCTTCATTACCTTGGGCGCGCTCTCGACAAACTTCTTAGACTCGACCAGGCTGAGCCCCAGCAGGCCCTTGACCTCCTTGATCACCTTGGGCTTGGCCCCGGCCTCGAAACCCATCAGCTTGATAGCGAACAGCGTCTTCTCCGCCGGCGCCGGCGCCGCCTCCTCCTCCTCCACCGGTGTTGCTGCCGTCGCTGGGCCGCCGGCGCCAGGCCCCGCCGCGAAGCCGCCTACCGGCAGGTCGGGGATGTTGAGTCGCGACTGTTTTTTGATGGTTTGTTAGCGAATGAGACGAGTGAGGCGGGGGATGGGTGTAGGCATTGTGTTTGTTTTCTCCTCCCCCCCTGAATCTGTCCCTGATGGGTAAAGGGGGCATACGGGCATATGAGGGGGGGGGCTGAGGGCAGGTATGTGCTGTGCTATGCTATGCTGTGCTGGGGGCCTTCCCACCTTCAAGCTCGCGACCAGCTCCGACGTCTCGAGCAGCGTTAATTGGCTGATCTGGTCGACGATGGTGGAGATCTTGGGACTGCTCGCAACAGCAGCTGCTGCTGCTGCCTCGGTCGAGTTGTACCGCCGCGCCGAGGCCAGGACGATGCGGACGTGTGGTGTGGTGGAGGTGACGGTTCGGAGCTGGCGCGCGCAGCACTGGGCTGCGTACCGGCACGAGAGCGACATGATGGTGCCCCTTTTTTTCTTTTTTTCTGGCCGGATTGGAGGTGGTGGGTTTGCGAGGAGAAGGAGCTTGGGAAGGGAGAAGACGGGCGCGTCAAATTGGGCAACTCTCTTAGCGATGTGCTGCTGCTGGCTGGCTGGCTGGCTGGTGGCTTTTGTCGTCGAAGAATGATGAACCCCGGGAATTTTTTCGACTGTCGTCCCGTCCCAGAGCACAGGTCCCCACTGGCGGCGGTTCTGATTGGCTAATGGCTCGCTCGAGGTGCCTGGGAGCTTTGACAGCCTCCGCCGTGGGCCGACATAGTGCTGGAGCGAAATGAATCTGCGCGGGCACTGAGCTGGGCGGCTGATACCTAGGGGCTGAGAGGTACGAAGCGTTAGTGGGTGTGGCACTAAAGAGATGTGCTAACCAGCACCAGTCTCAGCGGCCTCGGGTACCGAAGCTCCCGCTAAGCAGAACTGTAGGTAGCGCGAATCGTCCGTGCTACGGGAGAGTGCCCCACCCCACCTAAATGTCCAGCAGGGTGTTCGCGCGGGCAAAAAAAAAAAAAAGAGAGTTGAGATGGACCTATGAGAGAGAGCCTGTCTATGTTCGAGACTCACATATGATAACCCAAACTTATACACAACTCTGCAGCAACCAAAACCGTCGTGACGCCGCCCTGCGATACCTACCTAATTTTGTTAAGTACCAGGATGGCCTCAATCGACGTGAGTGCGCAGAGAGTATCCCTTCTGGGGGATGCAGCAACACTGCAGCAGCTGCCGAGTGAGCTGCTGGCAGTGATCCAGGACCACCACCAGAATCAGAACCAGAACCAGAATCAGCGCTTTTTAGATAGCATCGCCAGTGCCGCCCTGGTCGCCCCCGACGGCGTGTTCTGCCACTTCGAGCCGCTGTTTGCAGACATCTGCGCGCGGTTGGTGCTCTCGTCAGCCAGGCTCGACGTGCGCGTGCTGGGCGTATTTGCAAGGATCCTGCCCTTTGCCCCGTCGCTGGCCGTCTTCCTCACGGCCTTTCTCCAGACTGAGACGGGCCCCCTCGACGTGCTGGATCTGGCCCTGTTCAGCGACGATACAGACCTGCTCGCCGTGCTTGTGGCTCTGTGGCGCCTCAACAACTTCGACAAGGCCGCCTTCTCGCCCCTGGCCAGGCCCTCCCAGCTCCAGTCTCTGTTTGCCCACCCCCGGCCCGCAGTCAGATACCTCGCCATCATCATTTTCTGCCAGCTCCACGACGCCGCCGACCTCAAGTTGGAGGCCCTGCTCACAAAGCACCTGCAGAAGGACGCCAGCCTCGCCGATCAGCTGGACGGGAAGACGGCCGACTACACTTTTCTGCCCCTGTATGAGGACCAGAGGTGTCGAGACGTGCAGGCCCTCCGCAGTAGAATCAGGACCCAGACTGGCCTCCCTGAGCAGGACCCCAAGGAGAAGAAGGCTCAGTCAGTGCCATTGTTAGTGCCAGTGCAAAATCTAACTCCTCTTGTTGTCAAGTATGGCAACACTGTTCTTCCCCGTCCCCTGGGCCCCGTGAACACCCCCAGTGCTCTCTCCTTCACCTCCACCACGGTAGAGAACCTGGAAAATCTCGCCAGCCTGCTCCGGCGCCCTGGCCCCGTCCTGCTGCACGGCCTCTCCGGCGCTGGCAAGACTTCTCTGGTCCACGAGGTGGCCCGCGAGTTGGGCAAGCAGCAAAATCTAGTAACTCTGCACCTCAACGAGCAGACGGATGCTAAGATGCTGTTGGGTCTCTACACGACCGACTCCAAGCCCGGCTCCTTCCAGTGGCGCGCCGGTGTCTTGACCACGGCCGTCAGGGAGGGGAGGTGGGTCTTGATCGAAGACCTCGACCGCGCTCCTACCGAGGTCATGAGCACCCTGCTGCCCCTTATCGAGCGTGGCGAGCTTCTCATCCCCGGACGCGGCGAGAGAATTAAGGCCTCGGCCGGCTTCCGCATGTTTGCCACCGTCCGCACCCAGCTCGGCATGAACGACAGGGAGAACCTCCCCAGTCTCATCGGCCTGCGTCTCTGGCAGCTGCTTCACGTCAAGGCCCTCCCCCGCGATGACCTGCGGGACGTCATTGGCGGCCGGTATCCTCTGCTCCACAAGTACATCACGGGAGTACTGGCCGTTTTCGACCAGCTCATGGCCTCGACCAGCGGCTCTACTCGCATGGCTCTTGGCCGTTCGGCCATGGAACGTCCCATCGGCACCAGAGACTTGCTTAAATGGTGTGCTCGCCTCGACGATATCCTGCGCGCCGTCGGCTGCAAGACCGGCGACGAGCCCATTAGTGACACTATCAGAGACCGCATGTTCTTGGAGGCTGTCGATTGCTTCGTGGGGAGCGTCCAGGAGCCGGCAGCTCGGAACGCGCTAATCTCGACGATTGCAAAGGAAATGCAGCTCTCCCCCGAGAGAGTGCAGCACTACCTGACCAGCTACATCCCCGACCTTGGAGACCAAGAGACAAGGCTGGTAATTGGGCGCGTATCCATGCCCAAGGCGAGACGCTCAAGCCGCGTGACCAAGTCGAAGAGGCCGTTTGCCACTACTACCCACGCCAAGAAGCTGCTCGAGCAGATAGCAGTCGCCGTCAAACACCGCGAGCCACTGCTGCTGGTCGGCGAGACAGGCATTGGCAAGACGACGGTGATCCAGCAGCTGGCCGAGTCGCTTGGCCACCAGCTCATTGCCGTTAACCTGTCGCAGCAAAGCGAGGCAGGCGATCTTTTAGGCGGGTTCAAGCCCGTCAGCTCGCAAAGTCTCGCCATACCCCTGAAGGAAGAGTTTGAGGACCTGTTGGAGAAGACGGGCGTCTCTGCGGAAAAGAACAAGGAGTACCTGGACCGCATTACCAAAAAGTTCGCAAAGGGGAGGTGGAAGGAGGTGTCCAAGGAGTGGCGAAAGGCCCCCAAGATGTTTGAAGCCATCCTCGCAACGCTCGAGAGTAGCCAAGCCCGCAACCAAGATGCTCAAGGGTCGGACGTCCAGCGCGCCAAACGCCGCAAAACAGGGTCGACCAAGCTGCTTCGTCTGCAGGAACTGAGGCAGCGCTGGGGCACCTTCTCGGAAAGCCTCGACCAGTTTGATAGGCAAATCTCGGGCGGTCCGGGAGGCTTTGCGTTTGCCTTTGTCGAAGGCAAGCTCGTCAAGGCCGTGAGGAATGGAGACTGGGTTCTCCTAGACGAAATCAACCTTGCCAACCCCGACACGCTGGAGAGCATCGCCGGTCTCTTCCACCCCTCTCCCTCTCTTCTCCTCTCGGAGACGGGAGAGATTGAGAGCATTCAGGCCCACCCTAATTTCCGCGTCATCGGTGCCATGAACCCGGCTACCGACGTTGGCAAACGGGACCTGCCGCTCGGCCTGAGATCTAGATTTACCGAAATTTATGTCGGAAGCCCAGACCGGGACAAGAAAGACCTCCTCACCATTATCAAGACATATCTTAAAGGCAATAACAGCGGGATTGACCGGCTGTCAGACGACATTGCCGACCTGTATCTCGAGATCAAGGGACGGGCCGAGCTGAAGACTCTGGTGGACCAGGCGAACGAGGTTCCGCACTTTAGCCTCCGTACGCTTACTCGCGTCTTGACATATGCCAACGACGTCTCTCCTTTCTATGGCCTCGAGCGGGCTATATACGAAGGCTTCTGCATGGGGTTTACGACGCTGCTCAGCGAGGAGTCGGAGCGGACTGTGATTCCCCTGATACAACAACACCTGCTAAAGAGGCCCAACATCCTGTCTGTGCCGCCCAAAAAACCTATCGACGGGAGGCACTACGTCTCCTTTAAGAACACAGCCAAGGACCACCAGTACTGGCTCTTGCAAGGTAACGAAATGCCCATGGAGCGAGGCGACTACATTATTACGCCCTACGTCGAGAGGAATCTCCTGAACTTGGTCAGGGCCACGTCGACGCGCAGATACCCAATTTTAATACAGGGGCCGACGTCGTCTGGAAAGACGAGCATGATCGAATATCTGGCAAATTTCACCGGGAACAAGTTTGTGCGAATCAACAACCACGAGCACACGGACCTCCAGGAGTATCTGGGCACCTATGTGTCCGATTCGGAGGGGAAGCTCAGATTCCAGGAGGGCCTGCTGGTCCAAGCCATGAGAGAAGGATCGTGGATCGTGCTAGACGAGCTCAACCTGGCGCCCACCGACGTCTTGGAAGCCCTCAACCGCCTGCTAGACGACAATCGAGAGCTTCTGATCCCCGAGACGCAGGAGATTGTGCGGCCTGCCGAGAACTTTTGCCTTTTTGCTACCCAGAATCCCCCGGGCCTCTACGGAGGCAGAAAGGTGCTGTCTCGAGCCTTCCGTAACAGATTCCTGGAGCTGCACTTTGACGACATTCCCGAGAACGAATTGGAGACAATTCTACAGAAGAGAAGCCGCAACACGGCGCCGTCGGACTGCCGCCGCATTGTGGCCGTCTACAAGCAGCTTACCCGCCTCCGACAGGAGAGCCGCGTCTTTGAGCAAAAGAACAGCTTTGCCACCCTGAGAGATCTCTTTCGCTGGACTCTGCGAGAGGCGGATACCCGGCAAGACATTGCAGAGAATGGCTTCATGCTGCTCGCCGAGCGCGTGCGCAAGCAAGAAGAGCGCGCAGAGGTGAAACACGTAATCGAGGAAGTCTTCAAGGTCACCATCAACCCCGACCGCCTGTACGACCGGGACCTGGCCCCAGAGTTTCGCAACATGCATGGAGACACAAACAGCCAAGGCGTCATCTGGACAAAGGCGATGCGGCGTCTCTACGTCCTCGTCAAGCGGGCTATTCAGAACAACGAGCCCGTGCTGCTTGTCGGCGAGACGGGCTGCGGTAAAACGACGGTTTGCCAGCTGCTCTCCGAGTTTGACAAGAAACTGCTGCACATCGTCAATGCTCACCAGAACACGGAAACTGGAGACCTCATAGGCTCTCAGAGACCGGTGAGAAACCGTGGTGCCATCGTCGAGTCGCTTCTACGAGACCTGCAGGAGGCTGCCGGCCTTGTAGGAAAGGATGCCGGCTCGTCTCTCGACGACCTGCAGGCTTGGTATCGCTCACTTTCCCGCGATGATCTTTCCAAGCTACCAGAGCCGTTAAAGGCGAGAATTCAGTCTAGAAGCTCTAAGAGCAAGGCGTTGTTTGAGTGGAGCGATGGCAGTCTCGTCCATGCCATGAAGGAAGGGAACTACTTCTTGCTAGACGAGATCTCCCTGGCCGAAGACTCGGTGCTGGAGAGGCTGAACTCGGTCCTCGAGCCACACCGTAGTCTCCTACTTGCCGAAAAGGGAGTGGACGATTCCTTCATCGAGGCCGTCGAGGGCTTCCAGTTCTTCGCTACCATGAACCCGGGTGGCGACTTTGGCAAGAAGGAGCTCTCGCCCGCACTGCGCAATCGGTTCACCGAGGTCTGGGTCCCGCCCCTCTCGGAGGAGGAGGACGTCCACGACATTGTCATCTCCAAGCTGGATGGCCGGTTCAAGGCCAATGGCAAAAAGGGAGCAAAGTCTGTGTCCAAGATCATTGTCGAGTTCTCATCGTGGTTTGGCAAGACATTCAGGCCGTCGTCCACCACGGCCTTTTCCGTCCGAGACATCCTCGCCTGGGTCCAGTTTATGAACGCGTGTCACTTCCCGGCAGAGGTCGCTCTCCTCCACGGCGCTGCCATGGTGTTCATCGACACCATTGGCGCGAACCCGTCGGCGCTGGTCGCCGTCGACCCCAGAGCCATGGAATCGCAGAAGCTGACCTGTCTCGAGAAGCTCAGCGCCCTGAGCAGCTACGATCTGCTGCCACTGTACTTGCAGGAACCGCAGGTGACCATGGAAGAAAAGCTCCTCTTGATCGGCAACTTCAGCATCGACAGGTCCCTGACTCGGAACATAGACGCCGGAGACGAGTTTGGCGTGCCGACCACCAAGATGAATGCCATGCGGGTCGTCAGGGCCCTCCAGGGCACAAAGCCGATTCTTCTCGAGGGAAATCCAGGAGTCGGCAAGACAACGCTCATTACAGCCCTGGCACGGGCCTGCGGGAGGCCACTGACTAGAATCAACCTCTCGGACCAGACGGACTTGATGGATCTATTCGGCACAGACGTCCCGGTTGAGGGCGCCGAGGCAGGCAATTTCGTGTGGCAGAATGCTCCTTTTCTGGAAGCCATGCAAAACGGATCCTGGGTGTTGCTTGATGAGATGAATCTGGCGTCTCAGACGGTGCTCGAAGGCCTGAACGCATGCCTCGACCACCGTGGAGAGGTCTACATTGCAGAACTCGACCAGGTGTTCAAGCGGCATCCCGACTTCAGGCTGTTCGCCGCCCAAAACCCGCACCACCAGGGCGGCGGCCGCAAGGGCCTTCCCAGCTCCTTTGTGAACCGCTTCATCGTCGTCTACTCGGACGTGTTTACTAAGCAAGATCTGCTTCACATCACGGCTAAGAAGTTCCACAACCTCGGCGAGCAGACTCGGCACCAACTGATTGAGTTTATCTCGAAGCTGGACGATGCCGTCGTCACGGACAGGGCATTTGGCTCGCAGGGGTCGCCGTGGGAGTTCAACCTGCGAGACATTCTCCGGTGGGGGGGTTTGTTGACGTCGCAACATGCCCTCCTGGGAGGCAGAAAGCCAGACGACTACCTGGACGTCATCATCCGCCAGCGCTTCAGGTCGGATCGCGACAGGCTCGAGGTCGACAGGCTCTTTTCCAGCGTCTTCCAACGGACCCCCGAAAGCCACAGCCTCTACCACGACATCAACCCCCACTTTGCTCAGGTCGGGCTCGCCACGCTGCAACGGAACCCGCTGTCTCAGCTGACACCCTTTCCCTGCATCGACCCGGTGCCCAAACTGAAGGAGATCGAGTCTATCTTGATCGCCATCGAGCAGGACCTGCCGTGCATCCTTGTTGGTCCGTCGGGAAGCGGTAAGTCGGCCCTCCTGGCCCACGTCGCTGCCCTGGCTGGAAAGGCCCTGGTCATCTTCCCTCTCAATTCCGACGTCGACACGATGGATCTCATCGGAGGCTTCGAGCAGGCAGACCCCCACAGGGAGCTTCGGACGTGTCTAGCCAAGCTGGGCCGCGCCCTTCAAGACCATATTCTACGCGTCGTCCCGAGCCCCGTGTCTGGCTCGTTGGTTGACCTGCTGAGTCTGCTAAACTCTGCCACGGAAGATGAGCAACGATTTGATAGCATCCTGTCCATGGTTGAGGATCTGGAGAACGACACGTCCCTGGCCGACGAGCTCGCCGCTCTGCTCGCCGAGGCATCTCAACTGCTACGCAGCGACTTGACCATGGAGAAGCCGCGTTTCGAGTGGCTTGACGGTGTCATTGTCCGGGCCGTCGAGACGGGCGCCTGGCTGGTTCTCGATAACGCCAATCTCTGCAGCGCCTCGGTGCTTGACAGGCTCAACTCCCTCCTCGAACGTCCAAACGGCACTCTGAGCATCAACGAGCACAGCAGCCCGGGCGGCGAGCCGAGAGTGGTCACGCTGCACCCTGACTTCAGAATCTTCCTTACCGTCGATCCGCGCTATGGCGAGCTCTCCCGGGCCATGCGGAATCGTTCGATCGAGATCTACCTCGACGGGACGCCCCCGACCACGGCCAGCGCTGACCACATTGCCACTGTCGGTGGCAGCTTGCAAAGGTTCCACAGAGCAACCAAGTTGCTGGACAATTCACCACACGAGGAGCTGCTTGCCCCCCTGGCCTTTGACCTTGTCTCTCTTGGGGATACAAAGGTGCTGGATTCGTTTGCGTCTTCGTCCTTGGTACAGTCGTCGGCTGCCAGCCAGAAACTGGGCCAAAACAAGTCGTACGTGGACTCGGACGACGCGGCTCCTCTGAGGAAAGCCGTCTCGGATCTCTATGGCTTGTCCCCAGACAGGATGCTGATGCCGCTGCATCCCCTTCTCAACGCCCCCATTGTCCCGCTCCTGGAAGCAGATCGCGAAGGGCTTGCATACTGGGTAGCCACTTGCTACGAACTTTACCTCGACATGCAGACGCTGCAGAGCACCATGGAAGCCCAGCTCAGCAAGGTCAACCTCAGCAAGCCGTCTCTGATGAACCGCCTGCAGAGGTCCTGGGTTGCGGACAAGGTCGCCTCGCTCTCCAAGGACTCGACCGTCAACGCGGTGCGCTTTCTGTCCTCGTTTATGCAGGCAATCAAGGCCTTTCTGTTCGAGCACCTAGACGACCCCGGCGCCTGGAAGGAGCGCCGCTTAGCACTGAGGCGGTTGATGGTCTTCTGGAGACGCACACTCGAGTCTCTGACCGCAGCCTCGTTTGAGGAGGCGCGGTTCCAGGCTCACCTCACCCAGGGGTCCGACTTCCTGCAGCGCACCATGTTGGCTTCGCCGGAGCAGCGGGATCAAAAGATGCTCTCGACGCTCGCTGGGTTCCTCGAGCGCGATTTTGTGCTCGGCTTCAAGCTACTCACGGGCCTCAGCATGGAGATCCTCTGGAACCGGCTGCGTCCTGACCCCATCCCGGATTTGCAGACCCTGGGGCAGGTCATGCAGATGGAGCGCCTGGCCGACCGCTTTGACTCGCTGCGCTGGAGAGTGGATGCCACCATCTCGACGCTGCGGAACGTGCAAGAGTCCATGGCACGAGCGTACTCGTTCGTCAGGACAGGCAAGGGAGATGGCGCTTCCCTGGTCAAAGATTTGGAGGCTGAAATATCTGTTCTCGAGGCCGGAATCGGGCAGCATTCGGGAGAGCACCAGCCTTTCTTCGCGTCCAGCTTTGAGGGCCTCAGGCAGGCCCTTGTCCTCCATCAAATCTCACAGGACATCGGGGTGCTGCCGGGCTCGTCGGACATCGACGTGCTCTCGAGCATGCCGACTGTCGGCCTGATGCGCCTTCAAAGCACGGGACGGACCGCTCTAGAGTCAGTCGACTGCATCTTAGCCCAAGACACCGACGTCCGGCCCTGGGGCGGCGCACTGTCCAAGTCGCTGCTGCTTAGATACGACGCGGCAGCATCGGCCAGTCTGCGTGAGCTCCGCTCTCTCGAAGTCGAGATACCCATCATGGGCAAGGCTCTCGCCGGAGCATCCGAGGCGCTGGCGGCAGACCCTCTCAAGAAAGCAGAGCACCTGCTGCTGAAGCTCATGGGCGAGGTCATCTACGCCCACGACGACTCATGCAGCGGCGAGGTCGCATCGCTCTACCAGGACCTCTTGGACAGGGGCGACTTTTCCACCTTCTATATCGCGGGACCTGAGCTGTGGCTCGAACACGCGGATCTCCTCCAGGGTCTAGGAGATGGCTGGCCCCAACATCTCGTCGAGATCTTCAAGGGACATTTCTTCAGGGCCCTGATGGCGCTGGCCGGCGCAGCCAAGGGCCTGCAGCCGAGAGCGGCATACACGTCAGTTGCGTGGGTTCAGTTCTCCCTGGCCTGTGTCAAGCTCTTCGTGCCCGACAAGGTCTTCGATCCCCACAACCGGGCCCAGGTCGAGGCAGACGAACACAGCGAGATGCACCAGCACCTGCAGCAGCAGCTAGCAGCCCTCGAGGCGTTCCAGCTAGCTTTTACGGGACAGCAGACCAGTATCCGGACCACGCTCCTCACTGAGGAAGCGCTAGCGCTGGGCGAGCCGCCACATGTGCAGTCTATCTACCGACCCGGCGGCGCCGAGCTCCGCAGCCTACAGGGCGAGTTCAACAATGTGCTCAACATGCTGCTCCGGAACGACGTGTCGGCGTTGCACTTGCGGTCCATGTCGGCATCGTCGGAAGAAGCCGCCCAGGAGCTAGCTCTCATCGAGCAGAACGTAGTTCTCCTGATTAGCCGCTTAGTGTGCCGCTACGATGCCTACCGAGACCTGACGATGCCCTTGGTTAGCTTCCTTCGCTGCCTCCAGATGGGCTTGTCGCTGGGCCGCGCAGCCATGCCGGCCGCTGCACCCGCGTCACCCGAAGAGGGCAACTCCCAGGCCCTGCTCACCATCACCCCCTTCCTCAGCGGCACCGTGTGGAACGCCAAGGCCAGCAGCCTGCCGCTTCGCTCGTTCGAGTTTCTCGCCTTTGTGCAGGTCGTCACGGCGGTGGAGGGGCTCGACAACCTCCCCGCCTTCCTCCGGCAGTCGCTCCACGAGTCGCTGGCCTCGTACCACGAGGAGTGGAGCAAGAAGCTCGAGGCCGACCGCAAGATCGAGGAGGCCCGGAGGAGCCTGTTCAAGTTCAAGGGCAGCCTGGAGGACGAAGAGGAGTTTGACCAGGAGGAGTTCAACCAGCTGTTCCCCAACTACGCCACCGAGGACAGCACGCCCAAGCAGAGACGGCAGCAGCGCGGGGGCCGCGACCTGGCCATCATGCTAGCCGAGGCCCACGAGAAGATCTTCCTGCCGTCCCGAGACGCCCAGCAGAGCATCCAGGCCCTCTGCGCGCAGGTGGCCCGCAAGGTGGCCCACGAGAAGCGCCACGAGGTGGTGGGCGAGCCCGAGCTCGACAGGCTGCTGCTGCCGGCCGCCATCATGACGTTTGACGAGCAGTCGCGGGCCTTTGAAGCCAACGTCGGGTCGGACAACTACAACTTCTACACCGATGCCAACCTCGTCGAGGTTCGCAAGATACTAACCCTTGCGAGCGCCATCAAGAAGCGCTTCCAAGAGCTACAGGCCGTCGACGAGATCGGCCACCATCAGACGCTGGCCGACATCACCACGGCCTGCGACCACGTGCTAGACATGGCCATTGACGATCCGCTGGCCATGGTCATGGTTAGCGTCGAGCGCCTGCACTCGTTCGTCTACGAGTGGCACGAGGGCGGCTGGGCCACCCGCGCGAACAAGGCAACCGTGCTGTACGAGAGGCTCCGCGACACCATCTGCGACTGGCGCCGCCTCGAACTGTCGAGCTGGTCGTGCCTCTTCGACATGGAGGCCCGCAAGAACCACGACGAGGCCAAGTCGTGGTGGTTCATTGCCTACGGCGCCGTCATCCTCGAGCCGTTCGCCAGGCTGCAGGCGGGCGAAGACCTCAACGACCACGCCGTCAAGCTCCTGGCCATCCTCGAGTCGTACTTTACGGGCGCCAATGTCGGCCAGTTTTCCTCGCGCCTCGGTCTGCTGAGGCAGCTCAAGAGCCAGCTCGAGCTGCTTGTGCTAGACGAGCACGCCCTGGCCACGGTCCGCGACGCCGTGCAGAACTTTATTGTCTTCTACAGCCGTTTCGAGGCCAAGGTGGCCAACACGATCCGCGCCGGCAGAGCGCCGCTCGACAGGAAAATGAAGGACGTGCTACTCCTCTCCAAGTGGCGCGACAAGAACATCGAGTCACTCCGCGACAGCGCCAAAAGATCCCACCAGAAGCTCTTCAGGCTCGTCCGCAAGTTCCGCCTCGTGCTCCAGCAGCCTGTCAAGACCCTGACCGACCAGGGCCTCCCCGACGAGGACCACCCCAGAGTCGGCGAGTCGCTGGCCGTGCCCGTGGTTTCTACCTCGCCGGCCGACAGCAACGCCGTCCTTGTCTGCCATCAACTGGTCCCCGCCATACAGGAACACGCTCAGTGGGCGAGGATGACCAACCTCGGCGCCGTTCTCAAAGCCATGTCCAAGCACGGCTCGTTGCCTGCCTCGGTCATTGACGCGTCCGACACCCTGGACGAGTACATCACGGAGCTGGTCTCGAACATGGCAGCTCTCAGGAAGGAAACGCCCGGCCTGCTGACGGGCGAGAACAAGGGCTTGGTCCAGCATCTCAAGACACGCAAGACGACGCTGTACAGCGATACCCTCAAGACGCTCCGCGCCATGGGCTTCAGCCGAAACCTCGGCACCACCCTCCTTGCGCGCCAGAGCTCGACCCAGCTGGTCCTCGTCGGCTCGGGGCTCGTCCCTTATCTGAGCGGCTCCGCGCTGGACGCCCTCGAGTACTTTTACCACAAGACGCTAGACCTAGCCCCGCGAGTCCGGCACGCGACTCTGGACCACTCCGACGACCTCAATCGCGAGCTCATGAGCCGCAGCATCGGCTTCTTAGAAGGCATCCTGCACGTCATGTTCCGCCAGCGCAAGTACCTCTCGCGCGCCGCCACGGCCGAGCGAGCTCTCGACCGAGCCATCGCCGCCGTCGCCGAGCTCTCCAAGAGCGACGGCCGAGTCATTGGCCCGCAGAAGCGTCTGACAAACCACCCCCAGCTTCTGCGCTGGCTGGTCCAGGTCCTCAAGTTTGGCGCACACCTGGTCGAACTCCATGCTAAGCTCGGAGGCGGCAACAATCAACATGTGCTTGGGTTGTTCCAGGGCTGGGTCCAGACATTCACGGCACTCGATGCTGCTCAGGACAATCTTCCCCGTCTCCCGGTGGGCTTCAGCTCGACGGCCCATGATCAGCTCCAGGCCGACGTGGAGAGAGAGCTGGAGGCCTTCCGCCTGGGCTTGGAACAAGTCCTGCGAGAGAGACCCGACCTGGCCTTTGTCATGAGCCAAGTCCAGCTGTGGACTGGCTCGCAGACCTCGGATGTTGCGATCGAGCTCGAGGGAGACGGCATCGACAACTTTGCGGCGTCGGCCCTGACGCTGTCGAGCAAGATCCTGGTGGCGGTGCAGAACTTCCAGAGGGCCTCCCAGGCCATGCCCCAGGCGCCAGACGACGCTTCGTGGTTCGTCAAGTACAGCGAAGGGCTGGAAAGATCCATCGACGCCTTCCAGATGGTCAAGATCGCGGCCGAGGTCGACGCGCTCGTCGCGCTGCTCGGAGCCATGGACAGTGGCCACGCGGCAGTCGGACAGGCGGCAACGGCACTGCTACGACTCATGCTCCCGGTTTTCGAGCAGTATGCCGCGGCGTGCCGGCAAAACCTCGCCCGCTACGGTGACCTGCACCGCACAACCTCTAGGCTAGGCTATACTCTCAGCAGCTCGTTTGTACAGATCGCGGCGCAGGGGTTCTGCACGCCGCAAGAGAAGAGCGACGACAAGACCAAGGAGTCGGGCGACGTCGAGAACGGCACCGGCCTCGGAGACGGCGAGGGCGCCGAGGACATCAGCAAGGACATCAAGCCTGACGAGGACCTTGAGGACCTGGCACAGGACCCCAACAACAAGACGCAGGGCGACATCGAGGACAACGAGGACGCCGTCGACATGGGCGAGGGCGAGCTCGAGGGCGACCTTGGCAGTGTTGCTGGGGAGGACGAGGACAAGGAGAAGGAAGACGGAGATGACTCGGGTGATGAGAATGGAGACGACGAGAACGAGGAGGCGGGCGACGTCGACGACCTAGATCCCACGGCTATCGACGAGAAGATGTGGGATGGCAGCGACGAGGACGACACCGAGAAGGACCAGCAAGGCGACAAGTCTGCCGGCAAGGAAGAAGACGACAAGACGGCTGCTGGCGCCGACGACCAAAAGGATAAGAAGGGCGAGGAGGAGAAGATGGACAGGGAAGACAACGCCGAGCAGCAGCAGGGCGACGACGACGAAGACGCCGACGGAGACCCCGGCCAAGAGCAGGAGCAGGAGGCCCTCGCCCAAGAAGAGCTCAACCGCCAGGACCAGAACGTGCAGGAGAACGACACGTTAGCTCTGCCTGACGACATGAATATCGATCTTGAGGATGAGTCGGCCAGCGGAGATGACGACAATCTCGATGATCTGCCTGAGATTGATGGCGCCGAAGATGAGCCCGAGGTGGAGGACGATGGCTCTGGGAAGGGAGACGAGGATGAGCGGCCTGGAGAGGAGCAGCAGGATCAGTGCGGCTCGGAGGATGAGATTGATGATGCGGAGGAGGAGGACGTTAACGCCGTTGGTGGTAATGAGGAGGTGGATGATGTGGAGATGCAGGACGAGGAGGCAGGCGAGCAGGAGGACGAGGACAAGGACGCGGACAAGAGCAAGCAGCAAATGGCCGATGACGGAAACGCAGCCCCTACCGACGTGCAGACGGGCGGCGGCCAGACCGAAGAGGACGCCGACAACCTGCAAGAAGAGCAACCGGACAACAAGGCGGCCCAGAGAGACCAGGGCGCGCTCGGCAAGCAGCCGTCAGACCAAAAGACGGCCGCCGGAGAACAGGGCGCCCTCTCGAGGTCTGACCAGGAACAGAGGCCCTCGGACCAGGCAGAGGAGCCGCAGGACTCGAAGGACTCGCAACCGTTCAAAAAGCTCGGGGACGCGCTGGAGCGGTGGTATAACAAGCAGCAAGACATTCGCAGCGCCCAGGACGACCAGGAGGACTCGGGCAAGCCCGACACGGACATGGCCCGCGCCGAGTTCCAGCACCTACACGACGAGAACGCCGAGGCTGACGCCCAGGCGCTCGGCACCGCCACGGACGAGGAGTTGCGTCCGATGGACAACGCCATGGCCATCGACACGGAGATGGACGAGGGCCGCAACCAGATTCTGCCGGACGAGGAAGACAAGGCAGACAAGGCAGACGAAGCCCCGCAAGACGTCGAGATGGGCGACGCCGACGAAGCGCCTGAGGCGCCTAAGACGGACTGCGAGGACGGCCGCTCAGGCGTGTCTACGCGCAAGGGCGCGTTTGACGCGGACGACAAGCTGCCCCGCACCAACGCGCCGTCAGGCAAGCTCGACGACGAGAAGGTGCAGGAGACGTCAACGCAGCTGTCAGCGACGCACATCAGCGACGAGGCGGGGCTGCGCGGCTTCTCCGAGGCCATGGACATGTGGACGGCCTTCCAGACCAAGACGCAGGGGCTCTCGCAGTCGCTGTCGTCGCAGCTGCGGCTGATCCTGACGCCGACACAGTCGACCAGGCTGTCGGGGTCGTTCCGGACGGGCAAGCGGCTCAACATCAAGAAGATCATCCCCTACATCGCATCGAGCTACAAGCGCGACAAGATCTGGATGCGCCGCAGCATCCCCAGCAAGCGCGCCTACCAGATCCTGCTGTGCGTCGACGACAGCAGCAGCATGGGCGACAACAGCTCGGGCCGCCTAGCCCTCGAGTCGCTCGTCATGGTCACGCGCGCCCTGACCACGCTCGAGGTCGGCCAGGTCGGCGTGCTCGGGTTCGGGACTGACGTCTTCGTGGCCCACGAGCTGACGGAGCCGCTGGCCTCGCACGACGCCGGCGCCCGCATCCTGCAGCGCTTCACTTTCGATCAGCAGGGCACCGACATGTGCCGCCTGCTACGCACCACCATCGACCACTTCGCCGCCGCCCGCCTAACGCAGGCCGGCGCCGCCACCGGCGCCGAGGACCTCTGGCAGCTCGCCCTGATCCTATCCGATGGGCTCGTCCAATCCAAGGACCACGCCCGTCTGCGCCCCCTCCTGCGCGACGCCATGGAGCAGCGCGTCATGGTCGTGTTTATCGTCATGGACGACGCCGCTTCGTCTTCTTCTGCGGGTGTTGGTGTCCGTGGCACGAGCGTCCTCGAGCTCAAGGAGGCCCGCTTCGGCCCAGACGGCATCCCCGTCATCCACAGATACCTCGACTCGTTCCCCTTCCCGTATTACCTCATTGTTCACCACCTCGACGACCTACCCAGCGCCCTCGCTGCGCTGCTGCGCACGTGGTTTGCCGAGGTCAATTCGTAGGCTTTGTAGTCTGTGTGTGTTAGGGGGATTTATGTTTGGGGGGGGGGGGGGGGGGGCGTTTTGTTTCGTCTTAAAAGTGGAAAAGGGAAAAGTTGATTGTGTATTATAGGTGTTTGCTTTTGTTTCCTCTTTTGTTTCGTTGTATCTGTGCTTCTCCCGGCACAATGAATAGGGGGGGAAGTGTTGTTGGTAGATAAATAAACAAAAGTTTTAGATTGCTATTAAGGGAGAAGGGTTGACAGATGAGATCGATAGATACCTTAGATATTATTTCGTCTATTCTAGGAAGGACTTTCACTGTAAGGTTTATTGCCACAGTGAATGTGGGTTATGATTGATCAACCGTCACCGTGAACACTTGAATGAGTACAATTAATCTGGATAAATATCTATATTCGAGGATGAAGATGCGAGTTTAAGTGCCTACCTTAGCAGCTTGATAGTTAGTGTTGGTTGTTTGGCTAGGTATGTATTAAACTATCAAGATAATCTATAAGTCGTATGTATGCGGTTGATGTTAAAGTGTCATGGTATCTACAGGCTGTGATGTGCGTCGTGTTGTGATGTGCGTCGTGAGGGGTGTTCACTGTAAGATACGTGCACAGATGGATACTTGAGGGTGAGTGAGACTAGTTTCTTTGGGTCTTGACCTAGATATTGAAATTGAAATGGCGAATATCAACTACCAACCACCGTGTGAATATTCTCTCAAAGTTCGAGTGAATATTATTAAATATGTAAAGAAGTTAATAGATAGATAGTTAATACTTGCTGAAACCATCACGTCTTGTATTCGGAACCAACTCTCCTTTGGCCGTTGACAATACTTTATTTAGTACGGGTTAGTCTGAGACTTGATTTGGTTGTGACTCGTCTTTAACTAAGATACAACTCAGTTGGAACAACTATTTAACTTGATTGCAACTCGTACTCAATCAAGATACAACCCAGCAAGAACTGGGGCTTAATCTAGATATAGCTAGTATTTAACTAAGAAATAATTCCGTTCAAACAAAGACTCGACTTGGTCATAACTCGTGTTCAACCAAGACGTAACTCAGCTTGAACCAGAACTTGAACTGAACCCAAACCCGAACAAAAACGTAACATAAGAGTACATTAGGTAGCAAAAAAACCAGCTCTTGCTCAGACAAGTCAAGCATAACACAACCCCAACTCGAATCTAATTCGATAGAACTCTTGTCCGAGCTAAATAAAGCTCAAATAAAGGTATACTCATAGACAGCCACCTTACCTTACCTAGGAAGGCCAACACCAGACCCCAATCAGCACCTCCCAGTCAAGAAATAAAACCACCACCCAACTTACGTACCTACGAATCTAAACTAAACAACCCCCAGCCTGTCAGCCAGATGTAAAAGTCGGACACCCAGAGCATAGTAGTTACTTTAGTTACACACGTCACTAATTTTTAGAGAATCCATTCGTCATCTCCATCGAAAACAACCGACCCCCACACAGTATTATATCTACATACCATGACAGTGAAATTGTCAACACCCATACATGTACTCATGTATACCCTGCTATCACCATACACACACTAAAATAAACGCAATTACATCATCATTTCCGCGGCGCAAGAAAGAGAGAAAAAAGCAAACAGTTCAGGTACCCAAGACACCACCTACAGACATGTTGTATGTTTTATTCTGTCTGCTCTAATCATGAACGATTTCCAACAATTAGATCCATCACTAAAGTAAAATGGCATCAAAGTAAAATGGCATCAAAGTAAAATGGCATCAAAGTAAAATGGCATTGCATATACCCCATCATCACCATGCACACGCTAAGAATATCTCATCTACATACACACATACTTAATTAACCGCAGAGCGTGTACGTAGTATGAATAGCATGCAGGGTGAGCGTGGGACGAATCTGCCATATCCTGCGCCGTCCGTCCCTGGCCGATGTCGCGACAGCTATAAGTCTAGAGGGGGGTGCTGAGCTAAGTCTGTCTACCTACTTATCAATCTACGATATCTGATATCTTGACTGCATACTAGTACTCATGGCTCCTCGGCTTTTAAACGCCCCAGCAAGCCGGCCAGACCGTCAGAAATACGCAGGCATGTATTCAGTAAAAGAAGCCACCGGTCCAGCCCCGCACCGAGGCCCTTTCTTAACTCGCAGTTCAGTTGCCACTAGAAAGTATATATATATAAATCTAACACAGTTATAGACACCGGCCCGAAAAAAAAAACAGCAAAGTTAGTACATCATCTCCCCATCCGCGCTGTATTCCTTTCGTGTTCCCCGCTTAAGAGAGACAAAAAGCCAAGGAGACGAGAAAAAAGCGTAAGCGCAAAAAAGAATTATGCAGAGAGACGCGTGGTGAGAAGAACCAAAGAGAAAAATCCAAATAGACACCCCAAGATCATTTTCCTCCTTTCCCCGTCCTCGTCCTCGATCCCACCACACCCCGTCCGTCGGATTCATTGATCCAGCTATCCGGCCACCTCGGCGGCCGGGCCCGTGTCGGGTCTTCGTATCCACAGTAAATATGCAGCTGATAGTGCAGCCATGGGCAGCATGCTGCGCGCAAAATGTGGCGGGCTTTCTGAGGCCTCTGGCCGTTTATCGCGCGGATATGGCGAAAAAAATAGTCCAACATGATCTAACCTGGTTAGTATATTTCAAGTTAGGTGCACAAAAGGCTCCAGCGACGATTCGCTCGTGTCTAGCATCGAATCTTGTTGCTGTGACGGCCCCGGCTGCTGCTGGTCCTGTTCGTCCTGCGGTAGCTGGCTATTGTTGTCCAGCATGCCCTGCACGAGCTCAATGTCGCTAATGGTGTCGTTGAAGACGGACGTCAGAGTGGACAAGACCGTCATACGGTTCCACTCGTTGCGTGTCTTCCATATCTCGTCCATAAGCTCCCGGTTGATCTGCTCCAGCTGCTCCACGCTGCAGCCGGACGTGCGGTCTGCTAGCGTCGCCAGAAACTCGTTGATCTTCCCCTCGTGCATCACGGGCTGCTGCGACGAGCCTGAAGAGACCGTATTGCGCAGCGAAGAACTGCTGGTGGTGGTGGTATTTACGCTGTCGTTCAGAATGTTGTTTAGGCTCGTGATATTGGCGGATTTGCCTGCGACGGCCTGCGACGACGTCGGGCTGTTCTCCTCGATCAGCCCGCCCGAGAACTGCTGGTGCATCTCCGGGCGGGGCGGCAAGATACCCCGAACGATGGCCGCCGCCTGCGAGTGCGCCCAATCTCTCCCGCTAGAGGTGGCCTGGCTCGGGCCAGAGAGGCCCTGGTCTTGAGTGTCGACTAGCTGCGAGTCCGGATTCCCGGCCACGCCGTTGGTGTTCTGGGTGCTCCAGTTATTCGACCGGGTTGTCGAGGGATCCGACGTCTTTGTAGTCGAGGCGTCGTTCAGAATGGCAGATGGAGATACACCTGCCGGCACAGCCGTCAATGCCGAACGCTGAGATATTTGCGTCCCGGCTGTTGCCACCGTCGAGTCTCCGAGCGGCCGGGGCTCTAGCCTCCAGCGGTGTGGCTCGTTCAGGTCTGCATTGTGACCAGAGTGAGGATGCGTGTTGTCGAGTCCTCCCATCTCAACGTCGTCGCCGTCTGGGTGGGAGGGCGCCGACGTGCCGTTAGTTAGGGGCCGAGACTCCGAGGAACCGGCATGCCCATTCGGTGGCGGACTCATCATTGGCACAAACCGAGCGCCCGTCGTTGCGGTATCCAACACGGCGACCCCCACAGGCCCCGCCGAGTCGCTGTCGGCGTCGCCGTCTCCCCCCACATCGGACTGCACTAGGTCAACGACTTCCTGAAGGGCCTTCTTCTTGCGTGCCCGTTCCTCTGCCTCCTTGGTCCTCTGGACCTGCCGCTGGTAAATCTCCTCAAATCGGATTCCTTGGTTTGCCAGCGTCTGTGAAATGTCATGCACGTCGACTTCCACGTTGGTGCGAAGTTCGTTCGCCTTCAGCGTCCGCTCGCGGTCTCCGAAAGTCTTTCCGTCAATATAGAGCTTGTTGATGTCCTTGTAAAAGTCGACAGGCCTAGCGTAATAGCCATTGGCTAAGCGCTCCTCGATGGTACTAGTCTCGAGGTTGTAAAACAATTTGCCCGTCGTGATCTCAGTGAAACATTGCACTCCATCCTTATCGTGCGTCAACGCGTATGGGCGAGGCATGTTATCAGGCACATCAGCACGAACGAAGTTCGGTTGTGCTTCGTCTATCAAGTATTGAAGACTTCCTTGGCTGACCAATGGCGTCCTGAACTTCCGGTATTTGCGGTTGATCTGGTCCATGATCGGCTGCAGTCGCATCTTCAGCAGATTTAGATGGTGGAGGTCGGTTTTGCGCTGGGCCTTGATCTCCTCCTTGGTCAATGTCCTGGGCGGCGGTGGCGGCGCGACCGGAAGCACCTCGAGTACTCGCTTTTTCCGGTCCGAAGGATCCGGAAACTCGGTAGGCGACTTCCTCAGATGCACGATGATGTTCTCGAAGAACTCAAGCCGGTTCTCCCGGCCGGGGCGATCAACGATGACGCGGTTCCGTTTGGAGAAGCCAAAGAGCTCCTTGAGGATATCGGGGGCGATAGACGCGGGCGCCACCTCGGACGTTGCCATGAGGAGGACAGGGTCCGCGGGTGGGATGCTGCGCATCATCGTGGTAAATGTAGTAATGGCCGCCTCACCAATGCTGGTCCACCAGACGTCGATGTTGGGGACGTAGATGATGCTGGGTCGATGGCGCTTCACTTCTGTGAAGAGACTTACAATTACCTGTTCAAGCGGCTGCGCAATATTTAGCATAGATTCAACGTGCAAACTTGGGATTACGAGGTACGTACGCGACCGTCGCCAAGCAGGGTCGCAAGGTCCATCGTCTGGACGTGAACACCCTCCATGTGGTGCAGCACGGCGCCTGCCAAGTAGTTCTGGCCCATTCCAGGCACGCCGCAGATGAGCAGCCGAGGCCGGAAGATGCGAGAGCGCTCAAACTCTTGGTGCATAGCCTCGCGGCCAAAGCCATGGTCCGCGTCTTCGAATGGCTCATACATGGCCTCGTCAAGCGCCGTCATCTTCTTGGGGCGGGGCATGATGTTCTCCAGCACCTTGGTGATTGACTGGTACTGGGTTCTCAGGAGCGGCTCAACGGAGCGCGGGAGCGGCGTCGCCGACGACGAGGCCGACCGCTCGGAAGAGGGGATCATCTTCTTGACCGAGAGCATGAAATCAGTGGCATGGATCGTGATCTTCTCCGGATCCACCACGAGCTTCTCCTGAGACGAATAGATCTGGGGGTAAGTTCGCTGGATGGCGTTGAGAGCTGCCTCAGTGCAGAGGGCGCGAAGATCGGCACCTCCGTACCCTTTGGTATTCTCGGCCAGGGCGTTCTTGAAATCGCCAGAGATGCCCCAGTCTTTGGTGTGGATATCGATAATGGACCGCCGGCCCTCCACATCTGGGAGGGGAAAGTAGAACTCTCTGTCGAAGCGACCCGGTCGGCGCAGCGCAGGATCAATGTTGTCGGGGCGATTTGTCGCTCCGATCACGATGACCTGGCCTCGACCATCCATGCCGTCCATGAGTGCCAACAGTGTCGACACGATGCTGGCGTGGATCTGTTCCTGTTTACTAGAGCGCACTGGAGCCAAGCCGTCAATCTCGTCAAAGAAGATGATGCTTGGTTGTGTTCTGCGGGCTTCTTCAAAAAGCAGACGCAGCTGTTTCTCAGCCTCGCCGACCCATTTGCTGAGGGCGTCGGCACCCTTTCGCATGTAGAAGCTGATCTTGCGGCCTCCGGATCCGACGGAATTAGCAAGAGCTCTAGCGAGGAGCGTCTTACCGGTACCAGGAGGACCGTGGAAGAGAACGCCACGGGGTGGTGTGACGTGGAATTTGAGGAAAAGCTCAGGGTAGAGGAGAGGCAGTTGCACCATCTCCTTGAGCTGGTCGATGTGGCCTTGCAAGCCTCCGACCTTGCTGAAGTCGACATTCAGGTCGACCCCGAGAGGATCGGCGTCGGCGAGGGCCTTCGTGTTCTTGACCTTGCCCACGTTGGGAGTCGCTCCGCCGACAGCCAGTGGGCCGTCGGTTCCGTGTGACTGAGCGGCGGCGCCGAAAAGGCCTCCTCCGGGTGCTGCGGCCGAGGTTGGCGTCATGCCAACGGCGCCCCCAAGCCCGCTCCGCTGCACCATCTCATCGTCGCTACTGTCCGAATCAACACCGCCAGTGGCCCCAGTGCCCCAAGGGCCCGCTAGCAGGGACCCGGCTCCGCCGCCACCGCCAAATGGCCCGTAGGTATTGTTGATAGTGCGTTCCCAAGACTGATTTCCGCCGTTCTTTCCGCCTTTGCGGGTTCTTGCTGGCGTCTGCGCCGGCTCTTCTTCTTCAGCCTCCAGGGCGGCATAATCAATCGCTGGAATGCTGTAGTCGACCGGCTTGGTACGCCGCTTCTTGGAGGCGCGTTCCTCGTATTGGATAGAGGGAGACCGGTGACGTGTACGTCGGGGCCGCGAGCGGGAGCTCTGCCGCAGCTCTTCGAGCTCTTCGGCCATCTCATCCTTGTCGAGCTCCACCTCTTCGTCGCCAGAGTCGGCCTGGCTGCGACGAGTTCTCTTGGTGCCTCGCGTTTGGCTGCGGGCACCGCGTCCACGAGCAGGAACTGGGGTCGTCGAGTCATCTTCACTAGCATTAGCACTGCGCCTGTTGCTCTTGCTCTTGGCCTTGCCGACAGCTTCCGAGGCCGAAGCTTCAGCCTCGCCAGACTCCTCGCCAGGCTCGAAGTCACTGCTCGGCTCTTGCATACTCTTTTTCCTCCGGAGTCGCGAGGTGCGTGTCCCGCGGCGGGGCTCTGCAGCCTTTTCGACTTCACCTTCACCTTCACCTTCGCCATCGCCATCGCCATCGCCATCGCCATCGGCATCGGCATCCTCAGCAGCGGCAGGCGTCGTTGCAGCCGCTCTTGCTGCACGCGTCCGCCGAGTGAGTGGGCGATCACTATCGTCGTCATCGTCTCCTTCGGTAGGAGTAGCTTCTTCAATCTCGGCTGCATCTCCTTCCTCCTGGTTCTCGTAGGTAGCTTCATCTTCTTGATGAGAGGCAGCATCTTCTTCGTCTTGTTGATCGGCCTTTTCAAAACCGTTCTCTCCATCGCTGCCGACAAGCTCATCGACGTCATCGTCGCGGAAATCCTTGGTTCCCTCTTTAGGGTCGCTCTCCTGGGTTGCTTCCTCAATCGGCTCTGGGAGTTTCTTCAACCCCTTTCCGGCGCGAGTGGCTCTGGTGGCACGACTCATGGCCTCTGGGCTTCTGCTCTTTGAAGCACGCACCGTCTGTACGTGCCTTCCCGAGTTGGAAAGCTCCAACAGCGGCTCTTCCGTCTCCTCGGTGCGAGCTCTAGTGTAGCGACGCGTGGGCGGCGGCATTTGTTGCGCGGCCTCGTCTTTCACGCCTCGTTTTGGTCGTCCCGACGTGCGCATGCTGTTTGGCGCTTTGAGGGTAACAAGCAGCGACAGTCGCTTGCTAGTTTTTTTAATGACTGTATCGTCCGAATCCAGAACTACGCTTTCATCATCCGAGCTCTCTTTGTACGACTGATGTTTGACGGCGGCATGTCTCATTCGGCGGCCAGTTGCATTCAAGGGCAAATCTTCGTCTTCATCATCCTCCTCTTCTTCGTTTTCTCCAAACGAGTCCTCAAGCTCACTTTCTGACAGCTCGTCATCTTCAATGTCGGATCCTCGGTACTTTACTCTCTTACTTCGAGATGCTGCTCCTGGAGTCTTGGGTCGCGGCGCGCGCGACTTCTTGGCCGAGCGACGGGGTCGGTCCTCGCTAGGGTCGAAGTTCTCGTCCTCCGAGTCCGACTTGTTAGGGTCGAACCCGTCGAGAATGTCGCGCTTACGCTTTGCCGGCATTGTGATCGGGATTCGTACAGCTGGGGAACCGTCTATGCTACAGCAGATCGCAAAATCAGGCAAAAAAAGCGCGGCCGAAGAATCTTGCGGGCCGCCGTTGTCACAGATAGGAAGCGAGGAGCTGGACACAAAGTCAGTACATGCTTAGTCGACGGGTAGGTTGGTCGATCAATCGAATGCGCAGACCGAGCAGAGCTGTCGCGACAAACGGCACGCCAGGGGATAGGAGGGCGCGAAGGGGGTGGGAAGCTTGAGGAAGGCGAGGGCAAGATGGGCGCGAGATGAGGCGACAGTCAATAGAAGGAGAGCTCGAAGCAGGAAGTGGAAGAGAGAGGAAAGAGAGGAAAACATACAACTTGCTCGATCGCTAATGGTCAATCAAATGGTTGTACTGCTGGCAGCGCACTGTTGCAGGCGGCGATGCTATTTGGTGGTGGTGAGCGTGGTGGGTAGATTGTTGAGGGGGGCGGTTTATTTCGATGCTGGAAGAGCTCGGTTCGTCGATGCTGTTCACAATGCAGCGGCGATGTCCTCGCACAGCTGGCATAAACAGGACGCGGGCAAACTGCTGCTGCTGCTGCGTCGAGTCGCAGTGGGCTGCTGAGTGAGGGAAGCGGGCTGAGCGGGAAAAAAAGAACCAACAAGCATCAAACGATAGGTACAAAATGGGAAATGCAAACAAGAGAAAATAAAGAAGTTCTAGTCGGCAACTGTCGGCAGCGAAAAATGTAGGGCGCAAGCACGAAGGTTGCAATCCGGCGCGACGCCTAGAAACAGGAGGTTACTTCTCTCATGCTCATGTCTCTGTCTTTGCGGATAACCTGACCACTCAGAAAAACAGGTCGCGCGTTCCATTCGCGGGCGGCGCCCCCAGGGTAGGTGCCAGCCAACCAATCCCGCGCTGCCCCACAATAAAACCCTTTTCAGGGTCAAAGCTTTTTGTTTCCACTTCGCAGGCACCAGCCCACCTCAGCTTTTCCCCCCGCCGCGCCGCCCCACACCCATGGTTTTGCGAATACCCTTCACACTTCGACGTTTTCCCATCACCGCAACCGCGTCGGGAAAAGCACAACCCAAGCCATTGCGGGAGCCCGGTGCACAAAACCCAGAAAATGAAGCCAGGATCTAGCAGCCGACGGCAGTCCGCATCTCGCGGTGCCCATGCGATTGGCCGCAGCCGCATTTGAGCATGGCATTTCCCGTTGCTACTCGTTTGGCCTACAGGTTGGGAAACGCGTTTTGCATCGCGAAGGCGCTGTTCTCGCGAGAAGTGAATATACCAAATGTCGTCATATTTCGTTGCTGCGGTTTTGCGCCCTTGTGCGGGCGGGCGCGCCGAGTTGGACCTCCCCGGGACTGTGGGGAAATCCCAAGTGGAGGCACGCCGATGCGGCTCTAGGTTTGCCGCAAGCAAGGAACAGCTCCACGAAGTCCGCCTTTCCCGCCTTCGGCCCAGCCCTACATTGATAGTGACACTGACAGCCTAAGGCCGGAGAGTCTGGTGAGTGAGGTGGAAAGTAGAGCTGGGCTAGGGTTTGCTGGGGCTGGTTTCTTTTGCTGCAGTAGAGAGGGGACTTGTAAGTTATTAGGGGCACGGAGGGGGAAGTTAGGAAAGGGTCAACAGTCTAGCTGCCGCCTCGTTTGCTTCTACTCTACACTACCAAAACCCTCGAGTTGAGCACTGTGAGTTCAAAGTGACCGAGTCCGTTATTCCCACTCCTAACGAATACAGTTTGATACCTATTTGACATGTTCCCAGCATCTTGGCTCATTGCAAGTCATAAATAAGGTAGGTATCCTGGGGACCAAGGCCGTTCATTAACAGGCTTGGTCTTTCAGGCTCGAGCCAGCCACAGTTTTGCGGCTAGCGATGATAGCGAGGCCAGCCACGGTCTGCCCCAACCATCTCGGCTCGCACTTTGACTTTCCCCAATTCTATACATGTTATTCAACGCCAAATAATCGTCACCCCCCACTCCGGCCACAATAAGAGGGGTTTCAACCCCTGTAGCTTGAAAGAATGTTGCCCAAACTCCTGGGCTGGATTATCTGCGTTTTGCTTGTCTGACTTGCCGGACTTGAGGAAACTGGAGAGGCAGAGCGAGCTTGGCGATGTAGTTCATCCGATCGCCACCCTTGGATTGCTTCACACGAGCTCCAATCTCCAAGAAATACTGAGTGATTTGCTTCTGCTCTAACTTAAGGTCTTCCCGCAAGTCCCAAGTATTGACTTCGAAGTTGTCGATGATGCTGGCAAAAACGCAGCAGTGGGTCATGAGGAGGTCGGTATGTGCCTTGCGCATCACACCGCTGTCTGAGAATTTTCGTCGGATGCTCTCAATGACAATCTCGGGAGCCGGCGCCAGGAGCTCCCTCAGTTTATCTCTTCTGCCTATGCTCAGGGTTCCGCGCTCTTTCCCTTTTGTCGTAGATGCCCAGAATATGATGACCCACAAGAGATACCGCATCACCTTGAGTCTCTCGACGGCATTGTCGTTGCCGGCGACACGGTTGACGCGGCTCGCAACAAACCGAGATGGAACAAGCAACTCCTCTTGTGCTCTCACCTTCTGCTGCCAGTCCATAATAGGTATCGCATTGAGCACCTCCGGGCCGATGAGCTCTGCTGGAATGTAGACGTCCTGGATCTCTTCGGCGTCGTAGTTGCCACGAGGGACCGGCCGGGCTTGGTCGACCTCTGCCTGGAGTTCTTCTCGCGTAGCCATATTTCGAGACCTTTTTTTGATGCTATCGACGATCATTCGGTCGCCCACGGCCAGTTTCTCTCCTGAACCTGCGCCCATGAGGTTGTTTTCTAGCATCGACTGGATCGCTTTCTTCGACTTCCTCGTTCCAAAGGCTTCACCGAGTTCCTGCCTCTTGCTCATCATGGTCTGCAAAGCCCAGTCAGCAAGACAATCAATACCAAAATAGCAGTCGCTCCACAAACCTTTCCGTCAGAGCTCGCTTGGTCGGGAAAGTCGTATGTCCGCACATTGCCCCGGACCGTCAAGTTCTTAGCCTGGATGACTTCCAGATCTCCAGACTCCGGGTCGTATATGCCCACATAGTGATTCAGATATGGGTTGTCTTCGACACCAGTGTAGTCGATTGTCCTGTGAGTGCTGGAACGCAGGATAATCTCGTTTGGTGTGTCATGCTTTCTCTTCTTGGTCGCCGGTCTCTCCTTTTCGTAGGTATCGAACTTCAGGGCGTCGGAGAGGATGATTCCAGGCGAAACAGCTAGTCTCCCAGTTAGAACCGCTTCACGCCGTCAAATATGGTGCTCCGGATTTTCTTACCTACTACTGGGGGCGAAACTTTCAACTTGAAAACCTTGGAGACATGTGCGACGAGCGCGACACGGGGTTCCGTCCGTTGGAGATCAGCTTTCTTGGTATCTTTCCGAGACGACCCATCCCTAGAACGTCTTCTTTTCTCGGCAGGTGAGTCTGTCATTGTGATGTCTATGGCGGGTTATAGTGACACGGTAATTGCGCAAAGCTGCATCACCCACTTCCAAAATTAATGGGCGGCGGGTGGTCTTAAAGTCGAGGGAAGGAGCTAACTTTTTTCTGCCAGCACTGCCGGGCCCGTGCGCTGCCACCAGTCGCTCACCGCCCTCGTCGGCAGCCAGCCCAACCGGAAGTTGCGAGAGTATCACCATTTACTCTGCAGAATTCTAAGAAGCGAAGTGAACAAAACGATTCAGGGTTTGCGAGGATGCTTGCCATGTACAAGTGGTACTGCAGAATTTAGGAAATTGGCCGGGTTTGGACGCAATTGCAGTTTGGAATGCTCCTCCGTCACCAAAACCGCCGCCCCTGGCCTCGTGAGACCTCAATCCAAGAAAGAGGGGTTGGTGTCTGTTAAGCCAGATGTACGTATGACCTATAGTCCGTAATGCGTTTAATATCAATAGCTTATGCGTGAATGAAGTAAGTAAGAAATCATTGACGTCTACAAAGCAATGGCGCGTTTCAGCTCCTGAAACAGGTCACGATGATGACGGTTCGCAGAGCATATCACAAGAACCAAGCCACACAAAATCGCAGTTAAACGGTAAATGTCATCGAAAGCCCAGCTGTGTTTGATTCCCCTGCAAATCTCAAAGATACCGAATATGCATTTGCCACTGTGCCTCCTTACCCTCATAAACATTCCGAATTTCCAGCTCAGCCGTAATAATTGAAGGGCAACCAGCTGCCCCCATTTCCCAAAAATGGACCTCGCCATTTTGTGCCGTAGATTTACTGAACTGTGTCTCCTTTACCGGGAGACATGATCTTGAAAACTGCCGAGACCCCCGAGGGTCTAGGTGCGTTGCGTGGCGATGGGTTGGTCCAGTGGACGACGAGCCTCAATGCGGGTTGACGCCGCGCTCAGTTCGTCAAATGGTGACTCGGCATTATGCCAGATGCTGGTTGGGGTCGAGCGAAGAGACCGGGCGTTTATTTGCTGTTCAGAGTCAGCGCCTGGGCGAGGTCTTGCTTGGAGGTGGCGATAACTCACGATCTAGCCCTCATCTTTCTTCTCTTGCGCTTGAGGCGACGAACGCGCTTCTTTCTCCACTTCGCTCTCATCTTGAATGCTGGGCGAGGTTAGTATTGCGCAAGGCAAACCGCAGCCGTTAGAGGGGTCTTACAATATCGAAGATGAGTTGTGCTTGTTGGTAGAGGAGGAAAAGTTCAAGATATTTTTTGGAGGGGAGCTTTTCTTAACTAGGGCAAGAGGGCAGGAGCCCTGTGGGGTAAGTCATGTGATGCCAGCGCTCGACAGATCCCGCACCAAGTTTTCCTTCCTCCCCCACCTACCTCGGCTCTTGTCTTACAAAGACACCAGGGGGCTCCTTCCTTGCCATAGTTGGGAGCTGTCTGATGGGGACAAATTGTAGAGCTTGGATCCCGGAACACAACTAAAAGTAATTTCCAAAGAACCCCGGTCTGAGCATTTACGAAGCCGAAGCCAGTACTCTGAACCCCCCTCCGATGCCCCCCCAGACACACTGATGCTTTAAATCCGTCATACATGCCACCCAAGGTGCTAGCACATCTCCATATTCTTTTCCGGTAATGCATTGAATATTCCGAGTTGACGTGGGCTGGCTGCCGCAGCGCAGGTCCTTTTCGGAGATACAAGCACACACTCTGGCCGAGAGGTAGATTAATCATTACCCCCGCTTTTCTGTATCGGTTTCTCTTGCGTCGTGATTTTGCCAAAAAGGCCCTACCTAGAGCATGTAGAGAAGGGAGAGAGGCCTAGCAGCATGTATTGCGCCAACCCTCAAACCCGGGCTGAATTGTGGTTGAACCACCGCAGGGAACAACAGTTATGAGGTCGGATAGAGAACAAACTCAAAGCTTTGCACCTGCAGGCTTTGTGCTATCCGCCCTCATCCCTTCGTCATCCTGCTCCTTGACGGTCAGGTCGGGCAGCTGGGTGGGCATGATCCTCCGCGGCGACGCTCCTGGCACTACGGCGTATCTGGAAAAGTCTTGTATCCCGGCGTGGCGCCGGAGGAAGTCCTCGTCCAGCTCGAGCTGGCCGTTGACGACGGCTGCGGGCGCGCGGAGCATGGCCAGGATGGCGTCCGAGAAGATGGTGGGCTTGCGCAGGTCCCGCGCGTATGACGGGTCTTGGCGCGTGAACTTTTCCGTCGCGGCCGACTCGATGGCCTGCCAGCAGGTATATGATCGTCAGTTCTCATTGTAACTATTTCCAGTCGGGGAAGCAAAAGGATAGCCCGTAAAAGAAAAGAATACTGAAATAGGAAAATATTGGAAAGAAAGAGAACAACCAAGGTACTCACCGCGGCAGGCCAAATCCCCGTGACAGCCATACCAAGGCCCCCTTCACCAGTCCCCTGCTGCTGCTGCCTCTCAAAGTCCATGGCCAGCCCCTTGACCAGCACGCTCATGCCAACCTTTCCGACGGCGTAGGCAGTCTTGCCGCGGAAGAAGCGGCTGTAGATGGGCGGACACACCACGACGATGCGCCCTCCTCCCCCAGAAAAAGAGGACCCTTTGAGGTGCGGCAGCGTCGCCTGCACGGCCCCGTACAGCCCCTCGACGTTGACGCGCTGCATGAGCTGGAAGCGCGCTATGGATGTGTCTTCGACTGACGCCCACCAAATGGCGCCGGAGTTGTATACGAGCACGTCCAGGCGGCCGTATCTCTGGACGCACATCAGCAGTTGGTCTTTTTGACTCTTTTTTCCTCAATTCTTCTCGAAATCATACCACCGACAGAGCCTTGCTCAGACAGAACGAGAAAGAAAAAAAGAAGAAAAAAGAAAGCAGTAAGAGAGAAGAAAACACACCTCGACGGTCCGGGCGACGAGCGCCTGCACGCTGGCAAAGTCGCGCGTATCGACGGGGATGGCAGCTGCGTCGCCGCCGGCCTCGCGGATCTCGCGCGCGACCGTAGTGATGGTTGACTGGGGCGAGTTTGGGTCGGGCGGGAACCACGCCGCCTTCTCTGACTTGCCATCGCCGCTCCCCGACTCTGACCTCGCGGCTACGACCACTGTTTGTATTTTATATAAGCCTCTTTTTAGCAAATAGGTGTGTGCTAAAGATGGAAGGAGAAAAGGGGGTGGGGGCTTCACACACCTGCATAGCCGTTTGCGGCTAGGTCGATGGCCACCTGCCGGCCGATGCCCCTGGACGCTCCGACCAGGAGGGCGACCGGTTTGCCGGCGGCGGCAGTGCTGGAACTGCTATTGCTGCTGGCATTGGTCGCCATGTTGAGTGTTGAGAGCTGCCTTGACAGTTGTGCACAGATGGGGCCGTGTAAGGGGGAGACGGGCAGCACTCCTCTCTACTACGTAGCTAACTACAGAGCAACTTAGCGACAGGTAGACAGTGACGAGCGCCCATCTATAGGTAATGCGCCCGCCGGTAGCCCGCACCGGCTTGCAAGTCAACCGAGGCGGCCGGGGGTTTGGCCGAGAGAAGTGGAGCGGGCGAGGGTGGCCGTTCGGCACTTGGCGCGATTACTGATCGAATCTAGCCGGGGCGGGATGTTACGACAGCTCCAAGGCGGGAACCCGTGACTGTCTCACAGACGACAGCCGAGGCGATCCCAATGCGGGGAGCTCACCTAGAATTAGTGCAACTAGGTAGACCTACTAGATGTCGAAAAGAGGCATATACATGATACGGACAAACACGTTTTCCCAGCCGGTTCTTGTGCGTTTTATCCAACTTCAACGACTAGGCTATTGCCCAACGGCCGCCGTCTTGTCCTCCCTCCGCACCTTCTCACCGGCGAACCCCTATTCAGAACCTGCCTACCTACCCTTGTCACAGACATGGCAACCAAAAAACAAACAATCCAGAAAAAGAGGATGGGTGGTCGAATCGAATGCTACCTTGACATCAGTGAGTTCTGTCCCTCAACCAGCATGAAAACCACCGAACATACGCCATGTCCTAGCATCACTAACTGACACGTACGCTACCCTTACCTTCCTCCCTACCCAGCGTCCATGTACAGCTATCTGGGTTTTCTCGAACTGCTCAAAAACCGGGAGGCGCTTGCATCACATAATGTCGAGATCGAGTACGCCGCTCACGCCCGGATTCAGTTTACAAGACAGACAGAGAGCCACTGACACGCGGCCGCACCAAGGTATCACCCCGTGCTGCTCGGCGCCATCAACGCAGAATCAGGCAAGTCGCGTAAATTCTGTTATTCCTTAAACTACCTAAGGCAGATGCAACAGCAAGTGAAAGCATCGCTAACAGCGGCGGGGATGCAGGAAACAAGCCGCCATGGATGCTGCCTGCAAAAGCGACGTACTTAGTCTATGACATGCAACGATCGATAGCTCGCTTTCCTGGTCTCGTGCTTCAGGCCCCAGAGGACCTGATGGCCGTGTCCATGACCGTCGCCGTAAGCTTACATGATCCTCCATATCAATTGGCGGCTTTTCCAAAGCTCGCCGCAGTTGACGGCCGACATTGTCCTTTCATCCGGTATATGGGCACTGACACTGACATTGCTCAGCCGCTGCGAGCTCTCCACTTTATCAAGCGCAAGTACCCCCGCAAGACGTTCGAAACTAGCCTGCACTACCTCTTCCACTGCTTCTGGACGCCGCCCAACGCGAATCTGTGCCCCCCGGAAAACCTAGCCACAGCCCTGTCCGAGGTGCCTGCGGATTTCGGCAGTATTCCGGCAAGAGCCAGCAGCACAGCGGCGCCGCTTTTCAGCGCAGACGAGGTGCAGGCCATCGTGGCAGCCACGTCGTCGCAAGAGGTCAAGGAGCAGCTCAAAGCAGCTACCAAAGAAGCTCTCGACCGAGGGGCATTTGGCAACCCTTGGCTGTGGGTGACTAACAATCGCACGGGCAAAGCCGAGCCCTTCTTCGGAAGCGATAGGTACGTGCCGCGCCACGTTGCACCACCCTGGCATTCCAAGAGTGGCATTGCGACAAGAACTCATCTCTGTTCGTGCATGATGTAGATTCCACTTCGTCTACAAGTTCCTGGATCTCCCTTTCCAAGACGTTACCCTGCTGTCCTCTTCTCTGGAACAGGTGAGTACGGGGGATAAGCCGAAGCTTTGAGGCTCCTCCAAGGTTTGAGCATGTAAGGTGGGGCGTTCGGAATCTGTATTGCAGTAATACTTCCATAGACGGGTGAGCGCCAAGTGCAGCAAATTAAGACGGAAAGATGGCCAGTCGTAGTATATTTGGACGCTGGATCGGCAGGCGGATACCGTAGGTTGTCGGTGCGCAAAGTGGCCTAGATGCCGTGCAGGCACTGTGTAAGCTCGTCTCCTGACCTCGAGCAAAGTCGCGATAGTGAGGCCGTAGGTAGCCCGCATTGCTGGCTTCATGTCTGGCCAGCGAGCCGAGCTCGTCTTGCATCCTCGTCTCTCTTGGCCTCGCTTCTTGCCAAGAAGTCTTGGCGCGCCGCAAAAGAGTCCTTGGATTTGCCCGCGAGATCAAGCTCGTCCTTGATGCCTTCTTTGTCCACGAATCCGGCCCAGTCCATGCGGCTCTTCTCGACAGTGTTGAGTTTCTTGGCGCTGGCCTCGTTGGCGAGATCCCTGGCCCGCAACCTGACCGACATGCCCAGGTTGAGGTCAGACCGCTGTAGAGACTGGTCGATGATGATGGGCTCAAACGCAGAGCGGAAGGCCTTCTTGGGCATGCGCTTTGGCGACGACAGGGATTCTGCCAAAATTGCCTCGGCGTTGCCGTTCTCTCCCAAAGAGGCTAGGTAGAGCCGTGCTTCGGCAGAGTCGCGGGGAACGAGCTTCTCCTCGGTGTGGACTTTGCCAGCGAAGTTGTAGGTCCGTTTTATCCGTATTAAATCGGCTTGTTTGCCGGCTTCGCCCGGCGCGACTAATTGTGGCGCCGCAGGAACCTTCAGAGTGTCGTCATTAGCGGGCTCTACAGCTGTGGCATCGACTCTAGAACCGCCCTGCTGCTCTGACGGCTGCGGGTGCGTGGTTGAGGAGCCGATCATCTGTGTCCACAGCGCCTCGACATCGACCGTAACGGGTCCGCTGACGGCCGCCGTCTTCCGCTCGATTTTCCTGTATAGAAATAAACTGTCAGCAATCCTGGACGAGCCCGCTGCATCAACACACTGAATATGGCTCCATACTCGGCGGCACGCATGCTGCGCGTCTTGATCAGACCCCCATCGCCGCCATCGTCGTCATCGACGGCCGCTCCGTCGTTTGCCTTGCGCTTCTTCCGGCTCTTTTTGCCCTTTTGTATGATGGCCTCGTCTCCCGAATTTTCGAACCCGGCATCTTCTGCCTCTCCATCGCCATCGCCAGCTTGACGCTGTCGCTTGATTGGTGCCGTACTTTTGCCGCTGGGTGCGGCTTCGTCGTCAACCTCGTCTTCCGACCCGGAGGAGTAGTTTTTAGGCGAGCCATCTACGTTGAAGTCGGTATCTTCTTCCGATGCGTAGTCGTCGGACTCTTCGGGGTCGATCGCTGGGGGCATCTTGTGCTTGAGTGGCCGGGTCTTGTTAGAAGCGAGCGTGGAATGGTAAATAAGTTAGGACCGTAAATGGGAAATGACGAATGACTTTGCGATGCGGAATATCAAAGAGCCGTTTCGGGAACTGACTCCAGCCAGGGGTATAAATGGCCAATGGGGTCCCAGGGATGTTGAACAAGGTGCTGTTTTGGCAGCGTTTAGCTTGCCAGAGCTTCCCCGCGATCACTCCAGGTACCCGGAACGTGGGGGTTTGTGATGCGCCGGGCGCCGCACCCCGGGCCGTTCGTATACACTTACCTGCGGTACCTGAGGTGGATATGACGGTACCCGATACCTGGCATAAAGTAACTAGAATGGGTCTCTATTTTCGAAGTTGCTACTATTCACAAAACTCACGTCAGTTATTCAGTTCCGTAACATGTCCAGTATCTGGGCTATATTTTGACCCTCGCAAACATTCAAGCCAATCAGTTACCCAAGAAATGCCTTGGCTACATGGAACATAATTGAGAGAATATTGATACCGTCGCCATTTCCATAACTAGGCTCATAGATTCATAGGTGCCCTGTTAACTTGTGAGGTGTCTTATCCGATTTCCCGAACTCCGAAGCTGGGCACCCAACCTAGAATCTATTGCAGCCCCGCAGCGCGTGACCGACCTGATACTCACTAATCAGACCCGAAGTGTTCTAGTTTCCGCGAGGACTCTTCTGTGGTGGCTGCTTATTAGGAAGGGCGGAGAATTGAGTTGCGTTCCAATTCGCCATGCGCCGCTGGTCCTGAAGTGTGTATAAGACTGGAAACCCCAGGCTAACTACCACTCTCCATCCGCTCTCCAAGACCAAGACTGCAACAGGTTGCCTACCTTAGCTACCTTACTTCTCTGACAACCTGGTGTGCTGAAACCCCTGAACAATATCTCAAGTTCTTGTCATTGAGACTTGAAGCCTATCATGTCGCCACAATCGGTTCTGGACCAGGAGGATAAGGATCACTTCTTGACCCACGGCTGGATAAAGAAAGTACCTTACCTAACTGATGGACATGTCATGTGTGTTGTTGAGGACACAGTGCTGATTATTATCTTAGGATCCCGAACGCTTTCACCAAGGAACAAGCTGAGGGCGTGACGGAAATGTCTGAATGAGGCTTAACATGTCTGAGACAGACAAGTCCACGTGGACACGACTGCGCACCAACATGCCATTCCACTTCACCTTTGACGCATCTGAGTTCGCTCCTCGCGCCTGGGCCGCGATTTGCGAGCTGTCTGGCGGCGAGGAGCGCGTCACGCCGCATTCTAAGATCTGGAAGGACTCGCTCATAGTCAATCTGGGCTTGGTTGAAGCAGTGGGCAAGCCGGTGCGGCCCTAAGATCTCGACGGGTGGCACGTAGGTACGTCAACGTCAATAGCGATGGATGTCTAGAAAACATAGACTCCGCAGCTGGAGCAGCCGTCTAAAACTCTGAGGCCTAGACGGCGACTTTTTTGTGCATTATCTTGATAGCCCCGAGCAGGGCTTGCTGGTCACGCCGCTGTTTACCGACATCGCCCCCGATGCGGGCGGCACCGTCATCTGCCCCGGGGCTATTCCCAAGATGGCAAAGTATTTGTACGAGCACCCGGAAGGAGTATCGCCGCGGATGACGCCGCGCGGCAAGCCGGGTTCCACTCAAGAGAAGAACCTAGACTGGTTTAACAGCCTTGCGCGGGGCTGCTCGCACTTCGTCGAGGCGACGGGGTAGGTTGGCGATGTTTACCTCTTCCATCCCCTCATGCTTTACTCGGCATCAACCAACGCGGTGCGGAACGTGCGCATCATCACGAATCCTCCTGTTTCGCTCAACCAGCCCTTTTGCTTCAACAGACCCGACGGCAACTACAGCCTTGTTGAGCAGGTCGCGCTAAGGGCTCTGGGCAAGGATCGGCTGAAAGACTGGAAAATCGCCGCCGCGAGGGAAGAGTTCATACCCGAAAGGGTCCGGATCCAGGAGAGGATGAAGTTGGAGGAGCTGAAAAGACTGGAGCTGGCTGAAAAGGGGACTGCCGCGGCCTAAGTATGGTAGTCCATCTTTGACACTGTTTTCCAGCTTCGCGTACGTCAAGTCCTACGGATATATGAAGAAAGAGCTCACTTCAAACTTTGTTTTCTAATACAAAGATAATATGGAAATAAAGTACGCCATTGCACCGGGTAAGGTTGTTCGATGCCGGCAAGTTGTCGGCGGTTGAGACTCGGGACCAAACGGGTTCCAGCAATTCGGAACCCCCAGGCCGCTAAAATTTAGAGTCCAGGGTAAGGCGCCCTGAGGCTAGTCCCGCTTTTAGCACGCCAAGTTAGCCTCTTGTAGATTAGGCATCCCAAACCTCCGTGGAATCTGGATTCTTTTCACCTCCAATCCTCGACAACCGGCAGTTTGCGCTCCATTTGTTAAACTGGGATCCGGTTACCGTCACGAACCCTTACCGACGCCAAGATGAGCGACAGCGATAAATACCAGGTTGAAGAGCCAGAACTTGCCCCCGACGACCCCATGCGGAACTTTCTGCCCACGTCGTTCGGCAAAAGGTCCAAGGAGGCCAACATTGCTACCCAGATAGAGCAGTCAAGGAGGCAGGTGGAGGCTCCAGTGGCTTCGAAGAAGGCCGCGTCTGGAACAGACAGTGACAGCGACAGCGACAGCGACGATGATGACTCGGACGACTCGGAAGACGAGGACAAGTTCCCCGTCTCACACGAACTGGTCCTCCACACCCATGACCGCGCAATTACAACCGTCGCCCTGGACCCGGCTGGCGCCCGAATGCTCAGCGGCTCCCTCGATGGCACCGTCAAGTTTCACGACTTTGCAGCCATGACGCCAACCACGTTGAGGGCTTTCAAAAGCGTAGATCCATGGGAGGCAAAAAAGTCCTCCAACGCGCCCGATTCGCATCCGATCCAACACATAGCGTTCAGCCCGCTCTCCGGGAGCGTCTTTCTCTGCATTACGGCGCACCCCCAGGCGAAGATAATGTCGAGAGACGGCGATGTGTTGACTGAATTTGTCAAGGGCGATATGTACCTGCGCGACATGAACAACACCAAGGGCCACGTGGGGGAGATTGCGGCCGGCGCATGGCATCCCACGGACCAGAACATCTGCGTCACGGCTGGTTCAGACAGTACTTTGAGAATATGGGACGTCAACAACAAGAGAAGTCAGAGAGACGTGATTGCCTTCAAGTCTAAGGTGGTCGGCACCGCCGGTCGCACAAGGATGACGGCCGTCGCATGGGGCGCACCGGCCCAGGGCGGCAACCCTGTTCTGGTGGCGGCCGCACTGGATGGGTCTCTGGTCATGTACAGTGGCAATAGCCCATTCAACCGACCCACAGCAGAGATTCGCGATGCACATAAGCCTGATACCTGGACTGGAGGAGTTGATATCAGCTCTGACGGGCGAATGGTCGTGACGCGAGGCGGCGATGGCCTGATCAAACTTTGGGACACTCGCAAGTTCAAAGAGCCGCTGGTCAAGGTTGAGCATGCGTCTACCTCTGACCGTTTCCCCATGACCAACATTAAATATGCCCCCAACTCGTCGTGCATCATCACCGGCTCCGCCTCGGGCCACCTCCACATTCTAAATCCGGGGAATCTCAGAGTAGAACTCGTCACACCGGTTACCCCTGGAGCACCGCTCATTGTGGTGGACTGGCATGCCAGGCTTAACCAGATCGTGACGGGCTCGGCGAATTCGGAAACGCATGTGCTGTATAACCCCACCATGTCGACTCGCGGTGCGCTTGAGGTCATGACGCGCGCTCCCAAGAAGCGACACGTCGACGACGACCCAGCTTTCACCATGGACCAAAGCGCCGGCATATCGGCCGACTCGATAATCACACCGGGCGCGATACAGGGGACGAAGCGCGGGGGAGTGACAGCGTCCGGGAAGTCTCGCGACCCGAGGAGGCCGCAGGTGCAACAGATCACGCCGTTCATGAGGAGTCAGCCGGACGAGAAACATATTTCGGAAAATATCCCCCTGAGTCGCATGCTGCACGAGGATCCTCGAGAGGCGCTCTTGAAATACGCAGACATTGCGAAAAAAGACCCCAAGTTCACGGGCGCTTGGAAAAGCACACAGCCTGTCACGCAGTATGCTGAAATAAGTGACGACGAGGCTGACGGTGGACCGAACAAGAAGGTGAAAAGATAGAATAGGAGGGTTTTGCTTTTTAGCGTATATGGGTCATGTTTCTTGCTTAGCTTGCATTATTCGGCGCGTGGGATTAATGGGAAATGATACCAAAACATACATGCATACATACATATATAGAATGCAAGAGAAACCCGTTATGTTCTATTTATTTAACGTTACTGAGTGATCTGTGATGCAAGACTATCAAGCACATCTAGGTTGTTAATTTGCCTCCAAGACCTGGAACACCTAACCTGGCAACTCAATGAGGTGACACTGCGTACAGTACGGAATACCGTAAACCTAAATACTGCGGGAGATGCACAGACGCAAGGACGTTAGATTCAAGTTAACAATAGTCACCTAATAATGCCCTTTTCCTTACTCAATCCCCATACCAGGCACCTATTCAAAACAGGGAGTGTTTACCTTTCACGGTTGCTGTCTTTGTTCCGATTCAGTGATGCATTCAAATCTAATCTATACTGTATTGTATGTATTGTACAGTGCGCTGCCTGCCCCTTACAGGTTAAGCCGCCTTGACTGTGCTAAAGCCGATGTATTGCCGGCCCCTGCATGTTACATAAGCCGTTCTAATTTGTGCAGCCGTAGGCAGCAGCACAGGCTCGACTATCGCCCGCCATTCAATCTCCTCGGGTCTCTGCCTTCACCTCTCCATCATTGCCAAAGGCGACGGCGCGCATCAAAAAATCACCAGTCTCCCTCTGCGACTCATCGAGGCCATCTCGAAATCGGCGACCAAACACGGGACACGCGATTCCCGGCGCATCCCACCCCGCGGCCACACTCCACAGGCCGCCTTTCGCCTCTATTTGACTTTTTTCACCACGCCCTTTCCGCCCTCGTTGTATTTTGCATTCCCCTTCCCCCCACAGCACTGAGCACGTCGCCTTCTCGGCGCGGCTGATTTCGTCGACCACCATCAACCTTTGCGCCAGTTCCACCGACGCGACCACCGCGCATCCCCACCGTCGCCGTCGCAGTCCGCATTTCCATCCACAACCACCCTCGCTCCCTCCTGCCACCGCATCGTCGCCACCTAATTGTTGCCCGCAATCTAGACGCGCCGACCCACCCTTCTTGAGATTTTGCCCCAGTGTGCCCTGTCATTCGTTTTGAGACGCCGCGTCGATCGCATTCGTCCAGGGTTCCACTGCCCCCGACCGATCCCGCCGCCAGCCTCCAGATATGCGCGGACTATAACGGCGCACCCAGCAATTGATATCCGCTTGGCATATTCGACAATCCCATCGTCGCGTCACTATGGCTAGCGTCCAGGTGCCGCCTGCTGTGCAGCATGGCTCTGCCCTGCCCGCCGGCATGACCCAACAACAGGTCCAGGAACTCTACCAGGTTCGTGCCTCACCTCCACCCCCTCTCTCCTTGCCCTTTATCGTCTGTTGCTGCACTTTATTCCCAATGCTATTGAGATGGGATTTGCTCTAACTCCTAGCAGAAGTTCACGCAGATGAAGAGACAAGGCGTCCCCAACTCCGACCCCGAAATCATCAAACTACAGCAGATGCTCTCGACCATCCACAGACAACAGGAGCTTCGCAAGCATCAGCAACTACACTTCCAGCAGCAGCAGCAGCAGCAGCAGCAGCAACAACAACAACAACAACAACAACAACAACAACAACAACAACAACAGCAGCAGCAGCAGCATATGCAGAATGGCGTTAACGGTGCCACCAATGGTGTCCCGCCCAGTCGTCTTCCTCAACAGGCCCCTCTGCAGACGGGACAGCCCTTATCGGCCAACGCCCTCGGCGCTTCTGCTCTACCACCTCCTTCAAATGCCTCGGCGCCAAATTCAGCCGGCGCATCCTCTACCCAGGGTCATGGTCCAAGCCAGTTCACACCGCAACAGCTAACTCTCCTGCGGTCCCAAATACAGGCCTTCAAAATGCTTGGCAAGAATGCCGGCGTGCCTCTGCAGATGCAAAAGGCCATCTACGAAAGCCGGGCCCGACGCCATGCCTCGTTGACTGAACACGCCGCCCAGGTCTCTGCTGCGAATGCATCAGCTGCAACGCCGGCCCAAGATGCGTCCAAGCCTGACGCCAATGGTACTGCCGATGGTGAAGTCGCGCCAAACCCTAAAGCAACCAAGAACTTTAAGACAGTTAAGTCCCCTTACGATGGCAGCCTCGTGCGCAAGAATATCAACTACATGGATCATGGCCGGCGCAAGAACCGTTTAATTATACCCGGCATATTCCCTACTGGCATCGATTTTGATCAACTTCGGAATGATCGAGAGAAAATCGTGTTCAACCGCATGAGCGCCAGATACTCGGAACTGAAAAGTCTTCCTGGTAATTTGGCTCACTGGGACACGACAAAGGATGCTCTTGTGGCCGACGATACGGCGAAGCGGAAGGCCATCATCGAGATGAAGTCGCTGGCCCTCTACTCCAAGCAGCGGGCTTTGAGGGACAAGATTGGGAAGCAGATGATGCATTACGACAACCTCGCCATGACGACAAACCGGTCACAATATCGCCGGATGAAGAAGCAGAGTGTGAAGGAGGCTCGCATCACTGAAAAGCTCGAAAAGCAACAGCGCGATGCACGCGAAAGCCGAGAGCGCAAGAAGCACGTCGATTTCTTGCAGGCTGTTCATTCCCACAAAGTTGAAATTCTTAACTCGAGCCAGACTCGCCGCAACAAGATGGAGAAGATGGGCCGCCTCATGTATGCTCACCACTTCAATATCGAGAAGGAGGAGCAGAAGAGGGTTGAGAAGACAGCGAAACAACGTCTCCAGGCCTTGAAAGCCAACGATGAAGAGGCTTACCTTAAGCTGCTCGACCAAGCCAAGGATACTCGTATCACTCATCTCCTTCGCCAGACTGATGGCTTCCTGCATCAACTTGCCTCTTCCGTCCGCGCACAACAGCGGCAGGCAGAAGAGAAGTATGCAGAGGAGGGGACAGTGCTTCCAGAGGAGAGCGACATTGAGGAGGATGAGGGAGAAAGTGGCCGGAAGATCGACTACTATGCCGTTGCTCACAGGCACAAGGAAGAAGTTACCGGACAGGCTGACCTTCTCGTCGGAGGAACCCTCAAGGAGTATCAGATCAAGGGTTTGCAGTGGATGATTTCGCTCTACAACAACAACCTCAACGGTATTCTAGCCGACGAAATGGGCTTGGGCAAGACAATTCAAACCATTAGTCTGGTGACGTACCTGATTGAGAGGAAACAGCAAAACGGGCCGTACTTGGTCATAGTCCCGCTTAGTACCCTGACCAACTGGAATCTCGAGTTCGACAAATGGGCACCTGGTGTATCCAAGATCGTCTACAAGGGTCCTCCAAATACCAGGAAGCTGCAACAGGAGAAGATTCGCCAGGGCAAATTCCAGGTTCTCCTCACAACTTACGAATATGTCATCAAGGACCGACCGCTTCTGAGCAAGATCAAGTGGTTCCACATGATCATCGACGAGGGTCACCGTATGAAAAACTCAAACTCCAAGTTGAGCTTCACCATTCAGCAATACTACAGCACCCGGTTCCGCCTCATCCTCACTGGTACCCCTCTCCAGAACAATCTGGCAGAACTGTGGGCCATGCTCAACTTTGTCCTCCCCAACATCTTCAAGTCGGCCAAGACTTTCGATGACTGGTTCAACACGCCCTTTGCCAATACCGGCGGCCAGGACAAGATGGAGCTCACAGAAGAAGAACAAATTCTCGTCATTCGCCGTCTCCATAAAGTGCTCCGCCCCTTCTTGCTGCGTCGTCTGAAGAAGGACGTCGAGAAGGACCTTCCCGACAAGACGGAGAAGGTCATCAAGTGCAATTTCTCGGCCCTGCAATCACGTCTATACAAGCAGATGGTCACTCACCAAAAGATTGCTGTTAGCGACGGCAAGGGCGGCAAGGCGGGAGCTCGTGGCTTGAGCAACATGATCATGCAGCTGCGGAAGCTTTGCAATCATCCTTTCGTATTCGACGAGGTGGAGAACCAGATGAACCCGATGAATGTCAGCAACGATGTTCTCTGGAGAACCTCGGGCAAGTTCGAGCTCTTGGACAGGATCCTTCCAAAGTACCAGGCGACCGGTCATCGCGTCTTGATGTTTTTCCAGATGACGGCCATCATGGATATCATGGAAGACTTTCTTCGCTACCGCAACATCCAGTACCTCCGTCTCGACGGCACCACCAAGTCTGAGGACCGCTCTGACCTTCTCAGAGATTTCAACCGACCAGATTCGCCCTATTTTATCTTCCTACTCTCCACCCGTGCAGGTGGTCTGGGTCTCAATTTGCAGACGGCTGATACTGTCATCATTTATGATTCCGACTGGAATCCTCATCAGGATTTGCAGGCTCAGGATCGTGCCCATCGTATCGGCCAGAAGAATGAGGTGCGGATTCTCCGCCTGATCAGCTCTTCGTCAGTCGAAGAAAAGATTCTAGAGCGTGCCAGATTCAAGCTCGACATGGATGGCAAGGTCATTCAGGCCGGTCGTTTCGACAACAAGTCGTCAGAAACAGATCGAGATGCCATGCTCAGAACACTCTTAGAGACGGCTGATATGGCCGAGTCTGGTGAGCCGGAAGAGATGGACGACGAAGAGCTGAACATGATCTTGGCCCGGAGTGAGAACGAGCTCGTAGTTTTCCAGAAAATGGACGAGGAACGCAGTCGTGATCCCGTCTATGGAACACTCCCAGGCTGCAAGGGTGTACCGCGCCTTATGGCTGAGAATGAACTGCCCGAGATTTATCTTTCTGAAGGAAATCCTGTCGAAGACGAGGCGGAGGTGATCCTCGGCCGCGGAGCTCGCGAGCGCACCAAGGTGAAATATGACGACGGCCTCACCGAGGAGCAGTGGCTCAATGCGGTTGATGACGAGGAGGACACACCCGAGGCTGCTGCTGCGAGGAAGCAGGCGCGTAAAGACAGGAGGGAGAACAACAGGATGAAGAGGGCTTCAGGTATGGTTGCGTCTATGGAGAATTCACCGTCCGCCAGCCGCGCTAGTACCGAGGATGTCGAGACACCGGTGAAGAAACGGGGCCGCAAGCCTGGCAGTAAGAACATCGAGAAGCGAAAAGCAGAAGAAGGTGAAGACGAGCCACCGGCAAAGAAGCGTCGTGGCCCCCTTGGCCGGCCGAAATCGGTTGCTGCGAACGGCGCAGGCATGTCGGCCGAGGTCCGTGACAAGCTGCAGCGGAGCTTGAAGAAGATCTATGAGGGCTTGATGAATCTCGAGGTAGACGATGAAGAGCCCGAGGAGAAACCCGAGGGCGAGAAGGATGACGAAGACGGGCCGCCGAAACGCCTGGTCATCGGGCCGTTTGTCAAACTGCCGCCAAAACGAGACTGGGGCGACTACTACCTTATCATCCAGAACCCCATCTGCATGAGCGACATCCAGAAGAAAATCAAGAAGGAAGAGTACCACAGCCTGGTGGCGATGCGTAAAGACCTGGAGCTTTTGGTGAACAACTGCCGAACTTTCAATGAGGAGAGTAGCGGAATTTGCGTCGATGCCAACACGATACAGGTATGTCTGCCATAGTCTAATTTAGACTTTACGGTGAAACTGTTACTAACCTTGCCGGATAATTAGGCATTCTTTAAGGCGCAATTTGAAAGGGAGCTCGCAGAAAACGCCGACCTCCGCAGCCTAGAAGAAGGTTCGCCACCAAAGGACACATCGGCTCCTCCCTCGACCATGTCGGCCATGTCGGCCACTCCTCAACCCACCCCTAGCGGGCCGACCAGGATCAAGCTCGTGTCTAACTCAAACGGTGCCAGCCAAATAAATGGCGGAAGCAGCGGTGTACAGAGTGACGAGGACTGAAAAAGGACGAGAGGTGGTGGCGGTAATTTGCTTGCCCGTTTTTAATGTATATGTCTGCGCAACTGATCCACAGCGGCGTTACAACGGGGTTGAGGGGTGAACTTGTCGCCTTCTTTTTTTTTCCTTCTATTCTCCCCATCTGGTTTGCCGGATGCAAGCGGTTGTTCCGAAGGCGGATCACTTTTTTTACGACTCGATGATTTTCTGGGCGCACGGTAGGATAGGGCAGGGAAAGGGGGACACGGGTAAATACCTTGCTAAGAGTAGGAGATGAGAAGAAGAGCGATTGGAACGACCGTTTGTGGCGGACGGCGAGTGTTTCGGAGTTTTTTTTTTCTTGCGGGTCGGCTCTGGTTGGGGGAGCAGCAAAGGGGGAGAGGAAGAAACAAGGGCTGGGAAGAGGGTTCTATTATTATTGTTGTTCTTGGAGGCAGCGCTGTCCCTGATCTCTGCGGAACTTTTGGGTTGGGATGTTACGCTGTTTAGATTATACTGTATTCTAATAGAAACATTCTTTGCAATTGGCGATATGCTGAGGCCTGTTTGGTTTTTTCCTGTGTGGAGGTGGCACGGGACGGGTGACTATCGTGGTGCAGTCGTCTGTCGCCGTTGGCTCGTCGTGGCAGTTGTAGACATGCATGCAGTAAGTAGGTTTGTTTTGCGTTCCATAACGAAAAGGCAAAGAAGGGGGGTTACAGAAGGACCAAAAAAGAAACATACAAAAAAAGGAATCCGTTCTGCGTTTGTGGAACTGCAGAAATATTTCGGTATGCCTGATACAGGAATCGAACCTGTGATCTTTGCATGTCGTCGACGACCTAAGGGATGGGGCACCTCTGGTGTGGATACAAGTGCAACGCATTAGCCACTACGCTAACCCGGCTTTTTTCTTCACCGTAGACAGATGAGGTGTTTCGATGTGAAGCGTCTTGCTTGTGCTGGGTTAAGTACTGTAAGAGCTGTCTGTGGATTTGTGTGTAGAAAACGGAGACGTCTTTTCGTCTTTTCTTGTTTGGATTTACTTTATTTTAAGCTTTCCGCATGGTTGGAACTTAGGTGGGGATGGATACTGTAAATGGATGGATGGGGTGAGTTCAGTTTTATTTTGCTCGTATTGGCTTTGCAACCGTAGCTGTGTTTGGTGACGCCTAAATCAAGGGCTCTTGCAATGGCTTCAGTTTTGAACCACATAATGTTTATCTCTCGTTACGGCATAATCCAAACAGGGTAACAGCCCCAATGAAAAGGAATCCCACGTTGAGGGGGTTAATACTTTTGCGGTGACAGGGCTGGAAAGGAGTATATCACGCGCTCTGTAATACTGCATCGTCAAAGTCTTGGTTCATGAGGACATTCTATTGTCTACCACGATGCCACCTAGTCACGCTATATAGAAGACTCTATGTTGGTCGGTCCTTTGCGTCCTTTTTACAGCCGTTTATGCCCTCGTCAAAAAGAGAACGGCAATACCCACGGTCCCATTTTCTCGCTCGCTCGCCAACCCATTAGAGAACATGAGCGAACCTTTACCTTCCTAACGTACTCCGTTTCATTTCTAGTTCGTGTCCGTAAAGAAAAAAAAAACACACAGGAAACGTGCCGGTTGCCAATGTTACTGGTAACGCCAAACATGAACCGACACGCCATAGCCCAAACCCGCAAAGTATCAGACATGTCAGCCGCCTATCCGCAATCAGTCAGCTACAATCGCATTGCTGACGCCCAGAATCGTCATGCCCAGAAAGCCAAAGAAGATGCTCAAATTCCTGTTATGGTTTAAGCTCAGGCTCTCGACAAACAGCTGCAGGGCGACGCTTGTCATGATGCCCGCCGTGACGGCAAAGAGACAGGCGTAGGCCGTGTTGTCGATGTCAAAGTGCGAGTGGTTGGCGAGCTTGAACCACAGGGCGGCGGCTCCGGCGCCGAGTGGCTGGCTGAAGCCGCCGAGCAGGGTGGACCAGAGCAGGGCCTTGAGGCGGCTGCCTAGGGCCATGTAAAGAGGCAGCGCCAGCGCGAAGCCCTCGGCGATGTTGTGCACAAACAGGGCCATGAATACGTTAAACCCGAGCGCTGGGCTGGCGTGGTTGGTGGCGTACGTGATGAAGCCCTCGGGGAACTTGTGAAGCGCAATGGCGATGACCGTCTGCAGGCCAATGGAGAGGAACGCATTGGTAGGTACGTGATGGTGATGTTGCGCCTCCAAGTCGTCTTGCATTGGAGACAAGCACTCGCCGGCGGCGACACTATCGTCGTCACTGTGGGCGAGGTGTGTGTGGGAATCGCAATCGTCGTAGTGCCCCGGCGCCGAGTCTCGGGACTGGGCGCGGCTGATACGGTAGATCCCTAGACTCGTTAGAGAGCCCTCGTCATCCTCGTGGCCTCCAGGGGCCTCAGAGACAGACGTGGTCTGGTTTTGTACGGTGGTTCCTGTGGCGGTGCGCAGGAGAGTGGGATTTCGAGAAAGACCAGAGCGCGTGGTGATATGCTTGAAGCACTCTTGCCCACATGGATCCGAATAGCCGTAGCATGGGCCAAACTCGTCGCAATTAGGCTTGGTATCCTTGACGAAGGACATGACGCGGTGTTGGACGTGAGAAGGCACCGACGGCCGTCTGTTTTGGGTGGCAGCTCGGCTGCGTGTATCCTTTGACGGGCCGTGGGAGTGGGCAACGACGTCGGGCTGTGCGTTGTGGTCGGTCTCAACGGTGGCTAGCAGCGGCGTCGACTCTGTCACGGTAGTATTTCCGACCTCGACCATGTGAGGCGGATGCGCAGTAGCCGAGTGCGAGGATACCCTGCGCATGGACCGTTGTCGACTCCTACTCGTCCTCGAATGCTGGTGGCTAAGGGAACTCGAGTGGTCCTCGTCGACGTGGTCAAGATGGGTGTGGTCGCAGTCGACAACATGCGAGGGCATGTACTGGTGCAAGAGGCGCGAGATGATCTGGATGCCGAAGAAGCCGCTGACGAAGGAGCCCATCATGACGAAGCCGGCCATCTGCCGGTCCCACTCCCCCTTAATCAGATAGTGCATGGACGACGGCAGCATACTATACAATGCCGAGAAAAGCTGCGAGGGTGCCGGGTCAGAACGGGGACGGCGACAGTCAAGAAGAGAGCTGGAGCTGGCGACAGGAAGGACTGTGACTAACCATGACGCCAAAGCTCAGGCTGAGCGAGCATGCGAGAAACATGCTGCTCTCCTGGATGCGGAACTGGCGCTTGCTGGGTATGAGGCGAACGAGAGAGTCGACGCAAATAATGGACGCGCCAACGACACAGGCTATGCCGCTGACCGAGGCCATGATCCAGCCTCGCGTGTCATTGTCAACGCCGCCTGCGTCCTCCATGGCAGTGGCGTCTCCCTGCGACGCTGCGACCCCGCGGCGTGGTGGTGGCCTTGGTAGGTTCTGGCGAGCTTTGCGACTCTAGGTCTAGACGTTCTGCGCCGTTGATTCTTAAGACTGGAGGAGGCTAACACTTTTCTTGTAGCTGCTGTGCTCGTGGGCTGCCCCGTCCGTGATGACAACAATGCCCGGGTTTGAATAACAGAGGTGTGGACGGAGAAGAGAATGGCAGGCGCCCTCGAACCGAAATCGATGCTTTACGACGTTTGGACAAAGAGCGGGGGGCGGAAGGCGGGAAAGCGGCATGGAGGTACTCGAGAGGTAAATAGGCAACCCAAGAACTTGGAAGGTACCTTGATAGGTAGGGTAAGTAGTAAGATGAAAGGCGCGCTGGTGCGGTGTGAGAAGTGAGAACCTCGATGGCCAGGCCTCGCAAGCTTAGACCATCCACCAGACAGGTCGGGCTAGCCAAGGACTGGGTCTGCCTAGTGCAGAGTACGGGAACGTCGTACCCTGCCGAACTTCTCAAGGTCGTTTGCTACCCTAGCCAGACCTTCCGGTATTCTCTCGGGTATCCGCCTTCACTGCCGCGACGTTAGGCAATTAGTGGGCCACGCCTGCCTTAGTCGGACAGTTCTTGGCCTACTGACGAGCTCTTGACAGTGACGCGAAGTGGACGTCAGGCTGTCGCCGTGCAGCTTGGACGTTGACTTTGCGCGTGGCTTGCGGGCTCAGTAGTGCATTGACCCGTCTGTCTCTTTTAATATTCGAAACACGGTCAACAGAGGGCGGGGCAGCGTTGGCCTGCCCGGGTACGAGTTGTGCGGCGTCTGGGGTGGTTTTTTTAAGCTGTCTGTGCCGTGAGGCGAGGCCGGGTGGTCGTGAAGAGAGAAAGAGTGAGACCCGACGCCGCCGGGACGGGAACATGGGAAATGCATGTCGGCGGTAATACATAGTACGGACATACAGGGCTGCTGTTTGCCTGTCGCCTCGCCCCGGGTCGCACTTGGCCAGCCCTGTTACGCCTCACACAAGGCAAAGAGCAGCACTGGCAGGGTAGGGTATTCCGCATTCCGTAGCTTCTTGAGGGGAATATGTAATCACTGTCATGGTCTTCATATTCCAAATCACAGTCACCTTGAAAGAGTCTCCAAAACCCCTTTGAAATTTACATGTGTGACTAAGGTAATTACCACGTCCAGTGGACAGCGAGACCTACTGTGTAAATACACCCTACGACGTCCAGCAGGCAACAAATTTGGCCCCTATTGCTATTACAGATCCCAAGACAGTATTAGCAGCGTGTCACGGTTCCTTGCAGGAAACCACCCGACCCTTTTAGACCATGTCTCGCTCCCATGACCGAGGGGATTGTGGCTCCCACAGTTCGTGACTGCCCATGTGCTATTACTGGGAGGCTCTGACGCGGGGCATACGAGAGCCCCCATTCCCCTCCCCCCACCCACCTGCCGCTGTACCGGAGCCCGGAATCCGGTGCCGGCGCAAGGCTTGGAAAGTGTGACAGGGGTTGTGACGGTGGCTGATCCGATCGCCGCAAAAAATTGAGACACCCTGCAAGTTAGGTAACTTCCATGTCAAGAGCCTCGACTTGAGCCCCACGACACGACACGACCAGAGAATAATAAGACATCGACCAAGCCCACCTTCGGCACTGCACGAGGTCGCATCCCACCCCCGTGAGCACTAGCAGAGTCACCGCCGACCGCCCGCCTGATTTCCCTCGCGCGAAGCCACGCAACGCCTTTTGCCCTTCGCTATATATTCACGACTTGCCGCTCCTGGGACGAAAGACGCGCGATCTTCACAATGTCAAAGTCTACCATAGCCGTCATTGCCGCCGTGAGCGCCGGAGCTGGAGCTGCCGCCACAGCCGCTATGTATTCGCTGCGGTCCTCCGACAAGAAAATCGAGTCCATTACAACCACGACAACAACAAAAACAAACACCCTCGCTACCGCCGCATCCAAGCTGCCCGTCCCCGCCTCTCAAGTCTTCAACGGCACCGCCGCTGCTACCACCACCAACGCAAGCCCCGTCGCCGCTGCTACCACCACCACAACCACAAGCCCCATCGCCGTTGCCACCCTCGGCGCGCTCGTCGACCCGTCGGGGCTCTTCGAGTACGGCTTCCCGGGGCCCGTGTCGGACATCGCGGCGCGGCAGGCGCTGATCTCGTCATTCGACCGGCGACTACGCAACCCGCAGTGGGTGGTGGAGCACATCACACCCGAGTCGCTGGCCAAGCGCGACGGTGACCGCAAGAACAGCGCGTTCCGCGAGGACGACGCCGTGCCCGACAAGTTCCGCGCGCGGCTCAAGGACTACGCGCGCTCGGGCTACGACCGGGGGCACCAGGTGCCCGCCGCCGATTGCAAGTGGTCGCAGACGGCCATGGACGACACCTTCTACCTGACCAACATGTGCCCGCAGGTCGGCGAGGGCTTCAACCGCGACTACTGGGCCCACTTCGAGGACTTCTGCCGCCGCCTCACGCAAAAGTATCCCTCGGTCCGCATCGTCACGGGCCCGCTGTACCTGCCGCGCCGCGACCCCGCCGACGACAAGTGGTACGTGCGCTACGAGGTCATCGGCAACCCACCCAATGTGGCCGTGCCGACGCACTTCTACAAGGTCATCTTCGCCGAAGAAGAGGGGGCCGGCGGCGGCGCCTCCGGTAAAGTCGCCCTCGGCGCCTTTGTCCTCCCCAACGCCCCCATCCCCAACGAGAAGCCCCTCACCGACTTCGAGGTCCCCGTCGAGGCCGTCGAGCGCGCCAGCGGCCTCGAGTTTGCCACCAAGCTCCCCACCCAGCGCCGCAAACGCCTCTGCGCCGACACCCCCTGCTCCCTCATCATCAAGGAGTACGCCGACCGCCAAAAGGCCTTTGCCAAGGGCGGCTCCAGCCCCCCGCGGAACACCAGCCGGTGATAGGTGTCCAGGTTTCGGGGGGTACGGGGCGTTTGCTGACTAATCACCCTCATCTGGTCTCTTATCTCTGTCTCTCTCAGAGAAGGAGTTGGAGCTTTAATTCCCTTGGTCTCATTTTCTCGTCGCTGTATCATCACACATCATCTTGCACGGCCGATAGCTTTTTTTTTTATTCATTATCTCTCTTAGCATTTCAGAGCATAGCATCTCCCTCTCTTCTCTTCTCTTCTCGTTGCAGTGGGAGAGAGACAGAGAAGGGGGGATCACTGGCGCGTTGTTTTTCTCCTTCCAATTATATTTTTATGTGTGTTCTATTATTCTACGTCCGAACCCCTCTTGTATTCATACCGTGGCAATAAATAGCAATCGGCGGCAACTTTTTTTTTCCCGGGGTTAGTTTCCGTCCATCCTGGCGACAGGGGACTCTAGTACGGAGCGAGGTGGCTGGCTGTGCAGCGTGGATGCATTCGTGGTTTTTTGAGACGTTTCTTGTATATATGTGTATATATGGGTGGCTATGGGCGGATGGTTAGCAGAGTGTCTGGTGGTGGGGAAGACCCGGTGAGTGGAGGATTTCGGGAAGTCCATGCGGAGCAACACCCTGATATGTTTTATTTGAATCTAGATAGGTAGTCAGTTAGGCACTGTAGCCATACAATCCTTCAAAGATATGCTCTATGGTGCCATATTATGGGACTCGGCTCAAGAGGGGGGAACATGCGTTGCCCAGATAGACCGCGAGGTGGCCTGCTATTTGCGATTGGATTTGTTTTGAAGGTAGAGACGACTACACCAAGCAGACAAGTCGGGGACTAGACAAACTGCTATGGCCATGGTGCGAACACTATTGTATTGCACCGTGTTCAGAAGCGTCAGTGTCATTATGATGTAGAACTACACATTATTATGCATCCAAATCCCCTTTCTAAAGACCTCCCCCAACCCCAATCCCCAAAACGGATAAATAATGGCCAACCCCCGGCCCTCGCCATACTCTTGTGCCCTCGTTACCATGACGCCATATTTTTATATAACACTGAACCAAAAGGAGCTAACCAAGTTCATCCTGTAAATCCCATCAAGAACGAATTATTTTCTGGCAGTCGACCGACATACAGTATCTGCTGTGGCAACAGCTTCACGCAGGGCAAGTCGCGTATGCAGGAGGATGGGCCGCCGCGGCAGCCATGACTTTGCTGACGCTGCCGTACTTGGCCTGCCAGGCGTAAAAGTACATGAGGGCGGCGAACGGCTGACCGAGGATGGTGAACGAGACCCAGAAGATGGTGTTGCCCAGCAGCTTGCCGGAATTGGACTTCATCTTCTCGAGCGGCTGCGTGAGCTGGATTAGGGGCAGCTGGAGGAACATGCCGAGGAATGCCACTCCTGGGGGGGGCAAGACATGTCAGTAAAGGAATATAACTCCAAGTTTTCCCTTGCGGGGAGCAACTGGTGAGAGGCAAGGGAACGACTGCGAGTGAAGGACTGACCGATGAGGTTATGAGTGGGCACGCCGACGAGAAGCTCGTGCAATATTGCCGAGACGAGAAATACGGTAAGGCTGGCCACCTTATGGCTCCAACCCCTAGACCGCATGGGCGAGTAAACGTGCCGCCTGAAGAACTGGTAGACAGGTTTATTCCACGTGCGCCAATACATGCCAAGGCTCTCGCTGTTCCCTATATTCAGAGAGGATTTGCGGTTAGGGACCGATTCGATGTATAGTGCTCCGTGGACCAGACTGCCTGACACGAGAAAGAGCAAGGGGAGAAGCACTCAGGATCAAATACGTACACCAAGGATCGTAAAACGAACGGTCTCCAAACCGTGTGACCTCGGCCAGTGCGTTCAAGAAGGACTGGAAGAGGGCAAAGAAGCCAGCCAGCCAGATGACCAGCGATATGGTTGACAGCTTGAGCAGGCGTTCGAGAATCGAGGGGTAGTCCAGCGAGGCAATCTTGTCGAGGGAGTTGATCAACACCGGGGTGGCGTACTGGGCGCTGGCAAACCAAATGAAGACACTCAGGCAGATACCCTCCCCAAGACGCTTGAAGACAAAGATCCAACGGATCTTATCGGCCCGGGGATAGGCGGGCTGGTAGACGAGTGTTGGGGCCCACCAGAAGTAGACGAGGTTGCCCATGGTGATGTTGTTCGGGTAGGGACACTGCTTGTAAATCTCGGGCAACGCATCCAGCTTCCCCTTTACGGGGTGAAGGTAGGCGTGGCGAAGGTCCCTGTTGGTGAAGGCATACGAGGCCGTCTTGAGCCAGACAATGACGGCGTGTATTTCGGTCAGGGTGCCGATCAGGGGATGGTGGATTTTATAATAGACAATGTAGCTAGTGAAGACGAGCACGTAGGTTACGTTGATGGCGTGTGCAACCCAGACCATCTTCCAGGTGGACTGGAACCTGTTGTGCTCGTCTTCGGTAGGGCTGGTTGATCCGTCGCGCTTGTCGGACCTGGCCCGCTCGTACTTGGCCTGGGCAGCCGCGATTGACTCAATGGCGTAGGCGATCAGGAGATGGCACGGTATGAGAAAGTATAGACATAAGCCTAGCTGGATATCCGTCTTGCGGAAGTCGTGGCATCCGACGCAGATGAGAACGCCATACTGCAACGGGAGTCAGTCTCACATCGCCGGACACAAGATGAAAGGGCGAGAATGTAACCTTTTGGATATTCTCAATCACCAAACGAAGATTGCCAACAACGAGCACAATCACCATCAGATTCCTGAAGCCCAGGAAGCTGGGCGTCTCAGTAGCATCGTGGCTGAGACACGAGGGTGTCGAGCTGGAGTGGACAGCTTCGACATGGCGGTACTTTTTGCGAAACGACCTCTTCAGTTGCTCAGTTGTGTCAAGGGAGCTGCTTGTATCTGAATTGGTGATTGCGTCTGGCTGGGCGTCCTTGTTTGGGACGGCAGAGTTGTTGTTGTTGTTGTTTTGGGTGTTGTTACTCGGCCCCCTCGAGCTACTGGGTCCTGTCCTGTGAATGACGCCATCACTGGAGCCATTGAGGCTTGTCCCCGTCGCCGTGGCCTCCTTATCCTTATTCATGGTGCGCAAACATTGGCCGACGAAAATGCTATTGACGGCAAAACCAGAGACTGCGAACAGGATGGGATTCCACAAAATAGTTCAGGCACAGAGCAAGCTGGTGCGCATATTCTAGCTTTGTACAGTCGGTTCAGTCATTCACTGGGGTCCAGTGTGAAGTGTAGGATGCCTGACTCCAGTGAGGGGCGAAAAAGTCGCCCTTTCCTAATGGCGCCTCGGCGTTGGCGTTGGCGCCTCGGGCGAGGGACCGATTTTCAATTCCCTCGGGACGGGCAGGCCGAGGAAGCCAGGGGCACCAAAACAGGGCAGCAAGCAAACAAGGAGGGACCAAAGATGGGCAACAATACAATGGATCCAACCTCTCGCGGTGACAGGACAGCTAGCTTCAAATGAGCTGGACAGGCAGAGCAAACAATTTATAATTTAAGCATGCGGGGGATGGGGACGGGCACCTTCAGCCCACGATGTTGTGACGGAAGGGGTTGTCTATTAGAGATAAGATAGATAGCCCTCATTCCTGGAATAAGTTAATTATCTGGGGTTTCCTGCTGTGTGATTGTTTCATGGAATGATCGACTTGCCGCTCGGCTCAGACGCTGTGCAGTGACAGTCCAACAACAGTCCCAGCCCACCCTGCAGGCGACCTAGGCCATGGGCTGCCCAATGATGTGAGGCTTGCCTGCAAATGCGATATCAAAGTCCAGTGAGGCCAATGGATCGATGCCCTTAGACACGGTGGACAGGATGGGACACGTACGTACATACGTAGGTAGGTAATCTCGTGGTTTGGGGGGTCCTGGGCGTCCTGGGAGACTGGTGAGAGCGCGATGCACATGCAATTCCGTGCAGAAACCGTCACAACGGCGGAGCAGGGGTGCTTGTCTTTGAGTGCTTGGCAGATAATCAATCAAGGAAGGTGCAGCAGATCGGATAGCACACTCCGAGTCTGTGCTCGCTCTGCTCTATCCATACAAGCCACAGCCACAGCCACACCTACAGCCACAGCCACAACCACAGCTTTAGCTCCACCTCAAGCACAGATTATATGGTGGCTTGCAGTCAGCGAGGCTAGACCCAGACCTACCCACGCTGTGTTTGGCTGGGCTGGCTGCGCGACCGCGACGACAAAGAAGCATTTAATTAGTATTTCTGAGAGCCGCCGTTATATAAGAAAAACCCCCCAAGAGCAAACCACCCCTGCTTTCACGACGAACCCGCGACGGCTTCCTATCAATAGACGGCAGGGTTCAAGCAGTAAACACTAGGAGATCCTAAGCCGTGTCAATTGGCGTCTGGGCGCCTGCGTGCCTAGGGTATTGAGTTTCTGTTCGAGTACGGTAATCTGCAGTAGGCTCTGGCTTTGGCTCTGCGTGGTATCGACTGGTACATGGTATCTGGTATCCGCTGGTATTCGCTGGTCCATGCATTCGACTTTCTGAGCTTCTCTTTTTTTTTTGTGCCGCGAGGTGCCATCATGGCCTACGAGCCAAGGGGGGACAAGGGAGACCGAGGGGATCGGGGTGACTATGGCGACAGAGGGGGGTATGGCGGTGGTGGTGGCGGTGGTGGAGGAGGAGGAGGAGGATACGATGGGGGACCTCCCCGGGCAAGAGGGAGACGTAAGTTTACATTTTCACATTTAATTCAGGTTCCTGCATGACACAAAAGGCTTCCCATCATATCCTTTCAGTCCTCGTTCTTTCTTTTCCCTTTTCCTTTCCGCGCAAAGCCAGTCTGTCGGTCTGTCAGTCTGTCAGTCAGACAGTCATCTGTCTGTCTGGTTGTGGGTGATGGGGGCCATGCCTCATTTCATCCCGTCTCCTGCTCCATCTCTGGCCCTGGCCTGGCCCTGTCCGGGGAACAAGTCTGTTCTCCTCTACATGTTCGGGAACAGTCTGTTGTTCTGCTTGAATCTAGCCGTCCTCTACTCGGATATCAAGACATCCTTCGACGTCGTGCTCCAGCAGCAGTTGCTGCGCACACTCGTAGCCCAACAAATCTACCTTCTACCTTCATTATTAACACCCCTACCTTTCATTCGCTGCCAACATGGCTAAAATCTATGTGTTCAATGCGCGATACGGCACAAACGAAGGCAAGCTAACCCTGCTTTGGAAAGGCCCTGTCACTGACTATGGCTCTACTATTGTCCACTGGATGCGCCATCGTGAGCCCAGGTACAAGGGCTCCTACCAAGGCGAACTCGAGAGACCGAGCCCCAGCTACATGGTTGACGTACGTCCCCCGCCTCTTCTCCTTCCGTGCCGCCGCTTCCCAACCTGACTTGTTCGGTAGATGCTCCCACCGTATGCCCGCGTCGCAAGCCCTGCCGACTCGGTGCCGTCGCGACACCTGCACTCATCGCTGAATAAGATCAAGCACCCAGTCAATGTTATAAGGTGGACGCCAGAAGGCCGCCGATTGTTGACCGCCTCGAGCAGCGGCGAGTTTACCCTCTGGAATGGCACTGGCTTCAATTTTGAAACCATCATGCAGGCTCACGATTCCGCCATTCGCGCCCTCGCCTACTCGCACAGCGACGACTGGCTCGTGTCGGCCGACCATGACGGTGTCATCAAGTACTGGCAACCAAACTTCAACAATGTCGAGAGCATCCGCGGCCACCAGGACCCCGTGCGAGACCTCGCCTTCAGCCCCAACGACTCGAAGTTTGTCACGGCTTCCGACGACTCAACCCTGCGCATCTTTGACTTTGCCGGCGGAGTAGCCGAGTCTACGCTGTCGGGCCACGGCTGGGACGCCAAGAGCTGCGACTGGCACCCCACAAAGGGCCTGATCGTCTCGGGCTCCAAAGACCACCTGGTCAAGCTCTGGGACCCCAGGACTGGCCGCTGCCTGACAACCCTCCACGGCCACAAGAACACCATCACCAAGACCGTCTTCGAGAGGGTTCAGGGCATGTGCCTGGCCACGTCGGCTCGCGACCAGACAGCCCGCGTCTTCGACTTGCGTATGATGCGCGATATCTGTCTCCTCCGCGGCCACGAGAAGGACATATCCACCGTGGCCTGGCATCCCATACACTCAAACCTCCTCAGCACCGGCGGCTCCGAAGGCTCGCTCTTCCACTACCTTTTAGACGAGCCCAATACGCCCCCGGGCCAGGCCACAACCATTGCCCCTTATGATTGCCCAGACCCCAGTCTAGCTCCAGCCCAGGCCATCTATCCCGCCCACAAGGTCCCCTTTGCCCATGATTTTGCCATCTGGTCTCTTGACTGGCACCCGCTGGGCCACATTCTAGCGTCGGGGTCCAACGATCGTATCACGAGGTTCTGGTCTCGAGCGCGACCGGGCGAGGCCGATTCCTTCAACGACCGCTATCACATCGGCGAGGCCGCCGCCGAGGCCCAGGGCACCTGGGACCGCCGGGGCGGCCGCCACATGCGCCAGGTCGAGGAGGAGCAGGAGCTCGAGGACGAGATGGACGGCCTGGTCGACCAGAAGCTACCTATCAAGCAGCCGCCCTCGGGCTTTCCCGGCATTCCAGGCCTGCCTCTCCAGAAGATGGGTCCTGGCGGCATGATCCCGCTGCCGCCCGTGATCCCCGGCGTCGGCGGCGCGCACCACCCGCCGCCCCTCCCCTTCCCTCTGCCCGGCATGCACGGCGTCCCGCCCCTCCCGGGCATGGACCTCAAGAACCCGCCGGACCTGGCCGCGATTGCTGAGATGATGAAGAAAGCGGGCATACCGCCGCCTCCACCCCCAGGCGGACACCTCCCGCCGGGCATGCTCCCCCCAGGTCTCATCCCGCCGCCGGGTTTCCCCCTGCCGCCCGGGTTCCCGCCGCCGCCGCCGCACCTCCTGGCCCAGCAGCAGCAGCAGCAGGTCGCGCAGGCCGCCTACGATGCCGAGCAGACCGCGGAGTCCATCCGGAGGCGGGCGCCTCTGCCGAGCCAGGAAGAGAGCCTGCGCCTGGAGCAGAGCAGGGGCCACTACACTCGCCTCAGATAGTCCCCGAGGGGAGGAAGTGGTGATGGCGGTGGTGGTGGCTGTGACGAGAGCGGAGAGGACAGTAGCAGTGGTTTTTAATAACAGCGCGGTAGACATAGGGGCTTATCAATCTATCTATCTATATCACGAGATGATCTGATCATGGTAGTCAAGCAGCGGAGGGAAGGCTAAGAAGCGGAGCTGGCAGGAAAAGAGTGACTGAGGGGCGAAAATGCGAGGAAGCGCACGAAAGAAGAACAGATTGCGCTTCTTGCAGGAGTTTTTTTTCAGGGCAGGGAAAAAGTGTAAAAACAAAAAGTACATCCTTCCGTCTTCCTTCTGCCGTCTTTGGGAGTTTGGCTTGACGAGGACTCTTGGTCGGAGAGGGGGTTTATTATCATCATTAAACAAGCAAAACATTCTTTGCGGTAGTTGTATATCTAATGCATACCTACCTACCTACCTATCCAGGCTACCCAAGAATCTATGGAGGATATTCAGGATTCTTCTGCATATAAGTAACGTAGTTTACTGGACTTAGCTGAGGTCTTTCATACACAAAAAAAAGAGAGACAGAGAATTACTGTAGGGGCGAGCGACTTGACGTGCCTCTTTGAAGTCTGCCTGCACGCAGGTGAGATGGACCCATACATAACTAGTGATGACTTATTCAAGGAAACTAATTATGACCTCTCTTGGGCCACGAGTCAACTCTTCTTCAGGAAACCGGGAGCCAACTTGAACCCAACCAGGACCTAAACTGGGCGTAACCTAGATGTAACTTAGGCCTAACCTGGGTTTAACTTAGATGTAACTTGAACGTAGCCTGTATCTAACCTAGATGAAGTCCAAAACTAACGAGTTACTTACTTAGGATACTGAAGACACCTAGGTCACTGGTTTCACTGAAATTGGATCCTAAGGTCGTCTTTATTAGGTTTCTATGTTCAGCCTACGAATCAGAATCCAAGTGAATAAATAGGTATTATGCACCAGGATCTCTCGAGCACGCAAGCTAAATCACAAGCTGGGCATAATGTAAAGTACCGTGTCAGAGCATAGGTTAGGTTTATAAGTTCCCTGTCTATAGAGCCAGCCGCAACACCCATACCCGTACCGGTGCACTAATGGTAGTACAGTTATATACAAACCCCAATTTCGCGCAAGTAACGCCTCCCACTCTGTATTCCAATTCTGCAGAAGCTTCTTATGGCACAAAGGGGATTCTGGTGGCGACCATCTTGCGATAGTCGAGATACTCGTCGCCAAAGAAGCGCACGAGAAAGTCCTCTTCGATGCGGATCCTAGCGCTGAAGAACCTCCAAAGCACGGCAGCATACAGGATAAAGCTAACGGGGTTGCCGAGTACCACCTGGGTACCGAGGGCCCACCAGAAGAAGCCGAAATAGCTGGGATGGCGGAGTCGGGCGTAGATGCCCGTCGTCACGAGGACGTGGCCGGCCGTGCGCTGGTGCTGTACGAGGTGGTTGAAACTGGGGCCGGCCTGGATCATGGCAACGCTGCGCACTATCTGGCCGACTATGACGAGCACGAGGCCGAGCAGACACAACAGTGTGGCGCCGCTGGCTGCCGGCCCTGGGGTCCACGCCCGATCAGGCCACACCAGGTTCGTGACCAAGCACTCGAGCGTCGCGAAGCTGTGCGCGATGGCATAGCCGGGCCAGTTGGCGGTTAACAGAAACGAGCTGACCTCGGCGGCACGCGTGTTGTAGGCAGCCGTAGTCCAGAACTCGAGGAAGTGGAACAGCGACAGCGCAGCCAGGAAGAACGGCAGGCGCCACAGCGGACTAGGCCAGAAAAGGGCCAGCCCGACGGTGCCCGCCACGCCAATAGCGAGGGCGACTCCCAGGCAAAAGGACCGGACGGCAATGCCGGCGAGGGATTTGGGCTGATGCGGAAAGTATGCGCGGTCTGGGCTGAGAGGAGAGGCGGCGGCGGCGGCGGCAGGGCTGAGCACAGGGAGCGTTAGGTTAGCGTCTTCTTCTTGCTCTTGGCCACCCTGGCGGTCGTCCACGCTATGGGGACTGGCCGAGGCGTTGGACGCCGCGGGAAAAGGCGAGCCGACATGGGCATCAATGGCAGAGGGGATTTCACGCGAGCGGCGGTGATGGCGAACAGTGGCGCTGTTGACGCGGTCACGGCCAGCTGCCCATGACTGCTGCTGGTCCTCCCCGTTGCCTCCCGAGGGACGGCGACGGAGAAGCGACGAGGCAGTAGGTTGAGCCATGCTGGGAGTAGTGGGTGCGGGGAGACTCAAGCGAGTTGTAGATGTAGGTGGCGGAGGGTTGGCATGAGGCGGCTTGAAAGGATAGGAGACACGAGGATATGAAACGTCGACATATGTATTGGCCCAGCACGAGGCCGCGCAGCAGGGTTACGATTGTGCAATAAAGAGAGTCGAAAACAAAAGAAAGGCTGTTTGCGCTTACAAGTCGTTACTATTGTTTCTATGGGACCAATGCGCTCGCCGCAGGCTGGTCGAGGCTTCCATTCCCGTGTGCAAGGATGGGACCAGCTGCTAATCGGAGGCAGTCTCGGGAAAGAGAAGCTTCAGACTGGGGATCGAGACAAAGACAGGGCCGGTGGGCCCGCTAGGCTGTTGTACTCGCGCTTTCTTCGTCTATGCCATAGACTCGTCGGCTTTGTTCAGCATATGCTAGCTCAATCGGGAGACTAGACTTTAACTGTCGCTGTGACGCGGGGTGGTTGATTTGCTTTCGATGTCGGGATAGGTAGCTGAAGTTCAGTTCAGGCCCCGCTGTAACTCGAATGAACTGGACGGTCCCTGCATTGGTTGGTGCAACCGCGTCCAGTAGCTGCTAAACCCCGTTATGACGCAACTGCCTGCCGCACTCCGTCTGAACTGGCAAAGGATGTGCAATGCACAGCTCAGCAACAGCACAACTAAAAAAACGCATCCTGTCTGCGGATAATACTTGGTGTGATGTTGACGAGTAGAATGACGGAGGGGTTTGGTCCACCTGGCACCTTAGAGTCCGCCCATGATTCTAAAGGACGACACAAGCAGGACCATGACGTTGACCCATCCCCAGATGAATGGAATCCACGTCGACATGGTAAAGCCGCCAGCTCTGTAGCTTGCACCGACTCTAAGCGGCAAAAATCATCAGTCGCCGGGGAGGGCAGTGGAAGGAAGAGATATGGGGACACAGACATCAGGCCAACGACACTTCCAGCCAGAAGGGCTTCCACTCCAGCGACAAAGGCATAGACCAGCGGCACCATCCAGAGGTACTTCCAACTCGACCTCGACTTGGTATTGCCCGCCTGCATCAGCAGCGCAATGGCGGCTGCGCCCATGTGGAAAAGGCCATAGAGGATGAGTGTCCAGAGAAGTGTGAAGCGCCAGATGTCGTAAAGACTCGACAGGGTCCACCTGGGGGTTTCCAGAGGCAGCGACAGCGAGGGAAACGGAGGCGTCGTGTTGCTGGGCAGAAGCTCGTCCACTGCTGAACTCGCCATGGCTGCGAGCTGCTGCGGCTGCGATGCAATTATGAAGAAATTGGTTGTAAAGTTCAATGGCATACAATGGGTTTGCACTGATGTTGCGCGCTGAAGTTGGTCCTTAGGTAGCTAACCGTTCGGAATCAATTACTCAAGAATACGCCAAGGCCGCAAGAGCTTAGGGGAGCTCGATATGTGCATACAATAATTACCTGCATACTGAGTATAATTGCGTGCCTATCCGTACTCCGTATCTGTACCTCGGCATTAGCCGAAAATGTCACTGCCTCTTTCGTCCACTCCATCAGATGCGTCGCTTCTGGATGGTCCCATGTCATTGCCGAGCTAGCACATCGCAGCTTCTCTTCAACAAGTGTCATCTCGCACACACGGCAATTTTTCGACTTGGCCATGCCTAGCATTTAATTACAATACACGCCGACACCTGCAGCCATCGTAGCCGTCATCAGCCTCGCGCCAGGGCTCGAGTCTGGCTGGTCCCGAAATGTCCATCGACCGGCTCCTGACGACGCTCCTGCAGCTCTACCAGGACGTGCACGACGATGCCCGCACCGAGTACATCTACTCGACCACCACCACGCTGCTGACGACCCTCTCCAACCCCCTGAACCTCTCGCTGCTCACGTCGCAGCTGCTCGTCGCGCCCGCAATATGGGGCCGCGGGCCGGGCAATGGCATGCGCGCCTGCTATCGTGTCATTAGCATCTTCAACACGGCCGCCATCCACGTCCGCAAAAACGAACTAAAAAATGCAAAGCCCAAGCTCCCTTCCACACTGCCCACCCCGCCCGTGGGCAGCGGTATGCGCAGCGATGTGTGGGCTGCAGCTGCCGTCAAGGGCGCCGACGACCTCTCTAACAGGTGGCAGCATCTCCTGGTCCTCGCCGGCCTCCTGATGGGCTTTGAGGGCGGCGACCGCCAGTCGCTGAGCAGGTCAATGCGCAACAAGCTTGAGCAGGCCGTCGTCATGGCTACGAATCTCGCCCTCCAAGCCAGAGACCCCGAGCCGCGCGCCCCCGCCGGGCCCCTCTTGCTGGCCCTCAACTTTGCCTTCCCCCTGCTGTCCGAATCACACCGTCGCGCACTCGACTGCGATGCCCTTGTCCCCGCTGCCACGCAGGCAATGCTTGCTGCAGATGGCCTCCAGGACGCCCTCTTCCTTGGAGCCATCGATCTCGACGTGCGGCAAACCGGCCAACAGTTTGTCTGGTCAGCCACGTCACCTTCCTTTCTTCTTCTGCGCCAGCTTGAACAGAAGCCCCTGGTATCCGGCCTCGGCCCCTTGTCGAGGTTACTGGCATACGCAATTGAGCATGCGAGGGACTCTGAAGTCGTGCTGCGGACCCAGAACGATTTGATGCTCTTCACAGAGAAACTACACCAACAATGGCAGACCAACAAACTCTCCGAAATAGAGCCCTCGGAAGAGGCCGTCTTTCTGACTACCGAGACGATGCGGAGCACGTGGCCAGCTCTATGGCAGCTCCTAAAGAAGATTATGTACGGCGTCGTGGCTGTCTTGCACGCCGCCGTTGCACGAAGCCTTCTCGATCCCCGCCTGAGGAACGACGCAGCTGCCCCGATGGTGGCCACAAAGACGCTCAGTGTCTTGAGGAACCTGTACTTCATCTCGTCTCGGAATGGAAGCGATGCTTTCCAGGTTTACACATTCACATATCTCGCGTCCATCGACAGTCTGGCGCGCTATCCCGATGCCGCCGTCTCTTTTCTGCAAAACATCAAACCGGCCGACTTGGGGTCTATACCGCCACATCCGCTTCTTAGGACCTTGGACTTGTTCTACCTGAACCTTGCCGAACACTTGCCCCTCAACTTACCTGTCAAGGCATGTGATGCCCTGATCGTGCAGCCGGCCGTCACGTACTTGACGAATGCGGCTCCGCTCTCGCCTCGCATGGTGGAGTTATTTGAGGCGGCACACAGCGCTGTACTGTCGGCGCTCTCTTGCCCTCACAATGCTCCCATCGCCGTTGAGCTGGTGCCTTTCTATGCCGAGACCCTCAGTTCCTCGTTTCCGTCGTATATATCCCCTCGCCAGTTCCGCTTGGCCTTCAAAACCATGATGCAGATCCTGTCACCGCCGTTTCCCATATCGGAAAGTCATCCACAGCTTGCAGAGGCCCTTTTGGAGATGATTCGATTTCGCTCAACCATTGCAAGTGGGTTGCCGCTGCCACCGGCCCAGGACGCACAGTCGCAGTCGGTCACACAAGAGCCCACGTCGGAGCAGAGCACATTGGTCCTTACGCTGATTGACTCATTGCCGTTCCTCCATCTCACTATCTTTGAGGACTGGATGACGCTGGCCGCGCTAGCCTTGGACGGAATTGAGGACTCGGCAATAAGAGACGTCGCCAAAAGGAGATTCTGGCAGATACTAGTCAGCGGAGAAATGGACGTTGAAAGGGCGGCGATCGGGGTGGCATGGTGGGGCACCAAGGGTGGGAGAGAGGCGGTCCTGTACAGTGCTCGTGGGCTGGCCCCCCCTGAGAAATCCATGATGAGCGGAGCAATCGCCAACGATCGCGGGGAGAGCAGCAGGCTCTGATGCCTTATCTCCAATGCTGACTACCCATACATATCAAGCCGTGCCGCTCCATTCTAAAATCGTCATCGGTCATTAAAATTGCCAAGTCCTAGACCGAAAAGGCGGTTCCAGGTCTTTGGAGCCGCCAATTCAGCACCCCCCTGTCTAGCTGAAAGGGTTGGTTGAGAAGCCTATTGAGCATGTGGGCATCTCGGGTTGCCTAACTGGCCCCCGGTTGCTTGAAACCCGTCCCGCACCGTGGCGTGTCACAAGCAGGCATTGTCACTCACGTCCAGCGGGTGCAATTCCACCCTCATTCACCTGTTCTCGAAATCTTGGTTATTTCACAAAAATTGGCCGCGATATCACATCAAGACAAGTTTTATTCGGCTTTGCCGCTCATGCAGTTGCACTATCGTGCCAATCGTGTCCAGCGAATGAGGCTGAGCTCAAGTTTTGGGGTCCATTCGCGGTCTTTGCTCCATGACGCCAGCTGCTCAGGCATCTGAGACATTGGCTAGGATAACAAGCTGTCGACTTGCTTTTTCCGTGCGTGACGGTCCAATTGTAGGATACCGGCGGCGCAGCACTGCCGAATGAGCTGCGGCTTCCACCTCGAGCTGGACGGCAAGTCGGCGCCTCTAGAGCTTTGAAGAGAACTAGATCTGCACCATCATCCTAACTATCTCCAAATGGAGGGGTTGAGCGATTTTTGGAGCCCGTCTGATGCCAATTTGGAGTGTGGCCACCTTCACCCCGCGCAGCATGGTGTGCTGTGCTCGTCCTCGTTTCGCCATGAGGACTTTGGATATCGATTTGTACGCGCCTAGAGCGTCATCCTAAAACCAAATCAGGCCTTAATGGCGTTGGAGGGGGTGTGTGGGACGTAAACAATTGCCCCTCCATGAGGACAGCCCCTCCTCGCTGCGGCCGAATCATAGCTGGGCAAGGGAGGCACAAGCTCTCAAACAGGCCTCCGAGTTCTTGCTGCTAGGCGATTCATGGACTGGTTGTACGGATTTGGCACGGTCGAGGAAGGAGGGGATCGTGCCAGGTTCTTTAAGAAGGGGCTTCTCGCCTCAGCATCTAACGGAAGGACCATATCCCCAAGTCTTTCAGCAGTCTATCAACATCTTATACTGTAGCCAATTCAGAGAGCCATTGTCTCACTAGTACACCTCTGCCCCTTTCTCCCCTATATCCCTTGAGCATCTTCTCATCATGTCTTACAATGACGACAACGAGGACGTACGTTCCATATTCCGTGTCTCTTTCTCGTCCATGTCGTAATCCATCCACGTGTCGTTGAACTTACATGTTCTCTTCTCTAATATCAAGTCATCGTACGGTCAGACCGACAGCTACGTAAGTGATGCTTTCACCCCGCCTTGTTGCCGGTGGCTGGCGACTTAGAATGAGAAGCTAACCATTTGATCTATCAACTCATCAGGGATCGTCCGGTGGCGACGACAGCTACGGCTCTAAGACTAAGCAGTCTTCGTACGGAAGTGGAGACAACGAGGACAGCTACGGCTCGTCCGACACCAAGAAGTCGTCCTATGGCTCCACTGGCGACGACGAGGATAGCTACGGCTCATCCAACAAGAAATCGTCGTACGGCACCACCGAAGATGACGAGGACAGCTCCGTGACCAAGAAGTCGTCCTACGGCACCTCCAACGACGACGAGGACACCAGCTACGGCTCGGGCAATAAGAAGTCGTCCTACGGCACGTCTGGAGACGACGCTGAGGACACCAGCTACGGCTCCTCGGGCAACCAGAAGTCGTCGTATGGCACCACCGACGACGACAACGACGACGACACCTCGGCGACGAAGAAGTCGTCTTATGGCTCCACCGGTGACAACGAGGACACTAGCTATAGCTTCGGCAACAAGAAGTCGTTCTATGGCACCTCCAACAATGACGAAGAGGACACCTCGGCGACTAAGAAATCGTCCTACGGCTCCACCGGCGGTGACGAGGACACTAGCTACGGTTCCAGCACTAAGAAGTCGCCTTATGGCGCTATTGGAGATGATGAAGAGGACAGCTCAGCGACCAAGAAGTCGTCCTACGGCTCCACCGGAGATGACGAAGAGGACTCGTCGACCAAGAAGTCATCCTACGGCGCCACCGGAGACGACGAAGAGGACACCAGCTACGGCTCGTCAAACACCAAGAAATCGTCCTACGGCACCACCGGCGACGACGAGAACGAAGAGGAGAGCAGCTACGGCCTGAGCAGCCGCAGCGGCAACAAGCCGTCGTTGGCAGCGTACGGCGCGGGCGGCGATGACGAGGAGAATACCACCAGCATTGGATACAAGCAATCGTCGTCGTATGGTGGGCGCGGCAGCAGCGGCGATGACGATGGCGAGCAGCAGCAGCAGAGCGACGAGTACGGCAGCAGCAGGTCGGGCGGCGTGGACAGGCTGGCCAGCCAGGCTGAGGGCCTCTCTCTTGAGGACGAGTAGAGACAGACAGACGGCAGTCGCGTTCATCTCTGTTCATTCGTTTTGCGTATTTCATTACTACGTATGAGCAATGGGGGCCTGAGTAACTACCTGGTTAGGTAGTTAGCTACGAGGAAGGGGTCACGCGTAGGGATGGAGATAGGCCAAACCATGTTTACGATCCTTTTTGCCTTAGCATTGCATTTCATTCAGCTTTTTTTGTATTTTTGAGCCTAGTTCTGCCAAGTCAAGTTAAATAAGACCTGATATAAATAATGCTATAAAGACAGACAGCAAGGGCGCGTCGTTAGCTGCGACATATGATTCCCATCGGTTCCAATACTCCATTCTTTTTCCCCCATTCGTTATCCCTCTACACTGAAAGAGCAGTGTCCTTCTTTCACCCTTTGAGCTAATGAAGTATCCTGCAACGACCTAGTTCCCAATAATAAAATCCCAAGGGTATCAAATGCTTCCATATTTAACCATGCCATGCCATGACCTTTAAGAAAAAGAGCGAAATACATAATAGTGGTGTTTCAAACAGTAGCCTCTATTTTTTCCCGTCGACTAGGGCGTCTATATCAATCAGCTGCCGCATTTCAGTCCACTCTGCATCGAAATTGCCCTGCATGGGGGAGTCGGCTGCTCCGGCGGCAAACATGCAGGACTCGCCAGGTTGCAGCGGCAGGGTAAGACGAGGGTCGATGACGTGGTCTTGGTCCCCGTAGCCGTTAGCAACGATATTCGTGTCTGACGATTGGTGGTCCTTCTGGATGTGCCTGTCGATATCGCGGTAGCGGATGAACTTGGCCGGGCAGCCGGCGACGGTGCAGGGGATATTGCGGGCTGTGGCCACGCCTGTCAGCTCGTCGGTAACGACGGGCGACAGGTTGGTCGACGACGACATGGTGTATAGCTTGGGGGGGCGCCTGCGGCCTAGGTGTATGAAGCGCACGTGCTCCTCGAGCTTGAGGCGGCTCACAAAGTCGGCGCCGCAGCCCTCCTCCATCCAGTTCCAGTCGGCAATGTCGCTGGCCCCGAACGTGTCGACCTGGCCGCAGACGAAGCGCAGACCCTCGTGCGCCGTCTTGACGTGCGTGTTGAGGTTGGACACGCGCGTGAAGCGCTTGTCGCAGCCCTCCCACGTGCAAGCGACCGTCTTGCGCTCCTCAACCGTCGTGCCCGAGTGGTACTTGTCGATGTGCCGCTCCAGGTCGCCCTGGCTGCCGCACTTAGCGTCGCAGAACATGCAGTTGATGTGCTCGCGCCGCATGTGGGCCTGCAATAGCAGCAGCGTCGTGAAGCCGATGCGGCGGCGTTCTTTGGGGGTGTCGTCGTAGTCGTCGTCGTCTTCTCCGTCTCCGTCTCCGCCGTTGCCGGTGCATTCGTCGCACCAAAACTTCAGCTCGCCGTGCTCGCGCTCAATGTGGCGGCGCAAGGCGCTGGCCGTGTCGAAGCCAACGTCACAGCCGTCGTTCCCGCACGTGTAGGCGGATTGGTCGAGGTGTGCGGTGCGGATGTGGCGCTGCAGCGTCTGGTGCTTGCGGAAGCTCTGACTGCAGCCGTCGTATCCGCGGCACCGGAAGCGCTCGGCACCCTCGTGGACGGCGGCATGCCTCCTCAGCCTCGTAGCCGTGACAAATGACTTGGTGCAGTCGGGCTCCTGGCAGGCATAGCGGCGCTCGTGGGTATGTGAGCCCTTGACGTGCTGGGACAGGTGCTTCTCCTCGATGTAATTCTTGCCGCAGGCCTCATAGGGGCAGCGAAAGGGGCGGTCATTGGCGTGGGACCGTAAATGGGCGGCCAGGCGAGCGGGCCGATTGAACGTCTTGGGGCAGCCAACAAATGTGCATTTTATCGTCTTGAGATCCGAGGGAAACTTTCGGCCGGTTCGAGATGAGGGGGATGAGGCTGTAATCGAGGTCCCGGCGAGTGTCTGGCCGGGGGTGGGCTGCAGAGTGGACGCAGCTGAGAAGACGGAAGCTGTGTCGGCCTCGGCGTCTTCCGACGCCGACGGAGCCCAGTCCGAGTCGCTAAAGTGTCTTTTGTAAGACGCAGCACTCTCCTGGTCGCTTGCTTTTCTCTTCATTGTTACGGCTTGGCTTGGGCGGCACCTGCCGAGCTAAATTGGGCAATCTAAGAGTTTGGTAGTTTCTAGAGCTCGAGAGAAAAAGAAGGCTAATAGACGAGGTGAAAAACTTGCAACTTTTTTTGTGCGTGCACTGGCACTAACTCTGGCCGCTGATTGGCTGATTTGTCCGCCTCAAAGTTCTGACAAGCTTCTCCAAATCCGCGGCAGGCAAATCGGCGCCCCGATAGTGACGAAATCGTGAAAACGGTTCAGCCTCGCCCACCCTCGCCTTGGGGGCCCACTCTAATTTTTTACTGCCCCGCGCTGGGCTCTCTCCACATCGCCTTCGACGTCCAAAGCAATCTTCAGTCGCAGTACATACCACAACGCCAGTCGCGCGCCTCCTGGTCAACACGACAGCGACATCTATAGCAAGCCCAGCGCCCAAACCCCAAAGAGAACAAAAAATGTCTGACTACGGCGACGACGGAGCTGAGCCGCTGTGAGCAATCCTCCTCTCCCCCTCCCCCTCCCTCGGGGCCCTTTCTCTAACAAAAACAAACCGCAACAGCGACGAGCCCGCCTTCGAAGAGGATCTTGACGAGTACTACGAGCCCGAGCCCGAGCCGGCAGGGGGCGACGACCAGGCCAACGGCGCCGACGCCGAGGAGGGCGACACGGACCACATCGTGTCGGGCGACCCCAGCGCGCACGCCAACGTCGGCAAGGGCAACGATAAGTCGCACAAGGACAAGAAGATCCCGAACGAGTCGCGCACCACGACGCCCTTCATGACAAAGTACGAGAAGGCGCGCATCCTGGGAACGCGCGCCCTGCAGATCAGGTTCGTTTTTTTTTCTTCTTCTCTGTTCACCCACCCCCCGTTCCGTTCACTCTCGATCGGTCCGAAAGAAAACAAAAAGAGGCCTTTTCAAAAATAGACCGAGAAGAAAAAAACTCAGTTGACCAATGTACTTGTTAATTTCATAGCATGAACGCGCCCGTCCTGGTCGATCTCGAGGGCGAGACGGACCCGCTGCAGATCGCCATCAAGGAGCTGAGGCAGAAGAAGATCCCTCTGATTGTGCGGCGGTACCTGCCCGACGGATAGTAAGTTGGTCTTATGTCTTATTCTTTCCTCACCCCAGCCCAGCCCAGCCCCGATAGCAGACTGACTTTTTTTTCCCTAAAAAAAGCTACGAGGACTGGACCTGCGAGGAGCTTCTTCAATGAGATGGGATCGATACTCACTCACACTAACTCTCACTCTCATCTTCTCAGTCTCTCCCTCCCATCCTCACCCCCGACGTCACCCCAAGCACTGAGTTTCACCGCCAGTCACTCTTGTATGTAAATAAGAACTTTAATTAACTAATTGTCAAACTATGTCCACGTGCATGTGCATGCATCTCTGTAGGGAGCGTGGAGAAGAAATCTAGATACTCATGTGAGCGCTGTGTGTGAGACGTACGCCGGGCGTTGATTGTACAGTGTCCATCCAGCATCCTCATCCCTATGTCACGTTTCGATCAATACATTGCCAATACTTCCTTCGCTATCGCTCACATTTTCCTACTCATCCTGCAATAATCCACCCTCTTCTCTTTGGTCGCTGCTCTCCTTGATACGAACAACAGGGAAAACACTCATGATTAATAAAGGAGCGCCATTCGCGCCCTTTGCTGACATGAAAGAAGACAAAATTCAAGAAAAGAAATGATGCTGCATCACAGCCTAGCAAGCGAGTGCTAAACTTAGTATGTACCGAAGCTGGGGCACTTGCCCGCACCATTCGAGCCCTTGTTGACGGCAACGCAGTCATTGTACTGCTGTGTGCACTTGTTGGATGCGGCGCTGGACGAGTCCGTCCAGCCATAGGTGCGACGCTCAAGGTCGTCGGCGCGAGCCCAGTGGAAGTACGATCCGTGGCCGCTGCCGCCACGACCGCCATAGCTGTGGCCGTTACCGCCGGGAACGCCACCTCCATAGACGCCACCTCCGTAGCCACCGCCGCCGTGACCGCCGGCACCGCCACTAGTATAGCCGTCTCCACTGCGCTTACCTTCCTTACCGCTGCAGCCCTTGACGTAGACGGCTTTGCAGTCATTGAGCTGCTCCTTGCAGGCGTCGACGCAGGCGTTGGTGCATTGATTACGGGGGTACGATTTGCACTTGGAGCTGTCGCTGTCGGTGTAGAGCTTGAAGGGGCCGCTGCCGAAGTCCTTAGCGAGATTGTTGCACGTTAGGACGGGCAAATCGATGCCGCCGACAGGCTTCCCTGGCGCATAGCCGTACTGGTTGTTGGTAGGCTGTTTGCAGATGTTTGTGGGCGTTGGGATCGGGCACTTGGTTGAGGAGGGCGTCGGAGTCGGGGTTGGCTTGCACGGTACCGTGATGACCGTTGTCTTGGGCGGCGAGGAGCCCTTGCCTGGCTTCTTGCCCCAAAAGTCCGACTTGGAACACTTCCCGTTGGTGCCGCCGCCGCCGCAGTAGCCGTTGACGGATGAGCACCAAGAGTCATAGTCGGAGCACTCCATTGCCGCGGGCCATCCAGCATTTTTATAGCAGGCATTAACCTGCAGCTTGCACTGGGAGTAGCCCGCCTTGCAGCCCGACACATCTCCCCAGTTGGGGAGCGGGGATGCACACCAGTTTCCGCAACGGTATTCACATGTTGGCGCCACCGTTGTGGTCGCATAACAGATTGTGCTGGTAGTCTTGGTGCTTGTCTGTGGCTTTGACGTCGTAGGGGGCTTGTGAGTAGAAGACGGAGGTGGTGGTGGCGGTGGTGTATACGACGAAACCGGGGGTTTGCTAGAAGACGGAGGAGATGGCGGCTTAGAAGATGATGGAGGTGGCGGCGGGGGTGTATAAGAGGAGATCGGAGGTTTGCTAGAAGACGGAGGAGGAGGTGGCGGCGGTGTATACGACGAAACTGGAGGCTTGCTAGAAGACGGAGGTGGAGGAGGCGGTGGCGTCGATGTGGAAGATTCCGGGCACGGAGTAGAGGACGGAGGAGGTGGTGGTGGCGGCGGTGAATACGACGAAACTGGGGGCTTGCTAGAAGACGGAGGAGGAGGTGGCGGCGGTGTGTAAGACGAAACCGGTGGTTTACTAGAAGACGGAGGAGGAGGCGGCGGCGGCGGCGGTGGCGATGTGGAAGATTCCGGGCAAGGAGTAGAGGACGGAGGAGGGGGTGGTGGCGGTGTGTAAGACGAAACCGGTGGTTTACTAGAGGACGGGGGAGGAGGTGGCGGTGGCGATGTTGAAGATTCCGGGCAAGGAGTAGAGGAAGGTGGAGGAGGTGGTGGCGGCGGAGGTGTATAAGACGAAACTGGAGGTTTACTGGAAGACGGAGGCGGAGGTGGTGGCGGCGGCTTCGATGTGGAAGATTCCGGGCATGGTGTAGAGGAAGGGGGAGGTGGTGGTGGCGGCGGTGTATAAGAAGAAACCGGAGGTTTGCTCGAAGACGGGGGCGGCGGCGGCGGCGGTGTAGAAGAAGATACTGGGGACGTTGAAGATGGAGGGGGCGGAGGTGGTGGCGGTTTTGACGTCGAAGACTCCGGGCAAGGTGTAGAAGACGGAGGGGGCGGGGGTGGTGGCGGCGGTGTATAAGAAGAAACCGGAGTTTTGCTAGAAGATGGCGGCGGCGGCGGCTTCGATGTGGAAGATTCCGGGCAAGGTGTAGAGGACGGAGGCGGCGGCGGTGGTGGTGGCGGTGTATAAGAAGAAACCGGAGGTTTGCTAGAAGATGGCGGCGGTGGCGGTGGCGGCGGCGGCTTTGATGTCGAAGACTCCGGGCAAGGCGTAGAGGATGGAGGCGGCGGAGGTGGTGGCGGCTTCGACGTAGAAGACTCCGGGCAAGGTGTAGAAGACGGAGGGGGCGGGGGTGGTGGCGGCGGTGTATAAGAAGAAACCGGAGGCTTGCTAGAAGATGGTGGCGGCGGTGGCGGCGGCGGCGGCTTTGATGTCGAAGACTCCGGGCACGGCGTGGAGGACGGAGGCGGCGGCGGTGGTGGTGGCGGTGTATAGGAAGAAACCGGAGGTTTGCTAGAAGACGGCGGCGGTGGCGGTGGCGGTGGCGGCGACTTCGATGTAGAAGACTCCGGGCAGGGTGTAGAGGAAGGAGGGGGCGGAGGTGGTGGCGGCTTTGACGTCGAAGACTCCGGGCACGGCGTTGAGGACGGTGGTGGTGGTTTATAAGAAGAAACTGGAGGTTTGCTAGAAGACGGCGGTGGTGGTGGCGGCGGGGGCGGCTTTGATGTCGAAGACTCCGGGCACGGCGTTGAGGACGGTGGTGGCGGTTTATAAGAAGAAACTGGAGGTTTGCTAGAAGACGGCGGTGGTGGTGGCGGCGGGGGCGGCTTTGATGTCGAAGACTCCGGGCACGGCGTGGAGGACGGTGGTGGCGGTTTATAAGAAGAAATTGGAGGTTTGCTAGAAGACGGCGGTGGTGGTGGCGGCGGGGGCGGCTTTGATGTCGAAGACTCCGGGCACGGCGTGGAGGACGGAGGCGGTGGCGGGGGTGGCGGCTTCGACGAAGAAACGGGAGACTTGGAAGACTCCGGGCAAGGGGTCGAGGACGGAGGAGGAGGCGGCGGCGGCGGCTTCGAAGTAGAAGACTCTGGGCAAGGCGTAGAGGACGGCGGCGGCGGCGGCGGCGGCGGTGGGTTATAGCCACAAGGCTGGGAACTCCGTAGTTTATCGGCAACATAGACGGTCAAACGAGAGTTTCCACCGCACTTCTCACCCGGGGCACCACTGCAGGGCTTATTGCAGTCGGCGGCTGGTACCGCAGCAGTGTCGTCACGAATGACAACGCCGCAATAACACTCGCCTAGTATATCACAGGTTAGTTCATAGGTTAGTTTACAGGTTGTGACGCAGATGACAGAGCAGGCATGGGCCGCAACATACCGCCGTACTCGGTGCCGGCATAAGGGAAGCCACCGTTCTTGCAAGCCTCCAAGCACTTAGCCGTCGTCAAGGAGCCGGTGTCGAGCTGGTCCTGTCGGGAGGTCAGGGCCTTGCCCTTGGACGAGTTATCGGTGTAGCAGCCAAGGGGAGCATAGTCGGCAGCGGTCACACCGCCGGCGGACGGGAAGGTGTTGTCCTGGTATACCGAGATGATGCTGCTACCGCCGCACTTCTGGGTCGAGTTGCCGGTGCAGGAGAAGCTACACTTGGATTCGGGAACGGCGGAACCGCCGATGGCAGAGCCGCAGAAGCACTCGCCGTAGTACTCGAGGCCGGCATAGCGGTAGCCGTTGCCCTTGCACTCGGCGGTGCACTTCTCGACCGTCATGCTCTGCGTGTCGAGGGGGCTGCGGAAGGTCAGGGCATTGGAGCTGCCGGAGTCGGTGAAGCAGCCCGAATAGGCGAATGGCGTGTAGGACCCAGAGCAAGGGGGCAAGGGGACCTCGTTTGCCCGGACATGGACACGACCGACGAAGGCGGCCACCGCTAGGGTGGCCACCACGGATCGGACGAAGGCCATGGCGAACGAGAGGCTCAACGAGCGTGGAGACGGAGCTCAAGATGCTAGACCGTCGTCAACAAACGAGAGAAGCTAGAGTCTAGCTTGGAGGGGGACCCTGGGGAGCAAAGCAGAAAGACGGGGCCCGAGGATCCGGGGGACGGGAGGCTTTATGGATGGCATAGCACGCACGGTATGCCATCACGGACGCCATACCGTGCCCTTGGATAATGACAAGGGGGGAACGAGAGAAGCATGACAGCGATGGGAGCACCCGAGAGGCTCCACCACCAGCTAGGCAGGAAGAGTTGTTGGTACAGTACCTGGTGGGTGTGCGAGGCAAGCCAGGGCAGGGCAGGGCAGGGCAGGGTGGACAAGAACACCATGTCGGGTTAGAAAGCTTGGCCTTGAGCCCGAGTCGGCGAGACGACGGAGACGAGGGGGCAGATCGGGGATCATCAAGCTTTCCCCCCCCTTGAGTAGGAACGATGTTGCGGGCACAGCTCAAACGCAGATGTTGCTCTCGGAACTGTACGTCGAGGTGCATTAGGGGCGAGGCCGCTAGCTCGACGGCTGCATGCAAGCAGTCGGTTGAGCGAAGCCAGTATGTGCCTGGGCCGGCATGTATAGTTGCTATTCGGTGTGAATAGTCAAGAAAGCTGTCGGGTGGGCGATAAACGGCGGACGACAGACGATGGCTAGCCGGCACTGTCCTGACCGCCCCGAGCGAATTGTACTCCCATCGCCACCCACATCCTCATCCCGATCACCTCGAATCACATTGATTCACGATAGACTTGGCCTGGTTGGTCTGTCTGTCTTGGCCTTGCCTTGTCTCCCCTCGTCACGCCGCTTTGAGCGGACACAGATTAGACAGATGCATGCATTCGCCAACGAGAAGAGAGAGACGCAGACACACAAGAACTAACGGACAGACAGACAGACCAATACGAGGATAAAGAGATCCAACGTTGCTTTGGCAGTGCGCACAAACTGTGCGCGCACGGGAGAGAGAGAGTAGAAGAGGCGCAACGAGAGGCCCAAGCCAGCGCCTCCATCAGAATGAGAGCAACACCGGGAACTTCAGACGCTAATACGGCAAGGCAAGGCGAGGTAAGGGGGAGCAGCGAGAGTCGGTGGGCCCCGAAACTCGCGGCCACCTGTTGGGACGTAATTCCCGAGGTATTCTCTTCTCTTCAGGTGACATGTTCTTTGGTCTTTGCGTCGTCGCCTTTGCCGGTGTAGCTTTTTCGTTCAATGAAAACAAAACAAAAAAACTAAAAGCCTCAGAAAAGGTGGTCGTGCAGAGGCAGAACTGCAGTGAGGTGAAATGATGCGGAGGGCCCCTGCGCACCCTGCTTGCCTCCCTCGTTCCTTCCCATTGGGCACATCGTGGCAGGCCCAAGTACCTGCATTAGCGGTCCCCAAAGGGTCCGGGTCGTTTCCCCAGGGCGGGCAGGTGCAGTCTAGGCGTGCATCTAATTAGATCTCGGGCTCTTGCCTGCCGGCGCGGGGGGGGGAAGGAGTGCTATCCTGGCCTAGACAGTGGTTACGTAGGCATTGGATAGCTGAGATTCGATGCCAGCCATTAGAGCCGAATGCTTCTTCACCTTTTCCATTTTCTCAAGCGTTCCGTAATCGACTCACCCAAAGAGCAAAGAATGCGCCACACGCCGTTCCCCTAAAGTTCGGAGTAAGTAGTACAATACAATATATCGCCCTTCCATCTCCAGACCGGCCGGCCGACCAACCGACCGACCGACGGTCGAGGCGAGGCAATTTGCGAGCCGAGCCGAGGGGGGCTCTGGTCGATCGTCCTACATAGGCCTCGACGCCTCGCCTCTTGTTTTGTTTAGATGATATACATACTCACGTAGTGATAGAGCCTCTCGGGAAGCAAGCCACAACAGCCAGGCCATCTGTCTGTCTGTCCGTCACCCGCCCGCGCACAGCAGCAGTGATGTGGAATCCTCCCCGCATTCTCGTATGTGCTGGTGTGACGAGACCAGAGTCAGAGCACGAAAGGGCTAGAATATGCGTGCCTGTGGTCTGGAAAGACATGCAGTGCGTCTGGTGTTGCACGCGTTCAGCTGACATCTGGAAGGTACGTATACAACACACCTCCCCAGGCATGTATGTAGGTACATACATACGGGTACATGCAGCACCACCAAGTATGTATGGTAGGATATACATTGGCTACTACTCCGTAGTTCAACCGGTAGGGCGTCGATGTACGTACTTACAAACAAACAAATCCCGGCCCGGCACGGCACAAAGACATGACATCCATATGAGGCAGCAGCTTTGTTCTATGCGTACTAGGTTGTTTCCCAGGAACGAAATACGGATTTACGGAACCGGCTGCACGTAGGGTCGCGCCGTTGGCGTCTATGCCGTCCCCGCTGAATCAACTGGGGACGTCTCGTCACCGTCACTCTCAGCACCACGGTAATAACAAGCAAGCTAGATATGTACTGCACTCCGTAGACTTGGCGCAACGCCATGCCGGCCGGGCCCTAGGCGCTGTGGACGGTATGTATGTGCATACATAGGAATGTTTACATATATCTGTGTGTGTAAGTGTGTGTGGTGTGTGCCGAGGTGTAACCACACTCGAGGTTCGACTTATCGTCTACGTACTGTTCTCGGGCGGGCGCGCGCTTTGGGCTGTGGCTGTTGTCGTTATTTTCCTGCTCGTGCAGCAAAAAGAGAAAAAGCAATTTCCGAATGTGTGTATGCCCTCGTTTTTTCTCGCCTTTGGCTTGCCGCCGCCCGCCCGCCCACACACTCGCTCTCTCGACTTGGAGGGCTCCGACTGGTTTCCCGGCCGGCATGTGGCTGGCTGGCTGGCTGGCTGGCTGAAATTTGAAGCTGTTGCAAGCAACACTACCTGACTCCGTACCTACCTGCATACCTTCTTGGGTGGAAGGTATAAGTTCCAAGGTAACAGAGACATTGGGTCAAGCCATTTACTTTTTAGGTATGTATAAAGTGCTAACAATAGCCAAGGCGTCCGTACGTCTACATACTGCTGGTACATTGGCCAGGTAAGGCTATATATATTGAAAGGGTAAATATTTGCAGCAGCTGTACGACTACGGCTCTGTCATCGTCGCTGTCGTCGTATTGCAAAAGCTAGACAACCAGACGTGTCATACAGCCAACATGGGTGTCTGCATGTCGGGCATTCTGGGGCATCCGTGTTTATTCTGGGGTTGTTCCCGTATGGCGGCGAAAGGGGGGAAAGATGTTGTGCGTGGACGTCGTGTTTAGAATTTAGGTAATCCATTTTGGTTTTGCTGAAGCTCGCAGAGAACCTCAAATCGGGTGGTGGTAATTAGGCAGTGCTGCAGTCGTCGGGGCGGCGTCGCTTTGGGCTTTTTGGGGCTTGTCAAGAGGCGCCAATCGGGATCGATACTAGTGGGTTTTTGGTATATTACGTACAGGACTGCACTGAGTGACGGGCATAACACAATGGAACCCCCAGCCCGAGCCAAAAGCCTCGCCTTATTTGATTTTAGATATCACCTGGCCTGTCACCGGAGGCCAATTCTAGACGTACAGTACGTCCCTGAGTTCCAGGCCGTTGGTAGGTAAGACATTTTCTCGAAATCCCGAGGCGGGAATTGTCCCCCGACCTCACGGTAAGCCTCCAACCAAGGTGCTCTGTAACCAAAGGTAAGGTGGCGACCTTCCAATTCCAATTCTATACCGGGCATGCAACCTCGGGAGGTAATCGAGTTATGCTGGCTGCCCTGCCCGTGCCGCCGCCGCCATGAAAAGAGAATATTGGCCTCGACATGCAGCGTCTCATTGTTCCATTGCTGCTCCTGCTGCTGCAAGAAAAAAGAAAACGAGCGCGCCCGCAAATCGGAGAAGAGCAGACACAGTAGACAGGAATGCCTCAACATGTGCGGCCATGGCACATTTGCATCTTCTCCCTCCGCGATCCGTGCATACGAGAATATGGCGGCTACCTAGCCTGACCTGACCTGACCTGACCTGACCTGACATGACATGACCTTGCTTGGCCTAGACTAGCCCAAAGCGGCATGTTTTACAATAATTGCTTGCTTGCCTGCTGTCCGCCGCCTTTGGGTGGCCTGCCTGCCTGCATCCATCAACAGCAGCAGCAGCAGTCAGTGAGCGAGCGAGCGAGCGAGCGACGGAGTGAAGGTGGCCGCTGATGGCGGCCTGCTCGTCCTTCCATCCACGATTCCCCCCGCCGCGCCGCCTTCGTCGTCGCTGGGGCCTAGCAGAGACACACAGACCGTTGGAGCGTGCCCCCCCCGCCGCTCTCTCCCTCCCGTCTTACTTACCTCGCCCCGAGCATAGAGACTAACGACAAACCAACCCAACCCAACCACAGTTGGCCGCCGAGTGTAATGCTGCCCTGAGCCAACCTCGTCTCGGCGCTGAATGCCGGAGTCGTGTGTGTGTGACGATAGAGTTCCAGGTGCCCCATGGAAGCGCACCCCACTCCCAGTGTGTACTTGTGCAGGTAGGTATGTGCCTGGCGAACATATGCCTCCTTACATAGAACTTTGAATGTGTACATGGTGATAGGCATGAGCCATTTCACTTTTGTGATAAATTTAATTGTGGAAGTCCCTCCTTGAGCAGAGCCTCATTGAACCAGACGAAATAAAACAAATAAAACACATACCTTACATACATACGAATACTGTCCTCCACAAGCCAGCCCATCCCCATTCACTCACCCACATTCTCTCCTCCAACACGAACCCCGGGTGCCGGGCCGCTACGGTGCGCGCGCAGAGTGGAGAGTAAGACGGCTATGGCATGGACGCGCCTCGCTCTACCACCTCATCTAGGCCTCGGCGGCGGGTTGCGCGGGAAGCGGGAGACGGAGAGAAAAAGAGAAAGTGTTTCAACTGAGCCGGTTTGTCTGTACCTAGGCTTGCCAACTAGGCAGGCTCTCACTCTACCTGAAACTCGGTGGCTGCTTGCTGTGCTGCTTGTTTGTTAGGAACTTGGATGACGGATTATACCCCCGACTCGACTCGACTCTTTGACAGTGCCTTCCTTATTCCCGTTCGATACAAATAGATAAATACGATACGGGAAACATTGCCAGTCTGCCCGCCGATCAAGGCCGCAAAGGGAACAATCTCGACTCCTTTGCAACTTTGCAAGTCGCATGTGCCCGTTGGCGAGCTCCGCCGATCCGGCACTGGTACAGTACGCATAGGACCAACCAACAACGGGCTCAATCCACGCCTCACAAGATGCTTCCCACGCCCGCCCACTCATTCCTCAACCAAATTCTCAATGTTTGATGTATATGTACAGTATGAATATGTACAGTACGAATGAGCTATTATTAAATGCGAATACACGTACGAGATACCTAGACTAGCGTCTGCACAACACATAACATAAGTAGACTCGAAAATCAGAATACTCAACCTCAAGATACTCCTCGGAGTCCGCCTCCGGCTCAGCTCTATAGTGTCTCGTAAACTAGGTATGCTTAACTTGTGGAGGGTGGCTTCCGCCTTGGGCCCCCCAAGGTAGGCTACCACATCGGTCATCTTAACATGAACATGGGAGAATAAACACTTGTGCCCAAGACGTTATATGCCAGCCCGCCTGAGGCCAGGCCAGGCCAGGCCAGGCCGAGGACTCGAGCTTAGGTACCGAGTGGCGGTGCGAAAATCACTTGCTTTCCATTCTCAACTGCAGTATGCCCTGATTACGTGATGCTATTCTACAAATTCGCCTTCGTAATGGGGAGGGCATATCAAACTCCAATGATTAAAGCGAGTGTGAAATGGCTGCAGCCGAAATCCTCTCCCCCAAACGTGTCTATCTAGTTGCCGCTAGCATCACCGCCCCGCTTCCACTTAGGCACATATTTACCGGGTGCGCCGCTCGCTTTTAGGGGCTCGACCGGTAGAGCTGCCTTATCCTTGGCATCCTCGCCGCGGCCCGAATCTCCACGCTCCATGGGAATAGTCCGAGTGCCAGATGCAACACGAAGAGGAGGAGTAGGCCGGTCACCCGCCGCGCTTCCACCGGCGCCGCCTGCCTTGGCAGCTTCTCTGTCACGCCAGCTCGGCTTGCCACCAGCCAGGTTGAGGCGGGGAGGTCCAGCAAGGGGTGAGTCGCTTCGCTCAATGGGTGCCCGCTCGATGGGTGCCCGCTCGATGGGCGCCCGCTCGATGGGTGCCCGCGCTGGTGGCGCCGCCGCATCGGCCGGCCCAGCTCCCGAGGCAGCTCGCAAAGAAGCCTCGCGTTCTCTCCAACTTGGCTTGGTTCCAGCAAGCGCCAGCCGAGGCGGTCCAGTTGGCTCCGCTCGGTCCGCAGGCGGTGCCTCTGGTCCTCTCCGGATCTGGATCGAAGCCGGGGCAGCGGCAGCCTTCTCGGCCTTGCGTCTGGCCATGGCCTCGTCCTCGCGCTGTTGCTGGCGGGCCTGTGCCTCCTTGGCCTTCTCGCGCTCCTTCTCCCTCTCCTCCTTGATCTTGGCCATCTCCTCCTTCCGCGCCTCCAGCCGCTTCTTCTCTTCTTCCTTCTCCTTGGCAGCACGCTCTTCCGCCTCGTGGAGCGCCCGCTCCTTCTCCTCGCGTTCTCGCTTCTCCCGCAGCTTGAGGTCGCGATGCTCCTTGTGGCGCGCAGCAATCTGCTTCGCCAGCTCCCGGTCGGCATCGCGGCGTCGCCTCTCAAACTCGTCACGACGGCGCTCGTGGAGGTTAGACCTGAATTCCTCGTAGAATGGCATGAGGCGAGTCAACCTGTGCTTGAGCTCGAGGTCCTCCTTGTGCTTCCGCTCAGCCTCCTTCAGAGTCTGGGCCGTCATGAGTTTGTAGGCGGCGAGATCATGCTCCCGCTGCCGGGCATAGTCCTGGGGGAGCTTCTTGGCCTCTTCCTTTCTCAAGGCTCGCTCCAGATGGTCCATACGTTTGCCGGTAACGCGGAGTTTCTCTGCGACGGTGTTCTTCTCCCGCTCCAGTTGTTGAAGCTTGATCATGCGGATCTTGTTGCTGTCCAGATTGACGATATCCTCGTCTCCTAGATCCTCAAGCTTCATGTCCTTGAGCATGTTCTTGACCTCCTCTCTCTTGATGTTCTCACGCTCAGTCGCCATCCGCTTAGCCTCCCGGATCTTCTGCTCCTCGGCCAGGCGGTTGGATTCAGCCGCCGCCAGGGCTTGCTCTTGGAGCATCTTCTTTCTGGCGATCTCCTTCTCCTTCTGAGCCTGTGCTTCAGAAGCCTTGTCTTTGCGCTTTTGGATGATCAGCTTTCTGGCCAAGACGGCCTCGTGTTCCTTCTCAGCTCCATCCTTGGCCCGAGCGAAGGCTGCGTCGCGAGTCTTGATCCGGTCCTCGTTGAAGGTAGGGTCGATGTAACGGCAGGTCGTGTAGAGCACTTCGGCAACGCGAGTGAGTTGAGAGCGCACAATCTGGGAAGGAGTGCTCTGGAGGCGTTGAACAGATCCCGTCTCGGCCTCGGCAGAACCGGCGGCGGAGCCGGCATGTGCAGCCTTGGCAGAAGAAAAGACGTCGGCATCAAAGCTCAGAACACCAGTGGCGTGATCCATGCGAACGGCAAGGTCACCCTTCTTGTTGCCGTTCATGATGAACTTTTCGATTGTGCCACGGGTAACCTGGAAGGGTTCTGGGAACTGTGCCAGGCTCTCAACAAACTGTAGATCGACGGTCTCATACACCTGAGAAAGCTGCTGGAAGAGACGGGTGAGGATGACTTGCTGCAGAGGATGGATGTACTTTTGCATCTCCTCGTCGGCGCCGATCTCAGCGAGGATAGGAGAAATCTTCTGGCAGATAGAGAGCGGGTGGAAATCAACCTCGAGGATATTGTAAAGATCTCGGATCTGAGGGCGGGCTCTGCGAAGGAGAGACTTTGACAAAGCATCGCGGAACAGACCGGCACGGGTCGGTGCCTGGGACATGCCCAGGAGGTGCGTCAGGCGCGAGTTCTTGTTCTTGCGCGCCTCGTCAAAGTCGACCATGGCGCCGCGAGACCGCGACGTGCTGATGACAGGAATCGACAGAGCAGAGAGGATGACGAAGGTAGCAGCCCGCTGCATGTCGGCCTCGCTGGAAGGCGGGTTGTCGGATTTCTTTCCCTGTCCAGTGGCAGCCATGACGGCCGACTGTCGCAGCAGGTTGTAGTATCTGGCCCAAGCGGCAGCGTGGAAGAGGTAGTTTTCGCCAACCAGGAAGATGCGCGTGAGCTTCTCGTAGTAGTTGGCCATCATAATGTTCTTGGGCGGGCGCTTGCTCAGGTTGAGCAGGGTGTGGATATCCTCAACGCTGCGGAAAGCCTCCTGCCAGAGTTCCAGTTCAACGGCGACATTGAGCTGCTGGAAGCGCGTCTCAAGATGGCGCTGGAGCGTGTCGGGGTCATTCAAGTTGATAGCGTGCATCTGAGCCGAGTACTTGGCAGCCGTCTGCACATGGTTCCGAAGGAGCTCGCAGAGGCGGCGAAACTCGGTCTTGCGGGCGTACTTGAGGCAAAAGTCGAAGGCCTGCATCGCAGTGCTCTGGTATAGAAGCTCAAGTCGGGCATTGTTCCTAAGGATGTCCAGGACGGTACGATAAGCCTCCCAGAGGAATTTCAGCCAAGGGGTGACGATGGCGCGGTCTGTGCGATCCCGAGACTGCTCACCCGAGACAGTGGCTAGGAGAATGGACTCGGGCGTCTCGCTGGCCTCGAGATCCTCGACGCTGGAAGTGGCAGTGGCCTCGATGGTGGACTGAACCTCATCGGCCTTTTGCTGGGCTGCCGTGACCTTCTCGGCAGCGAGCTCGATGAATTTCTTCAGAACCAACTCTATTGTGGCGACGTTGGTGTTCTGGGCAATGTTCTTGTACTGGTAAAGAGCATCCTTGGCCAGCTTTCCCTTCTTCTGTTCGACCGACAGCTCGACGAGCAGGACCATAACCGGCTCGAGAGATGCGATGGGAACATTGCGGGACCGTTTCGAAGTGATGTGCTCGTGAAGCAGGGTCAGGGCCGCTGGGGCCTGGTTGACCCCGATGAGCTCATGAGCCCGCTTGAGGACATTTTCGGGTTTTTGATGTGGTGGGGGAGGCTAAGAAACGATCAGCTGGGCTCAAGGTCAGGGGCCCGACGTTGGGGCCGCACGAGACGGCGTGATAATATTGGCGATGTGATGACACAGTCGACGAGGGAGGGGCGAGGGCGAGGGCGAGTGCGAGGGAGGAGGGGCAGTCCATCGATCGGGTCAGCACTCGGTCGCGACTTACCATGATGGGCAACCTCCTCTGCGCGATGCAGGACTAGAGGAGATTCGGGTTTTTGTTATCGGGGAGCTGCGCAAAGCAGCGTTGGTAAATGCTGGCAACCGTACTGGCGTTGACCAGAGATTTTTTTTGGCTCGTGGAGAAGATGTTGTTGAAGGCCAGGGCTTGGAAGGTACGATTTTGCCGAATTTGTGGGCTCAAATTGCGAAGAGGTCACGTGACGGGACGCTTATAACAGCCTCGAAGGGGCTGCAAGATCGCTTCTGGCAATGAACGATGGGACTCGGGTGCAAAGGTCTTTATGGCATTATAATATTGTTCTCTGTCTATTGAAATATTGTGTCTTTTTGCTGTTTGCGATAGCTCTTCACCAACCGTTTCCATGATGAATCCAAATCACCGAGGTTTTTTTTGCGACTCATCACAAAGGGTCTCCAGTCTCCACACAATTCACTTCCCCTTCATTCGCCGCGCAGAGGGTGGAATACGATTAGCTAGATATCCCTATGCCGAGGTATTGCAGTCGAGAATAGCGATTGCGGATGACAGGCCCGGAACAGGATAAATGCACTACTCGGGGGATTGCCTTTACCAAGATAGCTAATCTCACTCACCCCTGATTGTCTCATTTAGTTTGCTTCCACTGGAGGGACAGAGGGGCACGGACCATCTCCGGGCCCTCGACGGTCGACCCCCTTCCCCCAAGCTTCCGACGCCTCGATCCAATCCGCCTCGTACCTAGCACTTTGGCAACCGCATACCAGTCAATCAATCGCACCTTCGCCGAGTCTCGCTACAAGCGTCATAACCCGTCCCCAATCTAGCGTTTCTGCTCTTTTCGGTAAGTGCCACCCGATATTTATGCACTTGTCGATGGAATGTGATGGTTTGCGACCGGTGGAATCAATCAAGCACGTCGGGAGAGTCGGCCTCGAGGAAGGGGGGAGAAACCACGCCGCGACCCGGGTCAAAACCCCCCCCCCGAACAAAAGTCGCGATCAGGCACTAACCAACAACCATGTTCAAACAGACGCACAGCCGTCAGGAATCTCCCAGCTCGTCGTCGGCGCAGTTATCGCCAGCAGAATCAGAGAAACACGGCAGAAGCGCCAGTCCAGCGCGGCTTCGAAGCCTCGTTGGCCGAACCTCCGCCACCACGGCCGGAGTATCCCCCTCGTCGTTTTCGAGGCTCGATCAGCAATACGGCGCTCCGCGCGGCGAGTTGCGGCCTCTCCAGATCGAAATGCCTCAATACACATCTCGCGATGTCGGCGATCCGTCGCAAATCAAGAAGAACAAGCAGAGCATGGCCGACCTGAAGCTACGCCGGTTGACAGAGCTGAACAACCGACTACGCGAAGACCTCGACCGGGAACGCATCCCCGTCAGCCAGGCCTCCAGGGGGTAAGAAAGTCACCAGCGAATAGAACAACAACCCCACTGCCCCCACCCTTGCATAGCACGTCGCCGTCCATATATACATATGTTGCATGTTTGTCCTGTTGTACTGACCGACTGTCTCGCCGTTTGTCTAGCATCATCGCCTACTGCAACAGCACCCGAGACTACATGGTGCCCAGCGTGTGGGGGCCAGTTCCCAAGGGCGAGGACCCGTACGCGCCACCACAGACTGGCGGCTGCTGTGTAGTCATGTAGGACGAACTACGACCACGATCGTTGGATTATGCTGAGTCCCGAAACGGGCCGACCCGCTTTTGATTTTGGCTGTCGTTGTCGCGAGCGTTCGGAGCTACTTGGCTCCCCGGTAACCGTTTTAAAGGAAACTCTCGCGGGTCCACGGCGTTTGATCAGAGGGCGAAAGGGAAAGCCCCTAGCGGGGCTACCGACACGAGAGAAAATAAAGAAAAATGGTTGTCGCTCAGCGACGACCACGCGTCCGTCTTCGCCGTGGTAGCGAGGAGAAAAAAAAGAGGAGAGTCCGAGAGAGAGAGAAGCCCACCGGGAAAAGGGGGGGGGCATGGAAGGGATGAGATGATGGCGGTCCCTACGATAATGCTTCAGCTCATACCCCCTTCTGTTTCTGCGTATCGCAGTCAGGCACGGCAGCTCTTCAGCATATAATATCTTTTATTCCTTGTTTTCTATTTATTTTCCCCCCGTGTTTACTCCTGTTGTACTTTTTTTCTTTTTTGTTCCTTTTTTTGGGCCCCTTCCCGTCACATCTTCCATCCTCTTCCACTGTATATAGATACCTGGATGTTTCGCTGTGTGCGTAGCGTGTCCACCCTCCCCTGAACGGATTCACGAAATGAACACCGAGGCAAATGAGATACACATTTACATTTTTAGTCGATGAGTTTTCCATCCATCCGTGCAAATCAATCGGCCTTTTGCTCGACTGAGGGTGCTCAGGTTTGGATACGGCTGGCTGTCCAAGGGGCTTCCCTCCATTGCCAGGATGGAGCCTGATTCCGAGTTTGCTTTCCATCCCCGCCGCCAGCCCAGGCCTTGGTTCTGGGCCCCCCCACCTTTTGACTCTGCCAATTGAACTCGCAAAATCCACAACCAAGACGGAATCCGGGGGAAGCTATCCCTACCAACACGGACGGGTGATTTGTTTCGTCGGCGCCCTTAACTCGTGCCAGCCCGCCGCCTCCCCGATTTCAGAACTGCCAATGATGGCCGAGACTCAAGCCGTGTCCGGATCTATCGGCGGCGCGAAGCCGCCTCTCCTGCCTCGCGTCACCATTCAGTACTGCACCCAGTGCAAATGGCTGCTGCGGGCAGCCTACGTAAGTATTTGGCCTAGCCTAGCCTAGCCTTGCGTGCAAAGAAAAATTTGATGGCGATTGCTCTCTGGCGGCTTAGAATTGCCTGGTGTACAATGTCCGCATAGGTGCAATATATACCTTTACCTCACCTTACCTTTTTCACCATAGGTCAACGGTCAAGGAGTTCGAATAGCTTCACTCCAACAACTCATCCTTATTTTTATTTCATTTGTTACCTGTCCTTACCATACCTTATCCGGTATCTCATCATGAAATAGACATGGCTCCAGCCCCGGGTCAAGACACCCCATACTGGGACATCCTTCTCTCACTCCTCCCACTACCAACTCGCACATGCACTATGCCACTAACAGATCCGCAAAACATACAGTACGCGCAGGAGCTGCTGTCTACCTTCTCGACGGCACTAGGGGAGGTCGCTCTGCAGCCAGCAACGGGCGGGCTGTTCGTAGTCGAGATTACTTTCCCCGCCGAGCCAGACACGCCTACGGCGGCAGCAGACGGAGGAACCAGAAACCAACAACAGACGGCAGGTTCGGCACCATCAAATAACCTGTCGTCCCACCGCCGCGCCGTTCTCTGGGACCGCAAAGTCGACGGCGGCTTCCCAGAGACCAAGGAGCTCAAGCGCAGAGTCCGAGACGCCATCCAGCCGGGCCGGGACCTCGGCCACGTCGACCGGAACTACCCCCGCGGCGGCGGCTCCAAGGATGAAGCCTCGGCCGCTGCGGCAACGGCTCCGGCGAGCAGAGGCGAGCTTCCGGCAGATATCCCCGAAGGAGGGGAGACTAGTGCCGAGGCCTCGAGCGGCAAGACGGCTACAGGGGATGAAGCTAGAAAAGCCTCTGCCGGCGCCACTTGCGCTCCGGGGAAAGAAAGGAATTGCGAGGACTGCGAGTAATTCGTCAGGAAATAATGAAAATAAAACTATTTTGGGGTTCGGCAGGGGAGTCTGCCAGTGCCGTGTAATCTTCCAGGCTGGTGAGATTCATGTGAAGTTCTGGCTCCCGCATAAAGTCCAACCCCTAACAGTTCAGTAGCGGTTGACTTCCCAGATATGGAAGGTCCCAGGACCTAACGGCTTAGTCTAAATGTTTTTCTCAGGGGGAGACGGTAGTTCTTGGAAGCCCGGGTATAGAATCCTCGAGACCCGTCTCTCTCTTGGAGATACCTACTCAAACCTTTTCCTGGCCGATTTATGTGCCATAACCCCTATTCTTCTCTTCGGGTACCGCGCTGATAGGCACTCAGGGATTGGGCTAGATAGAAACTCACAAAAGCCACACACGAACCAACATAAATAAACATATGCTGATCTATTTCGCGGTGAGAAAGACCAGTTGGGTTGGACCAGAAACGACGCACGCCTCTCACATGGTCTGTCCAGGAAGCGCAATATGGTATTTCGAAGGCTTGGTTGAGGCTACACGATCCTATCTAAGGCGGTTATCACCGGGACACGGTCACCTATTTTCTGTTTTGCGGAACCAGTCATATATCAAAGTCACGGATCAAAGACTTTCGCTGCCTGGAATTCATCTTCTAACAATCCGGCATATGGCCCTTGCTTACAGGTTAGTATGGCTGTTTGAAGCTCGCCGAACTAGTTACCATGGCTACCAGCCAACACCAGACAAGTAGATCCCATCAAGACACAAACCCAAGTCAGTTATTTGTTAGTATCTCTTCACTTTGGGCTTATTTTGTTGCGGTCGGCGTGCCAGTTATGCCATCCTACTAAATAGCGGTATCTTGCATTTTACTGTGGTTGTCTATTCCCAACGAGATGTGCTATTCACCCAAGTAAACACTGCTTAATTTGTAGCCCATCAACACCCACAGCACCGAGGAGTGAGCACCCGTCCACTATTTCCTGTGTATGTTTGTATTGTTGATTCGCCTCATGTTCAACTTCTACATTGTATATATGTGATGTATAGATTAAAATTGGTTACGAAAAAAAAGCCAATACCTGGCGGAAGCACGAAGCACAAGTCCAACATGAAAGGTTCTCGGATCCGGCTACAACTGGCGCATCACATGCCGGCTGCTCTGCTCCACACACCCGAGCTTTGAACGGCCCGGAGCCGTCAAGATTCGGCACAACCATAGATTTGCCGATGACACGTACACCGAGAAGACTCACGCCGTGCCGTGGTGTCAAACTCGATCGGCCGGCCCGAGTACAGATAGAATAAGAATGCTGCAATTGACGAAAGGGTCTCTTCTTTGCACATACCTTCTAGTCATCACCCAAATCAGAGACATCAACCACATACATTCATAACGCGGCCCAACTGGGATAACCGGTTCGTTCCGATCCATCGCAGGCGCTGGAAATGGAGGCGTTCAGACGAAGCTCACCGCGAAATCCGGATCATGAAACATATGCCGTCCTAGTGCGCCCTAGGCGCAGAACGACAATAATCACCTAGCCGTGAAAGCTGCCGCGAAAAGGCTCTGCACGTAAGACATTATATAAAAATATATATGCGCAGGGAGAGAAAGATCGAGAACGTCTACTATTTTGTTTCGGTTTCATGCCCAACAGACTACACCATACGATTCCAGCCACAGGTCATGAGTTCTCTTTTCCTTTCACGAGCCTCTTTTCCATGCAAACCATCCACGCCCCATCTTTTCAGTCCCCTGCCAGCATCAAGTCCTCCCTGCCAGCATCAAGTCCTCCCTGCCCAACTCTCCCCTCAGAATTACTGTTCGTCTCCCTTTCTACATTATCTACACCTTACTACCCTTTCAGAAACTAACTACACGGCACTTAGCCTAGAAAGGACAAGAAGAGAAGAGAAGAGAAGAAACAAAAAGGGAAGGAGGGAAAGACCAGGTGAATCATCTCGGCTAACCACGCCTCGATAGTCCACGACACACTTCATCGTGAGCTAGCATCAAGGCCAGAACGAGTATCCGGATCACGGAGGACTCGGATTTCCCTCACCGCGCCAACGTGGCCGAGTGGAGGGGAGCAGAAAGACCAAGCGGAAGAGAAAACGGCAAGAAAGGGGAAATCCTCTTTCAGCACGACATCAACAGACGTGGGGTACGCAACGGCAGCAGCAAGCGCAATGGCAGCAACAGTAACACCGGCAGCGGAAAATTCAGCAACAAAACAATAGTTAGTAACAGCCGTAACAACCATGACGTAAAAACAACAACGACAAGAAGAGATTTGGTTCTAAAAATAAGAAAATGAAAAAACAAATTCAGATTCCATAGGCCCCTTTCCATAGTCCCCTTTCCATAACCCTTTCGCTTTCCCTTCCCACCTACCCAGACGCCCCCGTGATCCCCTGCCAGAACATTGTCCATAACCTACCCGTTTCGGAATATGCGCATATGAATACCCGGCCAAAGGCTCGCAGACCTTTGTGTGATTATCGCATCGTCACGGTCATATACTTTGGGGGACGGGATGTCGTAAGTTAAAAAAGGGAAAGTCCAGATGCTGAATTGTACATGCCGTTACGCTTTGAACGGCGAGGGAGCGCGAAGAACGACCGCTAGACGGACGAACGTGATCAGAGATGAAACCCGTTTGCTTTGAAAACCGCACACGAATTTCCCCGACACGCACCAGCTATCTATATGTTCCTGCGGCGGTGACAGACAATGAAAGTCGTTATTCGTCCCTTCCAAAACAGAATCTTCTCTGCCCCCTTCCGACCTTTTGGCGTAGATTAATAAACAGACATGGTTTCGCTCGACGGCAGACTCAAGACAGGAGCCAATATAGGATGACGGGCTGTCGGAAGATACGGGGAGGGGGAAACGTGGGTAGCGTACAGGGCCCTTGGCGATCAATAACGTGGAGGCAGTAGACGTGCTGACAAAATGGGATGATCTTGCTCGCTTTGGTGTGTCGATTAAGGAAGCATGTTTATCGACGGCCGAACCTAAATAGACGGGGAAGTTCGTATAAACTCTTTCTTCTACGTCTTGGACTGCTTCCTGGGAGGAGTGATGGGTCTGCTACCGCCTCCAAGGCCGTGAACGTACTTTTGTTTCTTCTCTGCGGGTTTGAGGATCTACAAAGGGTTCGTTAGCACGGCGTTGCGGCATCGGGGCTTATCGGCGTGCCCCAGAAAGAGATACGAACCTGGAAGGAGCAGAGTAGACTTTCGTCTACACTCATCATTGCCCCTGCGTTGTCGAACTCGCCGCAGTAGTTGGGAGCGCTGAAAAGAGTGACGAGTTGGCGCTTGGAGAAGAATTCGTAGCCATCCTCGACGACCTGGTGAGCACGGCAGATGAGGTCCATGTCATGTTTTTGGAGGAAGCGGGACACGACATCGGGTCCGAAGGTGAACGAAACACCGCGATCGTTCTCGCTCCACCCTGTGATGTCCTTGTCGGGGTCGGACCACAAGAGGTCGCAGAGCAGACCGCAGTCGGGGATCTATAGCGCTAAGTGTTAGTGTCCATCGCAGGCAGATGCCCGGGGTGTCGCAGGGAAAGGAAGAGGGTTCAAGGTAGGAGAGAACGAACATCAGTTGGGCGCATGACGCGGCGGATCTGCTCCATCGAGTTCAGATCCGGGCTGAGTCCTCCATGCATGGTGAAGATCTTCTCGTCAATGATGGCGGCAATTGGCAGGCAGTTGAAGCAATCCGTAAACGTCTTCCACAGCTTGATATTGTAGCGGCGCTTGCACTCGTCGTAGAAACCGTAGATGCGGTTGATGGATGCGCACTCGTGGTTGCCGCGCAGGATGAAGAAGTTCTCGGGGTACTTGATCTTGTATGCGAGCAGCAGGCAAATGGTCTCCAGAGACTGCTTGCCTCGGTCGACGTAGTCGCCTAGGAAGAGGTAGTTGGCCTCAGGCGGGAACCCGCCGTACTCGAAGAGACGGAGAAGATCATAGTATTGGCCGTGGATATCACCGCAAATCTACGAGACAACGGCAGACATGAAATTAGCGAACCTACGCGTAGGGAGGGCGGTCACGCGACAAGCTGTTTCAGAAGACAGAGAGCCCGGGGGCTGCCGTGTCATACCTTGATAGGAGCTTCCAGCTCGAGCAAAATGGGCTGAGAAATGAATATTTCACGAGCCTTGGTGCAAAGGTAGCGAATCTCAGCCTCAAGCAGCTGGACTTGCTTGCCCGGTCGGCTGCCCCGCACCTCCAAGAGGCGGTCGATTATAGAGTCGAGATCGACTTCGTGTTGATCCGCCATTGTAAAGGATCCTCACCAGCCAACCAGACAGATGGCGCACACAGTGGAGGAGTCTTGGAAGCGACCGACAGATGCCAACCCGTCAAAGAAATGAACGGGAGAAAGGAGGGCACGCGTGAAACCCTTTGGGGGACGATGCGCTCCAAGGCGGCTGGAGAGAGCAGCAATGCCAATGTCAGCAAAGGTCGCGATCGGCACCATTTGAGCAACGAGGCGCGAGAATACGTGGATCGTAAATGAGCGACGTGAAGCCGAGGTAGAGTGGTCAACTTACGCTCAGAAGCGATCTCGGCAATAAAGTGGCTATGTGGAAGAGGGAAAGAAAATGGGGGAAGGAACCCCGTCGTCGGATCTTGCAAAAAAAAAAAGTACCCGTGCTTTTCCCCTCTTGACCAGACCTTCTCTCGGATGCGGGCGGATTGCTGTTTGGGTTATCGTCGCCGGGTGTTTGGCGGAGGGCTGACAGCTTTCAGGGAGCGACAGCAATGCGGATGCCAAATCGTCAGAAATTGGTGAAATCGCCTCGATGTTACGTGGCGTTGAAATGTCAGCAATCAAGCAACGAGATAAAAATCGCCCGTGGGACGTGTGTCGCTGATGGCCAAGGCGGAGCCTTTTTCGTCGACGAGGGCGGGTGAAGGGGTTGGCTTGTTTTGGTTCTCTTGGGGGAGAGAAGTGAGAGCGAGAGGCTGCTCGGTCGGGAAAATGGTGGAGGGCAACTGAGTGCAAATCGCTTTCGCAGGTGGGGAATTCGCGGGATTCGTCTCAATTTCTGAAAGACGCAAGAGATAGCGCGCAGTGCCTAAAATAGGACTTTGGTCGCCGTTTGGGATTCTGCGTCTCTGGGTGACAAAAGTTGCCGTCGAGGTTGCGATAGACTGTCGAAAAAAAAATCGAAGTTGGCGGTCGTTTGAGACTTTTGGAGGAGAAGGTTACGGCACACCGGGGCAGGTTATGAGAGCATGGGCGCGGGCAACGCGCACAGGGCTACCAGCGGTGGGAAGGCCCATTGGCGGGCGGCCCGGCGTGCTGCTGCGCTGCCTCCCCAGGCGAAAAATTGGACTATTACCACGCAGCGGGATTCCGAGATCCATACGGTCACTCACTAACGGGGTTGAGGAGAATTTGGCTGCATATCGCACCAAACACATGAAGCCACTTGTTAGGGAGTGGTTTTGACCTTTCCAGTCCCAAGGCACTCCGCTGGCTGAGCACAGCTCTGGATTGGCTCGTCTAACTGTTGCTGCAGTCCCGAAGTGGATTGGGACTCTTGAACTCTCCTCCTGACCCTTGTCAATTTGAAACCGAGCGTTCTTTGAAATTGAGAGCACTCCCTCCTCCTACAGCACATCACAGCACCTGTTAAACTTGACGGGACAGCTTATGTCGCACAGCAAGTGGAAGCGTTTACAGCGAGGCGATCACCTGGCCTGGCTGGCACGCTTCTGCGTATGAGTTTCAACCACGGCGAGGTGCCTGTGCCTATGGCTATTGTGGCCGACTCTATCTCGCTTTTACGCGCTGCGAGACAGAACCAACTGCGTCTTCACTGGAGGTAAGGTTGGTGCCTTGAATCCTACCTACCGTACCTTGTTCAACACTCAGCGTCAGACGGGTTTCTCTCTACCTACCAACCCAGATGCAAACCCTATTTTCCCCAGATGTGCCGCCTCCGCGATTACCTTTGTCTGGGCTGTAGAGCCCCCCGGTTTTTGACTTCGTTGGGGCAAGTATGGAGGCTGCCGACATCATACAGGTTGCGGAACAGAGCCCCACCAAATGTCGACGGCGACTGCACCGTGCAACTAAGTCGGCCGCCGTCAGGTATCCATGCAAATGCGATTAATGTAGGGACTATTACTCCCTAGTTCTCATCTCCAGCAGCATAGGCATTTAATACCCATTCTAGTAAGCGCTGCTCGTCAGCACCAGCCTCCCTCTTCATTCACCAAGACCCAGAGCCCCGCGAAAGCTCGCCCTACAACTCGTAGTGAAATTTACCCCTGAGCCTTAAGCCCGGGCGCTGAACCAGGGGTGCGGGAGCCAAACCCTCAAGACGACGGGCTGGTGGGGGCGGGACAACGAGATCCATCCAGAACGGTCCCAACTGAACTTGGGTTTGGGATGGAGGACGGGACTCCTAGAAAGCGCAATGGGGCACGAAACATGCCCCATAGGCAATTGCCCTTGGCCATGCCATGCCATGGGCCATGGCTCTTCGCTTGGCGCCGGGACTCTGGGCTGCGCCGCAGGGGAAAGGCTGTGGGGTGTGGTGCCGCGGGTGGTGGTGGTGGTGGGAGAAGAAGGGAAGGGAGGTGTCAGGCTGAGAGCGGCAAGAGGCCGCACACCTCGACCCATGCCTTAGTCGTGAGAAGTGCTCTAATTTGCCCATGTCGGTTCGCCATCCCTTCCAACTTCCATTTCATCCTTTGACTCAAGGTTTCAGCGACTAATTTACGGCGCGCCCCAGGGCGACGCTGTGCTGCATCTGCAGTCGCGAGGCAGTTCGCCGCCTACAGACAGCTATGTGCTATATCACCGCGAGCCATCAGTCGGCGCCTTCGCATGCCCCTAAGTGACGAGTTACGACATGGAACTCCGGATGACTACTACCTTAGTTAATAAGTCGGCGACAGGCCCGAGCAAGGGAGAAGAAGTGCGAGCCACGAGCGGGCACAGACGCCGTGCGTGCCCCATGGTGCAGTCTCTATTTTAACAAGACAGCCCAGGCCCGCTCTCCCTTGCCGTCCTCCATGGACGAGTAGAGGTAGGTTCTTTGCCTTGTTGACTCACGCGACTCCGTCCTGCTTGGGCCACATGCATGATGCAACAGCAGCAGTTACCTTTTTGAGGGGGCGTGCCTCTTCAATGTTGCTGTCGGAAGGCGCCCGCAACGTCTGGAACGCAGGTCGCTGAGAACGTGGTCCCTTTGAGTGGTTTCGGCGGATGCGTCCTCTTCAGAGCTCCATGTCTTCGACCAAGATCCAGGAACCTATACTAGATGACTATTGAAATGGAAAAAAGCTCTTCTGCTTCTGCCCTGCCCCGCTGCCCAAGATAGCCCCTCCCACCCGGACGGTCAAGTGAATGAAGGCAGGCGGGTAGGCGGGGCTGTTCAAAGTTGCATCGACTGCCCCTCTCTCCGATACCCCTCCTTCCCTCCGTTCCCCCTCCTGCCCCTCTTCCCCTTCGCGACTTGCAATGCTGTCATCGTGCGCGACGACGGATTATCACCAATTGGGATGCTGGCTTGGGACTAAACCATCAAAAAGACTAAGCACTCCAGATGCAACCTGATCGTGAGACATCGGGCCAATCAGCCCAATTAGACGCACTCACTCGCCTTCTTTTTGACGCCGTACCTCTCTTTATTCGTCTAAAATTCGCCTCCTCCACGTGTTAGTTCGTCTCACCGTCCCCTTCAGCTCCTAGTCGATTAGTCCTTCTATTGCTCTGGGCTGCCCGCGGTTCGTCACTCGTGGGTTTCTTGTATAAAAAGGGACGATACAGCGAGGGAAGGGGAGTGGGGACGGCGAGAATGCTAAGAGCTCCATCGGGTATTGACGGTACAGGATCGACAAGCGCCCTGCATGCAAACTGAAGCTGGGATAGTCGAGATGGAGCTTCTGTCCAACCTCGCGAGCTCGCCATAACTTACTCGATCTGCAGCTTAGTCCTACGTATCCTCCAGCTCTTCAAATGTCACTGCTTTGTGACTCCTGCGAGATTCAAGCAAACCCGATACTTCAGGCAACCTGGGTATACAATGGAACTAGCCGACTATGAAGTACGTTGACACGATCACGACTTGAGTAAAGTCCTTTGTAAGAACTTTAGGCTCGTATCAAGCGAAACAACTCCGTTTGAGGGGACCAGAACGCCGAGCTATATCGGCCTGAAAACTGACGAACAACCCCTATTCGGCGGAAACTTGGAAAAAGAGTAAATAGAAGTCAACTAAGAAATCGAAGAGTAAAACTGCTCTCTTGTTACAAGATGTGGTGTCGACCCGACTTGGAACGAAACAGTAGTCAACTATCAACTCTTATCTGTTGCTCTAAATATTCACCTAGTTGTTCCACCTCGTAATGCTCCTCCCCTTCTTCTCACTATCCAATTTTTTGTGAGAAGTGGTCACCTCGCTCAGTAAGCTACAAACTCATCACCCTCTGCCTTGTTAAGTCTCGTTCGCATCCACCCGGTGCCCCCAGGTACCCTGTCTACGGCACGCTCGGGGAAATAGAGATAAAGCAAACTGTCTGGCCAGGAACATGGGCATGATTTTGATGGTAGTCAATCTCGACAACAATAGCCTGTGAGCATAAACGGCAATCATGACAGACTAAAGCCGAAAGAGAGCACATTTCTGGACCGTATCCTTACTGTAAAGTTCATATTCTTCATTCTAGTGTCCGGAGCAGGAATCACTTGAAGATATGTGGTAGTGTGGAGTGATGCCATTCCATGGGAAAAGGGGGGGATTCGTTTGCCCAACCATAAAATAGAAAACGTCGAAACAGGTAACCCTTTTGTGTTAGGGATGTGAATACTAGAATCACTTCACTGTACACACACACACACACCCTAGCGCAAATTAGGTCTGCAGAGCCAACAGCCAGACAAGAGTGCAATTTCCAAGTGCCATAACGGAACAGCCCCAAACTGCAACAACATGCTATACCTAATCCAACTTGAAAAACAAAACTAACAACGACCACCCCATCAGAAAACAAATAAGGAACCTAACGCTCTCAGAAGCTTCAACCTAATCATTCTCATCTAAAACGTCTTGCAAAAGAAAGATAGAATAAAAAGAAAGAAAGAAATAAATAAATAAATAAAAACCTAGATCGCCACCCGACTTTCCGGCCACGGCGGATCTCTTCCGGGCCATTTATCCATCTGACCTGGGAATGAGCCGGCACTTGTTGACGTTCTGACCTTTGGGGTTGGCAGGGAAAGTGGCAGCACATTTCGTGGTCCTCGTCGGGGCCGTAGCACTGCTCGACACCGGGGCCGCTGACGAAGCCACGTTTGCAGCAGATCCAGCCACGCACGAGCAGGACGTAGCGGAAGTAGCAGTCCTTCTTGCCGCACAGCACGGAGTCGTCCTGCGCCACCGTCGTCGTCCTCGGCGGCGGGCAGTGCAGCAGCTTCCCCATCCGCCGGTGGCTGCGGTTCGCGCGTACACCGCCTCCTCGCAGTCTCTGGGGTTCACGGCGTCGAGACGCACTGGGCCGTACTGATGGGTGCACCGAGCTCGCTTCTGGTATATTTTACCTATCTTGTGCACGGTGTGGGTTGGGAAAGATGGAGGATAACAGAAGAGTCGTGATGAGTCTGGGTTGGGGGGCGGGTTGTGGCGCCGGAAGAAGGGTCAAGTAAACTTTGGTATAGTCGACAGGGGGGCTTATTAAGACGAGGAGGTCAAGAAGGAAGCGAGGAGCAGCTCTAGGTACTGAGAAGAGGCAGCAAGCGCGCTGTGAGGGTTGAAGCTATACGAGATGGACGACATATATCAAGGAACGACCAGTTTATATGGATATTTGACGATACATGTTGCGCCTCCTGAGATGGCGGTCTTCTCAACCCCGCTCAAGATCAAACGCCAGAAGCTATAGCTGTCGTTGGCCTGCTCTACCGACCGAGCGGCAAAGGAAACAAATAAGATTTTGAGTCTTCCGTCCTCTTTCGTTGGGGCTCGAACTATTATTCACTAGGTTCTCGACTGCGGTCGGCTACTTTGTTGTTGGCTCTTGCGGAGGTTTCTGACGCGGCCCCGGCAGTCTGACACCGGCGGTTATCACCCAGAATGCGAGTTACCGCGCAACTGCCTGGCTCAACCGGGAGCAGGAACTAAAACTAATGATACTGGGCGTTTACTCGACCTGGGGTGTTTCCCAATCGTCCTTGGTTGGTGGTATCGATATCACTGAGGCAGGCAGAACGTCGGGCCCACCTTCAGATACGAAGACACGAGGACCATGACCAAAGAGCTGATAATCATTCAAGGGCGCATCAAAAGGGCTAGTGGAGAATTGACGAGTCTCGGTTGTTCGGTTCTAGTTCGCCAGTGCTCAGACTGTCCCAGCGAGATCAGCATCCAGCCAGCCGCGAGTGTAACCGCCCCCGAAATCGATGATCCACGCATTGTCGTCCCGGTCGACGAGGACATTTTCAGCCTTGACATCCCCCCAGACGATCCCGGCCTTGTGAAGCGCGGAAACAGCTGCCTCGATCTGGGTTGCCCAGCGTGTCCCGATAGGGCTAATGCAGCAGCTCAGGGGTCCGGCGGCTTTGATATCAATAGGTGTCAGCAGCAAGCCCAGGAAGTCGTCGTTTTGTCCGTCACGACTCTATGAAAACGGCATATATACAGCCCTGGATCTATCTTGGCCGTGCTGAGATTTTTGTACGTCTCGAGCTCGGTCTTGGTCTTACGGTCGAGTTGCACTGTTTGAAGAAGCACGGCGTTGATTCGTTGTCGACGAGGACCTTGGTAGGAAACTCGTAGAGCGCGTCTTCCGGGTCGCCGAATCTCAGTACGATGTCTGCAGGATTGTACATGGTAGCCTAAGTCTTCACGTCGTGGATGAACTCGTTGCTCATCTAGACGCGAGGGGGGCGGAACGGCGAGCCGTCCATGTCTTTGCGACGCGGTTTCAGCTGCTCGCCGACAACGTCCAACACGATGTAGAAGAATTCGGGCCGGATGTATTGCTCGAGCGTGACCTTTGCCCGCCCCCCCCCCCCCGGGGGAGGCATATCGGTATCGGACGCCAGCTCGGCGAAAAGTGGCTCACATGGCTGCGTGAGCCACTCAATGACGTCGTCCAGGTAGATGTTTCCGAGCTCTTCCTAGCCTGACCGCACCAACCCGAGGTAGGACAACCACAAGTCCTTGGTCTTGGGCAAGTCGACAAACTGAGAGGGCAGCACGCGGATGTAGAAGGCCTTTCAGTTTCTGCGAATGGCGCAATACGTGTCGTCGTCCGGGACTGCTATTTTGGGAACGATACGGAGTACGGAGTTTGGTTTTGTATGAGTGCGAGGGGGGAATAGATAAAAGTTGGTGTGGTCCGCCACTTTCAGGTTGGATTAATTGTGTTTTGTACGATACGAGGTGATCTTTCCGTTTGCAATCTTTGTCGCTGGCAGTTGAGTCTAGACATTGGACCAACTTATATCCACAGAAGGCGCCGGCGGCGTCTTCCTACTCTCTCGGCTCTTGATGATTGGTCGAGAGAGAGATTCAGTGTTCCGCCGTTCCAGGTTCGTCCTGTACATGTAAATGTACATACACACGTACTGCCATGTGCGTTCGCACCGTCCGCACAGGCCAACGATCACCTGGACACCTGCCTAGCAGCTGGGAACATCCTAATAAGATTCACAGTGCATGAAAGAAATGCAACACCGAGTTAAATCAACTTTCCGGCTTGCTCGGTTCTTCTTTCCCATCCGATATAAATACACCGGGTACGGATACGGAGCTTCTGAACACGCTAGGTATCTATCAACCAGTCAATCGCAGCAGTTCGTGTCCCTCATTCTCTCATGTTCCTTGAACAAAGCGCCAAGAAAGCGCATAGATAGCGATAGGTACCTGCCCACCGCTATAACGGGGACAAAAGCTAAGCTCGAGTAGAGGAAAAGGGGTCGGAATAATGTAGGATAGGCGAGGTAAAGTAGGTATGTAAGGTAAGTAAGGTAGAAAATAATCATCTCCAGTCCTCGCTGCGAAAGAGACAGGAGACAGAGAGACAATCCCCCCAACGTGTAAATAACCTTGGGGTAAATAAAAGAAACTACTGCATCCGGGACAAGATCTCTGTACTCATACAACAAACAGTTAACCGCAACACCAAGACCTACATCGCCATCGACAGGACAGAAACAAACAAAAAAACAAAAACAGACCCTAGGCTAGACATAGCTATATTTTCCCCAATAATAATAAACCCCCTAGCCCTGATACTGCCCACCAATCGCCACACAAAGGGGTTTGGTTGCCCTCTAACAACACGTAACCAACAACTCCGATGATAAATATGGTAGAAGAAAGAGACCCGAACAAATCACCGCTTCCTCGCTGACGACCGCACGCCCTTCCTGAACATGGCAGGATTGGCCCTCACGCGCTTAGCACTCCCTGGCGTCGATGCGGAGTTCACCGACAACAGAGACGACGAGCCACTAATACTGTCATTAATATGGCGGTGGTCCTTGTCGGTAGAAGATGCGTTGACGGGCGACGCCGTGATGGTGTCGTCGTCGACGTCAAACTCGAGGTCCTTGAGCGCTTCGTCGTCCATGTCAGTGAGCTCCTCGCTTAGGCTGCGCACCGCGTCACGGCCCGTCCACTGCTCCTCCACAGCCGACGTGCCCTTGAGTGCGAAGCCCTGCAAGTACCACGGCAGCCCACCCTCGGCGAGTATGTTGGTCGGGTCCCTTCCAAAGCTGCCGTTGGACTGCGGCGGCGTCAGGGGACCTCCGCTGCCGTTGCTGATGGTGTTCCCATTGCTGCTACCGTTGCCATTGGAGTTCGATGACGGATGCAGTACGACTGAACCGTAGACACTCCCAGCCGTCAGGGATGGGGGAGAGTCCGATTCTTTGAAGCTAGCGCCGTTGGTCAACTGGCCCGGGGGAGAATGATGGTGCCTGTGATCATCTCCTTGCGATTTAGCAGCCTGCTGTTCGCCCACGACTGAGTTATTGGACGAGACACCATTGCCGTTTGGGTTCGAAGTTTCGTCCTCGCCATCGAGGTGATCGGCGGATGTGTTCACCTCAATACTGACATCGGCGCCGTGTCGACGTCGTGACGTACTAATTCCGTTTACAGCCACAACGGCATCCGTCTCGGCCATGACCTCATCGGCATCGTCATCGTCGATTCCTGCTTCAGCTTTGGCAACCACCACGCCAGCGAGCTGATCAGCAGCCACAATAATCTGGGCCTCTTCCGGCGCGTCTAGCATCTCAACGTCTTGGCTAGGGTCTGTCCCGGTATTGTCGTCCTGCGATACTGTGATGGTTGGCTGTTTCACTTCGAGACTGGCATCTACCATGCCTTTGAGCTCCATCAAGAGAGCGTCAAAAGGCTTGGCACATATATCCGCCTCAGCCCTCAAAGCTGCTTCGAGGTGCGGCTGGACTGATTTAAGTATCCTCTTGCCAAGTCGTCGTCTGTCTTTTACCCCCGAGTAGTCGTTGTGTTTAGCTGGCGAGGCATCTAGGGAATCAACTCGCGGCTCCTCGGCTGCCGACAGCTTCGCTGCTGCGTTTATTCCCGCACTGACTGCCTCGCAGAGGTCATGCGCAAATTGTAGGCAGGTGGTGTAGAAGCGTACATCCAGCTTCTCCTGCAAGCCCGCCAACCCTGGCTTGAAGATGTTCTTGTCGAGCCTGCAAATTTATTAGTACAAGGTCAATTCAGATATGGGAACGGAGATGGGGGTCGACTTACTGGAGCGCCCTCTCAACCACTGGCACCAGCATCCTGTAGACAGGAAAGTAGCAGTTGTCGACAAAGTCGAGTTCCATCTCGGCGGCCTCGAGCTTGCTGGCCTCACGCTGGACAACATCTTCCGATAGCGCCTTAAGCTGTTCAAGGTCCTTGATGAGGCCCCGGGCAAACTCGATTCTCCTTGTCAGGCGCGTCTTGCCAGACGGGCCCATAGCCGCAAAATTGCGGCGTGTGAGCTCCATAGACGAAAAGGTTTCCATCTGCAGCTGTAACCGCTTGAGCAGGGCAGCGCCACGGCGAGCCTCACGTTTGAGCGTCCAGTATCGACACGCCTCTCCGACAAAGTCCTTACGCTTGCGAATATTAAAACGTGCGAGTGAGCTCTCAACCAAGTCGTATACTGCTTGGGGGATGATGGGGGCGCCCGAGGGTAGCTTCCAGATGTGTTTGCCAGGTTGGCCCTTCTTCTTGTCGGCCAGGACCGCTGACACTTTAGCGCCTGTCATCTGCGACTCGTCGGGCGGGTGTTCAGTGATAGCGTGGCGATGAGTAGCGGCTATCTGGAGAGCCGAGGCCTGGCTGTCGGCCCAGATGCGGCCCTTCATCGTGCGCTTGTAGAAGCGTTTTGCTTCTCTTGTGGCCTGGCTGACGGCGTTCTCTTTGGCATGATCCTGGGGGCAGTGCTTGTCGCAAAAGGCCTTGAGAGGTAGGGTTCCGTCGAGGACGGCAAGGGCGCCCTGGCTGTTCTTCATCTTCAGATACAGCCGACACCTCCTGGCACACGTTACATGGAAGGCCTGGTAGCAACTTTTGTTCGAACACTGGATGCAGGCGCCCATGCGTTGGTTGCATATGTAGCACGACAACTTCCACCTCGTCCTGGGCACCTTTTCCACCTCCATTACCGGCTCCATGAAGGTGTGGTTGCCGAGGGACACCTCGGGAATCCACATTGCGCAGAGAAGATGTGCCCATTTTGACGAGTTGGTCTGTTTGAATGCGCCATCCGTGTTTGGACAGAATATGCACGTCTGGAAAAAAAAGCACCGTTAGCAACAGGGACACAGAGACACCCGCACACAAGGGGGGTGTTGTTTTGTGCTTACAGGAATTCCACGTCCAATCAGCTGGCATTTGCGACACAGCCACTGGCCCTCGGGGATAAAAGGCACGCCATAGCACTCCTGATGGACGGCCAGGTCGCAGCCGTCACAGAAGACAATGGCATTTGTGTTTTCGCAATCGCCATCGTCACAGATGGCGCACTTGCTGTCCTGCTCTTCGCCGACCTGAGGCTCACCATTGACCGCGGCGGCTGAACTTGACCTCGGCCTGTGCGTCTGCGGGGGTTTTGGATTTGGCTTCGGTATTCTCTTCTCGAGAGCATGCCATTCCTTCTCGATCTTGGTGATTGTGATCTCAAATATCTCGCGCGTTATCGGGTCAAGATCAGAACCTTTGCGTTGCGAGTTGAGCTTCTCCAGCCACATATCATCCTGTTCGTCCATGTCGTATTCAACACGGCCCGCCGCCCCGGCAGTGTGCTGGATAGGGTCGATGTCGACCTTGACCGCCACAGTTTGATCAATATCCTCCTCCACATTGGCGTCGACCGACTTTATCAGCTTGCCCTCGGGCCTGATGAAGTGGTCGCTTTCTTGGTAGCCCACATTCATCATGGATTTGTCAACATATCTTGCCTGGCCAAAGGTTTTGCTCTCGAAGAGCGAGATCCGGTCGGTTTTTCGGTAGGATGGCAGCTTGAGGTCAAGCTTCTCCTTGGAGGTCTGGCCATGGATCGGGAGGACCTTGGGGATCTTTGGACTTGTGCCCAGATCTAAAGGCCGAGAGGCGTAAAGCGAAACCGAGTCGCGAGTCGGCCTTCCAGCACGGCGCCTGCTAGGCGTGTCTGGTAGCGCCACTCCAAACGAGGGTTTGCTTTGCCATGTCAGCGTGCCACTTGTGCCATCTGCGGCGGTGCCGGTAAGGAGCTCCTTAGTTGGTGTGCTGGAGCCGTTGAGCGGGGTGGTCGGAGCTTGCTGGACAGCGGGTGTTGGAGGGGCCGACTTAGGGAATCCATCGACCTCTGGCGCGGGGAAGACTATAAATACCGCCTCGATGTCGAGGTTGGGATGAAATTCCTCCCAGCCTCGCTCCTCGCGTGGTTTGTAGCCCTCGTTATGGACCACAGCAGCGGCTACGGCGGCGGCAGAGCTATACTGTCTATCATCGAGATCATCTCGGTTTACGGCGGTGCGGATTCTCGTGCTTCGCTCGCGACGGGGATACATGGTTGACGGAGCGGGGTTGGAGAGTGTTATTGCGGAACTTCGGGCCCGCGGGGCGGAAGTAGAGACGGTTGGCTCGGCAGGGGTCTCGATACCGTCCTCGTCGACGAAGCGGCCACCACCGCCTGGGCCACCAGGAATGTATTTTCTCCTCTTGGGGGGCGGTTCCGAAGCTGGGGCGTCGTGTGCGCTCTTTCGAGCACGGGAAGATCTCGCGGGGGTGTTGCCCTTGGGGCGGCCGCGCGGGCGACCACTAGCCTGGCGCCTTGGTGTAGTGGACACCGGAGCCATTAGGGAAGGGAAGAGGTAGGTGGGTAGTGATAAATTCGCGTCCTGTCTGGGTGTGGGTTGGACGGGGGAGTTTAGAACGGCGAGTGAGGTTTATAGAATGCAGATGTGGCAAGACAGGATAAGGAAGGTGGTGCAAGTGACGGGAGCTTCGTTTGGGTCGAGGTCGAGGTCGGTGGTGCAGCGCAGCCTGCGGCGTCTCTCGAGGCAGGGCAGGGCGGTCGACAGCTCAACCTGAGCACTTTGGCATGAGGTGCGGAGATGCGCCGTACCTGGGTGCGACGTCGAGTCTCACTGGCCAGCGAGAGCCTCGATGGGATGCCGCAAGATGCGGAATGTCGTGGGAAGGACCGTGGCTTTCTTACGACGTGACGTTCGAAAGTGCGTGGGAAAACGCGGCGCCCGTCGTGCGCGGGCCAATCACAGCGCTTTGGTCAGCTGTGGAGGCAATCGCGCTGTGACTCCCTGGTCGGCTTACGTAATTTAGGTCTCTGTTCTCTGTTGTTGGGACTAGCACCTTACCCCTCCGGACACGAGTGGCATGAGGGTCCAAGCGTCCTTCAAAAACCGGCCTACGTTATTTGTTCATTGATCTTTTTTTAGTCCAACGAGCTTCCTTCCTCGTCGTCCAATTCTTCGATTAGCCGTGTGGCAACGCACCACGGCACAGGATGTAATTGATGCCGATTATGGATACAGTATACGCATTTGGAGCTGTCAGACGCTCCAAGCTTAAACTCGAAGTTCTGCGGACTTTCAAAATGCCAAATGCTGTATGTAAGTCCACCGACGGAGTACGTACGAATTATGACCTGAATGGTGCCTGGACCCCGGAACTGTCAAGGAAAGCTACCCCACAACTGTGCTGGTAGGGCAGAGCCTCAAACGCGAGACACCATTGCGTGGCACCCTCGCGCTGGCTTGTTACTCATCTGTTTCCCGAGTCTGGGCCTTTCCTCAGGACTGGACTGGACAGAATAAGGACACAACTTGACAGGCTTAGCGCGTTTCCCACCCGCTTCCGTTCCCACTTTCGGATTCCCACCCCGTCGGTTACCTACCCGTCAATCAGTGGGTACAGCGGCCAGCAGCAAAGGGAATGCGCCGGGCCAATCAGAGACGGAGCGCATGCGGCCGCGACCTGGCCCGTTTTGCGGCCCTAGGTTCCTTCCCACTGCCGGGCTGGATTCAATTACATCACTACATGGCCGGGACCTGCCTGGGCTCTGAAGTTGTCCACAGCTGCAATTGGCCAATAAATAGCCTCCATCCCATCTCAAACTCTGCCAACTTGCGACGACGGCTGTCGGTGGGAAAATATCACCACTTCGTAGTGGATTCCCAATGGCCGCACACCAATTCTATTCCTCGCCGACGTGACATGCCCAAGCTCCCTTCTTCAGTCAATATGCCGCACTGAACCGCCAAACCGAACCTACAAGAAAAATTATGTGGGGAAATACAGATATACGACCATGGAAACTTTGAACGGTCCGCCCTGAACTCGACGCCATCGCCCCTTACTTTTTCTCTCGGCTCGTAAAACCCGTCCTTCCGTCGTCAATAACAGTGTCGCTAGAAGGTGCACGCTACACGCACCCTTTTAGCACTTGCCTACCTTAGCTGCCACAGAACGCCTAGCTGCCGGCGCTAGATCAGACAGAGTAGCTCTTACGACAGTCTCATAATTATGGCCGTGAGGGAACAACGAGCTGGAAAAGGTAATCAACATACATGGGCGACAGCCCAGACAGGTTGGCGCAGCTTCACATGGAAACAAGAGTCACTGCTGTAAAACTATATGCGTCTATCGAAACATAAACATACAACGTCGATTATTGTGTGCACGGTGATGGGTATAGGCTATTTCACTTTGGTAGTAGATCTGACTGTTGTTGAACTCGCTCCTATAGTAGACGAAAGAAAATAATCATATAACGTCAAGATGGTAGTCCTGACAGTAGCGAGAGTACTGCTTAATTACACTAGGGCATGATGCGATACAGTTACGCTATGCTAGGTAGGGGGTAGTGTGAACAAGTAGACCAACACGTCAATCTTCACCTGTATCTTAATATGGAGGCTTAGTGCCCAACCTTGGATACCCTCAGCCCCCAAAGGGACAAACAGAGACACAAGCAAAGAAACACGCATGCACGCATACACACCAAAGCCAGCGAGTGAAATGGGTAAACAACAAACGACGAAAGCAAGGACGAAAACATCTTATCCATTCATTCCACGCTGTCTCTCTCTCTCTAGTCTCTCCGTCTGCCTGCCTGGTACAGCCAGCCAGCCGCGCCGATGTCAGTGCGTACACTTGTCCGTCTCCATCATCAACTCCCTATATAACTCTCCTTTGCTCCTTCCCAGAGAAGAAACCAGAAGAAAATAAATAACAGGGCCAGGTCTTTTTAACTTTTTGTACAGAGGAAAAAAACCGCCGGCCAACACATAAAAGGACGCCTGCCCTCCAAGCAAAAAAACCCTTGCAGTGTGAGTTCGAGGGTACCTTTGGAGAAACGAAAAAGGAAACAGATTATTTGGTCTTGCCAAGCCGCTATGACGACCGCCACCATCCTTGTCCTGTCCTGTACCCCAAAGGCGTGAGGAGAAAGTTTAAGAGGTTTGAGAAAGTATAATAGAAAGACAGAGAAAAAGATCATGTAATTGATGCCGACGCCGTCCTCTGCCCCATGAGCAAAAGAAAAGTGAAAAAAAATAAACATAAAATCAAACGCCAGTACGCTATGCTCCAATTGATATCTTGAAATGCAAACACCCAGGTTTCCCATTAAGCAATAAACCGATGCAAAAACAAAAACAGCAGCCTCTAGCTTCGAGAAAATCACACAGACACAGAGACGCCGTCGGGGAAAGAATATAGGGGGTATTCTCTAACGCCGCCTCTTCTAGTAAGATAACCTAGAACGAAAGCAAGGGTAAATGACTTATTCTCATAGAAGAATCAAAGCCCAGGAACATTCGCTCAGAAGCTGGTAGGAAGGGGGTATCTTTAAAAGAGTAAAGTTTCAACCAAGCGTGCGGCCGCTGTGTATCGGCTGGACGCTCGCAGCCCGGGGCGTGGTTGGGTTGGTGTGTAGAGGAGAGGCAGGACCGAAGTCAGCCTCGTGATAATCTAGAGGGCGGGATGTAGGATTCCACCCCTCTTCGTTAAGGACGCTCAAATAGCCGCTTCCGACCTTGTCGCGGAGAGCCTCTATCTTACGACGGTATAGTTCACCGCCGACGTCCCAGTCTGGATTCTCATTCCAAATGTGGTTGGTCGGCGGGCTGTCGTGGGAGGCGTAGATAGGCGGCAGCTGCGGGATAACACTGGTATCGATTCTCGGAACATCCGGGTGGATTTGCGCGCTAGGTAGCGGGCTCTCCACTAGAGTGTTTTGCGTTGCCCTTTTGGTCTCTAGAGGTTGACCGACGAGATAGGTTTTGTCCAAGCCCAAAGCGGCACCATTGTTACTCGCTCTATACCGGTCAACGGGCTGAGCGTGAGGAACCGAGCCTTCGTTCGTGGCAAGATCGACGATGCGTCGTTTGGGGGCTCTGCGACGACGTGTCGAGCTTGTGTTGACCTCGCTGGAGGCACTCAAGGGCGCTGGCCGCTCCTTCCGAAGCAGAGCAGGCTCATTGAGTGGCGCGTCATAAATGATGGCCGGCTTGCTGACGTCGACTGCGGGAATCTCCAGCGGCACAGGCTTAACCACAGGCACAGCTTCTGGTTCATCAACACGCTCTATCAGGTAGCGCTTCTCGGAATAGCTCGGTCCAGTAGCATCGATGGTGATGTCATCCGTATATCCCGGTGTCTTGCGGAAGAGGTTGAAAATGGTGACACGGTAATCACGATGTGTGCGCGTAAAAGGGTTACCCTCTACGTATACTTCACGTATTTCCGGGAGGCCAGTTAGCCGTGCCAGTTCCAGGGGGTCCGTAAGGCGGTTGTCTCTCAGGTCTAGTCTCTCCAGGGGGTAAAGACGCTCAATCCCAGCAAGCGATTGCAGACGGTTTGCCCGCAAGTTCAGGGCAGTGATGGCGGGCAACGGATTGCGAGTCAGCGAGTGCAAAGAATCTATCATGCATTGAGCCAAGTTCAGTGCACGCAAAGCGGTAAGATTTGCAAGACTGTCAGGTATTTGAGTGAACAGGTTAGACGAAAGGTCGAGCGAATGCAGCGTGTTTGAAAGCGGCGACAGGCTCGACGAGGGAATCGAGGTTAGCGAGTTATCTGCCAAACTCAGATGCTTGAGGAACCGCCACTTGGAAGCCGGGAGAATGCCCATGACCAGGAGATTTGAAGAGCTTCCGCGAGAGTTATGCCACGAGTCCGACAGGCTGGAGTGGGAGCTTCCAGACCCGGAGCGCCGTATCTTGTAGGATCCGCGCACATTGGCCGATCCATTCCTAGAGCTCGAGGGCCGGCGGGGGGAGTGGCTCCGGGGCCGGGAAGCCTTGCTAGGCGATCTTGGTTCGTCGCTATCCGCCCTGACAATAGACGGCCGCCTGCTATCCGGGTCATTGGATCCATCCTGATCCGTTCCAATTTCAGAGCTAAGCGATCCAACGGGCAGATCAGTCGTCGACTTCCGGGGTTCGGGAGAACCAGGGGCCGAAGTGGACTTGTGAAGCTCGGCATGCGAGACCGTAGGACTTCTCCTTGGACTCGCCGATTGTGCCCAAGGCGTAGTTGGCGACGTCTGCGCCTTGGAGCTGCGACGTCGCCGCTTGTCCATGTCGTCCAGCACAATATCGATCAAGATATCGGCTGGATCATCAATACTTGCACGCTTCACGGTCAGGGACCGGAGCTGATCGGCAAGCTTGTCCCAGCCGAAGAACTGCCTGAAGTCGATATCGCTCACCTCGAGAGCCTGGACGTTCTTGAACACATAGAGCGGCACGGCCGAGTCAAAAGGGAACTCCTCGTAGCCTTTGATCAGCCGGGCCCGCCAGTCGGGTGCCAGTCTCAGACAAGGGATCTTGGTGAAGGCGGAATATAGGTATTTCAGATCGGCCTGGACCGCCGCCTTTTGTCGCTCAGTCCGTGCGGCGGATATGCTAGAGCCAATACCAAAGCTGGCCCAAAGGGCCGACATGCCCGACATGACGCTCCGAATACTCGAGACAGAGCGAATCGAACCAACCTCGGAGCCATGGGTCTTGGAGCGCTGGGACTGGCCAAGAAACGACACGTAATTGGCTGACGTGGTGCTGTCGTGCAGGTTCTCGAGACGGACTTTCATGGGCCCAACAGGAATGCCTAGTTCTTCAAAACGCGAGAGCAAATAGAACAAGTGGTGGGGGGTGAGGGCCAACTTCGCTGACTTCACACTGTGGGATGTGAAGTTCAGAGTGCCGAGCGACAAGGCGGCAGCCAGTGTACTCGACGTTGACGCTGAGGTCGACGGTCGCTCAGGCACGGACGGCGAGCTGGGCACGGGTATGGACGCGACCGACGAGACGCTCTGCGAGGATCCATGCCGAGGAGCGTTTTGTCTCCGAAACTGCAGCGCGTTCGCAAGCGCCTTTTCGTGCGTCCGCACAAAGCTGGCGAGTTGCTATTGTTCCCCATCCTGCTTGTCAGTCGGCAATCCTTGTACGCTGCGCTGCATGCGCGGCAAGGGGGGCGGGGGAGGAAGGGCAAGGGGGCGAATACAGACGAACCTTTATAAAGTACTCCCCGTCTTCCGAATCCATCTTCACGGATAAGAATGCATCAGGTATGATATTTAAAGAGCGGAAGGCTACGCGTCCCGAGCCTACGGGGCGGGGGATGGGAGGGAGGTTCGACTCGTCTCCGGGGCGTCCGAGTTTGTCGGCGGCCGATGGAAGCGAGTCTCACGTCTTTGAGGATGTTGTCGTGGCAAAAGCGGGACAGCAGCCTACAAATTGGCAAATGTTAGTCCGACCTGTCACCTCGCACTGACGCTTGCTGTGGTGCAGGTGTGGTCTGCTGGCTATTCTCTGTCCCCTGTCCTCCGTTGCCTGTGGGCTGCTTTGTGGCTAGGAATGTGACTATTACCGCGGGCAGCGGGCGGCGCGCAGGCCACGCAGCCAGACGAACTTTTGGACCTAGTTAACAGGAGATTTGGTTGCTGGGCTCTAAAATGGACCAGCGGCCTAGGTAGCAGGCGGTGTGCCTTAGGTAATAGAAGTCGGGTGCTTAGGTAGGCGTTCGTCGACCGGGCAAGGGGTTTTCGGCGGGGCTACCGATGGGACACTACCTCGAAGTAGTCTCCCGTCAGGGCGCTGTCGTCGCAGGCAGGTTGCGGCGGGGTGGGCTCGGCCAGGGCGAACTCGGGTGGGTAGAAGGTCGCAAAAGTCGAGGGAAAGTGTCGGGTGGGGTGGGAGCGGCTTTGCGGCGCATAATATAAGGTATGCTGGTTGCGGCGGCGTATGACACAAGAGAACCTCGAAGCTGGCGGTGCACTCGATTAGGCCATCGGTCCGGTCGTTCGCGTTGGGCCGCCTTGGCCGCCGGGGCCCGCGGCCGCTTGTTTGCTCGCCGGTTTCAAGGCTGGCGTTGGCACATAGGGGGTATCAAAGGTGTGCACGTGTAGCGCTCAACTGCTGTCGGCGCCACGCATCCCTTCCGGATGAGGGAGCAGGATAGTAGGCATCAAGAGCAGATCACGCTTGTGGATACACGAAGGCTGGAAGGACCACGCCCGCGGCCGCACCGTTCTCCGGCCGAGAAGTTATTCCTGGGTGTCATGTCCTGTCGATACAAGATGATCGGGTGCGCGAGCAGTGGGCATCCATCATCGTCACCACAACCACCACAACAGCAACTACTGCGGCGAAAAGCAGGTAGGCAGGGCAGTTCAGGGCGCAGCGAACAGTCGACCTTGGGAAGAACAGCACGGAGGATACTAGAGTTGAGGCGGGGCGAGGCGACACAGCGAGACGAGGCGGCATCAAGAAGGACCAGAGCAACCCGAGGCCCCCAGGAGGGAGGCAGAATCAAGAACAAGAAAAGAAAAAAAAAGGCCACTCACAAGGTCTAATTCGGGCACGGCCACCGGCGGGAGACCAGAGACCTCGGGTCAAAGTCTGGGGCTGCAGTCGGCCTTCTGGGCTTGGCTTCTGGGTCGAGAAGCTGGTGCCCGCAGAGAGGTGCCCAAAAAAAGCAAAGTTGGCGGGCCGGGTCTAGGGAAGGACGCGGGGAAAGGAAAGATAAACCGAATAGCCCAGGGAAGGGGTCGCGGGCCTGCTGCGGAGGCGCGAGGCACGGAGTGGAGGAAGCAAGATGGCGATGAAAGCGACGATACCGTTCCGCACGCTCTCTCTCTATCTCACTCTCACTCGATTCTCACTCGACTCTCACTCTCGCTTCTGGTGTTGCTTTCCGTCGCGGGCAACCACGGAGGGGAAAGAGAGTAAAAACGAAGGGTTTTCCGATGTTTGGGGGGCCGACGTCGACTAAATTAAAAATCGAATGGAGCAGGGAAGGGAAGGCGGGTCTGGGTCTGGTCTGGGCATTGGCAATGCAAGTTCATGGGGGTCCAGCAGCCAGCGTCCAAAAAGCGGCGGCACTAGCGAGGGGGCAGGCCAGAAATGAGGGTCTTGGGCTAAGTGGCGCCTGCGTCGGCGACTGAGGTGAGGTGCTCCTACTGCGCACTGCGGGCCTACCTGCAGTCCTGCACTACACCAACTAGCCGCCTTAGCGACCGGGGATACGGTTGCAGTGAAATCAAACCTGGAATGGAATGCCTGGATGGAATCGTGAAAATCCAACCCGCCGTACACTAAGGTGAGCTTCCACTGTGCTGCACCGATGCTGCTGTGAGCGCTTCAACTGGGGTTTGGCACTTTTGGCGATGGCATTTCCAATGGAGGACCCATCCCGGTTTAGCTTTTCGCACTGTTTGTTCAAGGCGGGAACCCACCTGCCCGTGGACATGGCAAAGTCCATATCCGCTATCAATCAGCTCCTTCCTTTGAATCCTTGCGCATCAGGGACCTGATCGGCACCGTCAGCCCGTCAGACAATCTATCAATATCAATCCATCTTGGGGAATATCAATCAGCAACTCGGGGCCATTTCCATGTTTCGAGTTTGTTGTGTTTTGCCGTGCCCGGCAACGACAGCAATTGGCAGCAGCGAGACTCGAGATTGCCTTGCCCTACCCTGCCTTGCCTGAGGTGCAGATGAAGGCGGCCGTGCCTCCAAGGCGCTGTCGGGGGCTGCATTGCAGCTTGAGCGGCAGCCAGTTGCCTGACTTTTCGAGCTCGTCTTGGGTAGGTTGAGCTTCCACGGCGTCTCGGCTCAGATGCTTCCTCCCTCTCACCGTCATTTCGCTTGTCTCGACGACGACGAGTTAGCATGCCGTCTATCCTTCCATCGCAGGCTGCCCCACTGTACCGCATCGCCTTGCACACCCTGCACGCCCCTCAACCGCGTCTTTGCTCTCGGTATGGACCTTCGTTCTCTTGACTTACCAATTCTCCCGACGAACAAGAATACCCGACGACACCTGCACATCAGCAGAAGCATCATCGGCTGCTCGAGTCGTATCATAGAAGCCCGTGAAGAGATGCCTGAAGCCCAATGCCCAATGCGCGCAGACGCCCAAGAGCCCGGAAATGCCCCGTCCGCCAGCCGGCTCGCTCTTACGCCTAAGAGCCTGCAGCAATGCCCGGGCCAATAGCGGCTTTCCTCCAAGGATGCATTAGCACTCGCAGCGCTTCCGCAGGACGCCGCATATGTCTCAGAACTGGTGTGAGTGGCCAAGGAAGGCAACCTCCATTGAATCGTGCAGCGACACCGGAAAATGTCATGTTTCGCACATTTGGGCTGGACAAGACATAGGTTACACAGGACGAGGTTCTCGACAGCGGCAGCACCGCTGCTCCCCCTCAGCCAAGAGGCTGACACCCGAGAAATCCAAGTTGATACTCCGTACGAATATCAGCACAGACAAGCGACCGGCGAGGCCCGGCGCCATAGGTCCCTGGAACCGTCGACCTCATCCGGACGAGCCTGGACCGGAGGACCACAGTTTGCTGCACTGTACGGGGTTGACTTCTGCTTAGAGTTGCGCCCCAGAGCTTGGCGTGTTAGTCGTCCGTCTGTGTGTCTGATCTAGCAGATCAACAGCACAACCACCTAAACAAAACGGCGGAAGCAGGCTCTTTAGGGGCAATGGTGCCGCTTTGGTGGGCACAGCTCTTCGGCTTCCACCTATACATCGAAGATCATTCCGTCATTGAGACTTCCGTCTAGCCTGCACTACAGATCACCACTCTGATCTCTAACATATCTATACCCAAAATCACCTAGCACATGTTTCCCCTCTCCGGCAACAGGCACAATGACGTGGAGTTTCTTTGCGCCATGTTTACAATGCCAATCTGGTCTTGGAGTTCCATTTGTTTACTTTGGCAAACCGATGGCACAGGATCCTACTCTTGGCCCCGCGCCGGTGATTAAGTCCTTACGCATTGCTGCTAGTGGCTATTAACCAAATTACCAGCGGCCTGGAGCCTGTAGCCTGTCTGGCATCAGCTTTGGTGCACGGTCTCTCCAGCCGCTGCGCGCTGGGCGTGCGTGCCCGGTGGGGGCCGGCGGATGGCCTCGCTGATATTTGGTTTGTGGAGAGCTGGAGGCGAAGGAAGGTCGTACGTAGGCCTCCTCGACCCTGAGGCTCGACGGGCTCACAAAACAGTCGCTTAGGGCGCCTACCCGGAAGCCATAGCACCTCCACTCAACCGCTCTGAACGTCTCGGGGCCATGAATAGGTGTGCGAATAGAAATGTATGCAATATATACCTAGGAAGCCTCCGGGTCTCGGTCGGGTTCCACGACGGAGCGGTGCCTCTTCGTCAAGAAACGTATATAAGTTCGGAGTATTCCACACCGCAAGCCTACCAAGGGCTGCTGATCCGACGGGAGTTTCTTGATAAGATGTCTCTCTCATCGCCGACGGCGACTCTGGAGTCGCGACCTTGCGACAAGCATGTTTCGGACCTTCTGGGATCCCTGGCGAGGGTCCTTCGCCTGCAAGCCAAGCCAAGCAGCAACCCAGGGTAGCCAGATCTAGGACCGTGCACGATTCATTTATTCCCCACGGACGAGAAACAGACGCCAAAAGTCACGACATTCTATATTTGTGCCATGCCGAGCCTCCCGGCTTCGGCTAGCTCCAAAGGGACAGCCGAAGACACGCAGTCTTTGTTTTGTTTTGTGTTATTAATGATTGACGGACTGCTAACGAGTAAATTCTTTATATTGTTGAAGAGTGCCGTCTTGCAGGACGGAACTATTTAGCAACCGCCATCAACAGAAGTCAAACGATGACATATTGCAGCATAATAATGCCTCTGCTAGTGATCATCGCCAATTACAAGCCAGGACCGAGCCAGCATGGAACTTCTATAGTGTACTTGTTGATGTGTTGGGCAACCTTTTGCCGGCATCGCATGTAACCTCCCACTGTTTGCTCCCCCAGACTGGCATTTTACCCACCAATGCATCCCACATCTTGCATGTGGTGATGGGGTGCAATTATGTCATAGGTACTCGACAGGCCCAAAAAGCACCAGCGCCTCGTGATTAGGATGTCAGCTAGGGCCATGTCATGTCAAGCTCTTTTCCCAGCTTAGCCTAACCTTGCAGGCAACTCTATCTTTCGCAATCGCCCTCAACCCACGCGCTCCAGTCACCGTACGACCCTGAGCACACCTCCTGGCCTAGTTGAGTTGACCCTGTTGTCGACGAGTTCGAGGACATGACAAAGCACGGTCCGGTGCCCCCCTCGATGGCGACCAACGCTGTAGCCGACGCACGGAATGTCAGCCGTCAGCCAAGAACATTATCATGTGAACAGTGCCACACCCACCAAAGGGCGACTCGCAAATGCCAAAAATGGATCGAATGCGTGTCACCTACAGTACGTACTTCCTTGCCCCAGGTTACCAACAGACAGTGCACATTCCGTCTCCCGCCCGAGGGTTGGCTGGCGCGCCTGTATTGATCGAACTTTGGGCTGAAGGGCCGGCGCAGAGCGGGATTAGAACAGACGGCGTTGAATTTGTTCGGGTACGCGCATCGTCGTGCGAATCCGTCTCGCCAACCACAGGCTGCATGAGCGTGCAGGACGCCGACCTTTGGGCTTGGCCTCGAAGAGGTTTGCAGCAATCGGATCCTTTCAATAATGATAAGGTTCAGCAGCGCCTACGTGCGTGCTGCAGCCTCACCGCCTCTGCTACTAGTACTAATTCTCCATTCTTCTCCAGTGTGCTTGTTGCTGCATCAGCTGGAGAAGGCTCCCGTGAATGGAGACGAGCGGTTGAGAGTCGCCACCCAAGCTGACTGTCAGGCATCTGATATTGCCTGGTTTGGACGGCCATATGACATCTGATTGGCTTTTCCAGAATCAGGCATGTCTGTGAGGATCCCAGACGCAGATCCGACAGTGAAAAATGCCCTCTGATTTTCCGTCGGTCAGGGAAAGTCATCTCATTGAACCAGATGCATATTGGGCAAGCCAACGGGAAGAACAGGTCCCCTCACGAAAAACTAGCCGGTGCTGCTTTGGCGTCAAAGGCGACCAATTCCGCAGCTCATAACCATAACCGGCGCCGGAGATCTCGTCGACGGCCTAGGATCGTTCGACGTTTGCTAGAACGACGACTTGAGGAGGGAGGTGCTCATGCAGGACGCCGCCGTGGATGGCCCTCGGCCCCCCTAGTTGCTCCAGATCTGGTCTTACCTTAAGGTAGGCTAGCGTGTGGATGGGGGGTGGTCCACCACACGGCTTGTCCTCACCTCACCCTCCCCTTCAACGTGTGTAGGGAGCGACTGAATTTTCTCGTTTGTGCGCCCATTTTACGGTGAGAAGCGTTGGCCTAGCTGCCTCAGCGTGACCTCATTCTTAGGTCAGCGGCTTCCCAACATTCCTCGCCGTCGCCAGCTTTCATCCCGCTGGGCTGGGGCTCATGCCATGTCTTGGTAGACTGCGCGGGGTGAGAAAGAACATCGTTATCGCTTGCCTGCTTGCGCGGGGCAGTTTAGTTTCATCACGTTCACAAGCCGGCCCCGCTAGCGATGGCTGTTTCCCAGATGCCTGAACATGGGCGACGGCGGGTGCTTCCAAGGGTTGCACGGTTCACCTGATACCATGCTCGCACACATTTTTCAGTGGCGCAACTACTGTGGGTCGGAGTCGAACAGGCCAGCCCCAGGTTTTCTTTCTTTTTCCCGTCTTTTTTTTTGGCTTCACGAGACGAAAAACCCCCACACACCGAACGATTCCGATTGCGACGGCGCCAGTGTGCGCTTGTTTGCTTTTGGTTGACGGCGGCACTCTCCCTTGCTACCGTGCCGAAGCGTGCTCTAGCCAAAACAAAAGATAATGTACGGCCCTGCCATTTCTCGAGCTGCGATACGCCAATTCCTAATCTATGTCTCGCTGTGTGTCTCTCTCACCGCTCCCCTCCTTCTCCTCTCTTTTTCTCTCTCTCACATGAGAAGGAGGGGTGAGGAGGGGGAGGGGGGGTATCTATGTGTTGTAGGGAGATAGAATAATAATAATAATAATAATAATAATAAAAAAGACTATGTGTGTGTGTGTGTGTATATGTGTGTGCACAGTTGTGGTGCAGCATGCAGTCCCGGCCGCGGCGGGGTAGGTATGTTAATCCTTTTTATTCTTCTTATATAGCCCTTGCTCTCGAGCACATTCCATTTTCTGCATAGTTTTGGTGTGTGTGTGCGTGTTGTGTGTGGGTATAGGATTTCTTTTCTTATATCTTGCTGCTGTGTCCATTCCAACGGCTGCTGCTGCTGCTGCTGTTGTTGTTGTTGTTGTTGTTAGAATAAGCAAGGAAAGGGAATCGCAAAATGTCTTGCAGATGCATAATGCAAGTAAGAAAAGCAAAAAAAGACCACCCTCGTAGTAAAATACCAAATTGAAACGAAGGTGAAGAGTACTAATGACTAGATGAGTAAGAGTCCGAGGAAAGAGAGGTGAGATGCACGGACTACCTTACTTACGGATACGTATGTAGACCACGATCCCAGACCGACTACCCTACCCTACCCTGACTGGCTGGGGGGGAAGGGGGGGAAGGTGCAGAAGATCCCTTGGTGCATGGACACTTCCCCCTTCCCTCTGGTCGTACACCGCATACACGCCACAACGACGGTTGTGACTTTATGGTGTGCGTGTACGGATGTGTGTGTGTGTGTATGTGTGTCTGTACGCTTTGCCTTTGCCTACCGAGCCAAGATAGGCAAGCCAGACAAACCAAGCAAGGTAGGTACTCTATGTACGAGTGTAGAAATGTAGGAGTGCATTTCAGGAGGAGAAAATGAGGTAGTGCGCATGTTCGTGTCTCTCACGGCTACTCGGGGCCCATGGGCTTGTTCAAATCATGATCTTCATCATGGTCCATACTCGTGCTTGTGCTCAAGGAGGATGGGGACCCGGACGGGGACGGGGACGGGGACGGGGACGGGTGACAGAGCGGGCCGTCGCCATCGCCGTCGCTGTCGCCGTCCATGTTGTTACCGCTCTCTCGTGTCAATGGGGGACAAAGCAAAAATTAGTTCATCTACGCTTCGTTCAGCATGTTGGCCTGGGCATGCCTCGTAAACATATGCGGCAGGGTTATTGTTGACCGCTCTACTTCGAATTATATACCTACCTACCTGTACGGATATATGTCCTGGAGTGAGGTTTAGGATGAGTAAATACCTAATTATATCAGATGGGTGAGATGTTGCCCCCCTTCCAGTTAATTCGAGAAGCGAATGGGCGGTGTGGCCAAGTAGGTATGTACCTGTCGAATGGTAGGTATCTGAGGTACTAAGGTAGATGGCATGGTATGGCGCTTCGTTTGGAGTAGTACATGTTTCCCCCTCCCCGATGTCTCGGACTGAAACCGGGAGACGAATCTCGGAGCAATCGCAGGGTATTGTGGGTAGGTCGGGGGTTTTCTGGCTTTCTTTATCTCGAGTCTGTAGTCCTTCCCCTTTTTTTCTGTTGGACCTATTTCTGAGACTGGCAGCGTTGTTTTGTCTTGTCTTGTTTTGTCTTTTCTTGGCAGAATTGGTCGAGGTGTGTATATGCATCTACATTTGCAGGTGCAGGTTCGCCTACCTACTTTACCTAACTAAGAAAGGTATTGTGTATATATATTGTGTGTGTAAAGATATGTGACTACGGCAACTGTCATATGTGCTCTTGTATGTCTATCTGTCCGTGGAGAGTACTTACTTACAGGTCACTGTGTGCGGGTGTAAACAGTACGACCAGACGAATCGAGATTGCCGAAATCGGACGGCACTACCTGTCTTACTCACACACACACACACACACACACGGCCCGCCTATATCGCACACTGGGTGGCCTGCCTGCCTTGTGTGGCGATTGACGTTGTTCATATCGTGTAGGTAGATAGGTAGGGTGGTGGCGTTGTCTTACAGCTGGCCTGTCTGGGTTGTTGTGTCCGTGGGTTAGTAAGGGGCCATTGCTGCGGATGTTAATTAAGGGTGTCACGGTTCGGTGTGCTTTTAGATTAATATCAGGGGTGCTACTTCCGACGTGGTGGCTATTGCTGACCTCACCTTGATTTTAGTCTGGTGTTGGGTGATCAAGGCGCGGTCATGGGAACGGGATTTCTCTCTCGGGTTTTTTCTGAGGTAGGGCTCGTTGCCGGGATAGGATGGCGCCTTATTCGAGAGTTTTGGGGACATCGAGGTGATTATATGGGTTTCAATGTCAGGAGAGGCATGTTGTGTAGCTGCGCTTTAGAAAAGGAGGCCAGGGAAAGGATCAGGATTAGCTTAGTGTGGCGAGCCCTTGAGCGTCGTTTGTGTGTTCTGTCCATGCCCCTTTCTTCTCAGACTACGTTATGACTAGCCCCTAGAAAGACCCACCCAGTGACTGTTTTGTTTTCCATCAACCAATATTGACCCCTTTCTTGGCCACCTTTGTCTGTAGATTTCCTCACTCGACGGCTAGCAAGTCTTCAGTTACAATACTCAGATTAGAATGTTCACAGCGCAGTATTCATCGCATGATTTATTACCTTTTACTCGTCACTTGGGCTCATCATGTTGTTGACGTTGGTCAGTAAATACTGAAAAAAGGACACACGTGTATCGAGTCCTTCCTGTCACAAAGGCATATACCTCAAGACCACCCCCAAGGACAACTTGGAGGATTTAGTGACATTACTGTTTAGAATAAGGTAACAGAGTTTGTGATTAATGGTGAGATAAATCGAAATATGTGTATTTGTTATGGTGAACTCGTCGAAAAATAAATTTATAAATAAACATATACGTTGAAACCACGGGTCTGAAGTTGATTACGGCCCCTGACGTGATTCCACGACCTTTTCTCTTTATTCTTTGACTATTTTGCTGTAAGAAATCCACTGGTAAACACGAGTGTACTGCCATGGTGGTCTGATTGCCCAACGTGGTCTGGCTTTCATCAATTTGGCGATTCATCCCATCAACGTAGACGTCCTTTCCTAATTGCAGGTAACATACTACCGGATACTTTTATTCAGATGAAAAGCTGCTCAAAAAGAGAGGGGCATCTGAGAACCTGCCCGGTGACGAGCCCAGTACCATTTTTCGTCCGGTAAACATCCGCCACACTCGACCAAGGACGGCGGGGAATCTCTGCTAAACACTTTCCAAACCACATCCTGCAAGCACCAGAGGACTCGTGTACGCCAAAACAATGACGAAGATCAAAAGAGAGCGGTCGCCGACTGAACCAGATGTCAAACCTCCCCGAGCTGAGGAACCGGCGGCAAAAAAGGCCAAGGTCTCAGGTAAGATATCATCGACGCTCTTGTAACCAAGGCAACCGCCACTAACCTCACACTCAACGAGTAGGCAATGCGCGCCGCCAATTCTGTGGCCGTATCATCGTCCAGGGTAGCAGACTCCACCCTTCGATGCCCTTGAGGCTGCCCTTGAGGCCGAGCTGAACACGATCGCGCTGTCAGATTACGATATCCAGATCGCAGTCTTTGCCAACAGCCTCTACCATGCCCGCGACGTAAATGACGGCTACGCTCTCGTGTTCAAGCAACCCGACGGTGCGCAGATTGTGCTTGCGTGGCCGCTCTATAACACCGGAGAAGACGCCCTCCAAGGCATTGCCGTCGCGCAGGCCATCGAGGTGGCCGGAAAAGTGGTGCGGGCTTGGACCGACAAGTACGTCGAAAACCTCGGCGGACGTATGCTGAACTTTGTGGCCAGGGCCCGAGTGTTGGTCTTCTCGGACAACAAGACGATGCTGGATGTTCTGGACTGGAGAGCAGCCGCAGTCTCCGCGGTCCACTATAAAGTTGTTGACATAATCATAGATAAGTCCTACGAGTTTACGCATATGCCGGGGATGGACGTCGATCTCTAACTGCGCTGGCTGCCCTCAGACTTCGGCGACGAGCGCTACCATGTCGAGTCTCACCACCTTGCCAACACCTGGGCAGACTAAGCGCGGATCCAGAACAGAACATTCGCCATCTTTGACGGCGAGCACGGCATCCTCGCGATGCTGAAGGGCGTCTACGAGAATCTGGGAGAGGAGATCAAGGCGTTGGAGGCCATGTTTCCCAAGCCGCCCAAGCCGGCCAGCCTCGGCGCGTGGCGCCAAAGCTGCAGAAGTCGCACTTCCAGCAGGCACGAACTAGAGCCATGACCGCGGCAGCTGCCATGCGCGAGCAAGTAGCAGACGACAAAAGCGTGCCCGCCGTGCCCCGAGTCATCTTCGTCAACAACGCAGAAACCACTTTTGCGGTCCCGTTTGCGCCGGATGGCACTCCCGCTCCGATATCATTGAGATCGAATTTTCGGATGCCCGCTGTGACGTTGTCTGAGTTGAGGGCGGAGCAAGTATTGACTACCCGACTCGTAGCTTGTCTGAAATTGCCGTATGATGGGCTCGTGTCTTGGGAAATACGGAGTAGATACCTTACTGTAGTGTACTGTAGTCTGAATGCGAATTGCTCTTGTCAACCAATCACTGTGAGCTCCGAGCCCCTGATCTGATCCCTTTTCGCGCTAGTAGAGGGAAACCAAATACTAAAAACTCTAGCGTCCAATCGGAAATCTTGTCAGATTATAAAAGTACCGCCTGTTATTTGCTGAGTGTGTTGAATTGTCGAATTGATTGTTGGTGTAGTGCTTGGGAAGAGAAAGATTCTGGAACTATATAATCACCCTAGAACGGCTTTTATAAAGGAATTCGTAAAAGTGTAATACGGCTTCGAGATTCTATAATAGGCATTCTCATGGCTGCTACCTCCCTCGGCGAAAAGCATTTAGGGCGAGCCGTAATGTCCTGAGGCCTTTCAGATCTTGGAAGCGGTTCACGACTGGGGGAGAAAGACAAAGCCAATCACAGCCAGGGGACGGAAGGAGTACCAGAGTGTCGTACAATTTGAGGCACGATCACAGAGACCGTTGTTCACCGAGCCACGGATCATGGACGACGGATTGGAATCGGACGACGAGTCAGAATGCTTGGAAGATATGATAAGCTGGTGGACATTGAGGCGCGACGCCCAACCTGATATTATTACACTTGAGTGGCTTGCCTCATCACCCAAAGGCAAAAAACTGAGCGGCTCTGGGATGCAGGTCCGCATCCTCAGAGCAAAACCCATGGACGGACCAGGAGGACATTGAATTGACTCGGACCAGGACAGAAGTACGTTGTATTATTTCCAAGAGACAGGACAGTGACAAATCCCCCGATAACAAATGTTTGGTTTGGGTTTAGGGATTGAGCTAAGAGCACACACCCATGCTCCGACTCGATGGGCAGGGCTCCATATTTAAAGGCCAGCGATTGGCCGATTGCGACCCCACCTTGATCTGCCGCAGCGTTGTAGAGAGGCTGCTTGCGCTGAGCAGGAACCTCCGAGACCTTTCAAGTTCGTGACAGCACTACGTCGATCGAGAACCTAACACGCCTTACAACAACTACCTAACTTGGAGCCATATTGCGGTTTCGCCCCACCTTCTTTCCTTTTGCGCAGTGAGACCAATTATCGCAAGGCCATGAATATCTTCCCTCACAAGTTATTATTTTCCGGCCAAACATTATCCCGTTGACTAGCTTCACCCTATCCATCCAACGACCGCCGATTTATCCCTCCCTTCTCGAATCAATCATGTCCTCTGCCACTCCCACCATACCAACCTCGCCGCAGCGCCAATCTGCGGACGAGGATGCGTCTGCACCTACTAATCCCGCTGTGAGAGCACAGTCAGACCCGCGTGAGCTCGACGGCGACAACAATAGCTCCCCCGCCGACATTTCCCAATCTCAGAGCTCCCCGCAATCCGACTCGGCCTCTGAACGCTCCGAATTCGAGCCGTCCTCGCCGCCCCAACCCCAGACCGTCGAGGCCGCAGACGCGGTTCAAGACCCAGAGGCTGCTGCAGGCGTCCCTCCCCTCCCCGCCGAGCCTCTGCCCGTCGTCCCTGTCGACGACGGTTGGGACCCTCACTGGGTTGAGAACGACTGGTGGTTTTACAACCGTTTCACAGGAGTCTGGCAGAAGGAAAACCCGCGTGTACCCGATGCTGCCGCCGTCCAAGCCGCAGCTGCAGCCGCCGACGCAGCAGCTGCGGCTCCACTTCCCCAGGCTGAGAAGGTTACTGTCCTTAGCAATCCGGAGTCGATTGCGGGTGGGTACAACCCGGCCATCCACGGTGACTACGACGAGAACGCGTGGTATGCCAAGAAGGCGCGCGCGGACGAGGCAGCCGCCGCCGCTTCCTCGCAGCTGGCGATTCCCGGCGCCGCCATCGCCGACCCAGCTTTGTACCTCGCGTCTGTCGCCGCCGCCGGAGGCGCCCCCGTCGCCACAGCCGCCTACTTCAACCGCCAGACGGGCCAGTGGCAGCAGCCCGACTTTGGGCCAGAGCGCCACACTGACGAGGCCAAGAGCAAGCGCCAGATGAGCGCGTACTTTGACGTTGACGCGGCCGCCAACATGCACGACGGCCGCAGCCTCAAAGCAGAGCGCTCGGGCAAGAAGCCGACAAAGGCGGAGCTGAAGGCATTCAAGGAGAAGCGCCGCGTTAAGAAGGAAGAGAAGCGCCGCGCTTGGCTCCGCGACTGAGGGCATTTCCTAGGAGGTCTAGATGCATTCTCCCTCCTATAAATAGCCCCGGTCTTGTCCCTTGTGTGTTTTTACTTTCGTCTTTCCTCACTAATTGTCTAGGGTGGTATGCTCCTTTTGGTACCAAGGAGCAAAGCAACGGATGCCAAGGCCAGGCCAGGCCGGAGGGAAAAGAAATTATTCGGAGTCAACTGCCTTTGCCTTTTTTCCCCCCTTGAACCATCATCAACCAGCCTCAGGGCATAACTGGTGTTTGGTAAATACTGGGAATCGCAAACCTCTTTAGGACATCATGGATGGGTTGAGCATTTTCACGGCGGAACAGGGGCTGGGTCTGAGATTTCTTTTTCCAGGAAAGGCGTTTTTCTTCCCATATGTATGAATGTGTGTATGTTTTTTTATATCCTTGTCGGGGGTTTTTTTTTCATTCTCCCTCGACATCTCTTCGTTGTTTTCTCACCCTATCTGGATGTGGTGGAGAGGACGAGAGAGGACGAGAATAGAACAGATCTGTGTTTTTTTTTTCAAGGGGGCGGAAACTCTGGTATGCATGAGCAAAAGTCAGTGGCTTGACTTGGCAGAGAAGTACGCACCGGCGAGGTTTACGGGAGGAGCATGAAGACAAGGAGAGTGGTGAGGCTCACTCACTCACTATTCATTGACTACGACTGCTAGTAGTAGTTCTGCTGCTAATGGCTACTTACTTATCTACTGTGTGTGGTGTATGGACGGATAGTGGAGGTTTGGCCTTGTTCCTCCTGCCTTTCCTGCCTCCCTAGGTAGGTAGTCATCTTGTTGAATGCAGATAGATGCCCTTGCAGGTTTCCATTTGTCTCTTTTGCCGTGCTGTCCTTGTATGAAAGGGGAAATGTGCATACATCTATTCTGTTGACTATAAATAAGGGTATGTGCTGGCTGGCTGGCTGTTCTATGGGCTTGCCTATGTCTGAGGTAAATAAGAGAAGAAAGCACCGATAAATCGCACATTTTGGTGCCATGCTATGCTATGCTATGCCGTGCCATGCCATGCTGATTTTGTGTCTCTGGCTTTGCCTTGCCCGATAGGACGTAATATAAACTTACCTACCCACCTATTTACATCATCCACCCATCCATCCACCCACCTATCCATCCATCCATTGATATGATATGTGGTCACTCTTCTCCACCCTCCTCCTCTTCCTCCTCCTCCTCCTCCTCATCATCGTCGTCTATCGTCATATCAATCTGGACGCTGCTGCTCTCGCTACCATCGTCGTTATCACTACCGCTGCCATCGTCTTCCGCCTCAGCCGTCGGAGCAGGCTTGGCCCGCTGCTGCTTCTTGGCCGCTGTGCCTAGCCGCCCCGCGCCGTCGCTCTTGCGCTTCAGCGGTGACAGCGGCGCGATTATCGCTGAGTCTACATCCATGTCCGCGTTCCCGTTCCCATTCGCGTCAATCCCGGCCGCCGCGACCGCTGCCGCGTCGGTCGAGGGAGCCCACCCGCCGAAACCGCTCGTCTTGGGCGTAGCTTCAGCAGCCGTAGCCGCCGTTTCCTTTTCGGCCGCGTCTTCGCCGTCGCCGTTGGCCATGGACGCATCGTCGGGCTTGCCCGCTGCTGCTGCTGCTGCTGCGTCTTCGTCTTCGTCATGCATATCATTGTCATCGTTGTCGTCGGCCCACGCGCCGGCTGTCGCGTACGGCGTGGCGTTTGATGCCGTGGCGCCAGCGCCGGCGCGCAGCAGGTTGGTGCGCAGGACCTCGACGGCCTGGTCGCGTGGGAACTGGCCGACCAGGAACGGCAGGATGCTGGCGTAATGGCGGCCGCGGCTGTCCTTGTAGGGGTGCAGGCAGCTGGCGAGCATGGCGGGCCGGCTGCCCGCGAGGATAGCGGTGCGGTCGACGAGCCCACGTGCCTCGGGGCTGAGGTGGCGCTGCGGCAGGTGCGACAGGAGCAGCGGGAGGAGGGCCGCCGCTGCCGCTGCCGTGGCGTCACCGTGGTCGGGGCTGCTGGAGGTGGAAAAGGGGCTGGGGGTGGCTGTGGGATTTGTCGTGCCGCTGGGGGGGCCGAGGAACGCGTCGGCGTTGCCCGTCACGTTCTGCTGCGGGTGCGGCCTGCCGTTGCTGCCTTTCTTGGAGCCGTTGCTGTTGCTGTTGCTGCTGGTCGTGGAGGTGGGGGCTGAAGCTGGGGCGGCAACTTGCGGCTTGTCCTCGGAGTGGCCTGCCGCGCGCAGGAGGTCCTGGCAGCAACTCTGGATGACGGGCGCAGCCGAGTCGACTGTGAGCCGGGGGAGCATCGGGCCGGAGAGCAGGAGCACCTCCTTAGCTAGCGTGTACGTGGCTTCGCGCACCGAGCGGACGTTTCGGCTCGACTTGAAGATGCGGGCTATCTGGTCGAGAATATCGGTTGCGAGGGGCAGGGCGCCGTCTCCTAGGCGCTGGACGATGGCGGCGTGGAGGCGCATGACGGCGGCGTGGATGTCTCGTAGGACGCTCCACAGCTCGGCCTTCTCGTCTCTCCCGATGGAGGCGTTGAGCTCGACCGCGTCGTCTGAGCCCGGCGGCGTGATGAGAGTTATCCGGGAGGTCAAGTCTAGCAGCTCGCCTAGCGAGACGGCCACGGCCGACTTGGTGGGCGTCCGGAAATGCTCTGCTAGGAACTCCAAAAGACCGACGAGTCTCTCTGCGCCCGCCTGCAGGCCCGTCCAGGAAGGGAACTCGTCGGCCGAGACGCCGCCGCCACACGGTTCCAAGTCTGTCCGGACTGGTTGGCTTATGTAGCCGGTGCTGGACTCCCACGACTCGTGCACAGCTCGGAAGACCTGGTCAGCGGTAGCATGGCAGCTTTTGACAGACAGGCGCATGGCGCGGATCCAATCCTCTCCGCTGCCGTCTTTGGGCGCGGTGCAGTGCAGCAGAATCAGCAGGCGCCGTGCGCTCTCCTTCAGGGTCTGAGGGGCCACCAGAGGGTCCGAACAGGTCGGGGCCACGTAGGCGCTGAAGATGGCAATAATCTGCGCTCGGAAAGGCCGCATGGTCGTAGGATACAGAACAATGAGCTTGGAGAGAGCAGAGGCGATGGTCTCGGCGACTGCTGCCGATATCCTGAGCGGCTTGCCCGATGCTGGAGGCTTGACGAGCTGCAGGCAAGCCGTGATGAAGCTGGGGAGGGTAGGGGTAGCCATCTCTCTCACCAGGGTCGGATAGTCCTGTAGCAGCATGTATATTCTCGTCAAGGTGACGATGCACAGCTCCTTGGAGGCAAGAGGGTCGGGTTTCTGGCATTGTTTAGCCTCGTGTGGGATTCAGGGGAAGGGGAAAGGAGAGAGAACGTCCTACCTGCAGCACCGAGATCAGACCCCGTATCCAGGGGTCCGACGCCTTCAGAGTTTCCCACCCGCCCACATCAATGACGGCCTTGATGAGACAGACAGCAGCAAAGCGGCCAGCGGGGCTCTTGCCGGTCAGTAGGGTGGTGATGTGAGTCTTGAGCCTGTGGACGAGCACCGGGGCCTCGGACGTCTTGTCCTTGCCCTTTGCCTCCTGGGCAGCCGAAAGGGGCTCGCCGCAGCGCAGCACATGGCTGACGAGCACCGGGCAGAAGCGCGGGAGGTCGTCAGCCGGCGTTGAGGCGAGACGGCGGCATAGCACGCGCAAATCTGTTGGAACAGACATTTTCGCGGTTGATTGCCAGCGGAAAAAAATGGAGAAACACCTGTGATTTTGTTAGAACAGGGTGTTTATTGGGAAATTAGGAGGCTCAGTATTCGTTCAATAATATTCTGTTTTTGTGAAGTTTGTCATGCTGAAGTGAAGGTAGGAAAAAAGAAAACAAGACCGAAAGACTGAAAAAAAGGTGTTGGACGACGACCGTGATGATACACAGATGAGGGCTCGTACACAAACCAATAAGCGTCGCAACGAACCCAGAGAGATCAGGTACTCACCGCCGAAGAGATGCAAGTTTGTAGAGTCTGGGAATGCCTGTTGTCTTTCTCTCAGAATTCGAATGGCTGTTCCTCGAAATAACCTAGGAACAAGGATGCACTGGAACTCGTGAAGGCACTTCCCGTTCAAGAAACTTTTTTTCGTCTCAGAAGGCTTGTTCCAGGCGGCAGGTACCGAGACAGCAGGGTGCGCAACCCACCTTTCACGCCAGTCCGTAACGACCCCTGCAATGCTCGAACGCCTGCTTAGAGCTGGCCAATCTCTAGCCGTCGTTGGCTGAGGAAATCGGGGCCCGGCATCATCGCGTCGGCACCCCCAAATCCAATCCCAAGTTTTTGCCCGTGTCCGCTACACTAGCAACCACCTCCCTCAGGTCCATAGCTTTGCCGTCGTGGCTCTACATGCGCCTCGTTTTACTCCGTAATAAGGTATTGTTATCCTTCCCGTCCTCCACTCCATCTTCCAGCTTGGCCAACGTCTCTGTGCTCTTCTTACATTAGTCTGTTCGTTGTTGACAATTCCCACTGAAAGCCTCCCGTCTCTCAGTCCCCATCCCACCTCCCCTCCCCAAATTTAGTTCGCGCACCTGCCCGCACCGCCATCTCGAGAATGCTGCGTCCGCATTCCCCTGGCTGTAAAAACAAGTCATCGTAGTGCGTGCCTGCTTGCAATACTCCAGAAAATATGGTAAACCAACCTGGCACCTCACACCCCCGCCCTCCCCTCCCTGGCCGCTCCTCCAAAGTCGAAGTCGCTAACTCAAAATGCTGTCCCGCCCGCCAATTAGCCCGACGCAGTAAAAGCTGCGCATTACCTGCAACAGCTCGACGATGCCCGCTGTGAGGAAAACTGGGATGCCGTGCCCGAACTGGTCCGCAAGGTGCGGAAGCATGCTCCCAATCGGTCCTGTAAGTTCGGCAAAGGCGCCATTCCGCCCTCTCAACTAGCACTGACACTGACCGTCGCTTGCACCGAACAGGCCTCGCGTTGACCGCTCTCGCCGAACGAGTCATCACCAAGGCTGGCAAGAAGACAGGCGAGCGCCCGTCGACTGCTGGCGACACGGCCGGCCTCGACATCTCGAACCACTTGCCCGACCTCCTCGGCGGAATCGAGACCGAAGACGAGTTCCCCCAAGACCGGTTCCAGGCCAAAGTCTGCGTTGGCTGGGCGCACTGGGTCCTGAAGGACTACGCCCTCGCCTTGTCTCGCCTGCCCAGGAACTTCGACAAGGAATACCCCCTATACGATGGTCTCGACGCCCTCTCCGAGTGGACTATGGTCTGCGCCCTCAAGTCGTCGTACCTCCGCGCAAACTGTCTGGCGCGCGGTGGACAGCGCGACAAGGCTCTCGAGGCCTTCGAGTCGGCCCTGCCCTCGCTCGCCGGCGTCTGGACTACGAAGCCTGCTCGCCAGCAGCTGCGCTACTGGGCCGAGCTGTTTCTGACAGAGTACTGCATGTTGGCCGGCCAGGCAGTCCGCGACAAGGAAAAATCGCTCTCCACGTCCAACTGTCTCGCCTCCTTCCGCACCTGGTCCAGGTACTGGGCCGGCAGCAAAGGCGGCCCGCTTCCAGGGGGTCACGGTTTTCGAGGGTCTGTGCCTAGGCGGCAAGTGTGGTCCGAGTATTACTTTGCTCTATCCGAGATCCTCCGGCAGGACCTGCCCTTCCCCACCGGCCACTCTCCGCCCAACAACGAGGTTTCCGCTAGGAACCAGCTACGCGCCGAGCTCAAGAAGGTCGAAACCATCTACCAGGGCCTGCTTTTCACCGAGACCCGGTTTCCCAGGGCCGACGAGCAGAGAGCCGAGGTGGAGGAATTTGTTCACCGCATCATGAGCAACTGGGCCATCCTGAACGGGCGCGGATGGAAGGAACAGGACCTCGGCGCGGGCGGTCGGGAGTCGCTCAGCCACGGGGTCCTCGACACGCTGTACGGGGCTGCGACAAAGACGTACCACTCGACAGCCGTTCTGCGCCATCTCTTCACGGTCCACCTGGCCGTTGCCGAGTTCGACCTCGCTTTCATGTCCTTCAACTCGTGGTTGGAGCTCGTGAAGAAGGGCAAGATAAGAGTCGAGACGACTGGCCACTACGAGCCCGCCCTCGACGACGACGGGACCATGCTCGAGACTATCTCCGCCTGTATCGCGGCTCTATGCCGATACGGCAGTATGGATGCTGCGGAAAAGGCGCGCGGCCTAGCTGCTGAACTCGAGACGTGGATCGAAAAGTTTGCACGCGCCGAAGAAGGCTTGAAAGTGACTGGGACTGAGGTGTCGCCCAAGATATTCGCGCTGGCGTGGCAGTCTGCCGGGCTAGCACATGCCCAGTGGGCGCGGATGACCTTTGACTCTGAATCCAGGACGCAGATTCAGGAGAAGGCCGTTCAGTGCCTGCGCAAGTCACTGTCTCCCGAGTTCGGCTCGATTGTCGACACTAGGGGCGTGTTTGCCCTCGGATTGCTCTACGCCGAGCAGCGGAAGCTGTCGGTGGCAATCGAACTGGTCAAGACGGCCCTGCTCACAGACAGGGCTGTCGGGGAGAACGAGGTGCTGTGGAACGGGCCGTACTGGCGAGAGCGGTCGCTCGTTCCCCTCTGGCATCTTCTGGCGCTTATGCTGAGCGCGCGCCAGGAGTACCTGCTGGCTTCCCGGGCTTGCGAGGGAGCGATGGAGCAGTTTAAGGATCCGTTTGTCCTCTTCGGGAGTAAGGGCCTAAGTGGACCTTACCGGAGCGACCATTTGAACGGCGCGGGCGCCAGGGACGCCGCATCTGGTGGAGACGGCCTCGTCGACGAGATGGACGACTACGAGAAAGAGGGCATTCTAGAGATTAAGATGACCCAGCTTGCCCTTATCGAGCTCGTCGACGGGCCCGCGGATGCGGTCAACGCCAGCACCGAGCTTCTTACGCTATTTCCCAGGCTCTTTGGCGAGGTGGAAGAGAAGCTGGATTTGAACCCGAAGCTGGAGCCGCCCAAAAGCTCGGCTACTACGTTGCGGAGCTTTAGGGGGAGCGTGTTTGGTACCCGGTCCGAGAAGTCTGGGCGCGCGCGGCAGAGTGTGCTGAACGAGAAGATGGAGACGATTCCCTCGAGGCCTCAAACCATGCAGACAGTCCAGAGCATGGCCACGACGGCGCCGACCGTCCAGGCTAGCAGCGAAGTGCAGGACACGGACCCTCGCTCGAGCCGGAGGTCGCAGAGGTCGGAGAGCGTCAAGAAAAGGAGCGAGTCCGGCAAGAGGAACAGTCTCCGCAAGAGGAACAGCAACGTGAGCCGGCACCGGGCCGTGAGCAGCGCCGGGGCCGACCCCGACAAGTTTTTAACGCCGTTTGACGAGGTCAACCTGCCGCAATTCTTTACCTCTGGTAAGACCCCGGGGTATGAGACGCTGGTGCCGGGGGGCTTGCGCAAGTCGGCCTCGAATGCATCGTCGCGGCTGGGGAACACCGACCCGACAGAAATCCCGGTCGGCGGCGTCGAGTCCTTCTCGCCGCTGCTGCCGTTTGTCCAGTTTCCTCAGGGCCAGAGCTGGAGGAGACGCAAGGCGCTCCTTGTCAAGGTCTGGCTGGTCATTGCCGGCTTCTACCGCAGGGCGGACCTGCTCGGCGATGCTCAGAAGGCGTGCGCAGAGGCACACAAGATTGTGCAGAGCTTGGAGGCCGACGTTTCGACCGACACCTCGGGCGCTCTCTCGGTGAGGCAGGTCGGCTGGGGCGAGCAAAAGAGCGTCGAGGAGCTCTCGGCCGATGTATGGGCGGTGGTAAGCATATTCCCTTCTGTGTCTTGTTTGATTTTATTTTGGATTTGTTCTCTATTATATGTTATGAATGCAAATTTTGGGGTGACCGGGCTGACAATATGCAACAGAAAGCCGAGCTGTCACTGGCACGCGAGAGGCCGTACCAGGCATGCGCAGATTTCGAGGCTGCGCTTACTCACTTCCCTGACCACCCGGCGGCCTCGGTCGGGCTCTCGAACATTCTGATGGACATTTACTCGGAGGACCTGCTCCCAAGCCTGGCATTTCCCGGGCTCGACTTGTGGGGCGCTTCTTCCCATGGCGCGCCGTACATGCCTAGCTCGAACACCAATGGCTCATCCTCTACCATCACGGTGCCGGTCCGCTCCAAGGCCGACAAGTTCCCGGTGCTGCCGTCGGAGCCGCTCGGCCTCGTGACCACCAAGGCTAAGGAGCCGGAGGAGCAGCCAAAGGCGAACGGGAAGCCGTTCTCGGCATTCCCATCGAAATCTGTCGCGCCTGACGCGGAGCTGCCGCCGCTCCACAAGGCAACGTCGCTGCCGCTTCTCGACCGGCTGGCGGCGAGAGACCGAGCGTATGGGCTGCTGTCGGGGCTGACGAAGCGCGGGTCCGGGTGGAACAACTCGGAGGCGTGGTTCGCGCTGGCGAGGGCCTACGAGGAGAGTGACCAGCTGGACAAAGCCAAGGACGCGCTTTGGTGGTGCGTCGAGCTCGAGGAGGGCATGGGCATCAGGGAGTGGAGCTGTGTCGGCGCGGGGGGGTACGTCTTGTGAACGTCTTGTGAGGAGGGAGAAAAATATAATGTTTCCTTTTTTCAGGTGCAGCTAATTTACGTCATTTTTTATTCTGGTTATTAGTTTTAGACTTGCACGGCTAGCTAGCTATGGTCTGAGAAGCGTGCAGAAAATATCTTTGTGGCAAGTGGAAGTATTTATTCGCTTGGAATATACCTACCTACCTATCTACTTAATTATGGGTGTTTTTGTTTGTGTCTTGCCCCTTTTTCATCCGTACCTAGCCAGCGCAAAAAAGGGAGACTGGAAAATTAATTGTGATTATTCATTGAAGCAAGCCAGAGGTACAAGCAAAAAAAAAAGCGTAATTACCCACAGGGCAAAAGAATATTCTCCTCGACCGGAATCGAGCCGGTGACCTTTCGGTATACAAATTGTCATTTACAGCCGAACGTGATAGCCAACTACACCACAAGGAGGAGTTAATTTGTTTTCGCTGTAGACGATGGTCAATAATTCGTCTCTTGGCTGGGTAGGTGGTGTCTTAATTACCCCACCTTGGAAAGTTGAACTCTCGTTCTGCCAACCTGCTGCTCTGTTGATCGTTGATTCTATATTTTGACGGGAGACTTGCATGCATTGAGTGAGTGAGTTAGTTACCAGTGAGGCTAATTCACTGCAAAATTGAGCGATCGCCACGCAAGGCTAATAACTCGCACTGCATTCTATCGCATCGCAATTCAAAGGAAGCACAGCAAGCATAAATACACTGCACAACACATAGCAAAACCTCTGAACGGGTTTATAAGGAAAACGATGCTCCCGCTCGAGCTCACCCTCGTGCTTGCCGCGACGCGCGACATGGGCATCGGCCTCAACGGCACGCTGCCGTGGACAGGCCTGAAGAAGGAGATGGCCTATTTTGCGCGCGTCACGAAGCGTGTGCCACCATCATCACCACCACCATCAGTATGTTTGCCCCACCATCATCCCATCACATTATGAAGCTATTGTAATTCTCATCCCAGGTAAACTGACTAGGAGATACTCTAGCAACAACAACAACCGGCTCTCAACGCCGTCATCATGGGCCGCAAGACATGGGACAGCATCCCGGCGCGCTTCCGGCCGCTGCGGGGCCGGCTCAACATTGTCATCAGCCGGAGCGCGCCACTCCTCCTATTTCCTAGCGCCACTGCTGTAGAGAATGCCGAGACAAATGTCGTCGTCATGGCGCCGTCGCTCGAGCAGGCGCTGGCGTACCTGCAGCAGCAGCACACTTCCAGTTCTCCATCTCATTCTCGTAATAGTAGCAGTGAAACAACACTAGGAAAGATCGGGCGCGTGTTCATCATCGGCGGGGCGCAGATGTACGACGCGGCGCTGGCGCTGCGCGAGACGCGGCGAATCCTGCTCACGCGCGTGCTGACGGATTTCGCGTGCGACACGTTTTTCCCACTGGCAGCGCTACAGCAGAATGTGAGTAATGGTGATGATGGCGAGAAGAAGAAGAAGATGGCGGGGGTGGAGGAAGAGATGCAAGAGGTTGAAAGAGAAGGGGGAGAGTGGAAGCGCCGCGGGCAGGCAGCGTTGGACGCGTGGGCGGGCGAGGCGGTGCCGGCGGGAGTGCAGGAGGAGAACGGCACGCGGTACGAGTTCCAGATGTGGGAGCGCGACTGAAACGAAGAATAAATGGCTTCTAAGAGAAAATAATGATAGCTATTATTATTATTATTATGGCTGTGGTGGGTTTTCTAAGAACGCTGGCTACGGAATAGATGGATGTATGTATGTATATCGGGGCATTGACATGTTACTATCTGGTGTGATAATAGAATAGAAATGGGCGGAAGACAGCCCCTTTTCTTTCCCAATATTTGCTACAAGAATCTCCATCCCAGCGGTTTCGTCTTGGTAGTTTTAGTTGTACAATAAAGTATATACATGTGCACTAGTGGTGATTCCCCCTTTTACTGCCTGTCTAAGATCGGTAGTGGTACATATTTTTTTCATGACCGAGACGCGCACAACAGATGCGCCGAGCTGAGCGAACCGACCTGCTATTTACTTATTTCTTGACCGCAGCGCCAGCGGCAGACTCAGGCACAGCAGCCGCCGACGACGACAGCCCCGTGGCGAGCCTATCCACCGTAGCCAGCTCTGCGCCAGCAGGAACCTCGGCAAAGACGCGCTCGCCTCCCGTAAGCAGCTCAACATCATCCATGCGCTCGAACTGAACCAAACAGGCACGAATCCAGCTCACGACCGCCGCAAGCGCACGCAAATCCACGTCGGCGCGGGCCTTGTACAGGTTGCGCCAGACGGCCGAGGCGAGCATGGCGTCGCCGCGGACGAGGCCCTCGTCGTAGGCCAGCAGCAGCCCGCGCCACTGCACGAACAGGTCGCGCAGGAAGCGCTGGCGCACGCCGCCCGACGCCATGGCGTGCGCCACCACCATGCGCTCCTCGGCCGCCGCGAAGAAGTGGTCGACCAGCTGCGACTGCCACCGCGCGTGCACGTCGCGGTCGTCGACGCACCGCATGCGCACCACTAACAGATACATGTGCAGCATGCTAACCTGCGCCCACGTGCTGAAGGTCGGGGGGAGGTCGAAGTCTGGGGATGTGTCAGTAAATATTACATTTTCTTTTTTATAAGAAGAATTATTAACAGACGACGTACCCTTGTGCCACACGCCACCGCCGCCCACGCCAATCTCCTCGCCATCAGCCGCCGTCGGCACCGTCTCGGCCTTGCGGTCGGCCGCGCTGATGGAGTAGTCGGCCTGGTGGGCGCAGGCCGCGGCGAGGCGCTCTGTGGCCTTGTACGAGGCGTAGGAACCCACCACGGCCGACTTGATCGACTCGTCTCCCGGCCGCCGCACCGCCGACGCGAACTTGCTGGCGAGGCGCTGGGCGAAGCCTCCGGCTCCTTCCTCCTTTGTGGCGGCAGCAGCAGAATCACTGCCGCTGGCCTTGGGCCGCTGCTGCTGCTGCTGTTGCAGGTGACGCGCCGCTGGTGTGGTGTGGAGGCCGCGCGCGCATGACGGTGGTGGTGGTGGTGGTCGTGCTGGCGAGGATGTGGATGCGGACACGACGGACCGTGGTGTTGATTCGACAAAGGGCTGTTGCTGTCGCAGAGACGGCACCGGCCGCCGTGGCAGCCGGCCGAGGCTCGAGCTGCAGCTGCGGCAAGCCATTGCGTGGTTGTCGTCGCGCTGGGTTGGGAGGCTGAGGTTGTTCGGATCGGCAGGTGGTGAGCTGTGCGCTGTGCTCTGTGCTTCGTGCAGCTGCTGTGAATTATTAGCTCCCCAGGTCTTTTCGTCATGCATGGATCATCAATTTTAATCGTTAAAGATTCAGGGTTAGGGTTGAGAGTGTAAATTGAACATCAGGAGAAGGGGCGAGATCCGTCTTCACGATGCAAGGAAATTCGAATATTGTCTATCTTAGACAGGGATCTAGATGTAGACAGTTTACCACCATAATACAAATATGTACAAGCACACACATATATATACAGACAGCCCTTCCTACTAATTACACAGCATCGACAGCTTCTAGTCTAGCTCGGCAAAGACTAGGCTCGCGTTTGTGCCGCCAAAGCCAAAGCTGTTGGACATGGCCACCTTGACCTGCTTGTCCTGCGCCTGGAGGGGCACGAAGTTGAACCGCGGGCCCACGCTCGGGTGGTGGAGATTTAATGTGGGCGGAAGGGCATTCTACGAGCGAGTTGAATATCAGCTGTCCGTCCCATTCCAAAAAAAAAAATAAGTTCTTACGCACCTCGGTTATGGCGAGGACGGCAAACAGGGCCTCGATGGCGCCAGCGGCCCCGAGCAGGTGCCCCACGGCGCCCTTGGTGCTGCTGACGGCGACGCTGGCCTCATCGTCGACGCCGTGGTCGCCCATCATCAGTGAGCGGATGGCGGCGGCCTCGGCGGCGTCGCCGACGTGCGTGCCCGTGGCGTGGGCGTTGATGTAGTCGACGCGGGCGGGCGCGATGGCGGCGTTGGCGAGCGCGCGGCGCATGGCCAGCAGAGCGCCCGAGCCGTCCTCGCGCGGCGCCGTCATGTGGTACGCATCGCCGCTGCACCCATAGCCGCGCAGCTCGGCAAGCACGCGGGCGCCGCGGGCGCGCGCGTGGCCGAGCTCCTCGAGCACCATGACGGCGGCGCCCTCGGCGACAATAAAACCGTCGCGGTCGCGGTCGAAGGGGCGGCAGCTGGCGTGCGGCGCGTCGTTGTATGCCGTTGACAGCGACCGCGACCGGCCGAAGCCGGCAAAGGTCAGCGGATGGATGCACGACTCGGCGCCGCCGGCCACCATAACGTCGGCGTCGCCGAAGGCGATGAACCGCGACGCGTCGCCGATCGAGTGCGCCCCCGTCGTGCACGCCGTCGTCGCCGCGTGGTTCGGCCCCCGGAACCCGTGCCGCATCGCCACGTGGCCCGCCGCCATGTTGATCAAGATCCGCGGCACGAACAGCGGCGACACCTTCTTGTAGCCCTAGAAGTCATGGTTTAATAAAGATGATTTGCGGTAGTGGAGATTAAAAATGGAGTGAATCTTACGCCTTTCTCGTACGCCACACTGGTCGAGTAAAAGTCGTCGAGGCTACCGATGCCACTGCCGAGACACACGCCGGTGGCCTCGAGGTCGGCCATAGCGGTGGGCTTCCAGCTGGCGTCGGCGAGGGCCATGTCGGCGGCGGCGGCGGCATACTGGGCGAATTGGGACATGCGCCGCTGGTCCGTGGCGTCGAGCCAGTCGGCGGACCTCCACGCGTCATCATTTTTGGTGGTGGTGTTGGTATCCCGGGGGACGAGGCCGGCGGCGGTGCTGGTCAGGCCGCGCCACTTTGCCTGAGGCTCGAGATGGCTGGCGCTGACAATGCCTGAGTCGCCTGCTAGCAGTCGTCGCCACGTCGCGCGCACTCCGACCCCCAGCGGCGAGATCGCGCCCAGGCCCGTCACTACAACTCGGCGCATTATGTTGATATTTCCATGTTTCTAGCTTTTCGGCCAGACGTTAGATAGAATGAGGCGTGAGGGTGCATACCTTACCTTAGCCCGCCGAAAACCGAACCAATGCTTGGCATTACATCGATGGGTACTAGACCCACTACTGCAAAGCCCTGATACGCCCTAGAGACTTTTGGGCGGGTTGGCGGGGTACATTTCATCCCCCAATTCGTTATAATGCAACGACACTTCTTTCACCAAAGTTAGAGTCAAAGTGCAACCACCTATTTCAGTCCTGCCCAGTCGGGTGCTGTTTAAATAATACCCGTTAGAAACCGTCTTAATTCAACCGCCTCAGCTTTTGATGGTTGCGGGCATTCTGTTGTAACCCCCCTAGAATCGGACAGCAGTGGCCATTCACGGTCTCGGGAACCACCGTCACACAGCAGCAACGAGGCGGTTAGTCTTTCGCATTGTACCCGCTGTGGAGAGGCGCTCATGTGTAGTTGTACAGTACAGCACCAAGTAGGGTAAAGAGTGAAGCTGTGGACAACAGCCCTTTTGAACCATGTCCCTGGGCGGATGGCCCTCGCGTCGAACTTCCGGGAACAAGCATGCTTTACTGTGTATATAGCTGTTCAAATGGGAGAGAGGGAAAAAGAAAATTGGACAATAGAGAGAATTGGCACGAAAGAAACACCAACAAGTACCCGTACCTTGTACTCAACGATACTCCGTCCCCGCTTAACAAATGAACAAGAGGAAATCCAGACACTATTCCTTTTTTTCCCTTGATCCACGAAGCTCACCCAGTGTGTTTGGAAATGCAGATTCGCTGCTCGCCCTTCAACCTACCAAGTCCTGCAGCTCCCGTGCCCTGGCTATGCTCCTCGTGGTGGGCCGCTGCGCCCTGCTTGACGATGTTCGTTTGGATACACCTGTGGGTTGAGACAACGCGCGGCGACCACCCCGTACCGATGGGCGGCCTCTCGTCGCCCTTTTGCCTGACTTTGCAGATTTTGCGGACTTGACAGAGCCTCCATTTCTGGATTTTGGAAGCGCCACTTGACTCGGGGTTGTCTGTTGTATCTGTGATATCTGCGGTATATGTGGTATGTGTGGTATGTGTGGTATCTCTGATATCTGTGACATCTGTGGTGTGTGTGGTGTCTGTGTATGAGGCTGCAAAGAGTCAGAAATTAATTGGGCAAATGTTCGTGTCCAATCCATGTGCGCCGCCAAGCCTGAGATTGTCCTTTCGCTTGCCAGACTCGCCGACGATGATCCCGCCAAGCTTGCCATTGTGACATCGGATTGCGAGGGTTGTAGCACAGGGGGAGTGGATTGTCGGGCAGTGAAGCTACCAAGGAGCTGAAAAGCCCTTGGGCGTTGTTGGCAAGCATAGATGCAAATTCAGGGTAGTGCTCGTGCAGGTTGCTCCGAAGTTTTTTAAGCCATTGCTCCAACGGCGGCCGCCCGTTTGGGGCTCTGAGTTCTGCCAAACACTCGCACCAAGTGAGAATATATCAAGCTTGGACGTTTCCTCCTCATTTCCCAGGACAACCTCAGGTGCCGCGTACCACGGCGTCCCGATCCCAGTCCTTGACGTGTCGACAACCTTCGCAATGCCAAAGTCAGTCAGAAAGAACTTTTCGCCTAGGATGCCTTTGTAAAGTATGTTCGCAGGGTTGATGTCTCGATGAATGGCAGGTGGGTCGTGCGAGTGGACATAATGAAGTGCGCCCAAGACCTGAAAGAGCATCCGCTTGGTCATTTCTTTCGTCGCTTGCAACCCTTCATGTTCCCATTGCGGTATCGAGGCATGGAGGCTGCCTTCGTAGATTGGCATAAAGATTTCAATCTCCTGGCTTTTGAAACCCTGGCATTGCAAATATGGCACAATATTCTCCTGAGACGGTGGATGGCCTGGTAAGTATGATAAGAAAAAAAAGAAAAAAGGGGGGGGAAGGCTCACATGTTTCAGTTGCCGAACTAAATTCACTTTCTTTTCAACTTTCTCCCTGAGACACAAACCGGGCTCGCCCGCAAAGACAAATGGCAGGCGAACAGCACTACAACGAGACAGAAGTCGGCCCAAGACGGACAAAAAGATGTGGACAAGCCGGAGGCTCGCGGGCAAGTTGCCCGAGTTCGGGATGCTCTAGCCCGATGTGAAGCGTGGCTACGGTACAAAGCTTCTCGCAACACGTTTTGGTGACTGTCGACTGTTGCAAGACTTGAGGAAAGATCAAGAGACATTCCAAGTCTAAAAACTCGGTCTGAAGAGTCTAAACAGACTTGAAGAGCTGTGAAGCTCTTTCGAAGACCTGACTCGTTCCACGTTTTCCGTTCCAAAACGTTACCCAGCCCAAACGGTTAAATGAGCCGGTCCGCGTGGTTTGAGATGTGACGTCTGAGGAGGCGCATGTTTGGCGCGATTGAACGGCTTTCAACAGCAACCAACCTAGAGGTCGCTGGCCACCAACAGCCGCATCTCCAAACCCAAACATTCTGCATCAAACACCGACATTAACAAAGTGGGGTCTGGCTATGCCCATGATCCCAGACACAAGAATTCCGCATCGCAATTCTCAACATGAATCCTTGATAGTGGGGGTTGGGTCTGCCATTCCCAAAAACCCGGGCGCATCCACTACACGGTGCGGAAGAACAAGGCGCCGCACGTTTCTGGCCGCACAACTCCTATTCAGAGTTTTGCAGCCTCAATCTTTCGCGTCTGCCAGTGGTATTCACCTTCGTCCAGTTCATCTCTTAGTTACCCGAACGACTCGTGATTCAAGGTATGTATCCCAAGTTGATCCAAGGCAAATTGCCCTATTTTCAAGACACTGACGGCGCAATTTTTTCTCCAGATGATTGAGCCATCTCTCAAGGCGGTTAGTGTTTTGATTCCATAGCTCTGTCGCACTGAAACCGAGAGCACTTCTCGACGCTGCCAGGAATCCATAACTGACACAACTATAGTTGGCATCCACCTTCAACTGCGACAAGCAAATATGGTGCGTTTTCCCCCATCCGAACTGTTTCTCACCAAATTTCCCCTCTTGGGCGTGGAAGAGTCTACAACATGCTCCCCACTACCCCGCGACTTTACCTTTCACGTCTTACCGATGTCTATCTGCTTGTCCAGAATGCTAATGGCCGTCATGCCTGCAGTCGCAAATGTCGGTATACCTCGCTTTGCTGGTCAACAGAGTTAGATATCTAATATGTCGGTATAGGTTACGCACGCCTGCCACCCCGTGCTACCAACTGCCGTAAGCGCAAGTGCGGCCACACCAACCAGCTTCGCCCCAAGAAGAAGTAGGCATCCCCGGTCATGGTGGTTTTACGTTATCCAGCCGCAGGAGACTGACTCACAATCGCAGGCTTAAATAGACGGATCACACGATATATGGGGCCGAAACCGTCATTCTCGTCGTCTAATTCTTGCATTCTTTGAGAAGGGGGAACAGACGACGGCGTAGTTGTTCAGCAAGTGGATTGGCCAAAGGGCCGCCGGGAAGAAAGCAGGCTCTCGCGAGTCTGCTTTACACTGGATATAATTTCTGTTTTGAGCATCAATATCAACGAATCGGTACCATGTGAGACTCTGTACCATGTGAGACTCTGTACCATGATGCCACATTGGAACGTGATGACTTGGATTGCGCGCGCCGTGTATGCGCGGGTGTTGGGCTTGTTGAATGTTTTTATATTCCATGGATGCGACAGGTCCCAAGAAAAGGAGAGCTGCAGAATCCGAGGTGCCGACGGAAGGGAACAATTTAACTGCATGGGGTTTAGCGCGCTGCACGAGACTCCCAGGGGTTATCCGCCCGCCTGGGTGCCTCGAATCTCCAATTCAGCCGCCTTTCGGGTTACAACGGCGGGCAAGCGAGGGGCCGAGACTCGCACCCCGAGAGAGGACAAAGGTTCGCGTTTCGAGCTATCTTGAAATGGGACACCTGGCCAGAACGTTGCCGTTATTTGGTACTGGGGAGGGGGTTGCATGCCATCGGGGTCGGCAAACACTGGTGTCAAACCCTCTCATAAAGGCTCTGATATTGACCACGGGCGTTTTAGATTTTGAGGTTTATTTAGGGCTCTGCTGGTATCCGGATCGGTTGCATACAGCCTTGCGCATGTTGGGTTAGGTTGGTTGCATGAGCCTCCGCGCTCTCACCCTCTCACAACTTGAGACACTGAGACGGAGCAGCGTGGGGGTGCTGGTGGCCCGTGCCGAAAGTCCACTAGTCATCAACCCGTAATCCATTGGAACGTTCGACTACGTATCCATACACTTTAGTACTGTAGCGCTTTGCCAATGCCATGTGCTGACTGCTGCGTGTTTCTGTTTCTGGGAAAAGGTGTCACCTTACAAAGAGCAGAGCGTTGATGCTGGCTTTTTGAAAGAACCTGACTTACTAAGAAGCAGCAACGACTCAGCTAAGACCGGCAATAGCTAACCTGCGCTATTCATCTGACGACTTTCCCCGTGCGGCGCATTTTCATCCTGACCCCGATTTTCATTCTCACCCCAACACCACACTGCACCCATACCCGAGATACCAAACCCGAAATAAGCTTTGATAAACGTTTCCGTGGCTTTGATTTTGATCGTCGGCCGCCTGCGTGCCACGGAGCCGGTTATCAGCAGATACCACAAATATAGCCTGTCTCGGAGGGTGAAGAGCCACTGAGACCGCCACACAGCACATCAATTGCTGCCATAGCGCCCCTTGGTTTCAGACCATTGTCCATACACATCACACACCAGACATCGCAGGCCGCGCCGGCGTCGTCGTTTTTTTGGTGGTGGTGGTGCAGATGGCCGTGGCGCACTTCAGCCGCCTTTAACAGTATCGAGCCACACGCATTGACGCGATCGCCAGTTGGGCCCTCGGCATCCAAGACTTCCTCGCGTAGTGAGCTATGCCTTGACGCCTGCCGGGCTCCCCTTGACACTTCCAGCCCGCCGCCGGTTATTCCTGTCGTCGGCCCAGCGAACGCACCAAGTCCAGGCCGCCCAACGCGTAACACACCCTCGCGTCGTGCAGCAGTAGCAGCACTGCACTCTCCGTCTCTGGCCCGCCCTCGTCGCGACTGACTACTGCAGCCGGACGTGGTGGTGTTGCCCAGCTTGATGGTCGCTCTGGGACCGCCGTCCCAGGTTACCCCCTCCCCCCTTTTCCGTCTCTCGCCCGTGGTCACTTGGATAGCACCCCACCCCATATAGTTCGCTCTGCTTCCATGCCAGCCTTCAAGTCATCGGATCCTTGGTCGTTCTTTACTCTGTTTGGGACCGTGCAGCACAGCACCCATGGCCCAACCATCCCGCTCCACGTCGTCGTCTGGCACGACGATTGGAGTCACGATGGGAGACGACGACCAAGACTGGGACTTGAAGGCGACAGCTGAAGTAGGCGAGCCGGAGATGGCGTCCGGCGCAACAGGGAAAGAGACGGCCGCGTCAGCCTCGAAAGAGCCGCACCATCTTAGCCCTGTTGACGACCTCAAGGCCCGCCTCTCCATGTGGGGTGAGTCTTCCAATGCCCGGCGCAATGGTGATGACGATGAGGAAGAAGATGAAGGATCAGAGTACGAACCTTTCTTAGATCCGAACATGCCAGAAGAGGACCAGCACCGCCTCCGCACTTTCAGTACCCGCGGGTCGACGAGCTTCGACGACGACGAGGCCGGCCTCAAGCAGGCCGAGGCCGAGGAGGAGGACTCGCCTTACCCCGAAGTCCGTGCCGCCGTCCGCAACTACGACGAAGAGATGCCCTGCAACACCATCCGCGCCTGGACCATCGGCCTGGCCCTGATCTTCCTCGGTGCCTCCATGAACACGCTGTTCTCGCTGCGGTCCCCCTCCATTGGGCTCGGCGCCCTCATCGCCCAGGTCATTGCGTGGCCCCTCGGCCACGGCTGGGCAAAGGTCATGCCCAACAAGCAGTTCACCACTTTTGGCATCCGCTGGAACCTGAACCCGGGGCCGTTTAATATCAAGGAGCACTCCATCATTGTAGTCATGGCCAGCGTCTCTTTCTCGGTCGCCTACGCCACCGACATCATTCTGGCCCAGGTGGTATTCTATAAGCAGGACTTTGGCATCCCCTTCCAGCTGCTGCTCACAATATCGACACAGTCTCTGGGCTACGGCATTGCGGGCATGATGAGGAAGTTTCTCGGTTAGTTTGGACGAATCAAGATTTAGTCTTGCGGCAACACTTGCTGACTTGTGCGCAGTGTACCCTGCTTCCATGATCTGGCCCGGTAATCTTGTGTCTGTGACGCTAATGAATGCAATGTACGAGAAAATTGACATCAAGGACCACGCCGTCATCGGCGGCTCCATGCCCCGGTACAGGTGGTTCGGCATCATCACCCTCTGCGCCTTCGTCTACTATTTCATCCCCGGCTTCCTCGCCCAGTTTCTGAGCTCGTTCGCGTTTCTGACGTGGCTCGCTCCGAACAACCCCGTGGTGAATCAGCTATTTGGCTACTCGACCGGCCTGTCTATGCTTCCCATTACGTTTGACTGGACCCAGATCTCGGGGTTCGTTGGATCTCCTCTGATCCCGCCGTGGTAAGTCTACATCTCTTGGCATGTTACTTCTGTAGCGAAGCAGCTGAAGTAGACTGCTAATGTGGTTATAGGCATGCAATTGCGAACACCATGATTGGCGTTGTCGTCTTTTTCATCTTTTTCTCCTCTGTACTTCACTATAGCGGGACCTGGTATGCTCAGTTCCTGCCAATGAGCGACTCCAGCACCTACGACAATACGGGAGGCAGATACAACGTGTCTCGGATCCTGACCCCCGAGTTCACGTTGAACGAAGAGGCTTACAAGAACTACTCGCCGCTGTTTCTCAGGTACGCCCTAGTTAACACACCCTATCTAGCTTTTTGGGTGTGTGTTGACAAAAGAGCAGCACGACGTTTGCCATGTCGTATGGACTGTCATTCGCCGCAATCACGTCGCTTATTGTCTACACGTACCTGCACCATGGACAGACCATCTGGCGGCAATACAAGAACAGCACCACTGAAAAGCCAGACATTCACATGAAGCTAATGAGGAAATACAAAGAGGCGCCAACGTGGTGGTACATGTCGCTTTTCACTGTCGTAAGTTGTAGTCTCGGGCTGTGGGCCGCGACATGATTTTCCCGAGACAGATCTAATGCTAACGCGGCATGCCAGATGCTCGGACTGGGTTTTGTCACCATCCTCGGGTGGCCTACCAACTTGTCCTGGTGGGCGTTCCTGCTGGCCGTCTTCATCTCGTTTTTCTTCTCGCTGCCGATCGGCATCATCCAGGCCGTCACGAATAACCAGATTGGCCTGAATGTCGTCACCGAGTTTGTGTACGGCTACATCCAGCCCGGCAGGCCGCTGGCGCTAATGATGTGAGTTGTGACCCATTTTTTGTGAGAAACTGTGCTAATGGTTGCTTAGCTTCAAAACATTTGGATATATCACCATGGCCCAGGCGTTGAACTTTGTTTCGGATCTCAAGTTTGGGCACTACATGAAGATTCCTCCACGGACCATGTTCATGTCACAGGTCGTCGCCACGACATTCTCGTGTTTCATCCAGATCATGGTCCTGAACTACGCCCTGAAGTCGATCCCCGAGGTCTGCACGCCGACGCAGGCGGAGCACTTTACCTGCCCCGGAGGACGCGTCTTTTTCTCTGGTAAGTGTCTGCAGACTTGGCTGAGAGATACACGATGGGGAAGCGGTGCTGACAATTTTGTAGCCTCTGTCATCTGGGGCCTCATTGGCCCGGCGCGCATGTTCTCGCCAGGCCAGATCTACTCGGGGCTGTTCTTCTTCTTCATCCTGGGGGCGATCGTGCCCGTCATCATCTACTTCGCGGCTAAGAAGTGGCCCAAGTCGCCCATCAAGTACCTGATGGCGCCGCTGATCTTTGGCGGCGCCGGGTCAATCCCGCCCGCCACGCCGCTCAACTACCTCTCGTGGGGCATCGTCGGCTACATCTTCCAGTACCACATCCGCAACCGCTACTTTGGCTGGTGGAGCCGGCTAAACTTTTTGACGTCGTCGGGCCTGGACCTGGGCCTGGCGCTCAGCACCCTGGTCATCTTCTTCGCGTTTACCCTCAACAACGTCCAGCCGCCCGCGTGGTGGGGCAACGACGTCGTCACCACCACCATGGACTACCAGGACACGGCCATCCAGACTCTGGTGGCTGAGGGCCAGACGTTTGGGCCGACGTCGTGGTAGGTTTGGGGGGTTTGCTCTGTGAAGATGAAGAAACATTGTATGATAAAGAGATGAGGATGTGTAAATGTGTATGAAGTAATGAAGATGTTGTACAGAGGATAGTTTCCGAAAGTCTTGCGATGGCATCTTGGAATCTCTTAGGCTGGTTCTTCCTTGGCGTTGAGGAGTAAGTAGGTGGGCAGGATAACGGAGTAGTCTGAAGAGTTCAAAAAGATACAATTAAGACACCGGAATTTAATACTCGATCGCCGTAAAGTGGGCTCAATTCCCAGTGTATCTCGCACGCGGGGGAGCCTTCGGTGGGCTCCTGGCGCCGCCCTACTACTAGGTAACTAGCCTATAAAATGAATAAACTATCTGTGATTGAATAAGAAATAAATGTGTTGCAAGAGCAAAAAAAAGAAATAAAAAGAAATCGTATCTCTCCCGCCGGGAATTGAACCCGGGTCCCGAGCGGGGTCTTCGCCATGTGAAGGTGACAAGCTCATATACTGACCACTATACTACGGAAGATGTGCAAGTGCTGGAACACTTGTGTAGGGTTAGGGTTCGACGTAGGATAGGCTCTTGTTTTCGATTATACAGAGAATGACGGAGCGGAGTGAGCAAGCGTTCTGGCACCAACATATCTCAGTACGTTCGTTCTATTGTAGTTGTTTCGCAGGGGCTACCTATCTTATTCTCTCACTCTTATCGTATTGTACTGCATCATATTATCTAGATAAGTAGGTGCCTGCGGTAGATATATAGATGTTACGATCTTTTTTCCTTTATTTTTTCTTTATTTTTTTTATTTTTTTTATTTTTTTCTTCTTTTAATTCCCGTGCGTCGGACTGTACTAGACTCGGGAATTTTGCGCACCAGGCACACACACACATGCCAACATGTAATGCAAATGCAAACGCACGCCAATGTTGCATTTATACGGGCTATTACGACGATTACGTCTGTACGTGTACGATATTCTCCTTCGGCTGCTAACATTAGCTGCTGCTGCTGGCTCGGCTTGGCCCTTTTCTTTCCTTTCTTTCTCTCTGACACTCTTTCTAACGGAGGTCATTTTACGTGTCAGTCTTTAGTTTTCCAATTCGCAAGTGTAAGTGCAGACAGAAAAGAGGCAGTAATCTGATCTAGGGAGGTAGCAGTTAAGGTAGATAGATAATCACATATCACTTTTTAATTTATGTTTTGTCGAGCCTCGAGAGTCTGGACCGTCGGGACAGCGAAAGGGGTCTTGACCGCTGGTTTCCCAATACTCTCTCAAGTTTCAACCTGGGCTGTCAATTGATTAATATATCGAGAAGAGCAAATGCGCGTCTGCTTGTGTATTATTATCTTAATCCGTGACCCGTAGGCATATGCGCCTGTGCTGCCCATACAGCGCGATACATACATCATGTCTCGGGTTTGCTCTCTTGCCTTTTGGCGGTACTCTGGCTGAAGCGGGGTGGTGGTGGTTTAGCTAAGGAAGGTAACGTGGACCAAGACATCCCAGCAGTCGGTGCTCCGAAGACGGCGACTGACTTAATGCTGCTGCTGCTTGCTTGCTTATTGGCGACGAGGCGCGACATGATACGAATGAGACAGCACAGTCCAACACGACACGAGGACGCCTTGCTAGAACGGGCAGGTGAATGGATGGATGAGCGGACGACAAAGTCCAGGCAATTGGAATTGGTTATTGCACAGTGTGCGCACATGGTTTCTAGCAGTTTACGTAGTTGGTAATCTGGAGTTTGGAGTTGCATCTGGGCTGCCTTTTATTCTCTATAGGGAATGACTCCTCAAATAAAGATGACGATGACGACTGGACTGAGTACCAAAGCAGAGGAGGACCCAAATCACAATTACAAAAAAATAGCGAAAGAGAGAGGCTCGACCAAGAATTACATCCATAGTGAAAACAAAGGCACGAATAAAGTGCCATACCTCTGCGCTCCTCCGGCCTCGGTGCTCTGGTGCTGTAGTCTAGTCCGTCTCATCTAGTCTAGCAAAGAAGTCCCGGCTTTTTCCACATGTCCCCCCCATCGAACAAATAACAATGTGACTACGGAAAATATATATACGCACATCATCAGAACAGTAACTTACCCAGGTAGGGTACCAACCCCAAGCCCAATAATCCTTCCAGAAGGAATCCAGAAGGAACCGCCGCCGATCTAGCACGCATTACTGTCTGGGCGCTTACGTACCTAAGGTACTTGGGCAATTCTTCTTGGTATTTTAATCCAATCCCTGTTTGTTTGTTAGTGCGGAACTGCCGAGGTACCTTTTTTGCTTTTACTTTTTACCTCAACAACAGCGCATCGAATCTTTATCGAATAAAACCTTTTATTTAACTATTTTCTATTCATCTATTTATAATCCATCCTTTCCTCTATGCTACTAGCTTTTCTAGCCGTAAAATGGGAGATTCTTATGTTTTAGAGACTTGACCCCTACTCTAGTTCCGCGCTAACAAACAAACAAACAAATAAGGATTGGATTGTATTTTTCGTGATGTTGTACTCCGTAGGTAAGGTATTTTAAATACCTTCAAAGGTGGGGTTACGTCTTAATCTTTTGACAACCTAGCGAGCGAATCTTCCTCGGCGCCCTTTGCAAGACATCTCTTAGAGTAGGTACTTATCTTGATTTTCAGGCATGAATACATGTTATGTGTGTGTGTGTGTGTGTGTGTGTGTGTGTGCGAGTTCATGCTGATGAATGGTTCGCAGTGAAATTACCACACCTGTATCTGTTACTTAATCAGTTACTAATGGTGTGCAACCCCCCAAATCCAAAGGAAAGAAACTAATCCATTCGTACGTACGTATTGGCTGTAATGAATCACCTGCATGAGCCGATACTCACTTGACTTATTCAGATTTCCGTTTTCCTTGGCTGGCTGTCCCCCCCTCGGTCAACTCGACTCGACACCGCAAGTTCGTCCGTTCAAAGAACAAAAAGATCCCTCCCCACCCGTTACACACACATACACACATTTGTCTCTCGCACGCACGGATCTTCAACCGTCTACTAACTATTTCAGCCCAGGCTTCTCTTCTCCCAGTCAATCAATTACTGAGCAAAACGAACAGACGGACAGACAGGCTTTCCCAGTACGTACTGCGTATCCCGAGGTGCCCGAAGTTCTATCCCAAAAGAGGGAAGAAAGGCCATGGATGGCGTCCCCATCTGTGGCAACCATTCAACGAACGAACACAGATCCGAGTGTCCATCACTGGCGGGTGCGTCAAGCGAAACTCGAGGACTGCAAACTAATCACATACATATACACGTATACAGTATTGTTTGCTGCCGCGAGTTAGTCTATACTACGAAACATTATCTCCGAATTAAATTAATTCTATATATTGCCGTGCATCGTGCATCCAGTCATGGCAGGCCAGTTTTAGTTTTTGTTTGCATCTTGCCCTTTTCCCCCCCAAAAGTCCGTCGTCGGCCACCATTACGTAGTACGTATCTCCTTCAATCTTTAGTCTCTTGTTTTTTTTTGACTCTCGAGGTCATCCCATCCTCGTGCTGCCTGCCCTAGTGCTGAGCCTCTTTGTCACGCCCTCACTCAGCACCCCCACCCGTCTCTCTCATCCCAAGCCGCACAGCCCTCACAGCCCTCACCACACCAAACCCGAGAAAAAAGATGCCATGAGGCAGGCACCTTGACCGATCGGCCGGTGAACGATCCTCCCGCCTTGCAGGGCAACGGGCCAATGGCCGCTCAGGGATTCCACGCTCTGCAGGTCGACGGGGCGGTCAGGAACCGGCGGCCTGTCCGGCTTACTGCATTCATCCAAGCACCCATCCATTACTTCATCTTTGCCATGTTTTCCATGTTTTCCATGCCTCTCCCTCACAACACCCCCTCCTTCTAGCCTAGTGTTGCAAGTAGGTCCCACCTGCCTCCGACAGACGGTCAGAAAAACGGACAGATATGTCAAAGAGACAGGGCAGACTGACGCAAGCCCGGCCATGCGGTGCAGCACTGGTAGGTGCCTGCCTGCGCTGCGTGCCTGCAGTATCTTCCCACGGGACTTGGGTTTCAGCCGTGGCACTAAAAGAAGAGTCCATTCGACTCGCTCCCACTTGGCACCTAGGTTGAGCCAAGTTGCCAATGCCAAACCTCCCTTGCCTTCTCGGTATCCGGGGACCGGCACGCTCGCGCTGTCTTTCGCTGCCCATGTCCTTGTCCCCGGGATCGGCGAGAGGAATTGATTCACTGGCTGCTGGCAATCATGGTCTGTGTCACCACCGCTATTGCCATGCATGCTCCCTGTCCGTCCGTCAATCATCGTTGTCGTTATTATCACTAGCATCGCTCATATCTCTGTCCACCCGTGGTTGGCTTCTTGTCTCGTTGAGCAGGTACTATGGTGCGATGTGGTGCGATGTCGTTGGCCCTTGCGTCACGCTCGACATCGGACGGTAGTTTTGGGACGTAAGCCCTAAGCCCGAGCCTCCCTTCCCAGCGGGCGATCAAGGTGGGTGGGTTGGGTAGTACGCCCGCCATCAAAATCTCGACTCACACCGACCCGGCTTTTTGTCCGTTGGCTATACCTGTTGCTTTCCCGCTTGTCTTACCTCTTTAGTCACACATACGCGTACAGCGCACATAGGCTCACGTAGGCTGCTCCTGAAGCAGCTACGCGGCGTCGTGCAGGCAGTGCCGAGGAGCGGTGTTGCTAGCAGTACTAGCACCCATCCTGCCGCCGTATTGTTGGTTACACACACCTTTTCTTAAGCCCCTTTATCTGTTGCCCACCGCCGCAAGTAGGCGAAGTGACTGGCCCGTATCAGCGTCGAGATTCGACAGCAAGCGCTCGGCTGCTCGGACTTTTTATTGTTTCTCGTCTTTCAGGCTGACTGTGCGTTTGGTGTTGGCTCTGGCCTGAGCGTGAGCTCATGGCTGCAAGGCATGACTAGCATCCAAAGTTGTTGCACTGGTGTTGTGAGACGACCGTGATAGGTTGCTGCTGAGTGAGTCGATCCAGGGTGGGGACGTTTGTCCTGCGGTTTCTCCTGCTGCAATGCCAGCCAAGCCTCGATATCACTTCGGACGAACCACCGGCTCCTCGAGAGCGCGTGCTTCGTCTCATCTCTTGCGAGTTGCATATATGATAAGCCCTGCTGCCCCTCGCTTTTTCTTGTGCAATCGTTCCACCCTCACCACGCACTGCCTTCTCTTTCTCTCGCTCTTCCTCCGCACTTGAGAAGACCTAGGTCACTAGCCTTTATCAATTCTCTCTGTAGCATATGTATTGGTCAACTTCTGGCCTCCATCCTCAAGATGCACCAAATGCCACACAGCATGTCTTTTGCATCGGCCATGGACCCCAGCTCCAAGGGCCGACCGCAGACGCCCCAGTATGATCCTACCATCACTGACAAGGTCATCGCCGCCACTGGGCCCAATGCGCACCCACGCCTCGCACAAGTGATGCCGAGTCTGGTTCGCCATCTACACGACTTCGCGCGCGAAGTAAACCTCACTGTCGCAGAATGGACGGCCGCGGTAGACATGGTGAGCTTCGTCGTCTTGGTTCTCGCCTCTGGTGTCACTTCGAGATGTGCACAACCCGAGGACAGCTGCTGAGTACTTCTCGTCTTTGAATGTAGATCAACGAGTGTGGCAAGATGTCGGATGATCGCCGAAACGAGACCCAACTTCTCTGCGACATCATCGGACTTGAAAGCCTCGTGGATGAGATCACCTCCAAGATGCTGGCAACGTCAATGTCGGAGACCCCTTCTGCCATTCTGGGCCCCTTCTACCGTCAAGACGCTCCATTGCTGTCCAACGGCGATTCCATAGTCAACCTCAGCCCGTCCGTCTCGTGGTACGAGCAGGCTATCGCCGACTCGGCCTTCCTAACCGGCCGCGTCGTTTCGGGCCGCTCCGGTATGCCCATCAAGGGAGCAGTGGTAGACGTTTGGCATACGGCGCCAAACGGACTCTACGAGCAGCAGGACGAGAGCCAGCCCGACATGAATATGCGTGGGCGCTTCGCCACAGATGCCGACGGCCGTTACTCACTCTACGCATTGCGCCCAGTCGCATACCCAATCCCAGACGACGGCCCCGCCGGCCGGCTCCTGGCCATGCTGGACCGCCATCCCTACCGCCCTGGCCATATTCACTTTATCGTGTCTGCTTCTGGGTTTCGGACTTTGACGACGCAGGTGTTTGATGACCGGGACGAGTACATCACAAACGACTCTGTGTTTGCCGTCAAGGACGAGTTGGTGGTCAAGTTCAAGCCTCGTGACGGAGATTCCAAGGCGCTATGGACACTTGAATACGACTTTGTGCTCGGCTCGCAGGAGATCTGAGAAGGGCCTAGATTTCGAGGACGGCAGTTTGCGAGAAGAGTAGGGGGTATCCAAAAGTTTATGCTCGGCGTTATTGGCGTTCTCAGACTACAGGTAGCGGACACGACCGGAACCTATGCAGTAGCCTCGGGCCGCCGGTTCAACCCAAGTCCAGGTATACAGTCTCCCAAAAGGATCTCATATTTTCGTAGACCACTATAGACCGTCGTCTTCCTGCGTGTACGCATCTCTGGTCTCCGTTTTGACTTCGTGCAGTCTTAACCAAAATGAAACCCGGAAGGTAAGAATACCGGGCAAACTATCTGCGAGCATCCGATGGAATACCACCGTGCACCAATGGCTGCCGTAGTGACATGATCCGTCCACGCTCCGCAGATGGAGAGCTCCAAGGAAATGTTCATGACCTGCCGAAGATTTCAGGGTTCCCTCCAGGATGGGGAATGACATGGTGTTGCTAGATATATCGTCTGGTTCTGGTCTTTCTGCAGAGTACATAACGACCACGACGATGAATTGGCATCTCTCAGTGTTGCGCCGGCAATGAGATGCATGGGTTTTCGTCCCAAAGGTTGGGTTTTCTTACGCTTTGCCCGCCGTGTCAGATCAACTGTCCAATCCAGAATGGTCTCCGCTTTTGCTGTCGAGGTTCAATGGCCTCGTGAGAGGGCCGAAACGGGTGACGACGTCACTCCAGAATCTCAAAAGCTATTCCATAGGCCCTTGGATAAGGTGATATCTCTCATCCAAAGTTGGAAGAATGAAACAGTGGTATATTGGCACCGATGCCAGATCGTGGGGATATCCGGGACTCTGGTGATAGTGGGTGTGCAGCATATGGATCACTTGTGCTTCCAAGAATGGAGGCCGGGAAGTGGGGGGCAGGATTCGACGGACCAGCAAGTACGGCAGACACGGGTGCGACGTGCCCTATGTAGTTCTCCCACAAGACCCCAAATTCAAACTCAATGTCTCCATTGAGATCAGAGTTGTCAATCACCGGATGAGATGAGACGCTTGGGCGCACGTTGACCAGAGGAGGTAGTGAGTGAGGTGTCACATGGGGTGGTGACATGCCATTCATCCGTGTGTCTCGAACAGAGGCCGAAGGGTGCGGAATGAGAAGCTCGGAAACTGGCAGCCGCGGACCGGTCGGGGAAGACATCGAGGATTGACGAGAGGTTTTCACCATTACGGAGGAGCGATCGTGGGGACTTGAGACTATTGGTATAGAATTGGTATGCGCATGGCGCAGCTCAGGACTCGGCGCCTGGCTGTAGAGGTTGCTGAGATCCTCCGAGAGAGGTGGCGCTTCATATGTGTTATTCCTGGTCCACTTGGAGACGACTATCGAGAATCTGTGCATGATCTCAAGAACCCGCTGGGCTTGTGGGTCGCTTTCTGCACAGTATTCCATGAGGGCGATCGCGTCAGAGGCCGTCTTCTCGTACGCATCGGTGTAGTACAGTGATGCGAACTGATTCATGAAGACGATGAGACTCGCCACGAAAAGAAAGTATCTGGTCGAGGTTAGAAAAACGCGAGTTAGATATATCCGGGGAATGGATGGGGACGGGTGAGAAATTAGTCCCTGAAATGTTAAAAGAAGGCTTACATGACAAAGGGGTTCCTTTGCGGAAGGTATCTGGCATCTCTAGCTCGCTGAACTAGTTGGACCGTTTGATAGGAGGCAATGACGCAAGCCTCCGAGTACTTGGCGATGGGCGAGTCAAGGGTTGGGATTGCTTTCGTAAGGCCGGAACGCTGCTCTGTGAGCTTCCAATTGTGCATCACAAAGAGCTGCCGGGTGAGCAGGATCAACGAGTGCAGAGATAGAAGATTGACGTGGAGGGTCGCGATACCCTGCGCCGGATCCATTGGGACGCTATGCAGTCTTCGACCTTGCAAATTCGCGCGCGGGCCTCGTTCCCAGTCCTTGGACATGTCTGCAATGTCTTGAACCACCGAAGTTGATATCTTCCTCTGAGAAAATACCCTTAATGTGATGCCAATGACATGACAGGCGCGGACGCAAGCGTTCAAGCTCTGGGCGTGGACAACATCAGTGGGCTTGCCCGTCAGAGTCATGTTTCCCACATCGTTTGCTGGCATTATTTCGCATGAGCAGTCGTCCTCAGATATGGCCGTCGGTCTCCCAAGGGTGGCGGCTAGAAAGCGGTCGAGAATGAACAAAGTCTTCCACATATTCCGTCTGATTTTCATCTCCGCTGGCGTGAAGATGAACGCGTTCATGGTTTCTTCTCTGTGCAGCCCCAAGGCATAAGCCGATCGAACTGCCATGCCTAAAGAATCGACCAGTTAGCAAGGGCCGTAAGCTTTCGTATTAGTAGACTCACCGAGGTATGCGTAGGCCGTATTCCGTTTTGAAACAGCCAGCATGTAGACAGTCATCAATGACAATGCCTGGATAGACCAGAAATCGGCGTCCTCGAAGCCGGCGCCAGGGTCGCTCATGGACCTAGCACTTCGAAAGAAGAGCTCGGCTCTATCTAGCTTCGAAGCTAGCTGCTTCTGTATTACTATCTCCTCTCTGCTTCCTGGGATGGGCGTAGCAAAAAGCAGACCGAGGGCCAGAACGAGGTATAGATGGCACAAGAAGTAGTTGGTGGCAAATAGCTGGTCTTTGTAGCATGCGTTGACCGAGTTGATAAATGTCGTCTTGTCAAAGACCTCCATGAGACCACACGTCTAAGGAGCGTGTCAGCGACCGCTACATCCAAGCTAGGAGCACGGGAAGGAGCGTTCTTACATTGGTAAAGTACGACTCGACAAGAATGTCAGTCGTTTCCTTGTCTGGAAGGAAACTTGGTATCCTGGTGTTTTCGGGGAACTTGATGATGTTCTCCATGATGCTAAATCTCTTCGGGTCTTCAATGAAGGGGGCTGCTATCTCGGCCCCGGCAGTATTTTCAACAATGATGCGGATAAGTTGCAGAATAGATAGGGTGGAGGCATCTCCAATATAGACTATGATTGGAGGTTAGACAAGGCCCGGTATTTTCACGAGGAATAATAGCATCAAAATCACATACGAAGCCGGCCTGTCTGGTCTTGCAACATTCTGGTCTCTGTGTAGATGGTGGTTTCTTCGCTCTGTCCGTTGGCGTTACTGCGAACTGGGGCGGCTGTAGAAGTCGAGGTTGACGTCTTCCGAGCATGCTCATGGGCAGACGTAGGCTGCGGTGCTGACACAGGTACTAGCGCTGTTACCGCCACTATCGGCGTTGATGTCGCGGAATCGCCTTCGTTTGACTGACAGTTGGGCTCATCCTCGTCCCAGGATTGGGACTGGCCGTTCCCGGCTTGATATGTTGGAGAGGACTCGGACCCATCCAGGGCCGCGTTGATGGAAGGTGGGGATGCCTCGATGTGTCGCCTCTTGGTAGGCGAGCCGCCAGATTCACCGAGGCCATAGTCGGCATTGTTGGAGGTGTAGGAGCACGTCAGCTTCCTCCGGATACAAGTGTGGCATGGTTTCAAGCCATTACACTGGGAGCAGCGAGTATCAGCGAGACTGTAACTCATGATGAGCCGCCACGTCTTGGCTGGCTCGGGAAGTGCCTAGAACGGAGTGTGGTACGAGTTCGGGAAATGTGTAAAGTGAAGGAAGCCTAGCCATCCTTTTCCCCGGAACTGGTCCGCAAGAACGCATACAACGGGCAGGCCCGGAACCCGAAATACGTGGTGAATGAGGGTGCTCCAGATATGAACGCGGTGATCCACACTTGTAACACTCTTCAACGCCATCAACCCTCCTAGACCTTGTGCTTCGTGACAAGCGAGCACGACACCAGACTCGGGTTCTTCTGCTCGCGCGGCATATTTGGGGGAGAGTGAAACAACAAGAGCAGCAAGAGTAGCAGCGACAATAAAGATGCGAGACAAAAAAAATGATAACGGATAAATTATGATGACCGGAACACACACAAACTCACACCGCTCGGGAAGGCTCGGGAAGAATAGGACTAGTTACGGAACAAGAAATACAAACAGACAGCCGTGGGGCCAAAACAATAGCTAAGAGGCTCGCCGGACTTAAGCCTATGGAGAGCACGAGACGACGGCGTGGCGAGGTTGGCGAAACAAAGAAGACAAGAGGACTAAGGGGAAGTTTATAGACTAACCTTCTGTTTTCGACGCTTGCAAGAGTCACAAGCCTGGGCAGTGCGCTGACGTTTGTCGTCGGGGACCTTTGGTCGCGTCATGATGGGGAGGGGCATATGGAGAGAGCACGCGCAGGCGCCCCGCCATCGGGTAGCAAGCTCGCGCTGCCTCCTGACACAAGCAGCAGGAGGAGCAGCAGCGGCTGGAGCAGCAGCGGCAGGTGCAACGCGCAACGAGCTGGAGGCGAGGATGACGAGTCTTAGTGCTAGGTATCGGAAGAGACGCCGCCCGGGGGCCTGGGCGGAGCGGATGCTGCACGAAACACGTCGGCAGCTGGGCCGGGACAATGGAGCGGACTGTCGGAAGACGTAGGGGGAGGGTAGTGATGTATCCGCAAGCCGCACACGCCCGGCTTCCGCAGGGTTTCTGGGGAAGCTAGCGCCGCAGCGGGCAGTCGTCTGTGGCACGATCCGCTGCGCCGCGCCCGTGTCCGGATCGTCACCTCTCGTCACCTCGTCTCAGTCTCTCAGCTGCTGGGAGGCGTCTTCTGGTGGAGCAGCGCCTGGGGGGTGGAGCGACAGTGCTGGCGAGGAACCTAAGAGTTAAGCTATGCGAACGGGCAACGGTATCGGCATGACCGCCTGCACAAGGGTGCGGGGCATGGTGCAGCGACGCGAGGGACCGACGGCGACGCGAAACTCGAGATAGATTCACGATCCGTAAATAATGATATCACAGCCGGCAGTCAGCAAGCGGTTTGGCGGCGGCGGTGTTGCCCGTCAGCAGCAGCAGAAACAACAGCAGCAGCAGCAGCAGCGGCAGCAGCAGCAAGCAGCGAGGCAAGCAGGATGAGGGAAGTGGAAGCTCCGTCGTGGGGATGGGAGGACAGGGCTATCGGATATGGGGCTGGGGGCGCGTTAGGGCCTTGGGGAGGGCGAGAGCCTCTAATAGACCCCTGCCCGCCCGCGTTGACATGTTGGCACTTTGGATAAAAATCGGCAGCCCGTGTGGTGGGATGGGGGATGCGCTCTTTGCGCCCAAATCTACCCAAGATCTGCCTCGACGCACGCTAGCCAGTGACTGGCCGTGGACACGGTGGTTTGCAGAAGGTCTCAGCACCGGGCACACGTGGCGCAAGTACCCGGATAACGCCATGCAAGCATCAGGGCTGCATGTCGTCGCAATGGGGGCAAACTGCCAGGATCGAACGACGCTGCCCGCTGCTGGTGGTGCTAGTGGTGCTGCTTGCTGCTTGCTCCTCCCGCCCGCTGGCCGCTGCAGGAGCGGGCGACTTGTCTTGGACCTCGGCGACCAACCTCTCGATAACGTCTAATGAGGTCTGGCCACACGCTTCCCCCGCACGCTCTCGCTGGTTCACCACTCGCAAAAGGGCCACGCTGCCTCGCTTGCCGCGTCTGCCTTGGACAGACATGATGCCAAGAGCAATAAGTGAGGTGAGTGTGATAGAGGAGCATCGAGGGAGCTATGGCGCGCCCATAGCGCTCTCGCCAGCATGAGCATGCCGAGCTCCCCCGCAAAAGGGTGTGAAGCTGCAAAGCTGCAAAGCTTCTGCCCTCGCACGCCATCCCTACATCCTCCGGATCCCCTCCACACTCGACGGCCACGCCCGCGATGGCTGTCGCTGCATGCTCGCCATACGAATGGGACTCCATACCGGTATCGCTTTAGGCTGGGATTTTCAATTGGAAGCTGGGGTCGACACTCCACATGGATGCTGCGGCCTCGCCTTGCGGAATATTTTCTCTCTCTCTCTCTCTCTTGCAGTCTCGCTGCCAATCTGCGAGCAAAATATGTAAGGCCGCTTGCAGGACGCACGAGCGCCGCGGGTTGCGAGTTTTGGAACGCCGACCCCCTTGTCGTCATCTCCGGCGTACCATCAGACGCCCGTCGCTCACCTGAGGTGGTACGGAATAGGGAATTAGTAATAAGACCTGCTGGAGGACATCTTTCAACGGCAAGTGGTGACCTCAGCTCCGGTGTGCAAACAAAAACTAAAACAATCATAGCGAGTTACACCTCGACCTGAGACCGAGGGTCGCCCATGTTTCCGTGCTCGACAAACACAGCGGAAGACGCCTCGAAGCAACTGGAACAGCGGGAGTTTGTTGCCAGAATACAGGTGTCTCTCCATCGGATAATGCACCTAACCCCGCTTTTTCAGTGGTACCTTCCAGTTGAGGTAGATACAGCCCGGGCAGGCAGGCGCGTCTACCTGGTACCTTTGGTACGTCCGCTCTACCACATCTCCGACCATGAGCAGCGGTTCAGCTCCAGGCTCCCCAGGTTCCCCAGGCCGCTTTGGGACAGAGACCACAAGTGCAGCCCGCTCTGGACGCTAGCGACCTGCAAAGGCGGAAAGAGCTGCAAGCACTCCTTCGGGGTGGGGGCCACCACTTCAGAGTCTTGGACCACTCACTGCCCGCCCGGGAAGTGGGCAGGCGCGATGGGACCTCAACTCAGTAATCTACGAACACTGCAAGTACGTAGTAGTAGTATAGTTGCAGTTGCAGTTGCCTTTGCCTCGCCCACGCTCCTGCCGTCTTGTCGAGAATCAAGCTCAGCCGCCGTAAGAAGTGTAAAGTGTAATTGCCTTATGGAGGTGTCCAAGTCTATAACCTAAGGTAGGTACGGCTATGTAAAGCTTCGGACCTTCCCCTCCACATGGAACGGCCAGCTGGGAATTTCCTGGGACAACCCACCCGTAACTTGCCCAATTCGAGAAAAAGAAAAACCTGGAACCCGAACAAGAAAAGGAGACGTCGTCCTCGTCTCGCCCATCCGCCATGACGATGCAAGAGACGCAAAGCGACCCGGCCAGCAGTTTGCCTCTATCATGCAGTTGTGATGCAGTTGTAATGCAGTTGGGTGCTCGGCATTCCACGGCGGTAATCAAGGCAAGGCAAGATAAATCTCCCACGCGGCCGGCCCCTTCTTCAGAGCTACTGAAAAGTAGAACCGAGACGATGCAAATCGTTGCCGTCATGGGGCGAAAAAGGAAAGAAACCCCCCGAAAGGGTGTTGTCGAGATGACCGGGTTAATCCTGCAAAGGTAAAAAAGCTTAGTGGCGGCGGCGACGCGTGCGTGCGCGCGGTACGCCGTGTTTTTCTGTCTTCGGGTAGCGCTCAACAGGTTCATCACATTGCGGTCAGTTTCCAACGTAGAAGCCGGCGAAACAAGAAACCCGAGCGAGGTTCCAATTGTAGGTGACACAAGTCGGGGTCGCGAGACCATACGGGGAAGAGGCGAACCAGCTGACTTATTATTATACTCTTAAAGCGCCAGAAGCTAACGCCACAAGCACAAGCACCGCAGCCCACACACGCAGCCGCAGCAACAAGCAACCCAGCGGGGGACGCATGGAGGCGGGGAGGGAGTGCGGAGATGCGGAGTGCGGAGACAACCTGGAGTGTGTGGAGGGGCCCTTGCCGTCCCCGTCCCTTCTGTATGTACGGAGTATGTACGGAGTGCACGCACCACTTGAACGCAAGCATGGAGGACCCGGGGAGAACCACAAACTCCCGTCTCTCAATGGCCAGCATGCGAGTTCAATCTGGGGCTGTCTGGGTGGTCCAGTCCAGCCCAGCCCCCGCGTCTTGCCAACCTTGCTGCAGATGCTATCTCAGTACGGAGTACATACATATGGAGTCGGCAGTGCGGCTGGGCTGTCAACCCACTCAACAGCGAGAACCTAGAGCAACTGATCACGAAATTGGTCTCAGTCTCCTGGCGGGAGCTCTGAGGTGGATGCCAAGAGCTTGCCTTGGTATGCCGTGGACTAGTGGACAAGGCAACGGATTGGTGGGTCAATCCGGAACTGCATGCTTGCCTCCACTCCCCCGCTTTCCCACCAACGACGACGACAGCCTTTCCCCCCCACCACGTCCCCTTTCCCCGCAGGCCCGGCTTGCCTTGCACAAGGGAGGCCAAATCCGGGATGGTAAGGTGTGCCGAGTCGTTGGCCCGAGGGAGGCTTTTCGCTAGATTCACTATTCCGTATGGATGTACTGTACATACACTAAACCTAGACTACCTGAGACACTCGACCTACAGTATGTACACTAGGACGCAGGACCCAGATGGAACCCAGAACCTGTCACTACATACAAACCCCAAACCCCAAACCCCCCCCACCTACAAGTGGAGCTCTGACGACCATCCATCCTTTGTCCGGGACTGTTGAGGCTCGTGTAACTCCATCTACCAATGGATCTCGCTAAACAAGAGCCGCTCTCATTTCCCTCGGCGCACGAGTCGATCACTTGGCTCGTTTTGATGCGGGCTAGCCTTTTGTCAAGCGCGTGATCGTGCTCCGAGTTGTTTCCGGTTGACCCAAGAGCTACCTTTGCAGAATGACCTCTTTGTTTGGTGCGCGGGGCGTGGATTGGAGGCCAAAGCCACCCGTGTCAGGTCCCGACGGGCCGGGCCATCATCCCACACGAGTTTGTGTCAACTGTCGAGAGGCGACGATGGGCACACGGTGCTAGTCGGAAATGGGCGACAGCGCCGACCTCACGGCATCTACAATTCCAGTTATGCCGTTCCTCGTCCAAGGCCCCGCCTCCGACGCTGGTTTCCCAATTTGGCTGGCCTGGGGAAAAGAGAGGCGTCCGCGTGTGTGGACAAGGCCAGCCGTGAAGTTTATATACTGCTTGAAGTCGGCAGCCCAGAAGCTTCGCTCATTTACTCCCCCATGACAACCCAGGCCATCGTTTGGGCTTCTTTCTCTCCGGTCTACTCGTATCCTCGGCCGAGCCAGGTCAGCAGATTGTTCACGGAATACGCCGAGACTCTGTCAAAGTAAACCAGAAACGAAGACATCCCACGATATATATAACACATATACAACACACCTGCCTCGTCCCACTTTCATCCCATGCCAATTGTCTAACCCAGGCCTAGCCAACAACAGCCTGGCCTTGTGGAGACTTTCATCCAAACCTTCATAGTCCCTCACGAAATCATACTAGACACGTTTAACACAATGGGCACGGTGGGCACAATGGAATTCGACCCTATGCCCGGGCGGGGCCTAGGGGGGCTCGGTCTACAAAAAGACTGGCCGTATGGTTCACCTTCGCTTTCTCCGTTATTCCGCTGGCCGCAACTTGCCATACACGCCGGAGACCTCGAACGTGCCTCGCGGAACTCGTTGAGCATGGACTCGTACCCAGCTAAGAAAGGAGCCTCTAAGGCTGCCCCGCCTTCTTACTCGGTCACCAAAGGATCATCGGAGGCTCTCACATCTCTATTGAATATCTGCGAGAGCGAGGTGCCTAAAAGCTTCCGACGCTTGGGTGACGTCGCTTTCACATATACTTCACCAGAGGGAGACCAAGTGCACTTCCCCACACCGCTCAAAGAGCAAAACGCCATTGCCGCGATCAAAGCTCTCGAGGCCTGCGCTGCAGCCGCTCTTGTTGATCTGCAATATGGAATCGGCGGAGGCCACAGGCGCATAGAAGTCGATATCGACAAGACCTCTTGTTTCTTGATGTCGGCCTATCTCACCACCATAAATGGAATGGACAAGGCCCACCCCAGTGTCAAGAGCAAGGTCCCCGGTGAGTCGAGCTAGCTGCAACATGATACTAGGCCAGTCAAGCATTCTGACCTCATGAAGATACCGACCTGAACGAGGCACAATCGGTGCTATACCGTCGCCTTTCTGCCAACCTATACAACACCAAAAACCCCGGCGAATTTTATCACATGCATGGCTCTCTCGAGGCATCGACAACGCTAAAGATGATCGGACTTCCGTCACACAACGACAAGCTGACAGACTACCGAGCTTGCATAAATACAATAGAGAAGGCGGTCACCAAGTTCACGACCAAGCAGCTCGAGGAGATCAACGCTCAACACGCGCAAGCCGGCGCCCCTGTGCTGACCTGGAACGAGTTCCTCGCCACGCCCCACGGCAAGGCGCTCTCGTCGCTGCCGCCCTTCACGGTGAAGCCCGTCGAGATCGCTACTCCGGCCATCCCTTTCAGTCCCACGGGATTCGGCACCCCCTATGCCCTCCGGGGCATCAAAGTCATCGAGATGTGCCGTATCATTGCCGGACCCACTATAGGACGTTCGCTTGCCGCCCACGGCGCCGCAGTCTTGAAGGTAACGTCGCAAAATCTCCCAGATGTGCCCTTCTTTCAAGTCGACGTCAACACTGGCAAACATACAACGTCACTGGACTTGCGGAATGCCGCGGACAGGAAGACATTCGATGATCTTCTCAGAGATGCGGACGTTTTGATCGATGGCTACCGGCCCGGGTGCTTGGACCGCCTCGGCTATGGCGCAGAATCTCTGGCTCGACTGGCCAAGGCCCGCGGCCGGGGATTTGTATACGTTGCCGAGGATTGCTTCGGTGGCACGGGCGTCTCGGGCGCCGAGTGGGCCGGCCGACCTGGCTGGCAGCAAATTGCCGACTGTGTGACTGGCGTGGCCTGGTCACAGGGCGAGTTCATGGGTCTGAAAGAGCCTGTGGTCCCCCCATTCCCAATGTCTGACTATGGCACGGGTGCGCTCGGCTGCGTGGCCGCCATGTCTGGGCTATACCGCCGCGCCACCCAGGGCGGCTCGTGGGTCTGCCGTACTAGCCTGTGCCAGTACGACGTTTTTCTAATGCGCCTCGGCCTCTTGGACAAGGACGAGCAAGCACGTCTTCGCAAGGAGCATCGTTCGGCATTCTTTGCGCTCAAGCACAACGACTCGGTTGATGAGGTTGGTAAACGGGCCCTAGAGAGTGTCAAGATAGTCGCTCCCACTCTGTTCACCGAGAAGATGATGCACACGGCCTGGAGCACGAAGTTCGACGCCGTTTTGAGGTGGCCCCGCGAAGCTATCAAGGTACAGGGCGTCAGGGTCGGTCATGTGCGTGCTGCCAGGCCTAATGGCGCCGACAAGCCATGCTGGGAGGGCTGGGAGGAAGACGCTATCATAGACGGCTAGGGCGGTGTCGTTACGGACAGTTGTCTACCAAAAGAGTTGAGCGCATTTCCACATTCTCTTTTTCCTGAGGCTATCATAATCCCCGTCGGGTACTGGCGAGCGCATCACAGGCTCTTCGAGGTTTGGGTGCGAGATGGCCAGATGGGGGATCGCCGCGGGAGGCGTTTTTGGGCAGGTTTCTTTTCTTTTTAGCGTGCTTTCGGGATTGCCATAGGCCTTTCAAAGCGGGGACGGCGTTGGGCGTGGATGGGCTATTGGTGGCGAGGTCTCTTCGTTATTCTAACTTAGGCTTTCCTCAAGTTGGTTGCTTGATTGCGGATATCCTTCACCCGAATTTGACGGGAAATCCAAAACTGTCGAGCATCCTTTCTGTGTCCTGCTGGTGATTATGTCGGTCGGTGAAATGTGCTATAATTAGTGTATACAAAGGGCACCCGCGCCCTTTCCCCTCTGCTTGTCCCCCCCTTTAAGTGACATGCCCTTACCCAGACAGCCTACAAGGAGAATTCTCAACTACAAATAACTCAAGACGCCAGGTACAGGGGTATAGTTTCTTTTTTTCTAGCTACTTATACACAAGGTAATTAATTACACCGAGCTGAGTACGTAGCAGAAAGGTTTGTTTTACTACCAGCTAGCACCCAGACAGCACCCAGGATTTACTTAGTAGACCGGATAGTCAGGAGCCTGTCCATGGCGCGGCCGTTGTCGAGCGCCCAGCCGCCCGTCACGTCGAGTTTGTGCCTGGCGCCACGCAGGTCGATGCGCGCGAAGCCGCCGCCCGTGAAGACGCGCGACATCTGCTCCGACACGCGGTGGAAGCCTTTCGACGCGTCGCGGAACGGCGCCGTCATGATGTGGTCCAGCTCGTACTGCCGCGCACGCGCCCGCCGCTCGCGCTCGGCCCGCTGTGCCTGCGCTGTGGTGGCTGTTTTTCCTCCGGCACCTGTTCCGGGGAAAGAAGCTGGCGGTGGTGGTGGTGTGGAGGAGAGCACGCCGTTCATGCGGAACGGCAGCTGGACCTCGTCGGGGAGGAACAGGCGGCGCTTGGCGGGGAGGAACGGGAAGGGCCGGCGCGTCGCCACCTCGATTAGCACGGGGGGCACGGCCTTTTGCTTGGCGGCGCGCAGCAGCGCGGCCGACACCTGCAGCAGGCGCTTGGATTTGGACGCGGTCGCGGTCGTCGACGCCAGGAACGGCGCGAACGGCACCACGTCGATCTGTTTGACGACGCGCGCCGTGCCCAGCGCGAAGTAGCCCCCCATGCTCGCCATGAACATGCACACGACCCCGAACGCGTGTGGCACCCACCACGCCAGATCGTCCGGCGGGTGCAGGTAGATGGTCCAGTACTGGTACACAGCGTAGGCTACGCAGAAGGCGCTCGTCGAGAAGCTCGCCCCCCGGAACCACGCGTGCGACGGTGCCTCGTAGATTATCGTCCGCTCCTTGGCTGCGAGCTGCTCGGCGTAGGATGGGAGGGCGCGCCGTGCGACGACCCCGGCGGGGCCCCCGCCGAGGAGCGGCGCGGTGAGTTTCTTGGGCTTGGTAGCGGCGGATGCTTTTGGTTGTTGTCGGGGGGGAGCTTTTGCTGATGTTGTCGTCGACTTGGTGGTGGTAGTGATGGTGTTGGACCGGGCTGTTACGGCCGCGTGCGCCAGTCTGCGCGACGCCGGCGAGTCGAGGCCTAAGCGGGCGGAGGGGAATACGAGGAGGCGCGTGGGTGGTGGGAGCTGGTGGGAGAATGTGCAGGCGCCAGCTGTTCGCGACGACCGCACGAGCAGAAGCAGGTGGGACTGGGGCGCCAGCGCTCGTGAAAACGCTGGGGACGCCATTGATGGATAGTCTGGTTCGGGGTTTTGGGGCCTGGGTCGCACCCTGAGGGTCCTTCTCACGACATTCAAGTCGTTTTTTTCCCGATCGTCGTCAGCTGTCGATAGCTTCGAATTTGTTTCTCGGTGGCGGGCAATGTTTGAGTGGATCTGATCTGAACTTTTGGAGCTTTACTTAGTGTGGAAGAAAAAAAAAAAAGAGAGCGTTTTTGGCGTCTTGGCAGGTCACTGCGGGCCGAGGGACAGGGATGGTTGAGGAATGAACCATTCGGACGGGCCCTTTTTCAGGAGCCCCTACTAGAGATCCCTGTACAGTAGGAACTGAAGAGGGGCCCGAGCTTTTTTTTTTTTTGGCTCCCCAAACGATTCTCCAGTAAGCAAGCTCCGATCATTTCGGAGAGGCAGAAAAAGGTCCACCGTGACCGCCGCCCGCGATAGCCCGCTGCCCTACCCAACCTCACCTATAGGCTCCGACCAACCCTTCAATTGGGTTCCGACCGCATCACGACCACACGCCACCATGGCATCCCTTGCAGCGGCAGCTTGCCGCGTTTCCGCGAGGGTTGCTCGCCAGAGGCTGTCGCACCCCGATGCCGCCGCCAGGAGTCAGTCCCGTCCCGTCCCAAACAAGACCAGAAAAAGCCGCGTCCTCATGATTATGGTATGAGGGATTGACCATCGCACTGCACTTGCTGACACGGACCGCCCATACCGCAGGCTTCAGGACCTCGGCCGCCGCTCTCGCCGCGCAGAACCTCACTATGCCGGCGCTGTCGCCGACCATGACCGAAGGCAACATTGCGAAATGGCAGGTCAAGGAGGGCGACCGGTTCGCCGCTGGCGACGTGCTGCTCGAGATCGAGACGGACAAGGCCACGATGGATGTTGAGGCCCAGGAGGACGGCATCCTGATGAAGATCATGCGGGGCGACAGCAGCAAGGGCGTCCAGGTCGGCGCCCGCATCGCCGTCATTGCCGAGGAGGGCGACGACATCAGCACCCTCGAGCTCCCCCCCGACGAGAGCTCGCGCCAGCAGCAATCCCTGCCAGCAGCCGCAGCGAAACCAGACCCTCCGGCATCCTCCCCCTCGCCCTCCCCCTCATCTACACCGCCCGCGTCGGCGCCCTCCAATACGCGGGCTCCGAAGCAGACCTACCCGCTCTACCCCTCCGTGGCCCACCTGCTCAAGAAGAACGGCCTGGACGAGTCGGCCGCCCGCGACATCACGCCGACGGGACCCAACGGCCGGCTGCTCAAGGGCGACGTGCTCGCCTACCTAGGTAAGATTGACGCAGCGACGCCCGCCGCCGTGTCGGCGCGCTTCAACGCTGCGTCCCACCTCGACCTCAGCAACATCAAGGTGGCCCCCGCACCAGCCAAGAAGGCCGCGCCAGCAGCCCCCGCCGCCGCTGAGAAAGCATCACCACCGCCGCCGCCCTCGCTCGTGGCGCTCCCCGTGTCCCTCGAGGCCGTGACGAGCGTGCAGAAGAAGGTCCACCACACGCTGGGCGTCTTCCTCCCGCTGACGACCTTCATCGAGCGCGCCGCCGACGTGGCCAACGACGACCTGCCGCTACCCGCCGGCGCGGCCCCACCTGCGCCCTCGGCAGACGAGCTCTTCGACCAGGTGCTCGGACTCGGCAGCAGCGGGCCGAAGAAGGCGGCGTCGTCGCGGGGCTCGTACACGCCGCTCGTGTCCGCGCTTTCGCAGACGCGGCCCCTGGCGGCGGCGCCCAGGAAGCGCAAGGAGATGGACATCATCGACCTACTGTCTGGCCGGGCGGGGCTTGCCTCGGGTCGCGGCACCGCGGCGACGGCGAAGGAGGCCGCGATCTTGTCCACGGGCCCCAACTTGTTTAGCCTGCAGGTGCCGCGGGTGGAGCAGAAGCGGGCCCAGGTCTTCCTCGAGCGGCTAAAGCTTGTGCTAGAGAACGAGCCGGGCAGGCTAGTGCTTTGATGGGGGAGATGGATGAGACGGTCTGGTCTGGTCCAGTCTGGTCTGGTCTAATCTGGTCTGGTCTAGTCTGGTCTGGCGTAGCCTCCAGCTCCTTTCTGTTGCGCCGTACTAACTAGATAGGTAATTATGAAAATCAATAGAGTTTCCTCTTTTTTTATTAATTATGCTATGAACAAGTGGATGGATATATTGAGCTTGCTCGTTAATAGTTCTAATTCTCTAGACTTATAGTGGTAGGTGAAAAACAAGCATTTAGAGAGAAAGTTGAGCGACACTTTCAGGCTTTCCCTATCTTGTCCTAGTTGACGACTAAAACTTGCTGGAGGATTGAATTATATGTACTATACAAAACTGAAATCCGGCCAAAAAAGGAATCTCTCCCGCCGGGAATTGAACCCGGGTCCCGAGCGGAGTCTTCTGTGAAGTTGACAAGCTCATATACTGACCACTATACTACGGAAGATTGCAAGTGTTGACACTTGTGTAGTGTTAGGGTTTGATGCAGTGATGATGTGATATTGTATCTCTTATAGTATATTGATAATGGATACTGAAAACATGCCAGAACAGAACCCAGAACCAAAAGCCAGAACAGAAGCTAGAATAGAAGCTAGAATAGAAGCCAACCCCCGAAATGAGAACGAGAACCCAGAGCAGAAACCAAAAGCCAAGTAAAGCCATAAACCAGAGTATTACGAGATAAGAGTTGGAAAAGAAATTCCAGAAGCCAACACAGAAGCCAAAGCCAAAAGCAAACTGAAAAGCAAAGACAGCACAGAGCCTAGAAACCAGAACAGAAGCTGGAGAAAGACTAGAACAGAAACTGGAAAGTAATGCTAGAAGCAGAACGAAAACTAGAAAACCAAAACTGGAGCTAGAAGCCAAAGGTTAGAATGCAGGAAACGGAAAAGCAGACGATAGAAAAGAACCTAGGGAGCATAACCCGAAGCAGAAATTAAAAGCCCAAAGAAAGCAGAGAGCAGAGAGCACAAGCCACGGTAGAAAAACAAACCCGTCACCAACATCCCATCCCGCCACTCTCCCCCATTGGCACCTAAAGCACACACTACACCAGAGCAAGCGCAGCCAGCTCGCTCACGGCAAGCGCTTCTCGGCCTCAGCCCTGCACGAGTGGCAGCAGCAGACGCCCGCCGCACTCGCCCTGTCATCTTCAGCAGCAGCAGCAGCAGTGGCAGCGAGCTGGGCAACCTCCCCGTCCCTGTCCCTGCGCCTGCGCACTGCCGTCGCGGCGAGAATTTGCGGGATGAGGTGCGAGCAGAGATCCGCGCGGAGGCGTTTCGCTGCCGGCCCGTCGCCGCCCGTTCTTGCTCCTCCTTTTGGTGGTGCTGCTGCAGAGGGCGCCGACCTGGTGTGCTTGCGCGAGGCGATGAGGATCCTGCTGCTCCGCCGGGTGGGTTTTTTTGCTAGGGCTTGTTGGTGATGATGATAAAGCGAGGGATAGATGCCAAGGTTGGTGTCGGTGGCGGTGTGGATGTCGGTGCTGTCTACCTCGGCGGCAGCCTCGGCTTGGAGCGCAGCTTGGATCTGGCCGAGCCATAGGTCCGAGGCCTGAAGCTGCAGAGTGCGGGCGCTGTCGTTGGTTGTGGCTGTCTTAGAGGTGGTCTCGGCTAGAAGCCCAGCAAACTGCGGATCGTGAGTGCAGATAAAGGACGTAGCCATGCGCAAGATGGCTTCGACGTTCTTCTTGACTCTTTCTTCGACACACCGGACAGTCGCTCGCTTACAGAGATTGGTGGCGGCGGCCGCCTGCTGGTCGAAGCAGTCGGGAGGCGCGACACCGACGACGACATTGTTTACTGTCACCGCCTGGGCTCGGAGAATAGCAGCCTGAGACCGAGTAGCGACTCGCTTTTTCCGCATGGCATCCAGAGACGCCTCCAGGTAGGCCGCCTCGATGGGCGCCATACGGCGCGTCACGCTGATCCGCACCGGCTCGCTCATCAGCTTTACTAGTTTCGAAGCGAGACGTCGCCCGGCGCTGAGGATCTGCTGGGCTTCATCAGTAGAGATAGGATAGTGGCAGTCAACTTCCATCGGCTGTTCCATCAAGATCCGCAGAATCGCGGCAGCACTTTTGTCGGCAGCGCTGATCCTATCGGCGACCAGGGCGACCTTGGCCCAGGTAGCAGAAGCGACAGCAGCGCAATAGACACGCCCCTCTGCCGACATGTCGAGGAGGGGCACGAACGCTTTGGGCTCAAACTCTTGCGTCTTTCTGTTCTCTGGCGTCGTGGCAACTTGCTCGGGGTCCTGCTCGCTCGCTGGTGCCGGCACCTTGATGATGCGCCCCAGAAACCTACTCTTTCTGGGACCCGGAGCGGCTCCTCCGGCCGCTGGCTTCGAAACCTTTGCCTGGTGGATCTGGCTCAGGACTGTCATTGCTGTTTCTGCGCTGGCTGAGGGTTGGCTATCTTTCCTGGTCTCCCGCCTTTGTGGCACCCTAGGCCTCGGGGCCCGGGTTATGATGCCGAGAGCGTTTTTGGGGGAGGGGAGAGGATTCCACCCGAAGGCTTGTTTGGCTCTGCTGGAAAAAACGCGGGTGAGACAGGTGCCCTAGAGGGGATAGACAACGGCTGGATATCATCGAACCTGGAAAACTTGGCAGTACCATACATCTGAGGTGAATCGACGACCGAGGCACCCGAAATGAACGCTGGCGGTGGTGGCAACTCGCCTGGCTTCGGCGCAAACACGGACGCAACTTGCGTTGAAGTGGGTGATGTCGTCCCAAAAAGAAGGGGCGCGTCGAAAGACTGACCGGGCTGTGGCGTTATTGGCGTGTTCATCGTTTTCGATTCTTGCTCGGTCCAGTCAGAACCTCTAAGGAACGAGAAATCAAGCGCCGATATCGACATTTCCTCTTGTGTTTTCTTTGGAGGGGCAATGGGCCCCAAAACATTCCTGGCAAAGTGTGGTGGTTCTTGGGATGGGACGTCACGCATTGTCACGTCCACGTTTGGAGTCACAGAGCGTGAAACTCTGGGAGACGCTGCTGCTTTGAGCTTGCCAGCAGAGCCAGGCTTACACGAACCAAATCCATATGCCACACTAGATGAGCCCGTTGATAGAGCAGGGAACGGGGGCCCGCCAAACACTCCAGGTGTCAATGACGAACCGAACTTCTGGACGGATCGGTCTTTGAGCCTATCAGGAGAAAGGAGGTTGCGCTTGGAGTCCGGGGCTGGCGAGACAGGATCATCTCCAGGCACGAACAGAGACATTGCCTTTCCATCATCGCTTGGCGTGACCACGCCCCACACAAAGGGTCGTCGAGGTGATGAAGCCCGGTGTGCGCTAATGCGGTGGGACCCAGCACTGCGGTCCATTTCATCAGAGTCATACTTGGCCATCTCGTGGGCGAGGTACTCGTCAAGGGGCTGTTCATGCGTCCAGGCGAGGCCAGGAACCGGCCCCCAATCTGGGCTCCATATTCCTCTCCGTTCCCAGGCGGCCTTGACATCTTCGTAAGTGCGTCTTATTTGGCGGGCCTCCCTGAGTTGTCCGTGGTCAATCTCAGTGACCACCTTGTACATGAATCTGTAGAATGGGGTGGCAAGGAATGCCCCGTCTTGCTCTGCCCACTGGTGAATTATGATCCTGAGAACGGCCGAGTTCGCTACCAGGTCCTCCTCGGAGAGCCACCTGAAGGTGAACAGTGTGAAGGGAATTGTTTCCGTTGCCTTGGCCAGTCCGAGGTCGGGAATTTCTTCGTGTCTCCATCTCCAGACCTTTGATTCGTCCCGGCAGTAGTCCCAGATGCCTTCTTTGATCCAGGATCGTCTGACGTAATCTGCAGCAACCACCTCCAAGTCGAGGCAGGACCGGTTTGCCTCTTGTCTTATTTCGGGGTTGTCGAGCTCCGCTTTCACTTCGGCCTTGAATTGGTTGGCCGGAAAAGATGCCTGGTGGCGCCAGATGAGATGCCACTTACGGTTCTCGAGTCGTCGCTGCTCCTTGGATACCGATTCGTTCTCAAGGAACTCGACCTCTCTCTTGGACAGCAGGGTTTTGTCGGCGGCGTCGTTGATGGTTGGCATGCGGGAGAGCCGCTGTTCGTCCTTCATGTGCAGATCGTACAGGTGGGACACGACGGTTCTATAACGGTCGTCATACCACACAAGTTCAAACATGACATGCGTGGACTGGGGACCGCCCATGCCTATGATGGTGTCGGTTCCAGCAAGCAGGGGAGTGTTGCGAGGGCTACCCGATTGGAAGGGTGTGGCACAGGGGCCGAGGATATTGCTGGTCTGAAGGTGCGATCTGTCATAAAAGACAACAAGCCCCTTTTCGATATCAATCTCGAACGAGCACTGGATCTTGGCGATGCTGCATCCATCGACTACAATATCGGCGTCGCGGCCGATTGTGATGAGAGTAGTCCTGTGCTCGCCCCTGGTTGAGCGGACATGGCCAACCGAGAGGACTCGTTCGTTGGTTCTCGAGAGCCGGACATGGACCGTGTTCTTAGGGTTCTCGATGGCTGCCTGGGCTCGGTCGTTCAAGGGCCGGAGGTAGAAGACACCAAACCCGGGACGGGCCCAAGGCGGTTCGTCGCACATTGGAGTGTCGAGAGGGGGTGAGGTGTGAGAGGGTTGAGAAGGTTGAGAATTGGAGAGGGTTAGGACTGTTGATGAAACCGAATTATGGGGTTTGTGATGTCTGTCAATCTTGCCGATGTGTGAACTGCGAGCTGCGAGCTGCGAGCTGCAAGACGATCAGCCAAGATTTTCCTGTCGACCATTGTCTCTTTATATCTGATTTGCACCCATCTACAGGCGCCCACAATGCCATCTAGAGAAACATGAAGTGTATTCGACAATCCCAAGTATGACCCTGACCAGCGTGTACAGCGCCACGACACGTGAAGACTTTAGAATGTGGCACCTGCATGCTACCGGGCGATAGCGTGTCTGGATTGGCTGCCTCATACCCCTGGGACCCGACAGTCTGGTCGAGGACCGTGTGACAAGCGCCCGAAAATACCAACCGGTGCCTGAGCCAATGGAACTCGGCCGGGACCTTGTCACCAGGGCTGCTCGCCTAGGTAGCGTCCGGGCATTCTGAAAAGAGAAGACAAAATTGCCAACCATGGGATTCTAGCCGGCTTTGGTCGAGACGGCGGGGGGAAGGCCGGGGAACGAACCCTCGGGCTTCACTCACGGGCGCGAAAATGCTATCATCCTTAGTGAAAGTGTGAGTGGGTCGGGAACCAACGAGCGAAATGCCACTTGCTATTCCATCATGTCTTATCTTTGTCTCAAATAGAGGAGTGCGTAGGAGGCACCGTATGCCTGGTAAGGGGTTCCATGCCGTTGTTCTTAGCATCTAGAGTCGGGCTGTTTGGCCTAACCTACACTAAAGAGAAAGAGAGAGAGAGAGAGGGTTGGCGTTAAAAAGAGCTAAACGCAATTGGGCGGGCAATGAAGGAGGCACTGTTGGGTTCTAACCTAACAATGGGAAGAAGACTCAAAACGGCAGTTGCGATTATCGCTGCCCGCATTCTTGTAAGTCCTAAACCCCCATTGGCTGGGTCGCTTCCGCACTGTGCCGCTAGACGCAGCCGACACAGTACCCTCACTCCAACTGCACACAGCTCTTAGGTTCCATTGTTCTAGCTGCAACTTGGCTGCCCACCCCTTCTTTTTACCTACCTAGGTGAAATGAGTGGGCGAGCAGCCACGTGAAAAGCGCTTATTATTAACTCTGTCTAGCACTAGTGGTACCACCGGGCAGTGACTGGAAGCCAACTTGAAGGGTTGAACCAACACAGGCTGGGTCTCGACCGTGCCTGCCGCGCTGGCCCATCCTTATTTCACCTGGAAGGCTTTATCTCGTGCATTTCATATCCCTCGCCAGCCTTCTCAATAAGTCAGTCAGGGCAACCGTACACTTGCGGAGACAGCAGTCGGTCACAGCACCGCACCGAGACAGGGAAGCCCTCCGCGATGGAGAGCGAAATGCACAAAGCCAGCACAATACTGTATAGCCTGTCACCGTTTCTTTCCTAAAAAAAAGCGCATAGAAGGCCGAGAGATGGTCGAGAGATGGGTTTTATTTCAAGAAAAAGACTGGTTTTGTCCCCGGCTCAATCCTTCCCGGTCGATTAACCACTTTCATCGGGGACCAAGGTTGTCACCCCAGCACTGGTTCCAGTCCCAGTCCCAGTCCCAGCCGCATACATCCAGCTCAAGGCGCTTGCCACGGGACCATGTTGGCGCGTCTAACCTTGGCTGCCTCACTATCTTACCCTAGCTAGACAGACAGACAGACAGACAGAGCAGGGGAGGCAGCGCTTCTTCATCCCCGTGGGACACCAAGCGCCGCCCCATTCCATGTGCCGGGAAGGAGGATGGATGAGTCAGAGCCTTTCCTCCTGACCGACCCATCCCACCCGTCCATGTACGGGGCCTGACTTTGTATGCCACAGCCCTATTAATATCAGCGCGAAAATCCCGCAGTTCGCAGTCCTAGCCGCGCGGATAGTATAGTAAATTAAAGGGTCGCCGCCCTGGAGCAATTCAGGGGGTTAGGTTAACTTTTTGAGTAGGGACCCTAGGTAAACGTCTGCGCCGCAACAGGGCCCTGGGCCTGCGGGCTCTCGAGCAGCTGGTCTTTAGTTCGAAAGTCTACGTGCTGCTAGTCAAAGAGAACGAGCGATATATTTACTCTTTTATAGACTCTGTAGGAGCGCTACAACATGACTTGGCCTGTACTCAAACTTGGTATGCCAATCACAATTTGCCCAAAGCAAATCAAACGAACGCTTTGCCAAGAAACATTGCTAAACCGGAGCATGTCGGACAATTCCCCATGAGGCGAGTATGGATGACCGAGCCGGCGGCTGCTGTTGAAGGCAGACTCTGCTCCTCTGGTCTCGGTGAAACTGGTCTAGCCCTCTGGCCCCTCGCGCTCGAGCGGATTATATAGAGGCTGTGTAGAGTACATCAAAACGGTGGCTATGAGTCGAAATGAAAGGGACCGTCTCTTGTGACCACTGGCTTCCAGGTCTGCAGTCCTAGATATGACCATGGCTGCAGGCTCCATACTATTGCGGGCTCGGGTGTGTAATTGTCCTTGTTGTGTGGTTGGATATCTAGGACATGTTCGTTGACTGGACAAGGTTGACTCGACTGACGTGAATAGGTACTACTACAAAGACCCGCTAACAAGCATCTAGAGATTTCATAGTAGAGTCTCACCCGGTGCTTGGTCTGGAAGCGCCCGTATAATTGTGCCATGCTCAAAACACGTAGTTCACGTGTTGTTTCCGAGTCCGGGTTTGGCTCGACCCATCACCTCCTCTCCCATAGAGTATCGTGTCTGTCTCGGGGTGACACGTGCGCAGTTTCACGTTGGGCAGCTTTGTGAACATCCAAATTAGCATCCTTCCACCTGTCATCTATCTACACCCCCCGCTTCGGGTTTTCAAGAAAATAAATGAGTAAAAATAATTACCAAGCTCTATCGAGTCTATCACACCACGCATGCTCTGCTTTCACTGTAAGTACACCAAAACGGCCAGCCACACCCAAACCTACCTGCTACCCCCTACCTAACTTCCTACCTGCTGCCCACCTGACTGTCACTATATCTTGGGCGGGACCCACCAGCCCTCCACGACTGACGTTATCAATCGGTTCGCGATCGCCAGCGGTGGCGGCAGGCGCAGCTTGCCCTTGGCATAGCCCTCGGGGGCGGGCTCTCCGAGGTTGCTGACGCCCTTGGCGAGGGCCTCCCTGGCTTCCTCGAGCGGGACCCACCTGGCGTCCTCGAGCTCGGCGTCGTGGCCGAGGAAGATGGTCTCGCCGTCGCCCGATAGCGCCTGGCCGACGGCGCCGATCATCAGGCTCGCGGGGAACGGCCACGGCTGTGACGAGTGTAACACGACACGACCGACGCGCACGCCGCTCTCCTCCCACACCTCGCGTCGGACCGCCTCCTCAATCGACTCGCCCGGCTCCTGGAAGCCGGCTAGAGTAGAATACCAGAACTTTGGCCAGCGGCGCTGCCGCCCCAGCAGCACCTTGGAGCCGTCAGCGCTGATGATGGCCATGATGACGGTGGGGTCGGTCCGCGGGAAGCTGAGGTTGGACACAGTGCCCCGCGTCGCGCACGGCAGGCGGTCCACGGCGGCGCCGGTCGCCTTGTCCGTCGGCGGACACACTCGTTTGGTGCCGGCGTTGACGGAGAGCGTGCGCTGGCCGCACTGGGCGCAGAACGGGTTCCGCGCGTTCCAGTCGAGTAGGGCACGAGCCTGTCCATACGTTGCCGCTAGGGAGGGGGTTGGTTGCAACAAGCATTAGCGACGGACTTTGGAGTTTAGATATATAAAAGGGGGCGTCAGACGAGCGGCTCACCTTGGCCGGCCTCCAGCCCCATAGCCCTCGGGGATGCGTCGTGGAAGGAGAAGCCCTTCTCCAGCACGGCGGTGATCAGGGCGTTGGCGGCGTCGGCCAGGGTGCCGCGCGGGGTGACGTCGATGGCAAAGTACGGGGTGCCCCTGAAGTTCTTGTACGCGAACGTGTCTTGTACGTCGTTGTGCGACGGCAGCTCGCCCTTCTCGTCGATACCGAGAAAGAGGACGACGGTCTGCGTGTCTTCTGAGTTGAAGTCGCCGATCAGCTCGTCCTCCTTCTTGCCAAAGGGGTCTGGGCCGGTCAGGTGCAGGACGTCGTCGGCGGTCGCAATGGCCAGCTGGGACGCGTCCGGCTGTACCAGGGGCGAGAGGCTGTTCATCAGCAGCACGGCGGCCGACGGGTGCGCAAAGGCGGCGCGCAGGAAGTCATGGTCGGTGCGCAGGAAGGACAGCCGGTTGAGCGGGCTGCCCGAGAAGTAGTTTGCTGTCTCGCGGCCAAACTTCTGGGACAGCATCGAATCCTCGTCGACCAGGACGGGGAGAAGGGGGGTCGGCATGGCGGCGCCTGCGCTTGGATTTGGGAGGCGTCGCCTGGGAGCGCGTGGATGTGAAACGGCAGAAGGAGACAAGGCCGACTTTACTGTTTGTTGGTGCACTGGGTGGACGTGTCGAGATCCGCGAGTGCAAAGCTGAGCTACGCCGGCAACAAAGAGCTAGATGACAGAATCGCATCATTGCCGGGTCGGTAGCTCTTATAGGCGTGGGCGGGGCATGCGATAGCGGCAGCTGCTCCCGTCTTTGACGAAGTAGACCTCGAGTTCCATTGACCTCTAATACTACTACTAACGTAGGTACTGCAGCAAGCAGCGCCAGCGGAGCGTGCTGAGTAATGGCGCTTGTAAATCAATCCGCGGAACCTTTGTCGAAACTCGAAAATGGGCGGGTATCGGGGTGTGTATTCCGTATGTGCGGAACAATACATCCCGGCAAATTGGAGCAACGAGATATCTATGAATTAAGATGTAGTACCTGACGTACCATGCAATCTCTTAAACGTCAACGATATCGGCGGCCGGAAATGAATCCTTAACACATGGAATCCCGGGGCATGGCGACAGTTGGTCTCGGTCAAAGACATCAAAAGCCATGTTGGGATGGCAGTGTCTAAATTTCGCCATCTGAGCTGCCTTCTCGGCTATAAGCCAGGGTTAGGGTTGATTATCTGCACCACACTATAGCTGCGACACTGTGGACGGAAGTGGACGGAAATTGGCCGACGCCGCATCTTGGAGTTGCAGGTGTTCACGAGCAAGTGTAAGTACCTCCCGAAGCAGCAACAAAGCTCGACTAACGGCAAACTGTGCGGCAAACGCTGCCAATGGGGCTCTGGAGATAACGTCCAATGCCTAGAGCAGTCGCATTCGATTTTAGACTTAATTGACCGATTTAGCTACCTTTCTTACCTTTACTACCTCGACTTTGACCTGTCAACCATCCCTTCACTCTCCTTCTTGCCGGCCAGCCGAACCTCAGAACGACCATGGCAACGCCTGACCTCGCGGCGCTGACGTCCGCGGCGCAGATCTTCTCGGGCAGCCACACGCTGCCGCAGATCCGCGCCATCCACAAGGCGCTGCACGCCCAGATCGACGACAAGGCCGCCCGCCTGCGCACCCAGGTCGGCGGCTCCTACCGCGAGCTGCTCGGCACCGCCGACACCATCGTGCGCATGCGCGACGACATGGACACGGTCCAGGCCACCCTGGGCCGCATGGGCGGCTGCTGTGGCCGCGCTGTCGTCAACGCTAAGGTCGCCGGCCTCGCCCGCTTCGTCGGCGAGCGCGAGGACCTGCACCTCGACTCGGGTACCAGCCTCGGCGCCGTCGCGAGGGTCAGGCTGCTCGACGCCTGCCTGTTGACCCTGGCCAGGGTGCTGAGGAGTACCCCAGCGGTGCATGGCACGAAATTGAAGGATCATGGAACCAACAACAATGCCCAGGTATCAAAGGGGGACAGGCTGGTCCTCGCCGCCAAGCTCTGGGTCCTGGGCCGTCTGCTCGTCAAGAGCTTTGGGGACACCGCGGCGGCGACAAAGGACGGTTATGGTATCGATTCGGCCCGGAAGACTTTGGAGAACCTCCATGCGAGGCTGCTGCGGAGCGTCGACGGCGTGCTGCGGAGCGCCAGCGAGAAGAAGACGAAGCAGGGTGGCCTCCTCAAGGCTCTGAGCGCGTACAGCCTAGCAAACAGCTGCGGCGCGCGGGACGTCCTGAGGCACTTTCTGCATGTCAGAAGTCAGGCGATAGCGCTGGCCTTTGAGACGGACTCCGAAGAGCGTGGTGGCGCCGCGGGAGCCGCCAGGAACCCCCGAGAAGTTCTCAGATCCCTTGGCCTCTACACAGCGACTCTCCAAGATGTCCAGTTTCTCGTGCCCCACAAGCTTACCGACGCTCTGATCGCCCTGAAGAAGACTGCGCTCTTGGACGACGAGTCGCTGCAGACCATCGAGGGCCTGCGCCTCGACGTGTACAAGCGGTGGTGCGGCGACGAGATCCAGTTCTTCACGCCATTCATCCGCCACGACGACCTCGACGGCAGGCAGGCCAAGGAGACGCTGATCAAGTGGGCCGGCGAAGGGAGCAACGTGCTGCTCGGCGGGCTCGAAAAGACGCTGGATGGCATGTCTGAGTTCAAGGCCATCGTCGACCTGCGCACCAGCGTGCTCAAGCTGTGGGTCGCAGAGGGCGGCAAGGCGAGGGGCTTCGACCCGTCCCTCATGCTCAACCGGATCCGGGACGCCGTCAACGCGCACCTGCTGCAGGTCCTCGAGGCCAAGGTGTCCAAGCTCCGCCTCGTCGGGTCCGAGGTGTCGGCGGCGCTCGACTCGTGGCGCGAGGGCGCCACCGACCGGCACCAGGGACTGTGGGACGACGGCTCGGTCGACACGGACCTCTCGCACGGCGCCGCCCAGTTTACGCAGGACGTCATCGCGCGGCTCTACGGTCGGAACGACGCCGTGTCGCGCGCCCTCAACTGCTACCGGTCCTGGTTCCACGTCATCGACGACGTCGGCCAAGTAGTCGACCAGCTCCGCCGCCACCGCTGGGACAACGACGTGGACGAGATCGAGGACGAGGACACCATCGAGCAGCGCCAGCAGCTGCTCGCCCGCGACGACCCGCAGACGTTGCACGACCACCTCGATGCCTCGCTCGCCAGGGCCCTCGCCGCCCTCGACGACCAGTTGGCGGCCCTGTGGAGCAAGCACCGCGGCGGGCCCAACCGCGGCCCCATCGCCGTCTACCTCCTCCGCGTGCTGCGCGACATCCGTGCGAGGCTGCCCGAGCTGGACCTCGGCACGGCTAGGGCGTTCGGGCTCGCCGCCGTGCCGTACCTGCACGAGGCGGTGGCGGCGGCGGTGGCGGCGGGCCCGGTGGACGACTTCGCGACGGCGGCGCTTGCGCGCACGACGGTGGCCGGTAAGAGCCTCTGGGAGGGCGGCGCGTCGTCGGAGGCGGAGTCGCTGCTCCTCCCCACCTCTCCGTCGCCGGGTGCGTTCCGCTTCCTGCGGAACCTCTCCATGGCCATGGGCGACGCCGGCGGCGACCTGTGGAGCCCCGCCGCCGTCGCCGCCCTGAAGCGCCACGTCCGCACGCAGCTGGCGGCGCGCTGGCTCGACGCTGCCAAGTCGGCCGCGGCCGCGCCCATGTCGCCTGCTACTATTGTCGAGGCAGAAGAGGAGGCGGCGGACAAGCAGAAGGAGGAATCCAAGGAGGAAATGCAGTCCGGTGGGAGGGGTGAACATGACATCGAGGCAGCCAAAGATGAGGGCGGGGGCGAGGGCCGTGCTAAACCCTCGCAAGAGCCGTCCCCCGAACAAGGGAACGCCGTGGGCACCGGCGATGGTAACGCAGCGCTCCTCGCTCGGCGACAAGACTTGTTCGTGCAGTGGCTGTTCGACCTCTGCTATCTCGGGCTTTTCCTGGGGTCGTCGCCATCAGCATCGGCCTCGGCCTCGACCGGCGGGGGCAATGAGTTCAAGGACCTCGAGAGCACGGTCATGCAAGGGACGGGCCTGGCGGGCGGCGCCGAGGTGGTGGCCGCCCGGGAGCGGCTAGCCAAGGCGTCGCAGGACTACTGGAAGCGGACGAGTCTGCTCTTTGGCTTGCTGGCGTGACGTCGTTGGGCTGGGGGGGCAGATTGATGATGGATGATGGATGTATGATGACCAAGGCATTCCCTATTGGAGTCTGATTAAGCAAGCAAGCCCGCAATAGATTCAACCACGACTTGTTATTATTGGGATTCGTTTATGAGGCATAAAGTCAAGAAGTTAAAAGTCAAACCCGCTGCGCTCCCCGTAATGCATCGCACTGCATATAAATATTTACTTTGCATTAGATGGATGCCTATACACACACACACACACACGCACGCACGCAATAGCAGAATGACACGCTAAAGCTTGTGGCGCTTCTTGCCCGTGGCGATCTTGAGGAACTCCTCCTGCGGCACGCCCGCCACGAAGCGGTCGAGCCCGGCAAACACCTCGGCAACGTTCTGCGCGTCCAGCACGGCGCGCTCGGGGCGCCGCATCAGCGCCTTGATGCCCAGTAGACTATCGCCGACAAGATGGTCGCCGAGCCGCTCGTCGATCTCGCGCAGCACGGCCGTCTTGAAGTCTCCCTCGGAAGGATCAAACACTTTATTCACGAACCCGGCCGCAAGCAGCTCGGACACGTCGAGCCGTTTGCTCATGATTAGCGCCTCGCTCGCCCGCGCCACGCCCAGCCGCTGCACTAGCCCGCGCGACGCGCCGCCCTCGGCGACGAGTCCGAGGGAACTGAATGGCGTGAGGAGGAATGTGCTGGGGGTGGCGTACACGAAGTCGGCGAACCCGACCAGCGCCGCCGACAGCCCGATCACGGGCCCGTTGAGTCCCACGACGAGGATCTTGGGGTGTGAGTAGAAGGCCTGCGTGGTGTTCAGATTTGATGCCACGAAGTTGCGCAGCCAGTAGGCGTGGGATGCGTCGGATGGGGTGAGGGGGGCCGTGTCTGATGAGGGAGAGGAGGGCCCGTCGCGTGCAAGGGATACGTCTGCGCCGCTGTTTTGTATCTGTGTTAGTATGGGACATGTAAATAAGTGAATGAGTGAATGGGGTGATGTGTAATAAATCATCCATCTGTGTTGCACAACATACACACACACATTCACACCCACTCACACTCACACTCACACATGCCCCCCTTACACATACAGAGAGAGAATGAGAAAGAAAGAAAGGAAGAGAGAGAGAGACCCACGCAGAGAAATACCGGCCCTTGCCGATCAGCAGCGTAATGTACACGTCGTCGCGCGCCGTCACCTCGCGCATGCGCTGCGCCAAATCATAGTATTGCGCCTGGCTGAGCGCGTTGAGCTTGGCCTCGTTGTCGATGGTCAGCACGGCCACACGGCCGCGGTACTCGACGCCGATGACCGAGGCCGGCGACGCCATTGTTGATTATCAACTGGTTGTTTTTGCGTGGGTGTGGCTATGGTAGTAAGCGCCTATTTAATGAGAAATTAAAACGAGTAAATGTGGTTTGGTGGATTGTCTTAGACGTTGAAGCTCCGGTCACGATAGAGATGGGGTTAGGTCAAGTACCTTCCTTACCTACCACTTTATAATTCCGAGTGGGTGAGTGAGACCTAGGCAGGCGATGAAATGCGATGGACTACGACCCCAACCCAAGGTCGATATATATAACAGAGGTAACCCAAGTCAAGGTACTTTCCAACCTACCTTACGTTGTATTTTGGGTTGGTAATATGATAATATGCTCCCCACCCTTCAGGAACAGCCTCCACCTACCGGATTGATCAATTGATTGAGTGGACGACAGAATGCGGAGAGCCGAGGCCTCGGTCTTTGAGTGTGGAGTTGAAGTGAATGAAGCCTGGGGGAATCGGAGTTGCATCTATTGTCAAAATGCGGGACAGCACGTGTCTTCCCAGTTGGGCAATCCACTTTTAGTGCCATGATACTTGCCCCAAATAAATAAAACGGCGCCCTGTTTTTGCGTATTCGCGACTTGGAGCACGCGCTGGGTGGATAAGACCTCTTGAGGTGCGGTGCGCGTATTCAAGCACAAAGCGGGAAGCTCGGATGACGGTATGAATGTGACCAGAGAGAGATAGAATATGGGTTCCTTTTACACGAGCAGTCATACATTCATACCTCATACCTATACATGCATACAACCATTCTATTTTTTTCTTTTATTTCCCATCCCTTTTTATTCCGTAGATCCCCTTTTATGTTCCTTTTATGTTCCCTTCTATTCTGAGATTAGCCCCTGTTCACGTCGAATACACCGAAATGTTCCTCTCTAGCACAGGCCTCTCGTCCCACGCCTCGCCGTCGATGCTCTGCTCCTCGTCTAGCGTGCCGTCGTTGCTGCCCTCAAACGAGCTCTCATCATCGTCGTCGTCCTCGCCGCTCTTGTCATACACAAAGAACTGCACAAAGATGCCCAGGTCCAGCAGCAGCGTGCCCGCGCTGCCCGCCAGCCACGACAGGTTGACGAGCATGTACTGGCGGTAGATGGCCGCGGCTTCTCCCTGGCGGCACTCGCCGTCGACCTCACACGCCGGGTCAAAGACCACGATGGACAGCACGTACGTGAGGTTGCCCAGGCACGCGAACAGGAAGAACAGCATAGACACGCCGTCGGTCGACTTGCGCCGGTAGTTGAGCAGCAGCTGCGGCAGCCGCGAGCCCAGATACAGCGCCGCGCACAGCCACCCAAACACCTGGCCCCACAGGTTCATAGTCATGGGAGGCGCGTTCTCGCCGCCCTCGGCCCCCGCCGGCGGCTCCCCGTAGCCCCGGCTCAGCCACCAGCCGAGCACGCCCGCCGCGCACACCATGACGATGGCCAGCATGTTGGACGCCGCAGCCTGCAGCCGCGTGGGCGGCGCCGGGGGCGGCCGCACCGCCACGTCGGCCCCGCTCACCAGCGGGACCGCCGGCGACAGGTGCGACCAGTCGGAGCCGCGGCGCTCGCGGTCCTCGAAGTACGAGGGCGCCGCGGCCGGGAGCAGGGCGGTGCGCTCGGTAGCCTGCTGATGCTGCTCCTGCTGGCGCCGGGACGCGGCGCGGCTCTTGGGCTTAGGCTTGGTCGTCGCCGGCGGCAACACGCTGTCCCGCAGCGTGAAGCCCCGGTAGTAGAAGCACTGTCCAAGCAGCACAAAGTCGGCAATTGTGTAGTAAAAGGCCAGGATGACCATGGTGGGCAGCACGCCTTGCAGCACGGCGCCCTTTGAGAACAAGTCTTAGTATTGGGGTAGATTAAGAGATGAAAGAACGTCATACCAATATATTGAAGACGTCGCCCAGCAGCCAGACGACTATGAACTGGATGGACAGGCCATCGGCGCTGCCGCGGCGGACGTTCTCGATAATCTGCGGCGAGAAGACGACGACCCAGCAGGCGATCGATATAGACCTGTACACAGTAAGTTAGAATGGCTGGACGAACGGACGGAAAGCTGGGCGGCGTAATTTAATCACGCACCCGCAGATGCCCGAGATGGCCTCGACATCGAGGTTGAGCGCCTGGGTGGGAGGCGCCATGAGAAGAGGCGCCCGCGATTTACCTTGGGCAAGGTAGGTATGGTATGTGATGTATATAAAGTAATCCGCAAGGTAGACAAAGTGAGGTCCCCTGGAGGTAGGCAATAGAAGGCCAGGTCCGCTGATATGGCGATGGGTGAGTGAGTGAGTGGGGGGGGGGGGGCCTGGAATGAAGTGAAAGAGAGACAAGCGATCTCCTGCTGGCCGTAATACGCTGGAGCGTTAACCCGAGAAACAAAGCAAAGCTGGAAGAATCTCTCTCTCTGTCTCTTTCCGAGCTCCCGGCGTGGGGTAAATTCCCAGCGATAAAAAAAAAGGAGCGAAAAAGTTTCACCTTGCCGCCCCCAAATATCCGGAGCAAACTAACCCCCTATTTCTTTTTTGTGCTTCTCTTATTCAAAAGAAAACAGTCCGGGGTGTTGTTCTCAAGAAAGATGCGACGCCGGAAAGGGCAGAACCCAAAAAAAGGAAAAAGCGAAAGAAGAGGAAAAGTTTCAGGCTCTGTCCCATTTGTCCCAAAGCCGAGCCTAGCCCTTCCTTTGTTCATCCTTGCGTGGTTTTGCGCTGGGGCCTGCAGGTCCCTAACCCGACCAACCGTTTTAGTGCGTGGAGGGGGGAAGGGCCAAATCCGGGGGATCCTGGGCGTGTGGTTGTGGTGTGGTGTGGTGTGGTGGTGGTGCTGATGACGCCACTGGGCTGCGGGGAAACGGATGGGGTTTTATTGAGCCGCAGAGAGAAATTTTCTTTTTACATGTGAGCAGCAAAATCAATAAATAAAACAACAAAGGGGCAGGAAGTGATGAATAAGAACCCTTAATTGCACTCAAGAAACGCAATGAATATACTCAAAGGTGTACAGAGTAATAACAGAGAAATTATACCCAAGGCAGAGGATCTGGAGACTGGAAGGTTCCCAAGCAGCAATATAGGTCAATAAACCGTGAAACGGAAACAAAAATCTCGGCTTCAGCTTCAGTGTAATCGCCCATGTTAGCAACGGGCTTCAGTTATGGATGTCAAACATGAGGATCGAGCTTCAAACTGCACTCTAAGGAATCAAGTGGCAACCACAGGGCGCTGGTGTTCTGAAGAGTCTTGGCAACTCAGCAACTCGACTGAACTCACTCAGCTCAGTCAACACTCAACTCAACTCGGTCAGACAACATCTCAACTTCATGTCTCCAAGTCTCAATTGCCAGCAGCACACCCAAAAGGGCAACATCTATGTCTACACTCCCCCACACTTCACAGCTTGGTGCTCTTGACCAGGTTGGTCTTGATACCCGACAGCTCTCCCTGGTACCCGCCGCGGCCCTCGCCGCCCTTGTACGTGGCCTTGACGCTGCGGAGCTTCTTCTTCTTGTCCTCGTACATCATGCGCTTCTTGACGCGCGGGTTGCGCACCTCCTTGCGGCGCGTGGGCATGAGGCCCTTGTTCTTCTGGATCTGGTACGTGATCTGCCGCTTGCCGTCGGGCCCTATCTCAGCCGACTCCACGATGCGCTCGTCCTTCTTGGCCTTGGCCAGCGCCTCGTGCCGCGCCGTCTTGTCCGTCCGCTTCCGCTGCGCCGCGTGCGCCACCATGTCGTAGTACGCGTCCTCACCGTCGCGCACCTCCCGCGCCACCGTGCCCTCGTTGTCGTCGCCGCTGTGGTCGCCGTCGCCGCCCAGCTCCGTGCCGGGCCTGCCATCCTTCTTGCCGCGACGCTCCGCCTCGACGTTGAGGCGTGCTTGTCGGTCACGCTGGTTCTAGAGTTAGCTGGGCTTCTTGAGGTGTAAAAAGGGGATTGTCCACTTACAAGTCGCTCCCTGTACGGAATATCCATGTCACCACCAGCGTCACGGCCTGCTCCAGCGCGACGGCTAGCCTTCTGGACGATCTGCGAAGTGTAGAACCGCAGGCTCTTCTTGCGCTGTACCTTGTCGGCGGCTGTCCGGGCGTCAATGGTTTCCTCTTCGCCAAAGTCGGAGCGGTTGTCATCCTCTCCGTCTTCCACCGGCACAGACAAAGCCTCTGCGCGGGCCGCTGCCGTCATGGTACCCTTGAGCAGGGCAGACATATCTGCCAGGGACTGCTCGACAGCCCTGGCCTTCTTGGCCTTGTCAGCCGCCTTCTTACTGGCCTTGATGTCGCCCTTGGATAGTTTCTCCTTTTTATTCTTTGGCTTTATCGACCCATCAGACATGCTCAGATCCTCTTCCTCCGGCGGCGAGAGCATGCCGATGCTCGACACAGCCGCAGTCTTGGCCGGCTTGAGCTTCTCGACCCTCACCCACGCCTCGCGACAGCTCATCAGCGTCTCCATGACCTCGTGATCCCGCAGCTCTGCGGGGCTGAGCGTTTTCGTCTGGCCATCGACACTGTCCCTCGCCGGGGACGTCAGGATGGCGAAGTAGCTGGTCAGGGCGGCGAAATAGCACGCGAGTACCCAAGACTTCACCACCTCGATCGACTTGGCCGGCTTGCCGAGTGCTTCTTTCTGCAGGGTAGCTAGCATGGACTTCAGATCCCTGAACTCGTCCACCAGGTAGTCGAACTCGGGATACCGCGCCTGCAACAGCTTGTACCTCTCGTCGGGAGTCATCTCGCTCGTGATCTCGGCGTCGTTGAGGACCTCGACCACGACGTCCTCGTCAGCGCCGTCCGCTGCAGCTTCGCCCTTGGTTGTAGAAGCCAACCACTCGCCCTCGTCAAACGCGAAATCGGCCTCGTTCATCTTGGCCAGCTTCTTGACCTGGAGCCTCCGGGCCTCTGCCTCTTCTTCCTGCAGTGCGTGTTAGTGAACGCGGGGCTATCGCCAGATTGCCGACAAAGGCCGTCAGAACAGCAACGAGCTTACCAAGGCATCCGCCTCGGTCTCAATGACATCGGCATCGTAGTACTCTTTGCGCGAAGTGCCCCACCAGCCGTCGTCGCCTTCTTGGTCGCCGCGCTGGCCCTGCTCTTCATCGTCGTCGGACAGGTCGTCCTTCTTAGCGGCTGCCTTCTCCCCGCACTTTTTTTGCTTCATTGTAGGAGCTGCGGCTTCTGTCTGCTCTTCCTCGTCGCTGTTGTCGTTGTCGTTGGCGAAGATCTCCTCGTCCGAAGCTTCGAGGAAGGCGTCCTCCTTCTCCTGCCTGCGCAGCCGCTTCGACCGCGGCTCATCCTCGAAGTCGATGCGGTCCTCCTCTTTTGCAAAGTACTCGTCCTCCGAGTCGGCCACGTCGCGGTACGTCTTGACCGCTAGCCGGGCATCGTTGGGGTCGACCTCGCGGGGCCCCGCGGGCTCCGAGTTCCTCGGCGCCTTGCGCTTCTTGGCCATATTTGCAGGAGGGAGTGCCTTCCTTTCGATCGTATGGGTGTTCTGAGGATAGGATCCCAAGTTTAGAATTGGATCACACTTGTCGTCGCTATGCTATTTCATGGGGTCGTATTCCCAAGGAATTTATTTAGCTTCTCGTTGTTTCGTCGTTGAGTGGTTCGCAATTGTATGATCGGACTCGCGATTGTGGGAGAATTTTTTTCGGCGCCCATTTGCCTGCCATGCCTGGCCGTTCCTAAGAGACGGCAGGTGAACCCCACTAACCACTACTGTCCCCACTATATTAAGCTCTTAGGTCAGTGCGTTAGCCAAATTACAGTTGTATTTCTGTACCGGGCTATACGGAATATCCGTGGATGGAAGTCGTGCAATAATCCTCTTCCAGTTGAGACTGAATCTTGGAATTGTGATTTGCCATTGCATCCGCATTATCCATATTCTCGTCAATATCCCTAGCTATTATGACTGAGCGCCTAACTGTATTCCTTCTTTGGCATACAAAAGGGGCGGAAGGAGCAGCGCAGGGCATCGAGTCCGAGCCAACGGACCCACCATTCCACGGATGGGTTGACATCCATTGCGGGCAGTTACTTTATAATTGGTAGGGGTGATGAATGTCAGACTGGGCAAATTCATCGCGCTCAGTAACTACCTAACCCATGTCGGTGGCTGCTGATACGCAGCACCTATGGGATATTAAAACTACCTAGGGAAAACTAGCAATTACTCGGAGGACATATTAAATACCCTGTGGCCCCGAGTCTGCCGCAGCTATTCCGTATTCTCGATGGGCCATTTACTATTCCAGAGCCAGAACCAGAGCCAGAGCCTCCAAAACGTCTCTTGGACCTTATCGGCCGTAGTTGCAGCAACCCTGACTGTCGCCATAGTCATCGCCGCCGCCATGGGACTGTTTGGCAAAAAGAACCACATGCCCGTCGAGGGCCGGGTATGTTCATTTGTGTCTCATTGTTTGTCGTGGTTTTCCCCAGCATAAGCAGCAAAGCAACTCTGCGGGGCTCAATGGCTACTAGTAGCTGACTTTTTTCTCTTCAAGACGGTCCTCGTCACTGGCGCCTCGGAGGGAATGGGTCGCAGTGCCGCCGTGCAGCTAGCGGCCAAGGGCGCCAACGTCATCATTGTGTCGCGCAACGTTGGCCGCCTAGAGGAGGCTCTCGTCGAGGTCAAGGTATGGAGAGACCTTGCCCGCGTCCACCAGTTTAGGAACCCCTAAACAGGGCATGCTTATATATGGCCTACCTAACTAACCGCTCCCCTTTTCTTCTTCTTCCCCACAGGCGGCCGCAAAATCCTCGCAGACGCAGCGGTTCCTCTACATCTCGGCCGACGTCTCGGAGAAGGACTTTGCCGAGCGCGTGGTGGCCGAGGCCATGGCGTGGAACGGCGGGGCGGCGCCCGACATCGTGTGGTGCGTGGCGGGCATGTCGACGCCCATGCTGTGGGCCGACGACGGGGCCATGGACGCGGCGCGGCGCAACATGGACGTCAACTACTTTGGCGCGGCCGAGATGTCGCGCGCCATCCTACGCGTGTGGCTGGCGCCCGAGAACGCCGCCGCCATTCCCAACGCCCAGCCCAAGCACATCATCTTCACGGCCTCGGTGCTCGCCCTGTTCGCCATCGTCGGCTACGGCCCTTACTCGCCCTCCAAGTGGGCGCTACGCGGGCTCGCCGACACCCTCGCCATGGAGCTGCAGCTGTACCCAGACCACCCCGTGCGCGTGCACGTCGTGTACCCGGCCACCATCACCAGCCCCGGGTTCGACCGCGAGAACCTGACCAAGCCTGCCATCACCGTCGAGCTCGAGAAGGCCGAGCCGCAGGAGACGCCCGACACGGTCGCCCGCCGCGCCATCGACGGCCTCGAGGCCGGCCACTACTTCGTCACCATGTCGTTCCTGGGCAACCTCATGCGCTGCGGTATCATAGGCGCCTCGCCGCGCAACAACTGGTTCCTCGACACCCTCATCGGCTGGTTCGTCCCCATCATCTACTTCTTTGTGCTCCGCGACTTTGACGGTCAGGTGCGCGGGTGGGCCAAGAAGCATGGCCATCCCAGCGCGCACGCCAAGAAGCCCTGAGCCAGCAGCGTAAGACTCGAGCCAGCAGCGTGAGACTCCTGCCGTACACTCAGGGAGAAAATCATCGTGTAAAGTAGATTGTACAAATACGGCCGAGTTACAAAGTGAAGAATGTGGAAGGCCAAGCAACAGCTTCACACCTCCCTGTACCAAAAAAAAATTATGGACGAATGATGGACTAGCCTCCCTCTTAATGGCTCACCAAAGGGTCAAAGGGGAGGCGGTAACTATGAGAAGGAGAAGAGCAAAAATATTAAATTCACAAGGACGGCTCGTCTCCCTTTTGTGGTTGGCTAGCGAGGGCCTTTCCAGGCCTGTTTCATTTGCCCAAATCAGTATTCTTTCTAGATATCACCAGGGAATCAGATTGTGCTCTGTACTGCTACTAGTTTCAAGGCCAGGGTATCATACTACGTACAGTTTTTTCTTTAGGCAAACCGCTCACAAATCGTCGTCCGTACATATCACGACTCTCTCGCCCTCCACCTCCCCCGAAACGACAACTTCTATTGACCACGATCTACGCGGCCAGTCCTTCCCTGCACGCCAGAACAAGATACGAAACAAGACATTACATTAGGAAGAGCAGAGACATGGGCATCTCTTCTGGGACGGACGGCCATGCAAAGAAATGCAATCCATCATGCCAAGTACATGAACCACCCAGACTCTGGTTGCAGGGTGTCATAGCCATCCCACCTACCACCACCACTCCCGCCCAGCACAAGAGACGAGGACGGCGGCTCGACGGGGCCGGCATCGCTAATCCGTCCCGCCAGCGGCGACGCGTCTTCCGCGACGGATCGCGTGACGCGCATAGCCAAGGACCCGGCGAGCAGCTCGACGGGGATGCGGGCGCCACCGTCAAGCAGCGTGACGGGGACCTTGGCGAAGCCGACGGGCACGTCGCTCCTCGAGATGCTCACAACGCCGCCGCCTGCTCCGGCTGGCGAGCCCGACGAAGGATGGAGGGGAGGATGGAGGCAGCGGCCGGCCTCGTCCCAGTAGCAGAAGGCCGTAATCCAGCCCGAGTACGTAACGCGGCCGCTGCCGTTAGGGCGGTGCTGGTCGACGATGGCGGCCCAGAAGCGGCGCGCGGCAGGCCCATCGGGGTCGCGGAACGAGCCCGCCAGGTTGGTTAGTACAGGCCGCAGCACGCGGCGGTACCACTCGGCGGGGCCGGGGCCGAAGTCTGAAGACGGGAAGGAGAGCCGGCTCTCGCAGCGGCGGGCAATCTCGTCCCAGTCGGCGGCGTCGCCCAGCAGTGTGACGGCTGGGATGCCGCACCGCGTCCCCCAGCTGTATGTGAAGTACTTTTGCATCGTGCCCATGAAGATGATGCTCGCGACGGCCTGATCTGTCGCACGCGTAGTGCTGAAGGCCGGCAGGATCCAGTCGCGCAGCGCCGGGTCGCGTACGCGCGTGCCGAGCAGCTGGCCCATCTGCGAGACCACGGCCCCGTGGTCGAAGTTTGGAGCTGAGACGTCGGCGTCGATGTGGAGGTGGTTCTGCTGCTGCTGGGGCGATGTCTCGTGCTGCCCGACTAGGTTCGAGCGCAGGTCCGCAGCGTTGGCGTTGACGTAGGCGCTGAGCTGGGTTAGGATCGCGAACCACACGTCGTCGGGCCGCAGCACCAAGTTGTGGTGCTCGTTGTAGGCCTCGATGCAGGCGTGCACGAGACCGTTTTTTGTCGCGAACGTGGTCGAGGTCCGCCGGTCGAGTCGGTCGGCGAAGGAGCTGTCAAAGACGGTGCGCCGGGACATGGCTCGCGGGCTACCGCTGTCACGGCCGCCTCTCCCCCGCCGGCTCCCATCGAAACCCGAGACAACGCCCGCGGCGGCGGCGTCGTCGTCGTCATTGCTCGTCGTGCTCGACAGCAGCTGTTCTGGGGATGTTGCCTGAACGTACCTGCCGCTGCCGTGGAGCTGGCCCTGCTTACCCCAGCTCTCGGCTATCCGTGACGATAGCCTGACTGTCACGGGCATTGTGTGTGGCTGCCGTGGTGTTTCCTCCTACGTCTGCTCCAACCTGCGCCTGGGTTAATGGGGAACTGGTGGGCAGTGCGGCAGCCACGAAAAAGAAAGCTCGGGAAGGGAGAAAGGGTGAAAAAGGGGTTTTGTAATTTTTGCGCTTGAAGTCGTCCATGGTGACGGGCTTGGCTTGCATTATGATAGACAGACATACAGACAGACATGAGGAGCCAATCCCGCGCAGCCGTCAAAGGGCGTGCGGGACGAGCATAGCGCCGCTGTCTTGACCGGACCGGACCGATACAACCAAGTTGCCAGGGTGGTGTTGCCGAAGGCGGACGCGGATAGGGCCGGGGGACAGGCTAAGCCCTATCGCTTGACCGAGCATTGGCCCCGTGTCTCGAAAAATGGAAAAGGGGAATCGGCCGCCACCCGTCTAAGCCTCAAACAGCACCGATCGACGGGATTGGTGAGCCAGTGCCGGAATGAATGCTGGATGTGACGGCGATCCGCCAGCTCGGTATCTGTCCTGTCGTCTTTTGCTTGGTTCCATTTTCTTTTTATGGATTAAATTCCTCTCTGGCCTGCTTGCCTGCCGCAACACGCAACACGCACACGCTACACACATACACATGCGATATGCAGAAGGATGGCATGAATGCACCACCAAAATAGCCCTTTCTCCTCGAGGTCGTCTAGGAATCTGTATATTCGCCGCCTAGTCGATCGAGCATTCGAGCTTGGCATATCCGTATCCGCTTGACCTTTGCGAATATTTCGAACGGATAGTCGTTGTCGGAGCCATGGCGCCAATGAAGGCGCAGTGCAGTATGTACAGTGGAGAGAGAGGCGGATGGTTGCGGATGCGACCTGCCTGATTGTCTGGGCCGGCGAGTCGAGGGACAAGTGCTTGCTTCCACGACTGCGAGAAACTGGCCACGCACCGGAGACTCCGAGATGGTGAGTATCATTGGGTTGCGTGGCCCGTCCCAAGACCCAAACACACGCATCCGCGGCCCCCAGCAGAAGCCAGCTGCCGCATCAATCTCCATTCCCGTCGCTGACTGCCGTTTGCCCACAACAACACTACCACCTCGGTAGCCTCTAGGACTATGTTAGGTGGATACACCTCGTTACCTACTGAGGTGCAGTACCTACCTGGCACCTCAACTCGGATGCCTTGGCTGAGACCCAGGTTCCTTCCGTTCGTGATACCGGAACGATGGAAATAGGGAATAATCGGGCACCGAGCATGATGGCAGCTTCGGTGACCACAACGAATGAACCTACCTACGAATGAGTTGATTTGTTTGCTGGAGGATTGGATAACGAAACGCCTGTAACCAGCGCAATCACTCGCTTGGTTTTGCTTTGCAAGGGAAAGCGGTGCGACGGGAGATGCAATCAGACACACAAATTGTCGCACAGCGCCGCAGAGTCCGTAGGCAGGCAGGTTTGTGTTTGCAAGACTTGAACCTAGATATGCTGCGTGGCCTGGTTCAAACTCTATGGAACCATCTCCATCCTTTGTGAGGGAAGGAGAAACCCATTTGAGTCTCCGACGGTCTCTGGTCGGCAACTGCAACTGCAAGGCAAAGAGCAGGGATATGAGCACGGACCATGCCCCAGCGGCTGGCTTCTGGTTGGACAATGGCGACATGATATTTCCCCGCAGGCCGCTCTGGTTCCCTACCTAAGCTAATCAGGTGTAGCTGATTAGCAGATTACCAGGCTGGCTGGCTTGAGCCCTCCCTTTTCTACGAGGCCCAAAAATACTCAATTTTACAGCTGACGACAGCTGCTCATCGCCATCGAATCCTCCCGCCCGCGACCGCGACGCACCAGCCCATCGCAACCTAGGCTCGTGACACTAGCGATTTACGAAGTGCTCGCCGGGCCTGAGCATGAAATCCGTGGCGCGCCCGACCCGAGGCCGGCCGAGTAAGGTGACGAAGCCGGGCACGCCGGCACGCGCCGCCCGCCCAGCCCGTCACCACCACCAGCTCTCTCAGGCCGAGCTGCAGCGCGCCCTCGAGCACGGCCTCAACCACGCCCTCGACGACGGCCAGCACGACCACGACCACGACCACGACCTTGACCACACCCACCAACACCCCGACCACGACCTTGACAAGTCCCATCAGCAACAACACCCCGACAACCCCTTCGCCCCTCACGACAACGACGCCGTAGCTGCCATGGCCGCCGACGAGTACGCCGCCGCCGCCGCCGTCGCCGTTATGGACGCCGACATGCACGCCGCCACCGTCGATGCCCAGGGCGAAGCCGAGGCCGATGCCGACATGGACGACGACGACGACGACGACCCCGACCACAACGACTACCCCTCGGCCGCCTCCCAGCAGGCCATTGGCTCCCATGTTGACCTCGCCGCTGCGTCTAACCTCTTGGCAAACGGCGGTGGCGGCGGAGGCGGCGGCCCTCGTACATCAACCCCTTCGGCCGCCCAGCACCAGCAGCACTCACAACATCCCCAGCACCAGCAACACCAAACCCAGGACATGTCGCAGGCTCTTCTCCCCCACCAACTCCAGCAGCAGCAGCAGCAGCAGCAGCCCCAGGCCCAGATGCAAGCCTCCCACCAGTCCGTGGACCCGTCGCTCGTCAAAACTACCGAGGTTTTTGCCCACGAGTCTGGCTACAGCGGGCTCAACGTCGAGAGCGCCTTGGCTAAACGCCTGGCCCGCGAACCCGGCCACCGCCTTGCCCAGCAGCGCCGTCCCGACCAGCTTCTCAATCTCGCCCGCCGCAGCAACGTCGAAGCCCTCTTTGCCCACATCGCCGGCGAGCCTGCCCACGTCCCATGCAAGAACTGCCACAAGGGCCACGGCCCCTGGACAAGCTGCATCGTGGTCGAGGGCCAGATGTGCGGCAGCTGCGCAAACTGTTGGTTCAACGCCAGCGGCGCTAGATGCAGTTTCCACGGTAAGCCCCCCTTTCCCACACGACTGGCTGGGACACATGACTAACCACGTTCATTCTTTGTTGTATAGAGACTCGAAACCCGCAGCTGGCACAGCAGCAGCAGCAGCAGCAGCAGCAGCACCCGCCAATCATACCCACCAGTGCTGTCGGCCTGTCAGCTACCGATCCAACCTACCACTATCCCACCCCCCATAGTCTAGCCCATGCCACCATCGTGGGGGGAGCCGTAGCCCACCCCGCCCTGCTAACCAGCAACCCCATGTTGCAGCAGATGGTGACCCGCGCCATGACGGACGTGCGCGGGGCCGACAAGGCCACGAGACAGCTGATCCTGATCGACATCACGGCGAAGCAGCTGGCCCTGCAGATTGTCGAGTACGAGGAAATGGCGGCAGGCCAGGACCCGCAGCAGCAGCAGCAGCAGCAGCCCGGCGGCCCCGGCATCTCGCGCCAAGGCGGCATGGGCGACGACACGGGGGCCTGAAGAGGACGGGACCGGCGCATTTTTCTCTTTTGTTTGTTCGTTCGTTGCTCTACGATACCCGTCGCGCCCCGTTTCGGTCTGCTTTCACCCTCTCGCTCGAGTATCCGTAAAGACCGTCGCTCTTCGCCAAGCTGGGCAAGACTGAAGTCGTGGTCCTGGCCTGTTCTGGCTGTTATTAATGTGGCATTTTCTTTGGGCGTCTGAGCACAACCTGGTTTCCCAGGCTTCATTGAGGATATGATGTTTGGCTAGCGAAAGCCGGAAGCAGAGACACACAGACGTCTTCCATTTTTGTCATTTGCGCCGCTCACTGCACAACAACCTGTCCTCATACCGATACGCCTATCTCCGCCATTCGCTCGACTGCAACACCAGCTGTAGTCCCCGACTTGGGCCTTCTTCTAGCGGATGGACGGGCCAAGCGAATAATGCACAATTCCCAATTCACAAACCAGCCCCTCTGTTTAATCATTTTTTCCCCCTCATCGCGATCGCTCTTGGGCTATCCGAGCCGGAGGGATATGTCTTTTAATTGTCTTGTCTTCCCCTTTCCACATCTCCTACTTCGGCATGGATTGCACAGCGATACCCCTTCATATCTGTTTTCTGTTGCGCTTCTAATAGCTCCAGCCTAACTTACCCTTCGGAGCACAAAGTCGACTGGGCTCCCGCAGCCTAATAGCCCCCAGTGCTTACATCCACCTCCCTGTCGCCGAACTTGGCGTGTTACCCCGGATTGCAGAGAGATTGTCGCCAAAAACAAAACCCTAATTCGTGTGTACGACGTTTGTTACCGTTTACCCCCGCGACTGGGCTGTTTCTCTTTTGCGACTGACTATGTTGTCTCTGTTCGACACTTGCCTAGGTGGGCGTCGAAAATAATGGCTTTTGCTGTCTCGAGGATGGGCGGCTTCTCGCTATTATCGTGGCTACTGTATGGCTAGATATCTAGCTAGTTTGTCGTTGGAGGCGGAGAGGGAATGCTCACACGGTCAAGTGGTGGATATGGGAAAGGAAAGCAACAAGATTGCAAAAGAAGAAGAAAATTTGGCGGACGGATTGGATGGCCGAGGGCGGGAACACTGCCAGTCATGGTTGGACGTGACCAGTCGTGTAGGTACCTGCCCATCTTGCCTTATTTGGGTGGACATGTAAACGAGCCACCGTCAACTTTTGTGTCCGCCAGAGAATAACTGGAAATACCCCTTGTCTCTCTCTGTATCCCTCTGCGTGTGTGTATGTGTTCTCTGTTATATGTTGTACGAACATATCCTAGGCCGGCTTTCAAAAGCAATCTTAGCATCGTCAACTGCCCTTTCTAAGCGGTGATATACTGTGAGGAATATGACAGTAGGATTTGATTATTTGCCGCCCTTTTGACGAGTGCGGACTTTCATACCGTTGAACCACGATAGATTTTTTTTGCCATAACTTTGGCGTTGAGAGCTACACACATCTAGTCGCCTCTGGAACCCTCTCATGCCTTGGGGACTGGAAACCGTGAGCCCGTCAACTAACTTGAAGTTTATAAACACGCTCGTTTCTAACACAAAAACGGAAGAAAGAAAAATGGAAACTTTGGAGTATTATGCATCCTCACTTGGAGCTCATACACGCCGTCCACTGTGAGAAGCTAGGGATAGTGCTCTAGGAAACCTACCCGCCTGGGCTGCGCAACATTGGTCCCGGAGGTTGTCGTAGAGGAGAAACCACTGTTTCCGGACGGAGCCGTCCTGGACCTAGATGGGGGTTACAACATGTACCAGGGCAGACATATACGGTACACAAGCGCGCAGCGGAGGTAGGCTTGAGCTTGACCCGACCGAGCTCGGATGGCGATAGCATAGCGAAGCTCCTGGGCACGACCACGGTGAAGCAAAGCTCGTGGCGGCAAACCTCCGGCTAACGGGGACTTTGCTTTTCGATGCCAGGCGGAAGGCTGCCAAGACCAGCGCCGTGGCGAGCTTGCTCATCTATGAAAGAAGAAAAAATAGTTAGACTTACTAGCTAGTTATTTTGACTCTAGCCCTCAGAACGCTCGTCTCGCGCGGCTGGACTATAAAAAGGTTTTCGCTTTGGATTGAGAGGGCGCGAACCCTCTCGCAACAGCAGTCACGCTGCTCCAGTTGGGGAGGACAGCGGCTCAACGACGTTCTTTATATCAAGGCTCGCTTGCTGATCCGCCGACGCAGCGCATGGCATAAAAACCGAGCCGCGTATTCTTTCCAGCTGCCCAACGACAAGTCTCCAGAGCGGCCCATCGAGAGTAGACGACTTAGAAATGAGGTCTCGCAGAGCTCGAAGCGGAGGAAGTAGCTGAAGCTCAGAATCAAGGCCTTAGATGGAGACTAGGTCATAGACGTCGGGTTCAATAGAGATTCCAGAGAGCTTAGGCGCTGCAACAGCATCCAGAACCTAACCTAGGCGAGCTTTCACGTAGGATTCGAACCCGATTTGGCCACGGCAGTGTCGTCAAGGTTTGATTGACGGCAAGTGCCTCGCGACGTACAGTGCTTTGGATCCTTTTCTGACTTGATTGCGATTCGAGCCGCGTCGCTGACAGCGCTCGATAGGTTGCCGTTGCCTCCTTCTGCAACGCATGTTGGAGTCCGATCTGGCGCGCCTACGACTCCAAACGCATTTATGAGAGCTGGCTGTGAATCACCGCAGCATCATCTCTTCCCGTGATAGCCAAAAAGTAGGAGCAGAGTTGCCTTCTCCCTACTTCTCGGCACGTATCCCTGATTTTTTGGTCGCTTAGCAAGTGGTTGGCACGCCATCTTACCTGCGCAAATATACTAGCTCCTCTCGAGCTACTAGTCAGGAATTGGCTGAGTGCTAAATTTAACCGGCTAAGCGTGTCCTGGCAGCCGTGGAGCACTTGTTTAAGGCTATCCAACGACTGGCTGCTGTTTAGCGTGGACCGTGAGACTGATGAGTGACAAGAGTGCGGATGAGGACAATGACGTTTCCAAGGTCTCGAATCTCGTTTCGCAAACGTTAGACCTTTCCCGGGGCCTCCTTGATAGTGCTGACGAGGTTGATGAAAGACGTGCTAGCTTTGATAGCAACATCAGCGGTGGGGTTTATATCAGGGGCTCCGAGTCCTACCGCCTCCTTTTAAGAAGAATTGTCAGGGCGAACTGCTAGGCTACGTGGCCTTGTACGTCTTGAAAAATCACACGCTGATGAACATGTAAAGATTCGATTGCAATCCATCAGCCATACGCTGTTACTTATCATGCTGGAGAAACTGGGTCTTGGGGGTATCTTAACTCCGGCCCTTATCTGAACTATGGCTAGATTACCAGTACCTAAGCTGGCTGTTTAGGTTCCAATAGTCATAACCTCCTTGCGTGACTCCTCCTGATATGACATGTTCCTCGTTTTAACCAGTTATTCCGCCCATAGGCATACGTCGGAATGCTTTCTCGGGCTGCCATGTATAAGAGCCCCAAACCGGCTCAGTCAGGGTCCATATACATATTCCACTTATATATATATATATATACCGAAACATGCACATGATGCCGACACGCGTGTGGCACATTTTTGTATCCGGGACTCAGATACGCGTCTAGTTGTCAAGCTCACATAACTATGGTATGACAGCAGTCGAGTTTATCACACACCTGGATCAGCGATATACAGTCACCGATGTGCAAGTAAGCCAGACGAACCAATAACCCCGATATCGCCATGTTGGAGAACATCGGCGACATGCTTGACTGACACTCTCGAAATCAGTGAGCTCATAAAAAAACTTCAACTACATGGAAAGCATCATCATGGCGGTCGCAACCGAGATAAACAAAATCGAAGATATAAAAAACAGATTTACAGATATATAGACGAACCTATAAGATGAGGTAGACAGAGAGACAGATAGACAAGATGAGGTAGACAGAGAGATAGATAGACAGACATAAGACAGGCAGGCCGACAGATGTATCGCACTGCATAACTGACTGCACTGAAGCTAATCTAGTCATAACACACCAACCACACCCCCGAGAAAATAACCCAAGCAGATGCAGAACCGCATCGCAAGCTCATGACCGAAAAACCCCCACTCAATAGACAGGGCAAGCATGCACTTATTCACTCACCAACTTACTTGCCTACCTTGATTTCCACCACGGTAGGCCGGCCGGCAGCCCGGGAAGACGATCCCACCTACCTACCTACCCTCCTACCCACTCTGCCGACAACCCTGACGTACATACCAACCGACCAATCAACCAACCAACCCGCAAGCCAGCGAGCGGTTCGGATAATATGCTGCAGCAGCAGCAGCTACTCGTACATACATGCACACATATATCATACAACACTGTACTATACTATACCTGCGGTACATACATGATGTAGACTGTAGTATATCTTTTAGCCAGCTTGAGGCTCAAAAAAAAAAGTTGGTTCGGGCCCCGGCAAATGAACTACCACCATATTAACCAAACCAAACTAACGTACCCCTGAGCCCCTAAAAAGATAAATAAAATAGGTACCCGTTAACGTACCACATCACTGAAAGGGGGGAAAGGGCGGGCAGAGCAGATGGGATATAGAGAATCTGCCTGTCTCCTAATTAATTTCACACGATTGCTCCAATGCAATAACAATAAAAAGCCCAACTTCGCCTTTCACCATGGAAGCATCTCACGTCAAAGACAAGTCAACGTCAAAGAGAATTCATGGTATTGTTTGTTGTGCGTGCGCAAAGGTATAGGTGGGTAGATAGAGGGAGACAAATCCAACCATGAACCTTGAACCGCCGCCCCGTATTGCTCCGGTGAGACAAAAAAAAGGGGAAAAACAAGAAACCAGATGACAAAAAAAAACAAAAAAAACCCCTAGCTGAGCTGGTATATGCTTGCTTCATTTGCTTGCTTGCTTCGCTGCTCCCCGCACCTTCAGACATCTCGCGTCTCCCCTCAGCCACATCCATCCTACACTGGTCGAGCCAGCATCCATCCCTCATCCGCCGCGCCGTCTTCTCATTGCAAATGAAAAATAAAAAAACGGGGAGGGAAAAAACCGCACACCATCCATCCAGCTCAAAGAGGGATGGGCTTCTCATGCCGCCTAGGCTCGACGGGGTAAAATAGAAAGAAAAAAAGAATTCATACAGGGCACAAAAAAAGAACACACTCATAATTAAACAAGATATTTTATCCCTCATTCTCACCACCACTCCCCTTTCGCTGATACTTCTCGAGTGACACGTTTTGTTTTGATGCCTCCATTTTGGTGGTAAAAAGCGGGCCCTAGGGCCAATCTTGTTGTGGAGCGCCCCGGCTCGTGATACGAATAAAGCGCTTACACATCGAGCGAGGCACGTCGGATGCGAATATATCGGGATAATGTTCGCCCATCCAAAACGAGAACCTCGAGGATTTCGTTGCTCAATTAAACATCATGGCGACTCGGAGTCATCAAACTGGGCCGCACGTCGTGTTTGCCGTTGCAGTCGCTTAGATGAGACCGCAAAGACGGAGATTTTCCTGGATGATGATATCTGGTTTCTATGTCAGCGCTTTATCTTGCATTTTCAACGTCGGCTTGTCTTACCATTTACCGCGGCCATGACGAAGCGGATTTGTGTTGTGTCGGTAGCGCAGGTAAAATGTGTGTAAATCTGCTTGGTCTCGTGCTGGTTCAGGCTGACGAAACGGTTGAGAATGTAGTCGCACGCTGCTTGGTAGTCGTCGCCGCCCTCGTAGTCGGGGAAGTAGTTCTTCATAGGGCTGACGGGTAGCTTCTCTTTGAACCGATCAATCTTGTTGAGGAACAGGATGATCGACGTTTTGATGAACCATCTCGAGTTGCAGATCGAGTCGAATAGGGTGAGGGCCTCTTGCATACGGTTGACCGTCTCGTCCTCAAACAGCAGCTGATCGTACTCGGATATGGCGACCAAGAAGAGGATGGTGGTGACGTTCTCGAAGCAGTGAATCCACTTCTTTCGCTCGGATCGCTGGCCACCAACGTCGAACATGCGGTACGTGAGCTCACCGATAATGAATGTTGTCTCAGTAATACCAGTCGTCTTGACACGGGACCGGAGGACATCCTGGTCGTTGGGCATGTAGTCGGGAGCGGCAATACGTGCGATGTTATCGAAGTAACTAGTGAAAGTGTCAGCAACGACGGGAGATAGGAGAATAGATCGGCGAGTGGCCACGTACTACCGCGCAGAGTCGTTCAATTGGTACTCTCTGGACCGCTTGAAACAGCTCTGGACACCCACATCCCTCCAGAGAGCCTCGATGGCATTTCCAACCTCAGGGGGAAGAACATCGCCTTCGATCTGTGCGGGCTGCATGAAGATGGTCTGGACGTGGTACTCCATGCGCGAGTCGGAGAGCGGCAGCTCCAGCGACTCCATCGCCTCGAGGATGACGCGCATCGACTGGACTGTGTTGCTGAAGATGATTTCCTTAAAGGACTCCCGCTCGTCGCGTGAGTATCCGCCCTCGTGGATGAGCTTCATCTGCTTCAAGATGGTCGACTTCCCGGATTCACCAGCACCTGCACACGGCTGTTAGACTGAAGGGATTCGAAAGAGGCCGACCCACGGCGCAATTGCGCAATGCGAGGCCAGAATCCCCACGTACCCAGAAGAAGCATCTTGATCTCATTGCGCTGCTGCATGCGATCCCGCTTCAGTTGGTTCTCGATCTCCTCGTTCCGGGCCTTGCCCTCCTTCTCCTCCGCGCTCATTCCGCAACCCATCTTGGCTAGCTGTCGTAGGTGAAATCGATACTGGCGAGTTTATGCTCAAACGAAAGAAAAATGGTTCGAGTATCTGGTTTCATCAAATTTGCGTTAGCGCAAATATACAAGGCCAATGGGCTGAAATTGTCGGGTCAGCCGGGCTACGAGGCCTCAAGGTCGGATGGCCGTCTGGGAATTTCCCCACTCCCGGGAGGCGGTGGTCATCTAAACCACTTATCGGCTGCGCCGTCGAGGTCGGAGGGAGCATCACCCGCGCGATTAGGGGTATCAAAAATAGAGTTCCGTAGTGTGCGCACGTCGTCTCTCTGGTAAAACGATGCTCCCATTCACACGAGGCTGCCCAAATGACGAGATAGGCCGTTGCAGTGGCTTGGGATGAGGCGGGCGGTCGCTTTGGGGAACGGAGCAAGACGGCTGGGTGCAATTGGGCTTGGGCGTGGGCAGGGCAGCTGCGCTCACCTTTTTTTTTGGTCGCCAAAACTCTCCCTGACCTTCAATCGACCACGGGTGCGATCGAGGGTGGAGGAGTAAAAGAAAACCGACAACGATGTAAAAGGATAACGCCGCGACCGCAGACTCGGCGCAGAGGCAGTGGAGAACAGAACGGGGTTTGGCTTGCTGCTCTCTCGTTCACGTTCGCGGGAGGGTGTGATGAGCCGGAAGTCGAGGGAACGAGAGGAAGTGGGAGGGCTGGTTCCTGTTAATGTGAGGAAACATGGAGCATGCACTGTTGAATTTCGGGGGGTGAGGAGCGGCCCAGCAGGGGACTGACCAACCGTGGGCCGCAAATCTCGCACATAAGCGGGGCTCCAGATCCTGGAGTGGTCAAAGCATTGCTCGACGGGACTGCTGCGATGTGGGCTCATCCTTTTCACGCAGCACCCCCAGGGCCCAGAAAGGGTCTGTCCCCGCACTGATTGATACCATCGCCTTTCGGCGGCCCCCCACCTCCTAGGGGGCACTCGCAAGAAAAATATTGCTAATGTAGGGGATTCAGTGGCGACGCTGGGGAAAAGAACAGGCTCCAGTCTCAGGCGACCATGTCTCCTCAGGCCCCTGCAGCGACCTAGGTGAGGTCGGCGGGCCTGTGCTTGTGCTACGGAGAAATGATGAACGGTTCCCATTAGCCGAAAAAGGCCAAATAATAAGCAGAGTTTATCAAGCAATTGGAACCGCCAACTCCCGTCTTTTGACTTCACTTATGAGAGGGACACGATGGAAACCGATGCCAGTTATAATTCCGACCCTCTTCATTGCCCAACGGCCGCAAACTCTCTCGAGATGTCTACCCCTTGTTTTCACTCAATGACGTCGTCTTCCTCACTGGTGCGGACATTGATGTTCCCATTGCGTGTCTCAGACAGGGAACAGAGGGATTGATGCCGGTGGATTTGGGGAATTGCCGGAGTACCGTCAACAAACCTCGAAACTTTTCTGGGCGATGGCCGCCTGCTTCCGAATCCTGGGGGGGGGGGCAGTTTCACCAGTTTCTTTCAACTACCTTACCTACAGATACTGGCCTCCGAATGACGTGCCAGGGGTGCTCAGGTGAGGAGTCCTGACATTAACTTCGTTGGTAGATTACAGTGAAACAAGGCGGTCGATCTTTGACCTGTGCAGATAGTAGGCTGACATTAGGCCTGCCTATGGACGTCATTGTGGTCCGCCTTTAGTCGACCCGAGTACGTACGTACTGAGAAAGGTAGCGTGGTAAAGGTAGATAGGCGCCTCACTGTGCCTGGAGACATTTGGGCTCTGGTAAACAAAGGACATACCGGTGTTCTGGACGTTCCCAAGATGCATACGGGCCCGTCCCGACGACTTTCACCTGGCAGCCCCGATACCTAGGCAGTGCTACCGTACGGCAGAATCGGTGTTGACGCAAAATGAGCGGCCTTGGCATCTACCCCCAATTCCCGGGTTTGATGGAGTGCTGTGGATTCTTTGCCTGTCCCAAATGAAAACCGTCCGATAAAGACATTGGGTATTTAGCCCGGCCTCAGGATGCTGTGGGTTCTGCGCCATGAGAACCGATTAGCCTCACGCTGTGATGGGGCGAAAGCGAGCGCCTCAGAAATCGGCCCCCTCTGGCCGGCTGCCTTGAAGTCGCTAGCCATTCATTCACAGAGCACTCTCTGGCCAGAGCAGCCAGCGCCTTGGCAACGTAATACTGTAGAACTACCAGGTATCAGTGGAGTGCAGTGCGACGCTCTCAACCGCGGCTCTGGGGGGATTACCAACCCAGGCTTCGTCCCTTCTGGAAACCTAGGTAAGGTATCCAGCATCTAGTTTCGGTCGCCCCTCGCCCCCCGCTGCCGCGACTCGCTATCCGTGCGCCAAACCTGTCCATCAGTCCATGCGTGCTTGAAACACTTGCCATAATTAGCCGGGACTCGACTACTATGCAGAAGGCTGAAAGACGACGATGCTGTGTAGCAAGGAGTTGCAGGATGCTGCGGCGTTGTTGCTGCTGCTGCTGCTGCTGCTGCTGACCTTCAGCTTCTTGACCGGCACCTCCACCGTTCCATTATTGTTGCTCGCCGGCCGCTGTCTGACAGGGGCGCTCTGCAGAATTGTAGCCGCCAATGCAGGTCAAGAAAATCTGCCGCGGCGCGGCGAGCCTCCTTTTTTTATTTCCTCACCACGCTACGACCAAATAGGGAATAGGGGGGGGATTGGAGATCGATCGTGCTCCGTGAGAGCGGCTACCGCCCGGTTCATATGATCGACGACCCACGGGTGGCGTCCCGAAAGAAGGGACGGAAAGCAAAAGGCTGCTTCAGGTTCGTTGAATCTCAAAGAAATAAGAGGTCAAGTCCGTTACAGCTTTTGCCATGAGCTTCAGCCAGGCTGGGAGCTGGAGCTAAGCTGGGAGCTGGAGCTAGAGCTGAAGCTGGTCTGTAGTGTCCGCTTGTTCCAGATTGGCTTCCTTAGGTTGTTCTAGAGTCGAGACCTCATCGGACGCAGTGGATCCTCCATTCGACAACGACGGCAATTTCAAGGAACCCGCAAGCTAATCCCCAAAGCATTGCTCTACATTGGACTATCGAGCAGGGACAGTGGGTCTGCCACATGGAAGGAGACCCTGCCCTGGCTGCCGACCGAGATCAGTCTCCACTGTATCGTTGTAGCGAGAAATACACTCCAGCGGTCAGCACGACACGGATGTCCTGTCGGAATCTCCATCTTCACAGAAAAACGGCGTACGGCCTTGAAATGAAAAAGGATCTTGAGATGATTGCCAACCCTATATTTTCTCATTCTCCCCGTTCGTGATGGCTCTTCTTGGTGTAGATATTCTCAATTTCGGACAGGGTCCTCCATTCCCAGAGCCAGGCTACGATAGGTACCTCAAACAAAAATACAATCAAACCAGGGCTGGAGTGTCACAATTCGACCGAAGGTCTCTTGGGTAACATTCCCAGGTTGTTTCGCTACTCGCTACGGAGTCCAAAGCACTCTGTAATCACGAGCCCCCCTTACCCTCCCATTCCCTCCTGGGTTCCCCTCGCCGTGAATTGAATTGCGTCTTGGAGCTGACGCGAACGTTGAAGCGAAGGTTGGGCTGGCCTCTGCCACGTGGATGCGTCTTGCTTCTTCCGAATGAATAACCGGGTTGGCATGAGCCTGTTTTGTGTGAAATGTATGTAGCGTAGGCTGCCTCAAAGCAGACATCTGATAAGTAGTATAAAAACGAACGGAACAAAAAACAGATAAACGGCAACAAGCGAGAGATGATATCCATACGTACAATACAAAACACGTTACCAGGGCCCAGCACACGACGTTGTGTCGATAGCCTCATCACATCTACATAGCATGGTAGGCAAGCGTGTATAGGTAAGGTATGCAAGGCGGCCGTTGTTGCCGCCGCCGCTGCCCCGTTTCCCACGACATGACATTGCATTCTGGAATCTAGCCGTCGCCGACGCCGGTGCAGGAGCAGCAATCTCAAATCTCATTGCTCGACCACCCGGGAACAGACGCTAAATTCGAAAGAGGATATCTTCTAGAAGCTGACATTTGACGCGCAGGATGATGGAATGGATGCAAGGGATGGCTGCGCCCCATATTGAGTGGAACAAAATGTCACGGCCTTTGTGGGAAGAGGGGGGGCCAAAGGGGAAAAAAGGGGCACGTCCTGATCGGATCAAATCAAAGTCAAACGTGAAATAAGCTCGGGCCGCTTCAAGTTGTAATCCCAGCGGCTCCATATATTCCATAATCCTACATTTAAACATTTCAGTTGAGGTGAAGGTATGATTAGGTGCACGGCGAAGACAGAAGACGGCTGTTTCTCTAGTTTCCGTTTCGCATGCAAACCTACCTAGAAGCCCCTACAACTTCAAGTTGAAGTTGAAGCTGACTGCTCGGTTTCGATCGATAACAAAAAGCCGCAGTCCCCGGAACCATGCAAAAACCCCATGGCATGGCCCCCATTCTGCCAGCCACTTGAGCCGCGGACGCGACGGGCTTTTTTTCTTTTTCTTTGTCAGGTAGCCCCTTGCTTGCTGGCCGTCGTCGCTGGGCCATTCGATTGGCCGCCCTCGCTGGCCAGCACCGAGCTGTAGCCAAAAATACGCGCTAGTTATTGACAACTTTTTTTTTGGCGAGACACGATGGCTCGCCTGAATCTGACCTCAGGCGCGATTTTGTAACCGCGTGCATTCATTCGTGATTCTCGCGACTCTGCGACGACGTGCCACGCTCAATTGAGGCTCCGCGACCTTTCGGCCCCCATTAATTCATCATCAGCTACCCTTACTCCTTGACCGACATGGCAGCGTCTCCAATTCCCATGTCCCGAATCGGGGATCGTGGTATGTGCTGTGACTCTGCACTCATACCTCACCCTCACCCTCATGCTCATGCTCATTCTCAACCCCAATCTCACACATGACCCTTTCTCCCTTGCCTATTTCGACAACACTGGGGTTATCTCAATTGGCTGACTGGCTGGCTCACTGACTGACTGATGACTGACTGACTGACTGGCTGGCTGGCTGACTGGTCGACGTGTGATGCAGCCTTCAACCACAGCGCTAGCAACGATGCCGAAGCCGAATATGACCGCCTGCGAGACCTCGCCCGGAACGAGGGCGACAAGATGAGGTCGTGTTTTGATCAGGTAATTCTGGCCCCATCTTTGCTCGCTGGACGCTCAGTCTGGCTCTGATCCGACCCTTCACCGCTGACAGCTTCCTCAACCCTCGCAGAGCCACGAGCTCTACTCCAGCGGTGACGGTGCCGGAGCCAAGCACAAGTCCGAGGAAGGCAAGCGCCACCAGAAGCAGCGGGACGCCTACAACAAGCAGGCTTCCGAGTACATCTTCCGCGAGAACAACGCCGTGGGCCGCGTCGGCGACGACACCATCGACCTCCACGGCCAGTTCGTCGAGGAGGCCGAGGACATCCTCGAGGCGCGCATCCGCGACGCCCAGGCCCGCGGCCAGACTCATCTGCATGTCATCGTCGGCAAGGGCAACCACAGCTCCGGCCACGTCCAGAAGATCAAGCCCCGCGTCGAGCAGATCTGCCAGAACATGGGCCTGCAGTACGCCACCGAGGAGAACGAGGGCCGCCTCTACATCAACCTGAGCGGCGGCCAGGTTGATGGTTTGCCGTCCCTCCCCTCTCAGCCCGGCGGCTACCAGGGCGGCTACGCTTCCGGAGGCAGCCCCTACCCCGGGAGCCCTTCCCATTCTGGCGGCGGCAGCCCCTATCCCGGGAGCCCCTATCAGCAGGGCGGCGGCCACAAGCCTCAGGCGCAGCACCATACGCCGCAACAGGGGTACCAGCAGCAGCAGCACCATCAGCAACAGCAACAGCAGCAGCAGCAAGGAAACGAAGTCGAGCAGCTTGTCGAAAAGCTGCTGCCGAGGATATTCAAGAAGCTCGACGGCTGCTGCATTGTTATGTAGGCACTTACTTTATCAGGTGCGTGTGTCCATCTATTGCATGGAAGGTTTTGGCGATTTCGGTCTTCTGGCTTGATGCATCGTTCGGCGTGGGATAATTCTGGTCGCTGGGTTATAGTGCCGGTTTCGGAGTAAATAGGTAGGTAGGGAAAGGGGAATCTGGCGAGGTCATATGATGATGAGTTTTGGGCATTGCCAAAACATGGAAAGTCCACAGGATATAATGGATGATTTGAAATTCAATGCATCCTGCTTTTAGGTTGGCTGCCTTGTGGTCGTGCCGTTACTACTCTCTCAGCCATCGCAACCCCCCAAGGTACGGTAGGTGGGTGGGAGCTGCCACAGCAATCACAAAACAGACGGGGGCGGCCGAGCAGGACGGGCCTTTCCGTGCTTCTCCCACTCAAGTCAAGGCAGTCACCTTGAACGGACGGTTGGCCTGGAAGACGGCAAAACCAAAACCTACCTCGTCAGTTTCTCACCTCCGCCCCCCCTTTTCCTGAAACATACAAACAACCGTCCCTAGGAATCCCCTCCACGATCGTACTATTAGGTGCTATTGATCGCCTCTCCTCCTCTACCAACCCAAAGAAAAACATCTCACGCCCAGCCAGCGGCCGTCTGTCTCGCAGCGAGCGGGCGGGAGGCCGTATCTCTCATGTCTCTTTACTCCTCAATCTCCTCCCTACCCGTCGTGTAAAGAGTGCCGGGGGTTTTCCTCTATTTCCTTCGCCTCGCTCATGTCGTCGTCCCTGCAACAACAAACACGTCCCTCCCCATGAGAGTCGAGCTGCGGTACTCGAGCCCGTTCCGGCCGACCTCGCACAAGGCGTCGAGACCCTACTACCGCTGCAGGAGAGGCAGCCAGCTCCTCACGATCCCTCCATCATTACCAGCAGCAGCAGCAGCAGGCCGAGAACAACAGCAGCCAGTGTTCGACTACGGCGCATACGCCCGGCTCGTGCAGGACAGCCTCACTAGTCACAATATGCGCGACACACAGCAACAGCAGCAGCAGCAGCGGCAGAACCTAAACATCGCCGCGTCGCAGCCCTCGCCGCCATCGGGAACAATACGCGACCTCCAGGCCAGTCGGTTCGAGATTGCGCTGCTGGCGCTGGGGATCCTGGTGCTGGTGGCGCAGATGGGCGTGCTGCTGTGGATCGGCGTGGTGAGGCGGCCGCACGGGGCGCACAAGCGAGGACAGCGCTGGGGGGGCGGCGGCCGACGAGGGAGAAGGAGACGGCGTGGGCGGGGGCACGAGGAGTCGGCGGCTGATGATGATAGTTATGGCTCTGACGATGATGACGAAAGCGACGAGGATTATGATGACCACGACAAGCACGGCTCGTGTCTCTGGAAGGATGTGTTTGGCGACGCGGGGACGCCGCTGCGCCACGACCGGCTCGTGCTGGGGTCTGGGTCTGGGTCTGCGTCGGGGACGGACAAGAAGAACGGTAACGGTAATGGCAACAAGAGACGGTCGCTGATGGAGCGCGTGCGCCGGACCAGCGAGCAGGTCGCCGAGGCCGTGCAGTAGGAGCTGATGGAGCTCGGCCGTCGCATGGCCACGGCGGTTGCCGCGCCGAGGCACGGTGGTGGTAGTGGTACTGGTGGGCGCTCGGCTGGGGGCTTGTCATCTTCGTCGCTGCCGAGGGACGACGTCGAGGTCGGCATCGCCAGCGGCGTGGCCCCGGCGCGGCCGGTCCCGGCAGCGAGCAGTAACACTACCGGTAACAATAACGCCGCCTCGCTCAGCTGTAGAGACGGCGCTGATGACTGCTGCAACCTCGCCAGCTCGAGAACGGGCGGCGGCGGCGCGTTTCATGCTGCTGCTGCCTTTGCTGACAGGACGCCGTCGTCGGGCTGGAGCTTCCGGCGGCATTCGAACTGGGTCCCGGAGAGCAATGATCCTTTCAGACTTGTCTGAGGTATGAGGCTTCTTGGGGATGGACCAAGTGCAGCCAGCGGACACCTATCAGCAGCGGGAATCCTGAGCTTTTTTTTTCTTCTTGACTCGGGAGACACATGAAGTAAGCCTCTGAGTGTGGGACAAAAATCGCTTTCTCTCTCCCAAACTGTCTGTCCCTCCCTCTGCTCTCTCTACCCGAAGCTGTATGTAGAATCGACGCTTGATATCTCTCATGGCAGTACACTCACAAAGCATAAGACTCGATTTTCTGTTTTGCTTGGGTTTTAGACGTGCTTGTGGATTCACGGACTAAAAAGGACTGACTGGAATTGTCCCAGTGATGATGCTGCGTCGTCGTCTTGTCTAAGATGATTGAACAGGCTTTTGTACAGTGATTGCTGCTCTCAACCCATGGGCCACCGGGGGGGCGTCGCCAATGACCGATGCTGCTGCTGCTGCTGCTGCTGCTGTGATGCTGCCGCGGTACCGACCCGGTTTCTCCCCCCCTTTCCTCACTCCCGGCTCTCGTGAAAGGGGGAAAAAAGGAAAAATATGTATACCCTTATGCCCGCATCCGAGCGAAAACCCCGTTGGATTTTTCTTCTTCCTTCTCTTTGCTCTATCTCTTTCTGTCTCCCACACACACACACTCCGCCCCCTTTCCCCTTTATAATTTCACGCTTGCTTCTTGATCTCCTTTGACGCCGCCTTGAGGCTGTAGTTGCACTCCTCGTACGCCCGTCCCGCCCCGAAACCAGCCCCGACAAACGCCGGCCACGCCCTCCGCTTGAACACCAGCACTGAGAAGACGACGCCGAAGCCGAGCCCGAGTGTCGACTTGATCAGTAGGTTCGACAGGCACCGGTCCCACTGCGATTTGGGCCCGAGGTATATCGGTTAACGTTGCGCATCATCCAGAAAACATAGAATATAATGGGGGGAAGGGTTTCTTGACGTTTCGTGTCTCTCCCCGTAGCCTTCTCTGGACTGCCTGCCTACCAAGAGAGGATTTCGGGATATCGAACACAACACATGGAGGGGATGATGAGGGGGGGAAAGTAGAACGCCTCGAACCTTTTCGTTGAGGAGTGCCTCGCTGACCGGGCGCGACACGGCGCGCGAAGGCGCAGGGGGGGTTGTGGTTTCGGGCATGGTTGCTGTTGTTGTGGGTGTCGTCGCAAAGTCTATGGGAGAAACCCGAGTTCAGCTTCCAATTGCACGCCAAGGTCTCTATTTCGCATGCGTTGTTGCAGTATTTCTTTCGGGAATTGGAATTGGACTCTCTGGGCTACGTACGTTATGTATGCCCTCGCTGGGTTTGGCGGTAGGTGTGGTGCGACAAATGGATTGGGGTTGTGGCGGGACGTTAATTGCGATTGTTTACGGAGATGGCAGCTTTGAAGTTTGTTATGTTGCTCACTCAAGATGCCAGAATCTGGTGGCAAGACGTCCGAGCTTGCTGGGTGCTTGCTTGCCTGCTGCACCGCGCCTGTTGGACAGCACTGAGCGGCCAGGCGGCCAGCTCAGCTGTTCCCGTTGTCACCCGAAGGCGGTGAGCGAGAGAGGTGTGCGCTGTGGGCTTGCACCGCCAAGCAAATGTTCCAATGGCCGGCAGAATTCTGGAAATTTTTGGGGCTTCGACGGCGGGAGCGACGCGGGGCGGTCGAGCGCTGCAGACTGGGCGCAACAGACAGAATAGCTCAGCAACCACTAGGAGCAAAAAAAGGACGAAAATCAACAAAGGACTCAAGACATGAAACTTTAAGCTAGAAGCAACTACAATCAATTATCATGACCGACAAGGCCTGGGTGAGTGCGCTAATCACCTCTACCTTTCTTACCTTCCATCTTCCTCTTCTGCTTCTCTCTCTACTGTCTAATCGCAACTTGCTAATTTGATCCCATTTCTCGACAACTAGCTGGGCGAAGCGGCCCTCGTCAGGGAGGTACGGATGCTGGACCGGAAAGACGGCGAGACGGTGGCGGACAAGCTCGAGCGACTATGGGACACGCAAGCCCAATGCCATGGCGGCAGCTTCCACGCCGCCGAGGAAATGCTGCTGCGCTGGCTGCTGAAGAACATGGCCGGCCCCCCCACCTCTACTGCCGCCGAGACCATCCGGCGCTGTCCCCGCGCCTGGGACATCCTCGGCGCCATCTTCTCGCGGATACCCCTCTTCTCTCTCGCAAAGTCGCTCGCCGACCGCCGCTTCGTGAACGTCCTCCAGCAGACGCTCAAGGACATCTCCAGGCCTCAGCAGCAACAGCCGCAGGTGGCTGCCCAACTTGGCGGCGCCGACTCCGACGTCGAGATGGCCAATGCCTCGCCCCCACCGTCTCCAACGGGCACGCGCAAGCGCAAGCGCTCCGTGTCAACCACTCTCGACTTGGATGTCCAGAGCCAGCTCTCGGGCTGTCTCGAAACGGCCGAGTCCGTCTTCGAGGCGCTACGGACGCTGCTGTCTCGGTGCGAGCTCAGATCGTCCGACGGACTGCCCAGTCAGCGCATGGGAGCCGAGCACGTCAAGTCCTTGTTCTCCTCGTCAGCCACCAAGACCATGGAAATTCTGGTCCCGCTCCTCACCCTGTGCCGTCTCGCCGTGAACAGAAGCCAGGAAACGCCGCTCAAGGGACAGGCCGAGTGGCTGTCGACTTTTAGCTCCATCTGGGATCTCCATCTTCAGAGTTCCAGTGATGCTGCAGACGTCGCAGCTCATCTGTCTGGGCTGGGAACCAGCTTGCTTGGCAACCTGACAGGCTTTGCGCCGCAGAAGACGCTCGGTATCAGCGCGGCTGTGCAGCAGCGGTGGGCGCGAGACCTCCGTCGCTTTCTAGCCCGCAACGTCATTCTCCCCTCAAGGGCCGCCTTCCTCAACAGGGGAAGCCAGGAAGTCATCCAGGTCACCGTCAACATGGCCATGGTCTCGGCCGCTGTGTCGTACCCTGTTCTCTTTGACCTCGTCAGCAAGCAGCGCCGTATTTTGGGCGACAAGACTGCCAAAAAGGACTACGATGCTTGGATCCAGGCTGTCTTTGACGCCACTATCACTGCCCTGCAGTCCCGCGGCCGCGAGAAAAACCGGGTGATAGTTGGCACGATAATGGACATAGCTGCTGAGCGCAATACGGCGCTCTCGGCCACGAGCCTCCGCACCGTTTGCAAGGACTATGCCATCGGGCCTAAGGATGACTGGAAGCTATTGCTTTCCATTGTCAAGCTCAACCCCGACGTTTTCTTGGTCTCGCAGGACGGCCAGGTGCTTCTCGAACAAGTTCTGGAGAAGACGCGGGAGTCGCAGTCTTTCGAGGCTGATCTCTTTGCTAAGGCCTTGCAGTTCATCGTGTCGCTCGCTAAGGGATATGCCAAGGCGCGCGATCTCTCGAGCTTTGTCAAGGTTTGGCTGAAGTATCTCGCCGTCGCTGAGGCCCCTGTCAAGCTGGAGCCCCTGTGGTCCCAACAAGAACTCGTTACTACTGTGGCGGGGCTGCTTGAGACGTCTCTCAATGCCAAACAGCTCTTGGAGATTCTGGACTGGCTCTCGGCCCTCACTCAGCCAGCCGAGATTGTAGCAAGAATTCACATCCTCGAAGCTATCTCAGGTGGCCTTTCACAGGAGGAGTTCGTTGATGCCGCTAGTATGAAGACCTTTGAGGCAGCGTTTGCGACCAAAATCTCACGGAAAGAGCTCTCGAGCTCCGTATCTGCATCGCGATGGATGATCGCCGAGAAGACGCTTTCCAGGGGAACCCTTGAAGAATCTGACCAGGTCTTGTCTCGGGTGAAGTCGGAGCTCGTTCGCGCGCTCCAAAAGTCTCCAGTGTACCGAGAAGATACCTTGGCTGCGTTCAAATGCTGCGCAGCGCTTTGGCTTTCAAACTACCCACACGGCGAGCACGAGAGCGAGGCGGCTACTCTCGCATGTGCATTCCTTGACAGGCTTGATGAGGGCGACGGACACTCAAAGTCGTCTAGTTGGAGCAATACCGAGACATCGATAAACCAGGAGACCTACACCTCCTGGATTCTTTCCAGCATAGTGAGGTAGGGCTCACATCGTGTCTACTTTCACCGAACTACACTAAAATATGCACAGCTTGGTTGTCGAGAAGAAAAAAAGCGTTCCAAACATCATACTTTCGCTCCTGTCTCCTGGCGAGGAGGACGACACAGAAGCCCTCGAGTCCATCATGTCAGCGTCGCGCCTGCTGCTTGAAAATGAAACCATTACAAACAACTACTACCTCATGCGTAAGTTCAGATGAGGGAAACCTTATTATCTGAAGCTAGACGTGCACCTACTTACATTCATCAGATGAGCTGCTGGAAACAATGATTTCACGGATTGACTCGTCCAAATCCAGGAGGTCTAGTTCAACGACAAGAGTAGCCGTCCAGTTTCTGCTTGACGTCCCGATGGATGCGCTTAGCCGTAGCCAGCGAGAGGACATTATGAAGCGCCTAGTCTTGCCGTTGTGCCGGAACCAGGATAAGCCTGAGAAGGTTGGAGTCGAGTTTTGGAAACCCGTGCTGAGTCTGATGGTGAAGCTAATGGGCAGACCAACGTTCTACGATGTAAGTGCCCATGCTTGGAACCGGAGAGTACCGCCAGCTGACAAGGACGACAGGAGATGAGCTTCGCGCAGCTAGAGGCAATAGGGAGGTCGATACGAAAGTCACATCGCCGATCCAAGGAAGGGAGCTCGGCAGATGACGTGTCAGAAGAGTGGGCCGACTTTCAGCTACTGAAACAGCTGGCCGAGTTGACTATACGGTACGTGTCGGGTCGCAACCCATACCATGCCCAATCCGTAGGCTGACGTTGGTGTGCTTGTAGGCAAATGGCGAATGGGAATCTTGAGGAGCGCGAGAAGGCGTATCTCACCGGCGCTGTTGCTGTTCTTGAGTGTCCATGCCAAGACTCGGACGTGGAGCCGCGCCTTGCCCTCATCCAGTCCTTCATCTCCGTGATCCAACACTCTCCCTCGGTCGTGAAGTCAAGTTTTGAGCTCGAGGGCTTGAAAACCAGCCATCTGCTACCAATAGCCGTGCCACCCATCACATCTGGAAAGTGGCGCGGTAAGGGCCTGCTGCCGTTCCTGACAGCCCTGGAGGCCATGGGCGTACTGGATCACTCGTCTGTTGCCAAAGCGCTCTCGGGTGCCGTGCCGTCCTTGTTGGAGGCCGGCAACTGGCTTCTTGAACACGGCGTCCAGGGTGGGATGGAAACGCGAATGTTTCTTGCAAAGCACTTCACAGCAGCCATGGGCTCCCCGTTAAAGATAAAACTCCCTGCCCGGGACGGCCTGGACGTAACAGAAATAGGACCTGCTCTCGACCGGGCGGCCGTAGTTGGCAAGACGGCGGTGCTGGAGTATGTTGACGCGGCAACTCAGGATGCGGATGACGGCACGAGGCTCGGATATCTCCAGGAACTCTTGCTCCAGGATAGCGATAGCTCGGGCTCGTTGGCTCATCTGTTGGTGGTTCACAGGCTGGTGCATCATATTTCTGCAGGCTCTCGACCGGCAACTTTGCCAGACAGCCACAGCGGGTTCGATCTCGCACAGACCCACAACATCCTCTGCAACCGGTTGCGGGCCACCGTGGACCTGAGCGAGTTTATTCTGACTACCCGGACGCTCTACCTGCTGCTCGACCAGAAGGCGGCGAGCATGACACAGTGGAATATTGAGCTCACGCTCAGCAGCATTTCGGCCCTATGCTCCAGGGAAGAGGCGGCGCCTACCTCGTCCCCCAAGACATACCACTGCCTGTGCCAGCTGGTCGAGGTGGTCATCAAGCGCCACAGACGCCGGCTCGATGGCCACTTCCACATCCTCGTCACGGTGCTGCAGTCGCTTCTGCGCCGTCTCATGTCTCTAGCTTCTTCTACCTCTCAGCAACCGCACGACATGGCCAGCAACGTCCCGGCACCTCAGAGCCAGCACTGGGAGAAGCAAGCCCGGCTCTTTGCGCGCCTGGTGACGCTCGTGTGCGAGCCGACAGCGGCCTCGGTGTCGTCGTCATCGTCGTCGTCGTCGCGCCCCGGCAGCGTGCTCGTCTCGGAGCGGGACCGCGCCAAGCGCTACGCCGGCCAGCACATGGGCCTCGTGCTGATGCAGTACGTCAAGCTGCAGCTGGAGCTCGCGCCGCTCCCGCTCGCGGTGCGCGAGCCGCTCGATACGGCCATGTACTCGGTGCTGCAGATCACGACACCCGACGGGCTGCAGATCATGAGCGACGCCATGGATCCCAGCGGGCGCATCATCTTCAAGGAGCTGTACAGGCAATATCAAAAGTTTGGCAAGTGGGAGGGCGTGTGAGCGCGGTCAGACTTGTTTATATATGTTTTGCCGCTGTATATAGACATGTGCTATATAGAGATAGATATATGCCATCAGGGGTTAAGTGGACATGTTTGTTATGTAAGATCTACATAGCGATTTTCTCAGTGGCTCACGAAATGGCATGAGATTGAGTATTTAGCTACCTGTCATAGGAAATCGTGGTCTAGTATCGCTAAGATACGAAGATTCTCCAGACCGCATCCCGTGGAAAACGGCACCTAATTGTGATCCGAGACGACTAGGTAAAAGAAGCCCAGTGCAGCAAGAGCATTGCGTCAACCAAAGGCACACTCAGAGTCTAGCTAGTGACCTGATGATCTAGCAAAGGGGATGAAGAATGATATCTGGCAAACAATGCTTAGCCTCAGTAACTAAAGTACCTTGACTATTTTACGGAGCCATACGAAGAACGCAAGAGTGGTTCTTCTTGATCCGGTATACAAATTGGCATTATATTCATTGCTTGATACCTAATCTCACTATATCAGCAACATTTAGAATACGACCAGACTCATGGCAAGTGTTACTCACCGCAGACCGGAGGCGGAGTCTGTATCCAACCTGCCACTCCATCCCCAACGAACCTAGTACAGATACCCCGGAGAGCGTGTGGCTGTCGGCCTGAGAATCCAGATGTCGAGGATTCGCTTCATTGACTCTGGGTGACATGGCCTTGCCACACGTCTTCATCTTGAGTCCGAACCGTCAGCCCCAACCGGCACACACAGACGAAGTAGCAGAATGACTATGGCAGGAAGGCAAAGTGGCGCGATGAAAAGGGTAGGAATCATAATTGGATCAACATTGCCCTTGTTATGCATTATGAGTGCACTACGAGTCTGCTTGACAACAACCGCCGTTACGACAAGGCTGCGTCTTAAACCCTGGAACGCTGGAAATGCCGAGAGATAACTTCTAGAGTGGATGATGTCATATATACCGTCCCAATTTTTCACAAATCACAGGTCAGTAATCGGTGTCTGCACCTGAAGTACGGCGGAGGCGGTAATGTTTTTATTGTCATGTATGTACAGTACAACAATACCATACAGAGTAGCTGGTACACTGGAATGGACGTGGGCACGGTGAGGCGGGGATGGCTGTAGGGCTGAGCCTAGTTGCGGCGACCGTCTGGGCCTTCAGCGGCCGCTTACTGCCATACATCATACCTAACCCGTTGGCTAATTGATTCAGGAGGTCACCTGACAGCGCGGGGGCGCCCTGGAAGTCGTTGGTCGCGACGGATTTCGGAATGCGTCATCTTCTCCCGCTCTGCGACTTGTTTTAACTGACAAAGTTAAATCCCAGCTCTTCACAAAAAACGATCTGCCATTCGCTGCCGGTTTCTTTCTTCTTCTCTTTCCTCACTATCTTGCCTGAAAGGCGAGAAACCTCACTCGTTTTATTTTTAGCAGCCTCGTGCATCCTCGTTACTGACCTCAAGCGCATCTCCTTCTCTTTCTCCTCCCCCCTCCCCCCTCACTCTTGAATCGCTGCTTCCAACCGTACCTTCCTCTATGGCCGCGACGCCCGAGATCCGCCATGAACTTTACTGCAGAGACATTCCCTGGTGTTAAAACCGAGCAGACTTCGCCAAGCCTCCCACCCCTCGGGTCAGACACGATGGACGGCGCTGGGGAATTTGACGAAGCGTCTGCGCTTAAGAACCTTACCGAAAATGTCCGCAACCAGGACGATCTCGAACGCGACATCACCGAGCAGGCAAATCGCGCCTTGATTGAAGTCGAGGATAAGAGAGATCGAAAACGTATCGAGAAAGCCGAGCTATCTAAGTTGAGGCTCGAGAACCAGCGTCGAACCCAGCAGCAGAAACTTCAGGCCGCAACTGGCGGCTCGACAGCAAGATTGCGGACACAGCAGGAGATTACGCGAATAGAGGCCGAGATTCAGATTTACAGCACGGACATCTCAGACTTCAATAGTCGCATCGAGCAGCGCAACCGACAGAGCAAGACCGACAATACGTCGTCGACTACCGGAAGGAAACTGTCCAATGAGAGCCAGCGCGAGTATCTCATTCGGACTGGCAAGATTACCCCTTTCGCAAAAATTGGCGGACCCCGACCCGATGGCATCCAAGGAGACCTCGCCAATGCGATAATTGACGCAGAAGATGAGGCTGTGGCCGAGGAGATTGAAGAGCAGGGTGCCGACGGGCCGCGGTCGCACCAAAATCTGAGGCTCCCCGGGTTTGCCGAGGAGAACGACTATACCGGTGGCGTAGCCGAAGACGAATTCTCCCTACGCCCGAGGAAGAAACGCCGTGTGCAACAGGATGCCGCTTCCTTAGACGAGTTTGCGCCGAACCAGTCGACCTCTGAAGCAGCCACTCCTGCATCTTATGCGTCTGACATCTCCGACGAAGTGGACATGACTGACATGAGGCCCAAGGTCAAATCTAAAAAGGGAACAACCAAGGAGAGCGAGGACAAGATCGATCTCAGCGGCATTGATGACGGTAGCGAAACTGTCTACCAGAGTAGACTAAAGGATTGGACGGACAGGAGGAGTCGGGCGAGACGGCGCCGACAGGAAGCCTTGGGGCAGCCGATCGGCGATGCGGCAGACGGAGTTGATGAGTGGCTCAAGCCCTCTCCCGACGAGGCCGACCACGAGTTCGAGAACGGGCTGAAGCTTCCGGGCGATATATATCCATCACTTTTCGATTACCAAAAGACTGGCGTACAATGGCTTGCAGAGCTGTATGCGCAACAAGTTGGCGGCATTGTCGGCGACGAAATGGGACTGGGCAAGACAGGTATGCTGCACTCCATTGTGGCCTCTCGTTTGTGGGCAAATAACTGACAGCTATTTAGTCCAGCTTATATCCTTCGTGGCCGCCTTACATCACAGTAACATTCTCAACAAGCCTACCATTGTTGTTGCGCCTGCCACCGTCTTACGGCAGTGGGTCAACGAGTTTCACCGTTGGTGGCCGCCTCTCAGAGTCTCGATTTTGCACTCGTCCGGCAGCGGTATGTTCAATGTGCGGAACGAGGGAGAGATCGAGGACCAGGATGATGTGTGGGACAAGAAAAAGCCGAGCAAGTCAAGCAAGGCGGCAAAGAAGATCGTCGACAGAGTGGTCAAGCACGGCCACGTCTTGGTCACCACCTATGCGGGCCTCCAGACCTACAGCGACGTTTTGATACCTGTTGACTGGGGCTATGCCGTCCTAGATGAGGGCCACAAGATTCGGAACCCGAACACGGCCATCACCATCTATTGCAAGGAGCTCCGAACACCCAATCGGATGATCCTCTCCGGGACCCCGATGCAGAATAACTTGACCGAGCTCTGGTCTTTGTTCGATTTTATATACCCCATGCGCCTCGGTACTCTTGTTGCCTTCCGGAATCAATTCGAGATTCCAATCAGGCTGGGGGGTTATGCGAATGCAACGAACCTCCAGATCATGACTGCGCAGAAATGCGCCGAGACACTCAAGGAGACAATTAGTCCCTATCTCCTTCAGCGCTTGAAGGTCGACGTGGCTGCTGACTTGCCCAAGAAGAGTGAGCAGGTGCTGTTCTGCAAGCTATCCAAGCAGCAGCGAGAGGCCTACGAGCTGTTCTTGAAATCGGACGACATGGCCTCAATCCTCAGCAGAAGCCGTCAGTCTCTTTATGGTATTGACATTTTGCGCAAGATTTGCAACCATCCAGACCTACTTGACCCTAGGCTCAAGACCAAACCGGGCTACTTGTGGGGTAGTGCTAACAAGTCTGGGAAGATGGCAGTTGTGAAGTCGCTGCTGCCCATGTGGAAGCGCCTTGGCCATAAGACATTACTCTTCTGCCAAGGTGTCCAGATGCTGGATGTTCTGGAGGCCTTTATTAGGCGGCAAGACGGCATCAGCTATATACGCATGGATGGCAAAACACCAGTCAAGCAGCGGCAGACACTGGTCGACCAGTTCAACAACGACCCTGATCTCGATGTGTTCTTACTTACCACAAAGGTGGGCGGGCTCGGTGTCAACCTGACTGGAGCCAATCGCGTCATCATTTTTGACCCCGATTGGAACCCTTCTACGGACGTACAGGCAAGAGAGCGGGCTTGGCGCCTGGGTCAGAAGAAGGAGGTGACCATCTATCGGCTGATGACTGCTGGCACAATTGAGGAGAAAATCTATCATCGCCAGATCTTCAAGCAGTTTCTGTCAAACAAGGTACTGAAGGACCCCAAACAACAAACAAATTTCAATCTGCATGATTTGCACGATCTGTTTACCCTCAGTTCGTACGAAGATGGCACTACTGAAACGGGCGAACTCTTCAAAGGAAGCGAGGTCAAGAGCTTCAAGCCAGTTGAGCCTAGGGAGCTCATCTTGCCTAGTCATGACGCTACTCCTTTCAGGGCGCCGCCAGTCAGCGTTGCAAAGGGTGGCGAGCGCGGTGGCAACGGCAACGAGGAAGGCGAGCTTCGCAACATTGATGGAGTCGCCGGGCTAGAAACGTTCCAAGACGAAAAAGCTCCGCCCGCAAACGAGGAAGATCGACTAATGGAAGGCATCTTTGCGCGGTCTGGGGTGCACAGTGCCCTGGAGCATGATGAAATAATGAATGGCAAACGGTCTGTCAAGGCAGATCGCAAGATGCTTCAGCTTGAGGCCAATCGCATCGCTGCACAAGCGGCACTGGGTCTTCGCCGCGCCGGCGAAGCGGCCCGCAATGTGCCAATCGGTACTGTGACGTGGACAGGAGAGTTTGGAGAGGCTGGCCGTCCTGTCAACATCCGCCGTGGACGCGCTGGTCCCAGCTCGGCGGGCATCCTCGCCGGTATTGAGAATCGTCAAGCCTTGAGCATACCAAGCGCAGGTAGCTCAAGGTCGGGAACGCCGAGTGCTGCGGACCGCAACTTGAAGGCGAAGGATTTTGAGAAGATGGTCCCCGCATTCATCAAGAGGCATGGCGGCCAGGTACCATCGAAGCTGCTGGTTGACCACTTCAACCACTACTGCGCCGGTGCGAAGCAGGCAGAGGAGTTCAAGACGGCTTTGGCCAAGGTGGCTAAGATGGACAAGCGCGGATCAAGCATGCGGGCCATCTGGACTCTGAGGTCCGAGTATCAGTGATGTATGTGTATATTTACTACATATCGCGGACATGAACTGGGCCACGGTGGGTTTTGATTTCAGCTTTAAACCACAGCAACATGGGAGCGCAAAATGAATTAACGAGAGAGCATACAATATGACTTGCAACGATGGAGCCCACGGGCATATATGGATGCGGTCAGCGTAAAGAGATATACATGGCCTTTTTCATAGGAGGGATAATATCATCGCCAACCGTCTTGTTTTATCTACTTCACTGCCTCTGTCATACTTGTCCACAACTAAACCATCTCTTCTTTTGCGAATCCCAGATATATAAGCGAGGCCGGTGAAAAAGAGGCCAGAAGTACGGAACGTCACCGAAGATAATTGGAAAATGAGGATTAGAAGCCTAGCTCAAAATCACAATGAAATGGTTACTAAATACACAATGATCATAAAAACAACTGTATTAAGTGGGTATCAAACGCCTGATCCATCCTCCCTTTTATGAACCCCAGGCCAGTTTGGCACACGTGCTCTGGGACGCTGGATACCGCTGGGCCTTCTAGGGTCTTTCTGACCATCTATTTCTCTCAATGCCGGCGCCAAGGTCAAAATATTTGCCCATATGTTCTATCTGGTAGAAGCAGAAAAAGGAAATTGTCGTTATTCGTTAAGGCCGGTTGGATGGGCTTGAGCGGGAAGAGATAGGAAAGGCCATGTCGAAACACTGCCCACATCATGCCCACTTAGCTAGGAGAGACATCAGCCCAACGCCGAGGGCAACACAAGAGTACGCGAAAAGCTGCATGTTAAAGCCCGCCTTGCGCATCTCGGGGTTGAACATAAACTCGTGCGCCAGGAGCTCAACGAGACCCGTGTACATGAGGATGCCGCCGCTGATCGCGTCGAAGACGCCATTGACAACCTTGCTTGTTGCTGCTTCTAGCGCGAGCGACTTGTTTGCGATGAGCCCTATCCCGATCGCGAAGGGGGTGCTGACAGCGTACAGCGCACCGAGAAAGTAGGGCGTCCACCTGCGGCTGTCCGCGGGCCAGGTAGCGGTGGCTAATCTGGCACCAAGTCCGAGTCCTTCGAAGGTCTGGTGAAAGACGAGAACAACGAAGAGGATGATGAAATTGTCAGTAACCGCAAGGGTCAGGCCGATGAAGATGGAGTGGAAGATGACACCAAATTCCAGTATGAACAGGGCGGTCATCTGCGCAGCATAGTTGGCGTGCTCATCGCCCTCGACATGGTCTCTTTGATGGCCCAGGTGGTCTTCCCCTCCTGGTGGGTAGCTAACGTCGTCCCGAAGACCCGGAATCCGAGTCTTATCACCAGGCTTGACAGGTGAGATCTCCGTGCCTTTCCCGCCCGACGTTGACCTGAGCGAGCTTCTCGAGCCACCCGCCTCGATGTCTCGGGGGTTCTGGCCGCTGGGAGATCCCATGGCGGAGTCACCAGACTCCTTCTCAACGTGATCATGGCCGTGGCCATGGGCATGGGCATGAGCGGAACCAAACCCAAAGTCGAAGCGCGCGACAACAAGTTCTAGCAGGAACATTGCCATGACCGTCATAAGGCCAATAAACATTGCCCAGTCGTAATCGGGCAATATGTCCGACAGGCACTCGTCGCGCAGGTTATCGGAAGCCGGAGAAAGAAGATGCATCCATGCTGTCGCCAAGATCACGCCAGATCCAAAATACTTGGCCACGAAGAAGCAAAGCTTGGGTACGCGCATCCGCGAGGTTCGCGCCAGCCATATCGGTAAGAGTGCGCCTAGTGCTGAACCGGCAAGGATGACAAAGACGGAGGCAATTCGCAAGTCCCAGTGGCTTGTGCTGGCCGATGTGCCCTCGCAAGCTGGAGCCGGCGCATCGTCTCCCTCGTCACGCGCCACGAGCTGCGAATAGCGATGGTGGTGCATCGTGGACGACTGGCTCTCCTTTTGGTGCTGAGACTATGAAAAAAAGACCGCCGGTGGGGTCAAGGATAGAGGGCTGCTCCGTAACCGAGACGTTGTTACAGGAACAGTAACTAGCTTGACGGATCGGATTTGAGGGGTATGAGAAACACAAATGGCGAGTTCGCGGCTCCCCTTTGTTTTTCGGAAAAAGGATCTGAGGCTTCACAAGGTAACGATAAGCCGCGAGGTGTGCGTGTTCGGAAAATAGTTAGGTCGCCTGTTTTTCGTTTCCCGACAATACCTTTGTTTGCGCCGGCAGATCGCAACGGTCGGGTAAATTGCTGGTGAGAGCTGTTTGTGGAGGTGGCACGACAGGTGGTAGTTATAGGTTGGCCGTCATTCCGACGACTCGCGCGCTCGGCTGGGCAGAGAGGTCCGCAAGGTTCGAATGTGGGTGCGGGCTTGGTTTGTGCCGAGAACTCGAACTCACGCTTGAGAACCTTGATGGCCACCGACCGCTAAGCCCTGCGTACAATGACCCCTGTAAAATGGGACAATGTGGCTCGCGAAGCCCTGAGGGTCCCCCAACTAACAGACGTTGAAATTCCAATTGGAAGGTATATTACTGCGTGCTTGCTTGCTTGCTTGCTTACAGCGTAGATAACTAAGGGCTGTCTCTCTAGATGGAGCCGGAGAAGAACACGATCAGGCCGGATAGATGTTGGCAGTAGGTATTGTGGTCCGGGATTTGGAACAGCCCCTCGGAACATGGAGGTGAGATTCTAAACCAAGATCAGATATGATGAGGAGCGGTCGGCTATCAGATGGAAAGAAAGCCACGTCAATAGAAGAGAAAGCCTCAAAATCAATAAAAGACGCTTTCCGAGAGATCGAAGGTGGGGGGAGGGGGAGGGGGAATAGGGTGGATCCAGCACGCCTAAAATGGAAGGCTGGAGGGCGCCAAGTAAGAACCTCGATGGTCAGACTCCAGATAACGACATCAAGGTACACACATACACCCAATACCTACAGTCGCTGTAGGCAAAACAGTGGAGTCAAGAGGGGTGTCAATTGATGATGCCATGAGTTTGCGATTGGAGTTTAATGAGACGAATGCAGCGTGAATCCATTTGCGTATTCCATATCGTATTGATTATCGTGGGTGTTGGCGGCAGCTCGAGACGGCGGGACGTATCTAATGATGAAACTGTGCGTCAGCCGTGCCCCTGCCGTCGTCGTTCGAGTTGGCCCACACGCCAAACCCGATTGACCTAGACATTGTCATGTCGATTGGCCGATTATGGTGGGGCACAGGGAACTGCACGAGATCGGCCATCAAGGTTCTCATCCAGTCAGCGAGCTATCAAGGTGCTCGCTCGTCTTATCATTCTCCCCGCTCTTTCGCTTTTTCCGGAACAAACGAGCTGCGCCACTCCAGATATTCGGGGTTTGGTGACGTCTTTTTCTAGGATGATTTTCGAGATTCAATGTTTGGAGCCCCTGGTCGCACGTGCTGCGCTTCACCCAGGTTAGGCCTGCCAAGAGTGTGAGATCTGGACCAGATGGGTTCTTCTTGCTCTCTGAGTCGACCGTTCCACGTGCGTCGGGATTCTGCAGCAACATGAACAGCCAAACCACCGGAGCACCCGATTCGAGCCAATATCGCATGGGCTAATTAGAAGGAGCGGCCCTCCATCACCCAATGCGACGCTCAAATTGGTAGGGGCAGGCGATATTCGAGCCGGCCAGAGGCACACCGTCCCGCTTTCCTCCGTCCCCTGCAAGCCAACAACCACTCACGGAAACCAATGCGCGCTGCGTCGGGCCTTCATGCAGGCTGGGGAGGGCCCTCATGCAGGCTGGGGATGCTGATGAGCTGCAAGTGGGCGAATAGGCAAGGCCGCTGGGCTTAGGACGAGTATTGGATCTCGAGTCCTAGACTTCGGAAGGGCTCATCCAGCTTATGCAAGTCCACCCCGGTGCCAAGGCTAAAAATAAGCGACTTAACCCGGCCCTCCCAGAGCAGTCCAATCCGGAGGTTCTGGTCGAGCCGCGCCTTTAAGACACCCAAATATTCTTCTTCCTTCGTTACGCTAGGCGTGTCTTGGCCTGTGTGCGCCTTCGCTTCTTCGGCGGCTGTGGTAGGTTCGGGGTCGTCCAGGCGCCATTCCATTTTCGCCTGGAAACTTCTCTCATTCGTTTTCGCCAGCTTCTGTGCGACCTCCTCCCGCTGTCTGTTGGGGTCGACTCCAAGGAGAAACCCGGCCGGCCGGCGGTTGCTCCACAACTCCATGCCCACTGCCCAGTCGCTCTCGTAGCTGTACACGTTGAATTCCATTCTCGTTGCCAGAGAGCAATATTCCTTTGCCAAGATGGCGTACGTGGCATTGATGTTTCCCATGAGCGGGTTAATAGTCAATGCCGCTGTGAGCGGTGTCCCTCGATGTGCTGGCAGGGTTGCGAAGCGTGCTCCCAAAGACATCCCTCCTGATTTGTTCAGGGTACCGTAGTATACCTCACCACCAACGCTGAATCGGCCGTATATGCGCTCCCTTTCCCCAGACTGGCTGCTGCTGCTGCTGCTACTCTCATTCGTCGAGCATGCCGTTGGAGTTGCGCCCGGGGAAGAAGCATCTCCGCCAAAATTGTAAAGGCCCCGAACGCCAAGAAGTCCGCCGTCAGTTGACGCTAGACCCTCGACGCCGAATTTGCCTTTATCGTATTGAATAAGCCCCAACAAGGTGCCGCCATTCCGCAACGACTGTTCACTGACAGCCGAGAGCTGAACTTGCAACACTGGGCTGAAGCGCTTCACAACCAGCCCCTCCAGGAGCGACTGGGGAAGATAAAGCCGGCCGTAGAGGAGCGAGCTCTTGTCCCTGTCTCGGCCTGTGACCTTGTTTCCACCGACGAGAGTTGGTGCAAGTCCCACTCCGCCATCTGTATCGACACTAACCGCATGGCTTTCGGATGCGCCAGGCCCACCCGCATTCGGAGCCGATTCGTCACCGCGCGAACCAAGGTCGTGCAGCCGGCGAAAGGAGCGCAAGAGTGCGGGAAGCGGTATGCGGTCGGACTGAGCGGTGACGCCCCTCAGCGCGACAGAGCTGTATAGATAGGAGATGGAGCCGTCGACGATGCCAACGGTGCCTAGCTGGTAGCTTGTCGCGAAGTGCGGGGTCGCCAGGGACGCGAGGTTGACGCGGAGGCCCAAGGGAAGGGGAAAGTCAATCAGCTCTGCAGGTCGTCTTGTCAGCGCAAAGGACGCGACATGTGCCGTGAGGACACGGAATCAGCACCATTGGGAGTTCGCAGGTGCGCAAAAATAGGGCCACCCGCCTCTGGCTGTTGCGTTCAGTTCCTTGTAGGTGTTGTCCTCGTTCCATCCTGTGGCGCCGTAGAAGGCATTTGTGATGTAGTGCATAAACTCGCGCATGGTGGGTTCGAGGCCTACGTGTCGCACGTAAGGCGAGCGCGTTAGGCTACCGTTGATTGGTCATGAATTAAATATCGCCTCTCCTCCCGCAAGAACACTCTGCAAACACCAGATGGACGGTGGCGCTGGTGTTCGGCCCTGGAGCTTTCTGCGAGTTTATTATCGAGCGTTCCAAACGAACGCGCAGCTTCGAGTGTTCCAAGGCACGCACGCCTGAGACTGCGGAGGAAGCAAGGCTGTCTCCACAGAAACCCTCAGGGGCCAATCATATGGAGTCTACTCACAGAACCTTAATTACCGTACCTTTTTGTTACGGGGAAAGCTCAGGGTTCTCATTCAATGCTCCACTCTCCCGTCCCCTTAAACCAGGTATGTCTGTCTGTCTCTATCACATTTGATACTCGAATGAAGGTTGCTGGGAAATTTTGACTTGTCCCTCATACCTAGCTACCTAGGTAGGCACTATACCTCGAAGTCTACAGAATACGGATGGATTTCAATGGTAAGATACCAGTAGCGTTCAAACCAGCGAGCCCCAAACTCCCAAACTCTGGAAATGGTAGGCAGTGAAACCCTGTACTCAATCAGGCGCCTCTCTTCAGTAAAGCAACTACCTCGCCTTGGGCCCACCACCATCTCAAGCAATATATATTTTTAGTTTGTGCCATCGCCGAAGCTGTCACGGCCGCTCGCAAACACTTTCTCGAAGTCGTACTCGTGCCACCGGATGTTCGGGTTGAGGCCTGCAAACTTCCACACGCCATCAACCTTGCGGTAGTAGTGCGTGTTGTGGCTGTGGGCGTGTCCCTTGACGGCCACCGTCTTGAGGGTGGCGTCGGTGTAGACCTGGTGAGGCACGCGCAGCTGGTGGTAGCCGATCACCTCGGTGTCGGACACCTTTTCCCACTTGCTCGCACCGCCGATGAAATGCTGTGTGCGCAGCAGCGGGTTGCCCAGCACCGACTTGTCCGAGATCATGGCCACAAATTCCTCAGCTGGCATCGCCTCCCACAGCTTGTTGAGGAACGAGCGGTAGTCGATCTGTCATTGAGTCAAAAAAGATGGGTGTCAGCCGAGCTAAGACAAGACAGGTATTGGGGTCAATGGGACCGAGGGCCTCGCTTCCTGTGTGGCTGACATACTCGCAGTGTGGGCGCGATGCACTTTCGTAGCCGGTCCCAGTCCTTAGAGTCATAGCTATCGGCCCACTCAAAGGCTGCCTCGCTGAGGCCGAGGTAGTCTGCGATTCCATCAGTTAGTCGATCGGCCAGCCAACTGAATGATTCATAAGACTCGACAGACCTTCGAAGGTGATTTGCTGCTTCTTTTCGGCGGCCATGGTGAACGTGACTTCGTATTATTGACGAGCGAGAGATTGAAGTGTGTCCAGATACCCGAGGCTCTGGTCATGGGCGGGAGGGCTCATTACTTATCCGCATCGTTTTGGATAGCCGGCGGGTCCCTGGCTGTGTCGGGCCCAGACTATGCGGACGACCGTGCGGCTACCCCCATGCCCGAAGTCCGGAGGTTGGTGGGGATGTGCGGCTGGGCTCGACACCGGTCGGGTGCGGCCTACGCCTCCCTGGTGCCAGGAGATCCAACAAGTTACGACTATAGTTAATTCCGGCCAATCCAACTCGAGTCGCGTGTGCGGCTAGTCGTCGTTGGTAATTCTGCCGGAGGATTATGAAACAATAAGCGCGGAAGCGCTGGACCGCCGGTTGGGTGTTTTTAGGCGAGACTATCGGGTCCGGCGGAGACAAAGACATATCTCACACCCCCTTCTCGGGGCACTTTGAGGCGCCGGCGCCTTGAGCACACGTGGGCGCCGCTTCCGCACCATCCGGGGCCGTTGAGTTATCACTCGCTTGTGGTCTAGACGGGGCCCGTCCAAGTCAACTGCATGTGGGGAAAAGAGTTAATATTTCTTGCTTAGCGCCGGTGCCTCGAGAATTACTACCACTAACCTGCAAGACGTCAAGACATCTTCTCGCCGTTGTTTTCTTCTGTTATATCCCAAGCCCTGCTAAGATATAGCGTGAATTCGCAATATCTCCCCCTGGCGGTGGTTAGTCGGGATCACTCCAGTTGCTCCAATCGCTGCTGTCGCTAGCCTGGTCGCTGTCTTCGCCCTTCGTGAAGACAGCGTCTGTTTTATCAAGGTCCCGCATGATAGCATCTGCATCCCGTGAGATTCCCGAGAGCACCGCTTTCCTAGCGAGCAGCGTACCTTTCCTAGTCCTCGTTCCAGCCGCCGATACTGCCCCTGTGGAGGCCTTCTTGGTCTTGTCCTTACCGCTGCCGACATTGCTGACAAGCCTCCGGATATGGCCGCCCCAACCACTGGCGACCTCGTTGATCTCGGTCAAAATCTTTGCTCTCGCGACCTCGCGGTTCTCGCCCTGCTTGAGAAGCTTGTCGTAGTCGGTGTGGCAGTGCCGAATGTGGGCTCTCACGGCCAGCTTGACTTTCTCATTCAACGTTAGGGTGCCTGTCCTGCCCACGCGCCGGCTGTGCTTCTCCAGCGCGCGGTTTATGATCTTGGGTATTGCCTCCTTGGGGATCTTGGGGAACAGCTTCACTATGGCCTTTTCAAAGGTCTCTTCGAGGGCGGAATCCCGTTTCTGGACGGCCTCCGCCCGACGTACGGCGGTCGCTCTATGGTCTGCCTCGACAGACGCGTAGATCCCCGCGGGGCACCGCAGGCCCAGCGCTTTTCCGGTTTTGGTGACGACTACATAGAGCGTCTTGTCTGCCTCGTGCGTTTTCTTGCGGCAGTTTTTGGTGATGTAAACATCTCCCTTGGGCACGAAGACGTAGCCCTTCGGTATTGGGGCGCGCGGGGAAACGTCAATTTCGTCTCTTGCCATGGTGGTTGCAGTATGCTTGGCCTCGTTCGAGCGCGTCACCTTTTACATTCTCGTGGTCGGGACTTTGGTCAAGAGAGAATAAGGTACGGTGAGCGAGATAAACGAAAGGAAGGTGAGGCGCTCGAGTCTCGGCAGAACCTAGTCGTGCCCTGGAACTAGGCCGTGCACCCCCCCTAAAACGCGCCGGAAGCGTGCTGGACGCTAAAAGATGCAAACACCATAACAAAGACCAGCACGTCGAGCAAGCAACGTAGAAGCCGACAAAACTCTTTGTCGTAGCCAAGTCTGAAAGACCTTTAATTAGAACTAGTCTTACTCTAGTATGCCGAATTGCGCAGATGTACGCACACCTGAGTCAAGATGCATTCCCAAGAGAACAGTGGAGGCTCAGCTCGAGAACAGCTCCAGCGCCATTCCATCATTGCATTGCCCGGGCAACCAAGTGCTGTTTGGCCACATTCTCGTGAATAATCGGCCTCTCATCCATTTTCTTTCACCCTCCAGCACCCATCGGCGCTAGCTCAGGTGAGCCGAAGAAAGTCGAGTGGCCTATTTGGCTGGACTCTGATCTTCGTACATCTTCCTCGCGCTATACCATGGCTCAGTTTCCCGGGATGGAGTGTCCGGCTATTAAAAGTACTCGGCGGGTAGGAAGCTGTTGTGTACAATAATAGAGTGACTGGGTTCTTAAAATTTGGCTGTCTTTCCATCTCATAAGCAAGTCGTGCATCTGGGACTTTATTAGCTCTCATCGCATCTACTTAGAACTGGTATTTTCTGTTTGAGCAAATAACTAATAATAAACCGCTGATCATAATATTCGTAATGTAGGTGTAAGGCCTACCCAGCAGAGAGGCAAGGAGTCTATCGTATAATATGATACCCAATCAAGCGTTCACTGTAAATACTAATCAGGCACTCTGGACTGCCTCGGCCTCGACTGGGTCTTTGTCGAAGAGTCTACTTAGCGCGAGTTTCGCCTTGAGCTCGTCATACTCCTTGATCCAGGCCTCCGACGGTGCCCGCATTGGCTCGCCGCCCAGCTCTTTCGCGTCTTCGTTTACCCAGCTGACGAGCTCGCGCACGTAGCCTACTTCCTGGCCTGGCAGGTGCAGGGCGTGAAATGCTCGGCCGAGTCCCTTCTCCTGCACACGCTTCACGTACGCTGCCCGCATCGTCTCCTTGGGCGGCAGCCGAGCCGTGCCGGCGAATACGCGGGAGAGAGCCTGTGCCTGGTAGTCGAACAGCGAGAAGGTCGAGACGTAGTATGGCACGCCCACGAATGCCAGAGTTGGGTCGTTGATGTAGAATATGTCGCGGTGCAGGTTGTGCGCCATCCTCCCGTCCGAAGTCACCACCAGGTTCTCGCCTGCCTCGGTGACGGGTGCTGTGTCTGACTGGAGCTGGGGCAGAAAGGGGTAGGACGTAACATATCCCGTAGCAATCACCACGTCGTGAATGTTGTCGAGGACTTGCCCGTCCTTGAGAACGACGGTCCCCAGGATGGGCGATCCCGCGGCTGACTGTGTATCTCCGGGGGACGGGCTTCCCAGGACGAATTTCTCCACTTCGCCAATCCGGATCGAGTTCGGCGGCAACATTCTGGCGGGCGTGTCAAATGGGCCCCCGCGCACGCTCTGGTACGTCGCGTTGGCGACGCCCTCGAGCTCACGGCATATGTCGAGCGAGGACACGCCGGCCCCGAGCACCAGAACGTTCCGGCCCTGGTACGGGTGCGGCTTGCGGTAGCGCTTAGAGTGGATGATGTGCTCTGGGAAGGCTGCCTTCCACTCCTTGAGCCCCTGGATTTCGGGGATCCGCGGCATGCCGTAGTGGCCCGAGGCGACGACGAGCAGGTCGAAATACGACAGCCTCTCGACGAGCCGCGGGCCTGACGCGTCTCTGACCAGCAGGACGGACCGGATCTCCCACTTGGACCCGTCTGGCGTTTTCTTGGCCTCCTCGACGCGGGCGTGGAAGTGCGTGATGGCGTCGACGGCCTGGTCGCGGGCTAGTGTTTGGATGTATTGCTCGACGATCTCCTGGCTGACGTGGGGCTCGGTATTCTCGGGCCAAGGGCCTAGGCTGCTAACCAGCACTTTTGTCGAAATGTTGTTTTTCAGTCCGGCATAGCACGGGCCTGGGGGCGCAAAGCGCACTTCGAGATCATCTGCGCTTTCGCTGCCGGCGGCGTGCCCTTTGCCGTCTCTCTCATCCTGGGACTCCGGGGGAGGTGTGGAATAGGCAAACTCGCCCGGCTTGGAGAGCTTGTAGTCGCCCGACGAGGGCGCCTGGTTGGGGTACGGAGGGTCCTCGGGCACACGGTCGTCGTAGTGCCAGATGCCGCCGGCAATACTCGAGCGCTCGAAGACGGTCACTTGAAGCCCCTGGTTCTGCAGATGAGCCGCAGCGCAGACACCGCTTATCCCGGCACCAATGACGGCCACGGTCCGGCCGGCGCCGAAGCGCCAGTCGGCCACGGCCGTGGATGACGATTTGGATCCCATTTTGATAATTAATCAACTAATAAATAGCAAAAAAAAGACGGTTCCCGGTTTTGAAGGTCTGTTGATGTGGTTGAGCCGTGATGGGACGGGACTGGAGCCAGACAGTCAGTGCCAGACAGATCCAAACAGTGATCGACCAGTGTAGTACCGTCAAATCGGGGGAAGAGTTAAAAAGGGGCTCGGAGTGTCACATCTTAAAGCCGACCCGGGGTCTAGAACGCCAGTTCGAAAAGGTGAGTGTTGCAGAACATTATTGGCACTAATAGGTCGGGTCTAATTATTGATACGGCGATAATGTCTTGTCTGGCGTTGCTTGCTTACCAAGGCGTGCTGCGACCCCCTCACCCGGCGAGCACGCCATATGGCGATTTCAATCGCGCAGGTTGTGTCTTGGCCTAGGGATGCCGGTCGCTCCGTGCCTCTGCGCCTCGGTGGAACCATGCATTCCGAGTGGGAAGTGCTCAACGCTTTGCAAATTACCTCACCTGTCGTTGCTCGATACTTTTTTTGGCGTTTCATTTGATCATAATTGCTGCGTAGGTGGGTGGGTGTTGTTGATGCGGGATCTGTTCAATAATTAATTATTCTCCCGTTTGATTAATCCAGCTGGTAATTAATTAGTTAACTAGTTTAGTTATGCCAAGCAGAAGTCTCGTTCGCAACATAGCTATACCTACCTTGATTAGTACTAGAGAAGTTAATTATTAGGTGGTTAACAACGGGGGAGCATCCGATAATTACATCCCACCCTCTTTAGTAATAGCAGTCTCGGAGTTTCAGCTATTGCTTCCTAGTTCTCGAAGCTAGTAAGTACGCATTGAGAGAAGACAAAATACCTCAAATAATACCTTAGACATGCAAGCTCAGTAGGGAATTAAATTGGTGACGTGACAACCCAAGCTGCGTGGGGGCGAGTCCTCCACTCTGGCCATGTCGGGCCTTTCTTTGACCCGAACAGCTCAAGCAGTGGCAGTATCAGTTGCCGTTGCCGTTGCTGTTGCCGTTGCCGTTGCTGTTGCCGTTGCCGTTGCCGTTGCCGATGCTAGCTTCTTTGCCCTCTCGTGGTGGTGCAAGAAGCGGATCAGAAAGGTGATGCCAATCACCCCGACGGCAAGAAAAATCATGGCTGTGTACCTAGCCCTTGAAGTACCGCGGAGCCTCGGGTTGCTGCCAGATCAACAGAGGCAGCCACGCCTGGACCACATAGACCAGCTCGTTCATGGACCCCGCCACCAGAGCGCGCTCCTCGTTGCCGTCGCTACAGGCTTCATTCGCCCACGCTAAGGCCATCCCGGCAATGCCGCCGCCAAACCCGGCCAGCAAGAAGCAAACCCATTTCCACCCGTCGGGGATGCTCCAGGCTGACAGGCTCGAGTACACGACTATGTTGGCCAGTGTCGAGAAGACGATCGGCGCCCTCTCTCACCCCTAAAGATGGTATCAGAGGTTCACGCATAGATGAGCGCGGATAAAACCGTGATGGCGGCTGCGATAGTCGGGTACGTGTTGATCTGCGTGATCGAGTAATAGCCCTTGCTCTTGGGCCAGAGCGGAAAGGCCGGCTGGCTAAGCGCTCCGCCGCCGTTGTTCAAGACGACGTAGAGTGCCACAAAAAGATAAATGTGCCAACTCGAAAAGGACTCCTTGAACTTTTCCTTTGCTTATGGAGCCCGGGTTGCGCGCCCCCGAGCTGCATCCGCTTCTGCGCTATCGCGATGTCGCCGGGGGTCAGATACCATGGCCTGGTGATTTTGAGCAGGCCCGGCAGGAAAAAGAAGCCGCCGATTGCAATCGGAAGCGAGATGGCAGTATTGATAATGAACAGCCATTGCCACCCCTTAGATCCGCCTCGGCTGTTGAGGTTATAGACTGTGGCCATCGAGTAGCCGCTGAACATGGTTCTAAGAGCGCCGCTTGCGTGAGATATGGACGAGCGGCTCGCTAGCTCGTCTTTCCGATACCAGGAGCCGATGATGTACTGCATGCCGGGGTAGAAAATGCTCTCAGCCAGACCAATAAAGAGGTGGAGGACGTAGAGCTGGGTTGTGGTTGAGACTCTCGCCAAGAGGATTGTCAACACCGCCCACGTCACTTCGCAGCTTAGGATCTAGCTCGAGGGCCGAATACGGGTGAGCAAGAGGTTAATACACACTCGTGTGTAAGAACTAACAGGTCTGGAGTAGTAATATGGGGGTGCTTCCCGGGGTTTGATTGTTGTGATAAACCTAATTAACTTAAATGAAGGTATTTACCTTGGAACGTCGTCCAGAACATAGCCGACTGTCCAGCAAGCCTGGGCAATATCCAACTAGATACTGTAGAGGCCCAGGTCCTCCTTCATGCCTAACGCAAAGGCGTTGTTGATGTCGATCTGGTCGAGATGCTTGATAAAGTAGCCCAGCGACGTGAAGGTCAACAGAGCCGCGTCCAGCTTGAACAGAAAGCGGCGCTCCTCGGGGGACTTGTCCAGTGTGTTCCAGAAATAAGATTTCCAGCTTGACTTGGGTTATTCCTACACGAGTTATGCGACGCGGCTCTCTTCGCTAGACGCATTATCGGAACTTGAGGATGGGGGCTTGTCAGCTCCGAGATCATCAATGTGTAGGGGTGGTTGCTTGACCTCGGCGTCGTTGACGACAGCCATGTTGGACAGGGGTGGAATTCTATTTGATGGAGTTCAGTACGTAGTTAGGAGACTACTAGGAATGGAAGGGTCGGCTAAGGTCGCGGTCACGGTTCCTGATTATCATGGTCACAGTCGCAGGGTCGCGATCCGACAACATCCCGCGTCTCACTTATTATATAATTATGTCAACTAAATCACGGTTCGTAACTTCGTAGACTGTCCAACGTAACAGGCGACCTTAACCTCCTATGTCCTGCCAGGTCTGCCAACGATCGCCAACACAACGTCTCTGAATTACCAGCGATGACAGAACGGCTTTCGATAACAGCCATCCTTGTGCTCCTCCGGTAGACGGCAGTGGGATTAACTAAGCCCCGACGACTGGACACGGAATAGGAAGTCTAGGATCGCCGCCCTCCGGGTCGCATCGCAACGTGAACGAACGGGCGCAACAGCACACAATCAATTGCGGGCAACAATGGGACATGGCGCAACATGCCCTCGGCATTCGCCATGATGGCGTTTCATGCGCCTAGCTGCACCCCCAATGTCACAAGACGGCCAAGCTGCAAAGCTCCATGGCGGGGAGGCAGGCAGGGGTGAACCAACGTCAACCTTGCAGGGCGCTAGGCTGTCGGAGATAACTGTGCCTGGGTCTGGGATGTGTTGTGTGATTCGGTTTCAAGACCGGGTCGTGTGGTTGTTATCAAGACGGGCACTATGTTACCCCGAGCCTGGTGCGGGAGGTCTTGTTCAATGGAAGCTGCGCGTGCGGTGACGGAAAAGTCGACCCCTCACGGAGTTGTCACGACATGGAGTGTGGGGGGGTATTAGTGGGAAATCGCAATATGGAGTGCGTATGGGATCATTGATAACAGCCACCTATCCCGACACTGTAGACGTAGATACCTAATTACAGATCACCTCTGCTTGGTAATCGCCACATCAAGAGCTGCATCTCTTTCAGATCGAGAATGCGGGGGACGTCGGTGCCAACAAATCATCTCGCCTTCCGAGGCAAGCCAGACAATCTAGACTAGGGCCTAATTAGACTAACCCTGGCCTCCAGAGCCAAGACAAAGTATTCAAGCAGTCACATTAAAGACGGCCAAGGACCGCTGCTTTGGACCTGGGAATGGGTTGCCTGTATCATAATATCACTGCACTTGCCTACCTATTACCTGACCTACCTACCTGTCTCTGTCAATCTAATTGATTAGTTGATACTGTCACCCCCAACAAAACAATGGCACCCTCAGCTATCAGCGAAGCCATTGTCGACGTGGTAGAGCCCAGGAAGGACACGCTCCCGTTGCCAGACGCGACCCTTGAGCGTCTGACCAAAGCTGGCATCGACCTGTCCAAGGGCTACCCGTACCGGCCGGCCAAGCCCCTGTACCTGGATGACGTCTACAAGATCCGCGGCGAGGAGCGCGAGTATGTAGACGCCGGGACAAGGGCGGACAAGTCCAAGAAGAGCTTGTTGTCGGCGGCAACCAAGGTGACGGACCTGACGGTTCACATCGGCACCGAGATCGAAGGGCTTCAGCTCAAGGACCTCACCCCTGAGCAACGGGACGAGCTCGCCTTGCTAATCGCCGAGAGAAGCGTTGTGTTTTTTCGAGACCAGGACATCTCGCCGCAGCAGCAACAGGAGCTAGGCGAGTGGTTTGGCGAGGTCGAGGTCCATGTAAGAAGACACACACTCGCTCATACACACACAGAGAGAGAGAAGGAGAAAGACTGACACTTGTGTGACACAGCCCCAACACCCCCATGTTCCTGGTATTCCAGGCGTAAATATCATTTGGCCAGACCTGTTTGCGCAGGAGTTGGGGGCGCCCAGCTTCCGCAAGCCGGGTGGCGCCTCTAGATGGCACTCGGATCTCGTCCATGAGCTGCAGCCAGCCGGTATTACCCACCTACACAACGACGCCATACCTCCCATCGGTGGCGATACCTTGTGGGCATCGGGATATAGCGCGTACGAGAAGCTCAGCCCAGATTTCCGTGCCTTCCTCGACGGAAAGAAGGCCGTCTATCGCTCGGCCCATTCCTATTTGGACCGCGAGAACCCTACAGGCGGCCCCCACCACATTGAGCGCACCCATCCCCTTGTGCGCGTGCACCCGGCCACGGGCTGGAAAGCGCTCTGGGTGAACCGGGGCATGACTGACAGGATCGTGGGGCTCGACAAGGCTGAGAGCGACCTCATCCTCAACTACCTGTACGACGTGTACGAGAAGAACGTCGACATCCAGGTCCGCTTCAAGTGGACCCCGAACACCAGCGCGCTCTGGGATAACAGGTGAGTCTCTTCGCGGCCTGACTCCTGGGAGATGCAGGCCAACTATGGGACGGAATATCCGTAGCTAACACCAGGCACCTCAGGGTCACCATACACAATGCCAGCTGGGACTACGGCGGCCGTTACCCGCGCCACGGCACACGCGTCACATCGCTTGCCGAGGTTCCCTACTTTGACCCTAAGGCACCCACCCGTCGCCAGGCTCTTGGGATTCTCGACAAAGGTGAGCAGGAAGCCTTGGACCTTGTCACTGCTAAGCTCAGGGAGACTTTGCTGTGAGCTTGAAATTCCCCATGGCATTGATTCTCTATATTGCTGAGCGCTCCCTTTTTTTTGTGGTTGCTTGCGTTGGGGGTGTGCAGTGTCAGTTCGGACCTCGCCACGTTTGTCGACTCTCACTTCGCTGGAGCTCTTTTTTCGCTGTAGTTTAGTCTTAGTTGCATCGAAGCCAGACCGGAAACTGGGATGGGCTATTGAACGACCTCATGCGATTGATCAGCTAGTTACCTGAATTCATATCATGAGTTGTATGCACTGACGTATGAAATCGTAAAAGGACTTTAAAAAGGGCCGTCGACACGAGTTGGGATGGTTGCCTCTCCTGGTAAAAAAGCTACACAGTCAAAGAAACTCGTGGTGGCAGCGAGTCGGCAGAGAAGTTAAAGAATTGCATGCCAAGTCCCGTGTTTTCAAGATGTACCTGAAAATGAACCAATCTTCTTTCACCGCTCATGCACAAGTGAGCTGATGCGGCTAAAGAGATTGGAGCCTGGAACCCGAGGTCGGAAGGAACAGCTGGGCGTGGGCTGTCTGCGAAAAATTGTCACATCACATCACACCACCAGCACTGAAAGGGAGTCATTGCCCATTTGAATCTTCCCAAAGGTTCGGGACCATTCTGTTCCTGGTGTTTGCGACCAAGCGGAGCCTGCCTATTTATTCGTTTGCTGCGTGCTTTGCAAAATTCGATCTCGCACAAACGAAGAAAACATACCCACACTCGGTACGACCAGAACCATCATCCGAAAACACAATGACAGGAAGCCCAAAAACAGTCTTCTTAGCCCCGGGCTGGGAGTGCTTGGCAGGCTCCGTTCTTCTGGGCAGCGTCTTCACCAACCCGTCACAGCCGCAGCTTGCTATCTTCAAGCCCTCTCCTGGCGACATCGACACCACAGTGAAAACATCAGAAAAGGCGACTTTCGCCGCATCTATCGACCCTGCGGGGGACGGCCGCCCCGGTCTATTCCGCACATTTCTCCGCCTATTCGGCGTGGGCGACGAGGAGGAAGTACACTACGACCGCAAGACGGTGGAGTGGTACTCGTTTCGCGGCCTACGCACCGAGTCATTTGTGCCCAGCGAAGCGCTGAAGCACAAGGCCTTGGCGCAAACGGACCGCGTCGCCCAGTTCTGCCGCGCGAGCGACTACAAGGCGTCGGTATACATGGTGACAGGGATCAAGACGATCGAGGGCGCTGGCGTGAAAGCGCCGTCCCGCAAGCGGAAGGGATGGCACCTCTCCATCAACGTCGACGCCCCATCGTGGAATGGACTCAGTGAGCAGGAAGCACCCGGAGAGTCGCCGTCTGTCGTATTTGCTTTTGAATTGTTGGAGCTCAAGCTTTCGGGGGCGGGCGAGACGATTGATGTGGGAGACGGCTCCAGCTCAGCTACTGGAAGCACTGCCGATGCGCAGAAGACACTGGGCCTGGAGTTTGGAGAGGCCGCGCTTACAGTTGTGGAGGGGTTTGACGAAGAAGATGATGTGCATGTCAGGATTGTTGCCTCGAGCCCGGCAGGCGTTGACCTGCTTACGGCAGGGTCGGCGAGAATAGGCAGTCGACATTATTAGGTTAAAATCTAACCATGTCCATTTCGAATCTTCGATGAATCATTTGGGGGAAATGAATTGAGTTACTTATGATTGATCCGGCCGCGGAATACTTCATTTCACCCTTTTGCTTACTGGGTGTCGTTATACAAAACAAATGATTGGCTTGAGTGAGTAAATTCATGGCACGTCTTTCCGAAACTCGAGAATAATCACCTATCGTATCTAATCATACAAGACCATATTCTTCAACCAAGGGCCCAAAATTTCAAACAGGGCATTAAACACAATGCATGTCAAGGAGAGGCTCGAGTCGGCGTGGAAACGCCGTTCTGGTGGCCGTACCTCGTCTGAGTCCCCTCGTAGGCTAGGCCATCAAAACCGGGCTTAGTCCGAGTTATGTGGCCAAATTGATCTACCAGCAAACAGTGGAGCATCCCGGTTGTTCCGGGGGAGACTCAGTCCCTCGAGGGAGGGTCGTCTATGACTACAGTCTCTGTTCCCAAGCTGATGTGTCCAATTTTGTACCGCGGAAGTGTGCAACCGTTGAGCCCTTTCCTTTTTTCCCTCCACTGGTCCGGGGCCGGCTTGGTACATAATTACGCCTGGCTGGGACCAGAACCATCAACTAGGTGTGCACTGTACAGCGCGGACCCGCTTCCTGGTCTTCACTCGTCTGTATTCTGCAAGCTAAGCAGTCAGCCGGCACGCATGTAGCACTCTAAAGCGCTACGCGGCGTGGAAATCAACACGAGATTGGGCGCAATATGGCTTTGCAAAAACGTCCCCCAAAAACGGCTCCGTTAGGACTAGCCGCGAGCCACAACGCAATCGATGTGTTTCAGCCGGCGTCGATGTCGAGGGCGGGATCACTTTAGCCTATATTCAACCACTCTGGGCAGATCTCTGCCGAAGCATGTCATCGTGGTCCCAAGCCAGCCATAGATAGTGGTCTCCCCAGAGGAACCTGTCGTCCGGTGGTGAAAATTGGGGTACATTGGGTGGGTGTTCGTCGGCCGAATTTATCAGATCAACAACGCTCCGGGACTGCCTCCCGCCCAAGGTTCAGAAAAGCAGCTCGGCGACCGGGAGGCACCTAAAACTCATCTACTATCCTTATCTTGAAGGGTTCCATGTTGCGTCAGATTGGTTCAGCAACCACTACCCATTTCAAGCGGTCGGTTTGGGTTGCTTGACGTTGGGATAATGCCGGGTTACCCGTTGCCTATTACCCCTGGACGCCTCACCCACATAGTAAACAAGATCACTGCTCTTGGCAGCCAAGATGCCCCTGCCACGGAGCGAGGGCGAACGGTTGGCCATGTGTTATACAAGTCTTCTATAGGCCGGCCAGCCGCAACCGTATCCGCGCTGCAGACCCGGGTTCTTGGCGACGCTGTACCACCCTCCATTTCTCCGCATCCCGGAGAGTTGGACACCCTTTCTGCTCTTCAGATTGCGGCTTGGGATTAAACCCGGCCAGGCGATGCCGCGTCTCCGTGTTGGCGCCCCACAAAGCGTGGGGACTCGCTGTCGTCATGACAGACTCTGTGTACATTTATGGCGCGTCGCTTCAGATGGCAGGGGGGGTAGTCGCGGCTACGTCGGCCAGTGCTCTCGTGGTGCGAGATTCAAGCACTGTCCGGCGAGGGCATATATCAAGTCTCGGTGCCGTCGCCGAATCCTCCTCCCCTCGCCCCTACCCGCCCCGGTTGACCCATCGTAAAGTGGAAAGCAGCGTCTGTAAGCACAAGGCAGCCGGCTTACTTGTTGTTCATCGTCAACATGAGGTTCCAGCTTGTCCTGTCGGCCACATTGGCCGCCTCGGTTAGCGCAAATCCTCTCAGCAAGAGAGCTGCCATCGACGACTGCCTCAAGTCGGCTGGGGTCCCTGTTGATACCCGCGGCTCCAACGACTGGACCTCGGATGTTCGGCCCTTTAACCAGAGGTTGCCTTACACGCCGGTTGCTATCGCGGTGCCGACGTCGGTCGAGCACGTGCAGGGCGCCGTGTCCTGCGCGGCAAAGGTCGGCCTCAAGGTGAACCCCAAGTCGGGCGGACATAGTTACGCATCCTTCGGCCTCGGCGGAGAAAACGGCCATCTCATCGTCGAGCTCGACCGCATGAGCAAGGTCACCCTCGACTCGTCAACAAATATTGCAACCGTCCAGGCCGGTGCTCGGCTCGGCCATGTTGCAACTGCCTTGTATAATCAGGGCAAGAGGGCTTTCAGCCACGGAACATGTCCAGGGTGCGTATCATAAATGAATACCTATCACTTAACATCTTCTCACGAGTTCCCACTGCTCACAGGCCCACTTGTGCCCCTTTTCTAGTGTTGGCGTAGGCGGGCATTCTCTGCACGGTGGCTTTGGCTTCAGCTCGCACACGTACGGCCTTGCGGTGGACTGGATTGTCGGTGCCACCGTCGTTCTCGCCAACGGAACCGTCGTTGAGACCTCGGAGACAGTCAACCCTCAGCTCTTCTGGGCCATGCGCGGCGCCGGATCCAGCTTCGGAATCGTGGTTGTCTTCAAGTTCAACACGTTCGCCGCACCGTCCCAGGTCACCGCCTTCCAGGTGAATCTGCCATGGAACAGCGCGTCGTCAATTGCCTCGGGGTGGACGACAATCCAGGACTGGGTGCAGAACACCATGCCCAAGGAGATGAACGCGCGCGTCTTTGGCAGTCCCTCCCAGACGCAGATTCAGGGCCTCTACCACGGCAACTCGAACAACATGCGAACTGCCATCCAGCCGCTTCTCAGCAAGCTCGGTGCTTCGCTTTCCAACTCCCAACAGTACGACTGGATGGGTGCCTTTTCGTATTACACATACGGGGGCACCGTCGACGTCACCCACCCGTACAACTCGGTACGTGTACTCCAAACATTAGGCTAATTAGATTCGTTAATTAGAACCGAACTAACGTCACCGGCTGGCCTAGGTCGAGACATTTTACTCCAAGAGCTTGGTGACGACGGCTCTCCCCAGCAGCGTCATGCAAAACGTCGGACAATACTGGATGTCGAGGGCCAAGAGCACCAACCGCGACTGGTACATCATCATCGACTTTTACGGCGGCGTGAACTCGGCAACCACCAAGGTGCCGGCCAACGCGACGTCGTACGCCTACAGGGGCGACAAGCTCTGGCTTTACGAGTTCTACGACCGCGTCAACTCCGGGTCGTACCCCTCAAACGGCTTTAGCTTCCTCGACGGCTGGGTGAAGACGTTCACCGACGGACTCACCACGTCCCAGTGGGGCATGTATATCAACTACGCGGATCCGACCATGTCTCGGGCCGATGCGCAAAACGTCTACTATCGCCAGAGCCTGAACAAGCTGAAGGTGCTCAAGGCGCAGTATGACCCGACCGAGGTTTTCTACTACCCGCAATCCATCGAGCCGGCCACCTTGACGTAGTTGTCTGGCCCCGTTGGCCGGTCTGACGTGAATTAGTGTCTAATACTGAAGCGTCGAGAAAGGGCACGCAAAGCAGACATTCGAATCAAGACAGAAACGCGTTAATTAGATGCAGACACGATAAAATGTACATAACAAGATCCTGCCACAATAATTAGTTACAAAAAACACCAAATTTCACGCGCGAAGGAAGGTTGTGGCCAATGTCACACCTTGTATAATGTATTGCAAAACGTCAATGCCATGGTACACCGCTGGTGTTTAATCGACAGTGCGAGAAGAGGGCAACATGACCCCAAATTCTCCAAAGTTGCTTAATACTAGGTTAATTCGCGAGGCGATTTCTATGTTCACATCGCCGCCAATCGGTCCGGAGGTAGACTCGAAAAGTGCTGGTCGAAGTGGCCAGACTCCATAGATGCAACTTGATCCGGTACGGACCACGCCCCCTTCAGAAAGAGACGGTCCAGTTCCGCGGCGGCAGCCTCTTCTGCAACCCTTAGTCTGAGCCAATGCTGGTTCCTGATAGCGTCGTCAAACACCCACGAATTCGAGCCGTTTGCGACTACATGGTTGTACCCGTTGGTATTTCCATATTCGAAGAGCTCCCCCAGGCCGCCCATGGCATACAAGACAGTCAGGGGATCCCAAGAGGCACGAGAGGTGTTGTAGGTGTAGTAGATATAAGCGGCCCGGACCGGGTCGTTTTCCGGGCCCTCAGCCATAAGAGGTCCTCCCGACTTGACATTGGCGCCGAGTTCGAAGCCGGAGAAAACAATGGGGCCTTTCCATTCGTTCACAACGTGGGCTGCAAGAGAAGAATTGTCGCCCCAGAAATTGAACTCGTATCCAGATGGATATTCCCCGCCCATTACAACCAGCTCTGAAACTTTGGCGGCAATCAGTTCGGGGCCCGAGAGGGTGGAATAGATGTCTGCCGAGGAATTCAAGAGGCCGGACAGCTGTAACCAGGACACCTCAATCAGCTCAGGCAGCGGTGTGGCTCTGCTCGGCTGCGTCCAGGCAGGAGAGCGGATGGACAAACATTTTCAAAGAATCCAATGGAAGCAATAGTGACGCTCTGGTCCGGGGCCTCAGACAAGACTTTCCGGTAGAGCGCAACGGGGTCCCAGGAGTTTTCAGCGTGGCCCCAGGGCAAGGTGCCTCCCGACCAGCGATAGGCGACCTTGCTGGCGTACTCGCCTAGCTCGAAGAACCAGGAATCGAAGAAGGCGGCAGCCGTGAGCGGGCGCCTAGCCCCTACGGGAGTCTGGGGGTGGCCGTAGTGAGCCAAGAGGGCCGATGCGGCCAGAACGGAGTACGAGGAAGGGTGGTTGACGTTGACCGCCAGCAGGCGCACCGACGGCGAGGTCGCCGCAAGCATTATGGCGCCTGCGTCGCTTCAGTTGTGGTCAATCTCATGTCAGCCAGAGTGACTCAGCCAAAGAGGTCCGTCCCTTCTAATCGACTAATCCCCAAGAACCATCCGCCATCGGGTGACATTAAAGTTCCACTGGGTCCAAGTCTACGCCTCTCGAGCAACTTGGGTGAGGTGGACATGCTTTGGCGTTGCATTCACAGGGTACGACTTACTCCACGTCGCTAAAAAGATCGGTGTCAATGATGAGATTCCTGCGGGGCGGGATCGCGCCGTCCCCGGCGGCGCTGAGGAAAGCCGAAGCTAGCAGCGAGACCAACAACACAAGCTTTATTGTGCCGGAATTTTGCATCGCAATTGCTGTCATGTCAGACACTGGCGCCGATATTGTTCGTGCGGAGTCATGTCAATTAGGCCCTAGAATGTCCTACTTTCTCCGTAGACCCTCGTGTTTGCTAATGCAGCAGCCGCACAAAAGGGGTGCTGATGGGGTGTTAACTTATGGTTCCATCTTCCACTTCAGACGGATGGATTGGTGTGTGATATATGGGGATTTCTGCGACTGCCCGCCGGGTGGCGCATGCATCTGAAACGAAGAGTGGCGCAGACAGACTAACACATCCGTCTATGGTGCTGCAAGAACAGGGGTCACAGACCCTAACGGTGGTTACAGACACAACAGTTCACAAGGCCCAAAAGCTTATTCCCGCAGGTTCGGGATGCGGTTTATTGATTGAGAGGCCTACGATCTACGGAACCTTCTTTACTTCCATTGCTTAGGTGGGCGACGCGGACATGTGAATGGTACCTACTTGTGGTAATAAACATGACCTCCAAGTTGGGCTTTGAAACGCTGCACCTATCCTCGGCGTAATTTCGAGGCGTTTAGCTTCCGAGCGACAGCCAAACATGATCCAGATCTCAACGCTGACGGCGGGAAATATGGACGATACGAACGTCGAAAAGTCAGATGCACAGGGGCATTTGGGCCGGCCAAAGTGCCACCTCCTCGCAGGATGCTACAGTACCTTCTCAGTGGGGGCTTGGCTCTAAGACGGCAGCGGGCAGGTATTTCGGATTGTGTGACGTAGGATCCTCCCGCGACCGGGCCAGTGTGCGCTGTGCGCTTGCTTGTGCTTGCTTGGGCAATCGCAATCCTGACCCTGGGACGAAAAATATTGATGGAAGACGTGCATGCAGTCAAATTCCTCCCTGTGCTTCCTTCTACTTACTGTGCTGCCTTAGGTTTCTTAGATCGAGGAAGCTGCAATTGCAGTCGCATCACTCCAGGCGTACGGACTGCCGTCCGTATCCCCTGGCCCTCCTAGGTCTCCTTTTGTCCATCACGACTCGCGTCCGGCTAGCCCCTTGGCCGCGATGTCGACCGCAGACCCAACTGCGCCAGCGCAAGCTGCAGGTGGAGCCAATTCGCATTCCCAGGATTTCGGCGTCGCGACAGCTCCCAACCCCTCGTCGACAGCATCTCCAGTCACGGCCCCAGCACCTCCGCATGTCAGCTATCCGCCCAACATCAACATACACACAAATGCTGGCAGTGCCACGAGTCCGGGTCCTCCAGCGACACCCGCCAGCCGCGGTTTCGCGCGCTCGGATACAATCCTTAGTCCAACCATTCGTCGCCGCACTGCTCGCGCTGGGACCTTTAAGACAGTCGAGGACTTCCAAGACTTTGAGGTCCGCCCTGGCTGGCAGCGTAAGTTACCTCCTCAAGCACGAGAGTCCTTGGAAGTTAGCAGCAGCTCGGTCCGTGAGCTCGCGGCTACTTGGTGCAGCACCATTTGCCGGTTGAGGTTACTGACGCGCCTTGAATCCCTACAGCCGGAGCCGAGCCAGGCGTTGACCCCAGCAAACCCGACGGAGGACATGCCTCCATGCCAACTCTTAACGCGCCGTGCCAGATCTCCGTCATCGACTTCTCGCAGTACCGCCTTTCCCCCCCCGAGAGACTTGGCAACGAAACTCTGCAAGCCTTTCTCAACCTGCCGAAGCCAGATTGGGTCAAGTGCCGCTGGATCAACGTCAATGGACTCAGTTGGGATGTTATCAAGGAGCTGGGCCAATACAAGAACCTGCACAGGCTTGCAATTGAAGACATAATGAACACGAGGAACAGAACAAAGGCCGAGTGGTATGCCCGTCCTATAGATCCCATAGAGAAACGTGCGGTGATCTACCGTCTAACACGTATGGTCTTCAAGGTTCTCAACCCACGCCTTCATCGTACTAACTCTTCAGAAACTCGTCCACCTCTACGATTCAAATGACGACGACGACGACGACGACGACGGCGAAGATTCCGACAACGATTTCGTGGGCGAAGAAGGCGAGGGCGGGATTGAGGTCGAAACAAGTGATAACTCGGAGACCGGGATTGGGTGGGTCAGTGGCATCCGCAAACGCCTGAGAAGGCTGCTCCGTCGCCGCAAGCATATCTCTGCACAAGAAAGCGTCGAGGCTGGCAAGTCCGGCTCTGGGGGCAGCTTCGGAGGCAGATTTGAAGCGCAATTCGCATCCCACCCAACTGGGTTCTCTGAAGTCGTGGATAAGAGCAGGCTCCGGACATTGCAGAGATACCAGGCGTCACCCAACGATCCTCGGACCAAGTTCATGGAAAAGCACTCATCACTGAGCTCCAAGGATCTCGCAGTTGCATGTGAGCAGGTGTCAATGTTCATCACAAACGACAACACCATCATTAGCTTCTTTGAGATGTCAGCACAGGACGTTGAAGGGCCTATTGTCAAGCGTCTTCGGACAAGCGACACCATCCTTCGACAGTATGTCTTCCTTCCATCCCTTATCCTAGACCGGTAACGCTTACGGGCCATTGTTATAGATCTTGCGATGCATCCATGGTTGGCCAGGCCATTATCGACGCCATTATCGACCTAGCGATTCCGGTAACAGCCTGCTACAGCGACGTGATTGGCGACTTGGAGCTCGACGTCTTGACGCGGCCCAATGTCGGTCACACCAAGAAGCTTTACATTGTCATCACCGAGATCAACAAGATGCTGAGCTTCATCAACCCGATTGTCACTCTGATCAACACTTTACGCGATCACAAAACAGAAATGCCGCAAGAAATAGCAGCTAGCAAGCTGCAGGACCCAGCCCACGGTGTCATCCTGACCCCCATGACGTACACGTATCTTGGGGATGTCTTAGACCACTGCGTCTTGATAACTGAATCCTTAAACCAGCTGAAGGGCTCGGCCGACGGAATGATTGGACTTATATTCAACACTATTTCGACATCGCAGAACGAGTCCATGAAGCAGCTCACTGTGGCAACCATCATCTTCCTACCCTTGACATTCTTGACTGGCTATTTTGGCCAGAACTTCAACGATTTTGAAGACATCAAAGGCAGCGTCAATTTTTTGCAAGTCTTGACTCTTTTGCCGCAGTATTTGTTTGCATGTACGCCGCTAATAGTGGAACAGCTGGAAAATTGCGACCCCCGTCGTCGTCGCTGTCATCGTCATCTTATTGTGGGAAGATATCTGGCATTACTTCCGCTCTCTATCCCAACGTCGATACATCGGGTCCCTGCGAAAACGTCGTTCGCAGAGACGAGAAAGGGCACGAAAGTAGCTCCTAGTCCGGATTCCAGACACAGAACTGTATCTTGTATCGTGGCCATGTCCTTGTAATCTTTTCTTGTAGGCTCTTTTCTTTTGGTTTTGGTCGATGTAACAATACCCAGTTCAGCGAGCGTTGGCATGTCTTTTTTTGCTTGTAGATGCTAGTCTTGGATATAATGAGTCTACGAAGTCAATGTTTAAACAGAAGGGCATTAACGGCCCCCTTAACCCAGAACCGGAGTTGCTGATGTAGCATGGACGTGTTGGCTTGCTCAAAGCTCGCCATCTCGCCGGATGCCACCTGCACATTCTCCGCTCTCTGGCTGGTGATGGGACACGTTTGAACTTATCCGGGGAGGACTGGCGATCCTGGTGACATGGGCTGACTTGAATACGAGGTTGTGGCTTGCGGTCGGCTCGAGGTGATCACTCTCGGCCGGCTGACCTGTGTGGCAGTAAGGTCTCTCAAGGCCTGCTCGTATTCTCGTCCGACGGTGCAGACCTCTTGGCCAGCTGGCCAATTATCTGCCAGAGCCGGGTCCAGGTCATGCGCCATCGCGTAAGGACAGACCACAGGGACGGCTTGTGTGACATTCCGATTTCTCCAATGCCCCTTCGCATCGGACGCCCTCGGTATGCCGGCTTCTGACGGTCCAATCACGGTTATGACGCTTGTCGCGGGGGCATATGCGGCCTAAAGAAGCGCCGAATATACATGCTCACTGCTTTGGGCTCGATGATCAAAGTCGCGCGAACACGAACTGGGCGCGCCGGGTGCCCTCCTTGGCCGAATCATACATGCAGCCGTTTGAATATTCTGAAGTTTTCCGACCTAACTCCCCGGCTTCCGAAGAGCCGGTTGCTGTACGAGTGTGCCTGGTTACAATGCGGACATTGCCCGGCACCGAAGACAATCGAGTGAGCTGAGTATAAATTCGGCTGCTATCCCCATGGCCCCAGAGCTGTGCTGTGTCAAGGTCATGTCCACAAACTGGCCCATTTCTCTTTCTTGTTGCCCTTACCTCAGCCATCCGGCCAGCAAGCCTTCATTGCGGTAATCAACTACAAGCAAACAAAGCGGGGTCCCGACACAGCCCGCCATGGCTCTGCGGTGGTCTTTCGTGTCCGTTGCTCTGCTAGGCATCAGTGCCACGGTTATGGGCTCCCTCCAAACCTGCGGCCAGGCACAGTATGACCCGGCGCAGGTAAGTTGACACTTTTTCGAGAGGTGTATCAAACATCAGTGTTGCACAAGGAGTTGAATACATGTCCTACATATTGGCACATAATTACCCCTGAACTCTGAGCCGCTTTGTTTGAGAGCGGAACATACAGGATTTGATTAATTTCTAACTAATTGAGCACACTTCCTGTTTGCTATAGTACGTTTGTTGGTACAACCAGTTTCTCTGCCCTGTGACGGCAGGCGAGCCCCTCTCGTACTGCTCCGGGGCTTGCTACAGCAAATTCATGTACACTTGCACCAACAATGTTTTGACCCTCCTCCCCGCCGTGGATTCACCCTTTACCTTGACCGTGTCGAACCCCAACCTGAGCATTAACGGGAAGGCTGTTACGGCCAGCGGGCAGCACTGGTACCTTGGCGGCCAGACCAGCAGCTACTGTCCGTCGCAGGTCGGCTTGGCCTGTCCCCCGGGAAACATCACGGCGATTGTTGCGAGCGGCGGCAGCGCAGCAATGGATGTCATGGTGCCGGGCGGCCAGCTGGTCTACCTCGACGCCTTCTGGAACGTAGGTTACACGCAGGCCCACTCGGCATACATCCCACCAGGCAGCACCACGACAGGGTTTGCGGCCTATGCCGCCGGCGGGTTCATCAACCTAAACGGCAACGGCTGGGGCTGGGTCGCGTGTCCCCCAACCGCATCCGGGGGCGGCGGCGGCGTGTGGAACCTCGTGGCTAAGAACTCGACAAACACGGCCTCGCTGAACAACTGCACCCCCGTCAACCTCAAGGTCAACCCCCTGCCACAAGGTACCTACGGCGCCTGGCAGTATACCTAGAGTTTTAGGTATGCAAAGGTCTGGGGATGTTGGCGACAAGCTGACGTAGGATCAGTGCTGGAGCCGGGTTGGGGGCGGGGGGGGTGGGAAGGAGGGTTACGTCGTAATTGGTGTCGGCTGCTGTTCCGGGCTTCCTATCAGGTTCTAGGTCCTTAGCGATGATTCATTCTTATGTGGAATGGCCGTGCCTTGATGGTGTTAAACAGGTATCCATGCGTCCATGCGTCCTATTGTTAGTTGTCGGATCAGTGGAAAGGATCATAGCAGGTCAATCCCAAGTCAGTTTCGGAAGACATGCATCTTAGGTACCCCTTGTTGGTCAGGAAGCCGACATCAGAGGCAGCTTAGCTCATGTCAGAATCGCTTACACAATCGGTTTTATTCAGGTTCCCTCTACGGGTTTTCTTAACGACCCATTCCTGGCATTCTGGGCACATGTTAATCCAAGCCCCTAGGTAAGACAGGTAACAACGTCAGCCACTACCTAATACTCCGCGCAACTTGGAGCACCCTGCAACGAAACGAATATTCATCTCGAGTCACTGGCGAGTCACGAATCATATCTGCATGCATGTTGCTGGGTCCCTATGAATGTCTCTGGTGGCTTCTGCAATGGGCATCTTCCGATACTCTTTCCATCGACGGGGCCTTTCCGACAGAGTGAAAACGCATCCCCCACACTTAGTCCAGGCCACCCTAACCTACCACCAGAGCGCATGCACCCTATGAGGATCCGGCCAGGACCTGGGGACCAATCCACCTCACATATTTAAAGGCAGAACATCCAATGTTTTTGCGCAATCGCAGGACTCGACTCGCAGTTGCCCACCGTCTCTTTAGAGCCAGTTCTGCTGCTATTAAATCGCTGCTCACAACGCAACCTCCAGCAAATATTACACAAACAAAACCAACACCACCCAGAGCCCCGGCCCAAAATGCAGGAACTCGTGCTTTATGGAGTTCCCAAATTCACTTCGCAGCGGCGGACGGTTGACATTCCGTATGAGATTTATATACTAACTAATTCCCTGTCGCTATTCTTGACCAGCGAGTACATTGCTTGTTGCTAACATCAACGACCCTCTTAGAACTCCCGGCCCGGATGAGGTCTTGATCAAGGTTGTGGCGGCTGGCCTAAACCCCAAGGACTAGAAGGCAAATACAGAGCCCCGGACAATTGTGAAGCCAGGCTGTACTAATCCTAGGCGATATTAATATTTCACAAAGCGGCGCGGCGAGGATAGAGCGCTGAACGCGGGAGACGGCATGTCGGGAACCGTCGAGCGCGTGGGCAGCAACGTGTTTGAATTCAAGCAAGGCGACCGTGTCGCAGCCTTTCATCGCATGGGCGAGCCATTCGGCACCTACGCCGAATATCCCATTGCCCAGCATCAACCACGTTCTTCCTGGCCCCCGGAATCTCATTCGAGGCTAGAGCCGGCCTTCCGCTCTCTTCCATGACGGCAGATCTAGGCCTATACCAGGGCCTCGGCTTGCCTCTCCCCACGGTGGCCGGTCAAAAGGACACCCCCGTGCTCATCTACGGCGGCGCCACTGCCGTCGGTGCATTTGCTCTTCAGCTCGCCAAGCTCAGCAAATTAAGTCCTATCATCACAGTGGCGGGCTCTGGAATCGGGTTCGTTGAGTCCCTAGGCGCGACGACGCACATTATCGACTATCGCAAGGGCGGTGTAGCCCGGGCCATTCTTGCCGCACTTGGGGGCAAACAGATGCACCACGCTTTGGACGCAGTCTCTGGCAAGAAAATTTATGAGGTTGTCAGCGAAGTTCTCGCGGCCTCTGGTGGAGGCAAGATCAACATGCTTGATCCCGCTGAGGACGAGGGCTGGAAGTTCCCCGAAAACGTCGAGCTCTCGTTGACCTTTGTGGCCAGTTCCTACTCCCAGAAGCACCCTGGAATCACCGAGGAGCAGGCTGAGGCGGACGGCGAGTTTGCCTACTTCTTCTATCGCTATCTTTCCTACCTTCTGGCCTATGGCAAATTTAAGCCCCACCAGCACAAGGTAATTCCCAATGGGCTGGAAGGGATCACCGAGGGAGTCTAGAACCTGCATGACGGCAAGGTGCCGGCAAAGAAATTTATTACAAGGTTAGTGCCACATCCTTCTCGATCAATGTTACACAGTTGCGAGCAAATCTCGCGGCCTCTGGCATTTCAGATAGTTGTGGGCATCTCCATGGAGAGGCACGAGACTGGTCAATTGATACTCGAATTTGACTAGCTGTCGCTGTCACGCTCATGGCCCCGAGCGGCATTTGACAATCGAACTCTTCATTTGACAACTCTGAAACCTTTTTTGTCTAATTCTTTGGGGCTGCACCAAAATCTCTGGGGTTGCCCTCTCGAGGCTTAAATGCAAGCCGAATTTGGTTAAAGAAGCTTATGGAGTTATTGGTACTCAGCGTCTTCGGCGATTACTTCGGACACCCGAGTTTACGAGTAGGAGAACCAAGCTCACGCTACGTAAAAGCCCAATACCTACTGTCCAAATAATTAGAGCGTTTTACCTTTGAGCTACACGTATGCTTAAACCTCCAGTTGTATCAAACCATCTTCTAGAAACGCATAATCCAGACTTTTCGTGGTAAACGGCGTCTTTACTCGCATCAAGCCCATGATGGGATAGTTGTAGCTGCGAGTATTTAAGATTAAGTGCAGCAGGGAGAATATCTACTTCAAGACTGCATCAGTAAGCACCGAAGGCAAGTATAACGGAACTACGGCAGCCCGTATATAAGCGAATGCAGCTTCACTTTGTAGTTTGAAAGTATTTAGTGAGCCAATCAGCGGGTTTGCCGCGTTAACAAGGACAATAATTACGCGAAAAAAACACAACCGAATTCAACGCTCAGATTGGCAGTGTCTAAAAAAAGCGGCATTTACCAACAGATAAACCTGCAACTTGGTGCCCGATTTCGAATCCTACCAACAGTAGGTAGTAGGTCCGAGGGCCCATTCTTGGCACTCCGGCTTGTACAATGGCCTCCTTCCCGATGTGGATGGAGCCAAGAAGACTCCAGTGTTGGCATGCCCTATCCCCTGCAAGAATACAACACAAACCCCCATTCATCGAGTCACGGCCTGAAGATCTCCTGCTGTAGAGTTGCTTCCTGCTGTGCCATTGCCCGCAGCTAACACGCTCCAGCTTCCCTTCTGAGCAGGTCGCCGCTCTACCATGCCGGCCACGGTTCTCGTAGCAACTCGCAGCTGCCATGCATGTCAGCGTCCAGACAGGCAGGCAGGCTTTACCGCCAGGGAGTATCAATAAATATTGCAAGATCCCCTTGGCTACCGTGAGGATGGGGAGTAATTCCCGTCTCCAATAATTAATAATATAATTAACAAATTATTAACTAGTTACACGAAGACTAGTTGCGCGAAGCCCCCAACATGCGCCTAACGTCCGTCGCCTCTGCCGTAGCCCTCGGTGCCGCTGTCGCCGCGGCAAAGGAGCTTCCAAAAGATGAACGGCTTGGCTTCGAGGTTTATGACTCTGGCGCTAAGATGGACGAAATCATGGCCATCAAGCTGGAGCATTGGCAGGCCGAGTTGGCAGCCGGAGCTTGGAATTCTTCCCAGTGGCCCAGACTCGGATACACCAAGTGTGTCAATGGCGTCGCCGAAGCCATCAAGGGCGATCCGCTGAATACCTTTCGGTGCAAGAATGTGTGTATTCTGTTCAGTTCAAGGCCGTGTTCCCTCATCCCCATGTCCAGCCAGCTGATCTCTACCCTAACTAGGTTGACCTCTATGATTTTATCAACCACGCAACGTTGGGCTCGCCCATGGGTCAGACTGATGGCTCAACTGGCAGCTCTACGTGGGGATGGACGGACCCCAAGTCTGGCCGGGAATTTATTGGTATGTCGAGCTCCATCTCACTCCGGTGAAGCCGTTGACATGGGAGAAATTATTTGTTGACCATCATCGCATTCAGCATCTGGCATGTATCAGGGGACCGCCTTTATTGAGATCTTACCGATAGGGAAAATGCTGCATGTCGGGTTTCTGTAAGATTCCCTCCCTCGCTTGATACGCAAAACAAAGTGACTACCCTCATCGAGTAATACTGACACAGCCTGGACTACTCGTCATTCAGCCCCTGCCCTGCGCCCCTGGGCCAGAATGCTCTGTGGAAGGAGATTCGCCCGTATAAGAATTACATTCTCATTGGCAGCGAGCTAGTTGGCCATGGAATCCAAATCTTTGACATGACGAAGGTGAGATTCCTATTCTCCCAGTATACGCGAATCCGCTGCCGACTCATCTCACCCCTCTTCGTCCCTGCAGCTTCTCAGCATCGATGCCCGCAAAGGCCCGCACACCTTTTCGACTTCGGACGTGACCGGCCACTTTACCGACCTACCCCTCGGACGCACCCACAACGTGGTCATCAACCAGGAGCTGGGCTACGGGGTAGCCGTGGGAGCGGCCCCTCGAACTGACGCATGCCGAGCTGGCCTCATCTTTTTCGACCTAACCAACCCTTCCAAGCCCACCAGACTGGGTTGCGATGGCCAGGACGGCTATGTCCACGACGTCAGTTTCATTTCATGTCCAGGCTGCTAGCCCGGCCACAGTGGGGTGTGCTAACGGAATGGCGATAGGCACAATGTCTGGTCTACCGTGGGCCCGATACCAGATACCAAGGCCGTGATATTTGCTATGGGTATAACGAAGATACCTTGACCATGTGGGTTTCGGATTTCCCATTCTCCTCCGGTTGACCGCAAGACGGTCCGCGTGTTTTCTGACAGCAGCAATAGTTACGATGTTACGAACAAGACAAAGCCTACCATCATTTCTCGCACATCTTATGAGGGAGCATCGTACACGCACCAGGGGTGGGTACTCGATGTGAACAATCAAGAGTACCTGCTGTTGGATGATGAGTATGACGAGTACGATGTCGTTGGCCCGGGCACAGACGTAAGTTGGCTCCCTACTTAATTATTTCGATAATTACCCAGGTCTGGGAATCCCATTCAGCTGACTTGAAAACTCGAAACAATCAAGGGATACCCGGTTACCTACATATGGGATATCCGCAACTTGCAGTCGCCGAAGAATACGGGCCTCTACAAGGGCACCACGCGGGCCATCGACCATAACCAGTACGTGATTGACGGGCTGTCGTATCAGTCAAACTACATGGCAGGGCTGCGTGTCTACGACGTATCTTCGGTCCCGGCGGACCCCACGGGCGGCGGCGTGTGTGAGATTGCCTTCTTTGACATTTTCCCCGAGGATGACTCGGAGCCTGGCGGGGGCGCCGTCGAGTTCTCGGGTACGTGGGCGTCGTATGCCTACTTCAAGTCTGGTTTCATCTTTGTCAACACCATCGAGCGCGGGGCATTCCTTGTCAAGATGACCAAGCGGGAGAAGTGTAAGGCCAAGTCGTGCAACGCCGACAACTGCCTGCGTGCCCTGCGCAGCGAAACAAACCTGGCCGCCAGCCAGCAGTTCTGCGGCGGCTTCACGAAGACATACGTAGTCGACGTTGCTGTGGTGCCTGCCTATGCACAGAAGGTTTGCACCACTAACATTATCTCGCGGGTCAGCTCGGCTTGCTCGTGCCTGCCCGCGGCGGCAACGGCTGCTGCGCCCTGAATGGCAAGTGTGAGGCTGGGGGTAATTGGTATGAAGGGACAATATCTAGGATGTAATGAGAACCAGGTAGCGAGATATTTGGGACGGCAGAACCAATAAACCCATGATTAAGTTGATCAGTCATCCAATTAGTAGACCCTGAGTACCATCTTCGTGTTGGAGTGGATTTACTCTAGCTTAACTCCACAGGTATTAGGTTCAAATCAAGCTAGACAAACCTATACCTAGGAATAGGCAGGTAGATTTTTATTGCTGAAGTAAATACGTCATTCGGCTTTCTAACAGCGTTGATTCGCTCCGGCCACTGGGTAAATACCAATAATGAATCATGCATAAAACGAGCTAGAGCTACATAGCAATATAATTCATATTCTACAGACCAGATAAGTAAGATACCTTGGCACTGGCCAGTATATAGCCAAGTTGTTGTAATATTCTTCTTACCTATTGCCTAGACTCTGTTCATAACTTCATACTTAATTTCCAGACTAGACATACTAGGAGCTTTGGGGCCAGAGCCATGGCCATGAAGACGGTGGGCATATTCCCCGCATCTGGCGGACTCGGCACGAGCACCTATCGACACCTCCTGGAAATCGTACCAAAACAAAAGGTCGTCTTGATCAGCCGCCACCTAGACAAGGTGTCGTAGGCATATGTCGACGCTGGGGTCCAAGCTCGTCAGGCCTCTTACGAGTCGTCCCCGGCCGACCTAGAAGTCGTATTTGCAGGAATCGAGACCCTCTTTCTAGTATCCTACCCCAGCCATGTCCGCGACTACCGCGTCAAAGTGAGGTCCTCTATTGATTAATTACTAGATCCAATGCCCATCAGAAGCCAGGCTGCGACTAAGCCCCGATCCAGATTTTCGCTAACATCTTGCGACAGGTTCAACTCCCTGCCACTGACGCCGCCCGCCGTGCTGGTGTCACTCACGTCTTCTACAGCTCTCTGGCATTTGCTGGGGGTGTAAAGTCCAACCACTCTGTGGCCGAAGTGATGCAGGCGTACCTTGCCACCGAGGCCTATCTGGCTAAGATAGCCGCAGAGAACTAGTCGTTTACGTACACGGTCATCCGAGAAGGTCTGTACGCCGTGTCGGTGCCAATCTACACGGCCTTCTTCAGCCCCAAAGCGGAGCCTGCCGTGAGCGAGATTCTGATCCCGCACGACGAAACTGGCCTGGGTACTGCATGGGTCGAGCGGGACGAGCTCGGCGAGGCCTCTGCAAAGCTGATTGCCAGCTACGCCGCAGACTCCGACAAGTTCAAGTACACCAACGACACGGTGCTGCTCACTGGAACCAAGGTCTGGACCCTGGAGGATACGGTGAAAGCGCTGGTGGAAATCGCCGGGCACGACATCAAGATCAGACAAGTCTCGGTCGACGAGTATGTTGAGTTGAAGCAGGTGCAGGCCGTTTTCAGGTCCAGGGAGAAGGCAATAACCTGGGCGACTGCTTGGGAAGCCATTCGGGCCGGAGAAGCGGCCGCAATGACGTCCTACATGGAGGAGATTCTAGGCAGGAGGCCGACTGATTTTGACGTTTTGGTGAAGAAAATCTGGGGACAAAAGGGGCAATAAAACAATAGCAGGGAATCAAAATCAAACTCGCGTCCATGGGTTCAGTCGGTAGCCAATTACGCGGCACTAACTACACGAATGACTAGATATGTGACCCGATGATTATTGAAATGATCAAGAGCTAAATGAACTTGGGTTAGTCCCTCCTAATTGGACCTCGCTCATCGGCATACATGCGCTTGGATGTGAGGCGTTCGAAGAACCAAACTAACTAACAATAACTCAGGGCCTAGGGTGTACAATCCACAAAGTAAAACCAGCCAATCCAGTTCACACCGGTTACCCCTGTCCTTGGTTGGCACTAATTAGGTAGTAAATAAACAATAACGGGGAGTTAAACTTACCCAACTCCTTAAATTTAGCTCGAGCCCCACGGGCTCCCAGTCTCGCATAAGTTAGAGATCAGTAGTGCTTATGGTTACCCCAACTAGCCCAGTTTTTGCAACGGTATCATGGATATGGCTCCGTAAGGAATAATGGCCCCATAGTTGGCAGGGGAAATTCGCATACCCACCCATCCGCGGACTTGGCACGGATTTGCAATCTACACTGGTGCTCGTTGGTCGTTAGTGACAGCCGACCCTTGCACGATTTGACAGGGCGACTTGCTTTTCTTTCGGGTCCCGGCCCCAACGAAACTCGCTTATGAGATTGAATGCGACGAGTTTGACAATCCTATGAAAATCCTGTGCAATGCTCGTCACCTCGGTGAAGTGATACTGTTGGAATCACCAGGTACCGGTACTGGAAGCAACAGGGCGTAACTGCACGCCGAAAACTGGTGGTTCAAGTGATGGTTGTTGATGTATCTGTAGATTGAAGAAAGAGGTAGCCGTAGGCCACTTATATAGAAGAGAGAGTTTCTATCCACTGTTGAAGGCTGGTTTCCAGAGTGAATGATGTGGACGATTTGGTTGCTGTGGTTCGAACTTGGTTGATAGGAGCTGTTGTCTGAATAAAGAAGCCATTGTTTAAATATATCAATCTACCGGAGCTCCCTACTGGCGCCGAAACTGGAATGGCGGCTGTTCTGGTGGGCTGCGTGGTAGCTGGTCGGCGAGGCTGCGAACGACGGCGGGCTGCAGATTCGGCGGCCCTACTCGCTGACAAAATGAGTCACTCACACCTTCGCCCCCTTGTACGACATGATATCTCTGCACAAATGTGGTAGCGATACGCGCAGGGCAACCTAGAACTCCAATGAATTGCAGCCAGCGAGCCAACATAATGCAGGCTGGCAGGCAACAATGCACTATGCTCCAGATCATCTGCACAATGCATCTTCCTTTGGGCTCACAAATTGCACTGCTGTGTGAATATCGCGTGAAGCATGCATGGATATCTACACATAGTACTCACGCCACCTGGCGGTGCACATCTTGCCTGCTTCCCCCAGGTTCAGCGAACGTTTCATAGTATAAACCACGCAGTCCGGAGCCAAGAACACCACCCCATGAGTTGGACCGCAGTGCACCGGTGTGTAGGTCAATGTTTCTCGCCACGCCGATTCGTCACGGCTACTTCTCCTGCATATATTCACCGGGTATCCCAGTACTCGGTGTCTGGGGATCTAAGTGGAATGACGGAAAGGAGGGAAATGGGAAGGCAGTGACATGTGATGGTTTAGCGGAAGAGGTAGCATCAAACGCTGTGCGCAGCCACAGATCAGGAGTTCGAGACGAAGCGCTGGTTATCAGGGTGGCCGAGGGACTCGCGGGCCACGTCTTTAACCGGGACCAAGTGGAAGAGAGTGTTAGGTTTGGCGCTTTGGGCCATAGAAAGTCGTGATAAGGCGAAGAGGTGAGGAGTGAAGAGCAAGAAGAGCAAGAAGAGCAAAGACTCCGAAGAGCTGAACCCCTTGCTATCAGGCCCCGGAAAACGACCGTATCCCACAATAGACGATATCTTCCGACTTTTGCTCGGGGTGGCTCACACTCCGGCGACCCGGATTAATATCTAACAGGATGCTGGACTGAAGTATCTCATCTAGCAACATGAACCCAGCATTGAGAAAATACCAAGGCATATCGTCTCGAGGGCCACCCCTCTGATCTCGAAGCAGTTGGGCTGCTGTGACGGTGAGCCCAAAAGTTTGGAAGCAGACTGCCGTAACATTTTCGTCCTGTGGTGTCCCTTGAAATAGAACTGATCCCGAGACGCCTTCAGTAGAGTCCCAGTCTGTCTCCATCCGCCAGAGAACGGCGGTCGATACCGCCCTCTCCCTCCAAATATACTGCAGGCATTCAACGACGGCAACCTTACCCGAGTCTGTCAGGCCAGCTCCGGCCATAATATTCGCCTTGCCAGATACAACCAGCTGGCCTGCGGCGAAGCAGGGCTCACCGTTGAGCACTTCCTGGACCCCACCCCAGCCCGCAATTGCTGGTGCATTTAGGGGGCTCGAAAGGTTCGGCAGCCTGTCGCCCGTCACCAGAGAAAGGTCGTGGAGGTATCCGTGCGGGTATGGAATCGTGGATGGGAGCGGTACAGGGTCGTAGGTCATGGTGATCTGCCCAACCTGTTATCGCTTCGTCAGTGGACTACCTCCAATAAGAGAGAACTTGGAATAGATACTTACCAAATTCTTGGTCTTTTCACATAGACGCTTTTGTTGATTGGGGTCAAGGACGCGTTCTCGTAGGTCCGCACAATGGCCGGGATTAGCAGTCGATGCAGCGAAAGCTTCTCTGATGCCCATTCCTTTGCCCTAATATAGATGTCCATACACTTGAGCACAAACCGGTCCATGATTCCAGACTGTCGCACAAAAGCATAGGTTGGGACAGTGATAGCCTCTGTGCCATCTGGCAAGCGTAGCTTAAGACCAAGGGAGGCCGTTCCATGCACGGCATCTGGGGAGTCGGCAATGCGAGCGCCAGATTGACGGCTTGGCTGGCAATCTGGCACGGTTCAAAACACGTGCAGGTTTCCCCAAGTGCTAGAGATTCCGAAGTCGTTCCAGGACCTCAGGATTGACCTCGTCGAGGGATATAGCAGTACGACGAAGTCCGAGATGAACACTTGGACGCCCATAGCACCTGGGAAAGCCAGCCGCAATGCGTCAATTTCCGTGGAAGTTAGGAGACGCCGCGGGTCAAGGGGAGCCTCCATCCCATCGGGTACGAACTTCGTATAAATCTCCCGAGGGCGAAACCCGCATGAAGGCACAAGGTGGACCTCTCTTCCGCCCACGTGGGTCGCTGCTCTAGGATTACTTGTGATCCATATCTTATGCCCCGTGGAAGGCTCTCTCATCACTGAGACCTTGCCGATGTTGGCAAGGCCAGGATGATATGTACGTAGGAGGCCCTCGTTCGTATCCGATACAGCCTCGAGCTCTGCTCGGACGGCGGCTACTGCCGGAGGTCCCCAGGAATTTGAATCCGTTCCTTGCAGAAATACTTATTAGGATCACAAGGTTAAGCAGAGAATAGAACGGGGATACCACTTACTCTGAATAAGCTTTATATGTGGAGATGTACAAGTTTTGATGTCGTCGCCAACAATCCGTGTGCGTTTGCTAAATTTTCCGGCCTGCCAGTCCGGCGTGTCCTGGAACGGCCTCTTTGGCCCAGTCGAGAGCTGGTCGGAAGCCATATTGTATCTTCGTACGCGAGTAGTTGCGTAATGGACCGGATGGTTTCTAAAGAGGTCTAATGACAGAGATGTCGTGAATGGTTGGACAGGCCAACCGGCAATCGGGCGAGACAGTCAAAGGTGATTGGGTAGGTGAATAGTGAATGGCCGAAACGGTCAGATGTAGTGTAAGCGGGTAGTCATCCGACGCACCGTTGCCAAGACGAAGTGAAATGGTTGTAACAAAATGAATTCTTTTGATGACAGCGTTGCTAAAAACTTTATTAGGGCTAGTCGAGAACGAATTTCTGACCGGGGGGAAGGATGCCCGCGGTGAATTTAAAAGCCAAAGTTGGGAAAGAAGAGTTGAGGCTCACGTGACCGGCAGAACCGCCAAAGGCGGCAAAAGCCACGTACAAAGGAGATCTGAGGCGAGGTTGAAACTTAAGCTTAAAGTTAAGGAAGAATACCGATTACTTTCGACTACTCGTTATGCTTTAAGGAGCAAGACGGGGCAACTACCGACCTGTACGAGAAGTTTCAAGGTCTCAGAGCCTACGACAATGGGACCTGCCCGAAGTGAGTAGTGGACATGGTCGAGAAGATGGATCCGGCGAAGCGGGGCGCTCTGGGGAGCCTCCAACAGATGCACGGCCATATCAAGTTCCTACCTGGAGTCGCCGCTTCGGGAAAGTCTACCTTTCTCTTGACCCTTAGTATGCTCATGTTCTTCGGCGGGTGTGGGGAGGAAGAGCCGGAGAACTGCAAGCCAGCGCAGGCGTAGGTTCTCTACAGTAAGTATAGAGTGAGCGTCACTGTCGCGGCGTTAAGGGCTTGGATGTCGTCCGGCTGTATTCCTATGACTTAGAGATCGATGGACTGAAGCAGAAGCATTGCCCCTACGTCGATCCCTTTGATAAGGATGAGGCAACTTCATAACGAGACGAGTTCAACGAAGTAGACAAGATGTTAGCCGCATACATCATAATTAAAGCTTCCGTCGATATTCACGGCGCGAAAGAGAAGCGCGCCAAGCAGAAAAATGGTTGCCGGCAACCCAACTTTCGACTCTACCCTCGAATCTCATCTACCGGGGAGTGATGGGTCCTTACCGTGGAGGCCAGGCTCAGTACCCCGAGTCTGCGAAAGGTTTCAACAAGTTTCTGAAAAAGATGGTGCCTGACCTGCCAAATCATCAAAATCGGATCATGGTCACACTTCCAGGTTCCTGGGTCTCACATATTGGAACGTCAGCCAGGAACATTGCTCACGCACGGTGGGCTGTCTCGCAGGCAGTCATGGCGATCAAGGATAAGTCGCTCAAGAATCTCAGTGGCGGACCTATCGAGATCTTGATGATGCCGTACTATCGAACGTAGGTACAAACCTACGACGAGCTCTTACAGAAGGCATTGGAGGACAAGGAGCTGACTCCAGACCAACGCTCCCGCATTCGCGTGGCAACCCTCGACTCTTCGCAAGGCGACGAAGCAGAATTGATTTTCATCGACCTCATACGTATGGATGATTTTGGTTTCTGTGAGTGAAGTCTACCGGTTTGTTTTCATATTGGCTACTTGCTAACAATCATCAGGCGGCGACGAGAGGCGCCAGTGCCTGACCCTGACTCGCGGACGCCAGGCCGAGATCATCCTCGGCGGGCCGGTGATGTATCTCGGCTGGCAGCAGAAAGAGCATTTCATGGCCAGGGTAGCAGTTCTAGAGAGGATGTACGTGTCTCTAGCCAAGGTCAAGGCAGTCATATCAGTGCCAACTTGTGTCATGTGCGAGGAACTTGGCCCCACACACGACCCGGCGCAATGCAAGAAGCTGTCGCCAAGTGCCATAGTCGCTTGTGCCTGCTCTAATGAACATTCCACCAAGGCTTGCGACGCCGTGTTTTGCCATCGCTGCGAAACCAGAGACCACTGCACCTCTACCTGCACCGCCACCATCACATGTTTCAGGTGCCACTCGGAGGATCATCCTGCATCCGAGTGCCCTAATGTACAGGTATGCAAGCTGTGCGGACAACCGGGTCACTTCGCTTCCGACTGCTTGACAACCTGCAGGACATGCATGCCGCAAGACGGGTGACCATTCGACAGACGAGTATCGGCTGCGAACGTGCAGAAATTGCGGACGTATGGGCCATGCCCACTTCACCCCTCCGGTCCTGCAAGGTGGCATGATCTCTCCAGCTCCAAAACGCACTTCATCTCTCACTTTTTCCATCACTCTTTTCTCTCCAACTTTCGACACTAGTTTAGTTGCGCACCTACAGGCTTCACGGGCCTAGACAGACAGATATCAGTCTCATCCAGTTTCCCGCTTCGCCGCAAGAGAACACTTCTTTTGCGGTACGCCGCTTCTCCCAACCTCAACCACTCGGGCACCAGCATGTCTTCGCGCGCAGGGTGGGCGGCGAATGAAAATATTCGTGTATTTGTCAGCAAATAATTCCGATTCGGGAATATTGTAAATATCGACGAATATCGTGTGCTAAGTCAGCCGACCTGCAACCAACCACAAAGTATCTGGCTCTAGCTGCCCAACGCAACCTAACTACCCAAACCTCACCAGTTCACCAACTCTTTCTGTAAAAAATTCACCAACTCTTTCTGCAACAACTTCTTCAACAACAAAGATGCCTTTTATTTCTGAGGATTCTTCAATATCTAGAGATACAGGCCGAATCTCAACCCCAATTCTGGAGCATACTCGACCCCCCCAAAATGGAGAACCCGTACGGAAGGGTAAAAGCCTCGTGTATTACTGCAAACACTGCATAGCATGGAGTGCTCAAAATACAACAAACTTCCGACAACATCTTCAATCCAAGCACGGAATCATCGTCATCAGCCAATCAAGAAGAATTGACACTTCCAGCAATACTACATTGCAATCTCTATACGAGAAAGCAATAGTAGTTAACTAGTCTTCTAAACTTAATACTCAAATCCTCAAACGAGCGTTAAATAAGGAGATTATCACGCAGGCGATTATTTCGCTTATTGTTGTTGAGAATCTTTCCTTCCGGGTTGTCGAAAGCCCCTACTTCCACGCCCTTTGCAAAGCCCTTAATCCAGCAGCATCAAACGAAATCATTTCATCACATTCGGTAATTAAAGAGCGTATTAGAAAATCCTGGCTCTTTCACAAAGATATCGTTCGGAAGAAACTTCAATCATCCCGTTCAATAATTCACCTCTCTATCGATGTCTAGACTTCTCCAAATCAGAAGCTATTTCTGGCAATTTGCGCTCATTTTGTGGATTTCGAATCAGAAACCCTTAAAAAAGCACTTATCGGCCTTCCATCTATCCCATCGCATCATGCAGCAACTCAATACGAAGCTCTTTTTCATATCCTTCAAGATTATAATATCCTTTTAAAAATTAGGACAATTATCAGCGACAATGCTTCAACAAACGATAAGCTTTGCAAGATCCTCGAAACAACCCTTAGCGAAGAGGCCATTCCCTGGTCATCATCAGATAATCGAAACCGATGTAATGGGCATATCATCAATCCTGCTGTCCGGGCATTTTTGTTCCAGGATACAAACCAAGATGAAGATCTAGAGTTGAAAGAGGCTCAGATTGCTCTTGATCTCAACCCTCTTATCAAACTGTATAACATTGTCAGCCATATCAGAGGGTCTCCTAGCCGAATGAATCAATTTATCCAACTTGCTAGCCGTATGATTCCTTTAGATAATTCTACACGATGGAAAAGTTGGTATTTAATGATTCAAACTACGCTTGATAAAGAAGGCGTAATTGATTCATATATTAAATCGAGGTATGAATCTCTTCAAAAGGATTATCTTTCCCCAGATGATTGGGAATATCTTTGATTAATATCAGCTTTTTTACATCCATTCTATCGAGCAACAAAAGCAACCGAAGGAGACCAGGCAACAATCGATCGGGTTCTATTTACTATGGACATTCTTATTCAGCACTTCAAGAAAAGCTTTTCAACATACGAATCGAATCCTTTCTTACTTCGTCAGATCGATAAAAGCTGGGCTATATTCGATAAATATTATCTAAAGACTAAGGAGTCTCCATTCTACGCAGCAGCTATGATCCTTCATCCATCACGACGAACCTTATTGTTACGATCCTGGTTCAGGCTGCACGGAGCCTCCCGCTATTGGCTGGCGCAAGGAAGCGGGGCAGTTCCCCGCTCCACGGGAGTGCAGCCAATAGCGAGGCGGTCAGCGCGATCAGTATGATCAGGGCGATCAGTGGGAACTGATCGCACTGAGCACACTGACCGCACTGATCACCTAGGACCAACGCTCTGATTGGTCCGCCTTAGATAGATATATACGACGACCGTAGCCACGGTCTTAGATAGTTCTTGCTTGGTTCTCCAAGCAAGCAATACACATTCACTGCACTCATACACTTTGAGTGGCATTCCGATTTGACTGTATTACCCGTGCGATAGGAGCTTGCCCTTTGTTCTATCTTCATAATTACCAACCCCAGCATTCTGTGGAGCCCATGCTCCCTTACAGACTGGTTTGTAATACTTATATCTCAAACATAATTGGGATAAAAATTGGATACGACCAGCAATCAACTCTGTTAGAAAGCTTTGGAAAGAGCATAAAGATCAATCAGCAAATTCATCTCCAATAATACCATCAATACGAATTGATAATAATCTCGATGAATTCGACATCCTTGCTCAAAATCTCGACATCCTTCTAATACAACAAACTAAGGATGAATTCGAAGAGTATATCTCAGAAGCTGCAATTCCGATCCCAACTTTAGCATTATCCTGGTGGCTAAATCCACAACAACAACGCTGGCCAAGACTGTCTTATCGATATCTCGGCAGAGATAAATGAATGAAGGGGTTATTTTTGGACAAGGTGTCTGTAAGCTAGTTATGAGCGAGCAGCAACGTATTCTGAGGGTAGGAGTAGTAAAAAAAAAATTTGCACTTCGATCGAAGTCGCCCCTTGTCAAACGCAAGTCGCACCCTATTGGCTCCCTGCTACCAACAAGAATAGAACTCCTAGAACTAAAGGCTTCGATCATATCCTCGTCTTGCACTAAGCGCCAGCAAATGTGTAAAAAAGCATGGGGAATTGGTGCGCCCCAGTCCGACTACTTATAGAACCCACACCCCAGAGATGGCAGCTCGCAATATGGAGCGATAATGATGTCTCCCTAGGCAGAAATCCATTCTGTAACGGAACCGATGCGCGCGTCCACAGTCTAACATTCCGACGGCTATCTTTCCAAGCTTAAGACGCAGCTCTCCCCACCGATCCCTCGACTAAT